GGGGATGAGGGAGGGGGAAGGAGAGGGGGTGGATGGGTTGAGGGTGGTGTTGGCGGGGGATCAGGAGAGGGAAAGACAAGGTGAGAGGGTGGAGGGTGATGGAGGGAGAATGTTGGGTGTGATGGCGTCCAAGGAGGAATTGGAGATGTTGAATGAGAGGGTGAGGAATCGGTCGTGGGTTTAGCTGGCTGTCTGGTTGTGAAGAAATAAGTCGAATATTGTACATTATCATATGGATACATCCTGCCTGGTATCCTGTCCATCATATGTTGGTCATATCTGGCTCAGCCTGCTGGAATGCCAAAGATTCGGTGATTCATATGTTGCAAAGATGTTGGTCACATCACTCCACCTCCATCAGCACATCACTCATAATATGCAGCACATACGAAAACTTTCGCACGCTCCATTTCCCCGCATCTTTCAGCAGCCCTGCGTAGTCCAGCAAGATGCGTCGCGCGGGCTGATATCCGCCCTGGATAGGAACCCCGCGCAGGTACACCGTGCCGCCGTGTCGGATGAACTCCAACGCTGGCTCCTCGGACGGCGGCAAAGGTTGGCCCTGAGGCTCCATGAAGCTGGTGAACCCTTCCGTGCCCACCTTCTGCCAGTTGATGTCATCGAAGAGCTCGATGGAAGCACCGCCCTGCACCTCGGTAGTAGTGGGAACCATGAAGACGTAAAGACCCAAGACGAGTGCTGCGGAGAAGAGAGAAAACACTGAATGGAACATGGTATGATCCGACGCCTTGCGGTTCGTCATGGCCCGGTAGATGTGGGCTGCATGCAGGCATGCTCTTCTGGCAGCTGGTGTCTGCGACCATGCCGCAATGTCATCTAGTGCCTTCCGGGCAGGGGCCGGTCCTGAACGTCCTGCTGCCATGTCAAAAATCTGAATGTCTGCCGTCAGCGTCATGCACATATTATGCCACATGACGGACGCATTTGGGCTCAGCCTGTCTAGCTCGTCGCCGTATTTGCTCGACAACTGAAGCTGAAGAGATGGTAGACATCTGGCACGACCGTCCATAGCATAGGTATTGCACGGTGCAAAGGGGTAGCTGGCACGACTGGAAAGAAGACGATAATAGGCTTCCGAAAGTCTCAGCTGCACCATTGCCAGCACCCCATATATACAGAAATCGTCCCTTGGGCTGTCAAGGTTGGGAACGCCGACATTCTCTGACGGCATCATGATCGCAGGCATAAGTAGTGGATTTCCACTGTTACTGAGCTGCATCCAACGGGCAGAAGTCGTGGCTCGAAAGAGCCCTTCGTTGCATGGTAATATCAGCTGCGTAGTATCCGGTACGATAATAGGGCTAGTTGCCATGAAAGAAGAGTACCAAGTGTCCAACAGTAATAGCCCAGTGATGAGTCTGTGATGTCAGCGACGTCCTGCTGTGCTGTCCACTCGACTCACCGTTTCACCGTCTCCACCTTGCTCCATGCTTTCCACCGTGCCTCGACATCAGGAATTGCATCGAATAGGTTCATGTCAAGGACTTGTCCCTCCGTAGCTGCAAACAGGCCATGCCGTTGTGCGATCTTCACGTATCAGCCATGCCCATGATTCCGGTAATATGACATACCGAGATGAGGTTAACGTAGAGCATTTGACACTTTTCCAAGTGTTCCTTTTCCTATAACAGTCAGCATAATCCACGAGCCTGACATTAGACTTACCCCAGTCATGGCAGCCAGATTAAGAAATAGAAAGGCCGCTGCAAACGTAGATATGGTAGACAAAGGACCTTCAACCCCCACAGAGCACTTGGCTAGATCAGCCGTGATACTCTCGAGCATAAACTGAAACCATTAGCGATGCACAAAGCACAGAAACCTGAGCATACTGGAAAATTCTGCAAGACAAAGTTTACTGTGCCCTTCGTTTCCAAAAGAACCATCCCAATCAAACACATGCTGTAGAGCAAAGATGGACGGGTGTCCTTTGCGGAAAACGTAGGGAGATGAATGAAAGGGACCAGGGGATGAAAATCACGGAAGAATAGATCAAGTGCCATATCTAGAACCTCAGCCGGGGGAAAATTAGGGGTATTGCGGGGCTGAAGGGTAAACGGTGAAACTGCAGTGTTCTCAGACGAACGCATCAGAGAATGACTCTGCCGACCCTGACCAAACATAGTGTATAGACGCTGCCTGCATTCCTCGTCGATGTCATATCTGGACCCCTTCAGACAGCCGGATGGACCATTGGCTGGGTGGACGGACCTGAAAGCGAAGACGCTGTCCAGATCGCTGTAGGCCACGTCATGCCATATACTATTCATGAGTCGCCCAGTGTTGTTGGACGGAGCAAGCCAGTAGCGCTGAACCCGGGCAAACCGCTCATTTGGTATATTCCCTCCTGACCTCAAGCCGGTACTGTCGACGGATGGTCTCGGTTGTTCTGTAGTGCCCTCTCCCAAAAGGCCGAAGTTAGAATCCCCTCTCACATCTATCGACCCATGTCCGGAGACTGAGTCCGCCTGCGGTTCCAGCCAGAATTGCAGGATATCATTAGGAATCGGTTCGAGCACAGTTTCTCTGTAGTATGACTGGTCCGTAACCGGTACGTCGTTCCAGCCAAGGTAACCTACCTGCTCATTCGATGTCATCGAACCAACTGCGGGTTCGGTGCGAGGTTGATGAGCAGAGATATTGGCAAGAAAGTCCAGGGATGAGGATGGCAGGTCGGCTGCAGATAATGACATATCGCGAGCGCTGTGCTGAAACGCGCGGGCATTCTCCGCATTCATGACAGGAATATGGTCTTGATTCTCGTTTGAGATTATGGACGGCTGATGACCAACAGGTTGATCGGTCGGCCTAGAAAGACAGGCAACCGGGCTATAGGCTGCATCAGTAGCCGGTTGATTGTGCCCTTTGGCATGGCGACTCAGAACATCACTGACTGTATCAGCAAAGTACGATGATGCGCATCGAGTCTATCGATCTAGTAGCCACACAGACCTACCTCCTTGAAAATCGTTTATGACAAATACTACATTCATAAGGCTTTTCTTTGGTATCTATCAATCGTCAGCAGCAGACCAAAAGGTACAGATCGATTGGCTAACGGGAACGTTCGTGGCGCTTGAAATGCTCCGTTTTCTTGAAACGCCGATCACAGATGTTACACTTTCGCAAGACCATGATAATCCTCGCAGCGCTACCAGAGCGGGTATGGCCTGGCTAGGACTTGTACTTTAGGAGCATGGCTCAAGGTGAGCAGATGAGAGTTCCGAAGAGAACCAGCTGTTGGGGAGACATTCATTGCCGGTTCTTGCTCCCCGGGATGGCCTTAGTCCTGATGTGGTAAGGCGAGGGGCCGGGGCCGCGGGGCAGCCGTACGGAAACCGGTATGATACGGGGCTCGGCCAATGGGGCGAACGCCATAGCCGTTCGTCGGTATTGGGAACTCCGGGGTCAGATCCGTATTGCCGGTTCGTCTTTCTATCATGAACGCAGGAGATGGATCAAGTCAATGCATGAATATCAGCTTGGGTCATCTATATCTAAGGCATCTTGCAGAAACTCATAGTCGTACAAGAGTAAAGTTGTATCCACTATAACCCGCCTCCCTCTGGCCTTCCAAAGCCAAGCCCACTGGAATCTGACGGCTAATAGTTCTCCATCAGTCACTAAGAGCTCGCAGCAATCTCATTCGCCTCCGGAACATCATCCTTGATCAATGTCTCACCCGGTCGATGCCCACGGTACTCACTAAAGGCGATATTCAGCTTTCCAAAGTCCCACTTGCGACCCAAAACCACAAACGCAAAACTCAACACCGGCAACATCAGTAAGTCCAGAATGCCAAAGAAGATGAAGCTATCAGTAACACTGATGAGATTCCCGCCATCGCTTAACCCAAAAGCAACAGGATACAACAGCCACAAGAAATTCAACCACCCAGACAGGATCCGGTAGTCGCGACCAATCCCAAGGGCAGAGGCTGATTCATGACTCTCATTAAGCGTACTCATTGAGAGGATAATCCATGCAAACGTGCCAAAGGCAAAAAAGCCCCATTTGTAGTTGGTGGTTGTGAATGCGGCAGCAAGGTATGTGAGGACCCAGAACCAGGCAAGGAAGATGTTGCTGATAATAGTCGTCCATGAGACTCCTGCTAGTAGACCAAGTGATAGAGCGAGCGATGGGAAGGTGACGACCCAGTTGATGTATTTGGCGTAGAAGATTTGGCGGGTCGAGCCGTGGCTGAGCTGGTTGACTTGCTCCACGGCGCTCCAACCTAGATCAGAAGCTTGGGCGTAGTAGGTCACGGTGCCGACGAGGAGGGCCATGGTGAAGGTATAGTGGAAGACTCGATTGCTAGGAGGGGCGACGAAGCAGAGGACTAACAAGCCGAGCTAGAGAGTGTCAGTGGGGCACCACAATGAAGGGCGGACTAGACACCAATAGTCGTGTAAACTTACGAAACAGACTGCATAAATGGCCGTGACAGCCCAAAGCCAGTCCGAGCCATGCAGAGACAGGGCTTCGTCCACTCCGGCTGGAGGGTTGACATTGAGGACGTCGTTTGCTCGGGGTAGGATGTCCATAGTGATAGGTCGGCTTTATGTATTGAAGTTGTTTGTGGCGTGTATTCTGTTGTAGATCACGAGGTATCTATCTGTTGAGTGTATAATGCTTCAAGTGAAACAAATGATGGACAGAGGCCGGCGAATCTCTTATAGCTTCGGCAAGCATTTCGTCCATGATGCCAAGGGGCAGGGTTGCAGTGGCTGCGATTTCGCATCGGAAAAACGTATTCAAAGAGCAGCACAGTCATTGACTCCCCGAAGCTCGCGATAGAGATATAGCGTTGCACATTTATTCCGGTTATTTTGGTAGTCCTCAGGGAATAAGCTCGAGACAAAACATTATTCCGAAACATTATTCCGGCAACGAAACCAGCTCGGCCTCGGCATTAGGAGATAGCGAAGTACAGCGAGCTAATGCAGGCCGGAGATAACCTGTCTATTTCCGATCGAAACGCTCAAATATTGGATATTGAGATCAGATGGGTAGTATACGCCACCAGTCAGATTAGATGACTGAAGAAAGCTGGTATGGAAACCGTTAACGACCAGACTCACACTAGTTGAGTCAATTCTAGACCATTCATGACACTTAGTGTGTATTATGCTGCTCATAATGAATGTTTCATACCATGCTGATAGATACACAAATGTCACATTTGAAATTATTGACCCTGTTGTCCTCGGACCATCTCCGCCAGACGACCATCGTCATAGTAAGTCTCTAATCGCTGCCTTTGTGTTTCTTTGTCGGCCTTGACTTGTCGGAGAATCTCTTTCATATTTGGGTACGTAGAGAATTTGTCCTGTACAGATCAGTTCATGCTCAAACCATCAATGTAAAGACCTACAGGTAGAGCATCCCACACCCTGGAATCTGTACCCTGATTCTTAAACGTCCCACAGCCACCACGCGCGTACTCTGTGAACAAGAAGGACCGGCTACTTTCAATCATAACAGTCATTTGATCTGCATGGTCAGCAGCCCATATCAGAATACAGTGCTATGGCAACTCACTTTCTAAGATCTTCCGTGGTTCATTCACCTGGTTACGCATTTCACGCACACAGTCCTCGCTGAAGATGCCATGTGGCGTATGGCTGACATCAACGCTGCCTCCCCCAGGCAAGAACTCATTAGAACGGCCAAGTCCGCTTCCATACAGACAGGCCAGGAACTCGGTGGCTGAGTTGCGATGAAAATACGGAAGACGAAAAGTGTTGGACGCCACATCCCAACGAGGTCCGAACCATACAAAGTCTGCCAACGGCGTCATCGGGTCTCTGGATGCAGCAGTCAACACACAGTTCACGGATGGGTCCGTGTGGTCGATAGAGGTTGCATTTTGAGAGGCAAATTTGGTCAGATCGTACTGCAAAAGTTAGTGCCCATGAACATAGATGCGAAGACAGTGGCATACCTTGTAGGGCACTACATTTCCATGCCACGCAACCAGATCGAACGGGCTATGATCCTGTTTGATGCCGTTGTATTGACCGTTTATCTTGTTGATGATTTCCCAATCCTCGTGGAGATTTTCGTCGATATGCGCCACAGGATGGAGAAAGTCTCGTGGATTTGCCAATCCATGCCCCCCCAAAGGCCCCAGATCGGGCAATTCCCAACGAGAGCCCCAGACTTCGGTGATGTACCCCCGAGCCACATGATGCCCGGGGCCCAAACGGACAGCGAAGCGAATTCCGCGAGGGATCACGCAGATTTCACCAGGCTGTAGAAACAGCATGCCCATTTCAGTTTGTATATCCAAAATTCCCAGCTGAGCGACAATCAGGAAGTCACCATCCGTATTACAGTATGCCCGATGGGCCATATCTGCATTGATCATGAAGACATAGAGTGCGATACCTTCCCGCAGATTGGGATCTCCGCTTCCCCCGAGAGTGTGCAGTCCATCTACAAAGTCAATCTTCTCATCTTCCTTAGGCAGCGAGAACGGCGCCCATTCAGCTTGGCCAGCAAGCGTTGCCACCTTTGGATTGAGTGAGAGGAAACAGTTCTCAAGATGTGATTTGTGCTTGACATCGCTCTTGTATCCACCTATGTTGTGTCAACATACCGATTGACTGGAACGAGCAAGGAAAACATACTGTGAGCAGCTGCCGGCCTCACTCGGTACATATAAGTGCTAAAGTTGGCATGCCTTGGTGCCGTAAAAGCTGAAGAGGTGATTCCTTCCGTATACAACCCGAAACGTGGCTCCTGGGGGTTGTTTTGACCGGCTGGTAAGGTGCCTGGTATGACTTCCGACTGGAAGCGGTTCCCGAACCCGGCCATATATTCGTAGGGATCATTGTCGCGGGTAGGCTTCCGTGTCATCGTATCTGTATAGTGAAAAACCCTGGTCAGGTCTTTGATGGGCGTTCGCTCTTTGATTGTAGGAGCCGGCATCGTGGGAGGTTGACTATCTGAAGCTATGTAGCCCGGAACGGTGCTCAGGTCGAATGTATGCAGTGTAGATAAAGTCTTAAGCTGTAGTCGTAAGGTCAGAGAATATAAGTTGATGATGGGAAGAGTCATTGGATAGCAGCGAGGACTTACGTCGAGGGTGACCCGTAGGCCCCTTATCAACCCATGATGGCTTTAACCGTCCAGATCATGGAACATGTGGAGCAGTCCATCACTAGCAGGGGTACCAGCTCTAGGGAGAGAGAAACTATGACGCATGCCCTTTGTTGAGAACTTCAGATACAGGCATAAACCCACAGAAGCTCGGAGCTTCCCCCGCAGAATCCACTCGGGCTCCCGCTAAGGTATGCGGGGCTCCTGGGAATGTGGAGCATGTGGGATGTGGAATGTGGACGCGGTTGCGGTTCCGTAGCGTTGAAGCTTATTTGACAAGCTAATATAATGTATGAGGTGGATGTATACTTCATCTTAATCGGACAGTATTGGCTTGAGAATCAACGTGAAGTGGGGACGGAGACGGCTAATCGACAGCAAGAACATCATCTACCATCCTCGTCGACGCACCCAGGTAATTGACCGGATCACATAGCTGACTCACACGCTCCTCACTCATCTTCGAGGTCACCTCGGACTTTTGCATCAAGCACTTGAGCAAGGACTGATTCTTCTCAATACTCTCCCGGCAAGCGTCGTAGACAATATCATGCGCCTGTTGCCGTCCCACATGCGGTGCCAGTCCCATCATCACTGCTTCGGCTACAATCAGTCCCTTCGTGGAGTGCAGGTTCTCCAGCATCTGCTTGCTGTGAACACACAGCCCAGACAAAGCGAACTGGGTCTGGAACAGCGCTCCGACTGCAATGACAAAAATTTCTGGAATCGCCACCCACTCCAGATGCCAAGGACCCGAGGCACGCTCGAAATCAGCTACCATGCCGTCGAGAACCAGTCCAGCGTTGGACCGGAGAATCTTTGATGCAGCTAGGATCACCTCGCTTGAGATGGGATTGCGCTTCTGGGGCATGGTAGAGGAGGCACCGCGATGCGGCACGAACGGCTCAGATACTTCTCCCAACTCGTTGGAGGACATGATGATGATGTCTAGGGCTAGTTTGCCCATTGAGCCACCCAGCAATGCCAGAAAGTTTGCTATTTCTGCCACACCATCACGAGCAACGTGCCAGGTGATGGGGGGATCCGTAAGACCTAGTTCCTCTGCCAGGGCCTTGCGCACACGTAATCCATCGTCTCCAGACCCCAGAGACGCCAAAGACCCGGCTGCACCCCCAAATTGGACCAGCAAGCAGCGACTTTTCAACTGCTCCAGACGCTCTAAATGTCGCTGGAAGCCAGACAGCCATACCGCACACTTGTACCCGAAAGTGACCGGGAGGGCATGCTGAAGATGGGTGCGGCCCGCCATGGGCGTGTCCTTGTACTTGATAGACAGCCCACGTAGTGTGCTGATGATTTCCTTGAGTTGGCGCTCAACGATCGTCAGGCCTTCTTTCATCTGCAACACACTCGCCAGGTCCATGATATCCTGCGTGGTTGCGCCCCAATGCACGTATTTCCCGGCCTCGTCGCCACAAATCACAGAGAGCTGACGGACCAGGGGAAGAATTGGGTAACCAACGATTTCGGTCTCGTGACGAAGGCGATCCATATCCAGCTTGGATTGGCGAAGTTTCTGAGTTACCATGTCGCCGATTTGGGATGGGATCACATCGCAACGTGACTGGGCTCTTGCGAGCGCGGCTTCGGCATCCACGCACCGCTTGATGTACGCCTCATCATCGAATATCTTGCGAATTTCCTCGGTCCCAAATAATGTCCGAAAGATTCCCGAGTCAATGGCACTGACAGATCCAATAGATCTTCGGGATACATTGCGAGTGACGCGGGCTCGCAGACGAGGGACACGGGATAACTGCGCCAATAGGGATGCGGACATTTTGACCGTAAGAATGAATTGTAGGGCTGAAGGTGATTCACCTCAATGGTTGGTTAGGTATACGCTTAACCTTGGTTTCGTGTCTTAAGCCACGGATGTACGGAGTAGCCCCGTTGCCGAGTTGTCCCTGCGGAGGTGCCTGGACAGCCCCGCAGGCAATGTGGGGCCGCAACATAGTACATAGTAGTATGCCAGGGCTGTTATGCTCCACCGATGAAATAATGCATTCAATGCAACATTGTTTTGGTTGGCCGGTTCACTTAAGAGATTGGATACAGATCTAGTACTCCGGGATAGGAAGCGAAGCTATTGCAATTTCTGTGCTATCTCAGTCAGCACAATTGGTACAATTGTCAGCTATGGATAGATCGGGTGGTTAGCTCACCTTGCCCATACAATAATGATTCTCATCGCCTTGTCTTGCCCCTGAGCTCAGCCAGCAATGTCACTATGTGCCTTGTTCCAGTTGCTCCGATCTTATTTTAGGCATGGTTTCACGCCCAGGGTCACATGAGCGGGGTCACAACACCTCGCGATCAAATAAATCCCATTGATCACTTAAGTCCGTGATCAATCGCATCCAGAGTGTTCATGAGCCAATTGGGCAATACCGTTCACCATGGTCAGCCCTCAGATCTACTAATTGTCAGTAGCAGCCGCATTTGACGGCTTGAGTGCCCAGGAAAAGCTCTATGCTCATCACATGGCGAGGTACTACATTCCTGATCCAATCCGCAGGAGAAACACACGTCTGACATGTCGCATCAAGGGCTGCTTGGAATGGTACTAGAATCATCCTCCGTCAAGTGTTCCCCGAGGCCAATGGCATCTTTGACTTTATCATGGCCTTATACCATGACTGTGACGGGAACTGGGAGCAACTTGCAACAAAGACCGGGGTCAGTATGCAGGATCTGGACAGATTCCTCGAGTATGCTGCGATATTTCTATCGAACGTCGGAAATTATTTTGTAAGCAAATGTCCTGACTACATGTTGAACCGCACTTCTTTCTCTACAGGGCTCTGGTGACCAGAAGTTCATACCTGATATAACCAAGGAGACCATTACAAGGCTGGCTTCTGTATCCTTGCCCACCAGCAAAATACTTGAACAAATCAAGAGACCGATGCTAAATCCTCTACCACACAGCTTAGGTCGCCCGGGGCCTTTGACCCAGTCGTCCTATTATCTGGGAGAAGACTGTCTGGAGTCGTCGGAGGATATTTCCTTGATAGCGAAACTTATGGAGGATCGATTCATCTTGCCTGAGAACACTCGACTGAGAAGGTATCAGAGGTCTGGAGTGAATTGCTATGATATCCTACAAGCATCAGTCGTGGAAGACAAGTCTCCACTGGGTAGCCTAAGTGACTCGGGTGCACCTGACAAAATGATCCACTTGGTGAGAGGAGACCACACAGAGGAACTTAGGCAGATATGCGGATGCTTGCGCCAAGCCATTCCATATGCATCGAATCCAGCGCAGAAGCAAATGCTACAGGACCTCATCGACAGTTTCCAGACCGGCAATCTCGAAGCATACCGGAACTCCCAGAGGACCTGGGTCAGTGACAAAGCCCCCCCCCCCATTGAAACCGTTCTTGGGTTCGTCGAACCGTATCGGGACCCCCTAGATATCCGTTCAGAGTTTGAAGGAATAGTTGGGATACCTCATGCTGCGGAAACCAAGATACTGAACACCCTTGCAAGCAAGGCAGATCAACTCGTCTGTAAGCTTCCGTGGGTCGAGGATTCCGGTACCAGCAAGGGTCCTTTTGAAAAAGAACTTTTTGAGCCACCGGATTTCTCAAGCATCAACAGTGTGTATTCTTGAATTGCTTTTTATGGTCAAAAGCTGACATGTCTAGGTCTTGCATATTGTTCGAGTATCATCTTCCCAGGGATTACTCTGCCACACGTCAGTAGCTCCAACATTCAGTTCCTTGCAAGTCGCTAATGGTGAGCAGTACAACGACATCCGACAGGATACAGGCTACAAAAACATCATTTTCTCTAACCGCATGGTGTCCGAGAGCAGCCGAGCAAGGGGCTTACACATGGTGGATAAGTCCGAGCAAGACACGTTCAAGCAGCATCGGTTCCACGCCTACTACATCTGGGTCGTATTGCACGAGATCCTTGGACATGGCACGGGAAGATTCTTGACTGAATCTTCTGACGGTAGTCTCAACTTCAACCCAGACCAGCCGCCACTGAATCCGCTCACAGGAAAGCCTGTGGAATGTTGGTATCGGACCGGGCAAACATGGACCGGAGTATTCAATGACCTAGCCACAACAGTGGATGAATGCAGAGCAGAGCTAGTTGGGGCTTATTTGATCGATGATATAGACATTCTGCGTATTTTCAGCTACACAGAGCAGAGCGAGGGTCAAGCCTGATGACAGTGAGTCACTTACTTTGCCAATCTATTGCGTACTAACCATCTACGCATCAGTCGCCTACAACATGTATCTGCAGTTAGGTGTCGATGGACTTCGAGGACTGGACAATTACGATCCTACCACCAAGGTAAGCACGGATCCATGACATTTACGAAGTCATGCTAACTGTCAATAGAAATGGGGCCAAGCACATAGTCGAGTAAGTCCGAAAGCTTCCACCATGTTGGTCTCCCCTAATTCGAACACAGGCACACTTTGCAATACTTCGCCATCTCCTCCGCGACAGTGATGGACTCTACATTATCACATGCGACGCAGAGAATACGACGTTAACGGTCAAAGTTGACCGTTTGCGAGTCATATCCCATGGGAAGCCCTCGCTGGGCCGGATGCTCTTGAACCTTCACATCTATCGGTGTACCGCAGACATCTCGAACTGTCGTCATTTCTACGAGGATTTATCCCACGTGGACGACGAGGCTCTAACATGGAGAAAGATTGTCATCTCGAAAAGGGATCCACCACTGGCATTTAGCCAAGGAAATACCTACCGCGTCGGAGATGATGTGAAGCTTAAAGAATACGAACCCACTGCGCGAGGAATCATCCAGAGCTGGGCCGAACGGGGGCTATAACAATACGATGCTGCAGAATACTGCGTTAGGTATTACTTGGCTCCAGTATAGCTACGTAAAACACAAAGTAAGCTGAGTAGGAGGGCCCTTGATTCGGATTGAGGAACCTTTCCGGTCGGTATCTACCGTGGTACCCTCGACATCAGATCTTCACCCGAGAAATTGACGTCATATCCATCAGATCTCAAATGTGAGAGTCGTCGCTTTCGAAATACTACTCTTCCAGATGGGTCGAGAACACGAGATAACTCTTGATTTGCGCAGCAATATGATGCGGGTCCTGAATTACATGGTTCCATCATCAAGAGGCATTGCTTATTGTCGCCCGCAGGAGAACGAACCAAGGAACAGAAAGATACGACACACTGCTTATATCTGGATGATGTGGCAGTGCTCAATGATTGGGTCGACGTACTAATAGGCTTCATGGCGCTACGCCTCATGCCCGGAAAGAGAATTGGGGGAGGTCTAGAGCTCTCGAGAGCGACGGACTTGGCTCATTCCATCACTCTCAGACAGATGTGCCACGGTCATGGAAACCAACCCCGGGCTGCAGTTCCGACCTTACCCCAGCATGACGAAGATGGAAGGGCGTGGGATTGGCCGCCCACGAGGATATAAATCGACATTCCTGGACCTGCTGAGACTTGAACCATTTCTTACCGAGTCAATCTACAGTTCTCCATCTACCTCATACAAATCCAAGTCAACAGACCACCATGGTATTCTATGCTCACCTTCACCAACGCCAGCCCGGCAAATGGCCCGGACACTGGCACCGATACCTGGTGACAGCGACCAATGCCACAGAGGCGAGGCGATTCTTCACCGGACTGCACAAATACACCCGGACCTCGAATCCGACGCTGAAACATATCGAGGCCGAGAATCTGGAATGGTGGAACTTTGAGTCTGATGACGGCTGGTGCATCAAGAACATCTACACCAGCATCAACGAGCAGAAACCATCCGAATACAACAATGTGCAAGAGTTGACCGACTGCCGCAAGACGATCCTGCTCACGCTTCTGCATGACCATGATGGTAGGATCTGGCCGATTCTTCCTTGCCAGAGTGAGCAGTGTGCTCAGTACGCTGACATAAGGAACGTTTGATTCATGGTTTCTTGTACATTATTGTGATGTACGAAAAGTCTTAATGCGAACAGACGTGGTGCGAATTATTTCCTGCCGAGAGTACTGTCGTAGTCATGGTCGTAATTCGTCTGTGGGCACTGGGGAAGGGAAGATGGCAGACTACCCCAGATCGAGACCCCACAGATCTCCCGAGTCGGACGGAGGCGTCGGCACTGCCAGCGAGTTCTCCCGATGCACAACTGCCAGGGCTTGCCGACTCCCATTCCGCTGTCGGAATAGTAAATTACACCGGTGCCGTGACGGGCCCATCGGTGGCTTATCTAATCACTTACAGCAGCAACAGACCCTGACCGACCCGGATTGATTGGATCAATTGGTCACAAACCACAGGAATTCGGAGGCCGAGAACTCGGGGCAGATTTGACACCTCCCCGTCCCGATCGCGTGCCTCGATCGTTCTGAAAGGCCCGGGGAGAGCGACAGGGGCGGCCCCCCCCCGCAGGGTGAACGTTTCTCCCCCCACGGGCGTACGAGGCAATACGGCGGTGGTGGAGCGCGCAGTGGGGCCGGCTTCGGAAGGCGGCAAAGCGATGCTGAAAGTCGGGGCGGATAATCGCTTTGTCGGCTGCGTCGCGACGCTCACTAGCCGAATCGGCGAGCTGGTGATGCTGAAGAGCCGTGTTACTTTTATTGCTGCTGCTGCTGTCTTCTCTTCTTCTTCTTCTTCTTTTCTTTCTCTCTTTCTTTCTCCAGTTTTATCTCCTCTGCAGATTGATTCTTAGGCGGTCGACACCATGTCGCGGCCTGTTCCTGCGGTGTTCCGCCCCATCTGGCGGCGGAATTTCTCCGTCTCAACCACCAAGCGCGCCATTGATAAGATATGCCCGTCCGCTCAAGAAGCCATCAAGGACATGAAGGGTTCCTCCACCGTTCTGGTCGGTGGTTTCGGTTTCGCCGGTGTTCCGACTACGTTGATCGATGCGGTCCGTGATCGCCCGGAAATCAAGGATCTGACGGTTGTCTCCAACAATGCTGGCATGCCAGGTGTTGGTCTCGGTAGGTTGTACACCGATGGAGCCCTGCGTGGTCTAACCGTCCCCCAGGCCAGCTGCTGGAAAGCAAGCAGATCAGCAAGATGATTGCCTCGTTTATCGGTGAAAACAAAGTGTTTGAGAAAATGTATCTCAGTGGTGACCTCTCTCTGGAATTGACCCCCCAGGGTACCATTGCGGAAAAGTGTGCCGCTGGTGCCGCTGGTGTCCCTGCTTTTTATACCCCTGCTGCTTATGGAACGATCGGTATGTTCTCCACTGGCGCGCGAGACCCTTGGCTAATGAGGATAGTGCAAACTGGTGAACTCCCCGTGCGTTACAACAAGGACGGTAGCGTCGCGATCAAGAACGACCCCAAGGAAACCCGCGAATTCAACGGCAAGCAATACATCCTGGAAGAATCGATCTTCGGTGACTACGCTCTGGTCAAGGTGCACAAGGCCGACAAGCTGGGTAACTGCCAGTTCCGCAAGTCGATGAACAACTTCAACGAGGCCATGGCCAAGAACGCGAAATACACCATCGTCGAGGCGGACCACATCGTCGAGGTTGGCGAGATCGACCCCGAGAGCATCCACCTGCAGGGTATCTACGTCAACAAAGTCATCCAGAGCACCGGCGAGAAGAAGATCGAGAAGCTCACGTTCGCCAAGGACCCTAGCGAGATGCTCCAGGCTGGTGAGTAGTACCCTGCCATGGGCCAGGAGATCATAAGTTGACGGTGTGATGGTGATAGGATCCGGTGAGGCCACCGCCCGCCGCGAGCGCATCGTCAAGCGCGCCGCCAAAGAGTTCCGCGACGGCATGTACGTCAACCTCGGTATCGGCATGCCCCTGATTGCTCCTTCCTACGTGTCCGAAGGCGTGGAGGTCGTCCTCCAGGCCGAGAACGGTATCCTGGGTCTGGGTGGCTACCCCAAGCCCGGCGAGGAGGACCCCGACTGCATCAACCCCGGCAAGGAGACCGTGACCCTGGGACGCGGTGCCTCGGTCTTTGGATCCCACGAGAGTTTCGGCATGATCCGCTCTGGCCGCATCGATCTGACCATGCTGGGTGCTCTCCAAGTCAGCCAATACGGCGGTCCGTATCCCATACCCTTCTCCCCCATACCATATCCCCAACACCACTAACACCCCCTCCTCCAGACCTCGCCAACTTCATGCTCCCCGGCAAAGTCAAGGGCATGGGCGGCGCCATGGACCTGGTCTCCAACCCAGAAAAGACCAAAGTCGTCGTGACCATGGAACACACCGACAAGAAAGGCAACCCGAAGATCCTTCCCGAGTGTACCTTCCCCCTGACCGGTCCCCGCTGCGTGTGGAAGATCATCACCGATCTGGCTGTGTTTGAAGTCAGCCCCACGGAGGGATTGACCCTGGTGGAACACGCCGAGGGCGTCTCCGTCGAGGAGATTCGCAGCAAGACTGCCGCTCCGTTCCAGGTTTCTGTGGATTTGAAACCGATGCTGTAATAATACATGGGGTTTTGGGTTGGTTGGTTGTTTATAGATTGTGTATATAACGTGGATGATGACATTATATATAAAATTTTTGTTAAAACATACCCCGTTCCATCTTGTATCATCCTTACATCACCCAAAACCCACCCCAATACCAATACCAAAAAAAAGCGAGAGGAAGAAAGAAAATTTAATGTCCCGTCTTCGACCGATTCCTCGCCCCCGTCATCCCCTCCCTCCCCCCCCCTGAACCGAACTCGGTGCCATTCCACTATCCATCCTCCTCGCGGCCGCCACATTGGGCGCCTCAAACGCGGTATGATGATGTTTCAGGTGTTCTTCATGGATTTCCATCGTCGTCAGGCATCCAGGCATTCTCGTAGTCGTCGATGGGTGCGTCGTCGCGTACGCTGCCGTGGAGGATTTTGGGGTGTAGGGGGGAGGGGGGAGGGGGGTTGGAGGGCATGTTGGGGATTCTTGGTGGAGATGGTGGGGTGGGGTGGGATGTAGTTGTTGATGGTGTTGGGGTTGGGGTTGGGGTTGGGGTTGGGGTTGGGGTTCTTAGGAATTGGAGGAGGAAGAGGGGGGAGGAGAGGGAGAGGGAGAGGGGGTTTATATGCTGTCTGTGTCTGTGTCCGTGTTGTGTGTAGGGGTGTGAAGTGGATAAGCTTATGATGAGATCATGAGTTTGATGCATTACATTGTACTGTTAGAGGACTGGGTAGGTTGGTTGGTTGGTAAGGTCCACATGGTAGACAGGTTTTCGATACTCATTGAGTGAATTATCTAGCCTGTTGGGTTGGTGGTATCATGGAGGCGAGAGATTTCCTGCTGATGGAAGGTTGGGACGGCGTCATGGCGATGTAAGAGAGTAAGTAGTCTGTAAGAGATGAGTTGGAATCCTTAGGGGCTATGATGGGCTAGACTTACTATCGGAGACTGTGTTCGATCCTGTGAAGAATATGCTGATGTATAGGGATCATGGTTGGGATGATATGTATGGAGCCCGGGATGGTTTCATTGTTTCCTGAGTAGGCAGTACTTCCACAGAATCTAACTGATTTGGTCAGATTGATGAAGGGTTGGGTTTCTTGCAATACGGTAGTAGATCGTATGCCAGTTTCATAAAATTGTGAAGTAGTCCTCAACCTACATGTACTGTAGTCAGGGTATGCATACCATAGAACCACTCAATTGTACACTGCTATAGTAAATTACTTCCTGCGTATATGACAACTGTAACGGCTGCAGTCAGGTATCACACTAGCTTGAAACGTACTATGTATTATTATCAGCCTTTCCGCATTAATTCTTGACTATGGAATCCCCCACATGTGGGGTCCCTCATTCCGTGGGGCCGGCCGGAGTCGTCTATGCGAACGGGGATTTACTCTCTGCATTCATTTCATCTGATTAGTTGGCTACGTTATTCTCATTACAGCATACGCCAATCCTCCCTTCATTATATCAAAGAGCTAGGGGAATGGGTGGCTGCTTGATTGACGGTCTGTTCTTATGAAATCATAGCATGGTATCATGGACTAACTTTTGTCTATATACTGAGGTTCCGGTTATAATCGATGGACGTTCTTTTCAATGACATCAGTTGCCCTTCACAAGACACCGAGCGGGGATACAAATTGGCGAGTGATAACCCTCAATCGGTATCCAAACAACTCTGTCCAGAGCAAGTCATCTCTAAATCATATTGAATCATTGTCCAGTGAGTCATACAGTCATGGGCCTGTAGGCTACCAAAGAAACTGCTGCTGAAAGCTCACCGACGGCGCTCCCCTCCAGAGACTCGGTTTCTGCTGCACACTCGAGCTAAACTCATGAACCGCCTCCGCGCGAGCCCGCTGATACTGTATCGCTTCAAAAACCGGATCAATCCGCGGACGACTTTCCCGAGCCTCTTCATTCAATCCAGGGCTGTGAACCAATTTCGCCGGCGTCACACCATCTTCCGGACTATTGGACATCTCGATCTGATGGATCCGTGGTAGCGTGGGCGCCTCCCGATGTTCGGGAAACTCAGAAACATGGTCTCTCGGAGATTCCATCTCCGGTGGATATCGAGCGAGCGGGACAGAAGAACGTTTGACGACATCTGCTCCCGAGGAGCGAGGTGCTGAGGCATTTCCTCCATTGCTTAAGCAATCATTCTGCCAGTCACGGATATTCTGGACCGAATGCAAGGGAAACTTCTTCCAGTAGTCTGTACCGCGTTTGCCAAAGCGCGGGGATGGAGAGTACATGTGTGTTGGGCTGTTGCTGTTCCTCTGACTTCGGGGATGATCATGGGTTTCCTGAATGGTAGCGGAGAGCTGGGCATCCGGAATCTCGGCGAGAAGTTTCAACAGTAGCCTCTCTGTTTCATGGAGACGGTGCTCCAGAGCTTCTATGTAACCTTTTGCAGGACCACTGGTGGAATAAGTCTGATGCACACATCGTACCGGCAGTTGCTTACCGTTTCAACTGTTCAGGCCAGTCGCAGGGCCGGTTATGTTGGTGACATTGCGTGCATATCGGCCTGCCGTGTTGATTTAGTTTCTGGTCAGCTGCATAAAGTGGGAGGACTCCATGTAGCGACTTACTTATTTCCACTGCACTAGACACATAGTGTTAAACATGCAGATCGTCACGGAAGGGATCTGCTTACCTTCTGTTTCCGGAAGCGGCAGGAATTACACGCCACGGTGATGCGCGACACCTTGTTGGGCTTTGCAGGGGCCATGATCGGGGGGGCGGTTAATAGTTTGGCAGAAGGGGACGCCGTCGGGGTGGATGGGGCATTGTATCGGCCAGAGGGCCGGGTTAAGAGCGCCGCGAGGAAAAGCGCTATGGCGATGGGCGGCCCTCATACAACATCCCTCGCCCACGCCCTTGACCGCGTCGGGTTAAGCGCGGGGGCGGTGGGGCAGCCACGGCTGAACGCTTAGCCGAGGTGACTCGATCCGGGGTCAACAATCTTCCTCATCCTAATGGATATACTGTGCATTGTCTATCAAAACTCTCATTTCAAATGATGTCTTTCAATCGATTCCTGGTTATCGTTCTGGCGTGGCTGAGTAGCCGGAATTGTATGTGGATTGATGGGGCTGGGCAAGCTAGCCGTCCTGGGGGTAGCCGTGTGGGTTGGTCACCCACCAATCCAGTACCTTTCATTGGCGAAAGCGCGAGCATCCATGTTGCGTGCCAATTTGATAAGCAAAGCTGTTTCAAAGACATTGATTATATTTCAAGCAAGGTTCAATGCAATGGCAGCTTTCGCCGACATGTTTAGGACAAACCTTTAGCCGAATCCGCAGCCGGAGGGAAGTATATAGAGCATGAAGATGCGGGGTTCATAGCCTCGAAGAATCATTTACTAACTCCAGTTTCTACTCCTGAATCCTGGTCACTACGATTTAAATGTCCGAAAAGCCCACCTACCGCATCGCTTCCATCCCCGGTGACGGGATCGGCGAGGAAGTGGTGAAAGCCACCATCGAAGTCGTCAACAAGCTCGCCCAGAAGCTCGACACCTTCTCCATCGAGTTCACTCATCTCCCATGGGGAACCGACTACTACAAACAGCATGGTCGGTACATGCCGGAAGGGTATTTGGAGACGCTGCGGGAACATGATGCAGGCTTGTTTGGCTCTGTGGGACATCCAGGTACGATGCGCTGAGGCAGACAGCATATTCCAACCCAATTAGATGTAATCTTACTGACGTATTTAGATGTTCCCGACCATGTCTCTCTCTGGGGCCTGCTATTGGCCCTCCGCAGTCCATTGCAACTATACGCCAATGTCCGTCCGGTGCGCACCTTTCCCGGCACCAAATCCCCTCTCAACACGGCAGTGGATGGCATCGATTGGGTCCTGGTACGCGAGAATTCCGAAGGTGAATACTGCGGTCAGGGTGGACGTAGTCATGTCGGCCAGCCATGGGAAGCCGCGACAGAAGTGGCCATGTTCACCCGAGTGGGCATCGAACGGATCATGCGCTTTGCCTTTGAGACAGCCCGCTCTAGACCACGACGCCACCTTACCGTGGTTACGAAGAGTAATGCCATGCGGCATGGCATGGTTCTGTGGGACGAGGTCGCCGCAGAGGTTGCCAAGGACTTTCCAGATGTCACCTGGGACAAGATGTTGGTCGACGCTATCACCATCCGCATGGTCATGAAGCCGCAGTCACTGGACACCATCGTGGGAACCAACTTGCATATGGATATCCTATCCGATCTGGCAGCTGGTCTAGCCGGTTCGATTGGTGTGGCACCATCCAGCAACCTCGATCCCACCCGGAAGAACCCTTCACTGTTCGAACCAGTGCACGGGAGTGCTTTTGATATCATGGGCAAGGGCGTGGCCAATCCGGTGGCTACCTTCTGGTCGGCTGCGGAGATGCTGACATGGTTGGGCGAGGGTGATGCGGCGAAGAAGTTGATGGACTGTGTCGAGAAGGTGTGCGCCGCTGGGATTGTCACCCCGGATCTCGGAGGGACATCCAATACGCAGGGAGTGGTCGATGCAGTTTGCAAGGAGATTGAGCAATTGCCTTAGCAGTAGCCAGTATGCTAACCATGACATCTCAGATCGGGCCTATTCTAGTGAGGAGTGGTCTTATGGTTCCATGAGAGGACTCGGTTCTATTGACAGATAGCTGACTGCAGCATACACTCTGACTGAGAAGACAATCGATGACTTCGAAATGTAGATGTGTCCAACAAAGGCATGGTGATAGTGTGCATAATTGTGCTGTATGACTAAGCCGGTGCTCGCAGCCAAACATGCAATCCACCGCGACTTCTTTTCATCTCCGAACCTCATCCTCGACGGAGACACCATGACCCGGCCAGCATGGAGTCTGCGGACCTCACCAATGGCGAGATCGGTTCCTTGACCGCACATTCAAATGATGAGAGCCAGTTTGTCGGCAGCTCCAGCGGAGTCTACTTCATCAAAACCGTCCGACGGGCTTTCTCCGAAAGTCTAGACCCGAGCGGCGCCTCGCCTGCCCAAGACTTTCCTCACCCGGAGGATACCCTCGTGGGCAGCGAAGACTCGCATCGGCGTTCGGTCTCTCGGTCCGTGAACACATCCCCTGCGGCCCTGCAAAATGACCAGTCTCCGTGCCAATGGGCGTATGACCCCGCGGTGGCTGCGGTCCTGGGGAATGCTCCCCCGCTGGATACAGCCCGCGAATTGATGATGATGTACTTCAAAGTCTGGCATCCGTTGTTCCCTTTCCTACATGGTCCGACCTTCCTGCAGGCCATGGAGGTGCTCTATTCCGCAGATCGTCCAGACTCGGCCCATTCTCCATCGCCAGACCACCGAAATGCCTCCTGGACCACGATCTTCCAGTGCGTGTTAAATCTGGCTAGTCTGGTGCACCCAGACCTTCGTCTTCCGGTAGGGTCTCGGATTGAGTCTCCCAGCAACATGCATACTCTTCTGGGAACTCTGACGAGTAGAAATGATCTTCTGTCCCTCCAGGCACTGCTGGCCTGCCAACTATACCTGGTTGCGAGGATGTCCCTCCGGACGGCCTCCACAGTAGGTGGCTGCATGCTCCGGTCCATGCTGCATGCGGGCCTTCATCGCTGTCCGTTCCGGTACCGGGAGCTTACCTCCCATGACCGACAGCTGCGCAAGAGGATCTTCTGGTGCGCGTATGCCCTGGATCGATACTTAAGCCAGGCCCTCGGTTTGCCCTTAGGTGTCCAAGACTCCGACATCGATGTCTGTCCCCCCGGTGCCCCAGAGACCCATATCCCAGGGATGTACAACTGGGCCCAGAATTTCCGACCTACCTTGTTCCCTGAGCAAAGAGAGCCCTATTCCCACTCTTCGAACAACCAGTCTCTCGGAACCCCCTCGCAACGTCCCTCGCCCGCTGAAGAAACCCAGCAAAATCGCCGGGAACTCGCCTTTGCAAGCTACGTCGAGTCGGGCACCCTGACAGGCCGAGCTCTCGAGCTCTTTCACAAATCCATCTTCGTGCGCTCCGTCCGGCGCAGCGCCGTGCTCTTCCTAATCACCGACGTCCACAAATGGTGGAACAATCTCTCCATCGAGACGCTCCAAGGCCAACCAGCCGCAACCGCAGCCTCATCCTCCCAAACAGCAACAACAACAACCCCCAGCGCATTCAACTTCGCTCCCTTTTTCACTGTCCTCTACCAACACCTCATCCTCCTCATCAACCGCCCCTCCCTCTCCCTCAACCCATCCACGCCCGAATTCTGCTCCGGACTCCAAACCTGCATCAACGCCGCAAGGGAGATCCTCTCCGCCCTCACCACGCAACAAGAAAGCGGCCAATCCTTCTTCTGGCCTGGCTTCCTCTCTGCGGCCTGGATGTCCGGTCTCGTCCTTGCATTTGCCTGCCAACTTCGCCAATACGTTCTATCCAAGGGAATCCAGTACGTTACCACTTTTCCCTTGACACTACCTCATTCACCCACCCATCCACCTATCTCATCCCCATCTTCATCCACACTCCCCCCCCCCTCACTAACAACCCCCCAACCAGAGAAATAACCAAATGTCTCTCCATCCTCCACACCATGTCCACGCAATGGGAAACCGCCAAACACTGCTACCGAGCCCTCTCCCTTCTCTCTCGCAACATGCACGAATCCAACTCCAGTGAACCAACCCCCCATAAACGACGAAAAGTAGATCATCCCTCCTCCTCTTCCTCCTCTTCTCGTCTGCGGGACGCACATGATCCCGCCGTCACTACTGATCAATTACCCCTTACTCACAATGGTCCTAACGGTCCGAGAGAGGATGGGGAAGGAGAGGGAGAAGAGCATGCTAGAACGAGGCGAGAGTATGGTGTAAATCACACCAATATTTACAGTGAAAATATTACGTCAGGACAGATCCCCGATTTGAATGATGCGGAGTTTGACTTTAATATTGTGGATTTGCTGCAGGGGAGTAACTTTGATGATTTGACGGATATGTTTGGGCAGCAGTATCCAACCTTTTGATGGGGATGAATCTCATGTACAATCAGGGATGTCACAAGATACATACGGAGTAATAATGGAATACAGTACTACGTGTAATACGAGAAAGAACCCGTGAGGAAGTCATAAGTCTATATTACACTCGTGTCATATCGTAGGATACGAGGTAGGTAGTATGGCGGGATAGGAAGAGAAAAGACGTCACAACTTCCTCCCTCTCGTGACATGAAATAAGAGAGAACCATGGCATCCGAACAACTTTTCATCTCCGATCCCAGGGTTGGCTGCTTTTCTTTGCTCGTTGCCCTCTTGCATCACGTGCACGTAGCATCGCCAGGGAAGAACCCTTCAGAGAGTGGAAGAAAGAAAAAGAGGGATCCAGGAAGGTTGATGTCGCTCGCTAATCATGGGCCGATGACACCACTAACAAAGAACTTTTGGGAACCGAGGGATATCAGGACCAGGGAGGTAAGAGAAGAGAGGTTTAAAAAAAAAAAAAAAGGTAGGTGGTAATAAAGAAAAGGAGGAGTTAGGATAAGAGAAAATAAGGGGTAAATCGTTAATTGGAGTAAGAAAGGTAGTCGAGGTCATCAAAAATAGGTGGAGTCAAAATTCTGACATGGCAGACTGCTGAATCAAACCACCGGCATTGGAAATGGGACAAGGATTTACGCCTTGGTCTCCTCGGCGGCGGCCTCCTTCTCAGCCTCCTCGGGCTTGGCAGGCTCGGCAGCAGCAGGGGCCTCGGGCTCACCCTTGTTCTTCATGTACTCGTCGTAAACGCTGAGGGCCTCGTCGACCTTGGCGCGAAGGGCATCTTCCTCCTCGAGCCTGCAACACGTTAATAGTGGTCAAAGGAAAAGATGAGGTACATAGGGATTACTCACAGGCTCAACAGCTCAGTGTTGTCCATCTCCAGAAGCATACCAGTGATCTTACCAGCCAACTCAGGCTGCTGGGCCTGAATCTTGGGGTACAGAGCCTCACCGAGCATCTGCTTCTGCTGAGCCGGGGGAACGGCAGCGAGAGTTTGAGCGTTAAGACCACCAGCGGGGGCTTCCTCACGGCCAGCGGGCTGAGCAGCGTTCTGTCCACGGCCACCCTGACCAGGGCGGATCTGACCCTGCTGGACGGGAACACCACCACGGCCCTGTCCGTAACCAGGACCACCACGCATACCCTGACCCATGGGCATTCCGGGGACCTGTCCACGGCCACCAGCGCCGCGTCCGAACTGCACCTGAGCCATACCGGGGTAGCCCATGCCGTTAGGGATGCCACCAGGGCCCTGCATGCCCATGGGGATACCCTGAGCGAAGTTGGGGGGAATCTGCTGGTTGGGGCCCATGCCGCGACCACCCTGCTGGCCAGGGAAAGGACCGGGGTACTGGCCGGGGCGTCCACCGGGGATACCCATCACCATACCGGGCTGAGGAGGGAAGGCCATACCACGCTGGCCACCAGCAGGCATGAAGCCCTGCTGACCGGGACCGTAGAAGACGGCGGGCTGCATGTAAGGCTGGGGCATACCGGCGGCAGCGGCGGCCTGCTGCTGTCTGATGGTGTTGCGAGCCTGGATGCTGGCCTCGAGCTGGCTTCTGCGAACATCCTTGCGCTGGGCAAGGGCAACGTAGAGGGGCTTGCCGTTGACCATTCTCTGGTTCATCTCGGTGACGGCCTTGGAAGCCTCATCGGGGCTGCTGAAGCAGACGAAACCGAAACCCTTGCTCTTACCGAAAGGCTTCTTCTCGGACTTCTTGCCCTCCTTGTCCTTCTCCTCGGAAGACTCGCTGGCCTTCTCCTCGGCCTTCTCAGCCTCAACGGCCTCCTTGTCGTTCTCCTTGTTGGCCTCCTTCTCCTTACCAGCGGAGTCGGGAGACGAGGTGCGCTCGACGTTAGTGTCGCGCATGACCTTGGCAGAGGTGATGGTGCCGTAAGGTCCGAAGAGCTCACGCAGCTTCTCGTCATCAATGTCGTCGGTCAGGTTCTTGACGTAGAGGTTGACACCCTGGTACTTGGAAGCCTTCTCCAGGCGGGCAGCCTCGTACTGCTTGCGCAGCTCCTCCTCACGCTCGTGCTTCTTCTGGGCACGGCCAACGTAGAGCTTCTGGCTGCGGATCTCCTTGTCGTTCATCTCATCGACGGCGGCCTGCGCGCTGTCGTGGGTGGAGAAGTTGACAAAACCGAATCCACGGCTCTTGCCCTCCTGATCGCGGCTGAGGGTGGCGGAGGTGATCTCACCGAAGACCTCGAACATCTTGCGGAACTCGTCATCATCGATCTCGGAGTCGAGGTTCTTGATATAGACGTTGGTGAAGTTGGCCTTCATCTCCTCGAACTTGCTCTGGCGGTCCTTCTTGGAGATGTGGTGGCCGACGAAGACCTTCTTGTCGTTCAGCAGCATGCCGTTGACGTGCTTGATGGCGTTGTTGGCAGCCTCGGCAGTCTCGTAGTGAACGAAACCGTATCCCTTGGAGTTACCGAACTCATCCTGAGCGACCTTGCAGCTGAGGATGTTGCCGAAAGCGGCGAACGTGTCGTGAAGAGCCTTGTTGTCAATGGCACTGTCGAGGTTCTTGATGAAGACGTTGCCCTGGCCGGTCTTGCGGAGGGCGGGGTCACGCTGAGACCACATGATACGGCAGGGCTTGCCCTTGATCAGGGTGTAGTTCAGGTCTTCGAGGGCACGCTCACCATCGGCGGTGTTGTTGTAGTTAACGTAGGCGTATCCGAGAGAGCGTCTGGTAACGGCATCACGGCAGACACGGATGGAAGCAACCTGGCCGATGGAGGAGAAAAGCTCGTAGAGCATGGCCTCGGTCACCGAGGGGTCGAGTTCACCGACATAGAGGGAAGCCGAGTGAGGCTGGTTGGCACTGGGAGCCGGGGCCGAGTTCTCAACGGCAGTAACCTCGGGAGTGCCGCTGGGGGCAGCAGCAGCAGGGCTGGCCTCGGCAGCGCCGTTGACGGGCTCGACGGCGGGGGTGGTAGAGGCGTCGGCAGACATTTTTGTGGTGTTACTGTTGAGCAGGGACGAGGTTAGCCCAGTGTCAGGGAGAAGATGGAGGGGTGGAAGACAACACGAATAGGCAGGCAAATGGCAGGATTGAGACAAGCTCCCAAGCGACAATTAAACAGACTGCGGGCAAGGCAAGTGGAACAGATGGACGATGACAGCGGAAGATGAGCAAGGGGATCCAACCGAGCCAGTGTGCGCTGACTGACGGAGACGGAGATTCACTCCCAGGCGGTCACACTATCACGATAATGGGGGGGGAGGGGGAGGATGATCCACGCGATAAAGGTCCAACCTCGATCTCAGGCACCAGCAACGACGACGATAGACGACGGTTGCTAAATAGGAGAGACAGACAGGATGGATGTGAAGATAAAAACACGATCACGAGGGAGGACGAATAGGCGGTCGAGGGTAATCTTCCAGATGCACGCACACACAACATCCACGCGCACACACACCGCACACTTCGGAGCAGTGGGAAAAAGTCACAGTAGGGCCCGACGGGGAAAGGGTTGGGAGGGGAGATATACTTTGGTTTTTTTGTTGTTTTTTCCGGGTTTTTTTGCGAGATTTTTTTTCGATGAGTTTTCGAAAAAGGGGGATATGAAAAGGGAGGGAGAAGAGAAAAGGATGCTGAGAGAGACAGCAGAGAAGGGTTTTATGGATTTTTTGGGGAAGGAGGAAGAAGAAGAGCGGATGGAGGAGGAAGAGAAAAGACGGCGAAGAATGAAACGACGCCCCAAAGAAACCTCTCTGCCTTTTTTTTTTTTTTTTTTATCTGAAAAAAACTCAAAGACAAATTTTTTCTTTTTTCTCTTTGGGCCGGCAGGTGCCGCTAGGCCCAAAGGGGCTCGGGTGCTCGCCGCTTGAACGGCGCTTTACGGAATGGTGGGTTCCCGCCCTGCACTCTCGTTTGCTGCGCTGAGTTTTTAGCTTCAGCGGCAAAACTAACAGAACGGATGAAGGAATATTAATCGGGACTTCGGCGCCTCAGGTGTCAACCGGGGCTGGCCCGTCATCAACCCCATCCATCGTCTTTCATTCAACGGGAGCTTGACGGCAGCCACCGCATCGGTGGTATTTCAACAACAAAGGACGCACGACCCAACGAGCCCATTCTGAAGAAGTATGTATAATGGCTATCTATCCGGTTGGTCGAAGCTGCCCCCGCTGGTAACAAAGGCCCGAGGCGTCAGCAGCCCCAGGCCTCGAACTAGAAATAGCATACATCCTCGGAATCTGACAGACAATGAAACGAGACAAGAACAATCAATGACGTACTGCTCACCAGGACGCCTCAGCTATGCAATTCGTCATAAGTCAATAAATGCACGCCATGTATCTGCATGACCGGCATTCGGACCATCTCATCAAAATTACCACGTATATCAGCTCAGATCAAATCCAGCTCCCGAGTTGACCGCATACAAGAGCTTCTCCCGGAGGGTATGGGCGTTGGAATATCGGGGAAGCTTGAGGAGATTCACGCACGTGCTTGTGCTAGGCAGTCTTTCCTGGTCCTCACTGGAGTCCCGGATGCTGAATCGAGGATTGAGGTGGCTGAAACCTAACAAGGGAGCCCGAGGCGTGGACGTCACAAATCGTAGTACCTTCTGTCTTTCTGCGTTTGACATGTTCTCCATGACCTCCCAGAATAACTTGACCGTCGGGTGCTCTTCTTTATCGTCACCGATGGTGTACACTCCGCCATAAAGCGTGTTGCGTCTCAGGTCGGCTACATCGATGTCTCCTTGATCGCCACTCACAAGCGTTTGCAGCTCAGTCTGGTTGAACATCGACAACCATGAGGGCTGGATAACCTGCCCCAGTCCCTGGAGAAAAGCGTTGGTCTGCAGAGCAGGCTGGACTTGAAGCCGGTAGCGAGCAATGTAAGAGATGTACACCAACCGGTTCTGGTTCGTCACAGGTATGTCCGACCCATGGCTTTTCAGGTCTCGTGTCGTCGTACGACTGCCACCGTCCGGAAGCGGGACAGTATCGGTGATGGTGAAGTTCAACGAAAAGTCCTCCACATTTTCGGTATAATTCTTCAATTGCAACTATCATACCAGTCAGCGGCGAATACATAGCACCAGAGCAACACGTTTCACTTACCAGCCCTTGGTAGAGACCCTGATCCAGGTCTTTCAGGTCGTTGAGGTTGGCACGGTAGGCTGTCTCCCGCTGCGCCGAGCCCGTCCCACCCGTCAAAGCCCATTTGAGCAAGAAAAACGGGGCAAAGTTGACATCGACCAGGATTCCCTCGTACATACACTTTCCAATGATTCGCCCCAGAAACTCGTAGCGTCTGAGCAGATCGCGAACATTTTCGTTCCATTCGGCAGTATTTTCGACGAAACCCAGCTGTCTGAGAAACTCTCGCCGCTGTTCAACGGCAACTGGGTTTGGGTAGAGCAGGTGTTGGTCATTTTCTTCAAACAAGTTCAAATCATTGGTCGATCTGAAAGCTTCGCTAGTCACGCTCGTGAGGAACTCCTTGGTGACACCGCCGCCATCAATGCCAGCTTCTGGCGTATTGAACTTGTCGATAAACGTAATCTGGATGGGTTCTTTCAAACCCTCTCCTAGCTCGTAAAACTCATCGAATGCATCCTTGAATATGCTCTCGCGTCGGATGTTGGCATGGTGCCGACTCAAGATATCTTGCATAGCGGGACGACCTTCGATCATGCGGCCCATTGAGGCCTGCGCCACAGACATGCGCCAGGCATCCGGATCGATGAAGCCTTGCCTTCTGCGTATCTGGTCGCGATAAATAAATTCGCGAAATATCTGAACTCGCGTCGGGAACGGTATGAAGAAGGGCATATTCCGGAGGATCTCCAGTCTAGGGGCCACGGCCTCCAGCTGCTTCCTGCGAGCGGCCTGTTGCTGGCGGCGTCTCAGTGCTTCAATCCGAAGTGTCTGCTGAGCGCGGCCGGTCCCGATCAGGCCTGGGGAGGGCTCATAATAGTCATCATACATAAGATCATCGTGTTCCTCCTTGTCGTCTTCGTCTTGGAGCTGGTGTCTGTTCTCCTCTTCTGCGACAACAGCAGGAATGAAGCCCTCCATGTCAAACCGGCTCGTCATCAACCAATGCCCATCAGGAAGGAATTTCCGCCTCGAATCCCGCTCATGGATCATTCTCAGCAAACCCGTAACCAGGCCCTTGAAGTAATCCAGCGGAATTCCCGTAACACCGGGGAGTCCTTTCTCTTTATTCTTCATCTCAATGTCCCTCACGCTTGCAATGGCATCCGACGGCGCGGCCAGTGAACTGAAGTAACCTCGAATGCTTCCAGTGTCTTGAGTGGTTTCCTTTTCGCTCAGGTCCGCCGAGTTCCAGTACAGGGTGAAGCCGAGGTTTTTGAGAAATACTGTCATCTCCTTGATATCCCTCAGGGGTAGAGCGCTCTCCTTGGTCCACGAAACTCGTGCGTTCGAGGACGCCGTGAAAGAAGACTCGCTAGAAAAGAACTCCTCGTCATCCATTACCTTGAGAACGAACGTGTAGAGTTCCAGGAATAGCAGTATGATTGTCCACTCTTCATCCCTTTCCATTTGTGATATTCCTGGAAACCTAGCATCCTGCGCGTTGTCGGCTGGCTTCAGCAGCGGCAACACCTTGGTTGAGTCATGACTAATGGCAGCGAATATTCTACTCGCCTTGGATGCTTGCCAAAAATACTTGATGGCCGGGATTCTTGAGCCCGACTGACCTGCGACTTGGTCGCCTGAAGTAGCCGACCCCAAATACAGCCACATCCGGATATCATCTCCCCGGCGAGGAAAGACTCTCAGAAGGGTCAAGGCATAAGTAGCAAGAATCTTCGCTTCTCTAGACGCATCTGACTGGGCATCCGCCAGGTCACCCTGGGAGAGGCGGGTAGATTGTAGCTGAGAGAGAAGCCCTGTGATGCTACTCTGATTCACGAGGCTGACTAGCTGCTCCTTGACAAAGGGATGCAACCGTGTTCGTTCTGGAGTGTCATCATACTCGCTGGAGTCTTCTGACTCTAGACGGCGCGATATATGCACGGCGGTGGAGTTGAGGAGCTCTGATACCACCTTGACAAAACCGGGTTCTGGGGCCTGGCGGCCTGCCTGGTTTCCCAGAGCGCACCGGTGAAAGTATATGAAATAAGCAAGCAGCCAAAGACGGGCATCCACGTCCTCGACGCTCCCAGGGTGGTCTCCGAATAGCGTTCGTAACGGCCCCAAGGCGGACGTTAGCAACTTATAATTGATGTTGTTTGCTAATCCATCCAGACTTCCTATGTATCCCAAAAGGTCGGGAATCGTTAGGTAGCTTCTTGCAAACCACTCGTAGGCCGTAAGAGTCTCAGAAGTAATAGGTCGAAGCAAAGCAAGGACACTCTGGACAAGGCTATCCTGGGATACCTGATATCTTCGAGATATTGATTCAAAGTCTTTCGTGAGAATCGCCAGGACGGAGTAATAATCTTTGGCCAGCCGTGCCATTTGCTTCGGTATAAGGCCCGTGAGAAAGACGAGCAATCCAAGGAGATGCCCCACGGCGAAAGCCGGCACCGATGGCGACGTTGCAGACCGTAGAACACGAAGGGTCAGATTTGCCAGGCGCTTCAGCGGCGTGGTCCATTCCCCTTCGGTCGCGATCGTAGGCACTTCATGCAGAGTCCGCTGAAAGGCCTCCGAGAAGTATACCAAGCGGGCAACATCACCACTGTTCCACGGTTCCAGAAATTGAACCAGCAAGCGCAGCTGTGATAAGCATTCCGTGGCCGATCCGTATCGGAGAGACTTCTGCGGAACCACATCTGGATGTTGAGCAAGGGCGTCAAAAGAGGGGGGATCCTCTTTGCCCTGTTTCTCCGTGGTATCCCACTCCGTGCGCCACGCCCTGCGCGTTATCTTCCGGCTCCGATAACCCCTCCATGTCCGTTGGATGAGCCGGCTGGCGGTCAACCGCTCTCTCTCTTGCTGTCTCACGAGACGTTCTTGTTGGGCAATGGCCAGAGTATTCTGGGGGCCGGCGCCGTGCGGATTTTGTCGGCCGGAGGGATATGCGGCGAAAGGGTTCGTATTGCGGCCACCGAGGTTAACCTGCCGTGGACGGCGGGAGTTCCCCGTAAACGACTGGAACATAGCGGCGTCGGGATCACGTTGGGTTCAGACTCAGTCGACAAGACTCGATCGAACAGGGGAGGAGATCACTGGAGAGATGAGAAGCATCAGTGAAGCGTCTCCATGCTGCAGCCCACGGATGAGCAACCTAGACACGCAGTAAAGCGGAGGGGGATGGAAGGATGAACTGGGCTGGTATTATGCCATCAGGAGCATGCAGCTCCAAAGTCCTGAAGTCCCGATCCGCCGCTGCTGATCGCCCTTCCGGCCACGCACTGCTGCCCGCCTTCGCCCTTATTGCCACGCAGGGTTCCGCCACCCGACTACTACTATTGACCGAGCTTATTAATGACGCCAACATCTACTCCATAGATGATGCTGGAACTACTCATCGAAATGCTTGAGAGACAGTGAGACACTCCTCTTAGAAGTTGCCTAAACTATTCGTCCTATGGACTCCCGGTTGATCGTCGCAGAAGCAATAAGTATTGACTTTCAGTATGACTGGGAGTCGGCTACACCTCGCAAAGGAATCAGACCAAACTATCGGACGAAAGCCTAAGAAGCTCCACATACTCACGTATACAACAGGAAGCGTCATTTGCGTCGGTAGACGCCTACTTTCACGAGAAGACAGACCTTCCGCTATAATACCTTCGTGAGACGATCTGTCTAGTGAGTTTACAAAAGACCAAGAGGTCTCCAGATGAGAAAAGATGGCGAAGCAGTCCAGCAACAAGCATATATATTCAAGTTTTCGCCGGCCTCTCGTCTTGAGTATTTAGCTTGGGAGCCCCCCTAGGCATAGTACAAGCCGCTCAAGAGAAGGAAGTGTCAGCACCGGACTGGACGCACTCCGAACAAAAGGGTTTCTCAGGTTCATATCGATGGGCCAGCGTTTTTGTAATCATCGTCGCGGGACACAGTGAGTTCCGTGAGGGTTTTTACTCCAATAGCAGACGTGTATACATTGTTTAGGTGTGGGGGGAAATGTAATAGTGGTCGAGTTGCTCTCCAATTGATGCATAGTTAGATCTCATATTCTTGGAGTACATGTTAATATCTATCTATACTGGTAGTATGGCCAAACCTCGCAAGAATTGGTTAACGGGGAAAGAGGGAAGACGAAGAAAATGTAGGCTTTGCGTGGCTGGCAACAATGGCCTACTATGACTGCGTTGCTCCAAGGGTGGAAGGTTTATTATATACCTCAGCCCACAACTACATTCACTGCGCGGGATACATCGTACCATGAAATAATACTCATCAAGGGCGTATCACAAGGAACGCCATGTCTTTCCGAAGATCATGAAATTGTAATTGGTAAAATAAACCATTTGCTAAAATGCAAAACCCAGAGATGCGCCGCAATCCAATCCACGTACCAAGGGCAATGATCGAGACCTAGGCTAGTGTGCCCAGTCTCTTCAACTGCATGATACATCGGTAGCCCCAATGATATGTGCCCTCAACATCAAATCCCACAGCTACTGTACATAGAATACAATCCACGCAAGCCAGCGGATAAGGCAAGAGAAGGCAACCCGACTTCAGCGTCCTCGAGAGTGACAGCAGCTGACGCGGAGATGCTCGATCAGCTGCCGCTATGTTCCATGCCTGGTCTGACCGCTAGAGCACAAGGACGGGGTACGCCTCAATATGTCCGAATATCCGAATTGTTTCCCCAAAGTCGACGACTATTGACGAGTAGGCTCGGTCGGTTTCGATGTCTCTGCGGCTTTCTCGGCAGCCTGCGACTCCAGGCGTTCCTGTTCCAGGACTTCCTGTCCATTGTCCGATGCCCACATATCAAGGTAGTCCTTGCCGCCGAAAGCCCGTTCAATCGTCATGGTCCTTCCCCTCCTCTCGACCTCTTGCGTGTATTTGGATTTCGTCGCAGGCATACGTTTCGTCACAAAGGGCGTCAGCTGGTCGCGTAGGTTAGTACATGGGCCATAATTAGAGTAATTGCCCCAAGTGCGAGGCCACGAGAGCCTACCTTGAACTGATCCAAGTTCTCAGGCACGACATAAGTGCGGACTTTTTTCCAGTCGATCACATAGGATCCGTTCTTCGCGAAGTAACCCATTGAGCCGGACCGGGTGCCCTTATAGTAGCCGCCATTGACCTGCTTGGTTGTCAGGCGCAACCGCGCCATCATCGGCTGTGAGGGTTTGAACATGGTGGCAGGTAGAGACAGTCGCTGTTCCTGGTTGCGGAGACAAGACGGAGGTTCAGTGTCGGAGTCGATAAAAGGCTCTTCTGGGCGGCGCTAGGAGTAGCTCCGCCCCGCCAAGAACTTTTTTCCTGGGCCGCATCGGCAAAGTAAAAAAATCATCTCGACACAGTCGCGGTGTCTGGACGCCATCGACGGCATTTTTTCCCTATTGCTGGGATTTTTTGAAAAGTTATACACTACTGCTATTGCCCGCAGGAGCTGCGACAGACGCCACCATGCCTCGCAGTCAAACGCAACGGAGCGGTCCCAAAGACAGAGACCAGTCCTCCAAGAAACCGAAAGCCGCACCCAGGAAGAACAGGCCCGGAAAATACCTCAACGCATTTGCTATCGCAGAGAGCGAATACAAACCAAAGCTAGGACTTAAGCGCAGTCGCTTCGGCCAAGAAGATGAACAGTTCAAACGCAAGCGCAACATCGGTCGAGACGCCGACGATTCGGACGGTCAGGATCAAAGCAAGCGCCGTCGCACGGAAGATGATGATGACTCGGATATGGGCTCGAATGCTGGTAGCGACGGTGAAGGACACCGGTGGAAGATCGGTGAGGTCGATAGTGACGACGAGGTGGACAGTGACGAAGCGATGGGCTCCAGTGATGAGGAGAGATTTGAAGGCTTCACTTTTCGCGGCAGCTCTACAATGAAAAACCAACCGAAGAAGGCACCGGAGCGCAAAAAGCGCAGTCGCGAGATCACACTATCTGAAGACGTTGAAGAGTCGGAAGACGATGACGATTTCGATGAAGATGAGGACGACCTCGGAGAGGATGCAATCGACCTGACCGCTGCTTGGGACATGAACATGGCAGAAGAGGAAGAAGAGGAGAAAAAGAAGGCGAAGTCCAAGTCCAAGCAACCCGTCGAAAGTGATGAATCAGAAGAATATGACTCCGACAGCGAAGACAGCGGATCCGACGAGAGCGACAAATTATCACTTTCGGGAGATGAGGACGAGGCAGATGAACATGGTCTTTCCAAGCTACAGAGCTTTGTCAACTCTATGAATAACGAGAGCACTACCAAGACGACTCGAAGGACAGGCGGCAGCCAGGAACAAGGGACCCCGACGGAGTTCGGGCTGACTTCTACACGGAAGCTCACCGTTGCCGATCTCTTGCCATCCATTACAGACTCTCGTTTGAAGAGTTCGCTGAAGCATGTCGACTCCGATATAACCTCTCATAAGAAAGCGTCCGGTGTTCCTGGCAAGTTGGATGCGCCTCTTGCAAAACGTCAACAAGATCGGCTGGACCGGGCGGCTGCATACGAGAAGAGTAAAGAGACTATGGACCGCTGGTTGGAGACAGTTAAGGCGAACCGCCGAGCAGAGCATCTTGTGTTCCCGCTGCCCGACCCCGAAGCAAACCAGACGCATCGGATGGGTGCTGCTGAACCGAGAACGGATCTTGAAAGCACCATCCAAAACATCCTTCAGGAGAGCGGACTTACCGAGGCCAACGGAAAGTCGGCGGAGGATCAGGTACAGGAGTTCGAAGAGCTACAGGCACGCAAGTTGCCTATTGAGGAGATTAGAGCTCGTAGAGCGGAACTACGGAAGCGGCGTGACTTGCTCTTCCGGGAAGAAGTACGAGCCAAGCGGATTAAGAAGATTAAGAGCAAGTCATACCGTCGTGTACACCGGAAGGAGCGGGAGAGGCTGGAGCAACAGGAACGACAGGCCCTCCTGGAGGCTGGTGTGGATCTGGATGAAGAGGAGAAGGAGAAGAATGATCGACTCAGGGCGGAGGCTAGAATGGGCTCTAAGCACAAGGAGAGTAAATGGGCGAAGAGCCTGAAGCAGACTGGTCGGACCGCTTGGGACGAGGATGCTCGACGTGGCACGCAAGACCTGGCACTACGGGAGGAGGAACTACGGAAGAGGATCGAAGGAAAGAGCGTCACGAACGGCAACGAGGACTATCTCGGCTCATCCAGTTCTGAGTCCGAAGACGAGGACCCGTGGGATGAGGAGGCCGGGTCGGATGCTGAAAAGCGCAAGATCCGTCAAAAGCTTAGCCAGCTCGAAGGAGGCGACGACGTTGACTCGGAGTTGAAGGGGCCCCATGCCAAGCTCCTCTCCATGAAGTTCATGCAGAATGCGGATGCTGCGCGTAAAGCAGAGAACGATGCTGAGATCCGGCGCCTCAACCGGGAGCTTCATGGTGAAGAGTCCCAATCGGAAGCAGAATCTGAGGTTGGTCGACGGAAATTCGGCCACTCAGAGACTACGAAGTCTGCCAAGGAGACCAAAGCGAAGCCGCCACGGAACGAATTTGAAGAGGCGCCTGGGTCCGATGATGAGGAGGCGCAAGAGGCGGATCAAGAAGTCAAGATCGTTCTCGACCGTCCTGAAAAGAAAGGACCGGCCAGCTCCCAAAACAAGCCTCGGGGTCGTCCCCAAAAAGAAGCTGCGGAAGAACAGGACTCTGCTGTCGAAGAGAACCCGTGGCTCGTCCAGACAAACAGAAACAACCGTCGCACAACAGGAAACGATTCACAGCAGACCATTGATATCACACTCGATGATGCGAAGACTAGCAGCGACAATTCCAAGAAGGCGCCCAAAGCCCAGAAGGCATCCGCATCTAAGAAGAAGCTTGATGCAGAGGACTATGATAGCGACGATGAGGACAGCGTACCGGTGCTTCTCAAGAACCATGACCTGGTGAAGCGGGCCTTTGCTGGAGACGAAGTTGTCCAGGACTTCGACCAAGAGAAGCTCGACACCATCAAGGAGGAAGATGATCAAGTGATTGACAACACCCTCCCGGGATGGGGTAGCTGGGCTGGTGATGGAATCAGCAAGAAACAACAGAAGCGACAGAAACGTTTCCTCACCAAGGTCGAGGGAGTGAAGCCGGAGGATCGGAAGGATGCCAAGCTTTCCCGGGTCATTATCAACGAGAAACGGATCAAGAAGGTAAGAAGATCAGGCTGGGCTCCGTCGCGTGTGATTGCTGTCCTGTGCATGATGAAACTAATGTCCTTTGTCTCGTTAGAACACCAAATACATGGCCACCCAGCTCCCTCACCCGTTCGAGACGAGGCAGCAGTACGAGAGATCGCTCCGTCTGCCGATCGGTCCCGAGTGGTCTACCAAGGAAACTTTCCAGAATGCAACCAAGCCACGCGTGATGGTCAAGCAAGGTATCATCAAGCCAATGTCGAAGCCTATGGCTTAAGGTATGAGATAGTCCGGCTGCGAGTCGGTGGTCATGATGGGTGTATGTACCGGCGGATACAAGTGATCTTGCTCGAGGAGGTTGTTGTAGAATTAAGTTTGGTCATGATACCAAGTCATTTTAAAGATACTCACGCTAGTTTATCTGATTTGTTTGGTTATTGGTTCCGGGGGTTGTCACTGAGCATTGTGTCAAGTTAGTAGTTGTCATCCCCGCATCACCCGGATTGTCATAGCAGCAGATCTGCAGACAAACCCCGGGCTCCCACTCTCCCACGCGGGATAGTTTAGAGTTGGACCCTTTGGAGGGCGTTAGTCTCCGGGGTTGGTCACCCCTAATAAGGTTGTCGAATAAGCAGTGGTTGGGCTGAATATGACCTGGTCGGGTGAGCCCCTGCATCGTGATACCCTCAGTTCCCTGACGCAGGCCACATGGACATCGAGATTCGGTCCGACCTTGAACATGAGCATGTCAGTTCCAGTGCGGGCCAGTCAGAGAGGGACTCGCGTCTCTTACGACGAGTGACAGGGTGGAATGTGACGACGGGTGTTGGCCGGGAAAGAAGAGACCTGGACATTAGCCTTGGCGCTGGGTACATTCCTTGATGCCTGGAGACGCCTCCCCGACAGACGAGCAAACGGAGAAGGCCACGCAGTGAATAACTCGAGTCAGTCAAGGCCGGTCGGAGGATATCGTGGAGCATCTGAAAGTGAATGAAGGTCAGAAGGTAAATGTTCCAGGGCGATGGAGATTCGAGAGGCGAAGTATTTGAGCAGCGGGGGATGCTGAAGGGCTGTCGCAGAGGGAGAAGACATGCTCTGCTCCACTCGGGCTCTCTGCCTTTCCCGTGCCTTCAGCAACTCCCCAAGTCCCCCATCTGCCGCGACACTACTACTTCCTGCAGCCTGAAACTGCAATCCCTCCCTCCATCGGTTATGCAGGTTGATTGAACTACTGCTTCATCCATCAGCTGTCCCCATCACCCGGTCGCAGTAAGTACACCCTCCCTGCACATACCCGCCGCCGGACCTCCGACACACTGCATGCGCCGCGGCCGTGGTGCCTGAGGACGGTGCATTCCGGCCCCCTCGACCCTGCATTCCCCAAACCATGTTATTGTTATGCTTCAGCTCCCGGAGGAGACACCACAATACTGACCTCCGTGCAGATCGACGCCTCGTAATACCTTGTCCGTGCTCGATCCCGGACACTGGTGTCCATCTGGTATCCCTCTGCAACGGGACCGGAGTTTTGCCCGGCCCTGAGATTCTTACTGGCTGAGACCGGAATCTATACTCAACCTTGGTGAGCAACGCTGGTATTTTATTCCTATTTGAAGATGGCAGCGGCCGCTCAATTTCCTGAGCTTTCTTATCCTCTCCCCTCCCTACGTGGACTCTCCCTTATATTCTGGCGCGTGCCTCTTGAGCGTCCAGTACATTCGGCTATTATACCGAAGGGGACATTGGAGATCCGAGCTTTGATCGTTTCTTTGCCCCATGATATATATGCCCTTTGCTGGAATACCCCTACAGAATTGTTGCTCTTATTGTCCCTAATGTTTTGATCGTGCTATACCCAACCCTACTGGCCACACGTCCAAAAAGACGCATTGCCCTCAAAGGGGCGGCGGAACTTGTACTCTTTGTTGTTGCATTGACACTTTCGTTCTCTCATCAATCGAGTCCCGTGCTACGGACTTTCATCATGGAATCAAAACAAAGATGGAGCCCTGCAGTCCTGCTAACGTGGCTGTTAGCTGCAAGAGGAGTATACTCGGCCCCAACAGCCACATCCTCGGCCGCCTTTACAGAAAAAACCCAATATCCACCAGCAGCGGAAAGCCAGAGACTACTCATACCGGGCACACAAGGTGTAAGTACAAGGCTGTGTCAGTATCGGTGGGTGGTTACTAATAATTCATAAGTTCTATCCCACTAGTTTGGAGCGTGAGGGCCATCCGTGGCGCCCCTCTCCTTCTCCAACCGGTACAGAAGACAGAGAAGCACCTTGGGGAATTGATAGTGTGTTTGACGCATTGAGTAACCCCAAGGATCTTCCCAACGACCTGCTGGACGGATTGTTACCGAGTTGGATTTCCGATTTCCCTGTCACCGTACCAGCATCGGCATATACACCGGCAGCAACAATAGCCACTCCCACAACTGTGAAGACTTCCAAACACACGAAGCCAGCCCATTCCCAGTCCGCGACTTGGACGACCACAGCGCATCAGGCCTCGGGACAAAACGCCCCAGAGTCAACAAGCGGCAGTGCCGAGGAGACCAGTGAGCCTTCGACCCCGGAGAGTTCCACCACGAGCGCGAGCCAAACAAGCTCCGCAGAGATCTCTACTACTTCAACTGTTGCGCAAAGTATGTCGTGTTTCTAGTTGAGTGTAGTATACTGTCTAACATAATTTGACGCTAGGCTCAGTTACACCAATGTCTGACGGTCAGGACGTCTTTGTGCCATTGGCAACGGGTCCGATTCCCCAAACCATCACTGCGCGGAGCGACCACCCAGTGCCGAAGAAAGGGATTGTATGTAGATAGCATGATCCGTCTCTTGTCAAGTTTCTAATAATCATTATAGGAGAACATTACAACCCCCATCGAGACGAATAAGTTCTACGCTGGTCTTTTCTTAGGATCGCAGACCAATGCCACATTCACCCACCCATATGCCATCACATGGGCGAAAGGAAGTGGCAATGCGCAGAGTTATGGTATGGTTGTTTCTCACAACGAGGTCAACGTTGTTGCGAACGGACCGACCAATGCCAATATCCCCGGAAACCCCATCTCGTACTACGTGAACCCGATCGGTATCCAGCATATGATTCTTTCAGCAACTGAACTGAATAGCTCAACAGTGCTGACGGCCGAGAACCTTTTGCCGTTCTCTGCCGATGCTGTGTTGTCTCCATACAGTGGATCGAGCCAGAGGATTACCATCCCTCTAGTGCAGGGCATGGGCTTCGTGACAGGAATGTACACCAACCTCCAGCCGCTGATTCAAAGCAGTGTCTTCTTCAGTAAAGTTGTCACTGCTAGCTCTCCCCGGATTGGCATTTACAAATACAAGATCACTCTTGCCGATGGGGGTGAGTGGATTGTTTATGCTATTCCGCAGGATGGAAAGGATCCCGACTTCCGCTTGGAGTCCAACACCAACTTCCGTGGCCCTAGCGGATGGTCGGGTACCATCCAGATTACCAAAAACCCAGCAGGCGACTCTGGAGAGAAGCTGCTGGATGGATCTTCCGGTGTGTTTGCTTTGGAAGCCGCAGTGTCTGGATCGGTCCTGAGCGGTAATGGTACATACAATCTGGCATGGGCCAAGTCAGGGAAGCAGGTGCAGGAGACTCCTCTGTTGATGTATGCTCTACCGCATCACGTCGAGTCGTTTGACAACACTACGAAGAGCCGCATGACCAGCATCACGCTGCGGACCACGACCAAGGGTAATGCAACAGCGGTGGTTGGAGAAACCTGGACAATGCTTGAGCCGAACCTCCCTACAGACATGGGCTTCGCTCCGTGGTCGCCATCTACAGGTAGTGCCAATAGCCTGAGTGCTGCTGCTCAAAAGGTTATCCTGGATGTGGCTCCCACCGAGCTGAACCAGAGCATTGACCAGCAGACCAATCTTAACAGCATGTACTACAGTGGGAAAGGACTGAGCAAGTTTGCAACCCTGGTTTATGCTGTTAGCAAACTGGGCGGCAATCCTGATCTTGCTGCCTCGGCCTTGCAAAATCTGAAGAATGCCTTTGCCCTTTTCATCGACAACAAGCAGCAATTTCCCTTGGTGTACGACAGCGTCTGGAGGGGCGTGGTGTCTTCTGCAAGCTACGGGGGCGACTCGGGCGCCGACTTTGGAAACACCTACTACAATGATCATCACTTCCACTACGGGTATTTCATTCATGCTGCTGCCATCATTGGAGAACTTGATCCGAGCTGGCTCACCGCCGCCAACAAAGATTGGGTGAATATGCTTGTTCGTGACGCTGGAAACTCTGCAGCAAATGACCCATACTTTCCTTTCTCGCGCGCCTTCGATTGGTACCACGGGCACTCGTGGGCCAAAGGTCTGTTCGAGTCATATGATGGCAAGGATGAGGAGTCAACCTCCGAGGACACCATGTTTGCGTACGCCCTCAAGATGTGGGGAAAGACTATTGCGGATGCCAGCATGGAGGCACGTGGCAACCTGATGCTGGGAATTCTACGACGCAGCTTGCACAACTACTTCCTCATGGAAAGCGACAACAAGAACCAACCGGCGAACTTTATCGCGAATAAGGTGACCGGCATTGTAAGTCACTGTTTATCCTGCTCCTATAACCGTGCATAGCTGACGAGGTTTGAAGCTGTTTGAAAACAAGGTTGACCACACCACGTACTTTGGCAGCAACCTGGAGTACATTCAAGGGTATGTCCATCCTCCATTGTTCGCCGTGCAGCATCACTAATCCACCCAAGAATCCATATGTTGCCCCTCCTACCTTCGTCTTCCTACGTGCGGAGACAGAACTTCGTTCAAGAGGAGTGGAATGCCCTCTTCGCGGCCAATGCCACTGACCCAGCTTCGGCCGTCACTGGCGGATGGAAGGGCGTTCTGTATGCCAACCTGGCCTTGATTGATCCTGCATCCTCATGGAACTTCTTTGCCCAATCCAACTTCGACTATAGCTGGCTAGATGGTGGAGCGTCACGCACGTGGTATCTTGCATTTGCAGCTGGTCAGTTGATATTCCCTGCCCCTCCAACCTACAATGTTACTGACATTCATGACGCAGGCATGGGTGGCGGTCCTTGAATAAGACCCCAATGGTGTCCAGTGATTGATATACTCGACTTATAATCGCTCTTTTTGGAATGTCTTGATAGAATACACGATGTATCTATTGCGGATTATTGGGTGGCGATGATTACTATACCTGTTGATATAGCCGACCACTACATTGTGGACGTAGTGATATAGATACCTCTTAATTTACTTGGTTTTCCTTTGTCAAGCAGCTCCAATCCAATCACTTATCACCCAATGTTGTGCCACAACATTCAGACCTTGTAACAAAACACAGCTCCTCGATAGGGCCACAGCGAGACCCAATACACCAACCATAGCCCCAAGCTACTAATATTATGAACCCCAACTACGCCATCAGATTACCATCTGGAACAGAACACAGGCTACCTATCTATCCTGTTCTCTCTACCACCACACGGTATTCACACTAAAAGATCATCCAAGCACAGCCTACCCATCTTCAAGGCAGTTTCGAACACCCCTTGAATATCATACGTCTATCATCCACAAGGCTGTGAATGGAGATAGGTAGGTAGGTAGGTAGCCTTAGGCATGGAAGAAGATGAGGTGGGATGACCAGCCGGGGTTTATGTGTCCTGCACGTGTGTATGTGCCCGTGCACGCAGCACGGAGCACGGAGCAGGGGCTGGGTTGGGCTGGGTTGGGTTGTTTGAGGCTGGCTGGCTGGCTGTGAGATCAGATAACTGGATTTTGCTTATCTAGGCTATTGTTTGTACTATTTGGGCAAGTCAGTTGTTATAGGTGAGGCTGACGTTTGTAAGGTTTAGTTGTTGGGCTGTTTGTGGCTGGGATTCGTGGCTGACGTTGGGGGATTTCGTTGATTGGGCGGGGTGTTGGGGTGTTGGTCCATGTCTGTTTGGTATGGTTCCTGGTATGGTCGGGAGCGGGTTGGTTGGTTGGTGCAATAAGGTTTCTAGATATTAGTACTTTGTAGAGATGGTGGAGGCTGGGGTATCATGTTATGGTTTGGGAGGCTATATGGTGTGAGGTGATCTTGAGGCTATGGCCTGATTTAGGAGATTGTTGTGCTTGGCTGTTAGGCTGTTGCTGCGTTGCTGCGTTGCTGGTGGTGGCGATGGTGTTCCTAAAGGCAGAATAAGCCGAGTTAAAGATTGCATGTGTAGCCTTAGGCCCTGGAGGCATCAGCGCTGATTGTCCTCGGAGGAAGCGTGATGCTGATGGCAACCTAGAGGGGTATGGAAGCCTGAAATGGTGGCTGTAACAGCCGCCCGGGGATTCGGATGCTTGTACCGGGTTGTGGAAGTCGGTCTCTTGCCCTTAGTCTCATTCATCATGATTCATGGCTTTTGACTTGAAGGGACTTGTGTTCCGACCTGCTCGCTGTAAGGGGGCACACGTTTGCATACGCGGGTTCTTGTCGACTGTGACTTGTCCCCATTTTATCTTCATTCCCGGTTCTTGACATGTTTCTTGAACGTTTCGCAGAAGTTAATCGGGGATGAGATATCGGAATTTGACTATTTCATGTATCTAAGCCGGACATCATCATCTCCGCGGAAGAGATCCATGTTCCGCATACTCTGTAGTTTGTGAAGAATGTTCGATAGATCAATGTCCAGCGTAGCCCAGGGAACTACAAGGTTGCGATGTGATTGGTGGCTGCAGCCAACCCCAGGGAGTGGGGCCAGGTAAGGGACGGAGGAATCCATGACAGAAGCACGGATCAACTTGATCTGTTCATCTAGTTGAAAATGAAATTTCTCCAGGCTCGAGCTGGCTCCCTTAGCCGCCTTTGATGTAAGTAGCTACGCCGCAGCATCCAATCGGGTTCCTGAAACATGCTGTGAACATCACCGAATACCCGGGCCTGGTCACGACCACCGCGATAACTTACTCGATATGTTTGTTGGTTTGCTTTAGACCTTCTGCCGCATTGCGAATCCGACTTCTGGTTGGTTAGTGTCGTCCTGTCTACTCCGTACCTATTATGTACAGTACTCCGTAGTACTCCGTATTTATGTTCAATATCGTCTCGGTCATGCCCCTGTCAGCTTGATCCTAGTCAACAGGACGCGTCTTGTTGACCGCAGCTATCGGCCAAGAGAATATTCCGTGTAGGTTTGTCGTACTGATTGTGATTCAATAAGAACATCGCCAGGGCCGCGTTAAACCTTCTTGTGTGGATTTGGCGTGGTGCATAGTAACATCTTGTCACCTTGCGAAATTAACGGGGCCGCGTACAGCATCGGGACGGCATCTATTTCCTTTCATCGGTAATCAGGATCCAAAAGTGCGGGGATTTTTTCCTGGTACTATGTATCTCTTTCCAATTTGCTCGTGGCTCACACTTTGCTGACCGTACTATTAGAATCGATCTGAACCGCCGGTGATACGTCGCAGTGTTCCAAGCTTCCTGCAACCGAGATGAGAAAGTGTCTTACGTCAAGGGGGCCTTTCCCCTGAGAGTGGGCCTGATCGTGGCAGTGCAGTCTCGGCGAAGGTTTTGAATCGCATGGGTTCCATCACCATCCGGCGTCACAGGCCCACGGCGGTTTAGAAACTCTCTGAAGTCCGGTAGCGGGGGATCGTGAGTGCTGGACCTTTCGCATGTTAGAGACCAGATTAGGAAGAAGCATGGGACAGCTCATGATGATGGTGAAGTGTGAAGAAACCGATGTATCTGGCCAAGAAGGCGCTAAGCTCACCCATGCAGTTTGTTGAAGGTGAAGGTGGCTGGAGCTGCCCATCAGCCCCACCCGGTTGGATCGATCCGGCTTAGTCCGGCCTCATCATGGTGATGATGCTTGCAGTCGTGGTGGTGTTGTTCTGCGTTCAATCTTCTTGCTTCTGCCCGTCTTTCCCAGTGTTGAATGCTCGTGCATTAGTCTTCACCACTGTTACCCAGTAGCTGGCTCACGTTCATTTGCCTATCACTCTCTACCCTCTACTCTCTAACTTTCCTTTCAGAGTTTCCGGTCGGATTTGGGCAAGTCTCGTCTGGTCCCAATTGTCCACCGCAAAGTGGTCAACGTCATCATCACCGACCCCCATTCCCTCGTTTAAAAGTACCCTTCCTGCCCAGACAGTGAGGACAAGACTTCTAACCTATCCCAGGTACTACCCAACTTACTCCCCTGCCCCCCTTGCTCACTCATACCGGCAGCTTCCCCCCTCCATCAAACCCTGGGACGTTGGATGATCTGGATTGAGGCTGTGCACCTGCCACCTCCTCTTGGTCCATTCCCTCCCTCTTGGTCCACTAGAATTTTCTTTCAGCCAATTACCACGGCCAGTGGAACAGTCGGATCGCGAGCACGGTTTAGCGATTAATTCGGCTCCCACTAGCATTCATACGGTACGGCGTGCGTAGCCACCATCTCCCTTGGCCTGTACCTTGCACCTCTCTTCTTTGGTTCTTGCAATCCCCGAACGTTCAACTGCTTGGAAGGCGTCGCACGGTCCCAGTCATTCCCCGTCTCCCAGTGTCCAAGCCTGCAAGGCATTATACGTGGCTTGTGTGGTTAAGAATTCGTTGCGGAGCACAAGCAAAGTTCAGCGAAAGCCTCCCACGCGACAAGCCACAACACCAGGTTGCTCCATCCGATCACGGGTGCTACATCGTCAATCGGTTGTTCCTCTCGATTAAGCCCCGTTTTCGACAGACGGGAAACAAGAGAACCTTAGATCAGAAGACCGGGTCTGCTCATCGCTTATATCTCTCGTCACCCGTCAGTTGTGGTCCAGATTGTCGCCACAGTCCTGTCTTGTCCCAATGGGTAAGTGTTAGAGAACCATCGTTCCTTAGCACTCCTCATCCATGTTTCGAGTTCCCTTCCTACCTTGTTCTTAATTCCGCTTCCCCACCTCCAGTTTCTTCACATCTACATCTTCCCAGGTATCACAACCTTTTCATTCCTTTGCTTTTTCTTCCTTGAGGTGATCGACACAGCTTGTCGTTCCTTCAAGCGCGCTCGGATCTGCATATTCTGTCTCAGTATATCAGGTCGCTTTTAGCCTTTTAGTTCCCCAGCTCCCTCGTTTCATCTCAGTGCTCTGTCGTCTCAGCTCCTGTTCATTCCCTGCTTGTTTTGCATATTGTACAGCCCCGGGCAAATGACAATAGCCTGAAGGCCTACTTCCATCCTTACGCCGCTGCGCATTTCGTCCTATCAAGTGTCGCTAACGGATTACTCCGGTTGGTCTTATAGCGTCCAACAATATCTTCAAATCATTCCGGAGATACTCCTGGGGCCCCAAAAGGAGAATGACGGGCTCCTCATTAGGGAACGGCTCCACGGAGCCCGATGAGAGACAAGCATTGCTCAGTGACATTGCCCACAGTAACTCCGGCCTCCGTCCGCGACAGCAGAAGCGTCACTGGTCTCACTGGCCTAGGCGCGTGGCGCATTTGACGTGGTCGACGCTCGTCCGGGATTACGTCAATGTCCTCCTTGTTTTTGTGCCGTTGGGCATCGTCTCAGGTGCTCTCCATTGGGACAGCACGGTCATCTTTACCTTGAACTTTCTGGCGATCATCCCGTTGGCCTCGCTCTTGAGCTTCGCGACTGAGGAGCTGGCAGCTACTATGGGCCAGGCTCTGGGAGGCTTGATGAATGCCACCTTCGGTAATGCTGTGGAGTTGATTGTATGTATCCCTCAGGCTCTTGCGCAAGGGTCCATGATATCTCAGTCTCTATGCTAACAGCTATTTTGACGGGTAGGTCAGCATCATTGCCCTGAAGGACAACCAAATTCGCGTGGTTCAAGCCAGCATGCTCGGCAGCATCTTATCGAACATTCTGCTTGTTCTTGGCTGCTGCTTTTTTGTCGGTGGGCTCAAGTACTCGCAGCAATCCTTCAACAGCACGGTCGCATCGACAATGTCCTCTCTGATGACGGTTTCGTCTGCTTCGCTGATTATCCCCGCCACCCTTTACGCCTCCTTGAGCGGCTCCGGCGACGAGTCGAAAAGACATGACAATATTTTGATTCTCTCGCATGGTACTGCTATCATTCTCCTGGTTCTCTATGTGATGTACCTGTATTTCCAGCTCAAATCCCACGCGGAGCTCTTTGAGGCAGCCAGTGAGGGCCTCGACGATGCCGAGAACCAGGCAGGCGAATCTGAGGAGGCTGAGGAGGAGGAGCATTTGCTCAGTCCATGGGCAGCCACCGTTGCGCTGATCGTCGTAACAGTCCTGGTCGCCATTTGCGCAGATTATCTGGTGGGCAGCATTGACAGTATTGTGCAAACGACTGGCATGAGCCGCACGTTCATCGGTCTTGTTCTTATTCCCATTGTTGGAAACGCTGCAGAACATGTGACCGCTGTGGTTGTCGCATGGAAAGGAAAAATGGATCTTGCCATCGGCGTTGCCATCGGAAGCAGCCTTCAGATCGCTCTGTTTGTCACGCCGTTCCTTGTCATCCTTGGTTGGATCATGAACGTCGATATGACTCTGCACTTCCATATCTTTGAGACCATGGCTTTCTTTATTTCCGGGTTGGTGGTGACATTTTTGATCCAAGATGGAAAGTCCAACTACCTTGAGGGTGGATTGTGCTTGGGAATGTATGTCGCGGCACCTTTGTTCTTCTTGGGGTTCATATACTGACATATCTTTCAGGTATCTCATCCTGGCCCTTGCATTCTACATCTACCCCGACGATGTGAACGACGATGCCCTCTTCCACATCTGAAAGTTTGCTTGGTAGATAATGTCGTCTTTGGACTATTGCCTACTTTTGCCGTCTTCATTCACTATTCTCATTTCCTAGTTTTACCCTTCTCTGTCTCTCGTTCACCCTCGTTTCACCGGAATATGCTCTTGTAAAAAGCGAGCTCGCTGCCTCGGTCTGAGATCTGTACAGACATGCCTTATCATCTTCTTTGGACCTTTGGTGTGTTTTACTAAGGGAGGTGCTTTTTTGTCCTTCGGTCGCGCTGCGGGTCAGTACCATTGTATGCCGGAAAGTATACGATTCTGCTCTTAATAGGCCACGGACCAGGTTTTCACAAGTCTCCTCTGAATCGGTATCTATGCTCTGTTGTCGTAAAGTGTGGAACAAAAATAAGTTTGTAAGGATCAGTACATAGGCCTAGAATAAATTCTGGGTTTACCTTTAAGGAGGTCTAGACAGGTCAATGTGTTGAAGGAATCCGGCCGGTACATCATCCTTGTCACATCGTCATCGTCCCTCGATCCAATGAAATCTTGGCGGTGGCTGACTCAGCACGCGGGTGTGGAGAGGAAAATCGTTCGCCGGCTTCCATGGCAGCGAGCCAGAAGGGTCGATGTGACTACCTCCTCCCATCCTCCTTGACATCGATTGTTCATTGAGAGGCTCGACTACACCATGCCGCCGCGTCTCAACCTTTTCACCGCACGGGCGGTTCCCGTTCTTCGCCAGGCTTGCCCGTCCTCCGCCAACAATGCGGCTGCTTCCCGCCGCAGTTTTGCGACTATCCTCAACGCCAACAGGCCCTGCGCCGCGTCGACCGGTCATGGATTGAGATCCGGCCTGTCCGCTTCAATGCGGGTGCAGAGGAGGTGCAACTCCTCGGGCTCTGATGGAGAGGGTAGAGCCAAGGGCCCGACCGAGGACCCATTGCCCCATGTTAGCGAGGAGGCCGCGGAGGTCAGCAAGATCATGGATAAGAAGTGCGACGGCACCCCTGCCAGTCCTGAATTGGAGCAAGGAACCCCTGTGTCTGAGGTGAGTGTTATCGAATGTCCTCGATGGCTGCCTCTCCTACTCGGATGCTCGCCGCGCCATCAAAAGCCCACTGTATTAACTATCATTTCCCGCAGATCCTTCAACGTGATAAAGAAGCCCAGAAGCATGCCCCCAAGGTTATGCAAGACCAGATGAACCGTCCGTCGGGTTCCCGTTCGTTCTCGACCTCCGCTCGTCGTCTGCAGCCAGTGGTTGAGGGAAAGCAGTTCGATGAGGCCTCGGCGGCTGTGGTGGCCAACATGATCTCCGAGGTCAACTCACAGGCCGCCGAGCTGCACCCTGGCCTCAAGTTTGAAGCGCCCGCAAGCATTCCCAGGACTGAGAATTTCCGTAAAAGATACGAGACGATAGTGGATCAATTCACCAAACTGCTCATGGAAGATGGCAAGCTGACCAAAGCCCAGAGGGTATGCGGAGCTCTATCATCTTTTTTTTACCCTTTCTTGATGTGCTTGCCTTCATGCTGACTTTACGCTCTTGGTAGAACATGGCATTTATTCTGGATTACCTACGCACTGCCCCTCCCCCTCAATACAACCCTAAACGCCGTTTGCTCCCTGGCCCTCCGGGTCCCCAGCTCCCTCTCAACCCCGTCCTCTACCTTGGTTTGATTGTCGATTCCGTCGCTCCTTTGCTCAAGCTCCGCCAACAGAAGGGTATTGTCGGTGGTGGTATGTCTGTGCAGGTCCCTGCTCCTCTCGCCCTGAGACAGCGCCGGAGAACAGCGATCAAGTGGATCATTGATGCCTCGGAGAAGCGCAAGGATAGCATGTTTGCTCAGAGAGTTGCCCATGAGCTGTTTGCTGTTGCAGAGGGTCGTAGTGGTGTGTGGGATAAGAGAGAGCAGGTGCACAAGCTTGGTGTTGCCGGCCGTTCCAACCTTGCATTGGTGGCGCGCCGGAAGTGATCTATGTCCGATCGGAGAGCCATTGGACCATGATGATTCCAGGGAGAGGTCAGCTGCGCTGTTCCCTACGAGGGTACGCTGTCGGCAGCAAGGAAACTAGATGGTGGGATGGTGCTGTATATTTTCTACACCTGTATTTTTTGAACCGTCTTGAAAGCATTGTTTGGTATTAGAGTTACACATAATTTTTCCGAGATTGGGCTGCTATTTATACGAGACCACCGACGCCGTCCAGTGGTGATGTCTTACTAGTTAGTGTTAGTAGTAGATACTGCCTGCTATCAGCGGCCGGAACCAATGAGACCGTCGATGACTAAATGCGCTAGTCGCGGTTGGGCCCCCCAGGTCTGGCCGGCTGCAAGCAACTTGGTTAGCCTCACGGATCAGCATTGCCTGCCTCCTCTCGGTCAGTAGCATTCAATTCAGCTCCTACGGGCGCATCTCGATTGGCATGTCAAGCGGCATGCTTCATTGACGGCTGTCTCGGTGCATCCCAGCTCTAGACGCGTGGGGGGGAAAACCCGCCTATCGCTCGTCCTCCGATACCCTCTGATAACGACCACGCACCGCAGATACTAACTACTTACTATACACGACTACCACCAGGCTAGCGTTAGCGGCGCGACTTGAGAAACGTGGAACATTGCCCATCGAAACCCTCGCACAAAACACGCTGAATAGCGCCGCCGCTGTCTCTGCCCCGCTCTGCCCTGCCTTCCTTCCTGTCCGACATCGTGTCGTCGAATGCCGGTGGTCGATCCTGGGCACGCATCGCGTCTGCGAGGGGTGCCTTTACCGACGATAACGACGTAACCCCGAGGGGCCAGACTATCGAGCTCGTCGAATATCCTGACTCACTTGCCACACCCTCCCCCCCGTCTCACGCACCTGACCCTCGAACAACTGCACATACCCAGCTGACTGACCGGCCGTCCGGAGCCCGTCCTCAACCTCGTACAGACCAGAGGGAAGGTGGTAGTCAGCCTACCCTGCGGAAGAATCCGGTTCGGATCAAATATTGGATTGAAGCTCTTCGTCGTCACTCTCACCGCCACGATACCAGTGGCTCTGACAAGATGAAGTTCTCCCACAGTCTTCAGTTCAATGCGGTGCCGGATTGGAGCGCCTATTATCTTGCCTACAGCAACCTCAAGAAATTGTATGTCCCGTCCCTTGTCCTCCGCCGGGTGATTTCTCATCCTATGTCGCGATGGTGACATGACACTCGGAAGTGCATTCTTACATTGGCTGGAATTCTCCCTGTGCAATGGGTCTCTAACAATTGTCCTCGTCTAGGATTTACTCTCTAGAACAAGAAGTACATCGGTCGACGGGACAGGAACATGTAGATGTCGAGTCAGCCCCATTGCTGGATGGCGGCAATTTGAACACGGATGCAATTTTCCGTCGGGCCCTAGATGCAGAACTAGAGAAGATTTGCTCCTTTTACCAAGCCAAGGAGGCGGAGATATTGACCGAGGTCGAGGACGTTGTCAAAGATGCGGAGGAATATGCGCATCGGGCCGACACGATCAACGTTGACCCGATGAGTGAGAACATGATCAAGGCTCGCACGACAAGTTCCCACTCCCGGCCGCGACCTGGAAGTATCTTCCGTCAGGGTCATGAACGGCGTCATAGCACGTTCAGCGAAACACTAGCCGACGATGATGACGATGCAGACAGTGATGACGAACCCGCGTCGCTGTCGAATCAGAACCGATCACAGTCGCATGGCGCCGAGTCGAGCAACCCAGATGGGAGTCGTACGGACGACATGAGGGATTCTGGGCTCTGGGCCGCCGATTCCAGACTCTTGGGCTACACCGGTCCGTCCGCCCACCGTGGGGGTGTACAGGACGAGCACTTTTCGGACCCAACCGTCGTGGACCTCTACAATGCCGGTCTCTCGCTGAAGAAGCGGGCTGTTGCGGCCTATGTGTCTGTCTGTGGACTCAAGTCCTATATCCAGCTCAACAAGACCGGCTTCTCCAAGGCACTGAAGAAGTATGATAAGATTCTTGACCGCAATCTTCGACGGGAGTACGTGAACTCAACCGTGTCAACGGCGTATCCCTTCACCGACTCTACCTTGGGCCTGATAGATGACAACATCAACAAAGTCGAAGAAGTTTACGCGAATGTCGTCACCACGGGTAATCTTCCTTTGGCGAAACGCGAACTCCGGCTGCACCTCAGAGAGCATGTTGTCTGGGAGCGCAACACGGTCTGGAGAGAAATGATCGGCATCGAAAGGAAGGCTCAAGCCGCGAACGTCGGTATTCGCAGGACGCTCCTGGGAGGCGATGAGGATCCTTCGACCGCACGACGCCAAGGGGACGAGCAGGAAGCCATGCCGAAGGTTCTCAGGACGCCTTTTGGCGCTATCCAGATCCCCCAGTGGCTCTGTAGCTTGAGCTTCGGCACCCTCATCTTCATCCTGCTGATCTTCTGCATTCTGCTTTCTGCCCCGATCATGGAGAAGCCGGAGCAGCAGAACTGCCTGGCTATGCTTGTTTTTGTCAGTTTACTGTGGGCTACAGAGGTCAGTCTCCATCGCTACTACGCCGCAGCTCATCTGCTAACCCTGAGTTCTGTCACTGCAGGTCATCCCTCTCTTCGTCACATCTCTACTCATTCCTTTCCTCGTCGTAATGCTTCGGATCATGCTGTCCGAAACCAAGCCTCACGAACGCTTGGGGGCCAAAGAAGCCACCAGTGCCGCTTTCAGCGCTATGTGGACTCCAGTCATCATGCTACTACTCGGCGGCTTCACGATCGCTGCGGCACTATCGAAGTACGATATCGCTCGTCGAATGGCAATGTTCGTCCTGAGTAAAGCCGGCTCCAACCCCAACGTCTTGCTTCTCACGAACATGTTTGTGAGCATGTTCCTGAGTATGTGGATCAGCAACGTCGCATCGCCGGTGCTCTGCTACTCGATCATCCAGCCTCTCTTGCGAAACCTGGCGCCGGACTCCAGCTTTGCCAAATCCCTTGTTTTGGGCATCGCCTTGGCCGCCAATGTGGGCGGTGCTGCGTCGCCGATTGCATCTCCCCAGAACATCATCGCATTGCAGAATATGTACCCGAGCATCAGCTGGGGCACCTGGTTCTTCATCTCCCTGCCGGTGTGCATCCTCTCCATCATCTTCATTTGGTTGCTTTTGGTGGTTACCTTCAAGCCCGGTCGGGAAACCGCCGTCGCTATCCGCCCCTTGAAGGACAAGTTCACAGGCGTGCAGTGGTTCATCAGCATCGTCACGCTCTCCACCATCGCACTATGGTGTGGCAGTCACCAGCTCGAGCACATCTTCGGCGACATGGGCGTCATCGCCATCATCCCCATGGTCCTGTTCTTCGGCACGGGTATCCTAAACAAAGAGGACTTCAACAACTTCCTCTGGACGATCATCATCCTCGCAGCCGGCGGCCTCTGCCTCGGAAAGGCTGTCACCTCCTCAGGCCTCCTCCACACCCTCGCCAGCGGCATCCGCATGCGGGTCGAACACCTCAATCTCTACGGCGTCCTACTCGTCTTCACCTCCTTGATCCTCGTCGTCGCCACCTTCATCTCCCACACCGTGGCAGCCCTCATCATGCTGCCCCTCGTGCGACAGGTCGGCCTCTCCATGCCCGACCCCCATCCGAACCTCCTCGTGATGGCCAGCGCCTTGATGTGTTCCGTCGCCATGGCTCTGCCAACCAGTGGCTTTCCGAACATGAGTAAGTCCTTCCCCACCCGACCGCTTGGGAGTAAATGATGTATGCATGTACTAACGCATTCGCAGCGGCAATCATGACGGAAGTGCCCCAGACTGGCCAGCGGTACCTGCAGGTCCGCCACTTCTTCACCCGTGGTATCCCTGCTAGTTTGATGTCATATATTGTGATTGTGACGGTGGGTTATGGGTTGATGTATATTGCTGGATTGTGATCGGGCCGATCGGGCGGAGTTAGCTTTTTGCTGTGCTTGGTTGGCTGGTCTATATGATTTAGAGACAATGTGGGGGAGTTGAGAAAGATCAATCTAGTAGATCTTGCTATGGGTGAGATTGTGAAGATTGTGGTGCGTGGGATGCTATATTTTATATATCTAGATCGCTACATCTGAACTCGCTTTGTCTGGATTCGCTTTTGGCTAGATGAATGATAGAAGGGTTCTTTATACAGTGCAAGGGCTCATTCATTATCCTATACTAGTACTGGCCGGCATGGCCAGACCGAAAGCAGCTGGCTGCTCATGCAGGAAGAGACAAAAGAAGCGCGCAAATCATCATTCATCACATAATCGAAGGCCAGAACGTAACAGGGACCAAAACAGATCTAGACCGTGTCGAAGAACAGTCAAGCGTATGTATGGGAAAGACAAGGAGAGATACAGGACGAGGTATCAGAAAGATAAGAACGATAATCAGGACGAGACGACGAAGACTTTTCTATCGACCGATCCTCGTAATTGGTGGATATGTACAACCTCAGTTCCTGTCCGGAGTTAGCAAGATTCCAAGCAGACAACAAGAGGGAAGGGTATACGCACAGCAACCCAAGAGTCAGATCACCATGGATCTTGGCCTTCAACTGCACCTCGATATCCAAGTTCAGATCGAGTCTCAAGCGCAATTGCTCGTCCTTGCCGCCGCCATCATCCTTCTCCTGGCCGCCTCCACCGAGAATACCCCCTACCGCTTTACCTGCACTGCCGGTCACCCCGTTCAGGGCATTCCCCGCCGTGTTCTGGACGAGATCCCCCGCCTGGCCGACACCGGGCAGTCCACCCAGGGGACCGCCGTCCTGGCCTTGCTGTTGCTGTTGGGGGCGCTGGCGGCGCTGACGACGAGGTCTTTCCACGGCACCGTTATCCATGTCGGAGTAGTCGTCCTGGTGTCTGATTTTCTGGGGAGGACGAGAACGGCGCTTACGCTCTTGAGCAGATTGGTGGCGACGTGGTTCGGGTTGGGGTTGGGGTTGTTCTTCCTCCTCGTCGTCGGATTGAGGTTCTTGTTTAGGTTTGGGGGATTCGGGTTCTTGCTTTGGTTGTTGTTGAGGTTCTTCCTGTTTAGGTTGTCCCTCTTCTTCTTCTTTTGGTTGAGAGTCTTCTTCCTTGGGCTGAGAGTCTTCTTCTTTGGGTTGGGAGTCTTCCTTGTCTTCTTTCTGATCTTCCGGGTTGGTCTGATCAGGCTTCTCTTCTTGACCAGGGGTAGAGTCTTCCTGTTGTTCCTGTTGAGGGGAGGTAGGGTTGGGATTGGACTCTCCCTCGGGGTTCTGCTGGGCAGTCGGGTTGTTGTTGGGGTTGGAGGAATCGGGTTGATTCTGTTCAGACATGGTGGAAAGCAACGAAATATAATACTCAGCGGCGGTCTGGGGCACGGGGTCGGGCACTATATAGGGTCGGCCGGACCATCCAATGGCCGAGCAATATTTATAGACGGTACCCGCGCACACGCAAGGGAGGCAGGCCAACCGACGTCAGTCGACATGACGAGAGACGGTCATGGGCGTGGTGGCAGTATGTCATCCGTACCACAGACAAGGCGTGTGAGGGTGAAGGATGATGACGTCGCAGGCTGGCCTCTGCATCGGAGAATTTGGGATGGGGGTACGGCCGAGATCGTCGCTTAGGCGAAACAAGGCCATCGTAATCTGCCCTAGCGTCAGATGTCGCGGGGGCAGAAGGCCAATGAAGGTGGGCCGATGAGGGTATCCCAGCGTGAGCAGCGCCATCCCGTGTCCCCACCCCCGTCGGTGACGCCAGAAGACGTCAGTGCACTCTCCACTGACAGCCGGGACTGACAGGGAGACCTGGAGGATCCCATCATGTTGTTGGCTCTGGGGATGCCTCAAGAGGAGTGCAATGGTCGGCTCTTTGTCTGTATGCTTTGGCGGTGGTGGCCATTCGGATTCCACTACCGCCGAGTCGTGGAAGTCACCGTGGATGCTGGCGGGAGGTTCCATGGGTGGCTCGGGCGGCCAATCCACCGGTCGGCAAAGCTGCGAGGGGATCCATGGGCCATGAGTACGACAATCAGGGAATACTCCATGTATGGAAGTCTGAGAGGACCGAGTGGTCCGTCCACTACTAGTGAGGAGTGAGGAGTGAGGAGTGAGGAAAGAGAAGAAAGCGAGGGTCCGCGCAACGTGGGCTCGATGACGATCGCGCCATCCCGCCATCGGGTGACTCGTGCCTTCCCAAAACTAATGATGATGAAGCCTGCAGCTTCCCTGCCTTTCAAGACGTCATTTGGCTTCCGCGCCATCAACGGCCATACATCATTTCCGATTCATGCCTCCCGACTTTGGCTTTTTTCCCGGGGGCTGCACGACCTCGCTTACACCCTACTATCACTCCCTCCCGAAGTAAACTACTACTATACTCGCTCGCCTCCCGCTTTCGGGCTTTTGTATGTAAAGCAAAGCCCTCCGCTCTGCCCGCTCCCGTCCCTCTACTAGCCCAATTCTTGCCCGCCCATATAAATACTGACTCACTATACAAACAGTACTGGTTGATAATAGATTATCATTCAATTCCACTCAACCCACCCGCCATCCCATTCATTCATTCCCTTTGCCTTTCCCTTGGAATATAATCCAAAATGGCCACCGCTCAAGCCGAAAAACCGGCCACCAAAACCTTTGCCAATGACCCCGACGACGTCTCTGACTACGACTCCGAGGATGACTACCCCTCTGATGATAACACGCAAGCCCCCCAACAGCAACAGCAGCAGCGACGCCGTCGTCGTCCCCAGCGTCAGCAACCGGAAGAGGAGGAGGATGATACCTACCTCTCCGACGAGTACTCGGATGACTACGATGACTACGACGATGAGGATGATGACTACTACGATGATGAAGATGCAGATGATGAAGTCCAAGCCATGGAGCGCTACCAGCCCACCACGATCAGCAGCCGGGATAACGTGCCTCAGCAGCCGATCGCGAACGGCGGCATGCAAACTGCAGAACAAGAGAAAACCGGGAATGACTGGGAGGATCAAGATGGGATGAAGCTGAAGTTGGAGCTGAATTTGGACATTGAAGTGGAGTTGAAGGCTCATATCCACGGTGATCTGACCTTGTCGTTGCTGTAAGTAACCTCTTTCCCATCTTCATCGGCTTCTGGATTGCGGGGGGGAAGCATGCTAGCAAGTGCATGCAATCAATCGCTTAAAATCGCTAGTACTTGAGCGGAACCGATGTTGACATGACATTCCTCTTCTCCCAGCGCATGATCGGCATCTTCTATTCGATTCCCTAGATATGTTCCGTCGGATATATCGCCCGCCAACGAGGCTGTTAAATTTCCGGAAGCGACATCTTTTCGCCACCAATGCTGTGGTGGTTGGTGGTTGGTTCCTGGCGATCGTTGCATTCCCCATCCGGCCGACCGGCTCAAAATCATTCCATTCCGTCCCCGTTATGACGTTCACGAAAGGTTTTTACAATAGCGGTTGATTGATTGCCATTGTCATGTCATTGTCATTGTCTGGATAGAGTTGGCGACTACTACCTATTCCATGTTTATTTGCGATCTCACCTGCTTATTTTGCTGCGCTCTGCGATCTTATCTACCCGTGTGTCTATGTCTGTGCGCGGTTATACCATTGTTGGTATGGTTTATACTTAGGAACTAGCTGAGGTTAATTGGAGGCTGTCTCCTTTATTTCCACGATATTTGTTCAGCTGTTGCTCTGCTGAGCACTTAGGATTCGCGACCGTAAATCGCCCGGTACACAGTGGCAATATATCGCGGAGAGTATTTCTCTCTCCATCTAAACTAGAGCATCCACACTATGTAGTATCTCATTTCATCATAACTTCCTACATAGTACATCATGCAATTCCCTTGCCCCTCAAACCCTCAACATCACCCCAATAATCTGTGCCATAAAACCCGCCAGCCAGAGATTCAACGAAACAAGATGACGACGCAGTCCAGACCAGCCCCACCCCACCACCATCCGTCAAACTTGCCCAACCGGGTAACTATTCTATTTTGGGAGTTGTTTGTGCTGTTTGACTGGTTCATTTGGCCACTATACATACGAAGGAGACCGCATCTGCTAGAAGCCACAATAGATCCATATTGAAACTAGGCATCGTATGTATTCATTGGATGGCAATCCTCACTCTATAGCTATACCACATAGTAAGATATATGCCCATCAAAGCGAACATACTGGGTTTTCAGACGCTGAAAGGGATACATACAGACATCATCAGTACTTTTCATTGAGGGAAGAAGTGAGCAAGAATGCAGATAGACAGAGTCGTTACGACTGCTGGAGTGCGAAGTGTTTCGATGAGTGCGTACTACTAGATCTATAGCCTACAGGGCTACCGAAATAAGTGATTTTCACATAGGCTGTAGTGTTTGGTTCTTCCTAGCACAGGGAACATTAATCATCATCAAACGGTAGATAGATTCATGTCTGATAGGTATTCCAGTAGTTTGGCTTGTGCAAAATATTGGTCATATACATCCTTATAGCTTACATCGATCACATGCTGAAAGCTATCTAGACCCTCACTCCAACGCTTTGGAGATCATATATTTGTCAAGCTAGGGACCCTCAACTCTCCCACGGCAATTGTACCCCGCTCCAAGTCTTAAAGAGAGAAGTAGTTGGTCTTTTCGAGTATTGAGCACTAGGACAGATGACTACAGTTAGTGAATATTATGTCTTGCCCTCCCCCACAGCATACCTCACGAGCTCATTAAACCTGCCCTGTACGCCGATCTTATTGCTGATGGCAATGCTCGTGGGTCAGGCTGGAGGGGACTTTTCCTACAATAATTTACGATACGGACTTCTTCAATTGATGTTAGGGTAACTACCAGAAAGACTCCACCTTCATATTCTTATATAAAAAAAAACTATAATACGGTAAAGTAGTCTAGATCTGGTATCTCCAGTATTAACTAAAGGAATAACTGTAATTTTTTGGAGTTCATCGCGCTAAACCTAGGATAGTAAGTCTACCAGATATTATTAGAGTAATGGACAGTCAGATATAACTAGTATGCGTGTATTATATCAAGTTATCGATATATTAATAAAGGCAAAATGTAAAAAAGTCATTGCTACTATATGCAATCTTGGCTTTCTTAGCATTCCTAAAACCATGCGCCATTGCATGGGCTTCTTTCATGTTCTCAAAGGTCTTTACTAGGTCCAAGGTCTCCCAGCACACGCGGACGTGGATGTTGTGTTCCTAATCATTGTCACCTAGGATCCCAGCGACCCACCTAAGGATTGACGACAGAACGTGGGCGTTCCCCAGACACCAGTGCACGACTAGCCGGAGCCCTGTCAACATTGAAGAAGCCTTCTTAAGGACCATCAGGTGAAATAGCATCCTGGTACTAACGCGTTGGTCTTCTCTGTCCGGGTGAAGACTCGGCCATTTAGCTTTGATATAGATGAGCTTGGTTTTTAGTGCTGGTTCATCATGGGACACAGAATATTCTGTGTTTCTTGGGAGGTGGGATTCGTCTCGTACTGCATGTGTAGTTTTCTTTGGCTAGGCATCAACACACCCATTCCACGAAGACTGTATGAGAACATGGGAACTTTATAGTGAGAAATGCTCTCAAAACCATCTGTCACTGGGAGCGCCTGGGTGAGACGGAATGCTCGCTGCGTCTAGGCCCTGTTCGTCTCGAGAGATACGGGCCATTTGATAAACTGGTTAACGACACCGCCATCTCCTTTATCATGTTCTAAGATGATCCTTGAATAGAAATACCATCCGAGCCATCACTTCAAGCGAACCGAAAAAAATGGCTGCTGTGGATTGTGTGGACTTTTTCTAACTTAGCTGCCCATCTCTTTTTTTCCAATCTGCGATTCTATAATACAGAAGCACAATCGGCACCTTTGCGTATATACAGGCAGGACAATTCAAAAGTAACCTGGTTGTTCCGACTTCGTATATTGCATATGGGTTAAGGCTTCCTGATTTGTTGGGCTGCTCTCCAGCTAGCCATTGACAAGGATACAGGTTGGGACTTCGTATGGCTTGACTCTGTATTACCCAACCATCATCTTGACTTACTCAACTTAGAATTCATTGTGTTCAGACCCCCCGTCCAAATGATTCGACACTCTAGTCTAGCCTATATGCAAAGGACATTGCGCAATCAATTGGCAGCTCGAGGTCTCCTTAGTCATAAAGCCAGCACGAATCACTCAGTAGAGGTTAGCTTCCCACGATATATGCCTTATACATTCCCTGAAGCTCAAGCACGAGTGCTGCGGGGGTGATAGTCGAACCAGAGCGAGGTATACTAGCAGGTATGCAGTATAGTAAGTGCTTATCTCTAGTATTTAGTGGATTGTAGGGAGACTTTTATGTAGCTCCACCTGGGCTGTATTCGTTCGCCAGTCCAAGTATTTGAGCATTCCCCAGAAGGGGATAAAGTTTCGTGGCATTCGGATGACGATTGGCGATCAGGAAAGGATATAGATATGGGCTGGAACGCGTCCTAGAGGCCAGAAGCACGTCGGGGTAAGCCTGCATTAGTTTCTTGATCCTTCCTAGCTTCTTGAAGCCATCATCTTGCCATATGATGACGCTATATTGAAAATTGGAAGGCACCCCCAGGATGATATTATTATTTGGTCGTTGAAAATACAATCGCAGATACTCACAGTACATATTTGGCCACCTCGTATCAACCATCCGACTGCCCACTGTTCCAAAGGCTCAGATGAGGGCGTGTCAAAAGATGAACAGTGCGGCAGTGGTGCTGTAGGTTCCATGTTGCAGTATCAGCATAGTGTAAACAAATAGGGACTCAGTATAATCTGTAGAAATCCAATCCCACATCAATACGCTCCTTGTTGGTCAGTTCTGCGTGATAGATCTTATTATCGATTCGAGCGAGCATCGTGCAAAGCAGCGGCCATATCAACCGATGTTGTGCACCATACGATGGACTTCTCGTCCAAGAAATTTGCTCTACTGTCATATGTCGTGATCGCGCCCATCATGTTCCAAGATGGCCATAAGCGTCTACCACAGGTATATCTCATCTCTATCCTGAGAGATGATAAATGTCGAATGCTGGTGTACCCCTCTCAAACCAAAAGCAATCGCACCATAATCAGCGTGAGTAAAACACGCACAGACCGTACGGGACGCCTTCTTGATCATAAGAGGCCATTAGCTATGGAAAGCCTGTTTTTTGCGGTATAACTATGCAGCGAGTTGCAGATACCATCGTTGAGCAAGGCATAAGACCTCTGAGTGGGAAGGACCAGTTGCCAGGTTGTAATGTCCGATGTTGGTTTGTGAGCAGATGAAGAAGATCCAGTATATATAGTTGGACCATTCACAGGATCAAGATCCGATGAAGGCGAACAGTGCAGTACGATAGTATTAGGGAAGCAAAAAACTATAATCACATTCACATGTGCTGCCTTCAATACTCAGAGCCCATTCCATGCCGTCAAGTTCCTCGGGAGCAAGGTGAGCCCATCGCAACGTGAAGATCCCGAGGCTATTCTTGGCGGGACTGAAAAGGAGTCCGTCCGGAACCCAATGTTTGCTGCGACCCCCCGCGGTACCCCGAAGATACCAATCCATTCCAATTCCAATTCCAATTCCCTCTGTACCGCTACCTACACAGAACTATCCAATTCCAAAAGACCTGACTCCAGAGGAATAACCACCATGGCGCAAGACCGCTCCAACCTCACCTTCACCATCACGCACATGAACGCCAACCACCAAGACTCCCTGGCATCCTACCTCCAAGTCTACTGCCACGTCTCCGCTCGCGAAGCCAAATCCGCCCGACTCGAAGAGATCAGCCTGTCCGATCTTCTCATCAGCGCCAATGGCACCCGTTACACGGTGCCCATCGACCCGCCAATGGAGAGCTTCTCCGAGTCGCGAACGCGCCTGGTGGCCATGCACAAGGAGTGTCTGGAGCGGCTGGGCCGGTCGGATATTACGATCAAGGAGTACCGTCGTCCGGAGGGCAAGGAGCTCTTGGTTTTCACCGTGTGTTTGGCGGGGCTGGTTTCGTTTTGCCGGCGCAGTAATTTCCTGCCCGGGTCGCTGTTCTACGAGACGGTTGGGTTGAGTAGTGTGCCTGCGCTGGCGGAATTATTCTACAACACGCAGCCGTTTGTGATCACCACGCTGGCGGGATCGCACATGGTGGAGGCGAGTCTGTTGACGGTCAAGCGGCTGAAACGGCATGGCGTGCCGGCGTTGTCGTGGGTGTGGTGCGCGTGGGTATTGAACAATCTGATTGAAGGGTTTACGGTGTGGGTGCGGTTTGATCGGATGGTGAAGGAGGAGCGGGCGAAGAGGGAGCATCGGAAGTAGAAGATTTGATAACTAATCAGAATGTATCACTCCACCGCGTTTGGACCATCGAACAATTAACGGCGATGCAAAATGCGTATCGGCTTATCGGGTTCGACTAGCGGCTGAGTCAGCAAATCACGGGACCGCACTAAACCCGTCGCGGCCTAGGGTAGTAGGGCAACTTCCACAAGCGAGCCACAGTGCGAAATTCAACGGAAGCCGACGACAAGCACTCAACTCCTTCGACCACCCAACGACCCTTGCCCGCTGCGTTCCTGGTGAAGGGCTGCAGGATTAGAGGTGAGTCTGCTGCATCCCACCCGTCGTGATATCGATCCTCTTCAGTTTCTGCGTCGTCGACGGTCGGTGTGCGCGTGCAATTTCGGTCTGGAAGTCGATTGGAGAGCGAAGTTGGGAGCGAGGACGAGGACAAGAAGAAGAAGAACAGCAGAGCAGAGCAGTGTTTGGTGCAGGGAATAGCGGCGACGACGATTGACAAGGAAAGAAAAAATTTTTCGCTTTCTCGTCCACATAAGTTTCGCACAATTCCAGCATCAACATCGCCACAACGCCCGACAATCGCACGAACCAACCGACCGCCGACGAATCGAAGGAGACCCTGGAGAAAGATCATATCATCGACAGCAGTCTACTGCATCCCGAACACCCGCTAATCTTCATTGACAGTCCCCTCGAACAGCAAACATGGGTATCTCACGCGACTCTCGTCACAAGCGCTCGGCTACCGGCGCGAAGAGGGCCACCTACCGCAAGAAGAGGTATGCATGAGTTCCTAGCAAGGGTTCTGAAGGACGCCGCGACTGACCCAACGACCACCAACAGGGCCTTCGAGAAGGGTCGCCAGCCCTCCAACACCCGTATCGGTGCCAAGAGAATCCACCTGGTCCGCACCCGTGGTGGTAACCAGAAGTTCCGTGCCCTCCGTCTCGACTCCGGTAACTTCTCGTGGGGTTCTGAGGGTGTCTCCCGCAAGACCCGTGTCATCGTTGTCGCCTACCACCCTTCCAACAACGAGCTGGTCCGTACCAACACCCTGACCAAGTCCGCCGTCGTCCAGATCGATGCCGCTCCTTTCCGTCAATGGTACGAGGCCCACTACGGTCAGCCCATCGGCCGCAGACGCCAGCAGAAGACCGAGACCACCGAGGAGAAGAAGTCCAACAGCGTGGTGAAGAAGCAGGCTGCTCGCTTCGCCGACCACGGCAAGGTCGAGTCCGCTGTCGAGAGACAGTTCGAGTCGGGTCGTCTGTACGCCGTTGTGTCGTCCCGCCCCGGCCAGAGCGGCCGCGTGGACGGATACATCCTGGAGGGTGAGGAGCTTGCTTTCTACCAGCGTGCTATCCGCAAGTAAAGGGTGGCTGTTACGTTGTAAAAGGGTGGGATGGACCGGAGTTAGCATTTCCACATTACTGGTAGCTCTGAATTGATGGATGAATCATATGTTCGTATTGTAGTTATGTGTACTTGATACAACTAAGTTGATATCGTGACTCGTGACTATTCGATGACGAAACCGACTAGTATAGTTTAGTTTCATCCCCATACCCCTCATATCCCCAACCCCATCAACAACCCTCCCCATCCCATCCCATCCCATCCCACCACCACCACACCACCACCACCAAAGCAGCAAACCAAAATGAAAACAACCCTCCTCCTCCTCAGCGACACACACACCCTCCCCCCTCACCCCCCCCTCACCACCTCCAACGCCTACCGCCACCCCCTCCCCCCATCCGACATCCTAATCCACGCCGGCGACCTCACCAAAGTGGGCTACAAGCACGAACACCAGACCATCCTCCAAACCATCCTCTCCCACCCAGCCCCCCTAAAGCTAATCATCCCCGGAAACCACGACATCACGCTCGACGAACCCTACTACACGCACCTCGGCCACTACCGCCACAAATACCGCACCGATCACACGGCCCCCTCTGCTACCTCCGGATCCGAGAACGTGTCTGCGGGAAAAGCGGAAGCAGGACGATTAGAGAATCTGGATGAGATTAGGGAGTTGTATACGGGGAGCGAGGCACGGGAGAAAGGGATCAGGTATCTCGAGGAAGGGATGTATCGGTTTCGGTTGGGCGATGGGAGGGTGTTTTCGGTGTATGCGAGTCCGTATACGCCGGAGTTTTGTCAGTGGGCGTTTGCGTATGAGAGGGGGGTGGATCGGTTTAATCCGGTTGTTGCGGGGGAGGGGGAGGGGTATCCGGTTGGTGTGTCGGGGTCGAGGTCTACTAGGAATCAGGGAGAGGAAGAGGATAGGGGAGGAGATGGGGGGCCACTTCATCCCGTACCGGATTATCCTGGGGTAGATATTATGATCACGCATGGTCCGCCGTATGGGATTCTGGATCAGGTGGTGCCGGGACATATGAGTGTGGGATGTGAGCATTTGTTTCGTGCGGTGAAGCGGGCGAGGCCCCGGTTGCATGTGTTTGGACATATTCATGAGGGGTATGGGGCGGTGCGGAAGGAGTGGAGTTCGGGGAATGAGTCCATGATTCAGTGTGATAAGGAGGAGATGTTGGAGGAGCGATGTGCCCGCGTGGATGTGAGTGCCGAGGGAAGCAATCCGTTAAGGCCGGGGGCGGAGACGCTGTTTGTCAATGCCAGTGTCGTGACCGTGCAGTATCATGCCATTAATGCCCCGTGGTTGGTCGAGTTGGATCTACCGGTTGAGAAGATTGATTAAGTGTATGGGGCATGTGAGAGGAAGATGGTTCACTTCAAGTATATACTTCTACGTTTTCCCAGATTGCAACACCAAGATCCGGATTGCTCTATACTGTACAGTCCACTCCATGCATCTCATGCATCCCACGAATCGTAGTGTACAGTAGGCCAAACAAACGAAAGTCCAAAAGAGAGAAGGTAAGAGGTATCTCACTAAAAGGGATATCATGCCTGGATATGTCGAAAGAAAGATTTAAAATGTAGTGTATCAGAGAAGAGAATTCAAGGACTGTGCAACCGGCCGGAAAGCAACGCTGCAATGCAAGACATGCCCGCTGATCAATATAATGCAATAAAAATGAATGTCCAGACATTTCAAGAAGAGAAAAGAAGGTCGAGGGTTTATTCCTCGTGCACGGGCGTCCCCGTCCGGAAATCCAGACGGCTGCCCTTCCGACTGACGCCCTTGAGCAGACTGAACCGCTTCAAGACCGAGTCCCGCCGCCCAGGGGTATGGCTGACCGGACTCGTGATTTCAGGGCTGCGGATCGACGTCATACTGCTCCGCGTCACCGGCCGTGGATAGTCGCTGATCGAAGGGATCGTCGACCACCCTCCCTTGGGACTCGTCACCGACGGCCGGTCGTCCGTAGATGTCCCATTGGTGTGGGAGGTCGTGCGACTCATGCTCTCGTGGGACTTGGCCGCCGTGTCGCGAGAAGCACTTCTGGTCCGTTGCTTCTTCTGGCTTTGGCTTTCCTCAGTCGCGCTGGGACTGATCGACAACGATGAGGCGTGCTTGTGCAGCACATCCCCGAGTCGGCTGCGACGCCGGTGATGCGTATCCCGCGACCGAGTGGTCGTCCGACTGTGAATGGTGGCGGCGTCATCCTGGTCCGCCGCCTCCCCGTTAACATGCTCCTCCGTGGTGGTGCCATTGACCTTGCTATCGGCCGACCCCTTCGGGGCCTCCTGTACCGTAGCTACCGAATTGCTCGCCACGTGGTTGGTGCGTTTGAAAGGGTTCATGACGCTGATGCGGTGGCTGACAGACTGCTTGGCCGAGTGTTTGCGGCTGTGGTTCTTTCGCGACGAGCGAATCAGTTCCTGCTCAGGACTGAGGGCCCGCGAAGCCGGCTGCTTCTGGCGCTCTTCCAGGGACTTCGGGGTGGTACGCCGGGGCCATTGCGGCGTCTCTAGTTCCGCCGGACGGAGAGAGGAAATTTCCGGCCCAAAGGCCTCCTCGAAACGACGCATCAGCTCAGCTTGCGTAGCTTGATGGGCCGGGCGGTGGTACATGGCCAGCGCCTGCTTGATGGCCAAGGCATGGTCGATGAGAGCCACCGCCAGCGCGTTCTTTAACGGATCCGCCGGCTTCGGCGTCACTAAGCCACCCTCGTCCTCTTCAGGCACATCCGACAGGAACTGGCGGTAGGCCGCGACACAGTTGGGAGTCGCGGCGTTGAGCTCGAGCAACTGTTCCAAGGCCTCGGTCAAATTGTTCAAGCTCATGTCCTCACCAGAAGCGGCCCGACGTTGCAACATTGACAGTTCCTGCGTCTTGCGCCACGTCCGTTCGAGCGCCGTTTGCAAAGGCGACAGTGCGACTTCCTTGACCTCAACCACTTCGCTTCGGCGGAGGATGTTCGGGAAAGGCTCCGCCGTGGTGTAGACCGTCTTCTCCACCCATTGCGCCTTGACATCAGCGTCACGAACATGTCTGCGCAGGGTGGAGCTGAAGTGGCAGGGCTCCGAGACCAAGAGATGGTCTCTAACGGACTGCGGGATCTTGGACCGCTGGTAAACCGGATGGTCCACGTCACGATGGACGCTGACAGGATTGATGTGCAAAAATTGTCCCTCATAATCTTGAATCTCGCCCGAAGACACGACCTGCGCAGCTGGATGCTCTCTCTGCATGCGATCAATGAAAGTGGCCATCCGTTCGGTTGCCGCACACTCGATGATGAATTCCTTATCGCGGAGAGTGGTGGGAAAGCCGAGTCCTTTATAGAGCACGCGGAAATACCGCGGGAACTGTTTATCTTCCTTTGCAATGATGTCGTAGATCTTGGCCATGGAGCCATGCGCCCTCGAAAGCTTGGCGAAATCAACCACGGTGTCCTCATACTGCTGCGCGAGTTCCTTGTAGCACAACAGGGCATGAGCCCAAGCTTTGGCATCCTCGAAGTACTGAATGACCGCAAAATACAAGGACTCCTTCCTCTCGAAAGACGTCTGCTCAGGGAAAGCAGGGTTGAGTAGCTCGGGCAAGGTCCGCTGCGCATCCCAATCGTATAGATCGGCATGGAATTGGAGAGCCATTCCGGCTTCGGTGAAATTACCTGCTGCAGCTTGCACCTGGGCCAGCTCGTGGACATAGCGGATGAAGATATCTTCGCGACCCATGTCTTTCATGTATTTCATCAGTCGAAGGGTATGCAGGCTTTCAGCCATCGAGCCGCCCTGAGAGGCTACAAACAGGTCGAGCAGCTCATCCACCGTCGCGATCAAGGCCTTGACCGCATTGGATAGGTCTTCATCAAACTCTGCGTAGCCTTCGAAGTGCTCCGACAATTCTCCAATAAAGAGCTTCTGGACGACACTCTCGCTCATGTTCTTCCTCTTGAAGAGATTATCCAAACTGGAAATAACCTCCGTCTCGATGATGGACAGATCCTGGTTCAACCCCCATTCGCTCAGAATCATCGTTCGTAAGATATCGACGGCCACATGCCGCAACCCTTCATGAACACTGAGGCAAAGTTCGATGATGGGTGCCACCAAGCCAGGAACATACTGCACCTGATAGCCGCCAAGTTTGCTGAGCCCGTAGTGTTCCCGCTCCTCATCAGTAGTCTCCCAGCCGATTGATTCCCAGCTGGAGTGGAGTAGGTCCGCGCCCTGTTCCCGAACATCGCCCGCGATCTTCCAGATGGCGCGGCGCTTCTGCTCCGGGTAGGTCTCCAGAGCGAGCGCGTCACTCGAGACCACTTTGAGCAACGTCATGAAGAAAGTCTCCCAGAGTCGCGTGTCGAACGATTCCGCTTCCTCCGGGGACGGGAGGAATTTGTTGGTCAAGATGGTAGCCAGGTACTCCAGACTCTTGACAGTCGCTCGGTGGTTGTAGACATGGACACTCAGCCAGCTTTCGGGATATGCTTCGCAGTTGAGGATCGACGTATGCACTTCAAACGCCTGCGACAGGAAACTGGACAGCTCCAAGCCCTTCAGCCGAGGGCGCTTGGGATTGGGTATCGTCGCCGCGCCAGCCAGAATTGCGGACAGCTCGACTAGCGCTTCATCGAACCGTTGCGAGTACTTGGAGGTCTTCACCTGAAAGGGGAATGATTTGCTGAAGAGCAGAGAGAGGTAGCTCGTCTCTTCAACCCCGTCGGGGATGATAGAGTAGTATGACGACACGATTTTCGGCACAAACTCATACAGATATGGGTCTGGCTGCTTCAACAGCTCCGCCACGATCGCACAGCACAGCCGAACTTGGTCACGATAGAGATCGGACACGGCGCCTGTCGCACCCCAGTAGGGTGCCAGCCAGCTGATACAGCTGGATATCAGACTCTTTCGCTCCGAGCCGGAGCTGAAAATCTCCAGGCGAGTGTAATGCTGGATGAGGACCAGCTTATAGAGTATCAGCATGCCCGTGACGTCCTTGCACGAGTCGATGAAGCTAAGAGCGATCATGATCACCTCATCGCGACTGAGTACTTTGGACAGCTCGGGCAGCCAGGTGTGGAAATGCTGGACAACAAGCGTCTTGCTTCCCACCATCGCAGGGGAGGGGTTCTTCATCAGAGCCTCGAGCGACTTGAAGATGGTGTGCAGATCCCGGTTGAATGTCGATTGAACCCGGGTAATGCCGATACCCTCCTCTTTCGCCTTCTGCTGCTGTCGGGCGTTGATGATGAACTTGAGGACATGTCGTCCTACCTTGAACGTCGCACGGAGATTGCGGGACTGTTGTGCATCGGAGCTGGACGGAAGGAGACGTAGATAGCTTCTAACGAGACATGGAGTAGCAAAGGGAAAGTTGAACTGATTGTCGGCATAGTGATCAACCAGTGGACCCAAGTTGAACCGCCGGTCGTGAACAATACCAAGAACCGTCACCAGGTTGTTGAAGATCAGATCCTCGTACTCCTCGTTGCCTGCATTCTCCACCAGGATCCCAAACAGCGAGTCCAAGACGCTGCTGAGCTGCTTGACAATCTCGATTTCCGGCACAAACAGAACCCGCTTGAGAGTATCTAAGACTTCATTCACAGGTCTATCCCTCCAGTTCAGCAGACTGAGTATGACTTGGTCCTGAGAATATTCCGTGCTGCACAAATGTGTGTCCAGTCGTAGAGTAGCCAAGGGACCGGTGATTGCCTCGTCTTTTGCCGACTCATTCTTACCCAGCGAGCTCCATGGCAGAGACAGATAAGCCCCCTTGCCATTCTCAATGTTTGACGTACATTTGTCGTACGCGTGCAACAGGAGAGAATGGGGCCCGTCTCGCATGAAGGCCTGGTTGTCCCAGAGTGGCATCCAGGCAAGCGCAAAGGGAAACTCGGGAGCATCCGCGATACTCATGATCAGGTGTGACGTCGGGATTTGGTCCGTGGGGATGTTAAGGCGAATAGTTTGGTTCCAAGGGGCCCCCCTGTCGGCAATTGTGGTTCGCCATGCGGTTTGTGCCGCATGATTGGACGAGGGGATGACGCACCGTTCGACGCGCGTCCCGGAAGATGTGCGAACTTCAAGAGTCAATTGCAGATTGCGGAGGCCGGTGTGCGCTGGGACCGGAACTTGACCCGAGTGAGGATGTGAAAGAAGCGCTTCAGGAGGGAAAGTAGCGTGGGAGATGGTCACGTAGATATCCGACCTGGGTTTGGTCGGGGCCTGAGAGAAGCCGATTCTCCTCGTCTGAATGACATTATGCAGGGTCGTGGGGTTTCTCCGGACTAGAGAATCTGCGTCCGGGTCCACATGCGGATAGAGGTGGAAATGAAGCCGGGCAGCTCGTTGAGACCGCACGTACTTCCCAGTAGGGCTCGGGAGCAGAGTGCGAACCACTCCATCGAACCCGTCATCACGCCCCTCTTTATCCTCGCTTTCCTCGGACGGAGACCAGATATTGATCACTTGCTCCGCGTCCTTCTCCTGACGGAGGATCTGGGAGACTTCGAGAAAGCCGACTCCCACTGTCCGGATCTGCGTAGTGTCTTTGGTTGATTGGCTGCCAGACCGTTCCTTGGTGATGGTGCTTGTACTACTTCCGGACGACTGAGGAGGGTTTTTACTGGTCTCCTTGGCCTGCTCAGGACTTTGGATCCCGCGCGGCTTCGACGTCCACATCATGCTCCGGCGAGTCCTGAGGCTTCCTTTGACCGACTGATTGACCCCGGTTGCCTGCTTGCTACCGGAGGAACTGTCTCGCGAGATGGACGACCTTGGCTGGGCTGCGGCGTTGGTTACTGACGCAGTTTCTGGTGCACGAACCGCAACGATCAAATATAGCTTTGGTCCGTTGGTAGAGCTGTCGCCGATATCCGTGCTGCTCAGGTCGGTGAACAGCGTTTTCAACCTGGCGCTCTGCCCCATACTCGCAAACTTTTCCGGCGAAGGAATGTCCAAGACGTACGTCTCCGACAGGGGTACGAGTGCCCCCGTTTCCGACTGAGAGCACAGGTAAGCCGCCAGTGTTACTGGCCCGGGCGCATGCCCAGAGACGGCATTGACTTCGAGCAGCAGATGATGGAGTGCAGCCACATCTGACTGCTGCGTGGGGCTACTGTCAAGCATGCCCATCTCGGACTGTAGCCTTGTCAATTCTACAGCGGAATCATCCCCAGTGAGCAGACGACCCCTTTGCTGAGGATCTCTCACAATGATCTCCCCACCAAGCGCTTTATTCCCGCGAACGAGTTTCCACACCACCTCTTGCCGCAGCGACTCCTTCTCCTGTGCGGTCAGAACATTGTACAAGAGTTGTCGCCTTGCAAAGTCAAGTTCCTGGACGATCTTCGACATTTCCTCCACCGTGACATACTGGCGGGAGAGCAACAGCTGGTGTAAGTTGGTCGAATGCCATTCGCGTAGACATGATGCGATTTCGTCGACAAGAGGTTCGGAGAGCGAGGTGGGTGTCTCGTCGCCAATTTTGAGCATTGGCACAGGGGCGGCTGGTTTGGGAGCATCGGGGTCTCGAGGAGCCACGTTCATGGGGGCGAGCACCATAGAATTTGTCCGGAGGAGATCCCGCCGCGGAGTGCGTGGGCTGGCCGGGCTTCCACGACCGTCCTCATCCAGCTTTTGGATGAAGATTTGAGACGGCTTTCCTTTCTTCGCGATGACAACGTTGGATACTTCCCCAAATGCGTTTTCATCATCCTGGAAGGAGGCCACGCTGTTGCGCATCTCTCCCTCTGCGCCGGCCAACAGAGCCATACTCGATCGGTCGCCATTGGTGATCGTCTTTTCGCCATCGCCCAGCACTTCACGGATCTCGACGCAATTCCGGGGAAAGATACCGGAAAAGACTCTTGCTTCGAGGGTCTGGCCCTTGGTGCTCGTCAAGCCCGCCAGTAAGGACGGCGGAGCGACGAGATAGCCGCGGTACCACTCTCCATTGGCGCCCCCTTGCTCAATTATATATAGCTCATCGCCAAGCTCCAGAGGCAGATCGGCCGGGGTGGTGGGTTGGAAAGGATAGATGGCGACAGCGAAAGCGATTCGAGGCAGAGGCCGCCAGGGCATATCTGCGATCGAGGCGGCACGCGACAGCACACCCCGCCGCGGTGCTCGTCACAATGGGCGTAATCGAAATGAAGGAAAACCGGCGAAGCGGGGTTGAAGAGGGGAGGGGTCAAGGAATTCTCTGCTGATCGATCGGCCGGGGCGCTACATGCAGGTGTCCTAAGAGAGGAAAGGGAGAAAGATAGGCGGGTTCCGAGATGCGGAGCGCGAAACGGGCGATGCCTTGCGGAATTGGTGTCTTGGGTTTCGGTCGGGGTAAGGGGTACGGCGGAGTCACTATATGGCCATCACGAATGTGCGGTTAGTGAGAGGTATCCTCATAAGCGAAACGTAGGCGTGCTTGGGCTGCGTGTCAAGGCCAGAGGATCATGATAAGCGGCGGATGAAATCCATCCAGGGCCGGGCGTCGCAAAGGGTTTCAGTGGCCGGAAATCGCCGCAATTAGTGACAGCAATGTTTGATGATGGTGCTAGTAATCGTAACCACAATGACCGTGACGCGAAGAGCACCACTAATTGATTCTCCAAGCTTCTGTTCTCCTTCGACAATTTCGTCGGTGCCCCCTAGCAGTGGAATGGGAGTGGAGCCGAGGGAGTTGTTCACTTGGCAGGAACTGTGGAGAAGGCACACAGATGAAACGAAGGGGGGGGGGAAGGGAGGGGAGGAGCTTACCCAGAGCTAGAGGAAGTATGGAAGTATGGATAGATGAATAGATAGATGAAGGAGGAAAGGAAGGAGGAGGGAGAAGGAGGGGGAGGGGGGTGATGGAATTGAACAGGTGGAGGAGTGCAAGTCCCGCAGAAGAGAAGGAAGGAGGAGAAGGAGGAATGATGATCGCAGGGCCGATGATGCTGGCTGGGCTGGGATGGGAATGAATGAGTGGGAGGGAGGGAGGAATCCCGGCGGGAGGCGGAGAGGAGCCTGAGGCCCGAGAACACACGCAGCCTGAGGCTAGACTCGCGGGACCTCGACTAGCGAGTCCGGACCTGGTTGATTAACTTTAATTGATCGCTAAATTGGCCTCGTAATGTCTGCTCGTCCGCCTGGCGACATTTCTTCGGACTCTTCGATTTGAGCTTGGTATTCGAAGATGCCCGGCTGCAGTACTCCGGACCTCCTTTTGCTTTCCATGGTGGTGGTCTCCGATCTGGCACACTATGCCAGCCCATCCATGGGTCCAGCTGGACCGATCGATGCACTCAGTGGGGAGGATGCAGCGTGTATCCAGGTTTCACCAGCACGTTTACTCGGTTTGTTTTCTTTTTTTTTGCCCAGGAACGAACCTCGTCCAACAAACGGCCGGCGGGCGTAAAAAGCAGGGGAAAACCCACCGTCCTCCGTCGCGGTTCCGTATTCTGGATTCTGGACGGCCGAGACAAAGCAATGCATCTCATCTCGCGCGACTCCCGTCTCGAGGACATTGTCCAGCTAGGAAGCGGACCACCCGAGGTTCTTCACCAATGGCTATAACGCTCCGCCATTATTTCCTGACTAGTAGGTGCGTAGTTAGAGTACTAAGGGCCTTAGGCAGGCTGACATGTTTAAAATTGGCCAGCACAGACCCGGCGTGGCCCCTGAATCCAGGGCCAAAACTAAAACAGTTGGAGATGCTGACTGGTCCGCCCGCCTGGGCCGCTAAATTGGCCGCCCAGCAGCTGGCCCTCACTTTTCTTTTTTTGGGGCCGATTCTCTGTCCGCCTCGGGTCAAGATCGCCCTTCCAGGATCCTTCCTTCATCGTTCGTCGCTGCTGGCCTCGGGTTGACTTACCCCCCCCCAACTCCCATTGATACGAACTGGGAGCTGAAGGGATTTCACCAGTTCATCTCAATCCACATGCCAATGCACCCGCACTGGGCCAATTTCCTACGCGTCGTCCGTTTCAACGTGGTTACTCTGTCCCACCGGGAAAGATGTAGTGCTACCTCAGCAATCATGTTCCCATTACCGCTTCCTCCCCTTCCTTCCCCCATTGACCACGAGCTACAGATACATCAACAGGTATAAATACTTAGACAGAACGCAAGAAGAAAAAGGAATACAGGGAAATGCCAAGATCCAACCCATGCGCCGGTTCTATGATGCGCAATGCGAACAATTGTCCCTCCCTCACCATCCAGCAAGGTGCAATTGACAGGTATTTATGCATGGGCAACCCCTTCAGGAGACCCCAGTTCCGAGTTGAAACCGAACGAGACACCGCCTTTCATCTCTGGAACATGGCAATAGCGTCCTCCTTGCGCCACTCCAGCTCCAGCTGGCCTTCATACACCGCATCAACAACGCGTCGAGTCCGGTCATACGCTTCCCCATACCGACCCTCGCACGCCCGGAGCACCTTCAGCACCAAGCTTCGACTGAGGCCGGGATCGTCCGCGTCACCAAAGTGTTTCTCGACCCGCTTTTTCAGCATTTCGATTCCGCGCCGGATTTCTTTGGCGTCATACGTAGCCAGCACCTTCTTCGCAACCGACCGTGAGTGGCTAGGCCGGCTGGCAATGTCTGCAGGATTGATGGTCGTCTTCAACAGATTCTCCACCGACTCTACAAACTCGAGCAACTTGCCTAATGGTCGGTGGATGACGGAGTCAAGGTATAACGTCAGATGCTCGTCCATGTCTTGGTGCGCCCGATCGCGCCACCGTTCCAGGACGGGAAGACCCCGAACATCGACCTCCTCGATGTAGTGGTTCATGTTCTCAATCAGAAGGATGTGGTAGTTGAGAATTTCCTTGTCTTCTGGGTCGCCCGAAGTCGCAGCCGCGCCCGTGGGTTGGCCTGGGGCCTCCTTGGCGATGAATTTGAGTGACTCCCACATGGCGCGGTTGATGCGATCGTAGGCGTCGTTGACATTCACCCGGATGTCGTAGAATTCTTGCGACAGCATGTTCTCCACGGCGGTAGCAAAGTGCGGGAACACGCGGATGAAGGAGATCACTCCCTTACGCTTGTTCACCTTGACCTTGGTCTCCTCGATGCCGCGGATCTGTTCATCTACAAATCGGTTAAAGAGGCCGAGCAACCGGGAGTGTAGCTTCTGAAGCGAGTGGATGATAAAGTCTTGGTTGGTATCATCGTATTCGGAAATCGCCTTCTCGATGGCCAGCAAGATTCCAATTCCTTGTCTGTAAAAAGGTCAGCCTACAATCTCAAAACAAGTACCAATAGTCTCCAACTTACAGTGGGTCGGCCCTGATGGCCCAGTCCACAAGGTTTTGCATATCCGTCGGCCAGAACGCGAAGAGTTCGTCCAGAATCTGTTCGACCTTCTTGGCCATAGCTCGGTCAGGATCATGCAGCTGCTTAGACCCGAAATTGGGGATCCTGCGCTCGTCGGGCGCGCCTGACATGACAAGATCGGGGAAGTCGAGAGTAGAAAGCGAATTGAGATGGAAGAAATGGACGATGAAATTCTGCTCTTCGGAGATCATGTTGAGAGTCTCATGAAGCGTACCGGCAAATGCTTCGCACGGCTCAAGTTTGCCGTGCTGCTTGTCTCCGGAGGGAAGCTTAAGGCCTGCCGCGGCTCGAATGGTCTTGCCTCTTCTCACGGTGAGCTTGCGCGCCGCCATCGTAATGCCTTCGGATTCCTTCTCCTTCTCCTGATGCGTAAAGAGAAGTTCCTGCTCCTCTCCACTGGGCTTCCTCGCTGCCTTCCTCCACGCCAGGTTGTTGTCCCGGAAATCATTTTGGTATGGGTGTTTAGCCTGTTGCTCGTAGAGGTTGATGAGCGCGTGCCACTCTCCAGAGCTGACTTCGCGTGCAAAGAGCATCACTGCATGATACTGCCACAGTTCGCGGCGGCAGTAGCCTCGGGCCTCGCTGTCGAGCTTTAGAGGATCCTTCTGGCCACTGGCTGCCGCATCGATCCTCTTTTGTTCTGCCACCTTGTAGGCAATTGCCATGAATTGTTTGAGCCGTTGTAAGAATACACGACCATGTGTGCGATATTCCTCTTTCTTTTCTTTAATGGCACGCATTTGTCCAATCTCTGTGTCGGCATACACGCCCAGGCTACCGTGGTCTCCGGCCGCGTCAGCAAGACGCCTCTTGTTGTGCCATATGTCAGAATCAATCATCAACATTGCCTTGTATAAGGTTGACAAGGCGATCTCCGTGTCTCGCAATCCATCAGGGTTGCTCAGTGATGATTCCTTCAATGCCCGTAGATCGTTCGAAGAGATCGAAAGAGTCTTGAGTAGGTTTTGAAGCTCATTCTGAAGCAGTTTCTGGTTGGCGGTCTGCACCTGGAGACCCTGAGACTGTGTTTCTATGTATGCAACATCATCGTGAAGGGTCTATATCGCAGTTAGCATCTTGCTGAGATGTGGGGTAGAGCCCAGAAAAGAATTGGCAACTTACGTTGAGCTCGTGAGAGTACAAAGTGAGAAGATTATCCAGCTCTTCACACTCTTCGACCGTCCTATCAATGAGTTTTGCAAGTTGGTCAATCTTGCCCTCCTGTTGTTCAAGGTTACCAAGCCAGCTGGTAGCCTCCACTCGCCCGATCTCTCGACGAATATCCGCCTCGAGGTCTTCAATCTTCTTTTCATCACCGAGCCGCCCGTTCCAGCCAAGGTCAGTCAGTATATCATCAAAGTCGATGCCGCGTCCTTCGAGAATGGTGGGATTAATCCCAAGCGTTTGGCAGTATTTGATCGTGTTGTCCTCATGACGTCGGCGGCGACGATCATGAGGGGAAGGCGACACGGATCGTGACCTTTCTGCATCAACCTTCACAGAAGCCCTGGACGTATCCCTTGGCTCTGCGGATGTCTCGGTCGAGCTGATAATAGATTCAACAGGAGCAGCCTGGGTTACTTCAACGGTGGGCGGTTCGATTACTGGAGGAGCAGAAGGCGGAGGCACTGGCGGTTGTGCTGGCGGCTGTGATGGCAGTTGCACCTCCTGTGGCTGCACTTCCTTCACAGGGGACGACGTTAGGATTGGAGGCGTCTCTGTGTCCGGCGTTTCAGGGGAGGTCACTGTATTTTCACTGTTCGTCCGAAGCAAAGATGGCGCGGGGACCACGCTGGTGATTCCGTCTGGTTCATCTGCGGCAGCCTTCTGCTTTTTAGCAGCTGCCAGGAGTCTCTCACCAGCACCTCCCGGCCTCGGCTTGAAGGCTCCATAGGCAGTAGCAGCTTTGCGGAATGCACCTGCAACATCCTTACTCTGTTTCTTCTTGATCATAGGCCCGAGTCCTGGACGATGGGCATCAGGTTCCTCTTCAGCAGGCTCAGCGGCTTCCGGAGCGCTAGGGGGTGATGATGGTGCTGCAGTCTCTGCGAGTGGTTCAACGGGCTCTGCGATCTTTGTCGAAGCTGGCAATGCTGGGGCTGCAGGCGCTGGTGTCTCAACAGGCTTGACGATTGGTGGTGCCTTGTTATTCCCTGAGGAGCCTGGGGTAAGTGCTGCTGGCACCTCAACGGCGGGGGTACTAATGGAGCTGCTCGGAGCTTCAAGCTCCTGTGGCTCTACCCGTGTCGGCGTAGCTAATGGCTTTTCGACTGTTTCTCTCAGAGGCGATCTCGGACCCACGCTGCTTGCTGGGCTGTGCATGAAGGTGAGATTTTCTCCAGAAACCGACCCAGGCGTAGTAGGTCGAAGACCATCCTTACTGCGGCTTGTATGGAGATCATGGGTGCGAAGCGTAGGTCTGGGCTCGTTGCCTGCCCGCGCGTCGCGCGAGGAGGACGGTCGGGAGTCGGGAAGATTACTACCTGAGTTGACCTCCTCAACGCTGCCATTGGGTCTTTCCCGTTGACCGGGAGCCGACGCGGCTTGCAAGCTGGAGGGAAAATCCCTGTTCCTCGGTTCCGGTTGAGAGATTATGGGCACCTTGGGAACTCTGTTCTCCGTGGCAAGGCGTTCGGCTGCACGAGGAGGCGGTTGCTCACGCTGGTCGGGTGGTAATGGTGGCGGGTGTTGAGGAGGGGTGAAGGGTGGAGTACCACTTTTACCGGACTGGCCAGTCGACGGTCTTCCCAATTGATCGCGACTTCTTTGAGCTCGCAGAATGTGTTCCTCCGGAGGTGGTCGCCTGGGCCCATCGCGGCTGGGTGCACGGCTAGAATATGGCGACTGAGGTCGACTGCCTTGAGAAGAGGGGGGACGCGGGGGAGGCAGAGTCACTTCGGGGCGTGGGGGTCCTGGAGGAGGCGCTTTCGGAGCTGGCGGTCCTGTGGCCGTTGCACCAGCAAGTAGCTGACGCTCACGCTCGTCGAAGCCGATCAGGGTCGGTACCTTGCCGCCAGTGTATTTTCTGTAGATCTTCACCAGGCTGCCTATGAAAAACTCCTTCTCTTTGGAGGTCCGTGCATGCCAGTAGTAAGGCTTTCCCACGGTGACCAAGAATCCAACGTTGCCAGCCCACTGCTTGTACTGTTGTTCCAGCGGCGAGGACGGTATCAAGGCGTTATACGACTGAATCGAGGAGAGGTCATCCAACATCCAGGTCTTGCCAATGGAGAACGAGCCATCGTTGTTTTCTCGCGCCTTGTGCATGCGCACTCTGCCGGACCGTCTGACCGCGACAATAATGACTCGAGGTTTCTTGTTCTCCGGCGGCGAATTGGGTGGAGCGGGGGTGGACGGATAGGCCGCATCTTCCATAATGCGGACATGTGTTATGTAGGACTCGACCACTAGAACCGGGAGGGGCACCAACGGTTAACAGAACCCTCTACAGATAGCGCCAGGGGAGGGGGCAATTCACGTACGAGAGCCATCGCTATCTTTCTTGCCGAAGCAGCTATGCATTATCCGCCGCTTCTCATCCTCGAATTTCTCGGCCCTCGACATGGAGCCATCCCCCGGTCCGGTGATACCGCCATTGCGACTATCACCAGCTCGACGGGGATCTCTTTGGGGCGGCACCTCACCGGCCGGAGGGCCCCGCATGCGATCACGACTACTCATGGTTGCTAATCAGTCTCCGGAAACCTGGATCACGCAGGAAGTGTCGGAGACCCAGTGGACATGGTCGGGAAGGCTGGCAGGGATCACACGGGGCGCGCGCCGTGGGTGAGAACGGACGGTCTGTCAATGGGTGGGCTCCAAACGGAAAGGACCAGGACTAAAGGACAAGGACTTCGAGAGACGGCGACGCCATAAACGATCTGGCACAGAACCGAGATTCAAAACCAAGGGCAGGTGGTGGTGGTGGAGGAGCCAAAGAGTTGGATTAGGTCATTCTTTAGCCACTACAGAGCATGGGCGGCAGCGGATACGGGAGCTAGTCTCGGAGGAGTAGCAAAGTGTTGCCCAGTAAGAAGGAGGCAGGAGATTCAGTTGGCACTAACACTCCAGGCACCAAGAGAGATGAAAGACCGGCGGGGAACTGAAAGGCACATGATCCTGGAATTACACTGGCTTGCAGGGCCGGACTCTTGGGCCCATTCACCCAAGTCCATATCATAACAACCAGTCGGTCCTCAGGCATCAGCCCCAGGTTCGCACAATTACATAAGATTTGACATAATGTCACCTGTGCATAACGGTCATGCATGAGAATCCACTGCGGTTTCAGCCAACATGACAGGAGTCAAGGTTTATTCAAGTCGCCCTTCGCTTTGGTCTCGACCATTTGGAGGCTCAGACGTACCTAGACAGGAGCTGTACCTCTCCACCGGTACTAAACCCCACCCCATATGTAAAGTGCCTTCATCCCTTCCAAACCAGGGTTATGGTTTCTCGTATTCTGTAGCTCACCACTTATACTGTGTAACAACTAGATCTTGGCGAGCTCATGTGTAACTGGACAGCCACCAAGCCCCTGCACTGCGACTTAACCCATCAGACAGCCGGCCACAGCTTGGATATTCTCCGAATGATACCTCGCCCTGGCTTGGTGGCTCGAGGCTTGGTTTCTCAACCATATTCTCGAAAGGGAGGTCACGGGTTTAGGTCTGCCACATTGAATCTCCTGGGTTGGTTTCGCTCTTCATAGCATAGCGCGGAAGTGGCCACGGTTTGGTATACACTTGATTCACTCGACTTCGTACTGAAAACAAATCCCGCCCAAGCAATATTCCGACCAACCCTACATAATCCGGCAGCCTGCCAACCCCCGGACTGGCTAACTACCCGTTTGACCATCGCCATGTGGGTTGACAGGATTGAGCGCAATGACCTGTGCTCGACCGTCAAGAATGTCCGTTAGTTAAGTTGGCCCTCCTCCCAAGACAGAGAGAGCGCCAGAGACATACCTCACCGGTGAACCTCTTCCTCTTCCTTCCCCACCACAGAAGGGCAATCAAAACAGTAAACCCTGAGATGACGACACAAAGATAATTCATACTCTGAGGCGTGACCTTTTTACGGAGAGGGAAGCAAGATAACACCAGAACAACTATGACCCAGAGGACAGACATCGTGTTGCAGATTGCTCCCATCCACCACCCCATTGCGAAGGGCCTTTGCCGAAGAATCAAGTCGCGGCCACGAACTAACACAATGCCCTGAGGAATCATATAGCATGCGTTGAGGATGATGATGGCCATTGATATGAGATTGTTGAATGCCGTCGTTGATGCAATGTATATTAGGCCGTACAGGGCGATAAGACCCGCAGCACCAAGGTGGCAGTCAATGGCATTTCGTTGATGATCCTGGTCCAAAATAGAGAGAAGGGAAGGCCATGGGCTCGGGCGAATGAGTAGGTAAGTCGACCCGTTGTAAGCAGGCACGATAAGACAGCAGCGCCGTAGAGGAAGATGATCGCAGACGTGAAGACGGTAGCCAAGGGCTGACTGGATGTGGCTTGTAGGTATACTATATATATTGGGATGGCGAAGAGGCGACAGCACTGATGTCGGTGGTACCCAACAGAAGGATTGATGTGAAGCAATTCGCAACAGGAACTGTGGACTTTTGAAGACTGATAAATGCACTGATACCTGGGATGCGCCTTCCGGACTGAGTGTTAGATCTACGAAGAGCTATTGTCAACAACCAATGATTTAGCGGGATTTTCCCAAACTCAGCAAATCATATGTCCATGTAGTACGGGATATACCCAACCCCAATTCCAGACCTTGATGGCGGGCAAGCCTGAAGCGTACTTGACTTATGCATACAGCTTCTGGAGATAGCCATGTCTCTGCTCAGTTGGAATACCCAAGTCTGACCGTGTCTTAACGGTACTGTGGTATTGTGGCCCTGCCTGATGTAGAAAGTGCCAGTGCCACACCACAGTTCGTAGCTGCCTTATTTAAGGCATGTCTATACACTGTTATTAGTCTGCAGTGGTTTCACCGATACCCTTGACTTACCTTATCGGGATTCGCTTGGAAGGTACGTAATACATGGGGCAGATTGACTCCTGAAACAAAGAATGTGATAAAGTGGGCAGGCTGATAATTTAGGTACCAGAGGAAACGGTACGTTGCAGAGGTAGCAGATGCTTTCTTGGACGAGATTCACCACATACTCTGCGGGCGCCGCCGCAAGTATTCTCTTTACGTCGCCAGCCTATTTCTTAACGTTCGTAAGGATGTTCTTCCCTAGGCGCGCGAATCAATTTCCTGTCCCAGATTTACCTGTTGAGCCTAGTCATCAATGCCTGTCACCAGGTTCTTTGTATCTATGTGCTTCGGTGAAGCGCATGCAGTCCTAGTTGTATCATGCCCTAGGTGCTCTCCGCACATAGATGGCTCATCAGCCAATGAGCTTCGGGCAGGCCTGGACTCCATGGATACCGCTCTCCGGGACTACAGCACTATTTCTCAATACACTTATTAGAATTCACTACCAATGAAGAGTCGGATAGTGTCCGGCTTCTACTACTAGTAATTGTTCCTCGTCTGGCGTACCAGAATAGTTCTTCCTGCATGGCCTGTTGGCCTAAACAAGCTTGCATCGGGAGATCCACCTGGTCTGACATTCCAGGCTCTGGTATCATCGTAGCACTCACCAGGGCCTCCCAGATATCAGTGACGGGATGGTATTTTAATGCAATACGGCCCTTTCCTAGACAAGTGGATCCAGATAACTACCGTTGAGGTGTGAGGGATATTCCTAGTGCCTGGCACGTGACCAGCTTCCCATGGGACAATATACTTCACGTGAGCCCCACCACGAAAAGTCAGCCCAGCAATCACCGATCACGAAATTGCTGACCGCCTTCTCTGTTTCTTGTCCCTTTTTCTTTTTCTCTTTTTTTCTGCATCGCCGATTAAGGGAACCTTGAAAACCTCCGCACAAGTGCGCACGATCAATCACACGGTTCAGAGCCTCTGTGTAGCAGACAACCACCATGGCCGGTCAAAAAGGAAAGCAGGCGAAGCCTGCTAAGGTGTCCAAGGGCAAGAAGACTGTAAGGCAAACCAGTCGTGCTTGTTTACTATGCGGAATTGCATCTAACAAAAACCTTCAATACTTAGGCTGCTCCTCCCGCTCAACTTGTCGCCGCGATTTCTGCCTTCCTGAAAGACTCCGGATTGTCCAAGACGAATGACGCTTTGATCAAAGAGCTGGATAGCAAATCGATCGGTTCCGATGCGAAGAATGTGCCGTCTTTGCTCGAACTTTTCCAGACCTGGGAGAGCGAGTCCAAGTCCTCTGAGAAGTCCTCCAGTTCCAGCTCCTCGGAAGACTCTGGCTCTTCGAGCAGCGAGAGTGAGAGCGAGAGCAGTGACAGCAGCTCCGATGAATCTAGCGACTCCGATGTTGAGATGAACGAGGCTCCCAAGAAGCAGGCCAAGAGCTCCTCTTCCTCTTCGGCTTCTTCTTCGTCGGATTCCGACAGCGACTCGGACGATGAAAAGGAGACCCCTGCTGCTGCCAAGCCTCAGGGCACCAAGCGCAAGGCCGAGTCCAGCTCCTCCGAATCTGATTCCGAATCCTCGGCCGATGAGGCTCCGAAGTCGAAGAAGACCAAGGTCACTTCCGACAAGGAAGAGTCTTCCTCCGACTCTGGTTCTTCCTCTGAATCTTCCTCTGAGTCTGAGTCTTCCGAGTCTGAATCGGAATCTTCCAGTGACGAGTCCAGCTCCTCTTCGGAATCCTCCGACTCTGACTCTGAGTCTGACTCCGATTCCGACTCCTCTGACGACGAAGATGACAAGAAGGCTGCGAAGACCGCCACCAAGACCCCGTCCGACTCTAGCTCCAGCGACTCCCCTTCGGACGACTCTGAAGGCTCCCCCCAGAACTCGGACAGCAGCGGAACCGTCAACAACTCCGACTCTGGCTCCAAGGCTGTCCAGGAGTCCTACTCTAGCAGCGCCAGCCCTGCTCCCGGCAACGGTTATCCCAAGAAGAAGCACGTCGGCGCTCGTCCCACTCCCCTGGCCGTGCTGAGTGAACTCCCCCACGACCACCCATCGAACGAATACGTCCCCTACGCCTACGCCGAAAACGCCTGGAAGGACCTGTCGGTCACCCGCGGCAAGGGCTTCACTAAGGAGAAGAACAAGAAGAAGCGTGGCTCTTACCGGGGCGGACCGATCGACATCTCCGGCGGCAAGTCCTTCAAGTTTGACGACTAGATGCAGCTTCTCCCACCCCGCCCAGATTCAATCAAACCACAAGGGCAACATCACGCATACCCACGATACCATATACTCAGGCATGGTAAACAAAAGTTCTTCTCACTTATGATTCCATCCATAGATCTATATGTCAAATCCTAGATGGGTCCCTGAATTATTTTCTACATCAGCAAGGCGCTAATGGAGCCCGGTCGGATTATTTCCTCTGCTTTTTTTTTTTTTTTTTTTTTTCATCTTTGTTCCTTTCGGTTGTATCTACTACCTACCTAGATTCTTAGAGAGATGTTGAACGTGTATTCGAATTTCTTTGCTACTTTTCCATGTATCTTCTTCATACAATGTACATCCATATGCATATCAATCGTCGTAGATCGTATCTCGACGTTGAAGCTTCCGAAAACCTAAACCAAACATCATCTATCCACCATGACACCTCTACCGCGCACCAGAACAACGACAAAGACAGCCAGACCATGAATCAAACACTACACAGCAACACACACAACTCAATCCTCCCGCCTCCAAGCCCCCGGCTTCTCAAGTCTCTGCCACCGACGATCCCACCCCGTAACCTCTTCACCCAGGACATCATCCTCCCCAACAGAACGGAACGTCTGCTGCGTACGCAGAGTGATAGAAGCAGTCGTATTCTCAGGCCGTTCATAGCCCGATAACTCCAGAATCCTATCTGCGCGCTTGGTACGACTATGCGTGTTTAGGTCGATGGAGAGCGGATCCCGATACCAGGATTTGCAAGGGCCATGGAGGTCGTCGGTGGAAGTGAAATCGAGTCGGACGACGCCGTCAGCGACGCCGGTGTAGATGGTGGGTGAGGAGGGGGAGGGGGAGGTCATGCTGTAGATTGCGCCGCGGTAGGAACGGGTGCTTTGGTTGCGGGGTCGGGTGCGGTTGGTGGGGGGGTGGGCGGAGAGGAAGATGGAGATGTCTTTGCGGGGGGAGGTGATGAGGGAGGGATTGGTGAGAGAGAGGGTGGAGAGGCTGGTTGTGAGGGGTTTGTTGTAGTTTGTGGGGGTTGGGGAGGGGCGTGCATCGTGGTAGCTGTATGTTTCTTGTTTGGGCATGCGGAGGTCGAAGATCTTGACTAGGGCGTCGCCGCCGGCGCCGACGATGAAGCGGTCATGTCCGAAGGGGTGGACGCAGTAGATGGGGTTTTGGTCGGTGGTGTCGTGGTAGACTTTTTCGTAGTCTTTGTCGGAGCGCAGGTCGTGCAGTCTGCGTGATGTTAGTGGTGGAGATGGTGATAGGAGGGATGGGAAGTTATACCGGACGGCTCGGTCACCCCAGGCTGCGAGGAAGACCTGGCCGGTGGGATCGAGGGGTGCGATGGCGTTGACGTTGGACTTGATGGGAGTGTGGAGGTTGAGTCTCTCAAAGTCTACTAATTCCACGCTGAGCTCGCGCTCGAGTGATTGGCGTTCCGGGGTGATGGTGGAAATGGCAATCGCATCGTGGATCCGACCTGTACTGACGGCGAAGAGACTGGGGGAGAGGAACTTGGAGTACTTGTTGCGGACGGCGTTGCCATCAGTAGCGCTTGAGTCGGTGTTGAGACGAGCGAATGGCTGGACTTTCTCCTCTTCCGACGTGGTGCTGTAGAAGAGGATTGATCCGGTGCTCAAGTGGGCAGACAAAATCGGGTCCGTTCCATAACTCAGATCGGTGCGTTCGATGCCCAATCCGGTAGTCATGAACTGCTGTTTGTACACATGAGAAGCTGCATCCGGGTCGATGGAGAGATGGAAAAGCTCGCCGCGCACGCGAGCAAAGATGATATGTTCCTTGTCGGGTTCTTTGGCATGATGTTCGGGACGCAGAAGATGAACACCGCAAATGTCATCGTGGCTGCTGATGTGGTCCAGGTCGTTGAAAACCACCCATTTCCCTTTCTGGCCAGCGCCGGGCTCTGTGATTCGCAGGACTACCTCATCTGCTGCACCCCAGGCAAGCACTTCCTTTCGGTCGTTCCAAGCCGAGCTATTCCAGACTTCGTAGGAATCCAAGGCAGGGCGGTATCCATGCGTTGGGTTGTCGCCTCGCAGAGATTGATGAGACCCGACCTTGACGGCCTCCGAGGCTGGAACGACAAAACGTGCGATGACTGCATGTTTGTCCAGGGCTCTGGAACGGGAGGTGAGAGCCTGAGCAGCTTCTCTCCATATCTCCGGAGTGACAACGCCGGGAAACTTGGTCCTGACAAAGGCTCGGAAGATGCGCCAATTCTCTGCAGCAAGAATCTCATGCAGGCGGTGACAGGTCCTGGACAGGTTCACCAACGCACTGGCGGATGGGAGATAGCATGCAATGAGCTGGATGATCTCCGGGGGTAGGTCTGCAAGCATTGTGGAGGACAGATACAGGATTAACTGTTTTCTGTGCTCAGGCAGATCAACCACAGGGATGACGTAAAAATCTCTGCCGCCACAACTGTCAGCCCAGGTGGGTTATATGATGCCAAGGAGTGAGAGAATGGTTTACATGTATACTACTCTAATTATAATCTAGCGATCTAAGAATGGCTTAGTGAGAGTGGTATCTGGAGGAAGTCCCCATGGCGATTCAGGACATTGTGTGTCCCATCAGTCACCGCGATGATCTGCAGAAGTGGGTGAAGCCATCAACGCGAGCCGTGCATCGGCATTCTGAGGTGATAAAATATGACTGCACAGCAAAGGAAGCGGTGAGAAGGCTGGAGAACAGCTTTAATGCTGATTTAGTCAGATACACTGTGAGCAACAGCACAAAATGGTGGCAGAAGTGTCAAGAGAGCGAGGGATTAGTAGGCTGGGGGGTCTCATGTCATCCTCGGCTAGCGCTCTTATCTTATCGCGGCGCGGAGTCTCCAGCTCTTATCGGCTGAGATACGCTCCATGGTTCGACAATTCCCCATGCACTGCACTGACTCAACCTGGGCCTGGCTATATATTGGGCTTGTCCCAGTGTGGTTGATTAGTTTCCGAGTCGTCCCAATGGTCAGCTGGCCCCTCTATGTGGAGTATATCTCTATCCATCGATCCTCTGCCTTGTTGCCCTCACTCTCTTGATTTCCGACACGAAAGTGACTCACCTGCAGCTAATCACCTGGCGTATTCTATGCTCTCAGGGTCAACGACCACTAACTAGGAGGATCATCTTCAACTCGCTCATATTGATCAGGCACTTTGGGGGACCGCAGCTTCCCAGCAGCATGGCCATCTCTGCCATCACTGCGGCGGCGGCCAGCCTCTGCATCCTCCTTCTGGCATACAAGGTCATCATATATCCAGTGTTTATCTCACCACTCTCAAAGATACCCAATGCACATTGGTCAGCCTCAATTTCACCTGCCTGGATTATATGGAAACGGTACAAGGCCCAGAACAACCGGACCATCCAAGCCGCACATGAAAAGCTAGGGCCCATTGTCCGGCTCGCACCGTCTGAAGTGTCCATCAACTGTGTCGACGGAGGCATCAAATCCATTTATACTGGCGGGTTTGAGAAACATGAGTGGTACCCCCGTGTCTTTGGGTCTTTTGGGTAAGGATAGCCCATATCGCGCATTATGGGCTCCTACTGATCGCAATCCTGCGGGTAGTACGGTCAGCATGTTCACCATGACAAGCAACAAAGCCCACTCCGCCCGCAAAAGGATGCTGTCCAACATCTACAGCAAGTCCTTCTTGCAATCCTCGCCTCATATGCACCTTATCTCCGAAACAATCATACTCGACCGTCTCCTACCCATCATCCAGGAAGCAGCCTCCTCTGGCTCACCAATTGACATGCACGACCTCAACCAGGGCCTTACCATGGACTTTGTCTCCGCATACCTCTACGGACTGGCCAACGGATCGAACTTCCTTCAAGACGAAGCCTTCCGACGCAGAATGCTCCGTCTCTACCAAAGCAGAAAGCCATTCGAGTTCTACCACCAAGAGGTCCCAAACCTCCTCACATGGACAAAGCGTCTAGGCCTCCGACTAATCCCCAAATGGTGTGACGAGGCCAATGAAGTCCTCGACGCCTGGGGCCTCAACTTTTGCGACAGAGCCGACGAATGTCTCGACTCCACCAACCTCGACATCGAACCCACAGTCTACAAGCATCTCAAACAGAGCATATCCAAACAACTCCCCCCCAAACAAAACACAGCAACATACGCCAACCTCCTCGAAAAACAAAGACTCGAAATCGCCTGCGAGTTATACGACCACCTCACGGCAGGCCACGAAACCAGCGCCGTCGCCCTAACCTACCTCTTCTGGGAACTCTCCCAACACCCAGACCTCCAGAACTCCCTCCGCGACGAGCTCCTCACCCTCGACCCCAAAATCCTCTACCCCCGCCCATCCTCCTCACGAGACCTCCCCACCCCTAAATCCATCGACTCCCTCCCCCTCCTCGACGCAATCATCACCGAAACCCTCCGCCTACACGCCCCTATCCCCGGCATCCAACCCCGAGTCACCCCATCCCCGGGCTGCAATTTAGTCGGATTCAGCAACATCCCCGGGAACATCCGCGTCAGTGCACAGGCTTACTCGCTCCATCGCAATGCAGAGGTCTTCCCCGAGCCGGAGACATGGCAACCGAAGCGGTGGCTGAAAGACAGCAATTCGCCGGCTGAATTGGAGGAGAGACGACGTTGGTTTTGGGCGTTCGGGAGCGGTGGACGCATGTGTGTGGGAAGTAATCTCGCCTTGCAAGGTATGGAGCATTCTCGACTTGAAGAATCTTATCCCGGAAATTGTCCCTCCAAGCACAGCATGGAAAGAGATCTAACCAATCGCAGAAATGAAACTAGCAGTCGCGGCCATCTACACCAACTACACGACCACCATCATCGATGACGAGGATATCGAGGCTATTGATGCATACACGGTCAAGCCGCGGGGAGAGAAACTAATTTTGAAATTTGAACCGGTTGTGTAGCACCGTACACAGTACCAAGAAACCTGCTGTCTATACCAATTTACATCGATTTACATTACCCCTTCTCCAACCGTACCCTCCCATGATCTCAACCCATCCCTATCCTACACCTACAAAACTATAAAGCCACCATTGAGAAACGAAACAATTGCAAATATTGAACACACACATACCAAATAATATACAAGTTTACAAATCCCACCCCCCCACCCCGCAGTCTCAACATAATCTGAAACACGCAATTCTCGACAGGTACGTAAAAGCCCAGAACGCCAAGTAGATAAATTTTTCTTCCCCTTCCCTCCCTTCAACCTCTTCCGCCAAGAACCTCGGTATTCACAGGTAAGTAGGTGGGTAGGTCGGTATATCGTATGCCCGTATGCGAACGCTTCGAAAGCATAATCAAACGCAGATAGGTAATCCCTTCCCCCGGAGAGGGGATTAACCCAGAACACCGTCCTTCTTCTTGGGACCGACGACCTTAGGGTACATTCTCATCAGGTGGTAGTTGATGGGGTTTCTCTTTTCGGTCTTGGGTTTCTGTGGTGGAAATGGTGGTTAGATGTGTAAATCGTGTAGAGGGATTGCATTATCGATAGCTGGCTGTTCTCCATCTATCAGGGGGGGGAAGGGGATACGTACAGGAGAATCCATGCACTGTCTCAATTGTTGTTCGAGGACGGCGCATCCCTCCGCGGTGTATCCCTGAGAGGCCCAGCAGCCTGTGATCAAGACATTCGCATTAGTCGGTGGGTAATGCATGATAGAGATACCCGAGGTATCCGCAACGCAGCAGCAACTCACTCAGCATGGACGACATCACCGCGACACAGGTATTCGGCTCGTTGGTGTTCGGACGACGGACTCGCAGGTGAGGGATGGTCTGCAACCGGACGGGGTTGAGACGGGTCGAAACACCCTTCGGAGGCATGATTGCGATTGAAATTAAGGGGACAGGAACAGACAATCCAACAACAGCGGGGAAACAGCAACGCGCAGCCAAGGTGACGATGTGGTCCGGGACAACCAAAAGTTGAAGGCTTCGGAGGTGCCAAGACTTTTCGGCGCTTTGCCCGCGGAAGTGGCTGATGTAATCACCGCGGCGATTCCGGTCTGATCAGCTGTTGCTGCTGCTGCTTCTTCACTTGTTCAGATTTGGTGCGTTGGACGCGATTATTGGAGACCGACATGAGCAGAAGGCATGTGAGCGCTCTTTACACCAATACTGTTGCCCCGGTATGTGCACCGCGTCGGATCCCGAGATGCTTCTCTACCGTCGGCGTGCGGCAAAATGCGGCAACCAAGACAGCTGAAGGCGAGGACGCCTCCAAGACGCAGAATGAGCAGCCGGAGGAAGAGGGCGCTATGGCGCGGAGGCTCTCGGAAATGACAGAACAAGCGATGCTGGAAGGAGGCCGGTCCGCGCGCAGAAACATGCAACAGGCGGGGTTCTCGGAGGAGTTGAAGCAACAGCTGGAGGAGAGAGTGGCGGCGGCGGCCTTCAAGAATGAACATGCGGCTGCGCACTCTATTCTCGACATGCCGGTATGTTGGGGACTGCAAGCTCTAGACAGCATCATTCAGACTGACAGATTCTAGTCAAGCGCAGGCCAAGGAACGCGAGACATCGCCGGAGCTCAGGCATGGACCGGGACAGAGAACACCCACGACATAACCCTCCGTATGCTGGACGATTCCAAGAAACGGATCCGCACGCCGTACAAGATCCCCCGACCGCAGCCGGTCGATATGCGCATTAGCTCGAAGCCCAAAGGGTCCACTGGAATGCGTCTCGCGACCGCCAAAGAGCGCACTGCAACATACACACTAAGTCAAACTCAGGGAGTATCGGATGAAGAGCGCGAAGCCATGCGTCGAGAGATGCGCGAGCGGTTCTCACCCGGCGCGCGACCTATGCCTGCCACGCTGCAGGGCTTGACGGCGCTCGCGAACGAGCGGATCGAGGATGCGATGGCGCGCGGCCAGTTCCACAAAATCAAACGAGGCAAGGGCGTGAACACCGAGACCGACCACAGGGCCAATAGCCCGTTCATTGATACTACCGAGTACTTCATGAACAAGATGATCCAGAAGCAGGAGATCGTGCCGCCGTGGATCGAAAAGCAACAGGAGTTGGCCAAGGAAGTTGATCGGTTCCGGTCACGCCTGAGAGCGGAGTGGAGACGACATGCTGCACGGCTAATTGCCAGCGAGGGAGGGTCTCTGGATGCGCAGATGAGACGGGCTGATGCGTATGCGGTTGCGGAGGCGCGGTTGGCGGAAAGAGCCAAGATAGAGCAGGCGTTCCGCGATGGCGACAGTCTGGCGTCTTCGGATGCGAATGTCTCTGGAGGGCAGGAACCTTCAGAAGCATCCACCGCCCAGAAAGACCCAGATGGTGCAACTGCTGAGCCGCAGGAGAAAGAGCATATACCCTATGTTTCGCCCCTGCGTGATCCGCAGTATATGAACACGGAGCGTTCGTTCCTTGAGCTGACTGTCAAGAACCTCAATGCTTTGACTCGGACCTACAATCTTCAAGCGCCTCCGGTTGCACAAAAGCCCTACCTCAATCTTGAGCGTGAGCTAAATGCTTGTTATGCTGAGGTGGCCCCAAGTTTGGCCGAGGAGATCAGGCGACGTGCGACTGAAAGAGCTCGCCCCAAAGACTCGGGTCCCAAAGCGGCCAGCATCCTGGAGTCTCTGAGCACCTCGAGCAATGTTCGTGTCTATGAGGAGGATCATTCCAAGGGCTACGGGTTCAAGCAATTCTGGCGAGATCTCTTTTCGAAGAAGGAATAGAGAGCCCTTGTATATACATCAAGGATATACTATGTACGATACGACCTTGCATGAATAGACCTGGAACCTCTCCATTGCGCAAAGCTTGAACTATCTATGATCCAAAGTCCCTCAAACGCGTCCATCTAACAATGCCTACTTCGAGATATCGCCTCAGGCACGGCGCTGCCTCTGCATATAGGAGACGAGGTTGCCCGAAAGTTGATTTCCCACAACTGCAGCGTCGACTGACTCATCTTGATCCTCATCTTCGCCATCATCACCGGCCTCACCGACGGCTTCCATTCTGAGCCAGAAGAACCTCAACCCCCACAATCCACGAACAAAGAAATACGCTGACGGCACATCATACACTATGTTGATAACACTTCTGGGGAAACGGCCCAAGTTATCCCCCGCAAAATCGAGCGAATGATTCAGAAGACAATGTCCCAGCATCCAGAGAATTGCACCCGGGACGATCGAAATCAGGCACGCTGTAAACTTTGCCCGGTACCGATTTCTTACCACCGATCGCGGCTTTTCGTCCGGCCTATATGGCGGTTCATCTTGCTCCATATATACAGGCATCTGCAATGTCGCCCAAGCGCAACTGTATAACAAGGTGACGACAATCATCAGAAAGTACACATACAGGGCGCCACCAAGATCTTCTTTGTCCGAATTGCCGAGCGTCTCTCTTGTGACGGCTGCACTCGACTCGAAAGCCCGTTTCACTGTCGAGGTCCCTCTCTTCCACGGAATGATGAAATTATGCCAGGGAATTTTGGGGAACTGGCCCTTGGGCCAAGCGGCTTGTGCCATGTCGGAATCGGCGAATGGAAGCCGGGAGATGAGTTCGACGTTTCCAAGCCAGACCTCGTTGATTGCATTGCCGGGCTTGTGGTAGTCCTCGGATTTGACCCCGTGTATTGCAGATAGCTTTTGACCCATGAGATGGTATGATATGGTGGTGTGAAGAGAGCGAGTGACTATGGTATAAACGAATGTGAATGATGCGGGAGGTTAAAAGAGAGAGGGCTGCCTGCTGGCCAGGATTTATAGCACCGAGGTGTGGTCACCAGTCATCGTGGAAGGTGGCCTGAGAGCCGTGACTGCCTCGTTTGGGGTGAGGATCTGGCGTCTGATGGAGCGAGGGAAAGTACATTGTTTGGCCGGGTTGCTCCGCCATCAAAGCATCGACTCTGGAGACACAGATCGGAGGAACATTTTGTATTCTTCCTATGACTGGCAGCAGATAGCCAGACACAAAGACGGCATTTGTCTCTCCCGGCGTCTCTCAATTATCCCCAAAATGTGTGCGGTTAATATCCGGGATGGTTGGCAAATCAAAGTAGAAGCTTTATATGAAGGTAAAATGTAGAACTGGCCCATGAGATATCAAAAACGTACCCAGGGTTTCAATGCATCCATCTATTAGTAGCAGTCTGTCACTCTAGCCGTGATCGTCCCTCGAAGTCCCTCAAATCCTCCATCAAAGGGAGGACAATCAGTTGAAATACTTCCTCCTGCAGCCGCTCATTTTCTAGATCTGTTGGTTTCCTGCCGTGTGGCCACCATAAGCATTGTCTCACCACTTCAGCATACTTCCAGCCACTCTCTATCTCCACCGCGGGAAGGTAGCGCATAGCTGTGTTCAAGCGCCTGATCGTCTCCGCACCATCACCGTCTTCGGACGTATATAGGACCTCTAAGGTCTGGCACAGTGAAAGCTCCACAAGAACGAGTCCTAAAGGAAAGAGAAGACCGTTCCGTCCGGATGCAGCAGAGCCTCCTTTCTTGCGAGCATCGCCACCGTTACCACCGGTTAGATCGCATGCAACGTTCCAAGGGATATACGGATTCTGTAACTGGCTGGAGGGATCGTCGAGGAACATGATATCCCGCGCTCTCCAGTAGCTCTTGAGCCAGCTTCCATGATACTGAAATACACTGGTCGCAAGCTTGGCCGCAAGACGCAATCGGTTCCTTCGGCTAAATAGGAGCCCGTCTGGACTGGGAACCCGCGCAGATGCCGATGAGGCTGTGACCAGATCCTCGAGTGATTGGGATAATTGATAGCTAGGTATGCATCTCAGGTGGTACGCGTTGTGTTTGCTCGTCTCGTCTGTTAAGAACCCAAGCAATGTTTGCTGGCCTACCTTGTCATTGATTCTAGACAACGTGGAACAGATGTTGTTAATAGGGTGTGTAGCCAATCGAGGCTCCGTCAGAACCATCGTACTGTTCCCCGAAAATGCTGGCGTGACAGAAAAGCGAACATTTCTATTACTCTGGCTGGAAGAGGTTGTGGATAAGCTGATATCTATGGTGCTGAAATTGTATACAGCTTCTTGTTCCTGCGTCGTATCCGCTTCAAACTCCACTTCGTGCCAACAATTCCAGGAGGCGGCCGATATACCAGCCATCTTTGATGCGAAAACCATACGGAAACGGGGCTTTTGTGACGACTCGACTTGGCTCTGTGTGTCCGGCGATTGGCTACCGAGAATAACCTGGACATAGTGCTGTTCCTTGCAGGGGCAGTCCCAGTACTTTTCACATATCATGGCGCGGTACAGACTGCGCGCTGCTCTGCGAGCCCTTCGCTGTTGTACAAGGGGTTGCTTCAATCTTAACCTGCTTCGCATTGCCTGGCGCTGATGCGTCTGGTCAACTAGAATCTTCAGCATAGAATTTGCAGTGCGTATGCGATTGAGAAGATCGGCATAGACGCTTTTCTTGAGGATATGGCGTAACTTTGTGATCTCTCGTTCCAGCGTGGACGGCTGATCCCACAGTGGCTGCACAGATGGACCAGGTTAGTCTGGCATGAACCATAGAGTGTAGGACAATCTATCTACCTTTGTCCCCTGGCTTTCCAAGCCTAACTTATCGGAGAGCTCAGCCAACAGCTCCGACAGTTCCGACATGGTTTGCTCAAATGGACCAAAATTGTCTCCGAACCTCTGTTTAAACCTCTCCTTGAAGTCAGGTCTTGTCCAGGGGCCTTCATGTGGCCTCTCAATCAGATCGCCAATCTCCTCGGCGTACTCCACCACTCCATCCAGAGAGAGGATAAGTGTGTTAACGAATATGGCCTTTTGCGTTTCAATGTTGGTGCGGTAGCTATCTAGCTCTCGGCGATACCGGTTCTTGCCAAATAACTTCAGTGTCTCAATACCCTGGACGTACTGATCCAGTTGGTTAATAAGCAAGGGGAGAATAGCAAGGACAATGCCTACAGTCTCGACTCCAGTCACCATGTTGGTATCTCTGGGAGCGGAGGACCATGGCTTGGGATGAAGGAAAGAAAGAAAGGCCAGAGGCTGACAAGCTGCCCAGACGCCGGCTTGGGTGCCGGCCTCAACCCCGCCTTCACTCTTCAGTCTTCGCAGCCCAAGGCGACCCAACCATCTGCTGGCTCATACCACCGGATAACACGCTCTTGGGAGGATTCCTTGCCTCTCCGTTGTTGATGGTATGGCCACCGCAATTGCACCTCTCGTTCGGTCTTCCTTCGGGCAATGGAGGGAGCTCGTGTCATCCGGGCAGCTTGCGGCATGTAACCACGAAGTCCCGCTTGCTCTGTGGGAAGATGAACTTGGTCGGCTGAGGCTTTGGATAGCCAATATTGGAGCTCATCAGAGCCGTCAGTCGTCTCTTGATTATAGATTACGCGACGCATCGCATATCAAAGATCAAGTAATACGAGTCCTCCGGCGATTACAACGGCTACATGAGGACCTGCGAGATACGTTGATCGGCCTCAATGAGGCCGGAGAAGAAGTGTCAGAAGGAAGCGAGGAAGAAGGTGAGGAGGAAAGTGAAACGGATCTACAGCAAATCTATAGAGTCCTACGCGACACGGTCGACTGCCTCTTCCAGTTATCCCTGGCAATCCGCCAGCCAGCACATCATGATCCTTTCACCCGGGTGAAGAGGGCTGATGCAGCCCACTTCGAGTATTACGATCGACAGCACGTCCAAAGCAAATATCCTCAAATTTCAGAAGCTATTTCTGATCGCCTGGGGGCGGCAATATCTCTCCGTCGGGCTGTTCTTCAGTATTATGAGCGCCACCACCTAAAGCTCAGCGAGGACCCTGACAAGGTCCTGTCTGATGCAGTCTCCGCTACCAAGTTGTCCGAAACCGTGGCTAGCGAATATATTCCCAAATCCACAGAAACTCTGGAAGCTGATTCACAGATATCTCAGACTTCGTACTCAGAGTCCGCATTTCAAGGAAGTGGTGGGCTAGCTATTCCCTCACTACCGGACGGATCAACTTACGGCATCCCGTTCGAGTGCCCCTATTGCTTCTTTCTGGTGAATGTTGCCAACAAGCACAATTGGGCTCGCCACGTATTCAATGATTTGAAGCCATATGTCTGCGTCATTCCTGACTGTCAAATCCCCCATCGCCTCTACGAGTCTCGCCGTGAATGGTATGCTCATATGCAGGCTCAACATAGGATGAGCCTGAGTGCTGGTGATCACCCCAAGTGCCTGCTTTGTGGATCTAGATTGAGTCCCGGGGAGGTCCTAGAGAAACATGTTGCCAGGCACTTAGAGGAGTTGGCATTATTTGCACTACCACGGCCTGATACGGCCGACGAAGAGGCATCATGTACCAGTCTATCATCATCCCATGAGGAACAGTCACCAGGTGTTGACTTGTTAGAGGAGAGACCGCCATCTGAGGACGACGAGGAAAATCAGACAGTCAGCGAGAGAGTCAGTGCGAAAGATATTGGAGTGATCAGTGATTCGGAAGATGATGATTCTCTCATTCAGCCAGTGTTTCTTGTCGGTCATGATGGTCATAAACTGAGAGCGCTTATGGCATTAGACACACAGGCTTCAGCGAATCTCCTCAATTATGAATTATGCAAACATCTACGCCTCCCAATGGAACCAGCAGGAGGGTTAGTGCTGAGAGTCTTCGGAGGGTCGGCTAGTGTAGTCCCACGGGGAATCCTCAAGGACGTCACCTGGCGCTTTGCAGCATATGAAAGAACTTACATCTCTGACTTTGTCGTGGTCGAAATGAAACACTACGATGCAATTTTGGGTCGACGATCAATCCAGCAGTACAACCTAATATCGCGCGGTCCATCTACCGTGAGGGAGACACTCAGCTAGAAATATAAGCCTCAGCCGGATCTCTCGGGGGTTCCGATATCTAACAAGCACCGCTGGCTTGAGGGGCATAGATCTCTTGCCTGGCTCATTGTGTCAGAGGTCTCTTGCCATGGGGTATAGGCTCCTGACTTATAACAGATTAGATACATACATATGCCAGGATATCAGAGCTTGAATGCCCTCGCCAAACTGCTAAAAATCTGGCGTGTGCCGTCCTATGGACTATAGTGGCTAACAAGGTGGCGCTAGACACTGTTCGTCAATTTAGCCCATGGGAAGGGCTCCGTCAGGCATGTCCAAAGGACCCGTCAACCACCTAGAAGCGCTACACTTGATTCAAAGCTGCAACCTGAATTATATGAAGGACTTCCTGCTTACTGGAGTATCTTGCTCAAGGGCGGCACTATTACCTCGTTTCATATCTCTGGAGGCATCCAACAATGCCGCTGGCCAACTAATCACCGGTACGAAAATGGAGATTTTCAAGGATATCCGGCTATCAATCATCCCAGCTAGATGTCCTCGGGGCCATTGTTGCAGATCGGACTCATAATTTGGATAGTAGTACCGCACTACTTGTGTCATTAAGATCACCTTGCGAGGCATTGGCAGAGTTCGACCCACAGCAGGGACTGAGTTATACTACACAGTGCCAGTCCTTGTGCATGGTTTCAACTCCTCAGTCAGAGGCACTGTTCAAACTAAACAACCGGAGTCAGGCGTGTGGGCGTTGCTCCTACGCTCGATGGCCCAACCTCATTCTCATGAATACCGAAGGTGACATCAGATCCCAATTACTTGAGCACCTGTACTTCGATGAGCCATTTGCAATTCATAAGCAGAAACTGTCACTTGCATGCGACTCCCTCGGACTCCAGAATCGTATCAAAAATGGGTAAATCCATGCGCTGATGATGCCGATCTCCATGCTGTGATTGGGGGGGTGTGCGGGAATCCATCCTCACCACTCCAAAACACCACCACTTCTCCCAAGCCAGTATCAAAAGCGGCAGCGATCGGAGTGCTCGCTGCCAATCCTCACAGAGCGCTAAGTCGGCCGCAGCGAGTCAACGGGGCACGGCCACCAGTGGTCAACCGCCCGATGTGACAGGACAAGCCGTGCATGCAGCCCGGCGCGTAAATTGACCAACGACCGACGAGGGATGGAGTGCCGGCACCATCACCAGATTTCACCCTCTCATCACAATCCCCCGGGCCTGTCAATATACCGCTGTCCCCCTCTTTCTTTCTTCATCATGTCTCCTTCACCGTGCAAGGATTTGCAGCCTCGAGAGAGCAATCCCGACATGCCTGCGGGTGCTACTTAATCACCTCGTCTGCAGTACCGATCGGAATCCGGATCTCCTAGAATGCCCTATCTGCTCCTCGTTGCGCTTCTTCCCCGCCTCATTGCTGCTGGCTCAGTAGTCCAGGAGCAGCCAATTCTGGTCCGTCGAAACAGTTATCCCATCACCCCCGACCTGAATGAGTCGCTCCTTGCCATCCAGATCGGAGGCATTGTCGGCGCATACGTGATCTTCGTTGCTCTTCTTCTCTCACTGCTCCTCTTCGTGGGCCGCCGTCTGCGACGAGCCGTCCTCTCCTCCAACTTCTCTCTCCAGGTCGAGATGATGAAGCCAGTGAAACCACCGCCCAGTACGGACCCCAGTCCGGTCACCCCCATCTCCGTCAACCTGCCCAGTCCGGGCCCGAGAAGCTTCAGCCGGTCCTGGAGCAGCCTCGGCAGGGCTCCCCGCTCCCACGTCTCAGGGACCACCAGCGTTGCCACGATTGACGAGACGGTGGTGGCATCCGACCGCCAGCGGGCCCAAGAGGACCTCGAGATGCTGTACGCCGCGGTCATGGAGCATGATGCACAGAAAGAAGCTGCCGCCGCCGCAACTGCCCGGGGCGCCAACAAGGACTCCGAGGAAGACGAAACAGCCGAGAACGAGATCCCCTCGCCCGACAGCATCCCCACGAACCCCTTCACGGACCGGGCATCTCACGTCTCTTCGGGCCCCGGCTCACCTGCCAACAACACTCCCCTGAGTCCCCGAGCCAGCTCGCGCCTATCCCGCATCTCATCTCTATCGCTGTTCAACCTCAACAAGTCCCAGGACAAGAAGGACCCAACCCAACCATCTACCCCAAACACGAGCAAGCTGCGCTCCCCACGACCCTTTCCCCTGCGCAAAATCTCCATTTCCTCTCCTGTCGCTTCCCCCTCCTACCCAGCAGACCACCCTCCCCTGACCCCCCGACACTACAACCCACCCCGACCCCCAGTGCCCCCTCTCCCAGCAGCAACAGCCCCCAGCAGCACCAGCACAACTCCTCCCCCGTTGCCCCTCCCCACTCCCCGTTTAGACACCAACTTCTCCCGCCAAAAATCCCCCGGTCCCTCTCGCGGCCCGGTTCCCCCACCTCTAACCCTAACCACCCCCACGGGCAGCGGCCAACAACACGGCCGGAGTCCTTCCTCCTCTCTCCCTTTCCGGGACGCTTATCCTCTCCAAAGCGCCCCAGCCACGAAACTTACCGTGCTCGAGCGGCCCCTGAAACCACTCAATGGGCCCCGGACAGGCATCCCCACGCCATATAGTCCTTATATGCCGTTTACCCCGGTGACGCCATTGACGCCCAGCACGATGATCACGAAGCGTCAGAGACGGCGAGCAGAGAAAGAAAGTGGACTGAAAGTACTGAACGAGGATGATTTGGTGCGGGATGATGGGGATATGTGGGGGTATTGATCTTCCCCCCCCCCCTCTCTTTCTTGTGATTGGGCTGAAGGTGTGCAGGTGAAGGTACGACACCAGTATATGATTTATGGTTAGTTATGTATGTACGTATGTTTGGTTCGGGTTTCGTTATAGTGATGTTACCGACTTCATCACCACTACTTATATGTTTATATGCCATGTCGTGCTCTATGAAGAATAAAGTTATGCTCTATCTACTCATCATCCCCTCCTTCCTCATTCATGACTAGCAGTACAAAACTCTTTACCCAAAGTATCGTAACTGTAATGTCAAAGTAGTAGCATCGTAGTATTAAAGTAAACCCCTCCATCCCATCCTACATTAACCCAACTAAACGAGATAAGATACCCCTATTGGCACGCAATACCCTACAATAATACCCGCACCACCTTTCCAACCCCCCAACCAAAAAAAGAATAAAGACAAGAGGACCAAAAAATACATCCCGAAGAGGGAGAAAGAAAAGAAAAGAAGTAATCCCACAAGAGAGTCAACAGCAAATGTACCAAACACCCTGAGAAAGAAATCGAGCATCTATACATCCTCCCCGCTCTTTCCTCTCTTTTTTTTCTTTCTTGGTATCTTCTTTGAAATCTAGGATTTGGTAATGTTCATGATTGTTATGTACGCTGCGAAGCAAGGCTACGTGTCGTAATCATGAATGAATTGGTGATGATTTGATCGTTTGGAGGTGGTAAGGGGGTATGAGTTCGAATGGGGTAGAATCGATGATGATGATGGATAGGAAGGTTGATGGAGGCGGTCAGGCAACGAGGCATTGAATTGGCATGAGCTATTTGTCATTCCCCTCTTTCTTATGATTTGGAATGATCATGGAGGTAAATTGAAAACATGTAATAATCCTGCTTCCGCTCATTCAACTCACTAGGGATATCAAAAGTACAACACAATAACCGACCAGCAATTATCTACCAATCCGGGCCCGCATCGAAATCGCAATTAAGTACAAAGAAGCATAAGAGTGGACCAAGTTACTATTAGAACTCGTCCAGGGTGGTCCCGATCCCGGTTTCGCGCGCCAACCGCACGAGATCGCCGCCCGTGACCAGATCCATCAGACCCATGCCGACGCTCTTGAAGATGACATTCCCCCGCTCCACCCAGTCCCGAAGGCTCTTCCCGTCCTCGCTGTCGCCGTCCCGCGACGCCTCCCGCACAATCAGCAGTTCGCCTAACTCCACCACCTGATGCGGTCGGATCCCCGCCTGCACGATCTCCCCCGCCTCCTTTAGCGCCGCATCCAAGCTATCCACCACTACCACTCCGCTCCGCTTGATATGTTTGTGGAAATGTCGGTGCGAGTGATGCACCTGAACCTCGTCGCGCAGCAACTCGGGCGGCAGTTCCGTCATGTGTGGTTTATAGGAGCCGATCGCGCTGATCAGCCGACCTTTCCGCCGCCCGTCGCGCGACGTGAGGATTTCCGCCGGGAAGAGCGGTTCCGTCGACGGCGTACAGCAGAAGATTGCGTCAGCTTTGAGCAACGCGTCGTGCAGGATACGCTTGTACTCGACAAAGTCGGTGCTGACGGCGGAGAACTTGACGTCTCCGCGCCAGCTGGCGTTCTCAGGCGAGTAGATATCACGCAGCAGCTCGGCCGCGCGGTCAAAGGATCGGTTGATAATGTACACCCGCTTGATGCCTTCCCCCCGCAGAATCAAGGCCAGCCGGATGTGCCAGTACGCTTGCTTCCCGGCGCCAAAGACCACCACAGTGCGGACTCGCTTGCGTTTGTTGAGGGTCATGGTGGAGGTTAGGGCGGTGCGGAAGGGAGTGAGCTCGTGGGCGTTGATCAGACCGAACGGCATGCTCGTCTCATCGAGCAGGGTCACACTGCCCTGTGGGGAGGTATCGCGGCTGCCAGCGCCAGGCCAGGCCCCCATGGTATTCGACAAGCCAGTGTCGATAGGTTGCTGGTTCACGCAGCCGGGAGCGAGGGATTTGCTGCTGGAAGAAGGGGAGGAAGAGCCGGTCTCGGCATCCTCGTGGGAGGACACGGATTGTTCGCTGCCTTCCGAGGAGATCGACGACATGGATTTTCTCTGATTCATTCGGACGGAGGAGGTGGCGGGGGAGACGGCAGGCAGGTCCAAGGAGGGATCGACTGAGCAGCCGGCCTGACCATTATCTTGCAGCGAGATCATCTTCATGCCCAGGGTGTGGCCGGTGCTGGCCGGCATGAACAAGGTCGTGCAGCCATTCTGGCGGGTGATGGCGGTGCGGGTAGGCTGGTAGGCAGCAGCGCAGCCCTTTTCCTGGCTGCCCGTGGAATAGTCGCGGAGAGCATCGGACAGGTTCTGCTGAAGCTCGAGGATCTGATCGCGCGAGAGCGACAGCAGGAGAGAGCGGAGTTGCGCTTGGGAGAGGATGGTGAGCGGCATGAGGATGGAGGATGGCGGACGACCACCGGAGCAGCAGGACGATGGGGGGATTAATATCCTGGTAGACTGTAATAAAAACTCTCAATGACCGGATCGGTGATAAGACATGGCCCGACGGAGCAGGAAGAAAGAGCGGCGGAGATAAGTGGACAAGAGAACCGGAACAGGCGGGGAGATTGGCTGCTTAAGAAGCACGCCGGACGCAAGCGGGCGGCGGTGGTCTGGGCGAGCGGACCAGATGACGACACTTAGGCCTCGGCGGGGCGTCGTCACTGGAATTGAGAAAGGTGAGAGTTGACGATGTGGGATTGCCCCTACTGACGACTATCCGTCTGCTGGACTCACTAGTCCTGGGATCGATATTCCATGGGGGTGGATGGAACCGGTGAGGATCATCGCGGACATATCGGACGGCCAGTCGGGGAATTCGGGATGACGCTCTATCAGTCACTACTCCAGGGGCCCCCGTACTACACAGTACACTGTCCTCCGTAATGGAGATAGAATCTCCTGCAGCCTGCACCAGCCATGAGGATCAGTGCATCGGTTGCCAAGCCCTCCCCCAAGCATTGGCAGTCGCTGATAGGTAGTTTCCCGGCGGTTCTGGCGAATTCGATGCTATAAATACGGGACACGACGGTACAGGGCCACCGGCCACCCTCCCTTGATGGGCCCCAAGTGGGGGGGGGGGTGGGTCCCACCACCCTCCACCACCGCAACGGGAAGGCACCACAAAAGCAAGTCCCGATAGCGCCTGCCCGTTGTGTTGCTTGTCTGGCAATAGTCGCTGCCACGGAGGATCCCACGGTGATCTTTTGATTTGGAAGGCACGACTCGAGGACACCATTGGTATCGTCCAGCTAGCCACGGCCTGGCACGGGGATTACTGCAGTGGTGGTTGTCCGGTGCTCAGTATGCGTCGTCAGCTATTAGTCCATTGGAATGGATCTGTGGTTTCATGCACTACCTCGGACTCGTGCATCAGACCTGGCGATCTGTCGGATGTCCATCGATATGGGTTGCGCGTTTATTGGGTTTTTCATTCTTTTTGTGTGCGTCTTTTTCCAATTGGGCTTGGGCCCGGAGTGGGAGAATATACACTGAGACGGCTAGGCAGTACGGCTAGGCAGAAACAATAAGGGAAGAGAAATAAACTCATGATGGTGAATGGCATTATCTGGATCACCTAACTAGTTCGGCGCGTAAGTGGGGGGAACAAAGGATGTAACTGTCCCTCCCCGAGTTTTCCAACCACGAGTTTCATTGTACCGCTCAATAATATCAAATTTAAGCGTCCGTCACGTCAATTAGATCTTTGTCACAATCTCTCCCCTATATGTCTCCCTAATTCTACCCCATCACATAGCTCTTCCTCATACATATTCAGCAAGCTCTATCTGCTCTCTCTTCAGCAACTTGTTCATAAGATCAATATCCCCGTGTGTCCTGCGAGCTATATCGCCGTAGATCCGTAACCCGGGCGAGGCATTTCGTTCCCGTCAGCACCTTCATCTATTAGCACATCCACAATGTCCTATCGGCCCTCACAGGTACTGCATCGCGACGTAGCTATATTCCAGCTAGTAGTAAGTCACTCTCAGACCCATCTGAATCAAGGCTCGTGTCATACTAACTTGTTCCGACGATACTCATTGACCTATTGTGGTATGATAGCAATAGCCAGGCCATCTGATAAAGCACCGAGCTTGCACTGAGCAAGTGACCACATATTCCAGGGCATTAACCGATCCATCGAGTCATCCCACAGTGGGATAAATGGACTCATGCCAGACATAAACAGCATTTCCAGAACCCTGAGATCCCTAAGCCTCAACACACTTCCAACAACTTCTCAGCTCACATCATGTGCAGTCCAACTAGATGGATCAAGACGTCATTGAATTTATCAACCGTCTTGCGGCAGAATAGCGCCTTCTACGCATAGTGTAAATCATTAGAGAGTTGACAAATCACGAATTGAATATCACTCCCGTGGACATATCCACCAGCCTTGCAATCTCTCTTTGCAGTCTTCTATCGAGATATTCCCATGCTACCAAATACACGGCCCCGCTTTTTGATCCTCCACTCCCTCGGCGTAACTCATGGTTTGATTTACTGGATGTGGTTCTTTTCGATATCTCCATGATGAGAGCAGAGTATGGGAGTTGGTGCCTTTGTAAAGGTTTGTGTTGCTGTGGGTATCTTCATGGTTTGGGGTAGTGTTTTCTCTTTGGTGGTAATGAGCTGCTTTTTTTCTGTTGATGTGTAGATTTCAGGCTGGGTTATGCATTGGTGTCATGGTTCTGTTCGGGGAGTGTTGAGGCCCCCAGGAATATGTGAGAAATTGATCGAGAGCGTATGAATCATAGGCAGTGGATGTAAGCTAGGAGGCATCGGTGGAGAGAGATAGTGGGAGAGAGGGCATGTGTGTGTGGCTGGCAGAGAAGCTGAATGTAAATGTACTCTTGTATCTTTGAATGAAGCTAGTACGTGAATGCTTTTCCTTCTACATGAAGAGGAGCTGTAGTAGTAGTAGTAGTAGTAGTGATAGAAGGACAAATAAAACCAAAAGAAATAATAATAGATACAACAATTCCATTCCTCTCTATATCTATATCTATCTTATTATGTACCTTGCTGACTCTCACCGCACAACGTGTGGACAAATCCTCGTCGCAAGGTCTATCTATGGAATTTATCCCTTATCCACCCACTATTCGGTATAACTTCAGTCCCTTGATACTCCCAACTAGCCAACCATGCCCACCAACCATCCACCATGAAGGCCCAACAACACCACCTGGGAACAGTCCCCACATCCAACATCTCACCCATGGACTACCCATACCCATTCAGCATACTCCATGGCGCGGTACAGCTTTCCCAGAATTGATACAACAACCAAGCAGTCTAGCAGACGAGATTCAGCATGGATGATGATGATGCAATCATGTTGCGACGCATTAAGGCATGTGAAGGGACAGTCATACCAGGTTATTGAACGGGCGGATAAGCTCTGAGACTTGGGTATAGTAGACGGTGTAGTATCTCTAAATAAAGCCATGGATGGGTTGGTTGGGGAGTAGGAATGAAGCCATGTGGAAAGGGTCGCGAGGTTTGTGATGAGGTAGTAGTAATCAAGACCAGGGTAAGGATGTGATGCAATCTTTCTTCACGGTTCACGTCTAAATGTTGCCAGGCTAATGACTTGGTAGATTATGGCGTTGTAGCTCCTGAGGTGAGTGGTCGATGTCGCTACCGCCACTCGTTGTAGAGAAACCTTGAGTCGTGGCCTGAGGTACCGCATGTAGGTGTCTCTGCCTATCAGGTCTGGATTGAATCCTGACACTGCGCCTGATGACAACCGGTCCTCCGTCTGGTTTTAACGGTGGCTCATCTAAAGAGCAAACCACCATAAGCCCCCGCTGATGATCGCTAAATGTGTCTCCGCGGTTGACTGCCCGATATTCCTCTTCGGTTACTTTAGATGTAACCGGTAGCATGAAGCTATGGTTATATGGCGTTGGTGACAGTACCTGAGATAGATGATATGATCCCAGCTACTGGAACATATCGCCGTAGTTGACTAAGAAAGTTCGTATGTTATGAATACCCTAGCCAGTCACAGTCCACGTCATGAGAGCGGCACCAGGAAATAGATATCCCGAGCAAGCGGGACTCCGCCACCCATGGGCTTTTCTGCGGAGGTCTGAATACCGCACCTAGAAAAGGTACTTGCTGTAGAAGAACCCACCGTCAGCGTAGCCCCGAGTGCTGGTCCTCCGCGTAAATCCCGACGAACCAAGCCGTCGACTTCATTCTCCGCAGCAATTGCCAGGCTGACTAGAGGACCGTTGCTCACGGTCGATGACAGCACCGACACTTGTGTGATGTCGAACACATGCAGAACCTCAGTGACGCATCGTCTATGAGCAATGAGTTATCCTGACTGCTGCTGCATAAGAAATAGGAGTATTCGCAGGCACTGAAATCATGCGGAAGTGATTCTGGTACATTTGACCTAGATTCAGAGACAAATGGTGCGGTTGGTGAGCATCCATTTGCCAACCGTACGAGGAACAATGTAGTTCGTCGTTCAAATATCTCGTTCGCTTGTGATCTGTGTTTGGCTGTTTGTGCGAGAGCTGAATCTCACTAGCATCTCCCTCTCGTCGAAGGAATACCATATAAGATAAACCAGCGGGTAGAGTAGACAAGTCTTGCTTTGCTGAGGAGGATTGTGGAAAAGAGAGAGAGATATGTATTCTGCTCTTGAATTAGAGGATATCCGTACATCCATCACCCATCGTGTCTAAGCTTCTTGACGACTTGGCTGTGCCGCTGTATAAACCAGGCCTCAGCTGCGCAGTGGTGTCATACAAACCCCAGGACAACGCGAAGAACGAGACCTTTATAGCTTTCAGGCGCCAGAACTCGCCGATTCGCATCGACATCTCGCACCTTCTTGACTGGTAGCTCCCAGCGAAGAAAAAAGTCGTAGGGGTGTTCCTCGAGAATCCAGGCTACCAGACGGCCACTGGAGTCTGGACCTGTCAGGCACCCAGCACGCTATCCCCGAAGAGGAAGCACGAATTCTATGGGCCGGTGGAGCAGACACTTCCATGATTCTTTGATGAGTTTGTGTTTCAGGCAGCGACCGTACATTTCTCACTGAATCAGGTCGACAGGGTCGAGATCCCGTCCGTATCATTCCAGTCCACGCCAAATGTCACCAATCCTTCCCCAGCCCCATTAGCGTCACCTTGGTGGCATTCCCGCTCACATTCTTCGCGCGAAGTCCTCGCCACCACCGGTTACCATCGGTGACAGGCATCGCGGAATGAACCAGCCAGGTGATTGATCACAGGCAATAATAATATTATACTAGGCTAATATACGGTCTCGTAGATACATGGCCATCAATTCATCGAGCAGTCTGGTAGGATCAGGAAATAATACCGACGCGGGAAACAGAATCCAAGAGTAATCAGAAGAAATGGAAACAAAATAGACACCGAATGGAACAACGCCGCCGTGTTATGCAAGCCGTCACCGTAGGACATGATTCTCTTGTGAAAAGGGTAGAGGGGGAGGATGGGTATTCGGGGAGTAGGGGTGTACTTTTGTCATCAGAATCATCAACTGCAATGGTATAGCGCCGGATATGTAAAGAGACAGAAGGTGGTTCATCAAGTCCAGCTCAATGACGCCGTCCCCCCATGTATGACCCCGTGGCCGAGGCCAGAAACCGGGCCACGAAGCCCGGATGGCTCTGCCCATGGCCATGGCTCGGGACATGCCGCAGTTTCTTGCTCGGCTGCGACAGCGCCTCGGCCTTGGTGTCGATGAGCGGGACATAGCTGCCGCTCAGCGACGGACTGCGAGCGGCGTCCACGACATGCACCTCATCCATGCTGGTGATGGAGCTGGAGGGGCGCAGGCTAGCGGGCGTGGCCCCCCGTGAAGCCAGACTGGAGGCACGCGAGCACAAGGATGGAACGGTTTCCGCGCGCGAGAGGCCAGGAACATCCCGCACGGACGGTGGGGAGGACACCGAGGCCTGACTACGCGTCGACGGACGCCGGCGTGGCGGGTACGGGCGGTACCGATCGGACTCCGCCAAGGAGGCTGGGGAGGCGCAGTGCGAGCTAGCGGACGACATCGAGGAGAGGGATGCAGACGATGCTGGGCTGGGAGGCAGGCGACGGCGTGAGGGGGACTCGGCAGCCACCCGGCGGGCGTCTTGCTTCGGACGACGGAGTCGGGCAGCCAGGATATCCGCCGAGGCATGGAAGCGACGCCAGTCGCGGGGCTGGCGCAGCTGGGCCTCCCGCTGTCGCTGCTCCTGCAGCTGATGGCGCCGACGGATGGGCGCGAGGAAGGGCTCCAGATGATGCAGCAAGTCAGCCTCTTCGACCCGGATGTCCCAGTCGAGCAGGAAGAGCAGCTGACGTTCCATGAGGTTGACTTCGGGCAGCGAGAATCCGAAGCCATCGTAGCCGCGGACGGCCGTGTAGCGAGCCCAGTGCTTGTTCTTGGGGCTGGAATCATTGAGATTCTTGGCGGCCAGGATGAGCGAGGCCAGAAAGATGCGGTGCACCGTGCAGCGCATGCCCTTGGCCACGGGGGGCAGGCGAGCCCGCAGGCGGGCCAAATAGACCAGCGAGGTCATCAGCGTCGGCACCTGCACCTGCGAGCGGGCGACCAGCGACGCAATGAAGGCCTCGACGGAGGGTAAAGGAGGCAGGTCATCATCCAAGGGGGGAGTGCTGGGAGGCGTGGGCTGGCCATGCGCGTGATGGGCCGTCACATGCGGTTCGCAGCGGATGACCTGCGACGCTTGTTGGGCCAAATGAGCGATCATGTCGCGCGAGACGGGCTGCATGATGAACTCATGCAGCGCCGACCGATCAAAATCCATGGTGGTGGGTGATGTGAAGCTGGAGTAAGGAGAGCAGGGATAAACGGCCATGTTGCGGTGGACAAGGGACAGAGAAAAGGGAGGACGAGCACAAGATGATCGGGCGAGAAAGTCCAGGGTATAGATAGATCAACCAGCAAAGAATGTGAATCCCGCCAGCAGGAAAGGAATGCGTTGTCGTGTCAACTGAGTGAGGAAGATCTCTATGGCGATGAAAATTGGCTCAAAATAGGACTGAGACACAATTGAGACAGAGAAGGACTAGCCGGTCGGGTTTGGCCACCGTGAGGAAAGGTGGGCAGACTCTGGGGTAATAATAAATATGATGAATGAAGAATGAGAGAGAGAGAGAGACAGGCTGGCCGAGCAATGCGACTGGTTGAGGGGTTGGTGGTGGTGATGATGATGATATTAAAGATTGACCTCGTGAAGAATGCATGCGAGCCCGAGAGGAGAGCACCGGCGAGCGAGCTTGATATAAGGGCGTCCCCGCCGATGGCTGGAGCTGCAAGGACGGCGACGCGCATTGCATGCATTCGCTGGCCCATTCATTGAGTGACTCCTCCATCAATCAAGCACCTGGGCTGCCCACCTGCAGGGCCGATCGCTGGTTGGCGCGCGACTGGAGCATGGCGATGATTGGCAAGCAAAGGGGGGGCAAAAGAATGCCCGAGACACGAGATGCAGGAATCAAGGGAGGCCAGCTGAGCGCGTTGGCGGCACGATCCTGGAACGCGTGAGAGGGTCTGGCCGTAGTCGACAGGCCATAGACCGGCTGGAGGGATGGAGGGGATGGAAGGATGTGAAGGACGTGATGGGATGGATCCATTCCAATGAGAAGGGAATTCTCCCCGCCCGTCACGTCTTTAGGGCTGCTGCCACCTGCACTTAAGCGCCCGTCTGCAAGCGCCGCCATGAAATTGTCATGCATGCTATTCTTATCTCTCCCGCTGCATTGGACTACAGTTCTTCTCATCACCTCCGCGGTTAACTGGGTTATATTTAGATGATGCCAAAATTGTCAACCCAACGGGTTTCCATCCTATGTACATGCGATGATTCGATCGCTGAGCCCCCCCCCCCCCCTCGGCGCGTCATCGAACCATTACCCCTCCCCATCCTACATAGTAGTATAACTATGTCCTCCGGTATCCTGCCCAGGAGCTGAAACACGGCGCCTACATTCCCCCCTCTGCTCCGAGCAAGTCCTCGTCTACCCCCCATCCTCCATCTGTCACACTCGGTGTTTGAATTTACTCAATCGACACGGAGTAGGAGGAGACGGTCAGCTTGGCGTTGCTGCCGGTGAAGGGCTCGGTACCCGCCTCAAGGGTGGTCAGGTACAGGCTGTCAGAGACACCCTCGTTGTCGATCAGGTAGGTGAAGAAGTCCATCAGATCACCGGAGAAGCTCTCGGTGGTGGACTGAGCGACGAAGCTGTAGACGGTGGTGTCACCGTTGGGGCCGGAGTACAGGTTCCAGGTGATGCCGTTGATCGTCGGGGTGGCGACGGTGGTGCCAGTGGAAGAGATAGGGCCAGCACCACCCAGGGCAGCAAGCCAGACCATGATCTCGTACTCATTGGACGAGGCATCGGCGGTCGAGCCCAGGAACATGTCGTACGACACGTCGGCCACGAGGTTGGAGCCAGAGTAACTGTCTATGTCAGCAAGGCCTTGAGACACGATCGAAACAATCCGGGATACATACGACCACTTCCAGCTAGAGGGGATGCTGGAGATGCAGTTCAGCTGAGTGCCGGTGAACTGCAGGGCAGCATTGGCGTAACTCTTGACGTCGCTGCTGCCACCCTCCCAGGACCAGCTGGTGTGCCAGGCGATCTCATCGCCGCTGGCGGAGTCGACACCGGTGCACTGGGAGCCGCTGGAGGCGTTGTCTTCACCCCAGAGGTCGTTGTACAGGATGAAGTCACCCGCGGTGGCGGTGTCCCACTGGCCGCAGAAGTCGCTGCGGCGGGCGACGGAGGCGGCCGTGGCCACAGAAAGGAGAGCAGAAAGAGCGAGAACCTTCATGATGGTGATTGATGAAAAGGAAAGACGAACGGTCGGAAGAATTTAGTGCAATGTGTGATCAACGTCCACTGACCCAGAGAATGATTGAGCTGATGGACAGAATCGGTGGCCGACCGAGCAGCCTTCTTATAGCCATGATGCCCGGAAGGCCGGCTGGGACAGGATAAAATTAGGTCTGGCCCTCATCAAGCAGAAACAGCCGGGGCGATTTAGCCTATGGGCCTGCCGAGCTTAGTCGTCTATGCCGTTGAGACATATGCACTCAGAAGAGAAGAAGCTTCCAGGGTGTTGGAGCCAGTGGACCTGAGGGAAGAGACCGATAGGGTCATGGTGGTGTTCGAACCTGGTCTCGAAACGGTCCCATGGAATGCTCCGTGCAGAATGGGTGGTCAACCCAGACTCACAGACACGGCGCACACGTCGAGAGCAGTTTAGATCAGGGGAATCGGTGGATTCGTCACCACCAGAAGGAATCATCTCCCGGCTGGGCTATGGGGCACGGAGATAGTCCGTTTCGGATTAGATAACAGGAGGCCGTTTAGATGAATGCCCAGAGGGGCGTGGCTCGTTCGCAGGGTGCAAGAGGAGCCAGATGCAGCCGGAATAATGAATCGATCGGGCGCATCCCACTTCCTGCTCCGTCGCCATCGATAGTCGGGCAAAAGAAGGGTTTTTGTGGATGGATTTAATATCTGCGGATGGAGAATTAGAGACCTGCCAGACGATCTTCGGGCAAGACGGAGCGTCAACTGGAGGGATCGTGTTTGGCGGCCGAGCAAACATGGCAGCTGACTCAGCCGGCCCCTGGTCGTCGCCATCCCGGATCAGGCAACCCTGGAGAATTAATCCAGCAATCCATCAATCACAACAATAAGAAGCATTGACCCATCCATCTTCTCTCCCCCTTCCAGGCTTCCACGTCCTGAATCTCCCCACCCCCCCATTGGCCTCTCCAGCTCCCCTCACCCGGCCAATTTCCCTCCGGACGGCTCGTCATCATGCGTTGCGTTAGCTTTGCCGTCGCCCTGCTGGCCCTTTTTGCCGGCCTCTACAGCTACCTGAACGCGCGGCTGGAGCAGTTCTACATCTTCGACCCCTCCCACCTGCATGACCTGTCGCAGCGGGCTATTGCTGCTCACGGCAATGACACCCGCTCCGTGGTCAATTTCATCGTCTCCGAGCTAGAGGACAAGGTCTCAGCCACGCACCTGAACAAGGAGGAAGAATGGGTCTTCAACAACGCCGGTGGTGCCATGGGCGCCATGTATATTATTCATGCTAGTGCGTATCCTCTGAGAGATCTAAATTTAACCTTTATCTCGAGGGCTAACTTTCGTTCAACAGGCATCACGGAATACCTGATCATTTTCGGTATGTCATCCCTGGCTCTGACCCATCGGAGACTCCATACTAATTCCTTCCTTCTATAGGCACCGCCATTGGCACCGAGGGCCACACCGGCCGTCACACGGCCGACGACTACTTCAACATTCTGCAGGGCACCCAGCTGGCGTACGTGCCCGGTTCCTATGAGCCCGAGGTCTACCCCCAGGGTAGCGTGCACCACCTCCGTCGCGGCGAGGTCAAGCAGTACAAGATGGAGGAGTCGTGCTTCGCTCTGGAATACGCCCGTGGCTGGATCCCCCCGATGCTCTTCTTCGGCTACGCGGATACCTTCTCCAGCACGCTGGACTTCCCGACCCTGTGGGCGACCTCGAGAATCACCGGCCGCGAGATGATCTCCAACGCGCTCAAGGGTAAGATGTAAACGATAGACGGATGGAATAGACGGGTATATGTACACTACTATCTCATGTTCGATGTGTTATTAGATTGACGACGTGGTTGCTCCGATAGAATTACACTAATTAATCCTGCCCTTGTTATCCCTTCTGCCTGTTTATTTTTCTCCCTCCGAGGAAACCGCACAAACACTGCAAACCCCCCTGACTAATCCGCTTATCGATAACTAACCACCTGCAAATCAGTTTATCGAAAATTGCTCCCCTCATCGCCTCCACTCCACCATCCTCAACTTCCCCTCCACCCAATACTAGGGACCCCAAAATGCCGCCCTCTCCCTGCGCCCTCTGCCACACCCAGCGGGCGGTGATTATCCGCCCCAAGGACCGCCAAAAGCTCTGCCGCGAGTGCTTCCTGCACGTGTTTGAAACCGAAGTCCACGAAACCATCACCACCACCTCCCTCTTCCACCGAGGCGAACGGGTCGCTATCGGCGCCAGCGGCGGCAAAGACAGCACCGTCCTCGCCTCGGTCCTTAAAACCCTCAACGAGCGATACGACTACGGTCTCGACCTCTGCCTCCTCTCCATCGACGAAGGCATCAAAGGCTACCGCGACGACAGTCTCGAGACCGTGAAGCGCAATGCCGAACAATACAACATGCCGCTGGTGATCGTCAGCTACGGGGATCTCTACGGATGGACGATGGACCAGGTGGTCGCGCAGGTCGGAAAAAAGGGTAATTGCACGTACTGCGGCGTGTTCCGTCGACAAGCACTGGATCGGGGCGCGGCGCGACTGGGCATCAAGCACGTGGTGACGGGACATAATGCGGACGATGTGGCGGAGACGGTGATGATGAATTTACTACGTGGCGATCTGCCTCGTCTCTCGAGAGGCACGAGCATCGTGACGGGCTCGGCGGCGTCGGATATCAAGCGCAGTAAGCCGTTGAAGTACGCTTACGAAAAGGAGATTGTGCTGTATGCGCATCACAAGCAGTTGGATTACTTTAGTACGGAGTGCATTTATTCGCCCGAGGCGTTCCGGGGCAGTGCGCGCACGTTGATTAAGGATTTGGAGAAGATTCGGCCCAGCTCAATTCTGGATATTGTGCGCAGTGGTGAGGATATGGCGTTGTTGGTGCCCGCGGAGGTGCGGGGGAAGGCAGCGGCGGAGGATGAGGAGGGCGGTGCTGGTGGGGGTTGTGGCAGTCAGAATGGGCGCACGCGCGGAGGAGAGATGGCAGAGATGGAGCGGAAGCTGGCGGAGGATGAGGCGGCCAAGGATCGAGAGACCGAGATCACGATGCCACGGAGGCAGCCGGAGCCGTCGCAGAAGAAGATCAAATCGCAGGTGCTGGGGACGTGTGAGCGGTGCGGGTATATCTCGAGTCAGCGGGTGTGCAAGGCGTGCACGCTGCTAGAGGGACTGAATAAGAACCGACCCAAGACGGCGATTGAGGTGGGGTTGGAGGATGAGGAGAGCAGTTCGACATTGCGGAGACAGATGGAGCAGGTTGAGTTGGGGATGACCTAGCCTCTGCACAGCAAACAGCATGACACCAGCAATGCTGCATAAACCCTGTCCTATCACTTATGTGCCACGAGATACCTTAGAAGTCCCTTCCTCTTCATCATCGACCTTCCCAGATGTTAACAGTCTATAATACATCTACCAAATACATACATCCATATCATACAAACACGTAAATCCATGAACAAAAAAGGAGTATCCCAAACGCCACCCATGTTTTTATCACACCAATCCTTTCCCTCTCAACCCATCCTCATCTCAATACACCAGCCCTCAATCTCACTCACATCTATCCAATTCCCAAATTCACTCCACCTCCCAATCCTCGATTCCCTCTTCTCTCCTCAATATAAATCCCCTCATCCCCATCCCCATCTCACCCCCTCTCTCTCCTCCTCCTCAACCTAATTCTTCTCCTCCACCTCAACCGGCAAATCCAACCCCACCCTCCTAGCCGTCAACCGAATCCTCTCCTCCTCATCAAGCGTCATACCCGGATTATACCGCTCGACGAGTTCCGCATACACGCGCTGCGCCTTCGCGTACGTCGCGAACTGCTTCGCTTCGTCGATGCGGCGTCTATAGGTTGCTTCTTTTGTGTCTTCGTTGATAGCCGAGGTGGAGGTGGAGGAGGAGGTGTTGGTGTTGTTGTAGAGTTCGCGGATGCGGTTTTGCAGGGGAGTTGGGGCTTTGAGGGTGCGGCGGGGGAGTTCACGGAGGAGAGAGCGGTAGGTTGTTTTTGCGGTTGTTGCTGTAGAGGACATTTTGGGGTTGTGGGAGGTGTTGGGTGGTTGGCTTTTTGGGGTGGGTTTGGTGGTTTGGTGGTTTGGTGTCGAGTAGGTTTGGTGGTGTGAGGTGTTGGGTTGGTTGGTTTGAGTGAGGATGCAGGATGGAAGATGGGAGAGGATAATGGTATCACGTGACTATCTACATATGCACAGGTATGGTATTGGTATGGTAGTATCAACTACACAATGTATGTACATCATCAAATGACGATCATCACATTCATAGTACTCGTTAGCTGCTTGCGCAAGCGGTGTAGTCATAAACACGGCCCTCACGACCGTAACCAGCCGAACTTTTTCCGTCCGGTGTCGCCGCCAGCCGACGGTTCTACTTGCATACTGCGCGAATACAAGTCCTGTTCCGTTAGCATTTCTTCATAGCAAGGAGTGGTAGGGGGAATACCTCGTCATCACCCGACAGCTTTATCTCTAGAATCATTCGCTCTACCTCCTCGTATTTGGCCATGTGCGGGTACGGCGTCTTCTGGCTGCGCTGGATCCCCAGCACAACCTCGCCCATCACCTCGAACTTGCGCCAGTTGATGCGCGTCTTGGTGTCGCCCACAAACGTCTTGTTGCCCTCCTCTGCTGACACCAGATCACGTCGGTGCAGCGGCAGGAACGGGATGCGCTCCGCAAACGAATTGTCCCATGCCAGGCGATACGCAAAATGGCTCTTCTGCGTCCCCATGAGGATGACCAGCCTCATGAAATCCTTCTGCGTTTGAACTGGCACCAGGTCCCGCGTCTGCGACAGCCGGTGCACCGGAGTTCCGTTGATACCGGCAATCACGGCCCCAAGGGAATTGTAGTTGTTGAGTCGACGGAGTTTCTGCGGTCAGGTTAGCTGTGTCGCTTGGTCGTACCGGATGACTTACTAATGCAATGTTCATGAATTTTTCTAGGGCCTTAGCCCGGTGCTTCGGCTTGTCACGAAGCAGAATCACACTGGCCACGAAGAACGCCACATGGTTGAATTGCTTGATCATGCGGTTGACGTGCTTCAAGCTCTGAATCTTGTCCTTCTCCAGCCCGGAGATGCTGACGTGCCGCACGAGGTCGCGCGGTCGGAAAGAATTGAACATGATCCAGTCAATGCGCGTCAATTCCCGCGCGAAATCTTCATCCGGAATCTCCATGAGCTGACGCCATTGTACCTTCGTCAGTGGAACACGGGGCGTGAGGTCCAAATGCTGCGCCTCTCTCTGGGCTGAATCGATATTCAAAAACGTGAACGACTGGCTGGCCACGGTGCCGGGTTTGTCAGAGGTAAACGAGTTCGACATCGACCCCGACAAGCGGGACGCCGGCTCGGCGGCACCCTCGCTGAGATCGAGCGCACTCATGTTGTATATGGGGTCCTCTTCCTCCTCCTCGCCTTCGTCGCCAAGCGGTGGCGCCCCCAGGAATATTGACGGGGAGCTCCGCCCGGAGAACTGGAACGGAGGGTCGACCGAATCAACTTCCTCCACGTCGCCATCTCGGTATGGCCATCCAATATTATCGTCGTCGGTGTTGCCCTCGAGATACGACCCCACCTCCTTGGCAGCGAACATGTAAAAGTGGCTCTTCTCCAGCGTCGTCACAAAATCCGTGATCCGCTTGCGCGTCTTCGGGTATGCCAAGTCGCCTGGATACTCCGAAACCCACTGTGCCATGACACCGAGCAGCCTCAGCTGGACTGCGATGCGATCGAGTTGGTCGATGATGTCGAGCTCATTCCGTTCGAACCGGTTGATTAGGGCGTTTAACAGAGTCGATGGGGCGGCGAACTTGCGATAAAGACAGAGAAAAATCGAAGCGAATTTCGAATCCTGTTTCGACATGGGCTGCGCCACCAGTCGGTCGACCAGCTCGTCAAAGGTCAGGCCGGTGTCGTGGGATGAGCCCTCGCTAGGCGTCTGATCCTTGCTACCGGGGCTGGATGGGGCACTGCGCGGCCCATCAAACTCCTCCCCCATTTCGAGAAAGTTGCTGAAAGCATCGGACCCGCCGCTGTTGCGCCAGGCGGTATGAAGACGATGTTGACGGTTAAGATCCTTGCTGGGCGATGACTCCCCGGACGCGGATTGCTTGCGCGAAGCCAACCGGGGCCCCGAGGGAGGCGTGTGTGGACGCACCGGATGCGAGTTGCTCCGGGCATAGCGGAAGGCCTGGCCATTAGAAGCCAGGTTGGCAGAGGGGGCCGGGTCGGTGGGTTGACGGTCTACACCGTACCCATCGACTCCTGGATCGAGCGCTCCTGTAATTGGGCCGCCTGCGGCTCCTGTGAACACGGCTGTGGGGGTTTCTGAGTTGGCACGGCTGTGATGCCAATCCGGGGTGGCGTCTGAGTTGGAGGGGAAATCGATGAAATCTAAGAGATCGGTTAGCATCCACGTGTGGTCCAGCCCAGCGGAAAATCAACGGCGGTGGGAATACGGCGGTCCAGCTGCGCCAGCTGCTGCTGCTGCGCTCGCCCGGCCGGGGGGATCGGCGGGTCTTGAAAACCACCACGAGATTCGGAGGCCGCCAACGCTAAACGCAGGCCGCGCCGCCAGCTAGCGCGAAACCCAGTGGGCCACGCTTAAGGGATGGGTTTGCCCCCGGGGGCGAGGCAATCGTCGGATGATGCGAGCGGAAGATAACTGCTGAGGCAATGGTCCCTTCCGCCCTGTTCTTCGGCTTTCCTCGCCTCGGGCCAATCCACCTGGCAATCGCAGTCACAAATCCACTTACCATATTTGCTATTGATCACCGAACGCAGAACCAAGGCGATGCACATCTTCTGCGACCGTGGGGAGTCAGGTGAGGTTCGGTGGATTTCATAGCCACCCAATACCGGCTCCACCGGGCTATCAGGGGGTTGGATGTCGCATTTGCTGGCCACCAGCGTAAAGGGGATGCCAGAGGCGGTTAAGGAATCTGCAGTCCATCAGTCCATGCCGGGGATATATCGCGCGGCCATCGCGGCGCTGGAAATGGGCCATGCGACTAACCTAGTAGGCCAGTAATCTCGGGAAAACTGGCAGGTTGAGTCACGTCGTGTAGAACCAGTACTCCATCCACCGTAGGGGGCGAGTCGTGACCCAGCAATGGCCAGTTAACCTCGCCATTGCTCCCAATCGAGACTTCCAATGTATCAATCTCCATCAGACGGACCAGGTACACCGTCCCATCCAAAGACATTTTCTTCGTCGTCGATCGGGAAGACAGCGGGTGTTTCATATCCAGGGCGGTTTCAATAAAGGTCGACTTGCCAACATGGTCAGGGCCAACCACGGCGATGCTCACATGGGGGAAGTTCGGCTTCGGTGTGGTCTGCGGCACTCACGGCGTGTCAGAAATCCATGCGCTCGCCAAGCACCCAACAACACGGGCAGAAGAAACCATACCGCATCCCGGGATGATGGCACCCCATTCCCTCCGGCCGATGGCGGGCCCTCATCCTCCTCCACAAGCGTCCGGTCGACCTTATTCCCCGATTCCATCGCCGTTCGGGACGATTCAAGCCTGTACAGTCCTCCAACAGGGGCGGAATTCGTTCGACTGGGAAGACCCGGTCGCTGAGGAACGGGTACCGCCTGAGCTTTGTCGCTAGATGCTCGCTCTCTCCGCGTGGATTGGGAGGTCATGATGTCGGGGGCTATTTTTGCGCGAACGGATGGGCGGTGCTGTGGCGCGAGTAAGATCCGGTCGAACAAACAAGGTGCGACAGCGCAGGGTCCAACAGCTACGTAAGTGAGTGAGGCGGACACGACAGCTCATCCATTGTCGCTTGAGAGAGAAAAAGTAGAAAGGTCCAGGGTATGTCGGGTTCGCCGCAATCGAAAGGGTGGAAGAGGGCTGCTCGAATCAGCTCGGGGAATCTCCCTTTTTATCCTCCGTTGTCCGTGGCCTTCAGGTGTCGACGGCGGTCTGGTGTTGTGTTTTCTTTCTTTCTTTATTTTTTTTTCTTTTTCCTTTTCTTTTTCCTATCCTGGGATTTTGGGGGGGCGGTTCTCGTCGGGTGAAGCAGGTTACCGGACCTGGACACAAGCAGAACCCAAGTTAGCAAGAGAATGGATATTGGCAGCGGCAAGAGGGTAGCACAAGTCTTACGAGAGGGGGATCGGGTTGGCAAATCGACCAGGAGAGTAAAAGGTCTGGCGAGAGGCGAGGAGGGGATGGTGTCAGAGAGAGCAGCTGGAGGAAGACCGCCAGTTGCAGACGGAACGATGTCACTGGACCGAAAAATTGAGCCCCCAAGAGACGGCCGTCAGAGTTGGGGCATTTCTGCTGTCGGGGGCGGGGAGAGGGTCAAGTTTGGTTCTGCAAATGCTAATGCTAATTGTAAATGTAGATGGGTCCTTATTATTAGAAACACCAGGCCCCTCGCTGGGTCAGAAAGATGACAATGGCAGGCGGTTGTGATCTTAGTCTTACGGAAGTCCGTCCTGTGAATTAAGTATTATTTCAATCATCCTCCTCCCCAGTCCGATGGACTTCCTCCATATTAAGTTCCTCCTCCCCAACTCCGAACCCCCGATCCAGAACCCCAATCGCTCGTCGCCAGTCGGCAAGGAGGCTGCGGTCCAAGCATCCACCACGCCGGACAACCACCACTAGCCATCATCACACACGCTTCCCAGCGGAATTCCCCCCAGACTATCATAATGAACTCATCCCTCCGAAATCCCCCTATTAAATAGGCGGAGACGCTCGGGACAAATCCCATCGGATCTCGCCCCGACAGGCAGTGGCACCCAAGACGAGGAGATCTGTAACTAGCTCAAGTAGTCCGGATGCCTTTGCGAATCAGACAAGGCAAAGGCCGTCAAAGAGGGCAATTGCTCAGATCGCAGCAGTCCAGGCCTCCCGTTGGCAGGGGCCCGGATGTGACGAGGTGCGGTGATGAACGATTGGCGGCATTGGGGGAAATCCTTCCAGACGGGTCGCATTTCCCCGCCATTTTCCCTCCTCATGCCGGCAGTCAGAGCCAACCTAGGTTGACTCGTTGAAGGCATTGGGCAAGATCTGCGATGTTGAGGTCGCTCAGTCCAGCTGGATGCCTGCGGAAGCCGGACGAATCAAGCGACGCTCTCCCCCATCGACATGGGGGAAGGTCTGAAACATGGCTTGCCCAGTCTCCGATCCGCGCATCAACTCGATTCGACGTCCGGTCCGGGCTGTCTGTTGCCTGGTTCTTTGTCCACCGGGTTCGGGTCACATGTCCCGTATACTTCAGACTATCACTTGCGAAACTTTAGTGGGAGCTTGAAACATACCGTGGCCCCCTGAGCTACATGTAGTACTCACATACACTCTGTATTGGTTTTTGTTGGATGAGCTGGAGACACACACTTGGTGCCTCAGGCAGGTGACCGTGTCCATGTCCGGCCATCATACAATGTCTTCCCCGTTGAATATCGACTCGTAGGTCGATACATCCCATGGCTACATTGACACGAAACTCAACCCACGTACATTTCGAAGGAAACACCAACCGGCTTCGTGTGTTGCGCTGTCGGCTTCTCGCAGGATGACGAAGCCCAGCTATTCACCTCAGGTACAACTGGTGTTGCGCAGATGGATGGCCAGGCATTTCTCGAGGACCTAGAGGCACATCGGGGATCGGGATACTATGAGAATATCAATGAGCGTAACGTATGCCAGTGATGGCTTAGTGTCAAGCAATACAAAAGTACGGTGGCTTCGGCTAGACCAAGGGCTGGCAATGTGAGGTATTATTTTAGATTGTAGCTTTTCTATTTGAAAGCCATGTCGATCGGACAGAGGACGCCCGTCAAGACCAGTCATTCTCATGGACTTCTGAGTGCTATGTAGTCAACCTCGGTTGGTGGTTGGTTGCTATTATTGGTGTGTGATGTATTCATATGCATCCTCGGGATGGGACTGGATCTCTCAAATAGATCCGCCTGGCCTGTCTCGTCACCAGGAAGATCTCGGTGCGCCAGCATATGCAAAGCATCATCCTCGGCACATATCATCGAGGAGTGCACAGATGACGGACACCCAAATGCAGACCCACGTAGCTGGAGGGTCTTGCTAAGGGACTCGCAAATCTGGCAGCCCTCAGATGCCCCCCTGTGGAAGCTCGTTTCCAGTGATGAGAGCGATGAACCGCACAAAGCCTTCTGCTTTCTTTCCGGTCTCCAGGCCCTCTTCGCATCGCTCCCGCAGCTTCCTCACCTTCCCCACTCCTCGGTTAAATCCCTTCTCACGCGTCCAAGGACCACGATGACGTTGTGATGGTCTGCCTCTTCCCCAGTGTCGGGCCCGACCTCCCGGGTTTGGTGTCTCTGGCCATGCTTCTTCCGTCGTATCCTTGTAGATGTCATACAATTCTTCACGAAGCGAAGGGAACCGATCGAGTAGATCCTTGAGCTCGGTTGACGATCCTAGGGACCTGAGGTCGAGGCCGTTGTGAGCGGTAGGTGCCACCTCACTGGTCGCATTTCCGTTGGCTTCACTTGGAAGCGGTTGGGCGTCGCCTGTTTGGTCGGATGGTTTGGGCGATGATGCCTTAGGTGCGCAGTAGATTTTATGGGATTGGGTGCATGCAAGGGAGCAACTGGGAGGATAGCATTAGTACGCGAAATTGTTCTGTCCCTCCCACGGAATTCGATGAGAAGCGCAAGCATACCTCATAAGCCCGCAAGTCGGACATCGGTACTTCGAAGGCTCCGAAACGCAAACCTCGCAATTACCGGGCATTTTATCGCCAGATTCCCATCCAAGCCTTGTGCCAATTACGCGACAATCAAACTGTGTAGGACATTGTCCTGCCTCGACCGGTCGCAGCGGGTCCTAGGGAGCAAGCGCGTCGACACGTGGACCAGGGATTGTGCCTAGGGTCCTGGAGAATGAGAACGGGTGCAAAAGAAAGTGATGTAAAGGAAGCGGCCGATAAGAATCCGTCAGGGACGATCGTCTAGTGGACCAAAAAGGAACAAACTCAGCCCATCGGGGCTCACGTGAAGTGGCGCCGGCCATGACGACAGTCCCCTTAGTTCCTGCAAGAGTAGCTACAGTCTCCAATTTTACGTTCAACCATGCATCCAGCATTTTAAAGTCACGGTCTGGACAATGGCTTGATCATTTGAATGAGTGACAGTGCGGTCTGACGGACTCGGATGAATTGACCAGCCATGGGGGGCATTCCATTCCGATCAACGGGATGCAATACATGCCGCCGCCGAAAGGTCAAGGTAAGACTGATCGAGCTAACGGTTGCCCTCGGGAAACGGGCAGCAGCAGCACCGGCTGATGATGATCCTTGTCTAGTGCGATGAGGCAAAGCCGGAATGTAATCGCTGCACTAAGAACGGCCATGTCTGCACCGGCTATGAACGGAAGAGGGTCTTCATCCACAAGTCCCCCGAAGCCATCGAGGAGGGCGATCTGAAGCTCGTCCGCCGCCCCAAGGCAGCCCCCGGTAAGATTGCCGACCGTCAGTTAACGCGAGTGGAGCCGGAGCTCCCCCGTTTGAATCTCAATGCAGCGGTCCGATCGCAGCTGCTCACCTCCTTCATTGAGACCTTTCTTCCTACATCAAGGAATCTGCAAGGTGGCACTGGTCCGAACATCCTCGAGTCGCTCCCCGGGCTGTGTGGGAACAGTCCTCTCCTGGACAGAGCGGTCATGTCGCTCTCCTCGGCGTTTCTGGCGAAACAACACAAGGACGATCGGTTACTCTGGTATAGTACAAAGCTCTATAACACCTCGATGGAGATCATGCATGGTAAGATCAGGTCTGGCAGAGGCCTGGGTCAAGATGTCCTTTACACCACCGTAATCTTCCAGTTATATGAAGTAAGCGCACTGTCTTCCTACCCTCCTAACTCGCATTTTGCCCTCGCAGCTGGCCTAACGGTATGACAAGTTGATCCATTCGTCGCCTCCGGGGTTCATGGCATGGATAGCGCATGTGCAAGGCAGTAATGCAATCATCGATCAGTGTGCTGGGCAGAAAGAGGAGACCCTTGCAGAGAAGCTGTTCCACCGTCAACTCAAATTCGTCACTGTCAGTCTCCTTGGCTTCGGGTTGATCGATCAGCTGATCCCTGTCGAACAACTGAAAGTTGCTGACGTTGGACAACCCAGTTATGTGATGCCGTGGGGAGGCGCAAGGCAGCCACTCTCTACAACGTGCTGACTGCGCGAGATCGCTCATTACGGGGCTCGGCAGAGCTTGAGCCGATTGATGAGCTGACTGATATCTTGGCCGAGTGCTCCGCTCTGATAGAACGAGTAGACAGCTTCATCGAGCAAGCTATTAGAAGCCCTGGGTGTGATCGAAATGCTGGTGAAAAGTTGCTGCGCTCTTGCCTATCACTGGAAGAAAAGCTTCACCGGGCCTGTCTTGAGATGCAAGCAAAACTTGGAACGCCATCGGCTTTCCCTCATGACGCTCCCTTGCGAGAGGAGTTTAGAGCACATCTCGCCACCGACTTATTCTCCGACCCCTTCCAATTTGCTTCTCTGACTTGTGCCGAATCGCACCTCATTTATTGGGCCACTCTGATCCTGCTGTATCCGCTAGTTGATCAGCTTGTCGATGTCCTTGGCTGTCCGAAAAACGACGTTACACCTTCCCCGTCTTGTATCACGCATTTCCACACGAATAAGGGCCCTTCCCTGAACTCTGGCGTGGCCGCGAACTTCACAGCCCTGGCGGAGCACTATGCCGACCAGGTCTGCCGTTCAGTCATGTACTGTACACAGCCCGATATGAAGACCCTGGGCGCACAATACTTGCTTGCTCCTCTCAGCCAGTGTGCGCAGTTCTTCCAAGTCCAAGAATTGGCGCAAAAGTACAAGTGGTGTCAAGGGGTGTTTATGCTCTTTGATTCGCTGGGTCTGGGAATCGCCCCGTTGCTGAAGGACATGATATGGCCCCAGTACCGTTCCGCTCAGCTGCGTAGATCCTTGTCGCCCGTGGAAGAGGTACCATAATGAGCCTTGCGGCCATTCAATATATCCCCATGCCAAGGCAGCAGGTCCATTCGATCGTATCCAGGTCGCGCCCAGATTAGACGGCCGTGACAGTCACCTCGCCAACTTCATCGCCGCGTCGAATCAAGATTCAACTCAGAACAAAGGGTCGAAGCGATTGACATGTCACCGTTAATCCCGGGAAGAAACAAGGTACTGAGTTGCGAGCAAGGTATGTCACCACATGATCTCTCTGCGCTCCGTGCTGGACACGTTGGAGTCGTTAAGGTGACCCAACTGGATTAGAGCCGGGGCAGGCTTGTTTCACAGTGACGCTGGTCCGGTAGGGGACCCAAGAGCATATCGCCTCTTGCGTAACGCAGCTATAACCAGTGCCACACAGCTGAGAGGCGGCGCCGTGTCACAGATAACTTAGTACTGGCGACTGTCCGTCGACCAGTAGGAGAACCTACATTAGTACACCGTATCTAAGCCCTGAGTGATTATTCCCTAAGCCAAAGCAGAAGAAGTCGAATGCCGAACACCTGGAGCCGAGATGTCAAACCAGAGACAGGTGATTGGTGGAGCCACGGTCAATTTGTCAGCGGACGTGGCCCAGCCGTCACGTGCGCTCATTGCGTCAGAGGTCGGAAGAAAGCATTGGAGTTTCCCATCTGGACGCTTTTCTTCGTCAGGAACCAGACGGATACACGCCACGCACCTCTCTTCTATCTTCACAATATGTCGGTCAGCTCGGCTTCCGGAAACATGCTCAGACGCACCCTTTTTAGCGTCCGGTTGACGACGCAGCAACTGAGCGCCGCTGAGTGCTCCTCCCAGGTCGCCAGACCCGCGGTGTTTGGATCCTATAGAAGCGTCCACCGTTCGGCTCGATTGCCCGCTATCACTGCATCTGAGGCTCGTCGTCGGCCGACCTTGAAGCCTCATCAGCATTCTACCGTGCAGGCTCGTGTGAACGGACCCTCGCCGTCGAGCAAGCGGACGATATTCATTCAGACGGAAAACACTCCGAACCCTGATGTAGGTTCCTGTAGCACCCAGCATGACCACCCGAACAAACATCTGACCTTGTATGCGAAACAACAGGCATTGAAATTCATCCCTAACCATCGTGTCCTCCCCGAGGATTTCCCGTCTACATTCCTCGAGTACCTGTCACCCCGCTCTACCCTCGCTGCTCCGCACCCCTCTCCCTTGGCGGCGAGCCTGCTCAACGTCGACGGTGTCACCTCCGTGTTTTACGGACCTGATTTCATCACTGTGACCAAGGCGACCGACTCGAACTGGGCCCACATCAAGCCCGAGATCTTCAGTCTCATCACCCAGGCGGTGACCTCGGGCGAATCCATTGTGAACACCATCGCCAAGACCGGTGCTGAGCATGGACAGGAGGGTGGCGAGTCGGAGTCTCTCAGCTATGACGAAGAGGAGGACGAGGTCATTGGCATGATCAAGGAGCTTTTGGACACAAGAATCCGGCCCGCGATCCAGGAGGACGGTGGTGACATTGAGTTCCGGGGCTTCGAGAACGGTATTGTCTTGCTCAAGCTACGCGGAGCTTGTCGGACTTGCGATTCGAGTACCGTGACGCTGCGCAATGGTATCGAGTCTATGCTGATGCACTACGTGAGTACCACCATCTACCGCTTGGAACAAGCCGAGACTAATTGCCACAGATCGAGGAGGTCCAAGGAGTCGAGCAAGTGCTGGACCAGGAAGAGGAGATTTCGATGCACGAGTTTGCCCGGTTTGAGGAAAAGCTGCGTCAACAGAAGGGCGCAGCCGCCACTGCGTCGACCGGTGGCAAGGGCACATTGGATTCGGCTCCTTAAAATAATCACTTTTATCATTGTATTCTATGTTTCATTGTCTTGGATATACCGCTTCTGCGTTACGAATTATAGAAATTTGTCCAACCTTCTACATAATTCCATGTTCACTCAGGCAGTCTTTGGCAGCATCCACCCAAGAGAAACTACTAAACTCATATGTAGCCATCATATCCTTCCTTCCCCCCTTTTCTTCCTGATAACCCCTTCCTTACGAATCCCATCACCACCCCCAACCAACCCAAGACCCCAACACCAACCGAACGATCGACACTGCACATCCGGAATAGACCCCGGAGTCCTCCGTACCTCCCTCCCACTCGGGCTATTCCTCCGACCGACCCCCGGCTCGAGGATGCAGACAGCAAAATACCCTACTGTGGACTAACGGCTAGCGGCGGGGCAAAGCGGGCGGGCGGACACCGGAAGGTGGGGAGGTCTAGATATACCCGGTTTGATTAGTTACAGGTATAGTCCGTACTTTGGTCTTTGGGGAAGTTGTCTATGATTATGAGATGTACTCAAGATATGTGGAGTTAGGTTCGATATCAGGTGGGTGGTATTGTTCAGGGGATGGGGTGGGGTGGTTGGTTTTGTTGTATGTATATATATACAAATGGATATAAATAGTAAAGGGTATCTCTAGCATCATTCCATACAGAACTGAATCCAACACCAGATGGATTTTGTTTGGGAGGGATGTGATCTGTGAGCTGAACCCTCAGGAACCTCTGGTTAGGAAACATACGACATAAGTACCAGTCATGTAACGTCAATGGCTGTCTACATAGTAGTGGGGATTCTGGTCCTCGGCCATTCGCGAGTACTACAATGGATGGAGGACTTGTAGTGGTTCACCCCGCCTATCATACATTACAAGACTATATGGGTGATGAAATAGCCGTGATCTTATCTGCAAAAGCTTTGCAGTGAAGTTGATTGTGAGGGACTGGAGTACGATATTACCTAGAGATTATGGTTATGGTTATCAAGAAAGCTGCGGATGCCAGTAAAGTTGCTATTTAATAAAGCGTGGCGCTGGGCCGGTTCTAGGATGAAGTGCGAGAGGTGGTATTTGTCTGGCGGATAGTAGCTTGTGGTATATATCCAGGTCAATGAGATACTGATATAGTTCTAAGAGTTATATAGCTGGCTGGTTCCCTGATTGAGAGGGTAATGTTCGATAGTCCGCTCAAATAAACTCACTGGCCTCTGAGATACCCTCTTATGTGTTTATAGGATCTTATTAGCCAAAAGCACAAAGAAATACTTACCTGGTCAGGTGTCTGGAGCGGAAGAACTCCACGGTGAACCGCTGCCAGGGTATAGAAAAGTCGACACTGCGGACTACCGGCCTTCAAATACGTAGCGACCATATTATTTAGAGGTCTCCATGTATCCTAGCTGTCCTATTCACAGGTGAACAGTGTCAGACTTGCTCGTTCAAAACCTTTGTGATTCCAGTTCAACATGTCTTGCAGAGAAGCTGAGGGAACTGGTAGGAACCAGTAAACCGGTCAGCGGCAGCTTCTACAGTCCCTTATGCGATCCCACATCCTGAATTTCCCCTCTTTGTCGACGGACTCAACGAAGACTTTATTGTCCACCAGGTACTAGTACGGTCGGCAGGGTTCTGTCTATAGCGTCAATCTTCCTATCTAATTTGCTCCTATCAGTGTGCAGGTCGCGTCAGGATGCAGCAGCAAAGGTACTCCGTATGGTCGCACGCGGGCTACATCAAGGCGGCAAACGCGGAGCTGTTCGGGCCAGAGGTTTGCCTTGAGAGATCCTGGGCACCAGGGACATCATCCCCAGGGTGCATTGAGCAAGAGCAGCAGAGGCGCTTTCTGCCCTTCTCATTGTTGCAGACCAGCGTTCAGCATCTAGATAATTTGAACGAGATCAATCCGAGACACGTCGCGCAGCTGCACGAGGAACATGGAGGGGACGCTCCAGCATCTAGGATGATGCCAGTTGAACTTAGGCTCCAGAGATGGACGGCTCTGGAGGGCTTGGTGGTTCCCTTATAGATTGATGGTCTGCCTGATCGCGTGGTACGAACCAACTTTCTGAAACGAATGAATGCTTCGTTTGCAGAGAGCAGGAGACTAACCATATCAGAAAACTTGATTGAAAGAGGGCAAAGCTACCAAGGAACTGTACGCTCATCTGGCACATAGAGCCGAGATTGAGAAGGAGCGAGACAGAGATGCGGGAATTGCGGCATGAGATAGAAAAGTCATGTCGTGAGCGTGATAAGCTCGCAGAAAATGGAAAGAGGACCTGATAAATGCGTGAAAGTCGAAGCCAAAGCTGAACTACAAGAATGATCCAAAGGTCGGAGATAGATAACCTGAAGACATAAACAGTCAGTCATAAGAAGCCATAGTCTCTCGCCTAACCCCTCGATCGATGTCTACAGTAGATAGTGGATGTCGGACATGACAAGTCCCATGACACCACCACCCGATGACAGATTAGATCCCCCACATTTCGGCGAGGGAATTCGCAGCCGAACGTCCACGCCGTCAGCCGTCGAACTGGAAGGGGCTGGACTGGCTCTAGGCTCCGGATATTCGGGAGATGGGATAAGAGGCTGCAAGATCGGACCCGACATGACGCAACCTTATCCCAGAGACCTTTGTCGAGGCCAGGTACCCGACTGTCCGCATTCAGCCAGGACGAGCGAGTCTCTGTCGTGCTTCTGAGGTGTGTTCTTTCTTCCCGTCGGGGCCGAGACACGAAGCGCCAGCTGGAAGTGGGAGGGAGGTAGTGCAGTCCGCTGTGGCTGTGGCTCAATCGGACCATCAGACAAGTCAGATGAGGGAATCCCCGAGACCTGCGTTCCCGCTAATCATGTCGGTCCCTGTGGCCTGTACACCCTACCCAGTAGCGCAAGTCCAGAAGTGATCCGTGGGCCGGGGTTCAAGCCTCATCGCTTACGAGGGGCTGGGAGAAGGGGCCAACGGCTCCGACTAGGGCTGGCCTCCTGGTCCCGTGGATTTGGGCATCTTACTCGCGACATTCCATGCGCGGAATCCGAGGGAAATTCTGGAGCGGTCTTTTGGTTGGGTGGGGGGAGAAAATTCCAGGGAGCATGAAAAATCATTCATCCCCGGAGAAGTGAGAACATACTGCTAGTGTGACGGCAAGCCAGCAGGTCAACAGGCCAACGGAATAGGGTTGGCAGACAGCCGAGGGCGGGAAAGCTCTCTCCGCAATTTCCAACGGAGACGATCCTGCAACAGGAATGGGCCAAACGGACAAAGTGGGAATCGATTGGATCGCCATCCCTTACCTCCGATTTAGTCGGCGCTTCCCCCGCAATCAGCAGGTGCATGACTGCCGTCAAAAGAGTATCTAGGGAGGAGAAGGAGGAGTAAGGAGGGGCGCATGCAAGGCCCATGTATGGGAGGTCATCATTATCGGTTGGCAATTCTCTACTACTGGTACTGGCACGGCAAGGCAGGACAAGGTTGGTTGTGGGCGCGTTGATTCGCGTTGGGTTGACATTTGCCCAGGATTGCCCCGTGTAACCTCACGTTAGTATGACGTTGACGAATCCCTAGTGCGGAATGACACAAAGAAATGCATGAAAGAAAGAGTAAATCTGATGATGATGAATTGAACAGGAAAAAGAAAATAATCTTGCACACAGATATTTTTTTGAATGCCCCGCCGACTGCTACTACATACGGAGGACAGAGTACTCCATAGTAGTATTCATTACCGAGTCAGTGGTATTATTCATCCCTCCCTGCTAACTAACTACTTGTCACTCTGGGTGTTGGGGACACTTTTTGGCGTGAAGAGATTTCTATTTCAGACCTTAATCATAAAATTAATAATGCCATTCACCTTTCCCGTTGGATGTCGCATGATTGTGAGGGACCCTTGGAGGGGAGGAATGGTTCTTTGGTTGGGAGGGTTGCGGCCGTGAAATCCCTCCAATTCCCAATTTTCAACGATGGCCGTCCAAGCTCCTTAGGTTCAGATCCAATGCTTCCACTCCCAGTTTCAAGCCTCCACAACCCCAGCGCGGGTTGGATCGGGCGTTTCCTCAACAGGATTTCCCCCCAGGTCCTGGTCCGATAGGGTTTCAACGGCAGTGTTTCCCAGGTTCCCCTCTGTTGCTGCCTTTGATTGATAGTTTGCTGGCTTTGTACCTGATAGTGACGCGCTCGTCCGTTGTGTTCTCGGTCTCAAGCTCTGTAGCTTTTTCCCCCAAAAGCCCCGCTTCAGGGTGCAGACGGCGATGCTGAGAGGGCGGCCGGGGCATTTTGCCCAGGCCAGTCAGAAGCGCGGAGGATCGACTCTGGAGTCCAGCGAGGCCCGCCCGGCCCACTCACGGGCGTTCCATCCACGGCCGACCGACCGGTTCTTGCCCTCGTCTTTGCTCCTGGTCGCCTGCTGCCTGTCATACTGCTACTCCCTCCTCCCCCTTCCCTCTTTTCCTCAGCAACTCTTTTTACCCCCTCCTCCCTCCCCCTCCCTCCCTCCCCCTAACCGGGCGTCAGATTGGAAGGATGCAGGAGACGGTCCGACGTCTCGTACCCATTGCCCTCTCGTTCTGATCGAGCGAGCGTAGGATGCTTCCCCTCTTGCGGTCTATGGTTCCATGCGGTATCTAGACTCACGTAGATTTCTTACCCCGCCTTAGAGCGATAAATTGAACCTATGCTCCAGGTACATAGTCGCCCCCCTTAGCCGTGGTTAGTGTGGATGGAGGGAAAAGGTACCGGGCCACAATCGATCACTTGTACTTTCCGGGCAGGAAATTAAAGCTGAAAGAATATTATTATTAGGGGACCAGGATAAAAAGAATCAAGACCACTACCTCCCCCCCCCCCAAGCCTGATCTAACTTGCTCGGTCGTAGTTCTTCTGCTCCAGCTCACTTTGCGCCACTGCTGTTCGGTGCTCCGACCCGTGGCTCGTTGTCTCCTCCTTTCGTCGCTCGTCCAGTGGCCTGAGGTCGACTTTAGTTGAGAGCTACCTCCCTTAGCTTGCATTATCCTACGCAACTTACGACTGTACAACCTCTTAACCTCTTTCTCCTCTTCTTTCCCTCCTACCGTCGTCTACTACTTCTCCTTCCTTTCCCATCTCCTTTCCTCTACCACGTCTGGCACTTCCGACTCCGCCTCCCCTCCTAGCTATTACATCTCGCCCCATTTTCTTGTTCCCTTTTATCGCCCCTTGACCCTCGTCGATAAGGCTTGCGATCACACCACCCACCACCCACACTACATCCCAATCCGAAGATCGTCATTGATCAAGCAACGTTGCAGAAGCCACGCTGCCGCTCCTGTTTCTGCGACCTGCGCCGCTCAACCCTCCGCGCACGCACATACATTCAACAACCCCATTCCCCCTGCTCGCGCCATCACAGGTTTTGGGATTTAAAGGGGCCTGCTCACTACCATTACACCACCTATCTTGCTCTGGTCGGGTCGCAGAAGAATTTCTCGTCTTCGCCGGTTCTCTTGCTCTCCTTGCTGTTGTGGTCGTCGCTCGTCAGTCTCAAGATGCGCTGCTCTTGAGGAAGATCTGCCCATAGTTTCTGGAGCCAGTTTGCCTGCCACCGTTATCCGTCTATGGTCACGCTACCATTTTCCAATACCGCGCATCTATTGATCCCTTCCATCGCAACTCGAGATTCAGTGAAATAATAGGTCTCTGGAGCAACGTGCCGGAGAGAACACCATCACATCGCTAAAACAAGACACAGAAAAGTGACGAGAAAAGCAAAAAAGCACATTCGGTGTTGGTTTGGTGGAAACCCCCCTCAAAAGCCGACCTGCCTCCAATCCTTCGCCTTACGACTGGTCGCAAAGCGCCATCTTACACGATATCTTCTTTGTTTAGATCGAAGCCTGGTCGCTTCGCCTGGGATACATTTTCCCGCTACAACTGGGACGGGTTTTACGATCGGGCTGACTGCCTGTGTGTTTTATGTTGGATAGACGGTACAAAAAGTTTCGGTTTGTTCCCTTTTAGATTGGTAAGTGACCGGTGTTGGTTGCCCACTTGCGCTTGTCCAGGGACAGTTACTGACCCAAGACGGATGCGCAAGCAGACGCGATCACGACTTTCTGCGATTTCTACTTGTCCGGGACGGTCGGCGATACCCAAAGTTTCTATACCGCGAATTTGTACTTTTCCCCAAGGTATGTTTAATCTGTCTTTGCATGTCTGTTGGCCCGCTTCGCGTTGTGTTTGTTGCCCTCCGCTCCCCGCAATTTCCCCGGGAACCTGCTCTCTGCATGATTCCCCGAGTCTCCTATCATGCCCACCGGTGGGGATCCTGTGAGATGGGTAGCGAATGGACCGGTCAGCTCTGTTTGCCTGATAGAGTTCCAGGTCCAGAGGTTCCTCGACGAGTATTTCCTCGGGGAGGAGTCGCTGAGTCGGGGCAGACCCTGCAAAATCCAGGCATGGGAATAGCATGATCCCGTTGGGGAGCATGTGAAACAAGGGTTCTGCTGGTTTCCTGGTGCTCTGTCCCGCGCGTCATATGATCCGGGGGGGGCTTTCACAGGTTGGCGTCTCCCAGGCCCATGGGTGGTGGCTGTCCGTCTCGCCACCGACAGCTGCTGCTTTCCCCAACCGACTCAGCCTACACGAGCTGCACCTGGGCCTCTCCTGGTTTCAATGCTGCCTTTTCCCCTCACTCGTCGGATCCGTTCCCCGGTTCATCCTCCTAGCCATCCCTCTGGTATCCTTATTTTGATGCTCTTCCATCCAGCCCTTGACTGCCCCAAGCCTTCTGTCTTTGCCCCCGCGAGTATCACGCAGACTGAACTAACCTATCATGCGGCGAGCAAAAGCTTATATCCCTCGGAGATCAGCTTTATCTTTATTTCGAAAGAAATAATATTGTCCGGCACGGTTTCTGAGCTACTATTAGAGTATTTGGCTTCGTTGCGTTTCGCCCATTTGATTCTTAATCTCATTGAAGGTAAGTGCCGGCCGACTTTAGCTACAAGCCCAGCTGCTTGCCACGCGATACTGACTGGCTCCAGTGAATCCTCCAGACCGTCCATTACATTGGCTGAAGGGTATCTGTTACACGGAACATACCCGTTCACAATTTAATTCCCCCCTCCCCTGACGTCAGTCCTCGCTGTAAGTGAAACCCTGGGTCTGTTTTATATTCTTGCAGAGCTTCTCTACATTGCTCATTGCTTTGCTTTTCTGTTCCAACGGTCCTTTAACTTACCTTCACCCTCATCCACTCTTCCTGCTTACTTCACAACCCACCGCCCGTGGTCGCATGCTGTGACGGTATTATTTGCGACACGTCCGCGTCAGCGCTCATTCAACATTCACTGACCTCCTTGCTATGACTAGTGTACTTTGCACCCTGCTACGCGCCATCCCTTTAGAACCGAGGGCGTTCAATCTACAGTCGCAGTTTCTTGCTTGAGACATACACCATGGCTGCACCGTCCAGCAAACCTACTTCGCAGGCGACCAAGTCGTCAACTCCGACCAGTAACGTGTCTGCCAGGCTAGAGAAAACCCATCCTGGTGTCCGTCGGTCCACGCCTGACTCCGAGGCTCTGGCGTCCTCTGATGACGATGGAGATCATTCCCAGCAGATCGCCGCATCTACGAGCATGCCAGCGCCCAAACCTGCGCGCCGTACATCATGGTTGAACGAAATCCCTACTACCATCACCAGAAAAGCATCGTTGACCACTAGTGGTCCCTTGTCATCTGGCGCCTCTATTCCAAGCAGTCCTGCTACGGATCAGTCCGGATGGCCAAACACGAGTCCCGGGATCGGTAGCTCTATTGCCTGGAACCACGCAGGGAACAGTTCCTTTCCCTGGGGCACTGGTATCTGGAATACCGAGTCCCGGAAGGAGCCTCCGCCGCGACTGGCGGAAATTGTTCCGTCCCCAACTATGTCCTCTGCGAGCAACTATCTAACGGAGGATTTGATGAGCCCCACGACTCGTACAACTACGGGCGAATCGGCTATTCCTTTCTCCATCCCACTACATCCAACTCCCAAAACCTATCGTTCGCAGTCGTACTCGGTAGGTCAGTTGGACCCTGAGTTCTTGAGCTTCATGGCGAACAAGTCCTCGGCATCTTACTCTGGCGGTCGCCCCCGAAATGGCGGCCAGTTCTCCGCTTTACAGCACCGGTCGTCCCGGCCTAGCCTTCTTGGTGAGCTGGGTCACGATCCCGCGACACTTGGGCGTGTGCGTGAGGATGATGACGATGATGCTGGAAGCCCCGACGGGTCGGACGGTAGTCTGAGCAATTATGCAGCCAACCAAGCCCGGACCATCGAACAGCTTTCAAGGGAAAATGCTCTCTTGCGCCAAGCAGCAGGACAGATGGACAACAGCATGAGGGATCGTGCCATGTCGTCGGCATCTGCAGCTAGTGGATATGCGATTGGCAGCGGTCTTCATAACTTGCATCGCATTCGTGGCAGTGTCCCAGAGGAAACAGACCTAGCGGTGGAGGATCTTGACGAGGTTGGCGATATCCCTGGCTACAATAACATCCATAGCAGCACCCGACGAAGAATGTCCGAGCATTCAGCAAACCTGGAGAAGCAGTTTGCTCCGATGACATCACTTGAGAACCGCGCCCTGGAGAACGTCCGCAAGGCTCACTGGCAGACTTCCCTCGGCTTTGGTAGCATGACGGATATTCCTCAGAGCCGGCGCCACTCTTTCGCGGACATTCCTATCCGACACGCTTCCGTGTCCGGAGAATCACAGGCGGCCGCTAGTTCTAGGGCGGGGATGGGTGATAGAGAAGAGGAATATGCAAACCTCGCCGACGGCCCTCTTTCTACTATACAAGGCCAGAATCGTGAGTATCCACGCCTTCATGTGGCCCCTCGTCCTGAGGAACATGAAATGGAATCGGAATATTTACGAGCTCGTCGATTTGCAGAAGCCTATTTTGCTCGTGATCCAGCTCTCCGCGCCGCCGACGGCCCCTCTCCGGTCGCTACATCCCTCCACCAAGCGTATACGATGCCAAACGCCTACGGCCGTCACCAGCCTGGCCTCGCGCATCCGCACCAGAACCAGCTATTGTATATTGTGACGTTTAAATGCCACCGGGCGGATGTCTTCTATATCCAGGAAGACACTGGCCTCCAGGTGAAACCCGGTGATCTCGTCATCGTCGAAGCGGATCGTGGTACGGACCTCGGCACTATACAGCATGCTAACGTGTCTATGCAAAGAGCTCGGGAGTTGAAACAACAGTATGCTGAGGAGCACTACAAGTGGTTAATGATGTTCTCCCGGCAGGGTCAGAATGGTGCGGCCAATGTAGTGAATGCGTCCGGGGGTGTACCGGGCCTGAACAACCGGAGCGCCATTGGCGGTATGGGCCCGCATGGCCCGCATGGGATGCAGGACTCTGCTGCAGACATCAAGCCTAAATTGATCAAGAGACTCGCTCAGAACCATGAGATATTAACATTGCGCGACAAGGAAGGAAATGAAGCCAAGGCTAAGCGGGTCTGTCAGCAAAAGGTTTCAGAGCATCGACTCAATATGGAGATTCTTGATGCTGAGTTCCAGATGTAAGTTCATTCCCTTCTCCATCCAACCTAGTGATGCACAACTAATCCATTCTTCAGGGACTGGAAGAAGCTCACCTTCTATTATTTTGCGGATTCCTATATCAATTTCAACTCGCTTGTGACCGATCTCTTCAAGATCTACAAAACCAGGATCTGGATGTCAGCTATCAATCCAGCGTCGTTCGTCACGCCTCCCAGTGCCGGCCTGTCAGCTCCGAATCCTTTGGCCTACAGCCACGATGCGCAAGTAGATCGCCCACTTGATAACAGGATCTACGGTCATGCTCGTGAGGGCATGGATACTGGACGAGATGTTGGCGCCAACCAGTTGGGCATGTTGCGCAATGCTTATGCGGATTCCTATCAAACCTTTGGCCAAGCCTCTCGGCAGCCCGAGTCTGGACTAGGCGGGCTTGCTTCCGCGGACCCCTTTTCTCCATACTCGCCGACTGGCTATGGTCCCTTAGACTCGGGATACGTGGACTATGGCGCAGGTACGGGCACCAGCGCTGGGCCTTCCCGCCTGCACCCTGCTCCGACTGAGTGGGTGGGCCGTTTCCAGGGGCTGTCGCTTAACTCTTGAGAAATGCCGTGTGGTTTCTTTGTACAAATTGATGCCTGCTGCTGTACATCAAGAACAGCTTCTTGCCGTCCCTCACTTCTTCCGCCCCTGTCCAAACTCAATTCTTATGTCTTGCCCAGACCCAAGACTACCCAGCCCGCTTCCTTGTATTCAGGTTTCCCTTTGCTCTGCTGCGTTTTTCGATCATTTCCTCTCTTCCCTACATCCCTCTTTTCTAATGTGTTCCTTTCAAGAGATTAGAAATCATGTGCAACGGATCAAAAAGAAAGACTTATGACCTGTCGTTAGTGCTGATACCTAATAATAGACTCAGCTATGATTGTCTGAAGGCTTGGGCGTGCTTGCCTCTCAGGCTATGCTGTGAGCAATCAGAACAATGTGAATGCTTTGAATTAGTTTCCTTCTCCATGCCTAGTAGGTACTTACTTGCCTAATTGGTCCTGCGTTCCACTCCGTAGCTGTGGATGCCCCCATCTGAGTCTGTCCACACAGTCGGTCCGCCTTTTCTGATCCCTTGTTCCCTTTGCTGATGGCAACTCTCTCATCTCACTCTTGCATACCCTCCTAGTGGATGGTTTGAATCCTTTTGGAAACTGGGCAGGTGGTAAACGTAGGTAGATTCTCAGTAAATGGCAGCTTTGCTCCTGGGATACTCATAGAACGCCATAAGATGAGCTGAATTATCCTCGGGGTTGATAGAAACAGTTGTGTAATCATGCATCACGACCGTTCAACTACTAGTCTGGACCCTCGGCCGTGCAGGATGATGTTATTGCCTTGTCGCCTTAGACTTCCGGCAAAAACTGCGAAAGAGTTGGCAATTAAGAAGGCGGTAGGAGGCTGACACCTCAGGCATAAGCCGAGGAGCAGACATGGTTCTGATTGGTGGAGGTGGGGGCTCGCCTAATTTTCTAGCGTCCCACACACAAGGTCGTTGAAGAGACTACTATCTTGCTCCTCCAACTTTTCAGCTGTGACAACCGACGACAATCGACGACCTGCCACGCCGACAAGGTACGTTTTGCTGCACCACTCCCGCCGTGATTCTCGCCGCGACAGAACGAATCGCTCGGAATCATCAACAAGAAGCCTTGATTTTCGGAAAACTGACATTTCGATCGCCGTCCAGATGGGTGCCCTCAAGTACGTGGAAGAGATCCAGAAGAAGAAGCAGTCCGACGTGATTCGCTTCCTGCTGCGTGTCCGTTGCTGGGAGGTGAGAATTCCCCCCCAATTTGCGATCGCTTAACATCCCGCCGGATGCTCGTGTGGTTTGCCATAGGATGCCTTCTTTTCAATGAGAAATGGTGTTACTGGGCGGCTCGAAACGACTTTTTTTCCGCCGGCGGATGGATGTGGCACACCGGAGAGACTCTTGTCCTAAGGGGGCTCATGTGTCTTGCTATACACTCGTTGAACTTTGCTGAGAGTGCATCAATATAGCTCCGTCAGCTGAACGCTATCCACCGTGCTTCCCGCCCCTCTCGCCCCGACAAGGCTCGTCGTCTCGGCTACAAGGCCAAGCAGGGCTATGTTGTCTACCGTATCCGTGTGAGACGCGGTGGCCGTAAGAGGCCCGCCCCTAAGGGTGCCACCTACGGTATGCAGATTCCTCGCCTTTGAAGAAGACAGATGCGGCTTTGCGACAAGCGTGTCTGTTCATTTCCGAACCAGGACTGGGGCTAATTCATGTCCGACTGCAGGCAAGCCCACCAACATGGGTATCAACCAGCTCAAGTACCAGCGCGCTCTCCGTGCCACCGCTGAGGAGCGTGTCGGCCGCCGCTGTGCCAACCTGCGTGTCCTGAACTCCTACTGGATCAACCAGGACTCCACCTACAAGTACTTCGAGGTTATCCTCGTCGACCCCCAGCACAAGGCCATCCGCCGCGATGCCCGCATCAACTGGATCTGCAACGCTGTGCACAAGGTTCGTCTTTACTGCTCCTGGGCTTATGCTGTCCCTGTTTTCAATATCATTGTACTGACATGTGCTGCTTCTAGCACCGCGAGTCCCGTGGTCTCACCGCCACTGGCAAGAAGTCCCGTGGTATCAACAAGGGCCACCGCTACAACAACACCCGCTCTGGCCGCCGCCACACCTGGAAGCGCCAGAACACCCAGAGCTACTGGCGTTACCGTTAAATGTAGATGGGGTGTTGAAGGGGGTTGTTGGTTATGGGAAAAATTTGATCTTGTGGATGTCTCTATTTCGATCAAAACTCGCATCTACAGGTCCATCCCTGAACTGCTGGGGTGCGAGCATAATGCAACAGATCTTCTGGATCGGATGTTAGCCAAAATACCTTTTTTATTTTCTTGGTTCAACTGTATTGTTCACCTAACGAAGTATGACGACCTATTTTGCCTTTTCACCGATCTGCAGCTTGTAGGGGCGTAGCCAGGGTCCGTGGGGAGGGTTTCGTGGACACTGTAGATGGACCGGTTTTGCTTTTGCAGATCAGTGCCTGGTTTCTTGGCGGGGCCCTGCGTGAGAAGGCTACTCTGGAGTATGTTTAGTATCACTTGTCTGTGGATCGGGGATGTGAGTGGTAGTGTCTGAAATCCTGAATGGCAGGACCACCAAGCCCACCGGAGTCCTAGACCCAACCACTCCCAGCAGAGTCGCTGGTTGCAAGCCAGCAGGATGGAGACAACGTTCGATAAAAATAGCAGCGCTGGCGTCTCCCAGTGAAACCCCGTCCAGGCGCCCGACGTTGCCTTGATCCCACCGCGCGGCCAATTCGCCCCGTGGTTCGTCCAGCGGCGCCAAGAGGGGGGCAGCAACCCCCGGCCAGCCTCAGGCACCCAAGTCTCGTGCGCCCATCGCCGGCCCATTCATGGCAGGCGCATCGTCTTGCGACTTCCCCCTCAGGTGGGATTCAACCCACTTTCCCCATCCCTCGTTCTCCTCCCTGTCTGACGTCTTTCCTTCCTTCCTTCCTTCCGTCCCTAGTCGTGCTTCTTTCCGGTTTGGCTCCAGGGGCTCCTCCTCTCCTCCTCCAGGTCCATGTCCACGTTACATCCCATCTCTCCTCACGTTACATAGTCCCCCTCCCCTCGACCTTACTCATCACAAGCTTCTACAATTAGCTACACATATTCTACCGCCAGCTACTCGGACTCCTTGTCAAGCTACTCCTTTCCTCTTCTCCGAAGCACCGTCTCTCACTACTGCCGTGAGCTTCTGTCGCTATCCCCGAGAAACCCTATCCGCCCCTGCTGGTTACCGTACCCAACTCTTTCGTTCGCTATACATCTTCCTCTGGACCTACGTTGTACAACACTACGCCGCTCCAGACAGCAAGCTAATCAACCCACGAAAAGCTTATTACAACCAATGTGCCCCATATGCCGTCACGGTCCCCATATAACCCGTCCCATCCTCCCACGTCCGCCTCTCCGTCCGGCCATATCCATCCTGCTGCGATCCCTTTCCCAGCAGAGGGAAACTCGCCCTATCGGATTGCACAAGATGCACCAGGCCAATCGTCCATGACTGGCAACCCAGCCACGTCACCTTCGCATCGTCGGGGACATTCTCGTTCCATCAGCCATCCGTTCCCCTCACCCTTCGGTGGAATCGCGAAACGGCGCAACCGGTCGATCTCTAAAAAGGATAACTTCTTGTTCGATTCCGATGATGAAGATGACGATCAAGTTACTTATCTGCCGGATCCTCACTCTGCCAGCCCTCGCAAGGGGTCCCTGCGTCCGACCCCGGCAGAGGAGATGACCTCAGGGAAGTGCATGGTCTGCAACAGCACGGTGCGTTGGCCGCGAAGTCTCAAGGTTTTCCGGTGCACGGAATGCTTGACTGTGAACGACTTGGAGCCGTATGTGGACTCGGGAAAGGCTGGTAGCCATGGCCTTCTAGAGAATGATGGGAAAGCACCCACCCCCGTAGTGCCCAGAAAAGGTATTTCACACACTGGCGGTCTACTGTCCAACTGGTGAACTGACATCGCTTAGCTATTCCACTTTCTGTCGAGCGGACAAAGACTATCCTAGACGAATGCCTGTCCAAGTACCTCCGACAGCTCCTCGATGTCCCACAACCGCAAAGCTCATCGCCAGAGACCTATAATGGAAAGCGCTTGGAGATCGCGCAGGATGAGAATCTGTCGCAGTCTCCGAACCAGTCGTCCGGGTATTTGTCTGAACCTCGACAGCCGGTGGACCCACGAGGCCGCAGCTCTTCTACGTCCAGTAAGCCTGTGAAGCCGGAGGCAATGGGCGCGATCCCGAATTACTCGAAGCCTAATCTGACTCCGTCTTACGCTCATGGGGAAAGGAAAGGCTCTCAGATGAGAAGTAGGGATGCTCAAAACACGCCAAAGCGTGATCGCTCGCCTCGGAATGCTGCGCCATTGAACGGGTCGGACGCTAAGGTTCCCACCAGTCGTCCTTACGTCTTTAGGGCGCTCGAGGAATATATCATAACCTCGTTCAAAGGCTGTGACTGCTTGAATAGCTCCTTTACAACCGTGCAGCCGACATCGCAGACCGCCGATCACGGCAGTCCACCGAAGCAGAAAGCGGAACCCAGCTCTGCACAGGCCTCCAACCAGGTAGCATTCGAGCCGGATCCGAAGCTGCTGCTCCTGGGAGATATTGCGGAAAATTCCTCTTGGTGGATGAATGAGGTGGAACAGATTAGTAGCACCCATCCGTCGCGATCGAAAGAGCGCCGCGAGAAATCTTCGAGTTCGTCTAGACCCGTTTCCTCCCGGAGCCCTCGGATCAATTGGGCAGAACTTGCGCAATGGCACCACATGATCATGACGGCAGGGACGTCGTGGGTCGAGCTTTGGTCAGCGATGAAGCCCCTCGAGGGATTGAAAGAAGATGACGTCCTGAGAGCTCACAAATGGGACACCATCGATCTCGCCATGGTCGACAGGGAGATCACTGAATCACGGTTGCACTTGCACCGAACGCTCTTAAAGGCCACGGAAAACCTCCTGAAGCGGCCGAGGCGGCCCTTGAAAAAGCCCGAGGATGTTCGATTCCTACTGATGCTACTGACAAGCCCATTGATCCATACGTCCAGCCCGTCTCTGTCGGCTTACACTCTGACTCCTTCGGCGGCGCGTAGTGACCGGAGGCCTTCTCATCCAAAAGATGGCAATTTGAAACCAGCATCTCGTGATCTGAAGCCACCTCCGAAACCCCGAAGCAGTGGTCCAGGGCATCATTTTGGCATCGTGAAGAGGATACTGGGACTATTGGCCAACTTGCCGAACGACTGCCATCATTACCTAGTGTCATGGTTCTCTCGTTTCTCTGCCGGGCAATTCGAGAAGATAGTCGACCTCACTGGTAGCTTCGTCACTCATCGTTTAGCCCGCCAGCATGGTCGTAAACGCAGTGAGTCGGCACAGCACGATGACGGTCTGGTGCCTAGCTTCTCCAGCGCCGCCGGCAACACTCCGGCCGAGCTACATGCTGCCATCAACGGCAGGAGCCCCAGTAAATCAGCGAATGAAAAGCGCGACCGGCCCGTCATCTATACTGATGACTGGCAGGTTCGGGCTGCAGCCCGCGTCATGTCGTTGCTCTTCACGGCTAACAATGCGAACGTCAGCCGCAAGCCGGATGGCATCCTCGGCCAAGATGCGGGCTCTGTCGCCAAACATCCAGCCAGTCGGCGGGGTCATATGATTCCGATCAGCTCCTTCTACAACACCCTGCTGGACTATTCGGACCTCGTGGCCGACTTTGAGGCCTGGGAGTCGAAGACGACGAAGTTCTCGTTCTGTCAATATCCCTTCTTCCTGAGCATCTGGGCCAAGATCCATATCCTCGAACACGATGCCCGCCGTCAAATGGAGGTCAAGGCCCGCGAGGCATTCTTCAACAGTATCATGAGTCGGACGGCAATCAGCCAGTATCTCGTGCTCAAGGTGCGGCGCGACTGTTTGGTCGAAGACAGCCTCCGTGGCGTCAGTGAAGTGGTTGGCTCGAGCCAGGAGGAAATCAAGAAAGGGCTTCGTATCGAGTTTCTGGGTGAGGAGGGCGTTGACGCGGGAGGTCTTCGCAAGGAGTGGTTTTTGCTACTGGTCCGGGAAATCTTTGATCCTCATCACGGTAGGTGGATGCTCTTTGTGCCGATTCAACACCCTCTGGACCAGTCTGCTAATCTGTTACAGGGCTCTTCATCTACGACGAGGACTCACGCTATTGTTATTTCAATCCGTACTGCTTTGAGTCCTCGGAGCAATTCTTCCTGGTTGGCGTGCTCCTGGGGCTTGCCATCTACAACTCCACTATTCTTGACATTGCTCTGCCCCCTTTCGCATTTAAGAAGCTCCTAGCAGCGGCGCCGCTGTCATCGATCACGCGGCCCACGTACAAGTGCAGCCTGGATGATCTGGCCGAACTCCGGCCCGCGCTTGCCAAGGGTCTTCGGGCGCTTTTGGAATTTGAGGGGGACGTGACGGATACGTTCTGCTACGACTTCGTTGCGCAAGTAGATCGATATGACGAGGTGGTGCCGGTGCCCCTCTGCGCCGGAGGCGAGAACCGGCCGGTGACGAACGCTAATCGCCGCGAGTTTGTGGACCTGTATGTACACTATCTGCTGGACACGGCGGTCACGCGGCAATTCGAGCCGTTCAAGCGGGGGTTCTTCACGGTGTGCGGGGGTAATGCGCTCTCACTTTTCCGTCCGGAGGAGATCGAGCTCCTGGTGCGCGGCTCGGATGAGCCGCTCGAGGTGGCGTCCCTGCGGGCGGTTGCCACGTATGACAATTGGTCCAATGCACGGCCGGAGACGGAGCCGGTGGTACGATGGTTCTGGGACTTTTTCGAGCAGACACAGCCGCAGGCACAACGCAAGATCCTGTCGTTTGTAACAGGGAGTGATCGGATCCCGGCCATGGGGGCAACGAGCCTCTCGATCCGGCTGGTGTGCCTGGGCGACGACTCGAGCCGGTTCCCAACAGCGCGGACATGTTTCAACCAGCTGGGACTGTACCGATATGAGACACGGGAGAGACTAGAGCAAGTTCTGTGGGATGCAGTGCTGAACAGCGAAGGATTTGGGCTGAAATAGACAGGGAGCAGGACTCCCGAGTTCGAATCCAGTGGTGTCTTGGGGGCATTACCGGAATTACGGGTATTCGCATTATAGGCATTAGCACTGAACAGTCTTGTGGGTTTTAGGGCGTTTTTGTTTCCTACCAGGTCGGTGGCGCGGGGGAGCCCTTCCGGGGGTGCATCTGGGGGAGCGAAACATGCATCTGTGGCCGGGACCCGATGGACGGTGTAAGTTTGACAAGGAGTCGATACGAGATGACACCGGCGGTCATGGGACTGTGCCTGTGCCGACCCAGGCAGCCAACGAGTCGGACCGAAGCGGTGGCCGGGACGGCCTGACGGGGTCGGGCGACAGTCAGGGAATCGGACCGAGAATGTACATAGCAGTACATAGCAGAGGCGCCCGAAGATAGACGGGCCCGACAGACGGTCGATGGGTCGCGTTGCGAGGCCAAATGCAAGCGGCAATTCCTCGAGTGATGCACGATGGTTGGTTACAGTTTGACACGGGCAGACGGCCAGCACTGTAGAGTCGTCGACCGTCCAGTAGCACGGGCGAGAGGTGCATTCCGAGGGCGCTAGTCGCCCCGTTGGCGGGTGGGGCGGCGGAGAGTTTGTTTGGCCTTGCTGTTGCTGGAAGTCTCTAGAGTAGATACGCAGTAGAATGAGATCGAAACGCGATCCTCGGTATCCTTCCAGTTTCCATCTGATGCACCTCAGCCCAACCGTAATGAAGTCAAACCCCTCCACTACCTCGCACTACATAGTATGTACGGAGTAGATGACGGAAACCACCAGGTACCACCACCACCACCACCGCCGCCGCCAGGGACCATCCCAACCAACCCTCCCGCCGATCGGGTACCTGGCCCGTCTGGCAGATTAGTCCCAGTCTAACTCAGCCATCGGGAGCAGGCGAGCAAACCAAGGCACTGAGGCAGGCCGAGCGAGTGGGGGATGAAGTCATGGGGATCGATCGAGGCTGGTAGTGTGGGGGTGTCTGTAGTCTGTACTCCGTACGGAGGGATTTCTGGTGGTTTCTGCGATGAAGTCATTGTTTTCTGTCTGGGGGCTTGGCGGTTGGTTGGGTGGGTCCGTTTTTGGCTAGGAGTAGGTTTTGGTGGTGGTGTTGGTGGTTTGGGTTAGTAGGTTGGTAGCGGGGTTGGTGATGGGTTGTTTCTGCCATGTAGAGTTTGGTTAGGACGAAGTATCTAGCTGGATTGGACGGACTGCCCGTACTTACTTACTGTGTAAACTGCAGATATCTAGATGCAGGGAGGAGAAAAAGGCAGGGCTCCGTGAAAGGTAGGAGTAGTGATCCCATGGTCTCCTGGGTAGACAAATCAGACCACGTCGCGCCAGGGATTCCCCGTTCCCGCTAGCATGGTCTAGGTTTAGGGCCGCTCGGTCCGCTCAGGCGTAGGAGACTAGGAATAAGAGAGGAGGTGGGATGAATGAGGGGATGAAATGCATGCATGGGCCATGGGGACTTACGTACGGGTACGTAACGGGTTGGGTTGCTGGGGATGGATGGATGCCATGCGACGTGGGTGGATCAATCATCGATCGGGGTCGTACCTATACGGTATAGGTATGACCATGGACTCTCTCTCTGACTTCAGGGTTGCCCGGCGGGCTGCCATCCGGACCCCTCGATGGCGGACATTGAAATAGCCTCGTTTGCCCCCTCGTTGGGTTGATTTTGTCTTCATCTTCATCTTCATCTTCATCTTTCTCTCTTGCATACACTGCTCTCCTGCTGCTGAAGCTGTACTATCGCACATACTTTGCTCTCTTCTTGTATGTCTTCTTCCTTTCCTTGTCTGGCTTGATGCTGGTTAGGGTTGGGGGTAGGTCGCGTGCTGACTGGTCGACTTGTAGTAACTATACCACCTCACATCATCAATCATGGGTTCCACACTTCCTCAGACCATGAAGGCTCTTCGCTATGAGAAGCCCGAGACGCATAGCATCGTTGACGTCCCTCTGCCTGAGCTCCGTGACAACGATGTCTTGGTATGTCACTACACTTCTGTGTTTATCGACACCACTAACCAGCCCCTAGATCAAGGTCAAGGCCTGCGGTGTCTGCGGAACCGATCTGCACATCCACGAGGGTGAATTCATTGCCAAGGTATGCAACACCACCTCTCCGTAGACCATGCGTACCCAGTCTAACCGTCGCAGTTCCCTCTTGTCCCTGGTCACGAAACCGTCGGTGTTGTTGCTGCCGTCGGCCCCAAGGTCAAGAACTTCGATATCGGCGACCGCGTCGTTGCCGACAACTCCGAGCTGTGCGGCGAGTGCTTCTACTGCCGTCGTGGTGACGAGCTGTTCTGCGAACACTTCGAGGCCCATGGTGTGACCATGAACGGTGGTTTCGCTGAATACTGCGCCTACCCTGCTGGCAGGGTCTTCAAGATCAAGAACCTCTCGGACGTGGATGCCACGCTGTTGGAGCCTGCTTCCTGCGCCGCGCATGGTCTGGACAAGATTGCCCCGAAGATGGGCTCGTCGGTGCTGCTGTTCGGTGCTGGTCCCACTGGTCTGGTAGGTTTTCCATCTGGATGCATGGAATTTTGAATGGTATGGTGCTGACGGTTGTAGATCCTTGCTCAATTGCTCCGCCAATGCGGTGGCTGCCGCGTGGTGGTCGTCGCGCCGGAGGGTCTGAAGATGGACCTGGCCAAGTCCCTGGATGCGGGTGACGAGTACATCGCGCTGTCGCGTCAGGACCCCAGCGCGCAGTTCCAGAAGCTGAAGGACGAGAACCCGTACGGATTCGACATTGTGGTCGAGGCCACTGGTAGCGTCAAGATCCTGGAGGACTCGATTCACTATGTCCGGAGGGGTGGTAAGCTGGTCGTGTATGGCGTGTATGCCAACAAGGACCGTGTCTCCTGGCCCCCGAGCAAGATCTGTAAGTCTCCCGGTGTTCCTGTCTGGTACCTGCGACATGCTAATGAGGTGCAGTCGGCGACGAGATCACCATTCTGGGCAGCTTCTCCGAAGTGTACAAGTTCCCTGCTGCGATCGACTACCTGGATTCGGGCAAGGTCAAGGTCAAAGGCATTGTCAACAAGACATTCAAGATTGATCAGTGGGAGGAGTGCTTGGCGGCGATGAAGAACAAGTCGGCCATTAAGGCGGCGATCACTTTTGATTAGATGGCTGGTCCATGATCATTAGTTGTAAATAATGAATGACGAATCAATACTATGTTAATGATGAGCTTTGTTCTTTGTAGAGGTATCTTTCCGTTGACCTGGTTCAACAGTATATATTAGCAGTGGAGTGGGAACGGGGACCCCGGGGGTCACCCGGGGAGCCACCAAGGTACCTGACGTGTAGACACTTTACTCATAGTCGCTAGCCTGAAGTCCATCATCTCAAGGACCTTGAGAGCTATACCCCAGACATGGTGGTAGGGTCAGCTGGAGATAGCTTGGTTCAACCGCAGAGAAGTTGAACCCAGGGATGAGCTGCACTCGGCTCGGGACCTGCTATCGATAAGATCGCCCATGAAATCTTCTCCACCCAAGCTCCGTCACCACCACCGTCACTACTGTCACCATCTCCCCAGTCACACACCCTCAACCAACCTATTGATCCTCCTTCCTCCCTCCCTCTACCTCTTCACCCCCCACCTCTCACCCAAACCAACAACCCAAAATGGTAAAACCCCTAACCTTCAAAGGCGACAAGCCCAAGAAACGCAAACACACCACAGACTCCTCCACTTCCTCCGCACCCAAAAAGAAACCGACCCTGACCACCTCCTCCGAATCCCAACCCCCCGCAATCAACGAAGAAGAAGACGCCTCCACCCTCTCCGACCAATCCTGGGTCTCAGCCGACACGCCAACCGACATCTCGGGCCCCATCCTCCTCGTCCTCCGCACCAACCCACCGACATGTCTCGCGACGGACGCGCACGGGACGGTCTTCGCTAGCCAAATCGAGAACTTGATTGAGGGGGATCCGGCGACGGCGGAACCGCATGATGTTCGGCAGGTGTGGGTTGCGACGAAGGTGGCGGGGATTGAGGGGTGGAGTTTGAGGGGGGGGAGTGGGAAGTATGTTTCTCCATCATCTTCTCTTCTTGCAATTTTGGATGAATTTGGGTTCTTGATGTGCTAATGCGAATTTGGAATGATAGATACCTCACCAGCGACAAACACGGAATTCTCTCCGCCGCTGCCTCAGCCGTTTCACGACACGAGATCTTCACCATCACCGAGTCGGAGAGTGGCGGGGGTGGGTTCTTTAATGTAGGGACGGCGAGCAGTGCGACTACAACCGGTGATGCCGATACGCCGGAAGGACAAGCTCAAGGGAAGGAGAACAAGAACAAGCCGACGTTTCTCTGTGCCAAGGAGGTGTTGTCCAAGACGACGGCATCCGGGGTCAAGGTTGAGGTGCGCGGGGATGAGACCAAGGTAGAGTCGAATGAAGGGACGAATGTCCGGGTGCGGATGCAGGCGCGCTTCAAGCCGCGCATTCAGGCGAGTAAGGAGATCAAGGCGCGGGAGAAGATCGGGCGGAAGGAGTTGGAGGGCATTGTGGGGAGGAGGTTGGATGAGGATGAGGTGCGGAGGTTGCGGAAGGCGAGAAAGGAGGGCGATTTTCATGAGGCCGTGTTGGATGTGAAGGTGAGGGGGAAGCATGATAAGTTTGCGTGAGGGTTTACTCGGTACAAAATCCTTATAGAGGCATCTATGTATTCATATCATGTCGGAATGGCTGTATACACACTCCATATATTCATGTCTATATCCGTCGGGTATCATCTACAGTTTATCATCTTGTCACAGTCATCGGTCATCATCAGGAATGGGCGGTTTGCAGCCAAGGGTCGCTGTGCATCGTCGTGTCAATTCCCGGATACGCCAGCCACCCTCCTGGCAGCACGCTCTTCTTGCATAATGGGCAGAGGCTGCTACTCTGCATCAGCGACGTGTCGATGCACGGTGGATGGAAGATGTGCCCACATGGGAGCTCGCGCACCCTCGACAACATCGGCACATAGTCGTCGAGGCAGATCGCGCATGTGGTCTGCAGCCGACTAAGTCGGTTCTGGTGCTGCGCATACGCGGCATCCGGGTGGCTCATCGTCGCGGATTGTGGTGGTCGTCTGACGGGTTCGTCATCCGTTGCTTTTTCGGGCTCATCGTCTGCCACCCGGGGCGGCTGACTCGTCGCGTCCTCTACCTCGTTCTCTTCGATAATGTCCGCTAATGGCTCCCGGAACGGTGCGATTTCATTTTGTGTGCCACTGTCGCTCGCATCTGGGCCCGGATAGAGGTAGATGGGCATCGTCTCCAAGAACTCGGGCGGAATCTTGACATGATGCTGTGCCAGCTGTTCCAGGTCCGCTTCCCCGGCCTCGAGGCGGCGCTGGAGCTCTCGTTGGTGTCTTTTGTGCACAAGCTGATAGAATAGAAGGAGTATGATGGTGAGGACGAGTATCGTCCCGAGAATGGCGAGAATGAACCCCCAGATACTGGGCATTTTCTTTCCGCCGCTGTCTAGGCAATGTCAGCTCCCACTGCTCAAGCCCGGCAGCGCTGGCACTCACCTATATCAATGACTGCCATCAGTCGGGAAACCCCTGACTGTGTTTGCGCTAATGCAGTCTGGTTCATCGTCCCATCCCGTGACAGCTGGGCCATCAGGGTCACACCCGCCGCGCCGGGAATTGCGTAAACCGGAAAGTCATTCCGCGATTGCCACGCAGCACTGCCTCCTAGCAGCCACACCGGGTCATTTGCGGACGGCGGTTTGGTATCATCGTTGGACGGCAGGAAGAAGACCAGCGCGTCTGGCCTGGGATGCTGCGAGGCATTCAGAAACGCCTGTGTACATTCGTCGTTTATCCAGGGCGCCAGCCCGATCATACGAGTTCCGAACGGGGTGACGCCCTGGAGGCGGGTGACATTGGCCGGTATGAGCGGAGCGGTGGCATTGTTGCACCGGTTCTGAGCATCGAGGAGGGGAACGAAGAGTAATCCCTCAATCGGGCTTTTGTCCGGGGCATTTTGCTTGGACAGCGTCTGAACGGTGCTGTCGAGCCTGAGAGAAAAAATTGAGCTTTCCTAGATGTCCCTGGTAAGCTTCTCACACCGCAGTTCCGGGGCGTTTGTGACGTACATTCAGAGAGGCCGTGGTATTGCTCGGGTCTGCAAAAAGCGTAGCAACCGTGGTGAGCGATTTGGCAGCTAGATGGAGGCATTATCAGCGATCGCCCCGACATTGATAGGAGGTTGAGATCTACGCTGGAATGTGCAGCATTCTCTCGAGCAAGGGAGCATACTCATTGTGAAACACGATCGTGCAACTAGCACGGGTCCGTCCACCCAGGAGGATTCCAGCAGCTTAAAATCGAAGTCCAGGGAGCATCATCGTCCGTATCTTGCACCGAGTTGGGCAAGGGTCGACGTCAGACGCACGACGACTACTGCAAAGGGAAGAATGCGAGGGCAGAGGCAATATATTATCTCGTCTATGGAAGAATGCTGACATGTCAGGTCGACTCGACTGCCAGTCGCGGATAGTGGCTGCGGCCACCTGTAAGAAGGCCAAGCCTATGCTGAGAGACCCTGCAGGTTTGATGTGGTGCTGCTCCGGTGGCTGCCTCTTGGAGGTTCATTTTGCTTGTTCAGACCACCCATGGTCTTGGAACGCTGTTTGCAGTGAATGACGTTTGCGGGAGGAATCCAAGGCATTTCCAGTGAGGGCTAAAAATAAACCTCAGTGAACCGATGAGACCTGGGATGCAAGCATCTTCACTTCGTCCAGGAGTCCTGTGTAATTGCATGACTCTGGGACTGCTAATGGGCGAGTGCTCCAGGCCGACTTCATAGCTGTTGTACTACCGTCTGCTGCAGGGTGGATGTAGATCGGGTCCCTCCCACCCGCGGTGGACCCTTTCCTCGGTAGTCTCTCACGTGACCCGCGGGAGCTCCAATGCTGACATCATGTGATGGTCTCGCCACGTGAGATCACATGCCCCATCACGTGGGAGGCCGGGCATCTCCGTCCAGGCTCACCATCAACAACAATCCCCCTCCAATTCACCACACCTCGAGACGCTGTGAGCATTGCTCTTTGATGCAGGGATCCTAGCAGGTGAATCCCGTGCCCGAGTCAGTGTTCACTTTCAGGGGCCACTATCTTGAAGCACAAGCATCATGGGCTATTAAGTTCCATTACCAGTCCAGACCACATCTCATTGCCCACCCCCTTCGCGCATCGCATCGCATCGCATCTCGACAACCGCCATTCCCGTCAAGATGCCCACAGCTAGTAAAGGCAAGGGCAAAGGTCGCGAAGCGCGACCCTCCCGAAGTCGCAACACCACCCCCAACTCCAGCTTCAGCGCCGGCCCGACCGCCCCCGCCCAGCTCCACATCTACCTCGACAACGATGCCTCCAAGTTGATCCTGACCCCTTCCGCCATACAATATGGAGAACTCCTGGAGCGCATGGGTGGTGTTGGCCCTATCCCCGACTCCAAGTCGCTCGAGTTGTTGATGGAACACCTCAAGACCCTCAGCCAGCTAGCCGAAACTCGGAGTGACGCATGCAATGCTGGCATCCGGGAGCTATCACAGAAGCGCAAGGAGGTGGTCGAAGAACCAGAGTCAGCCGAGAGAGATGGTAGCGACCGCGTGAAGATGAAGCGTGAAGCTGATGATGAGGAGGAAGAAAAGGTGTTAAAGGGAGGGAAGTTGAAGAGACGAAAGGAGCGCGGGAGCAGCTCCAAAGAGGAACGCCCGCTGGCTCACGGCGCCCATGACATCGCACGACAGGATGGCGCCGAGACAAAAGTTGAAGGAGGTACGTCGGTGCTGCATTCCCAGATGGATACGCGGTGTGGCTTCCACAACCCTGGACTGCACGGTCTTGAACCCAACCCATCACCCCATACCTACTATATACACTCTGTATCCCATGATCTGCGTAGTTAACTCATCGCCAGCCGCATCGCCAGCTTCCAAAAAGTCGAAGCACGCGCCTTCCGAAGAGGCCTCATCACTGTCACCTTCGTTGCGAACGTCGCCTCGGCCAGCCGCGGCCGACACTGCCGATGATGCAGGGTCGCCCGGGTCCGATGATAGTTCCGAGTCACACCAGCCTGAGCCCGCCCCGGCTGTGCCACAGGTGCAAGTCTTCGGCCCCAACCCACTCAAGTTCGATGATCCGACCGTGTACCATATTCGGGACGTCACTCCAGACATGACAGACGAGGAGAAGAAGGTGATCTACAGCGTAAATCGTTTTCCCTGGAGTGATCTGAGCCATCTGATGGCGGGCTCCCCTCCAGATCGGGATTTCAGCAACGCCAAGCCGACCAACCAAGTCAGCGCCAATACGTTCCTTGCCTATGTCGACCCCTACGTCCGCCCATTGACGGAGGAGGACATGGCGTTTCTGAAAGAGAAGGTGGGCATTCTGATCGGCTCCGATACGACCATTTGCTAATAGCCACAGGGTGATCGAGCGACCCCCTTCATCATGCCCAGACGCGGAAAGAAACACTACACGGAGACGTGGGCTGAGGATGACGGACTCATGAACGTTGACCAGGCTAACGGTGACAAAGAGCGGTTGCCTCTCAACCAGGGCCGGGGAAACATTGACCAGGTGACCGACGAAACCCTCGAAACCGACAAGATCTCCGTGGGTCCTGTCGTGAGCCGCCTCTACTCCCTATTACGTTACGAGCATCGTGCTCCTCCCGATGAAGGCACCGCCAATGGCTCCGTCAACGGCGATGTCGCTAATGGCCCCATGAACGGCGACTCTATGGACATTGACCACCCAGCTGGGGACTCTGAGAGCAAGCCTCTCCCCTCGGCGACCGCATTCCCCGACGCCTCTCCCAACAACTTCAAAGTTCCCGCCGCGAAGCTCGATCACGCACAGCTGGACGAGCGACTCAAAGCCGAACTCCGCCACGTCGGCTTCCTCGGCGCCGATGACAACCCCGACTACGACGCCCACTACGACGATGACATCGCCCAGCGGCTCCGCCTTCTCCAAAGCGAGCTCAAAAAGCAAATGATCATCAACAGCGCCCGCAAAACCCGCCTCCTGGAGATCGCCCGTGAACGCATGGCCCACCAAGAGTACATGACCATCCACGACGACCTCGACTCGCAAGTGCAGCAAGCCTATCTCAAGCGCACCCGCACTCTCGGCAAGAGCAAGAAGGGCTCGCAGGCCAAACACCGCCCCGGCGGCGCAGGCGGCGGCAGCCATGTCGTCAGCGCAGCGGGTGTCGGCCGCCCCGCCATCGGCGACGTTGCCCGCACCCTCATGGACCGACGCAAGCGGTGGCGTGATTGCATCGGCCCCGTCTTCAAAGACTGCAAGACCAGCGTACCAGGCAAGGCCGAAACCGTCTTTGACCCAGCTCTGATGGCCGAGTACGAGAAGGCCGAAGTCGAGGGCTGGGACGAAGAACAGGAGTGATGAATGATTCTCAATACCCACTTTTGACTAACTCTAACTCGGGTTGGTTTATATTTGTTTCGCTGTACATCTTTTCGTTTTTTGCTGTGCCATGTTAGCGATGCTCGGAGTGGGGCCTGTATTGATACGTTAGATCACGATTTTGAGTTGTCTGTGTCTCCCTCTATGGACTTGAGGGGCTTTGGTTTCCGGGTTATGACTGGCGTTGTGGGGGGATGTTACTTATTGATCGATGGATGAATTACTTGATGGATGGGCGTTTGGCAGACGTTACGGATACGTACGTATCTAAGAAGATACCTATATTCTTTCGGATAGGATACGATAGGTGAGCAGAGGAAGGCTATTAATACCACTCAACTTTACGATGTTACTCCTACTTGATAGTTTAGCAAGTAGATTTGGGTTGATGATAACTGGGCTGTAATTTTAATGGGTATCAATATCAACAAAGAATCTCTATACGGGAATGATAGATGCCGCGCCGTCATCGATGTAATATCAACACCTCCCCCGGGAACCTCTTCAGCCTTATCGTTAGCTCCCGCTCACTGATCTCTAATTCTGTGCAGATCTGATCGAAACAATGCATTCCGTCGAGATACTTGGACAATGTCTTGTCATCAATATCATCTTCCTCTTCCTCGCCCTCAATTGTGACAATCGTGGCGGGTCGACTTCCGCTGTACACAGACGTTGGAAGGCCTGTTCCCTCGTGCTGCACAATCGGTGCAGGATCGTCTCCCGCACTGGATGCGTAGGGGCTGTTCGCGCCCGTGCCTGGGCCGCGTGATGACGGCCCGCTGGGAGAGTGGAATGTGGTTGAGGCGTGGTGATAGTGGGAGGATTTCAGAGGCGGGGCTGGATTACCAGTCGCGTAGGCGTATTTGTGCACGCGGTAAAGGAATCCTTTGATTATGCCAAAGGTGATGAAGCGGCGGATATCGATATGGGCTAGTTTGCGGCTGTGTTGGAGGTACCATTGTTTGATGCTCTGGCCTTGTTTGAGGCTGGCGTAGAGTTCCACGATGCCGACGCCATCGACGAGCTGAAGTTCCGTGGGGTGGGTGGTGGTTGCGGTGGCATCGTCGTCTGTGGCAGTTGCTGGGGCCGGGGATGTGGTTCGACTGCTGGATGGGATGGTGGCGGCGCTGGGACTCGGGCTAGGAGTTCGACTGGGGCTTCGGCTGGGAATGGTGATTTCACTGGTGCTGCTGGTGGTGAAGGGGTCGCCGACTGGTGGCCAGACGGCGTCGGGGTCGTAATGCGGGGGGTAGCCCGGGGCGAGGGCAGCGGACGCGGCGCTGATTGGAGAGGCGAAGATGGTGTTGACGTAGCGGGCGCACTCCTGCTGCATATCTTCATCTGTTGCGATTGTGGAGCTGAACTGGGCGGTTGGGGCGTAGATGGCTGAGAAGGAGAAGATGTCGAGGAGGAACAGGCAGCCATAGTAAAGAAGATGACGGATGGCACGGCACGTTAGGGAGAAGTCGGTGTCAGCGAGGATGGAGATGATGCGGACGCTATTGACGCCATTGATGTGGGGGACGATCTGGAGGGGGAGTTCAGCTGGCTGACGTGCAGCAGGGGGCTGGCTGGGTTGCATCGTACCCGTTGCATGGTCAGATCCCAGTTCTCATCCATGAAGGTCTGGTATCGGACTGTGAAGAGAGGCACATGCCATGCCTTGACGGGCGGAGGGGCCGGATAGACAGGAAACAGCTTGATGTTCAGGGTGTTCAGCTCATCTGGGTCATCATCCCCTGTCAGCATCTCGGATTGGGGTAGACCCGCCGCGACTGAAAGGGTAGGAGTTACCGATTGGGATCATGCACTCGCAGTAGTTATTCAAATCTTCCATCAGCGTCTCACACAGACTGTAGACCTTCCCTTCACCCGATTTGGAGTGATCCCTGGACAGGAACCCATTTTGCTCCTCCAATCCGTGCATCAGATCCGCTAGCTTCTGAACGACGCTCTTGTAGGTGCTGAAATCCTCCTCCTCGGAAAGCACCACGCAGAAGTTAAAGATGAACTCGTTCCGGTCATACCGAAGGGACTTCATGCAGATCGGATAGCCCAGGATGCGATATCCATTGGTGCAGACCTGAATCAGGTTACCGCAGAGCTCTTGCCGGGGGATCACGAAGAAGGAGATGTCAGAGAAGGTCAGGAAGAGGGGCTGTGAGGGGGCGGTCGCGGAGGGGACAATGGCGCCATCGGGGACTTGGTGGACGACCTTGGGCCCTGTGGAAGCCAGTCAGTGAGTGGCAGTCAATAATTTTTTCGGGATGTGGCTGCCCACCTTCCTGCGTGTCGAACTTGCTGTAGAAGATGGCCCTGATCATGGTGGAATTGGAGGCATCCGAGGCGGAGAATTGGAACTGGCAAGTGGCGGGGAGCCGCGGGGAGCTCCAGCCAGCATAAGAATAGTAATCGACCCGCAATCGGCGACCGCGCCCCCCCTTCCCCATAAGTCATCAGCCACTACTCTCGCAATTCGCAACACTATCGGATCGGATTACACTATTTTGGTCTTTCCATCGGAATTGTAATCTGCAATTTATTTTTAGAGATGACCGATGGGAGCGAGTCTATCGCAAAAGGGTGCCGCAAATTGGTCAGGGGTATTACAACAGTAAGTGTGAGATGATGACGCACAAGATGACAGGAAATCTATCAGCGCAGCAACAGTAATGGGAATGAGAAAACGGAGCAATGAGGAATGGTCGCCACAAATTCCACCGGGGAAGCGCCGCAAATGCATGATCAAAGGAGCCGAACCCGTTCGCTAATGGTGAACTCGCAAAGAAGGAAATTCAGTCGACGGCGATTCTAGCGTCCCGCCCGGGATGGCGAATGAGCATAGCGCCGGACCCCCCTGCCCGACAGTATGGACGGGGTGGGTGCGATAAATGGCTCGGAAAGTGAGGCGGATGGTCGAACACCTGCCCTCCCGAGCGGTGGCATTGAAGAAGGCATGTCGTAAAGGTAACTCAATGGTTGGCCCATGCGGATTGCACTAAGCACGTCGGTGTAGCTTCCTCGCTCTCCGGCTTCCTTCAGCCACTGCTCCCAGTCTTCATCCAGTGGCACGTCGTCCCCCTGTTCGCGGGCTGCGGTCGCCGCCATCAGGCGATGGTTCAGCTCCACGCCGCAGCTTTCCATCTCGTCATCGCTTGAATCTTCCTCGTCTTTTTCTTCCACAATACAGTCGATTCCCCGATCATCAATCAGGCCGCTGGTGGGGCGCACAGTTTCGCATGTATCAAAGTGGAGGTCCACTTCCGGGAAAGGTTCCTCGTCATCCTCGTAGTCCTCGTAGTGGACTTCAATAGAGGGGAGGGGAGAGGGGGACGCGGGCCGGATGCTATCTGCGGTAGTATCGCGTACTTTCACCCCTTCTTCCTTTTCGTAACGCTCCCGCGCCGACTTGGTGCCCTCCCAGCGACATAAGGAAGAGATCTCAGTCTCGGTAAGGCCAAGCTCATCAAAGGCTCGGAACAGTCTGCGATGCCATGGGAATCGGCCCAACCTCATGCGATGAGGACCGTATGAATAGTCAAGCCCGGGATATTGAGCCTCGGGGCAGTCCAGAGATCCATAGAACGTCGACGTCTCGATTCGGACTTCTGGAACCAGGTTGCGAGTGATGTGCGCAGAAAAGGTGGCCGGATCGCTTGCGCGCGGGCGCGGAAACAGTGTGCTGTGCACTATTTGAGCCAGCGAAGGTTTATGCATGGTGGTGGTAGTTGGTTGGTAGTGGTGTTGATAATGAGGGTTGGTGACGGAGAGCGGGTGATAAGGAACGGAGGTATAGTACCAGGAAGCAGGCAAGTATATACAACGAAGGGAGAGGGAAGTCGATTAGAAGACGGACTGTAGGTCCTGAAAAGAAGCAAAGAGAGAAAAGTGAGGAGAAGATGGAGAACGCTAGGATGAATGATCGTTCGCTCAATCCAGGAAGGGAATGGATCGAAGGAGGAGAGCAGAAAGGGACAGTGAATGCGAATGGATCTGGTTGCGGAAGGGGGCCGTTGGGATCGTCAGGCAATAGCGGGAAACGGAGACGGGCCAGAAGAATAGGAGGGTGCCGCAGAGCCGTCGTCAGATCTCGCCACGGTTTCAGCCACGGCCCGCATTCAATAAATGAAACGGTTGTCAGGCGGTTTATTTCTCAGATAGGGGAGGGCGACACAGAGCGAGGCATGCCTCCACCGGATCAACACTTGAAATCCGTACCACACGTGGGTTGAGGGGAGGATGGATAATATGAAACACGGCGGCCGGAATGTTGGTCACTTGTCCCCAGACTTGATATTTATCTCTTCGGTGACGTCGGAGACCGTTGGGCTCCTGAGAGGTGAGGGTGACACACCACCAAGCGCCTTGAGTTCAGGTACCGTTAGGACCCAAAGCCTGATCCGTCAACTTGTCAATCACCAGTTGCAAGAAGGGCCCATGACGATGATCGCTGTCGGTCGTAGGGCTGTTCCCAATCAGGGAAAAGCAAAAGAGAAGCGGTAGTGATGACGGAAAGGATCGAGTTCAACGGGTGAGCGAACGACGGCATCTTTATATCAGGCCCGGTTCCTTTGGTGCCAGTCGGCTGACACCTGGGGAGCGACCAGACCACGCTTGCAAATGACCAGCGCATAGGAAACGAACTGCGTGGAGTCGTGAGTTAGCGAAAACTAAATCCGTGACAACAGGAAGATCCATCGCAAGACAAGTTGGCCGCCTCCCCAATCTCGAGCCATGGATGGCACCAAACCTGCGCTGGCGAGCGGGTCTCAACGCCCACTCGCCTCACGGTGGTGCCCCTGCAAGGCCACTTGGTCGCTGGTCGGGACGCTCTGCCAGTGCCCGCTGGCTTCCACGCCGGGCTCATGTAGGTACTCGCCCTGAGGGCCCCCGGGTTACACCGTGATAGGGTCAGGATAATTCTCTTCTTCGCGGAACACAAGGGTCTAGCCAAGCGGGCGAGCAGTTGCAGTTGCCTGTTGATCCATCCGTGGAGGGACCGGTCAGTCTTCGTGCATAAGGGTTGGGAACGACGGAGATAAGTCGGCTCGCAAATCAGAGTTATCAGACAGGGTCCGGGCAAGAGGCGGTAAGGTTAGTTGGAGATCGGGCAGGCATCTCATCATGGCTCCAGCTTCTCATCTCCAATGGTGCCAGTGAGAGAAACCAAATCACACTTCCTCGTCATGATGGCCTTTCCTTCACCGTATCGTATCATTCGTAATATCCACGGTCACGTGCATCCACACTCCCGACGGGGGATGGCGGCCACCACGCCTTCTTCCACTTTTCGCGTCTCCCCTCCTCTCCAACTCATCATCCTCCGTGGTGCTGTCGTCGACCGAGCCATCCGTTGACCCAGGATGAATTAGCTGCATCCCGCTCTAGCCCTCGTCCATTCCGGCGCCACCACGTCCCATGTCGACCTTTGATGGGGCCGTCCGGGGTAGGTCTATACTTCCGGTCCCTCATAAGCTAAAACGGCCCTCTAACGCATAGTAGAATTTCCCTCCATTCAGAGTAAGGATTCGATAAGCCCCCCGAACTGTGGGATGCCGACGCTGAAATTCTGCAGTCGACTACTTCTGCAAGAATCCTGACAGACCACCTCCCCTCGCCTGTTTCCTCAGTCATGTCCATAGTGACCATCTTCACGGGCTGGAGTCCTTCAGGACTCCATTCATCTATTGCTCTGCAGCCACTCGAGAGGTATGTGCTGATTGGAGGCCTGTGACGCAATCTCATACCCTCTCAGATGCTCCTCCGCATCGAAAAGTATCCGCATCGTATGAACTTTAGCAAAGGCATTCTAGAGTCTCGAAGACTGCATTACAAACACCTGTCTAAGCTACTGGTACGTTTTACCTAGCAAGGAACTGACCTGTCAGCTCACTAGAGCAGAGACCTATCCCTTTGAACACCCCAACCGAGCTAGAACTTACCCCACGGCTGTCAATCCGAGTCACTCTATTCGATGCGAACCATTGTACAGGCGCAGTCATGTTCCTGATAGAGGGTAACGGGAAAGCTATCTTATACACTGGCGATATCCGTGGTATGCAGATTCCTCAAGAGCTACTGCAGGCTTGTATCTGATGATCTCCAGCGGAACCCTGGTGGGTTAACAGCATCACCCGGAACCCCGTTCTTATCCCTTACACTTTGGGAAACAAGCGGTTGGACAAGATATACCTCGACAACACCTTCGCCCGTCCATCACATATCTTTCACGCTTTTCCGTCCAAGGCAGAAGGCTTGAAGGAGTTATTGAAGAAGATCCAGTCGTATCCGGATAGCACTACATTCTACTTCCGAGCCTGGACATTCGGCTATGAAGAAGTTTGGATGGCACTTTCGGCGGCGCTCAATTCAACGGTGCGTTTTGCACTTCAACAGTCGGTGTTCTTACTGATGCAGCCAGATCCACGTGGATCGATACCAAATGGATCTTTATAGGTCACTTGCCTCACAAGGTGTCAATGATGCCACATTCCTCTGTGGGTACGAACTCGGAAACAGGTTCATTCCCGGCTGCCTTAGCGAGGATGAAAGCTCCCGCATCCATAGCTGTGAGCCAGGTGTTCACTGCCCTGCCGCAGCTTCTCGGGATACCGTCTACATCGCACCGATTGTCAACCGGACAACAGGCGGCTCAGAAATGCCGGAGATCGGAGCAGGCGGGGGAGGCGGGGATCTATACCAAGTCCACGAACTGGAGCTCCCAGACCAATCAGCTCTAGAACAGCTAGAGAAGCTTTGTCTTGAACGCATCCATGACACCAAAGCCCTTTCACAAATACGACAAGCGCTTGTCGATGCGTTCCGATCCAAAACCAGAGTACTCTCTCTCGACAGCTACGGGATGAAAGATGCACACGACATGTCTCTAGAGAACTTGGTAAGCATACTGAGCCGTGGTCGTCCAAACGAGGAAGACTGGTCGGGCAATGCGAACCAGCACACACATCTACGAGATGGACAAGGCAATCCCCTCCCTAGGATCATTGTACGCATACTCCACGTTCTCGCTTCCTAGCCACCCCTAACATCTCCAGCACTTCCCCTACTCCCGCCATTCCTCTTACACCGAACTTTGCGACCTCGTCTCCGCCTTCAAACCAAAAGATGTCCACCCCTGCACAGTTGACCCAATAAATTGGGACGAAGAAGTATCCATACAATCCCTCTTCGGTCATCTCTGCAGCGGCACCGCATTCGTCCACGACCAACACATGCGAGACCTGACAGTCAACGACCCAGACCTCCGCGCCAGAAAACGTGCCCGCTACGAGGGCTCTTTCAGGATGCAGTCAAGCCAACAAACATCAAGCATGGTAGATGGTAGTATCCCAGAGCGCCCTCGACCAACCATGGCCGAGCCACAATCTTCCTCCTCAGATCAAATCCCCCTTCCATCGTCCTTTGACCCAATCGAAGAACCCTCCCCGATACCCGTAAACGAACCCCTCACCATCCCGGCCTCAACCCCAGAGACAGCAAAGGCACGACGAGACGAGATCCGTCGCGCCTGGCACATTCTCAACAACGCCGACCCCTCCGAGCGCTCGCTCTACGAGCTCGGCTCCCTCCCTTCCTCCTGGACGAACACCGACGAAGAGACCGAACCCCCCAAATCAGAAATCGATCCCACTCCTTATCCGCTGCCCGACACTCCACCGAAGACCAAACCAACACCTAAAGACAAAGACCAGGACATAGTAGTAACTCAATCATCCCCCGTCAACACTAACCCAGACCCACAAGCCACCCCCACAGAAGACCCCTCCGAAGAATCAAACCCAGACCCTGCCCCCCAACTATACAGCCAACTCAGCCAATCCCTCTCCCTCAGCTCATCCGCATTTGAGTCCCAAGAATCCGGAACCAGCATCGACCCCGACCACCAGGAAGACTTAGACGAAGAGGTAATGACCACCATTCCCAACTACGACGGCACAGACGATCGTCATCATACTCGACGACAACGTCAAGATACGAGACGATCAATATCAAGTCAGATCCGTCGAGACGCATACCTTGCCGCCAGAGCAGATAGCTTTGATGCCTGGGCGTCAGTTTCACTAATGTCGACGGGGAACAATCATACTGAGGAGGAAATTGAACTCTGATTTCAATTTCTTCGTTTCCTATTTTTTGTATGAATACCTTTGTACATGTGCTTGATTATGCTTAGATAGGACAGTGTTTGCGTAGACATAACGTAGGAGTGTCCATATATGTCCAAGAAACAACCATAGTAATAGATAGTACCCACTAACTGCTATGTTTGAAAAAGACAAGTAAAAAAGAAAAGAATAAAGGAAGAGATTCATCCAGTCATTCATCCCATAATCTCATCATCCCACTAGCCAAATCACTATATACACATCTCCCATAATACTTCCATCCCATCCCATCCCCCACCAAACCACACTCCCTATAAAAAGAACATATCGAAGAAAATCTATACAACAGAACGGCATATCAAAACAGAACAAACAAAAAAAAACAACTGACTATCCAGATATTCAGATATCCACATATCTCACAATCCAACAATCATTCAACCCACCAACATCAAAAAAAGGTATCTAATAAACAAAATAATCCTGAGTCAGAGGCAACGTGCCCGCGGGCTCGGCATCACAGAGCATGCCATCGGCCTCGACGCGATAACTTTCCGGGTCGACTTTCATCTTCGGCATGATATCGTTGAACTTCATGTCGGCTTTGCCGATGTTGCGGCAGTTTTTGACGGCTTCGATGCGTTTTTGGAGGTTGTAGGTTTGGATCACGCCCGCGTCGAGGGAGGCTTGGGAGACGAAGGTGATGGAGGTGGAGGGGACGAGGGCCTGGGTGGGGTGTTGTTAGTGGGAGGTGGTTTGGAAGGAATGGAGAGGGAGAGGGGTGGGAGGGGACTTACGCCAAATTGAGGGCGCATGATGACGGGTTCGACGGTGGGAATGGAGGCGTTGGGGTCACCCTGTAGATTATTAGTATGTTTGGGCTGGGTTCTGTGGACGGGTAAAAAGGGTCGTACCATCTTAGAGACTGCAATCATGCCGCTCTTCACGACCTGGGATGGCTTCACGCCGAACGAACTGGGCGACCAGAGTACCAGATCGGCGATCTTGCCGACCTCGATACTGCCGATCATGTGGGACATACCCTGCGCGATGGCCGGGTTGATGGTGTATTTGCTGACGTATCGCTTCACGCGGAAGTTGTCTGCACCGGTGCCTTCGTCTTCCGGCAGCGGACCGCGCTGCTCCTTGTTCTTGTGTGCGGTGTTCCACGTCCGCAGGATGACTTCACCGCAGCGGCCCATGGCCTGAGAGTCAGAGGACATCATGCTGATGGCGCCAAGGTCGTGGAGCACGTCTTCGGCGGCGATGGTTTCGGCACGGATACGGCTCTCCGCGAAAGCGACATCCTCGGCGATGTTCTTGGACAGGTGGTGGCACACCATTAGCATGTCGAGATGTTCGTCGAGGGTGTTGAGGGTGAAAGGACGGGTGGGGTTAGTGCTACTGGGGAGCACGTTGGGATGTTCCACGACAGAGATGATGTCCGGGGCGTGACCACCACCGGCGCCTTCGGTGTGGTAGGTATGAATGGTGCGGTTCTTGAATGCTTCAATGGTTTGCTCAACAAAACCGGATTCGTTCAGGGTGTCGGTGTGGATCATGCATTGGACGTCGTACTTGTCGCACATTTCGAGACAAGTGTCGATGGCGGCGGGCGTCGAGCCCCAATCTTCGTGCAGCTTCAATCCGGCAGCACCAGCGTAGATCTGCTCCTCGATGCTCACACCGCCGCAGTCGTTGCCTTTACCGGTGATGCCGACATTGATGGGCAGGCGGTCGCAGGCCTGGATCATTTGGCGCATGTGCACGGGACCCGGCGTGCATGTCGTGGCGTTGGAGCCGGTTGAGGGGCCGGTTCCTCCTCCCAAGAACGTCGTGATACCTGAGGCCAGCGCTTCATCCACCTGCTGGGGACAGATGAAGTGGATGTGGGTGTCAAAGCCTCCGGCGGTGACAATCTTATTTTCTCCCGCAATAACATCGGTTGAGGATCCGACTACCATGCCCGGGGTGACACCGTCCATGATATCGGGGTTTCCAGCTTTACCGATTCCCACAATGAATCCGTCCTTGATACCAATATCGGCCTTGAAGATACCCGTCCAGTCGATGATCAGAGCGTTTGTGACAACCGTGTCCAGACAATGCTTTGTGGACTTCTCAGAAGACTGGCCCATGCCATCACGAATAGTCTTGCCTCCACCGAATGTGCACTCGTCTCCGTAGGATGTATAATCCTTCTCCACGCGAACCCAAAGGTTGGTCAATCCCAGCCGCACCAGGTCACCCGTAGTCGGGCCGAACATTCGAGCGTAGACCTCGCGCTCCATCGAGAAGGGGGTCACTACCAGCGCACTGTCGGCAGTGGGCTCGGGAACATGGGCAAAATTCTGCACTTGTAGACGGAGCATGATCTCCTCAGCACGGGCAAGGTCGACCTTGCCCGAAGCAATGCAATTACCTCCACGGATAATCCGGTTACCTCCAATCTCCACGAGTGTGACCACCTTAGTGTCTCCGGGCTCAAATCGCACCGAGGTGCCGGCGGGGATGTCGAGGCGATATCCGTATGATCGGAGACGGTCAAAGTGCAGCTGCGGGTTCGTTTCAATAAAGTGGTAGTGCGATCCAACCTGAATGGGCCGATCACCCCTGCTCATCACCTTAAGCTTGATTCTCTTCCTTCCCTCATTCAAGATGATACGCTCGTTCCTCACAGGCAGGATGGCACCGGGCATCTTCTCGGGTTCGTAGTCGGCCGGATCGGGATCGGGGAACGCATCTGCGGGAGGTATGGGGAGAAAACTGCCGTAGAGAGCCTTTTCCAGGTCTCCGTCGTCGCTACTGATAGGGTTGTGTACGGTCACGAGGTAGGTACCGGTGGTAAACGTTCCTTCGACCTGCAATTCGACTAATGTCGAGACGACCGATGGGAGGACGTGACGACGACCCAGCATGGTCTTGCCGATGGACATGAGATCGGCCACGGAGTATTGTCCATCGCGGATCAGCTGTGGAGCGGCGGGTTAACGAGGTGATTGGGAGGGATCCTCGGGATGGTTGGTTACCTCCTGCAGGTTGGACGAGATCAACGCCTAGACCACATTTTATCAGCCATGTTGTGTCATAATGAACCGCGTGAACCTAAGGCCCGGGTGCAACGTACCGTGGCTTCGGCATGGTTGAGTCGGATACCACGTGCGAGCCGGCGCTGGGCCAGGAAGCCCAGCTGGGAGATGACGAGCTTGTCAAGCTGGCAAGGAGAGAGTCAGTGGGCGTTGAGAATCTTCAGACAGCGATGGCAATGGAAACGCACCTCCTTTGGAATCAGATGCATCCTGGGCGGGCAGGTAGTGTCAAACGCCCTAGAGGGACAGTCAGATCGCAACCCGGACTCGGTTCAGAGTTGACAGGCAGGACCGGACCCAGAAGAGGCTCGGGGGAGGAATTTAAACGCGACGAGGGGAAAAAGCGCGCCGGATCGGGAGGTGAAAGTGGGTTTGACGGCGATGGAGATGTGGGGGGGGAATCCCAGAATTCGCATTGTCGCATCGACGCATACACTGCAAGGGAGACCGATAAGCGGTCGCGTGCACTGATAAGCCCGGCATGGACCTATGGCAGCCCGCCTGGACGAGGGTGACTAACGGCTTGCAGTCAAGCTGCAGCCCGTCTTCGGGTCGCTTGGAGGCCATCGGCAGTCGCCGGGCATCTCCACTTCATCCAGTCCATCTTATTAGTACTACTCCGTCCTCTAGTCTCCTAGACTCCTATAATATAGTACATCTTATGGATGACATAGTAGGACATACACAGTATTGTGTTCAGTGGATACTAAGAGCGGTGGTGGCAGCAGTAAGCTCAAGCTTTTCCATTCAGAACTATCAGTGACCCAGCACCCCCAACTAAAAACACCCCGCAAAGCGCACTGTCCGACGCCAATCAGGCCCGAGAAACACAACAACCCCGACCGCAAGACCCAACCAATCGATCCGTAATATGCTACACCCAGTGATCATATCCAAACTTGCAATTTACATCATGTAGCCGGGACATAGACGCCCAATTCCATTGATACTCCGAAATTAGAACCCATCTTACTCCTCACCGCCGGCCTCGCTCTTGCGCTTCTTCTTGGTGGCGCGCTTGTTCTCACCAGCGGCAGCCTTGCGAGTGGATGCGGGGGCCTCCTGCTCCTCCTTCTCCTTGCGGGCAGCAGCACCGCGCTTCTTCTTCTCCGGCGATTCCCTCTTCTTCTCGCTAGGGGTCGACACCTCCTTGGCGGTAGGCTTACCCTCGCTGCGGCGACGCTTGGTGCTGCGCGGGGGAGTGGGCTCGCGGACCGGTTCGGGGGAGGACTCCTCCTCAGACTCTGCTTCAGACCCCTGCTCCTCCTCATCAGACACATCGGTGGCCTCGGCACCCTCAATGCCCTGGTGCAGCTGGCTGGCAGCCTTGGCGTCATCCGAGTAGGGAAGACCAGCCTTGTAGGCCTTGACCTTCTCCTTGTAGACGGCAAGGTTGTCCGCATACAGCTTCTTCCAGACCTGCGCACGAGTTAGCAATGACCCAATACACGGGACTAGCACAAAGGTCAAACGCACCTCCTTCTGGGCTTCGGGCATCTCAGCCCAGCGGCGAGTGCCCTCGTCAGAGACCTCCTTGGGTTTGGCATTGGAGCCCAGCTCCTCCGCAATGCGGGAGCGGTTGTGTTGCATATAAAGGAAGAAGGGGGTCAGGGCGCGCTTGGGGGCGTTCGGGTCCGGGGGAGCACGCTTGCGCTTCTTCTTCTCGCCCACTTCGGACTTGGCGCCGGGGCTGGAAGGGCGCGCGCCGAGCAGACCAGACTCATACAGAGAGCTGGTGATACCACTGATGCTGCTAATGTCCAGGCTAGTGGGGGTACGGCCCAGCACGGTATCAGCATGGTTCATATAAGCCTTGGTCAGCTCCGAGACAGCTGCCGACAGTTGCACGAGGCTAGAGACAACCTGAGAATGAGTTAGTGGGGCTTGTTGGGGGGCCGAGGTGGCGACTGCGCGAACGCCGGAAGTGATGGCATTGATAGCAATGGTAGCACGGGAGATGGGCGCCACCAGGGTTGCGGCAGGTAATGAAGGAGGCGCCCGGGTTGGGGATGACCGTCCGCGCCGGGCCATGGGGAAAGGCGTGGCGCGCAACGAGGGACGCGTGATGGAATTACAGAGCGAAGGGGCAGCGGACAAAGAAAGCCAAACCCAGAGGGAGGAAGGAGGTAGTAAAGCGACTCAAAAGCAAACGCTAAAGCCAATAGTGCACTGCGTGAAACTTGGGGGGGAAGTAGAAGCAAAGGGCCAGCGTCACGAAGAGCCCGTCGGGGCGGCTTTGTTTACGGACGCGTGGTGGTGAAGGCAGCGCCCGGCCACCATAAGCTTAGGGAGGCAGCCGGCGTGGCGCGCCCACGGGAGGGAGGCAAAAGCGAATTGGCAAAAAGACATGGAGAATAAGAACTTACACTGTCGCGAGTGCGGGTAAAATCCTCGATGTCCACCGTGATGGTGGCATCTCTAGCCTTGGAATCTTCCCGACGAGACATCTTGGGGGATGCGCAACGGGGGGTGGCGACCACAGTTAACGGATGGATGGGATGGGATGGATTGGGGGGGCGGCGGTAATGATAGGAAGAAAGAAGGAGGGAGGGAGGGACGGGGAACCTGAAAAAAAGAAGAATTTTCGCTCGCTAGCGGGGTCAGTTTAGCGGGACGAGGCCTCCTAAATACTGCCCGCCCGCAGCTGGCCACCCGCAGCTGCTTTGGGCTTAGAAACTCTCGCCTCCCTCCCATCGTAGCCGCCGTGACTTTAGGGGGGTTGAGCGCTGCCGCTGCCCTCCCCAAGCTGCCCGCTGGCCCCAGAACCCCCTACTCCCTAACTCCCCGAGACCCCCGACCAACTTGAACGACTCGCCCGCGACAGGGCCCCTTGGCCCTGGCACCGAGCCTGGCAACCCCTCATGGCACCCGACACCCTGAAACTCGCTGAAACCCACTACTGTAGCCACCACCATCTGCCCCGACCGTCAAACCTCCTCAGCCTCCCCCCCCCATCCAACAGAGCAAAACGATCCCCAGTATCCTCCAGTTCTCTCCATCTGCGAAATGTGAACAACAAACAAACCCACATAGCCCCAGCGCGTATGTCGCATGGACCCCCTCAAGCTACTTACTCACTTACTACTGACTTTCCACTTCCCATTCTCCAATGGCAGCCCCGTAGATGTCCTCATGGTCAGCCACCCACCCACAACCCACCCGGCACCATCCGCGCAGCTCCAGAGCGCTACCCCGCCGCGCCCTGCCCCCGAGCGCAGCGCGCACCCAACCCAGCTGATCATGACCTTTATGTTGAAGACGCGCGCGTGTTTATGATTTATCATGTTGGGGTTATTGGTGGGTAAGATGATGTATTTGTTTACTTAGTTATGTAGATGACTTCTACTTTTTCCTTCTTTTTTTGTAGTATTGGTGTTTGTGAGTGGTGATGACATATATTTATCTGTGCGGGGATGGTCGGGGACCTGATTACCTATGGAGCTGTCTGGATTTTCAACGAGGATGACAGGTAATCGTAGAGGAGGCTGAAGTAAATGCTGTCGCTGGAGGTGCAGGAGAAGAGGAAAATATATATTTAGCCCTCTTGGTGATGATGGGGCTTGTTGCTGGGTCTCGTGGTTTGTTTGCGCTGATGCGATGCCTTGTTTGCTTGGTGGGGTGCGCTCGAGCTTGGGTGCTTATCTAGTGAGGGGTCGCCGAGTTTAGCCCTGCTGCTTAGGGCCTGCCAGGTGCCTATTTTAGGTGACGCTGCCTAGTGCGCTTTACATGGTGCTGGAAGCAAAACACAACTACGAAGAGGCTTTCCCGAAGCAGACAAGTTGGTATATATTCCCACCAGGAGCTTGACTCGCTCAAATCGTTCTAATATGACAATGTCCAATTCAAAAAAATACAATGCAGCCGTCATGTACTCTTCGTCTAGAACTTGAAAACCTGCTCCTTGGTGTAGCCCAGCTCCTTCAGGATACCCGACAGCTCGCCCTGGTCCGTGGGGCTGACCTTGGTTCCACTGATGGCCTTGTACAGACCGGGAGGTCCGCACACGAAAAGCTTGATGTTCTCCTCCTTGGGCTCGGGCAGGACGGTCTTCAGGAGCTCCTTGCTGATGTAGCCCTTGCCGCCGGTCCACTCCTTAGGGGGGTTGTCCAGGACGTAGAAGGCACGGAAGCGACGGGGGTAGGTGTTCTCGAGCTCCTCGAATTCCTTCTTCAGGAGGATGTCCTCCTCGCTCACGTTGCCAAAGACAAGGGTGACCTTGGTCTTGTCGTCGGGGTTCTTGAAGATCTCACGGGCAAGCTGGTACATGGGGGTGATACCGGTACCACCGGCGATCAGGCAGATGTGGTTGTGCTTGTTGGGCTCCCAAGCGTACTTGAGGATGGGGCCCTTGAAGTCCAGGCGCTGGCCGACGTTCATGCTGTGCAGGTGCTCGGACATGGGTCCGTTGGGGTAGACCTTGACGACGAGGTCGATGTAGCCGGGGGTTTCTACGCGAATCAGTAAGCGTTCAATGGGGGGTGAGGAGTAGCAGGGACATACCCTCATCGCTGGTGGGGGTGTAAGGGCGGATGACAGCCTTAGCATCGGCGGGCTTGAACTTGGTCAAGAGAGCAGCTGCAAGGTCATAAGCAAGACGGTCCGATAATTCCCGAGCAGGGCGACTCACAGGCGATCTGAAGACCAGAGACAGCCTCCTTGTCCTCGAACTCAAAGCGCAGACGCTTGGTGTTGTGGTTCAGGACCTCAATCTCCGACAGCTTGAGGTCAAACCATCCTTGGTCACCACCCTTGAAGACCTTGGCGCGTTCGACGACGGGGGCCTCAGCGGTAGCCGAGTTGTAGCGGTACAGTCCGACACCGAGACCGGCGGCACCGACAGCGGCGTAGATGGGGGCCAGGGAGAACTTGGCCTTGGGCGCTTCCGTGGAATATTTACGGAAGCCCTGTAAGCCGCATTTAGCACAAATTTCGGTTGCCGGTAGGGTCACAGAAAGTGCGAAAAAGAAAACCGGCGTGCTCAGTCCGAGAGACTTACCTGCTTGAGGGGCTGAGCACAGCGGAAGGCTTGACGAGCGAACATTTTCAAGGATCGACAGACACCAATGCGGGCTCAATGGATGGTGGATGAGGGAGGGAGGAGGAGCGGAGGGCGAGAGGACCTTCGGCAAAAGCTATTACTTAAAGCTCCTCCCTGTCGGACTCCGAAGCGCCGTTCTCGCACATGACGCAATGGGGCCGCCCGCCGTGCCTGGCCGCCTTTAGTTATTTCCGCCCGGATGGATGACTAACGGGCCTATCCCGGCGGTCATTGGCGGGACTGGCTTTGACACCATCAACACCCTCGGATGATGAGATTCTATCCATGGCATATCAGTACTTTAGCTGGAGGGAAGCTATAGACCACCTCCGGGGAGAAGAAGATAAAAAGCCTTACTGTATCATCTCCTACTATTGCCATTTCACAGTCCCAGCCAGTCAGAATATCTGTGCTTACCCATCACAGCCACAGGACGCATGGGCTCAACATAGTCGAGCTCTATCGGAAAAACATAATGGAGTTGAAGTTGATTCTTGCTGGAACCTGGCTAGACACCTGGCTAGCTATGCGATAACCCGGAAGTCATTTTTTTGGGCTGAAGTGGGCATTTTAATGTCGCACAAGTGGTAAGTAGATTGTAGACGGTTGCTTGCGAATCTGACCACCTACGGAGTACATTGGAGACAGTTCTGCCTTAAAGCTACTGCTCATGATAATCTGTAGTCATAGCCGAGACAAGTCGAGCACGATGGCAACCCTGCAATGAATGTAATGTCGACTGTCATCCTGTCAACGGATATAGCCCAGTACCCACCATGCATATATCCGAACCATCTACGGAGACCGAGGACGCCATCCGAGATCATCGTCTGTGTCAGTCTTTTAGAACTCAGTACACTGTCCCACAGGCGTACCCATATTTAAGAAAACAGGCCCGGATGCTGGGGGACATATTACTGATGCATATGGACGAACGATCTGGGGACCCCCAGGAAGTCTTGAAACCCCGGGTTTCGGGTGTACCGAGGAATCCGGACATACACATGGCCCAGCTACGATACACTACAAAATCCCATCCAGAGATAACTGAAAACAATACCCCGGTATTTTTTGATATAACTTGAAAGGGTCGCTGCAGAGGACTTAAAGAGACATAAAAACCATCCGTCCCATTACCTGGGTTGAGGATACACGCCCTGTCCGCGTGATCCGCGTCCTTCGTGCATGCTATGGCCATAACATAGTCATTCATCCAAACACTCCTTTCACCCAAACCCAAAACCTCACATTTACGCGAAGGTAGAGGGACGAGAGTAAGCGAACACCTTCTTGCTGCCAGAGTCGCGGTGGGGCAGGGGGAACTTGAGGTTCTTGGAGAGGAGCTGCTTGATGTAGGGGCGGCGGATGGAGTCGGCGTTCTCGATCTCAACAACCTTGAGGATCTGTAGGGCGAGAGTTAGATCGTACGTCTTGGACAAGACAGGAGGAATCTCAACGTACGTGGATGGAACCGAAGCGGGCACGGTGACGGGCAGCCATATCCTGGTAGAGAGCCTCAACGGCCTCGGTGCGGCTCATCTCACGGAACTCCTTGTACATGTTGTGGGTGCCGGAGCGGGAGTCGTAGCGGAGCCAGATACCGAAGTTCTTGACCTTGGTAGGGCGCTTCTCGTTGATCTGATGGAGGAAGAAAGGCGTCAGCCGACACTCCCGGATCTTGGCTTCAGGAAGGCCAAACATACCACGTTGATGCTGACGATCTCACCGTTGGCCTTCTTGACCTTACGGAGCTGGGTCAGGAAGTACCAGAACCGCGACTTAGCGACGACGGTGTTGGGCGCAAAGATGCGCATGCGGTACAGCTTGGGCGTGGGGTTAGCCTCGGTGGGCAGGTGACGCCCGATGACCTGGTACTCGGTGAGACGCCCTAAGGATCCCAGTCAGCCAAGTCCTTCCATCCGGGAGCTGTCTCATGCAATGGCTTCGATCGGTGCGGTGATTCCGTGCGAACGTCGTTGACTGTCGTGCGAGTTGTCGGTAGGTTGCGTTATCTTCAATGGTGTGCCGAAACATCTTCAAATTTCGTCTTCCGTAATATTCTCTTTGGTTGAAAAATCCACCTTCAATCCTTGCTTTTCTTTTTTCTTTCAATCGCCCTTCACTTCCATTTCAAACAGATTTGACTGTATCCGATAGCGCCGAGATGTGGTGATTTCGCAGGAATGTCGTTCAACGATCGCAGGGAAACATCGCAATAGCCGATCCACCAACGGAGACAACAGAGAATCATTAGAGAATTTCACTCACCCATCTGGTAAATTTGGTCAGTAACAATTCTAGATGTCGATAAGCAGGACAAAAAGGTAGGGCTTACTTTGATTGTTGACGCTGTAGTGGTTAGTCGACGAGAGGTGTGCCGGCTGGACTCGTCGCGGAAAGGAGGATTTTTGGAACAGTTGATTGTGAGCTAGGTTTAGCCCTGCTTAGGGCTAAGCGACCGGGTGGCTTGGCCACGCACCTTTCCCGTTCTGGCTCACCAGCCACAGCCTGTGTGGCGGAGGTGATTAGATAAGGCGCTTGCCTTGACGGCGCCGCTATTTCCCCACCTCCTCCGATCGCGTCGGCGGGATCAGATGGACCTGGAACTCGGGCAGTGACGACGAGTCTTGGTCTCCGTCGCTCGGGCATACCTACAATCGTTGTGGATGCAAGCCTACCTTTCATTCCTTCCCCACAACCTCCGGACGCTTGCAACTATCAGCCATGTCCTCCGTCTTCGATGACTTCAAAGAAGGCCAGAAGATCGGCTCTGGTCCCCGCCTCGCATCAGCTCTTACCCCCGTTGCACCCGCGGAGTACCCCGATCGGTTGAAGTCGTTCTACTACTTCTCCAACGCCGTCCATGTCTCCGCTGACCTCCGCTACTCGTTGTTCCAGGCCAATGGCTTGAGGCTTCCCAAGCAAGAGCAAGGTGCTTGGGTCGATATCTTCACGTCGTATTGGAAAACGGTGGGGGAGCTTGTCCGATTCGACGACGCCCCCAGCCATGCCAGCTGGGGGAAAGTGTTTGAGGCTTGGAAGGAAACGGCAAATCTTTTGATCAGGGGATACTCGTCGAACGGACTGCAAGCTTGGACAGTGCCATGTCTATATGTTGTCGGAAGATATCTGCGAATCTTTGCCATAAAGGCAGATGCGGAACTGGCTTCCCAAGACTCTGTCGCTTTTGACGATCGCTTTCAGGATGATGCTACTGCTGACGTCAGGAATGCGAAGCTGGAAGAGGCTACACGGGTGCTCAATCGAATGTTCACGCTGTGTCTCAGTGACAGGTAGGCTGTGTCCGGAGGGGTTTGGCCCATGCTAGTGCTAAACACTGTCTAGGGCTCCGATCGAAGAATCACGGAAATGGGGAGTGTATGACACCACCAATCTACTGTTCAAAACATACTTCCGACTCAATACCGTTGGCCTATCTAAGAACCTGCTGCGTGCCCTCAGAGCCTCGTCCGCCGACCTCCCTGACGCGGACGCTTTCCCGAAGTCCCACATTGTCACCTTTGAGTACTATGTCGGAGTTATACACTTCCTCGATGAAAATTATGCTGAAGTATGCGATGCACCTCTATGTCGGAGTAAGGTGACTGACTGTTAGTTTTAACAGGCTGAAGAGCATTTGTCGTACGCATGGAAAATGTGCCATATAAATGCAATCAAGAATCGGGAGTCAGTGGTCCCGATACGGTCTCCGTTCTACCGTGCTGACCATTCTAAAGGTTGATCCTCGCCTATCTCGTGCCCTGCCACCTCGTCACCACACACACTTTGCCGAGCAAGAAGCTTCTCGCCCCGTTTCCTCGCCTAGAGAAGCTCTTCCGCCCTTTGTGCGACTGTATCAAAAAGGGAGACCTGGGCGGGTTTGATGCCGCGATGACGGCGGGTGAGGAGGAGTTTGTTAAGAGGCGCATATATCTGCCCCTCGAGAGAGGACGCGATATCGCCCTGCGAAACCTTTTCCGAAAGGTCTTCATTTCTGGTGGATTCGACGAGTCCAAAGATGGACAGCCCCCGATTCGGCGCACGCGGGTTCCCGTCGCTGAGTTTGCAGCAGCCTTGAGAATCGGTACTCATGCGGATGAAAGGTCCCGGGTGGACATTGACGAAGTCGAGTGCCTATTGTCAAATCTTATTTACAAGGTGAGTGCGGCGGATTCACAATCCATGGAGAAGCATCCGACTGATTAGTTTGTAGGGATTAATGAAAGGTTACATCGCCCGCGAACGTGGCATGGTCGTGTTGAGCAAGGGTGGCACCGCATTCCCTGGAACCGGCGTCTAGGCATGATGCCCCGCTGTTATCAAGCTATGTGATGGCGGCTTTCCCACATTCTTCGCTCAACCGCACCCGGTCATCCGTATACCAAACACGCAGACGGCAGTGATTCAAAGTCAGGACCGGCAAATATAGCAGGAGCATCTGCATCATAATCATTAGCGCTGACCAGCTTGCACTTGTGGGCCATAGCGGCTCAGGAGCAGCTCCTGTACGCACAGGTAGCCTTGACGGCCGCCTACTGAGCCTCATACCAACAGTTACAAGGGTATATCGTGAGTGACATGCTGCGCGGATAGACGGGTCATCCAGTAATTGCTGGTCATGTCTCTTCCTTGACTTGTTCTTAGACCGCTGAAACAGCTGTAATTATATCGGTTTAGACTCATGTGAACACCTCACCACTCACGGAGGAATGAATTTCAAAAATACAAAGTCTCTTCATGAATCGAGAGGGTGTATGATACAAGGGCGCATCAAGCAACAACTAGATACCCATACACGCATAAACCCAATCTACGATAATTTTCGATGACGGTCCATCCCTACCCAAATTCCCAATCATAAGCCAACAAGTAATAGAAATAATAAAAGATCAGCCCAAACCAGCAGGGTCCAACTTAACACGTATCATCCGGCCTCGCAGCCTCCTCAAGATCATCCTGCCCAAAGCAACAACACCATTAGCCACGCCTCCCAACCCACTAATCGGAAATGTAAGGTAAAGATACCATGTAGAAGAAAGACTCACCATATGATTACACATCGCAACAAAGAGATCAAAAAACAACTTCCCTCCCTGTTCCATCTCCATCTGCATGGTCCCGCTCCGCTTAAACGTCCCCCGACTCCGAATAATCAACGCCAGATAATGCGCCCGCAATTTGGACTCATTGTCGGGTGTATGGGCGTATGCGTAGCGCGCACTGGTGAGGATCGTATGACAGGGGATGTTTGAGTGGAGGCCTTGTTTCTTCAAGGCGAGACGTTTGAGGAGCTCGAGGGAGTATTTTTGGGCGGCGCAGCTGTACATGAAAATACTTTGTTAGGGCGATTGGGTTTGAGTAGGGGGTGGGGGGTGGGAGGACATACTAAACAGCCGTGTCTCGTAAGATTTCTGCCCCAGCGGCAGGCACAAAGAGAGTAGCCCCGGGGTCTGTGTCCCTGGGGTTGGTGTTGGTGTTGGCGGTAGCTGTTTCAAGATCCCATGTGTTGTTGGTTTTATCGTGGCGGAGACGGGGATAGTAGTCTCCACGGTAGAGATATTCGAGGATACAGGAGAAGATTTCAGGTTGTTCGTCGGGGAGGTCGATGGGTTTGGAGGCTGATGAGGAGGAGGACGAGGCAGAGGAGGGGTCACTGGGGCGATTGCAGAGGGCTGCGAAGAAGGGGGATACGCAGAGGATATCTTTGTGGGCGGCGAAGAGGCGTTTCGTGGGTCCAATGGTGAGGGTTATGACACCTTGGTTTAGGGAGCTGCTACTGCTATGTGTGGTCTGGGTTAGTGGATTGAGGTTGGGATTTTGGAATTGGAGGGACGGACCTTCCATCAGGGGGGGTGTCCGGGGTGTGTCGGCGATGGAGACGTCGTGATGTGATGACGGATTGGTCTCGGGACCGTGCTTTGGACTTGCCGGCTCTGTATCTGGAGGAGAAGCTGTCCGGGTGGTGGGACTGGGAGCGTTTTGTGGAGAGCATTCTGGGGCTGTTGGTGTTGTTGCTGGTGAGATAGCCTTGTGGGGGCTAATTTGGGGGGGGGGGGGGGGGGGGGGGGGGGGGGGGGGGGGGGGGGGAGTTTCTGGGGAGAAGGTGGCCAGGAGGAAGAAAAAGTCTAGGCTGGAGATGGGATCAGGGGTCCTTTGCGATTATAAAACCCAGGTAGGAAGGAAGATGGTAAAACCGCCGACAGATACAGGTATATTTGACCTCTCCTTTTCTTGCGGTGTCGGAAAGGGGCTATCTGGACAGTCGGCCACGAGCACAGGCCATCCATCATCGTCGGACGAGGGCCCGAAGGAAATTGCTCGTCCTTTATCTTTCAGACCCTGGTCAAGTGGGAGTGACAGGTATCATCTCGACCAGGGTGATGGCGTCTTCTTTGTGCTGGTCTGGCCAGGCGACGACGAGGGGAAGGTCAGGAACGCGTAACGGCAGGTATCGGACGCGTAAAGTGGTTTCCTGCATCGCCAAATGATCGCGCTGTCACGGGGGGAGCCATTGACCAATGATGACCCGGGGGGGAAGAAAGGGGGGTGGGGAAGGAGCGGGTTGAGCGAATCAACCACAGAATTTCTGGTCCGGCGTCACCCGGGATCGGCGGAGCACTCGATGCATCCAAGATCGGGCACAGGCTGAGCCGTGGGTGACAGGGAAGTTCCTGGTCATCCAATGCAGCGCCGGTTGACTGGTCGCACTGGCATGGCTCGTTTGGTCCCATTGGAGGGGATGGGCTCCCCGGTCCCGCACGGATCAGTCGTTGACTCAGAATTTTGACCGGATCGGGATCATGGTCATACTCCAGCTGCACTCTGTAGTGCCCAGGTCGGCGTCCTGTAACAATGTGGTACGAGGTGCACTTGGGTTTGCATGCAGTGTACTGGTGAAACACTGAAGGACTCGGCCACTGGTGGGTTGTCGTCATGTTCTCTGGATGTTGGAAGATACGACTCCTTCTCAATTCGATAGCTTCGCTTCTACCCCCCATGCGACTGAGTTACAGAGTTATGCAAATATGATTATGTTGGAGAAAAATACAATCAAAGTTGCTTATATGTACAACCATGTGCGACCCAGAGCCGTGCCTGCCCCGTCCAATTGCGCCTGTACCATAACACCCGTCTGCAAATTGTGTATCCGATTCCCATTGTTGTGTGGAGATGTGCCTGCACTTGTATCGGTCAAACTAAAGAAATACCTTGCGCGCCTCCCGGGGGTGGCTCTCGCTGGGGCAATAAGGGCACTTGAACCTGCTACCCTTGCACAGCCGTTTGAGTGACTCCTCGGCGATGACATGCCCGCAGGGCATCATCATCGGTGGGTTCTCATCAGTGGTCTGCTCCTTTGACACAGGGCAGACAAAGATGGAGTGGAAGAGGTACGACGGCGGTAGCGGGATTTCGACCTAGATGGCATACCAGTCAGTTTGAGGATTGCATCATATCTACGCTTCAGGTGGCTTACCGGCAGCTCATTCTCTGTGGTCCACTCAGTCCGTTTGGCTTTCATGATCGTTTGCAGCTTCAGTAATGTGGGCAGCGCTATCGCGCCAGCGGTAGCAGCTACATACAAGGGCGAGTCCGCAGACAGCCCAAGGAGCGAACAAAACTCTCGTGTGAATGAGTGTGCCACATCGGCCCAGGCCGATGGGTTGTTGAAGATATTCTTGTACGGAGAGTCTTGCAGATTGGGGCAAAAGGCCATTGCACCCAATAGCTGCTGGACCTCACGTAGGTATCTGGGCAGGAATGAATGAAACTCCCTCCTGGCGTACTCCAAAGCTGCCTGCCGCCCTCCATGACTCGGTCCTTGCTGATGCTGCCCACCATGGAAAAGCCAGACGAACTGCAGCCTGCACAGTTCGAATTCCAAATTACTACCTCTCGCTTCCAAGGCCTCCTTGTTGTCCCTTGACCACTGTATCGCTGGCAGCAGGTTGTTGTTTTCTTTGAGCTCGTGGAGGATATAGTACATGGTGGCAAACTGCTTCCGCACCTCGCCAGAAGGAACTTCGTCGAGATCCAAGAGCGAAGCCGCACTATCCGTAGCGCTTAGACCTGCCTCCTGCTGCTTCTTTATCGCCTTCTTCTCTGCCATCTCGGACAAGAAAGTCGCCGCGACGGAAAACTGTCCTTCCCGTAGAAGGTGCATGGCGATAGCTCTGTTGATATAGTGTTCTTGGGACGAAAGGACATCATGTTCGGTGCTTGGCAAAGGCCTGTCTTTGAAAAGCTGAAAGAACCATTGTGGTTAGCGTGCGCCATTCACCGTAGGAGGCCCGGACCATGCTACCTTATCTAATGATTTGGAGTATTTATTGAGACCGCTGTGTGTTTCTTTGAGGCTATCATTGATGGAATCAAACGAGGATTTGACGGGGTTCTGGAGTTTGGCGAGCGTGATAGCAGCTTGACTTGGATCTGTGATGGTCCTCGTGATCAGTATAGTTCCGGGCCGGGTCCGCGCAACAATCCGATAAGGTGTACCCACCTGCAGCAATTGCATTTCGTGCTGACTGAAGCAAGTCTATGGTTGACTGCACCGACTTCAGGCCTTGAGCGGCCGTGATTTTCCGTGAGAGCCGGTCGTGCTCTTTCTGCACTAGCTCCATGATGAGGTGAACGGCGAAAGTGGTGTGTTCCGACAGTTACCGCACCTTCACGACGGCGCTCGCTGTAGCCATATGTAAGGTGAATGTGATAGTTATGTCGCTGCCAGAACCTGTGGCGGGGATATCAAGAACAGCGAGAATTCCAGTCAGGTGGGCTTCAACTCGCGGTCATCGGAGCAGGGGCAGATGAGGAGAAAGAGGAGGATGGGCCGGGGTCGCCCAATGGCTATTACGACATGACCCATCACGTGCCCTACCCCCGCCTCGGCCCGTTTGCAGTCAGTCACGCCGGGTCACATCTTGTCACATCCACCGCCTCCCTTCTTATCATTCCATCGAACGCTAGCGATAACTATCCCGTGAATAGTACGGAGGATCCTCTCGAGCAATGATGATTGCTTCGAAGCCTCCCTATGAATGCTATGAGATGATCTTTCATCTCATTCCACCCTTTGGAACTGGAGGGTCTCCGATCATCGGTTACACTCTTCCTGGAATTGCTTTTTCCCTCGCCAATGCAGCGAGTCGCCGACTCCAGATGCCAACGCATGCCTGGCAAGCTAACCAACCAACAGGGAGCTGTGTCTCACCCGGCCATTTCCTATGCCTGATGGCTCCCCCTTTGCCCGATGCTGGGCCGGCATCCTGCGTTTGATCTTCGAACTTCCTGCTCCCACGCCCCCTTTCGTCTTCCTGCATCGGGCCTCTAAAGCACAAGCCAGCAAATTGTGCCGGCTTGATTTCGGCTCTGATATCCAAGGGTTGAAAGGGGGCACCCCTCTTCTTGTAGAACTGCAGAATCCTGCCCAGTGTCGTACTGGCATCTCCAATTCATTTGCAGGAGCCATGCCACCTCAGCTCCATATCAAGCCCCCTACCCAGTAGAGACTCGGATATATGGTAGACGGCTCATTCAGCGGGTTGACACTGCATGGAAGAACTACAAAACAAAAACATGTTGGTTGTGCAATCTCTATCCCTTTACGATGGAATGTGGTGTCTGCAACCTTCTCCCGTATGTTCGCTGCGGCTCAGAATGATATCAAAGGAAATTTGAGGCAAGTATACTGGATAATGCCGAGAATTTGTGTGCTTTCAATAATTATTTGTGCTGGACGTTTCTGTAGCATGTTTGGAGCCACTTTTAAGGCCCGGATTGCCCCTAATACTTCGATCTGACGACCCCGAACTGTCTTCCACCCATATATCCAAGATATAGGAATGATCAAGGGGCTTATGACTTCATAGAAGATTGCTTAGTTGCTTGCGGAGTGGCACAATCGGAGTGTCAAAGCCCTTCCAAAGTTCCATGGACTATGCGAGTTCACAAAAACAATGGCCCAAATCGTGTTTAGAACCTCATGGAGCCACTCCTGGGTCAAAAAAAAAAACGGGGGGCCAGCCAGCCAGGCCTCAAGACATGAACCGGAGAAGATGCGAATAAAAGATATATGGTAGAGGCTGCACCTTTCAAGAGAATAGTTAGCAAAGCGGATGATTAACTGTCCGCCAACGCGGGTGTATGGGAATGCTAAAGGTCACATTACGAAGAGCGCCAACTCCGTGGGGATGCTAATATAAATGAGTGACGCCCATTTTGTAGTGCTCTGGCGAAGGTGCAATTCTCTGTCACCCTGATGACTCAAGAAACCAATGGCAATGCGTGAAAGCCTATTCAGAAAGAGTTGACACAATATCTGGTGAAGCTACCTGTGACGGGCTCTCTTTGACTGGGACTTGTAAGACTTACTTCACGCCCCGCCCAGGTAGCTCTACTTAATTCACACAAACCTTCTTCACGTAAAGTTACGAATAGAGCTATGGCTCCTCAAGTATGTATGTGCACCAATGTAATAATAATAGACCTCACTGTATCCCCACACATCGAAACAACCATTTTCCTTCCCTATATTGCACCTGATACAGTTGGACAGCATCGGACGATATCCCTGCACACCTCTAGATGGGATAACTCAGCCCAGTATCAGGGTTAAACGGCCACCAGCACTGAGCCGCCCGAGTAGCAGACTCAAACGTAGCAGATGGATGCTCAGGGGAAACCTCTCCAAGATCAAAGCCGCACGGTTGTCTGCGTCTGTCAGTCGCCATCTCGACAACATGCCCCGTTAAGTAGGTAAACTTACGCCAGAAAAGCACAGGTGTATGAGGAATTGTCGGGAGTCACAATGGGCAACAGGGTCGCATTTTTCACGCTGCAAGCTGTGTTAGGAAGGGTGCTGTGGATGGAAAGTATTGATCAGGGACACTCACGCAAAGGGAAGTTCGGTGCAGGTCACGGGAACAATGCTGGTGTTGACGATGGGTACTTGGACCACGCCTTCCCGCAGATAGGTTGCAGAGGTGTATGGGGCTTCGGAGATGGCCTGTGTGAGGAGAATCAGTGAGTTTCCGAGGTTAGACAAGGAGGATTCCTCACAATTGAAGCATTTTGGGTATATGCGAGGGCGTGGCAGGCTAGGAGCCCCAAAGGCAATGCGACTGTGGATAGTCTCATGATGAGAATGGCGATGGTTAAGTGAGAACTGAAATCTGGAGGGCGTGTCAAAGTTCCTTAATGTCTTCAGTGAGATTGCTATTGCTTTTATAGACTGCAGACCCGTCACAGACGTCCAGTCTATCAAGCTCTTCGACATATGCATAGGTAAAACATGCATATTTAGCAAAAGCACGAGGCCGCATCGGTTGGTCACTGATACAGCAAGCTCTGCAAGTAAGCCTCACATGGATTCTTTTGGCCTATAGAAACGAAGAAGCGATCCGATGGCTTCCGGAATGTCTGGTCTGACATGCATGTCTTAGCTTTCAGACAAACTCGATGCTCTCCGGTGCTGACTGTCAATTCGCGGCTCATCGACACAAGAAATGAGCAAAGCTTAGCCGGATCCAATAATCGAGGAACTTACGACCCATGTATATTGTATGCAACTATACATGTTTCTTCGCTATATTTAGCACCAGTTTCATCTCCTCTTAGGCGAGCCCAGACCAGCACGAAACCTTTCCCATCCTACTTATTGGTGGATACAATGCCAGTCCCGCGAGATAGGTGCCCGCCTCCCCGCTCCGACATCCTTCTACCATCCTTCATTAATCTAACACACGAATATACACCAGCCCCGCTTCTGGTGCGGACGACGAAACCGCATACCAGACGATTGAGTGCTTCAAAGGATGCCACCAGTCGGAACTATCTCAAAGTCTGGTTCGATGAAGTAAAAGCGAAGAGTAGAGCTTTCCATGATGTGCAGCTACCGGGGCTTGGGCGAGCTGATCGTCGGTGTCGCTGAAAAACCCCCGGCGCTGTATGGCGCCAGGCACGCTTCGACTTGATTCCTTAAGTTCTTACTTCAGAGATTGGTTCAGAAGCTGGCGAGAAGTTTTATATCTGAATGGTCTGCGGCGATAATTTCAACATAGTTCATAATTGCATGTAAGTAACCAGCAGATACTAAGAGTAAAGACTATTCTGTTTGAGTCGCAGTCTGCTCCCTGATACCATGGACCATACCCTAAAGCTACCATATACACCCCTCTGCACTAGACCAAAATTAGCGACCATTTCTCATTTCGATGTATAATTCCCATGCCAGTAGCAACTCTGGTGAAAGGCAATACCTAGATCACTGTTATCGCGCAAGTCAGCAACATAGACACCTTCTGACCAATCACAGCCGGGCCAACACCTCGCTTCCGCTAGCGTCCCCGGTGGGTCCTCCCGAAAGCAGTATATAAGCTTGCCGCACCCACCAAACTTTTAGAATTTTTTTTTCTTTCTTTCTCCATCCTGGTGCACGGGTTTTACACGTGTCAGTGAGGAGACATCCGAGACCGTGTTTTTGCTAGTTGAAAACTACCTAGTTTGACCGCTCTCCTTGGTCTTCGGATCGAGGAGGAATTTTTGAAAAAAAGATGCCATGCCTCCAACTTGTTTGGAAGCTGTTTAGAGTACGTAGATGGCAGTATTGCTGTTGCCTGTCTGGCTTCCAGATTGGGTAGTACTCGACATCGGTCTTCTTTTCACTGCTGTTGCCTCCCTTGCGGAGGCCTGGAGAGAAGAGAGCCTGGTCGTCTGGATGGATGAGTAGTACGGAATAGTAACTCCTGGTCTTGAGTCATAAGGTTACCTGCAGATTACCCTGTTCCGTATGCTCTGTACTCCGTATGTTTGCTGTAGATACTCCTTGTGGCAGTGCCAGACGTGATGGAGACGCGCCGAGGGTCTTGTGGCAGTGCTGAGGAACGATTGAGTTGTGGCTGAATGCAACTAGGCAGCTGCGTTTCCTGCAGAACTAATTGGTCTGTAGCGTTCTAGAATAGCAGCAGGCATCGAATGCTTGCCCTTTGAGGGATCGTATGTCTTACAATGTACTCCATTGCATCTAGCCCCTACAATGAACCTGGAAGTACAGCAGTCCTGGAGACTTGCGCAAGCCATCCCGTGGGGTCTATTGATAGGGTGGCCCCCAAACAAGCCCATGATTTAGCCGCTCACCGCTCCAGGCGCGGTGCGAATCCCTTGTGACGTCGCCGACGGAACTCGCTGCAAAGGCCGGTAACAACCACCACTCGTCGGCCAGGCTTGTGCTTGTACTTTTCTCTCAACTCATGTGAGATGACATGGACACCCTTTCTGGCCTGTTTCTCTCGCGCTTGACGTCCTAAAGCTCCCAGCTTCCGAAACATCGGACATGTTTCCGTTCTTCCTTACCTCTGTACAATACGACAGGACCCCCGGAGGGTCAACGCTTCGGTCTCTTTCGCCTTCCTTTGAGCACGGCCTTTTGTTATTGCCTTCTTTACCTCTCCTGAATTCCTGCGCCTCTTCATAGTCTGGGAATGACCCCTTATCCAGCCCTTGTGCGGTAGAACTGGTGCGTCTTCATCATGCCACCTCCCGCGACGCAGACAGGTGGCCAGGCAGCGCCTCCCACCACACACCCCCGCGAGCCGGCAAAACCTTCTATCAACACAAAAAATCCTCCATCTACCAACCCCAGTGGGGTTGATTGTCAGTCGCCTCGCCACGGCCATCAGAAACTCGTATTCACCGACCCGGTCGCCCTCCGATACCTTGAAGAAGACCCGGCTGCCGTTGTGCTACATCGTCGCTTGACCTTGGTGGGATACGAAGTGTTCATTGTTGAACAATGGGCCTGTACGCGCATCCACCCTACATTCATCATCACTACCTATACGGGGGATCAATCGCACCAGGTCGTGGTGGGGGTGCTGAGCGTCCCCACGGATGAGTCTACGTGGTCCCCTCGGATGAAGATGTACTTCAGCGCAGTCACGCAATGCCAAGCGCGGAAAAAGGAGACACCATTGGGGACACTTATGGTTACCGACTTGAATGTGTTCCCATTGGCATTGACTCTCATCCCGGTACCCGACGGTGATGTCCTGAAGCACAAAGATGATTTTGTCGTCAATGAGAACCTGAAACGGTTGGGTTGCTCAGGCCGTTCCGGGTTAAAGCTACAGCCACCATCTCCTGCCACCGAAGCAAAGTTTCACCACCTTTACCGGACGAGCGAAAAGGTGCCTCTGTATCTGGCCGTCACGGAGCTTGTGAAGCAGTGCCAAATCGCTTTGATGATGTTCGGCAATCTTGCGCCAGAGTATGTGGACGGACTACTATGCGATGTCACGGAGGCAGCCATAAATGATTGGTGGACCGATACGGGAACGGACCTATTCAACATTGAACCGAGTGATAACATGATTGGTCCGATCTCTGTAGCCGCCTTGCTGGGTACGCTGATGGGGGCTCGAAACCGGCTTCATGCTTTCGGCGCTCCGGTTGGTAAGGATGCATTCGATATCTCCAGCCTCAAACGGGGCATTGGAAGCTTCCAAAAGTCGCAGAAGCTGAAACGTACCCGAAGACTGGATCGTCAGACCTTGGATCGCTTGCACCGGGCGACAGCAAAAGCCGCGAACGCAGAAGGCTGGACTGATGCTGTGAAATCCACCATGGCGGAACTCAGCGGGCATGGGGGAGAGATGGTTATGGGAATGGTCCGGGGCCGCGAAAAAGGTGGTATTGCTGATATCGAGACCCTTGATATTGATAATTTCGCACATCTGGTCACCGGTGAACGGGCAAAATGGCTGTGGAGGGGAAAGCCGCGGAAGGGTGGCATTGGCGATAATTTTGCTGGCAGTGCGCCGGCCACAGATATGGTATTTACTACCGACGATCAGGGTGGCTATCATTGGACAAGTCGAAGGCGACCCTCGCACGAAGACTTGGCGAATGATCGCATTTTGCCAGGTTTAGATCGTTCTTCGAGGCCGACGGAATCAGCAGCGTCTCTGGATGATAAGGACCAGAATCTGAGCCGGTTAGTCCGGAAAGGCGTGAGCGGGAAGGTGTCGGATGCGCGGGCAGGGTTTGGCCGGTTCAAGGATGCCGTAGGCCTTCGATCTCATCCCTCGAAACAGTCTAGGGATGGCATAGACCTGGCTGGCGACCCGTCTCATCTGCCTGCTATAGATAGCGACACGGAGTTGTCTCAGTCGAAGAAGTCCGAGGGTGGCGCTCCGACCGAACCGGACAGCGTCCATGACAATGAAGCTCCGGCTCCGAATGATGACGCGCATGCTGAGCCTCCAAGAACCATCCTACCGCAATCCCCCAACTCAAAAGCCCCGGCAATCACCGTAGAAACGGTTTCCTCCACTGCTGATTCCGAGTCATCGCGCAAGGTGTCGGTGGCTCGAGTGGAGGACGAGGTGCAGGATCTCGAGCGCTGGAGGACGCGTTCCACCGATGTCTCGGCCGACCCGGAGCAGACGTCTGAAGTTGGGATAATGTTGCTGCGTCGGCCACAGAGTTGCACTGAACTGAACTCCGAGAAGGATTCTAGACGCCTCGATAACTATTGGCCTCGCCACCTGTCCTTCAGCACTGTGGAAGAGGTGGTGCTGGGATGGGAGGGATTAGGAGGCGATGCTTTCAAAGAGACCCCCGATGCTCTCCTGGAAGACGCCATCATTCAAGAGGACATTTTGGCCTCCGACGCACGGATCTTCAGCTCACGCATCCAGGAGTTGAGTGAGCACACTGTCCCTTGGGTTGAGCGACAAGTAGCCTCGGTGGATGGTCTCAGTCAATGCTTACACGAGAGCCATGAAAAGGTCAACGCGGCCTACCTGGAACGGCTGGCGACCTTCCAACAAGTGCGAGGCCGATCAAGTGACCTGTTGACCGAAGAGCACACGCAGCTCACCGATTACATGCGACGGGTCGAGCTGATGGGCGCGAAGCTGGACTACGAGCTCCACGTCCTCGATTCCCGAGTCGAGGATGTCGAAACCAACCTCGATGAATTCGAGCGGCATGTCAACGCCATCGAAACCAGAGTGAAGCAGCTTATCCGAGGCGAGCAAGAAAAGCAGAGCAACTCCTGGTTCTCCTGGTTTGGACGGGTTACAGGATTCTCGACTGCGTGAGATTCTGTTTCCCAGAACAACCTTTGTAAATGCCCATATCATTTCTAATGTACATAATATCCGAGATAGACTTGCGCAATACGCGTTGACCGTGCAATGCAAAAGACCGAGATCCGCCTTCACTAACCGCAAGACCAGCCCAAGACCAAACAACCATGTATATCCAAACCCAAGTGATGCTCCTCCCATCTATCAGGCCCAATCACTCCAGGCCTTCCGCGCAGTCATGCCATAAACTCGAAAGAAACCATTAGGAAGAGCAGCCGTGGCAGATCTGAAACCCGAATAGATTATACACGTTGATAAGAAACCGATTAAATGAACAGCTCTCGTTTTTCGCTTTACATGCCACCCAGGCCCTGTCTGCCGGCAGCCTCACCCTGCATCTTCTCGCTGACCTTGATGTTGACCTCGAAGAACTTGGAAACGCAGCGGTCCAGGCAGACGGACTCGCCCTTGTTCAGGTCGCCTTCACGGTAGTCGTTGGGGATGCACTTCTTGGTGCAAGACTCGGTGAGACTGGATACGTTAGTCGCCGAGAAACATGATCGGAACCCGCATGGATTGCAGCAAGGTGAGCTCACCGGTTGAACATGTCGGAAACCATCTCGACCTCGGTCTCAGCGGCAGCAATCTTCTCTGCCGAGGACATCTTGGGGGGACCGCCGAAGAGGAAAGACATGATGACGATGGGTGGGTGGGATGTGGATTGAACTGATGCCTTGTTAGTCGCGACTTCAAATCGATGCCATGAATACGTACGAATAAATACTTTGAGAAAGAGATGACCGGAGAGGGTGTTGTTGTATGCGGACCTGAGGTCGGAATCGAAGCTGGCCGGCAGCTGCCGCTCCTCACCGCCTTATGATTTTTCGTCGTGCAGACGTCTTCCGCACCACTCGACCCTTTTTCTTCCTTTTCTCTTTCTCCTCCCAGTATGTGAGTGCGTAGTCTTTTCTTCTCTCCATGCAACCCATTCGCCCATTGAGGGCGTCAACGTTGAGGGTCGGAGGTCTGCTGTCTAGGTAAGCCGCATTTTGAGATAATTATGACTTTTCTGCCCTCGCATGATGAGACATACCCTTCCAAATTACAGAACCGCTGCATTGAAGCTTGGTTTTCCAAGTTATGAGTAACAAGGAAGCTTTATGTCTGCTGATTTATACTATCTCTGCATTATGCACTTTCTGAGTCGGTCGGTTTGACAGCTTGCTAATAGCATCTTCAGCACAGGACTTCCGATCCCCCGTACAAATCAGGCACATGGCCAGTTTGCTCAAGTAATCCAACACTCACACGCATCTCTGGTGCAAACCAGGCATAACACCGGTGGCGTCAGCGTCAATGGCTATCCGCGCAGAGTCTTCAAGAGGCGAGTGCAGCGGATCGAAAAAGCCGTTACCGAGCCATACCCTCGGCTTGAGTCCAGCGAGAAAACCTTGACCACTGGGGAATTCCGTTCCCGCTACTATCGTCTAGCAAATAATGAAACCCTAGAGAACCAGAAAGTCATCCTCACTGGTAGGTCCTAGCCTAGCTGGCTCTACCACATTACCACGTACTTAGATCTGTAGGTAGGGTGCGTACCTTAAGACTTATTGGGAGCAATTTGATATTCTTCGATCTTGTCCAAGGCGACGATAAAGTCCAAATCATGTGCAATCGCCGTCTCCTGGAGGATGTCCCTCCGGCGACCTTCAAGCAGTTCTACCGTCTGCTCCGCCGTGGCGATGCCTTCTGTATGTTCACCGGCCATCCCCGGTATCACACTTAGACTGAACGAAATTCTATAGCCGTAACGGGGGTTCCTACGAAGACGGATAAAGGGGAGCTCACCCTTTTGGCGAGCGAAGTGCCTCGGCTTATGTCGGCCTGTCTGCACGACATTCCGCTTGATGCCAAAGGACAGGAGAACTCGCCGTACCCCCGGCATGTCCAGTTCCTTGCGGACCAGGAAATGAAATATGTCCTCCGAGCCCGGTCGGCCATCATCCAGTACATCCGCCAGTTCTTCCTGGACCGGGCGTTCATGGAAGTCAACACTCCTATCATCGAAGCGGTTGCCGGCGGCGCCATTGCGCGTCCATTCCATACCACAGCCACCGAGTTTCCCGATCGTCAATTGTCGTTACGGATTGCGCCAGAACTTTGGTTGAAGCGCCTGGTGATCGGAGGCTTCGACCGGGTATTCGAGATTGGGCCTTCGTTCCGCAATGAAGGTGAAGACTTCAACGAAGTGCCTGTAGCTAGCGTACTGACAGCTTGACAGGCCTCGACAAGACCCACAACCCCGAGTTCACCACCTGCGAATTCTACCAGGCCTATGCCAACTTGGAGGATCTCATGTCCACTACCGAACAGTTGCTTGGAGGACTGGCGGACCATATTCGTGAACTTCACGAAAATTCCCCCTATACGGAGAAAGACTCCTTGACGCCGTTCTGCCAATATGACTTTTCTGGGCCATTCCGCCGAATTGACTTCATCCCCGCGATTGAAAAGGAAATCCAGGGCAAGCTCCCAGACCTCACGTCCCCGACTGCCTTGGAGGAGGTGATCGAGATCTTCCGTGACATCGAACACCCTCTCCCCGACAAAGTCACTCTCCCGCGACTGCTGGATGAGCTCTGCAGCATCTACGTTGAACCGCAGTGCATCAACCCGACCTTCATCGTCAACCCGCCCGAGTGCCTGTCCCCGCTGTCCAAGACGTTCGTCCATCCCACCACCGGCCAGCGCGTCGCGGCCCGCGGCGAGCTCTTTATCGACGGACGTGAGATGGTGAACACCTACGAGGAGGAGAACTCGCCGTTCGAGCAGCGTCGTAAATTCGAGGATCAGGTACGATACAGCAAAGCGGCCAGTGAGTCGGAAAAGATCGACGAGAGCTACCTGGAGGCGCTGGAATGGGGTCTCCCTCCTACCGGTGGCTGGGGATGTGGTATCGACCGTCTCTGCATGCTGTTCACGGGCAAGACCCGAATCGGAGACATCCTGCCATTTGGCAATCTGCGGAGAGTGAGCTCCCCCACGATTGCGATGCCTATCAATCAGGCCATTGAAGACGAGGAAGATTGGCCTGAGTGACCGGGCATCTGGCTCGACACGTTGACGCGTCTTGCGCGGCTCTCCCATTGGTCCGTGACGGAAGTGGATTTTCGCGATCTTGCAGTTAGAATTGTATGAGTTGTACATTCACTGCAGCGCTGGATGGCTGGTTGGACTAGATATAGTGGTCCGAGTGATGCAGCTTGGCTGCCTGTACATTATCATGATTAGTTACCAATACACACCTCTTATTGTACATACCAACCTACTCCGTATGTAACAATCTCAGCATCCTACTCCAGCATCTTCATATATCACTTCCATTCGGCCGATCATCCGATACGCTTCTCCGATAAGACCGCGATAAGCAGAGTGAAGGTTGATCGGAGCGGGCCGAGACATCCCACCTGAGCGTCAGTGATATAACAATCTTTTCCCCTCCTCTCATCTCCTCCACGATCCCACCAACCACCCCACAAAGAACATCATGGGTCTCGACGATATTCCTGTGGCGCAAGCCGTGACCGTGAGCTTGCAAGAGCTGATCGACGGTGAGCATACCCACATACAAACCTCATCCCATCCAACACCCAAAAAAAAATAGAATTTTTCTATATACTAACGCAAAACTTCAGGAACAATCTCCCCCTCCACCCTAACCGAAGCCTTCGGCCCCTCCTCCCTCGGAATCATCCTCGTCAAGGATCTCCCTCCTACCTTTCCTTCTCTCCGCGCCCAAGTCCTCTCCAACGCATCGTACCTCGCCTCTCTTCCTGACGCAGAACTCGGTACCCCTCCTCCCCTCCTCCCCCCCATCCCAATAACCCCATAACCACACCACCAACCAAGAAAACCAACACTTAAATAGAATCTTTAACCTCCCCCGCCTCAAAATACCTCATCGGCTGGTCCCTCGGCAAAGAAACCCTCCGGGACGGCCACTTCGACACCCACAAAGGCTCGTACTATCTGAACTGCGCCTTTTACAATAACAACACCTCCACCACCCATACCTCCTCCTCCGACGCTCTACTCAACGACACCTTCCCCGAATACACCACCCCCAACATCTGGCCCAGCGAATCCTCCCTCCCCACATTCAAATCCAGTTTCGAGGATCTCTGCACAGTGATTATCGATACCGCGGCGTTAGTAGCCCGCGCTTGTGATCGCTTCGCGGTGGAACATGTAGATGGGTATGAGCGGGGTTATTTGGAAAGAGTGGTGAGGGGGAGTGTTACGACGAAGGCGAGGTTGTTGCATTATTTTCCTACCTCTACCACCACCACCACCTCCTCCTCCACCTCCACTTCTTCTCCCTCCGAGGGGACAGAACCCAACGAGGGAACGAAAGAGGAAGAAGAAGGCGAAGATGACGACGACGACGACTGGTGCGCCACGCACCTCGACCACGGCTGCCTAACAGGCCTCACGTCCGCAATGTACATCGACGAAGCCGCGCACCCGCCCCACAGTACCACCAACAGAACCATCCCCCTCCCCGAGCTACACACCAGCCCCGATCCCAAAGCCGGATTATACATCCGGTCGCGAACGGGCACCATCGTCAAGGTGAATATTCCGAAGGATTGTTTGGCGTTTCAGACGGGGGAGGCGTTGCAGCTTATCACGAGGGGGCAGTTTCGAGCGGTGCCGCATTTTGTGAAGGGGGCGAAGGGGGTTGGGAGGATTGCGAGGAATACGTTGGCGGTTTTTACCCAGCCGAATTTGGGGGAGGAGGTGCAGAAGGGGGTTACTTTTGGGGATTTTGCGAGGGGGGTGGTGGAGAGGACTTATTGATTTGATGTATGGTGTACTCTGGTTTGTGGTATAGGGAGAGGTGGGTTTTGTGTATAGGAGGAATATGGCTTTGCAATGTGGGTATTTGAATAATACATGGATTACGGCAGGCTCAACTATCCCGTCGGGCCCGTTTGCTTTGTGGTTCCTGGTCTGGCAGATAGTCGCCCTCCTCTGTCTCCTCTGTCCCGCCTCGTAATTGTTCAATGTGCAGCGTGAAATCCTCTTCTTCCGTTTCCTCATCATCGTCTCCGAGGGACAGTCGACTGGTCCCCTCCTCCGCAGAGCTCACCGGGTTGCTCATGTCCGTGGCGCCCAGCCCCATGCTAACCAGCTTGCTGAGCTTGCCGACCTTGGCAAAGTTGAGCCGGGACTTGGCCGACGGCCGTCCAATATCGCCAGGGACCTTGGCCTGCTGGAGATCCGACGGTCTGGCCGTGCCGTCCAGCACTCGGAGGTTCGCCTGCCACATCTTGACGTTGCGCGCATCACTGTAGTGGCCGACGTCTTCGCCGTTGAGCGAATCGATGGCCAGCGTCTGGGTGCGAAAGTCTCCCCAGAACCACGTTCGGCCTCCGGGGATCCGCTCATCAGCTTGGCGCGAGTATGCTCGTCCGCTTGCCACTCCGTGGTGATCATACCCCAGTTCGAGGGACCCGAACATGAGCTGCAGGGCGTCTGGCTCGTAGAGTCGGCCAAGAATCATATCCTGCGATATATCCACCGTGGCCCCGGGGTGGACGGGGTACCACTCACCGTACCCGTTCATACCCACCGTATGGAATGCGTCGACGACCTCGTCCGGGGTTAAGGGTTTGGGCTGTAGATGACTGCTGGCTAGGGTGACACGTCGGTGACTGGTGGTGTAGACCTTCCCTCGGATGCGCACCTGGTATGTCTCGGCCAGATGTTTGGACTTGATATCATCGTCGCATTGTTTCAGTTCCAGTCGAATCTCTTCGATGACCATGACGTCGGTGACCGGTCTGGTCTCATGGGGATGTTCATTGTTGCCGGCGGGCTTCAAGCGGACCGCATCCCCAACGACCAAAAGCTCCGCGCCCAGGAAGATTCCCCGGCAATAGATCGATGCATCAGGCCAGGTGCCTTTGAAGTAGTACTTATCCAGGAGGCTGAATGACGACATGATCGTCATGGCGTATTCGACAGACGGATGCAGCCCCTCTCGAGGGATATTCTGCAGGAAGTGCTCGAAGGCGCCGAACGGTTTGATCGACTTCAAGTATACGTACTTGTAGTGCAGGGAATAGCTCTTGTCGGGACTGTGCGGGTCAGGGAAGGTTTCCACCCGGAATCCCGAATAATTGATACTCCGTATTTTCGAAGATGTCGCGACAATGTCCTGGAAGATGGTATCTTCCTCGGGAACCTGGCTAATGATCCCTGCTCGCCATTCAGGAGTCCCCAGCCACCGCTTCTCGCTGGGGGAATATATCTGGACTCCACTGTGCTCCGGGTTCCACGCTAGTTCACCTTCAAAATCTGGAGTCCAGAGCACGACTTCTCCCGCACGGGGCAGGAAAGACGGTTGCATGTCTAACTTCTGCAGGTGTTCATCGAGAGCCGTCCGTTCTGCTCGCCAGTCCATACTTGCCGGTTCGGTGATGTCCAGCTCCAGTGAGCCCTTCTGTTTGAGCTGTAGAACTGCGCTCTTGAACACGTCTGGGGTCCCTTCGTTATCCGTTGTAGGACATGTAGTGAAACCAGAGGGCCTCCCCGGAGGTCTACCCGGCCTGCCTGGGGGTCTGCCTGGTGGCCTTCCCGGGGGTCTTCCAGGCGGCCTTCCCGGTGGTCTCCCGGGTGGTCTTCCAGGCGGTCTGCCAGGTGGTCTGCCAGGTGGCTTACTGGAGCCTGATCCAGGTGGTCTTGCAGGCGGTCGACCAGGTCTCCCTGGCAGCCTTCCAGGCCCTCGCCGTACTGAGCCATCCTCCACTGACGGGTTTTAGCGTAGTCTGACGTTTGGGTTCGTTGAGACAAACCTCCTTGACGCTTGGCCAGCTTCACGCATAATTCACAGGTGCAGGGCTCTTCGCCCCCTGTCATCAGATAGTAGAAATGTGGAAAGAACTGTTTCGTGGAATTAAAAACCAGGTTCACAGGATGGCCATAGATTAAACGGTCACGCTGGTAGAGTCAGATGATGATACCCAAGTGTAGGGCTTGTAACCTACAATTTCGGGGTTCGCCTGACGCGGCCTGTCAAAGAGAGCATAACCATCGGGCAGACGGTCGAGAATGTAGTTCACCCCTAATGAAGTCAGTGGGTGAAACAAACGGAACTATTACTTCAGATGTTGGTGGGCTTGTGGCAACACGATGCGTACAGAACAAAGGCAATAGAAGAAAGGAAGTATTGAAATCGTATCTGCAGCAGACAGGCTTCTCCAAGTTTCTTGTCTGCCTTAATATCCTTTTTTTCCCTCTTTAAGAAGAAGCGGTTGTTGCTGATCTCCATAAGTGATGGCGAGCAGACATCAACCGGCCCAGCGCACCCCAACTGTTACAAGGAGCATAGCATTAAATCACACCACAAGCTTCAGGAAAACTTTCACAAAAGACAACTCCAATCAGCAGCAAAAAGAGAAGAAAAATCAACATACCTCGCTGATAAGCCCCCGTCTCTTGCAACCACAGTTTAGCCAGCTTCACTCTGGCCCGTTTATCGCTCGCCGGCCTGTTGCCCGCCTCTTCGGTGGGCCAGCTGGACTCGGTACCATCACTGAAGGATTGATTAATTGCAATGACGAGCCGGTTGCCCTCATCTGAAGAGGACAAGTCTTCTATCATTTCAGACATAATTAAAGGATTTATTTCGGGGGTTTTTTTTTCTCGTGCTCTTTTGGTTTGGGAGCAGTAGAATTAAAGTAGGATGTGAAAATTGAATGAAAATGAAATGAGGTGGTTATCTTGCCAGGAGAATCCACATCATGGGGGTTGGAAGTAATACGGGGAAACGCTAAAGTGCAAAGGAGATTAACACAAGTAGTCAACGGTAGAAATGAAGGCGAGCAAAGAAAGGAGCGTGCAGCTGGCGAGGAGTAGATCGTGCCTGGCACGGGCGAGTGGCAGGTTCCGTGCTGTTGCCGTGGTGGTGGTCATGTGACCCTACGAGGGCGTGCAGAAGGCACGCTGCGATGCACTTACGCATGGCAATAAGGAAGGATATATTGCTATCATTAGAGACGCAGGTCCCAGTTTATCTTCGAAAATATGTTGGGAAGTGAAAACGTCAACAGCCACCTGCTGGGTAGGAAACCCTACCGCGGGCCATATCACTCCTCAACTGCCTGTCCAGCTTCAGATACCGCCTCATAGGGCGGTGGAGCAAGCTCGCCCTCTTCAATCCAGACCTTGCGCAGCTCGTCCTCAATCTCCTCTCGCCGTCGCTTCCACTCTTCGACCTTGTCAAGCCGCTTGCGTATCTCCTGCAGCTCCTTCTCCACGCCCAGCTTCTCCTTCGCCGTACCAATCCTCTCAAACTCCCATTGTTCGCCTTCGTCTCCAATGTTAATGCTGAGGTTGTAGGTGTGGTACTTCTTCAGGGACGCGCGCGTGGAAATCGTGATCAAGGTGATTCCTCGCTCCTTTGCCCGCTGGTACAGTAGGCCCTCGACGTCGGATGAGACCGCAGAGGTTCCTTCATCAAGGAAGGCGTACCGAGGCTCGTGGTAATAGATGCGTGCCAGGGCCATGCGCTGCTTCTCTCCACCGCTCAGCACATCTTTCCACTCCTTGCGACAATCCCATCCGCCCTCGCGCCCAGGGAGGTAGCCCAAATGAGCGTCATCCAAGACCTCCTGCAGAGCAGCGTCGGTTATCCCAGCCTCGTGCATATCGACTGCGGTGTGAGGGTAGATGACTTGATCACGCAGAGTACCCACGCTAAGATACGGCCGTTGGGGAAGGAACATGATGCCGTCAGGCCCAAACCCTCTTGGGCGACTGACCAAGCCGCGGTACACTGGCCACAACCCAGAAACAACCCGCGCAATAGCCGACTTGCCTACTCCATTCGGTCCGGAGATCAGGAGGTGGTCCCCAGAGTGCACGACAAATGACAGCGATTCGAGCAGTTCATCGCCACCACGGGGATAGAGTGAAGGGGCGACAACAGGGACTTGCTCCAGACGCACACCGTCAAAGCCATTGTGGATGGTTCCTTGTACATCCGCAAGCGAGTAAAGCTCGGCATGGGAGTTGCGCGGGGGGTAGTAAGCATTCGCATGGACTCTGTGAAGCGTAGAGATCAAGCTGTAGACTCGAGACGTATAACCGGCCAGCTCCGAAATATCCTTGATGCTATACATCATCCGGCCACCGGCGTCGGCCAAGGACAGCATCAAGCGCTTGTTCGTGATGAACTCCTTCATGCGATCCCGTTCTCGACCAGTTTCTTTGGGCAAATCGACCAGCTCCATACCCCCACCCAAGCCACCCCAGGCCGGAAGGAAGATTGGCAGAGACGTGATGAGGTAGCCAAACGCTGACCAAGCATACTTCAGGATAACATCTTCGAGCATGTTATAGCGGATCTTGAGACTGTAGATGCCCTCCATCCAGCGTTGAAGATCTTTGAAGCTCCTCGCTAGGAAAACTCGTTCGATGTCTGCACCGCCATAGAAAGAGATTTCTTCGGCATTGGCAAGTAAGCGAGCGTGTAGACCTCGGAAGTCGCCCTCCTTCTTGCCCTCAACGGCCTTGAGCTTCCCGAAGGGTGGTGAGAGCTTCCTCAGAACTGCTGCTGTACTGAAGTAGCCCGTGAGGATACCCGTCAGGGCCAAAGGCCCAAGGGAACGGTACAGTTGATAATTGAAGACGAACAGGTCCACCATAGGCTTCCCCATGGAGGAATAGAGTGCAGCAGCTGCAGAACAGAAGAGGGTAAGATCCTGGGTAATGAACTGGTCCGGCCCTTGGCCAACACTGCCATCCAGATTCATCAACTTGTAGTAATTGTTATCGCTGGTGAGATAAAGATCATGGATATACCTCGTCAGTCGGGTCCGGAAAGCAATAGACACCTTCGACTGGAGGAACTTGATCATGGCGTTGGTGTAGGAAGCAAGTGTACCAATCCCGCACCATTTGATAATGCCCCAGGTAAAAGCACGCCCTTTACCAGAGACGAGGTCCCTCACAATCTCGCCATCGAGGCGTGCGATCAATAGCGATAGGTATGTCCGCAATAGCAAGAAAAGTCCATGACCCATCAGCAATCCAGTCTCTTTACTGCCCCATCTCGGCACCATAATACTTCCAAGGCTGAGAAACTGGTGGAGAAACGCCAGATTCAGGCCTGGTTTTGTGGTTGGCGGCGGGATCTGATTGACCGACTCTCCATCGCCTACACGGGCGGCGGCAGGCGGGTTCAAGAATAACCGCCGGTGCGCTTCGAAAGTCGTTTGTTTGGTGGGGTAGATCTTGACCTTGGAGGTCATAGAATCCTTATAGGGCACATATATGGTGCGAGTTCCATCTTTGCCTCGAATCCCAGAATTTCGACGCAACAAGCGACTTCCCCGTGCACGTTCTTTGGCCCTCTCATGAAACCATTTGTAGCCTCCATACCCGGAGCTCAAGATCGATAGAATCAGGGCAAGGGTGGCGATGATTTTGGTTGTTTTGGATGAACGTTTTATCCGGGAACGAAAGAGGCCGGCATAGTAGTTGAACAGAGCAACGAGAGGATCCTCTCGGGGTCGAAGCGTTGATTGAACGGCCATCGTGCCTCGTCTAATATACACTCTCTTTCAGCAAAATTCGTGTTCTCCGTATTGCACAGTGCCGTCGCGGCAGCTGACATCCTTAGGCCACGCTGTCGAAGGCCATGAGAAACGATTGCAGGGATGACGCGCGTATCCCTATGGGTTGCGAGTTGAAGTTGGATCGAACGTGAAGAGGAGAAGTAATAGCAATAAAAAGGTCTGTTATCAAATGCTAGCTGACAGCTCACTCAGCAGGTCACATTCTGGGTGAAGCTGGCAAGGTCGATGCTGGAGCGATTGCGAGTTGACGCATGTGAAGACCTCGGGCCAAAATGCGGAGGGGCGGAGGCACATCTCACGTGCGGAGTCCCCAGATCATTAAGTCAAGATCTGTTCCAAGGATGGAGCATTTAATAAACTTTTGCTATCAGCTACTTTTGAAGCCCAGAATAGGAGTAGCATCCAGGAAAAGCGATGTTTGGGCTAGTCGTCTTAGGACGCCCAGGTGTCCAGGGACCCATTGACATCATGAGTGCGGTTGAGGTCGGGGTTCGATGGACTCTCGGTATTAAATACACGATCTCAATACGGAACATTCTGATCGCGAAGACATCAACGATGTTGCCTGGAAGCGCCCAACTTCCTAAACCGACCAAGACCCCTGCAACTCGATAGCACACTAATTTCGAGCTCCAAGTACTATTACGACTCGCGCGGTTAGCTATCGAGTACAATGGTGGCATCCAATCCCAAGTGGAGAAGGGTCCTGGTCATTAACACGGTGGATAGATTGTGTACTTTTGGCTGTTCCTGGTTATATCTACGACGACGATATCGGGCATTTTACCGGCTGGTGATGGTATGACTGCCTGTGGCATCATCCGATAGAAAGTACAGTCGGGACACGATGGATCGATCTGATGTAGGCCTGTTAAGCTTCAATAGGCGGGTAGGTTCCGGTAAGACACAGGAGTTCTTTAAATATCGCACGAGGCCTTGCTCCTCAACTGAGGTCAGTGCAGATGCCGTAAGACCTTACTAAAAGCATCGCATCTCAGGTACTGCACGCGAAGAAGGCCCTGTGATCAGATATTTCCGGATGGGGTTCGGGTTTGATGTGAACTTTCTGGGTTCAAACCAGTCACCGTAGAAGGGTCTTGTCCATGGGCTGGCTACAGAGTTAAGACAAGAATAGCATCCCAAGACGCTGAAGCTCTCACTTAATGCGGGGTCGCGGTAGGACAATACCAAGAGTGGAGAGAGCATGGAGATCTAGTAATACCACGTAATTACCGACGCCTTTCTAATCACCGTCAATCTGTCGACGATAAACCGAACCCGTCTTAACATACCTCTTTGAAACAGAGGTTGACAATCGCTTTGACTTCATGGCAAGATGAGCTACTCCGTAGAATGCGCCACTCTCCCTGTGTCACAATTTAACCCCACAGATATCTAACTGAAGGACATTGGAATGTTTCACGCCGACGGAAATGCTGCGTCCTTGTGGTTGTTGCTTAGCTCTTCCTGCAAATGATGGATGGCTGCAGATGCTCTTTCTCGGACGGGAATAGGATCGTCTTGATGCAGACCGTTATTGCCTCAAAGGCAGGGTAATACGACCGGAAATCACGGGGCGTTAATACCTACAGTATCTAGGTATGTGTGCAGGTATGCAAGTATGAGTACGGAGGCAGCAGAGGACCTCGGTCTCTGCCGCGCAGGAAGATCGACCCTCCCTGAGTCCCTAGACGACTGCACGGACCTATGCTTGTTAGACAGCATCCGATTGCAGGTGATCCTAAGTAAGTAGATGCATGAAGTCCGCCCCGGGCGCATCATCCGCCAGCCATGGTGATGGACTAACGACCAGACATGCTAGGTTTGAATGGGGGCTTTGCCAGTAAAGCAGGGAAGATACCTAGATACCTAGTACTAGCAGCGCAAGTCCGCAACAGGTCACTGGTGGGAGATAGCCAATGATAAGACTGATTATAAGAATAGGATCGGCCCAATCAACGACCGCCCGAGAGGGACTGAACTACTACTGAAGTTGACGATAGGTAGGCTGTCGCTATGCGGAGCCGTAAGGCACACGGGGTTTAGGCCGAAGCCTGGAAAGAAGAAGAAGCGAATAAGACCGAGTGCTGTCGGGGTGGAGGTGCCGGGCCAGCATCTCAATTCTCAAGACGAAGACATACCACCAAGTCAGTAATGATCACCCACAATAGCCGTAAGTTATTCCTGGTCTTACCTCCTTTCGTACTAAGGTTGCCCGCATGGCTGAATAGAGAGCCGTCACCTGGAACTTTTTCAGGGTTTGGAAGGTGAAATGATTGCAGTTCTCCATGATTGCTTTGATCATGAGGAATGACACGCTGCAGGTTCAATGTAGGTGGTGCAACCAGGACTGATCCGGCTCGCAGACAAACATGGATAACCACCGAGGCAAGTGCTACGAAGTAGGTATAGAATAAGAAAATCGAGGGGGGGGTAAATTAAAGAGAGGAGCAAATACGCATCACGACGACACATTCTCTAGCCAGGCTATTAAAGTGCCCGATATACCCAGGCTGCCCCCGATTCGCCCTGGAAGCGCCCACGGAAAGAACGCGAACAAGATCCCTGCGCCAAGAAGCTTGGAATATATGCGCTACGGGTCATGGAGGACGATGAATAGTAAATACTCTGTATTGAGAGCGGAAGTGCCATCCTCGGATTGGAGTTTGAATCATGGGTAAATGAGTAATACCAAATGGATCATTCAAGGCAGGTCTCTCCGGATGACTCGAGTCGAACCACCACCTCCACCACCACCACCTGGGCGTGGATGCATGAATTACAGAGTACTCCGTACATCAGTACGGAACAAGTACTAGTGGAGGACTGGAGATAGGTAAGTAAGGCATGTCTGCTCTGTATGCAATCAACCCAGCATACTTCCAGAGGCTGCTTCTATCCTTGTCGTGCACATGTCTGACTATGTATGTATGTACGTGGTCAACCTCACATGGTTCCTCATGGTTGCCTCTTGACATTCCCACTTCTCTGGTCTCGGGCAAAGTTCAAGGTACGGGGCATCTCCCGTCAAATCAGCCCCAAGCCTGCTGGAGGGAACGGAACTTGCTCCAATTACTGGACCGGCCAGTAGGCGTCCGAGTGTGTCTGGCCCCAATTCTGCAGCCCTGCATCTTTTGGTCCAGACCAGACTTGGCCTGTGTTCTTCCGTACTTGCCTTCTTTTTTTTTTTTTTTTTTTTTTTTACCTCCTTTCCTCGATCCGTAATTTCTCTTGCGTTCTCCATTACCCCTTGCCCCCCCGTTCCTTTGAGGCACACCCGCCCCGAGTGGCCCATCAACGTCGCTACTGGTTAATTAAGGTCATCACTTCCAGTAAAGTCCGCGCGCGCAGGCACGGCGGTAGTAATTTTAATTTGATTATCACGCCTACTATAATAATCGATTATTATTATTCGTATTATTATTATTACTATCATCTTCCCCCCCTCCCCTCCCTTCTCCTCTTTCTCCCCCCCCCCCTTTCCCCTTCCTGTTCCTCTTAAACCGGTTAGCCGCCAGTCCAGGAGCTAAGGACAAGCCACTCTGCTACTAGAGGCCTGGCACCATCATCACCCGGCTTTGCTGGACGACTCCAGAGGACCGTCGATACCGTCGACTTCTGTGCTCCCCTGGTGCTCGTCTTGACTGTTGTAGACGCCATCGGCTTGTCCTTCTGACTGGACTCTTGCCTGTCGACTAAGCGAAAGGGACGAACCCACAGTACAAGAAACCGATCCCCAACCGCCGATCCGATTCCTGTCGGAGCCCTTTTTAGAGTGTCTTTTCACCTTAAGTTCCCTCCCGCTGGCCAGCAACCCGTCAGCCCCAGTGCCAGTGCAACAATCGATCCATACCCTAAATCGTTTACGTTACTACTGCTCACTACCACCTCTCTTACCTTGCCTTGCTGGCGACTGTTGCTACTACCATCCTTACCTCCACTTCTCTTCGTACCACTTTAAGAGAGCTGCACCCTGGCTCGACCACGTGATCCCCTGCTCCGACAGCCTGCGCGTCCACGCTCGAACCCTTTACTGCGATCATCCCCCGACCCCGTCCCCGATCGTGCCGGTCGCATATGCTTTTATGCCCGTTTGCCGTCAGGATTCCTGGACATTGGAGGGAGGACTGATAAGATTTCCTCATAGCAACGAGACTTAGTGCTGCGCACTAGCCTCCTTCAAGGCGGTGGTCCGGGACCCAGAGAGAAAGAAAGCTAAGCAACTTACTGGTACGACCTTGCTTCTTAGTAACCGGCCTCCATCCCATCCCATCCATCCATCCAGTACGGGTGAGAGCCAGGAGGCGTGACTGCACTCTTCTCTTCCTTGCCCGCCCACCTCCACTCCCCCCCCCCTTCTCGGCGGTAACCCTGGTGGTCATTCTCCCCGACCCTCCATCGTCTCGCCACCCTCCTTCCCTCCGGTTTTTGTCCTTGTCGTCCCCGTGAACCTCGCTCTGCTACCCTCAATGCTCGGAGGGAGCTTAGAGCGAGATTCCTCACCTTCAAATTCCAAGGCGGCCACCGCAGAAGCGCCCATGCCTATCGCGACGAGCCACCCCGATTCCAGTAAGTTTTCCAGCCCATTTCTGGCTTCGCGATAAATTCTCCGATGCGCTTGGCTTGCTCCCGAGAATCCTCACTGATCGCGTCTTGGTTAGATCCTGAATCGTCGCCTCAGGACCAGCCCGCTAGCACCGATGCGTCGCCTCCGTCCACCCATCTAGAGCCCTCCAATGCGGTTCAGGAGTCCGTCGCACCGGCTCAAGGCTCCGCCGGCGACTCGGCAGCCACCGCGGCGGATGCACCGAAGAAACAACACACGCTGTTGCCCATCCCGTCGCGTGCATCGTTGAAGGCGGACCGACAATCCACGCTGGACAAGAGCCAGGACACCGCTCACGATGACTCCGAGAATACTCTTCGCGGTTCCAAAAGAAGCATATTCAAGGGTCGGAGGGACCGGAGCAGAGGCAGCAGTATGAGGTCGCGTCGGCAGAACCAGGAGGGGGCGAGTTTGGAGGAAGACAAGGCTGCCAGTCCAGACCTGCGTGATCCGGCCAAGCCTGAACGGAGGAACAAGGTCTCGTACCGGCTGTTCGCCTTCTTGAGTTGCTGTTCCTCGACCAGCGATGATCCGGAAGATCCTGCCATCCCAGCGAAGAGGACTTCGAGACGGCCATCGGTCCCAAGCCCGCAGCCCGCTCCGGAAAAGACGGACGCCACGGCTGGGGATTCGAGCACCGCGGAATCCAAGGATCCGAGCTACTACCGGGACGAGAAACCCAACATGACCGTGACCTCGAACCAGTCCATGTCCCAGGTGGATGAAGAGCGCACTGTGACCACGCCCGACCAAGGCTCGCAGCTCGACGGCACAGCAGTACCTTCTGGCTCACCGGAGCCCGGCCATGAGCCATCTTTGGCGCAGGACAATGCCGACTCTCAGGGATCTGGGGTCGGTCAGAGTACTCAACCTGCCGCCACACCCGCTGAAAGTGCGGTTACCAGCAAAACGGATGATTTCGTCCAGAGGACGGAAGATCCAACCCCCCCAACGCCGACGGAGAAGTCTCCAGATGCTGTGGGGACCGACGAATTGCCCAAGCCACCATCGTCGGAGACTAGCTATGAGGATGAGAAGTATACTTCACATGATGAGGAGGCCACGGTGCTACCCGCCGAATTACCTCCTCTGATGGCTCCATCCGGGAATCACGCAGACACAATATTACATGATATGCAGCAACAATTCCTCTTGCCGCCGCCTCTTCCTCATCTTCGAGACCGGAAGTGCTTGGTGCTCGACCTGGATGAGACGCTAGTTCACAGTAGCTTCAAGGTCCGGGTCCTCTCCTTTCCACCAACCATACCAGCTGACACGGTCGCTCTAGGTTCTCGAACGTGCAGACTTTACCATTCCGGTGGAAATCGAGGGCCAATACCATAACATCTATGTGATCAAACGACCTGGCGTCGATCAATTCATGAAGAGGGTCGGCGAATTATATGAGGTGGTTGTATTTACCGCTTCGGTGTCCAAGGTAAGTTGCCTCCGGCCGTTGCTTTGACGGTCGCTGATGATTTACAGTATGGGGATCCCCTCTTGGATCAACTGGACATTCACAACGTGGTTCACCACCGACTGTTCCGGGATAGTTGTTATAACCACCAAGGCAACTATGTCAAGGTCAGTGCCTACCCGTGGACATTCCTTGTGGATACTGACATCTAGTAGGATCTCTCTCAAGTGGGTCGCGACCTGCGCGACACGATCATCATCGATAATTCCCCGACTTCCTATATATTCCACCCTCAACATGCGATACCCATCAGCAGCTGGTTCTCTGACGCTCACGATAACGAGCTTCTTGATCTGATTCCTGTTCTCGAAGACCTTGCCGGGGCACAAGTGAAAGACGTCAGTCTGGTTCTCGACATTGCATTGTAATGCCTGTAACTCTACTTGTCTGGCATTTGCATCACAGCATGCTTCTTCATTTGCGGGTCCAGTTGGTTGAAAGAAGAGTCTGATTTTTGAGGCAACTGCAGCCAGGCCATCCTGAGGATAGATCAGTCTTCTCAGGCTTCGAGGCCTGCGAAGTTGCACGGTGAAGATGTGTTATCCTTTTGCCTTTTTCCCTATTCCCTTGTTCATTGCAATATTCGAGCACCGGCCATGTTCCTTGTGCTCCCAGCGAGCCGATACCTGATTACCCCCCCTGTCTTGTTTCCTAGTGTTTTGACGTTCTTCTCTTCTTGATGCATCCTGCAGGCGTCCGTCTTGGTCATCAGCCAAAATTTCGCTGGTCTCATGTATACGCTCTCATTTACATTCCCTCTTTTCTTTCATCTGTCTTTTCTTCATCCCCATTTTGTGCTCTTTTGACTAACCGCAGCCCGTGAGAGGCTCGACTGCCGTCCTGGTTATTTCCTTTCTCCTTGTGACCCAAAACCGCGTTTTTGTCTTTGTGCACCATGATCTGCTTTTTGGTGACCCTCGCGTGTGGCATCTTGATATATGTCTCCAAGCGCCTGTCGCTGCTTCTGGTACACGCATAGTTTCTCCTCGATCCCGGATTGGCGACGGGGACTTTGCAATGTATATGTACTGGTTGGCGTACGTGCTGTACATAAAAGCGTCCGCCTCCATCAGCTGTCCCGTGTTTGAGTAGTTTGATTGAACATTTGACGAGACTATCCATACTTCGTTATAACCGTAGAAATGACGTAGCGAATGACTAGGTCGATAAAACGCAGGTGGGCATGATCGCAGCCATATAGAGTCGATCGCATGGCCTGGACGGGATCAGGCGGACAAAACCGCCGCAGTCAGCTTCAAATCCTGCAACCATCGCCTCCCACCACCCCTGCCCAGCAAATTCCCGAATTTCCTCCCTTTCTCCCGGCGCAGGCCTACTTCATTACTGGTGTTCCCCTGACAATCCGCGACTTGAGCCTCCAGCACCGCTCTTGGCATCGTCATACCTCCGAATTGCTCCCGGCCTCACCACCACCAAATCAATACCTCATCACCCACCCACCACGATTTCCTCTCCTCTCCACCCACCCCACCCCTAACACCCCTGACAACATCGCCACCATGAAGGATAAGAACGGTTGGGATGGAAAGCTCCGCGTCGAGCCTAAAGCCATCATTACGAATCCAGAAGCTCTGGAAGATCCGGATTACTCGGACTCGGATGCGCCGCCGGTGGAGGAGATTCAGGCTGATGAGGGTGGGTTATTTCTTGGGGGGATAAGGGCTAGGACGCGTTGAACTGGGACTGATCTGGTTTGCGATGTGCAGATTTATTAGAAGATGAGGATCCGAATGCAGAGGTATTACGGTTTGACGCGTTGATGGTGACGTTTCTATTGGATGCTAATATAGGTGATGGTGCTAGGAAATCGACCTCGTTCATTGTCGCATAGGGTCTATCCCTGCGTTACGGTTGGAGAGATTTTCCAAGGTGCAGGTATTACCTCCCCTCCCATCCCCCACCTCCCACTATCACAGTGAAGCTTGATGCGAATACATACTAATAATAGTGACGTGACGACAATAGAAAATATGCCTCCGACAGAACCAAATCTCACGAATCGAATTCCCCACGACCGTCGCCAAATCATTAACGGAACTGGATCTCTACGACAACCTGATCTCGCATGTCAAGGGCCTCGATGAGTTTGAGAACCTGACGAGCTTGGATCTGAGTTTCAATAAGATTAAGCATATCAAGAATATCGCGCATTTGATCAAGTTGACGGATTTGTACTTTGTGCAGAATAAGATCTCGAGGATAGAGGGCGTGGAGACGTTTACGGCGTTGAGGAATTTGGAGTTGGGGGCGAATCGGATTCGGGTGCGTTGATCTTAGTGTGGGGAGATTGGTGGTTTGGAGGTGAGCTGACTGGTGTGTAGGAGATTGAAAATCTGGATCAGTTGAAGGCGCTGGAGGAGCTGTGGTTGGGGAAGAACAAGATTACGGAGTTGAAGGTATGTCGTGTCTTGTGGGTGATGGTGATGGTGATGGTTGACTGACGGTGATAGAACCTCGATGGTCTCTCCAACCTGCGCATTCTATCTATCCAGTCGAACCGTCTTACGAGTATCACTGGCTTGTCGAACTTGAAGAATCTGGAGGAACTCTACGTCTCTCATAATGCGATCACCGATCTCAGTGGACTCGAGGAGAACACGTCGCTACGCGTGCTGGACTTTTCCAACAACCAGGTTTCCAAGCTGGAGCATCTGGAGCATCTGAAGAACCTGGAGGAACTGTGGGCGTCCAACAACCAGCTCTCGAGCTTCGATGAGGTGGAGCGTCAACTCCGGGACAAGGAGAAGCTACAGACGGTGTACTTTGAGGGCAACCCATTGCAGATGAAGGCGCCGGCTCTGTATCGGAATAAGGTGCGGTTGGCGATACCGCATATTATGCAAGTCGATGCGAGTGAGTACCTGCTTTGACATACCTGGTGAAATCGCACTAACGAGCGCAGCGTATATCCGGGTGACCTAGATGCAACGACAGGACCAGCAGCTAGCGCTGATCTTCATGTCATCGATAGCACTTACCTACTTTTAGAATTACGATATACGAGTGATGTAGCGTATTACCCCCATCCAATATCCAATAGTATACATCAACTCCATACCCAAATCCTTCATGAATTCATAACCTCCTTCCTCTCCCCTCCTACCTCTCCCTCTCCTTCCGCCCCCTCCCCTATCGTCTCCCCATCCCCATCTACCCTCTCCTTCTCCTTCTCCCCCAACCCAAACCGATACAACCCCATCAAACTCTTCCCCCCAAACCTCCAAACATCACGATCCAAATTCCGCTTCACCCGCTCCGGCACCTGCGTCTTCCGCCCCATCGGCCCATCCGCCAAATAATCCAACGGGATGCCCGTCTTCACGAGGTCCTCGTACATGTGACTCGTCTTGTCCACGTAGAAGAATGTATGGTAGGGGTTGCGTGTCATTGCGGATGCGTGGTTGTGGCGGGAGGGTTGGATGGTGCAGGTTAGGGTGTTTTTCTCTGCTTCTATTTCTGGGGGAATGGGGGGGTGTGGTTGGGTGAGTGGTGTATGTGGTGCTGTGTGTGATTGTTTGTGTGATGATGATTGCGATTGTGATTGCGAATGTGTATGTGGATGTGTATGCAAAGAATGTACCCTCTCCCCGACACCAGGAACAGCAACAGGACTAGAGATAGGAATCTGTATCCTCAACGGCGACGCCTCCACCGCGGCCGTCGCCGCCGCCACAGACTCAAAAATGGCGATCGTATTCTCGGCCGATTTGGGCGATTTATTCGATGGGTCGTACTATTCCTCCCCCCGTTACCATTAGCATCTCATCACATACCCATCCAGTAAATCAAACAAATCCGGTAAGAGGGGGGTAAGGAGGGAAAGGAGGGAGGGTATGGGATACCTTTAAATTGCGAAACGTCACGACTTCACCGAATTTTTGGAGCGCAGCGAGAATGAGTTTGCTTTCGGTGAGGGAGCGGGGCGCGGGGGTGGTTTTGATGTGGATGCATTTTGGGAGGGGGGGCATGTTCTTTATTCCTTTGGGTTAGGATTGATGGATAATTGTTGGTGGGGATGGGGTTGGGTGTGCATTGTATGTTGGGGAGAGAGTGGAGGGAGAGAGGTGTGTAGGTAGTAGATGATGATGGGAGAAATGTTGGTTATCGGATCGCGTCTTGGCGGTATCTTATCGCCGCTTATCTACTATCTACATCATACATAGTGTGCTTAGTACTATGGTAGTATGGGTTGGAAGCATCATTCGTGAGATACATGGGGTAACATCGTCTAAAAGATAGGAGCGTAGAGGCCGTACTAGAATCAAGTCAGTACACACCCACAATAAGAGAAGCAGGGGGCAACTCACCCCCAGAGGATCATTAAACCGCAATCCCCGATCCAACGCACCAATAGCCTCCACCTCATCCTGCTCCAAATCCCACCCCGTGACATCCAGATTCTGTCTCAAGCGTTCCGGATTATTACTCTTCGGAATGACCGCAATGCCCCGCTGCGTCGCCCACCGCAACAACACCTGCGCCGGGGTGCGTCCATACTTCTCCGCCAACCCCTGGACAAGCCCATGCTCAAACAACGGCGGCGTATCCACCGCATTCTTGACATCCAACTCCAAGAAACTCAACGGCCCAAACGAACTATACGCCGTCACCGTCAAGCCCTCCTTCTGGGCATACTCCACCAGTCTCGTCTGCGTCAAGTACGGATGATGCTCGATCTGCAGCGTGGCGGGGCGGATGCGCGCATACCGGAGGAGATCCATCACCAGCTGCGCACTAAAGTTACTAATGCCAATACTGCGCGCCAGCTTCTGATCCACCAGCGACTCCATCGCCGTCCAGGTTTCCTGGATCGTGGCCGTGCCGAATTCCAACTTATTGGACTCGGACATCCAGCCCGGCGGGTAGCGGACGGCCGGGTCGACGTATTTCAGGGAGATGGGGAAGTGCACGATGTACAGATCGAAGTAGTCGATGCCCCAGTCAGCGAGCTGTTTGCGACAGATGGGCTCGACGCGGTCGCCGTCGTGGAAGCTGTTCCAGAGCTTGGAGACGATGAAGAGCTCCTCGCGCTTCACGATGCCCTCCTTAATAGCCCGGGCAACACCTTGGCCGGCTTCGACTTCGTTGCCGTAGTCTGGAAGGTTGGTTAGTTACGCTGTGGATGAAGAGGGTATGGACGAGGTACCGCAGGCGCCGTCGAACAGACGGTATCCCTCTTTGATGGCGTGGTAGATCTGGTCGGCGCAGGTGTCGTTGTTCACCTTCCACAGACCAAAGCCCACAAGGGGCATGTCGTAGCCGCTGTTTAGCTTTACGGTAGGGGAGGCCATTGTGATGGAGTTGAAGTCAGGTAACAGGGAGTCAGGTACAGGGGAGATCAGGATCAGGGGATGAAGGGAGAAGGGGGTTAAGAGGGGCACGACTACCCCTCGGCCATGTATCACGAACTTAAATCCATCGCGTATCCACTGGAGGCTAAATGAAGCGTGGCGGCTGTATGAGGAGTACGATGGAGAATGGCGCGATGGACGGAGGCGCTGCCCGCCCGGCTAAATGCAGCCCCCGGCTAAATGCTCGACCCTAACCAGGCCATGTCACTACGGAGGATTGCTTCTTACGGGAGTATATTCCATGTGGAGAAAAGGCAACGAGGTATCTTGACATTATTATACACTGCATAGAATCGAATCCAACCCAGCCAGAGAATTATTAAAAAGTACTTTTGCCATTATTATCATTACGTATCCGCCCATGCGGCCATTAAACAGCCTGCACCGTATTACTCGCCGCATAGGCCGAGTGTGCGTGCTCATGCGCTCCCCCATTCATCTCCGTCGGTATACTCCCCGGCCACTTATCCAGTTCCTCGGGCATGAACTCGTAGCTGTGGCTGGGGTTCGGCTCACGAGGCACCGCAACGTGGTGATCGGAGGTAGCATAAGAAATGTGGGGATAATGACTCCCGGGGATGTCGCCGGAGATGGCGGTGGTGGTGGGCATCCAGGACGCCTGGCTGTGGCTCATATCGTCCATCGACTGGGCGCTGGTCACCAACATGCCGTTCAACAAGGCGCTGTTGTCATGCACATTCACCCCAAGAGATTGGTTGTGAACATAGTGCCCATCATGCTCAAGGCTGTATGGGCTGTGGTTGGGATGGGCCAGAGGCACCTCAGGCATGCTGAGCATTGCCGTTCCCGCGCTAGAGCCGCCGAGACTCGTCGGCTGGCTGATGTCATGTGGTTGAAGGTTAGGGAAAGCATCCAGGCCCAAGGTCACAGCGATCTTATCGCTCAACCGGTCTTCCTGCTTGATCGGCCCAAGGAAGTCAAATGGCGCGTTGAACATTTGCGCGACGCTCTCCTGAGCCGCCGAATACAAAGGCCAGGAGCTCTGCGGGACATTGTTGTGCAGCAACTCGTGCGATTGCGGCTGATGGTAGACATTAGGTCCCGGCCGATTCAACAACATCGAGTCGGCCAAGGACAATGGGGGAGGAAGATCGATTCCGGTGGCGGTCTTGGGGCTGCTGTGAGGGATCCGCTCGGATGGGATCACGCGGCGCCACGTAGTCGTACCAACGACGTCGCGGGGCAGCGTCTGTCGAAATTTCCAGAGAAGGATTGCCACCCGCTTCTTTTCGCCCACGGGCTGTCCGGAATAAGGATGGGACATGCGCCGTGAACCGTAGGGGGCCATGGCCCGGATTTCCTGCACGACCGTCAGGTGACGGAGAAACTCTCTGGCTTGCTCGGGGGCATGGTGTCCAGCACTCTCAGCCAGCTTTTGATCTTGTGTGAGCTTGGTGAAGCGGTTGGCCCACCATTTGGACTCGAACAGAGGCTTCACTTTCGTGTGCGTCGTGGTGTGCACTGGCCGTGCCACTTCCTGGCGCCCTTGGTAGATTTCTTGGCCATTCTCGTACATGTACGTCTTGCAGGACCAGTTCTCCAGGTCATTAAGCATGGGAACCCCCGCGGCATTCGCTTGCGCAAAATCCAGTTCCAGGTGAATCCCAAGCTTCGAGCCAGCCGCGGGGAAGTCGTCCAGGAGTTTCAAGTTTGCTTCAATCAGAATAATGTCGCAATCCAGGGGCGAGTTGGGATTGGCCATCAGTGAATTAAGGTATGGGAAGGATGATTGCCAATTTCTCAGCTCGTTCAGGGAAATCGGGGCGACAGGGTGCCGCTGGTCATCTTGGAGGCGGCTGTAGATATGGCTCCCATCCTCGATACGGTCGGGCTTGTCGGGCTCGCTCACCCACATCCCAAAGACCAATGCTTGGATGGTGTTGATGTTGGTGTCATGCCAGCTAGGATTCAAGGCAAAAGGAGCCGGCGGCAGCTCGCCTGCATAGGCCTGCCTCATAGGGTCATGATAGGTGGGGTGGAGGTGATTGCCATAATGACTTGACAAGGGAGGATCCATGGGAGGCCCCCATCTTGGACCAGTGGGCGGATGTTGGTTGCTCGAGCGGACGGCCGCCTCTTCACGTACAAGTCGTTCCCCTAACGCTAGTCAGGCCTGGTATCCTTTGAAGTACGTGTTGGAAGGTACTTACAGTCGGGGTCCCCCTTGAGGAACGAGTCGAGAACTTGGAGGTGACTGGAGACTTGCTTTCTGGTTCTTCGCTTACCAGTCTTCTTGAAGATGAATTCAGCAATGAGCTCATTTCGACCATATGACTTTCCTCGCTCGGACCATTTCCGTCGGCCCATTGGCGGATTCGCCTCGAGAGCTATGCGGTGTTACTATGGGTTGCATCACACCAGGCAGGAGTCTCACCTTGTTGAAACGCGTCTTCAAGTTCGTCCGACCATACCGGTTCCCCATCTTTGCCAGTGTCCCGACGAGGCCGGGATCGGTACTCCAGATACTTGTTGGACCGGAGATAGCTTCTGGGCCTGCTACGAGGACCGATTAGGCTGGGCCCAAACGAATGCAAGCGGCGAAGCTTCTTGCTCTGAAGCCGGAGGTTCTGAGGGGGCTGAAGGGTGGTGGGAACAGTGGGCACTGGATGTGTTGGAGCTGGGGGTTGAGGATACTTGAACGCAAGCTGCTGCAACGGGTCGTCACGACCAACGGCGCCGCTGTCTGCTAGGTTGTCGGAGTAGGACTGGACGTTCCCAGAGGTATTCTGTAGGGCCCGGTCCGTATGGGCTCCTAGGCTCTCAAGAGTCGACTGGTGTTGAGGCACAATGCACCCCGTTTGCCAGTGAGCCATCGAGCGGACCACCGGAGAGGATAGGCTCTGAGAAAGAATGATGGAGAATGCCAAAGAGATGGATGAGGAGGAGTGCAAAATGCTTACGACTGCCTACCAAAGAACTCTCAGTAGTCACAACCCGGCAATCAAGAACGTAGATGCTTGGAGAGAATGTAAGAATTGGGAGAGAGAATGTGGGAGCGAGCAGCATGGTGTTTATAGGGAACCACTCTCGCCCTGGAGAGGGAGGCCTAGTGGCATAGCTGAATCACGCTCCGTGTTGATACACCACCCCTCTAGGGCAACGTCGACGGTTCAAGGCGGGGAAGGGAATCTCCTCCCAGGCTTCACGCGTCCAGGTCGAGCTATGAACGAAGGGAAGATCGTGTCCGAGCAAATCAGGAGGGAAGGAACCGCACGATGGGAACGAGCGGAAGATTAATGCAAGGGGCCCTCAGGGAGCACGAACCAGTGAGCTGCTCCTCGGAAATTTTTGTGCACGAGATGAGCATGGACAGCGACGTCGAGGGCCAGGTACAGGCAATCCGACCGTCAAGGCCGTGGCAAAGACCAGGCGTTGGAATGAGCCGCAGCCAACGACGTCGTCCATCGCCCTAGGAGTGGAATGTCAAGCTGGTTACGTAGATCATGCCGGAATGTTGCTGGGGATGATCCAAGGTCTAGTTATGCTTCACGCTGATAATCCAGGGTGCAAGCAACGAGGTGTATAAGGAGTTAAGGGAACAACAGCCTTGAATGGGCGAGGATAAGAAAACCCGCGATGGGATGACAGGATAGACTCGAGAAGGAGTTGCACTGCACGAGCGGACGGGTAACTCTGCAGGACGCGCGCGTATGTACGTGTTGACAGCCGCAGGAACGTGTTGCCTGCGTCCGCAACTCCATGTTCAGCGTCCGGGATGCAAGGGATATTAATATCAAAACCACACCATTGCCATTGTCTGTCCCTACCAACAGGGAGAAGGACCTCAGTCCTCTTCGCCGTCCTGGGCCCCTACAGTGAACTTTTTGCGCCCAGGCCCCGTAAGTTTCTGTAGCTTGACCCTGTCCACCTGCTCCCCTACCTTCTTCTCGATCTGTCGGATCTCTTCCTCCGCATCGATCGCCTCCTCGTTGGCAAACTCCAGGACCAGTTTCCGGCCCAGCAAATGCGTGTTTTTGAGCGCGTCCATGGCATTCTCCGCTTCACGAGCGCTTACAAAGTCCGCAAAACCGAAACCACGAGCCGTCCGGTCAAACTTCTGAGGCACCCGCACAGACCGCAGCTGTCCGTAGGCTCCAAAGAGTGACCGAACATCCTTCTTGGTGGCTTGGAACGGCAAGTTCTTAATGATAATCTTGGTCCTTCTGGCGGCCACCTTCTTCGCGGTATCTTCGCGCCTCCGCTCCTCAGCGGCATCCATTCCACGATGAGACACCCTGACTACCAGTTCATGTTGATCCAGCTTGTAGCCATTCATGGCAGCAAGCGCAGCCTGGGCCTGGGCCTTCGTCCTGAACTCGGCAAAGCCAAAACCCATGCTCAGGGTCTGTCCGGGCCGCTTAGGATCCGGCTTGGTCTTAACCTTGCCAGTCACAAAGCCATCCAGTGGCCGGAAGAGGTCCACGAAGCTTTGGTTGGTGGTAGCAAAGTTGAGGTTCTTTACGAAAAGGGTGGTAGTGGGTGTCAGCTGATCAACCTCATCTGCCGCGAAAGTGTCAGCAGTCGAGAAGCCTTGAGAGACAGCCTTAGTCTCTATGGGTGCTTGCTGCGGCACAGCCGCGGCATCAAACAGGTCCTTGGGGGCCTTCTCCAGGAAGAGGATGGAGTCTCCTAACTTCCGGTAGGCAAGACCCTTGAAAGCCTTTTGGGCCTCGTCAGGTCTGCCAAATTCGACAATGGCTATCGTCCCACTAGGAGGCATGAGTAACCTCGTAATCTGCCCGAATGGTTCGAATAATTTTCTGATCTCATCAGTCTTGACGCCGTACGAAAAGTTCTTTACTAGGATAGCCGTGTTTCCACGCTCCCGCTGCTTGAAGGCTTCGATATTGACCCCGTTAGCTGAGAAGTAAGCTTTCGTTTCTTGGATTACGTGGGTTTCGGCGTGGGCCTGCTTCACAGCAGCGTCCGATGAAGTAGGGTCCAAGAGATCTGCTTTTGAGACACCCAGTCGTTCCGCTACTGAAGACATGACAGCATCCGCCTGAATTCGTTAGCATATGAAGCTGGCACATCCATTGCACTACTCACATTCATGTAAAGGGAGTTCCAACTGAACGTGGAAGATGTAGCATCCATCTTCCGCTTGATTTGCTTTTGCTTCTTCAGAGGCAATTTCGACAAATCAGCATCATCGATCTTGTAGGTCTTCTTCGCAGCCGCCGGCAGAATGTGCATCAAGCGACCTTGGAAGTGTTTCCCATCGAGATTCTTGTAGGCCTCTACGGCCGCATCAGCGTCAAGGTACTGAATGTAGGCAAATCCCTTGCTGGTATTAAACCTGGTATCGAAAGCCACGTGAATCTAGTTTCATTAGCATCATCCAGAAAACTAACGAGTCAAAAGCAATCAAAGTAAGGTGTAGCTCATCAGATAACAAGAGGCATCTACTAAAATACTCTTTCCTGTTCACATCATGTGCTTTGCATCAGATGTCCCTATCAGGATGATCATCATTGAGCGGGGAGGTGGGTGTACAAGGCAAAAATAACGATTCTGACAGATCATGGATGTACTAACCTCTTCAATTCTCCCAAAAGGAGCAAACAGCGGTTGAAGATCTGACTCGGAGATATCGTAAGCAAGGTTTCTCACGAACAGACGTGCAGAAAGACGAATATTCTCAATATTCGTGTCGACCTCCGGTTCCTTCACTGTGTTCACAGCCTCAGTTGCGGCGGGTGCGACGATCTGAGCCTCCCTAGAGTCAGCATCTGCATCTTCTACTTCTTCCGCGGCAACAGATTCCTTCTGATGCGCAGTGCTAAATTCCGCCTGCTCATCCTCGTCGAGCAGACCAAGGAGACGACTCGTCTTGGAGCGGAGCCAGTCCGCATCCGTGACAGGTTGCTCCTCGGCCTCTGCGACAGTCTCATCCTGCTCCGCCGGAGACTCGGTGTTGCCCTCCTCAGTGTGGTCCACCACCATTGGTTCAGACGACACATGGTCTTGACGGTCAGTGTGTGTCTCCCTGGACTGATCATAGTCATCACCAAGCTTCGCCTTCTTCCTTTGTGCATAAGTAAGCTCCTGCGGTTCTTCCTCTTCAGCCGGCTTATCTGCAGGTGAGTCTTGCTCGAGCGGCTTGGGCATATCATCATCGTTCGCCCATGTCTTCTTCTTGGATGAATGCTGCATTACAGAGAGATATTCTTGCAATCGAGCGTCTTGCGGGGCATCTTGGCCATCCCGCTTACGCTTGAGGGAAGCTTCGGTGACATCGTCTGCAAAGGGCCTATCATGTTTGCCCGCTTTGCGAGTGGGTTCGGCATCAATCTACATTATTACTGGTCAGTTCCAAGACCATCGTCAGCGGGGAAAACAAAAGAAACGAAGAAGCAGTGAAGACATGGAGCACATACCGGCTTAGCAATGTCTACTGAGATCTTGGACATCTTCATGTAGGTCTTATTGAAATAAGAAACCGCCTGCTGCGCGGCCTCATGGCTCTTGAAGCCCACGAAGCCGATCCTGCGCTTGGGCAATACATGAGCGTCTGTGACTTGGAAGCGAGTAGCAAAATGCTTCCTCAATTGATCATCAGAAAGGGTTGGCGGAAGGCCAGAGACAAATACTCTGGTGCTCTCCATGATTGTGACAGTGGGTGCCACGAAAAGTGTCTGGAAGAAAAAAACCGAAAATTTTTGGTGGAATGTTTTTTTTGCTTCCTTATAGTGCCGAGGGCGGTGTGGGGGGCGGCCTGGCCCGTGCCCGATTTGCGCGGCGCTCATTGCGCGCAGCCAGCAATGTTGGTTCCCAATACTTCCATTGGGCTTCCTTGGAACTTTGTACAGAATAATTTGTTTAGGCTTGGTCCTTGTCTGAAATCCTAACCCTTATCAACACCACCTATATCCCAATAATCACCAGCAAAATGGCTAGCGAAAAGAAGGACAAGCTTGAGCGTAAGTCCTTCAGCAGCATTCTCGAGACAACAGCTAACATGAGCCTTTAGCGCAGATCAAGTCGGTCGATATGGTAAGAAGAATTGCTGGCGATAGCTGGAGCTGTGCTTACAGGATAATAGACCGAGGACATGCAGCAGGAGGCTGTGGAAGTCGGTATGGTCACCTCCGCGGGTAATCTGAAAGGGGGCTAATCCGATGGCTAGCAATTGAGGCGATGGACAAGTACCACATTGAGAAGGTTGGTTCGGTGACATCTGCCAGCGAACCTGGCTAACCGTCGCAGGATATCGCCCAATACATAAAGCGAGAGGTCAGTTTGCGCACGCCATCAGCCCGGCTCAACGCTCACATCCTATAGTTCGACTCGCGCAAGGGTGCGACATGGCACTGCGTGGTTGGCAGGAACTTCGGAAGCTTCGTCACGCATGGTGAGTGTCACCGACAGGACGTCAGGGGTAGTGGTTAACATCCTACAGAGACGAAACACTTCATCTACTTCTACCTCGGACACTGCGCCATCCTCCTTTTCAAGACCCAATAAAGATGCGGCCGCAATCCAGTCTATTCGCGGAAGCGATGTTATACCTCTTTCGGATAATTCATGCAGGGAGATATGCTATGAGGGCTCCCATACAAAAGCTGAAGGAGACTCAGTCATGGTCCAGAACGGAATGCTGTGGGGTTGCCTGGAGGGCCAACACGGCGGTGATTCTCGGATTTATCTGCTACCTGATCAAATTTCCAGGTTAATCTTTCTAAAATGGCTATTGAATACATTCTTGTCGTAGCAGACCTGCTGCCAGACCAAACTTTTACTGCTGTAGACACGTATTCACCCACCATGCAAACTATATATAAATGCCACCACCCCCTCCCCCTCCAGGGAGCGGAACGCCCAGACGCCAAGCCACAGCGCCACACGTCAGCCTCCAACCACAATATATGGCTGCCTTCCCCTTCCACGATAAACTTTAGGTAGTATTGACCGTCTGCCACGAGAACACGTCCGATTCATGAGCGACAAAGAATTCATATCCTAGACCCTCCCCCTGAAGCGATCCCTCACCCACCCCCGAACATCAAGCACCACCACCACCACCACCACCACCACCGCAATCATGGCCATCTGCATCACCTTCGGAACACACGGTATGTTACGTGCCCATCATCCATTATCTACTCCACTTGGCACCACCAACGTCATGACCACACTTTCCCCAGCAACCATCCCCAACATGGCCCTGCGAAACCAAACTAACTCCCAAATCTAATCCTCCCAGAATTCACCTCCATGCTAGAAGGTTACGAAAACGTCCGTGCCTTCTGCTATAACTGTGTGTTCTGGACCCTGATCTGCTTACTTTACTACCTTACCTAAATTTAGCTCTGTTCCTGACCCAGCCATTGACTGTTTGCCTGTTTAGGTCAACATTGGAATGGTCATTGTTTGACGAGATGGTGAGTTTACTGCCCCATACTATATCATGGGGAGATATAGGGAATGTTGATGTGTGCTAATGTATTTACGCAGGCCGTGGTTTACTGTTTGCTTTATTGTATGTTGTGTCGGCGCTAGGCGGCTATGGAACTTACTGACTGGACATAGCCTGTTATTCCTCTCGCGACGCATAAGTATAAGGTATACTAACACCGCCTCTTCTTCTTCTTCTTCTTCTTCTTCTCCTTCTCCTCGGTGTGTTGAATTCGATCTGATGTGTGAATAGGAAGTAACCTGCTACACGTGTCGCTTTACGCAGGATCTTCGGTATGTTCACCACCAGCACCGTCACCAGCACCAGGCAAAAAGCTAATGTATGTTCGCAGCGATCGCCCTGACATCACGCCCGACACACGACCTCCTCCAGGGGTGATACCGGGCCAATTACCCCAGGCTTACTACGGGGGCGGAGCACCGTTTTATCCTCCTCAGGGTTCGGGCCCGCCTCCGCAGGCGTCGGGGGCTGTGGCGCCGACGCAACAGCCACCGGCGCAGCAGGAGGGGCAGCATCAGGTGTATAAGTAATTGACTTTTTTTTTCGTGGGTGGAGTTGGTGCTGTGTTGTGCTTTGCGGGCTGGTTTGGTCGGTGTATTTATACCTTTTGCTCTATGCTTTTTTCGTTCATGTATGCGTGAGCTGCTGTTTTGCTTCTGATTTGCTGAATGCAGTGCATATTATTATGGTATATTTGGTAGTGGCAAACACTGTACAGGTAAACGAATGGGGTATATCAAAACAAGCCAACCATAATCCAAACCAACGTAACGGACATCTCATCACAAGTCTCGATCCAAAAGCAGGGCCACTCATTTAGTCATCATCTCCTTCTCGACAACTGGAGTCTGAACCCCCGAGACATTCTCACTAGTCATCTCCCCCATAATCGCCTTTCCTCGTCCCTTGCCCATCAAATCCATAGCCATCATCCTGACCGTCCTGACGATGCTAGCCCGTCCCTCATACAGCGGAAAGATCACCACACCAAAGGTCGTGCCAAAGAGCCAGATAAGACCGACGACAACCCACCCGGTGAAGAACTTCTTGCTGAAGACGTACGAGGTACCGTACATCGGGATGGGCCAGAGGATAAGGAAGCAAAAGACCATGGCAATGGTCAGGGTGCGTGAATACAGGGCCGCGCGGTTGAGTTTGCGCATTTCCTCTTCCTCTTGGGCGGCGGTCTGGGTGTTGATTTCGCCGGGGATGAGTTCGAGGTCGACGTGGGCGGCGGCGGCAACGTCGGTGTCGTCGACTCGGCGGATGGCTCGCATGGATTCGTAGTCGTAGTTTTGGGAGCCGAAGATGAGGGTTAGGATGGGGGAGAAGATGACGGGGCTTAGAAGAGCGGCGACGTTGCCGGCGAGCATGGGATAGCTGGTGTGATGTTAGTGGGGAGGGATGGGAATGGGAGTTGGGGTGAAACTGACTTCGCGCCGGTGGTTGTTACGGTCAAGATACCGTATTCCTTTTTGGCTGTGACAAGCCAGGCGATGAGAGACACGGCAAGCCCGAGGGGTGGCGAGGCTGCAGCTGCGATCCAGTTTTGGTGCTTCCAGATGAGAGACATTGCGCCTGGGAAGACGGCAGAGGAAATGATGACGCCCATTAGCAGGTAGAGATAGCCCATACCGATGCCGGCGTAGTAAAGGCCTGTCGCAAACGAAGCCATGACAACTGCCCAGAAGACGCAAGACATGTGCGAGACCCAAACGAGAGTCTTTCCCTTGGCAGATGGGTTGACGTAGGCCTGGTAGATATCGTAGGTGAAGATCGACGAAACGGCAATCAACTGAGCGGAGAAGGCAGAGGTGACAGCCATGAAGATCATGATCGTCGTGCATACCGCGCCACTGTAACCGAGAAGCTTCACTGCAGCAAATGGCAAGACAAGACCAGCTGTGACATCGTCCGAGCTCAAGCGCTGAGCACCCTCCAGGGAGAGAGCAGTCAAACCCATGGTGCTAGCACACAGCCATGGAATCGTAAACCAGCAAAGGCCACCAATAACGTATCCGGGGAAAGCATGCACGGGGCTCGCGGCAATAGCCTTGTTGTAGTATCCGTTGTCGAGGAACACGGTGCTGTTGAAACGGTTAGCAGGGTATCGATGGGGAGATAGAAATTTACGAACCCAAAGTTTCCAACCAGGTTGATCACCCAGAAGATGCCACCCTCCTTCGATCTCATAGTAAGGTAGCTTCCCTCGGCATTCCCCTCAATCGGGTGGAGTGTCGATGCTGCCACCAGTGCATCATAAACGGCACCGGGAGATCCAAGCTTGTCGCTAGTCGCGTAGGCAGAGAAGGAGAAGATGAAGATGACCACAATGATGACAACTGTGTGCATGTAGTCGGTAAGGAATGTAGCCTTGATACCACCAAACAGGGTATAGAGCACGACACCAATCGGCAGGAGGAAACAGGCTGCAACTGTATTCACTCCCGTGAGAGACGTCAGGACGGCAGAACCACCAGTAAGCAACATGGCAGTGACAAGGGTGTTGGTCATCAGGCAGAAGACAATGAATACGACATGCACGACGGTTCCATATCGAGCACGAAGGGCTTCGAGGAAGGTGTGCGCATTTGGAGCCCTCCGCTTGAGCTCAATGGCCAATGTAGCGAACAAGATAATCTGAACCGTAGCACCTATTCATCGGGTCAGAATTCATCTTAACTCATTTGTAACTGAAGCATGAGTACCTGAAGCGTAGAAGAAAGGACCCGAGACGCCATATTCATAGGCCACTGTGGTCGACTGAAGAAGAGTAGCAGCCCATGTCCAACTACTGACGACTGCCGCAGCAACCAGACCCGACTTGACGGATCTTCCTGCAGTTGAGAACATCTCCGACGTCTGCACTTCATGCTGGTATCTATGCAATCGCCGTTAGCTTCTTCACATCACGGAAATTGATCCTGTTGGGGAGAAGCAGTGGGTCAAAGCCATGTCCGAAAGATAGCCATGTCCGAAAGATATGCATACCGCTTCAGGGCCCAGGTGATGAAGATCATCAGCAGGGCAAAAGCAAACCCCAGACCAATGATGATGCCATAGCCGAACCCTTGGGAGAGGGGTGCTGTGAATGTGACCGTGTCCGAGGACATGTTTGCAACGGGACAAACAAGCTTAGTCGTGGCTGTATGAGAACTGAGGGAGACAACAAACGAAGCCTGGGGCACAGGCAGGAACATATAGGGCGCCGGACCCTTGCAAGATGTCCGACCTCGCAGACACCCTGTTGATCGGCGGAATTGCCATGTTGAAAGGATGATGACAGATCCAATATCATTGGATCCAGGCAGTAAAGCCTGGGGGAAAATTTGGCTGATAAGAGCTACACCATGGCGGCCGTTTCGTAATGTGCTTTCATCAGACGAGGTGTAACATCAATTGTAAGCGAGGCCAGTATTCAGTCCAGTCAGCTCCATCATCGGGTTGTGCCGTAAACCATTGCATATCCACTTCGTTGCAACTGGTAAGCAAGGTGGGTTATCAGGCCCGGGCGTGTTATTGGCGAGCCGGAAACCGTTCTTATCAGCGGAGGTCAGCGCAACGACGCCCATTGGCCCGAGTGGCAGCGGACGAAGATAAGAAATCCAACATCTCAGATAAGGATGCCGACCACGCGATGGATTGGTGGGTTCCGGCGTGCTTCTTCGGTGCCAAGAGCCCCGTTTCGCATGGAGGGAACTTTTCATGATAGCGCTCTATCAGTTTCCTTACTCGATCTTGCCACTAATGCCTTGGGTATCTTCCCCACCGTAAGCCACGCCTTGGAAGCTGGGGAATATTCCATCTCCTTTTTGATTGGCCGATGTCAAGGGAATGAAGTATGAACCAAGATCTTGCTCTGCATCAGATCTCGGATGAGTGTGGGCAGGCAAATCCTTGCTTGTACCTACTAGCCTTGTTGTCCATGGACGTTGGTTGATTGCTTCAAGATTATCCAGCACCCTTGACGTACGCATGTGGTACACAGATGCCTCTGGTGATAACCTGGTCCCGATGTCAATGCCCTCCGTCCTGGATAAGACAAATTATTCTAGGTACAACTGGCTCAAGACTGCGGCACCTATATACTAACAATTTAGGAGGTGCATGTACCTCGCCAGAGACACCCAAAGCTAATACTGTAGGGCTTCCCAGATACGCTCATCAACCTATCTACACTGAATGGCGCTGCATTCACTTCCACACCACAAAGTTTCAATACTAAAATCTGCCTACTATATATCTAGGTTTATGGCAATGATGGTCTAGCGTCTAGCTGCATACTAGTTAACTACTCTCACTACTGCTGACTCTGACTCACGCCATCGAACTAGCTGTATACTACATCAGCACTAACCGAGCACCGAATCTATACAGCTATATATACATCCCACCACAACTAGAGCAACACCACATCCCAAATCTCCTACCACCACCACCACCATCACCACAAAAATGAGCACCACAATCTACCACGACGACCACCTCACCCTCACCCTCTCCACCCACCCAACAACCCGCGGCCACACGCTCGCACACCTCACCAACCCAGCCAAACTCCCCCTCTTCACCCTCCCCAAACCCACCTTCATCCAAACCCTCACCAAGCTCCGAACCCTCTCCACCACCCTCACCAAATACCACCACGTCCACCGCACCGCCCTAATCACCACCGGCGGAACCACCATCTCCCTCCTCCCCCTCCACGGCCTCACCCCAACCTGGACCCCAATAACCAACCCCTCGACCACCTTCCACGCCCACCCCCCAAACCACATAACATCCAAGAACGCCCCCCGCATGCCCGACCCCCTCCTCACCTCAACCCTCCACACCATCCTCCCATCCTCAAACCTCCCCCCCGACCCCACAAACCACAACTATACCTTCCACGGCCCCGCAACCGACACCAACCTCTTCGCGCGGATCATCCGAGGCGAGCTCCCGCAATGGCGCGTCTGGGAAGACGAACACCACGTTGCCTTTCTCACTCCGTTTCCTAATACACCTGGGTTTACGGTGCTAGTGCCGCGAGTTCATCTGGGGAGTGATATTTTGGGGTTGGAGAGGGCGGCGTTTGAGCGGTTGATGGGGGCGGCGTATACGGTGGGGAGGGTGTTGATGGAGGCCTTGGGGTTGAGGACGTGTGGGATGGTGTTTGAGGGGTTTGAGATTGATTATGCTCATGTTAAGCTGATTCCGGTCGCTGGGGATGGGGATGGGGATGCGGATGCGGAGGGAGGGGAGAGGGAGGTGTTTCGTGAGACGTATCCGGGGTATGTGAGTTCTTTGCCGGGGCCGGAGGTTGAGGATTACGGGGAATTGGTGCGCATGGCTGGGGAGATTCGGAGGTTGATTGAGGAGGAAGAGGTAGTGTAGTGTAGTGTAGACCTTGTTATATAAAACTCCCAGCTAAACTGGGCTACTGTGTCCATCAAGACTCATATTCCATTCACAAGCATATATTACACAAACGCATTTCTCACGGACGAAGCTCTCCATTAACGTTGATGGCCCATGTGCACGGCATAATCAAGCGACGATCCTTCCAACCTATTCTGCAGATAGATCTGGACCAGATTCAAGCACACCAATCGACATGTGCTTTAGCTATATCCCCCCACCGGCACACAGAAGAAAGAGGAGCAAGGGACACCAGGGGTATATGTATCGAAGGGCAAAAGATGGGATGATTGATTCGCAGGCTCGCCTAACCCCAAGCCGGAATCTCGCGCGACCCCATTATTCGACACGAGCCAGATAGATCATATCATATCATGTATGTAGGACGAGGAGACGGCGACTTGGCGAGTACAGAAGTCGCGTTTCAGCGACTTACGAGGAGAACTTGCGGGTGATCTTGGCAATGACTGCAGAGGTATGTTAGAGGTCACCGAAATCCATCTCCAGACAAGGCAAGTGCACATACCGTGAAGTCCAACAACGGAGAAGATGAAGCCCAGACTGAGAACCAGGACAACAACGGGGTCGACCCTCAAGCCGGGGCTCTCGTCAGTGTAGAGCTTGAGCATCGTGCCGGAGGAACCACCGGCACCGGCGGCGCGGGTCGAGCTGGGTCTGGCATTGCGGATGGACTCCTTGTGGTCAGCGGCCGCGCGGCGACGCAAAGCAGCCCGGGGACCACCAGGAGGAGTGGGAGAGGAGGGACGGTTGACGGAAGAGACGGCAGAGGCGCCGGTACCAGCGCCAGCAGACTTGGAGTCGGGGCCGGACTCAGCACCGGAGGTCAGGGGGGAAGCAGCACGAGGAGAAGCCTGGAGAGGGATCGAGGTCAGATGAGATGTTCCAGTAGGTCAATTGAGTGATAAAGAAAGCAATTGATTGCTGTGATGATCGGTTTTGCTTGTGGGGGATGGAGTCGCCGTCGAGATGACCAGTGAGACGATCGGCAGGATAAGGGACTCACCATTTTGAGATTCGAAGAACAGAATCAAAGAACGTTTAGCAATATTAAAGGTAGTGAGAACAAGAAGCAAGGAAATCAAGTGGCCGATGGACAGGGAAAGAAGTCGGCTGAGAAGTGGAAGAGTGGGAGACGCTGGCAGGAGGTCCGAGAGTGAGGGTCGCGAGATGCTACAAAGAGGCCACGCTCACGATTTCCAGCTGGCGCAAGGTACCGTCATGTACGGTAATGCCAAGGAGCTATCCCTAATGGTTTGTTGTATACTGCAACTGGGCTCCATTTTTCATAACAAGTCCGATGTGGTGTAACGGCTAACATCGCCGTCTTTCACACGGCAGCTCGGGGTTCGATTCCCCGCATCGGAGTTCTCTTTTTGATTTTTTTTCTTCCCATCTCTCCATCTAGATCAATTTAGCTAGCTGGACATAGTGGAATATCTGTTCCACTTCCACAATTCAAAGTGGAATCTTTAGATGTGTCACTCAGCCACCAGCCACTTTTCATTTACTACGGAAACCCTTCCGATCCTCCGTAATCCATTGATCCTGATAGCTCCCCACTGTGCTTCTACATTTGTGCAATGTGCATTGTGCAGCACTGCAAACTCTGTCCAAAGATCTAGATCCGAGGAGTTACCTGAGTGGTGACGTTTTCAGGCCTACCGACAGGTTCAAGGTTGTCGATTCCGTGGAGCTTGTAGAACTCGTTTTCGTGTGCTCCAGGCTAACCTTGGATCCAAGCTGAACTCCACTCCCCTTGAGGCAGGTCAGCTCCGACGAAATGATGCTTCGCGCCCGGATAATCCATTGCCACAAGGGGCAAACCCACGAGCCCTACGCCTCGCCGCCTGTCCCTTAAAACCATTGTGGAGTAGATGAGTCTCGCGCGGCTGTAATATCCATTCTTGCCGAACGGGCTCGCTCGTCTATCCACCACTCACGTGGAAGATACGCCCTAAAGTGAAACCCGCAGAAACCCGGTCCAGGGTGCCATCTCGAAATCACTGGCACTTGGCAGGCAGTCAAAAAGATGGGACAACCGTTGAAGGTTCTCCGGAGACCACGACCAATCAGAACAGTTGTTCCTCTCACCCGGTTGAAGGATAAGCACAACGGGTTGAACGCTCAGTGGACTTCAGAGTTCAGGCAAGGCTGAGATCGGCGTCACCATAGCAATGCCGTACTCGATGCTGACCGCTGCATGGATGGAGGGACATGGGCGTTTGTTATAAATGGCCGCTGTTTCAAAAGCGGACTAAACAAGAAAAATGGCCCTGTTACAGGCACATGGTGCACGCAGCAAGGGAAAAAGAAAAAACGCACTAAAATAGCCACCACGCTATCTCAGAAGTTCAGAACATTCGAAAGGGCCCCAGAACCCGTGGCTCCAGCACCTGGCATTGCATTGGTGCTCGCATACATGGGATGCCGGATTCCGGATTTCTCATCCACATCCCTTACTCTGGATGGACTCTGTAGATACACCATTGAGTCTAGCTAATTCGTCGGTTCGGCATCGATTCCGAGGATAGGGTTAGGTGAGTACGTAAACTAACCAGGCACAAGCATTTGGATAGCCCACAGTAGATTGTGTCTGCCTGGGGCCGATTGTATTTGAGGATCAATGGTCTCCTTTGCAAAGCTCATAGTCTGTGGATGTGAACAGGAATGGATCTCCCTGGCTTGAATCGAGGATGTTGACCATGGAAAGCTGTTGATACTCAGCGTCCTGTGTCAGGATCCAAGGAGTCGAGCCATGGATCTGGTGCGGTGTGGACGACAGCATTCTGGCCCCAATTCTGGCCCCCGTCAACTCCCCGGGCAAAAATAATTCAGCCGGCGCTAGTCTGGGTTGGGCGAATCCCGTCGTTCGCCCGTAAAATGGATGTTCCACCGGGGGCCGCTAATGGCTGCCTAAGACACCTACCGGATTAGTCATCGGACTGGTGCGCTTTTGCTTGTGGCTCCAGATTAGGAGTTCAACTCAACCATGGAGTGAGCCCAAGCTTGTGTGGGTGAGTGTTGTGTAGTCGTATTCGGTTCTCTGCATAGTTCATACTTGCTAGAACCTTATATATTCTTCTCTGCTGTCAATGGCAACCCTTCGCCATATTCAGGCAGCATCAAGATATGCCGAATCGTGACTAGGGAATCTTGTGTAATCTGTAATCGTCTAGGACAGAGTCATCAGGTCATTTGGACCAACAGAGATTGCACATCACAATAAAATTAGTATAGACAATGAATCAGACCTCAGACAGGCCCCCAAAGGCCCGAGTCAACTACACATGGTGTTCGGGCTACCGTTCTGGTAACGCGCGGCATTTATTAGAATTGACAATAATCGGAGTCCAGTTTCAAAAGGCAGCCGGGCATGGGTCCGACCCACTGCGACGCGACGATTCAGGAGACAATCGAGTTAGCCCCAGGCACGGGGTTCCGTCTGGTCGCCGGAAGAACAGCCACCAGACAGTAAGCATCACAACAAACACGAGATCGGGTGCAGTCAGCCTCCCCAAGTGAACAAGCATAACTAAAGGGAAGAGTCACGACGACCGGAGAAAATCTGGTGAAATGTCTGCAGTATACCAGAATACCGACCGAGAAGCGTCCAGTTCAACACTTACCAGTCCGCGGTCCAGGCACTCCGTAATTACCGTGGCTATATTAATGCCTCTTGGCTTCTTGGGAGAATCCCGTGTATAAGCCGGAGGGCATGATAACTAACCATAATCATCATAAATTTAGCAGAAATTGGGCCCGGGTGAACCCCCAGTCGCAGGTCCCAACACTGACTGGCCGTTAACCGTCTGCCAGAGTCCGGGTGGATGCCAACGTTGTCATGTAAGGTGGTTCTGGCGGTTTTGGCATATACGATCCTTTTACCCTCTCTGATTTTTGGGATCATCGCTGCTCTTCCCGCTTTTTCCCTTCCACTGCAGTGTCTGGACTCCCAGCTGAACCCTGGATGCCACATACGCTTCCCCCTCTCCCTCTCCCCTCTCCAGTCCATGAGCGAGTGAGTGAGTAATCCGTTTTATTATTCACGCCTCGGGCAAGGTTGACAGCAGCCTCCATTTTCCCTCTTGTCCCCATTCCATCCCACCCCCCCTCCCAGCCTTCGTTTTACACCTCTCACTTTTACCTTTCCCGACACTCGTTTTTCACCCTCTTCTTTTGGTTTCTTCTCCCTACGCCCTCTCTCTCTCCCCTTTCTCCCTCCCTCTCCCTCGCTCTCCGGATGAAGCTGGGCAGTTGTTGAGTCTGCAGGTGCTCAGCCTTACGCCAACAAAACCTACTCCAATCCCGAACCATCGATCACCGGACTGAGCCTCCCCGCCGAACACACGACATTTCTCACGCGGCTTAGCTGCCTCCAGCATCCTCCCAGGCTCCCCAAACCTGGATTTCTCATCCTCCGTGCTATCCTGGGGCCACTCTCCAGGCCAACACCCTATCCCGCTCGCCTTGTCGGCTCCTCCGAGTGTGGCTTGGTGTGGCTTATCCCTCCGTCGTCGAGTTGTCGTCCTCTCATAACCCGTCATATTCGAAACCTGACCTCCTGAAGTCTCCAACAACCTCAGAAATCAGGCCACGGCCCCAGCCACAGAGGCCGGTTTAGTCTTCCCTCCGCTTTGCGACCCCTTATCTTCTAGTCCTCTTCCTGCCAGTCTTTTCGCGGCCGTCGGGTGGTCGAACCGTCATATTGTATCCCGACCCCGACCCTCCGGCGGACTCTAGCTCCGTAACGGAGCACTTCGTCAAAATTTATTCGCACAATTCGCGGGCGTCCCTCCTCGGGGGCACCTTTGACCCATCGTTCAGACGCGGTTTCCGGGCCCGGGAAGGGTATACGAATGTTCCTCCGAATCCGCCAAAGCGACACAGGATGTATCGGCCAAATTCGCTGTGGACTTGGTCCTTCTGTATAGTTACCCTCGTGCAGACCATCATCACGCTTGCACTCGAGGCGTAAGTGTGACCCGCGGTGGCGCTGCATCGGATGAAAATGGTGGCTCATGCTGACGACCGCATTTTAGTTATGTTTTCGCCAACTTCCAGATCCAATTATTTCCGAAGGGCCAAGTCTCGACTGCATCGAAAACGGTTACCACTTTCCTCGCGCTCTACTGTTTCGGTTTCATCTATGAGTTGATCCTCGTTTACGATGCTCTGCGCCTCAAGAATACCATCCAAGTCATCGGGCTGTGTGTGTGTAACCTCGGACTTCTGATCTATGGAGCGGTGCAAGTGCAGCAGATCAAAGACTCCATCGAAATGCTGGTGGCTGAAAGCGCAATCACGGTCGATGTCTGGGGGGAAACAGAACCTTTCTTGATTATCATCCCATGCGTTGTCGCGATGGGTTCGATCCTCATGATGATTATCGCTTGGAAGCTCTACGACGAATTTGCATGGTCGATCTACAAACATATCAGCGCGGATCTGCGAATGAAGCGTCGGTACCTCACATATCAGGTACTCACAGCCAGTCCGTCGCAGTGGAACATCGAAACTAACAATCCCTAGATTTACATCGCCCTCCTGAAGTTCGATTTTTTCTTCTTCCTCGGGTTCACGGTCCAGTTCCTCGTGATCGTCACCAACAAGACCGACGTCGAATTCGGTCTTACCACCGCTGCTATCCCCGTTACCATTCTGATTCTCATCTGCGCTGCTATCTTCGTCAAGCGGGAGAGCTCAGTGGGAATGATCATCGTCATCGTACGTTCGACGCATGCCAGGGTTCGATATGTATGCTAACTGTCGCAGCTTCTGTATTTCGCCGCCATGGCCTATTTCCTGTTCAAGCTGGTCCGCATGTACCAGCCCGGGACCTACCAAGAATACCTGCCAGCCCGGCGGTCTTTGACGTTCTTCGCCGTCATCACGCTTCTCCTGATCGTCCTGACGATCATCAACGCCTGTATTTGCATGCACAATTTCCACAAGGGCCTGAAACAGCACGTATACAAGAAGAAGTCCCGCGACAAGGACGAGAAGACGACAGAGTTGTCTTCGAACATCTCGGGCCAGGTGCCGACTCGCATGATGATCGACTGAGCGACATGCCAGCCAACTTACGAGCAAAAGAAAAATATAATTCGGAAAACGGCAAATACGGGGACGAATCAGATTTCACCTACTGCACATTGATTTACGGAGCGATATATCATTTTTATACGTTAGCGAGTTGTGCCAACAGTTCGCCGGTAGATGGAACTACTTGGATAGTGAGATTGGGCGTGTTTCCGGGATTTACCATATGATACCTCCTACTGCGTTGCTCGGTTTTCTTACGAATCTTCGACTGTCTTTCCTTGTTCATTTCCTCGGAGTTTTGCCTGAGAGGGCTGCCCATCCCCCGATCCCGTTCTCGCTCAATGGCGCGCCGCGTCTCATTGATGACATTTCTTACTGTTTCTATATCCTATTATATCTCGATTATGTGAATATCACGACTTTGCATTGTACTGTATTAATTGTTGGAGTTAGGAATAATCAGATGTACAGACATACCTCCTCCCCCTCTTCCCAACTCGATGACTTTCAATCCAATAAACTAAAACACACCAAATCCTCCCCCAAAAAAGAAGGGAGAAGGAAAAAGAAAAAGAAAAAGAAGATCTCCGATGCGGGGAATCGAACCCCGAGCTGCCGTGTGAAAGACGGCGATGTTAGCCGTTACACCACATCGGATTGTTGTTGCATGTTTCTTCAAACATACTCCTAACTACTCCGTAGAAGATTTACATTGCGACCAACCAACTTCTAATCCAACAATCCATCTATAACATCCATGTTCAGTCACGGCTACATAACGGAGATAGATTTGTTGATGGGTTTGTACTGTTGATGGGTAGCTGAGTCATAGAGCAACTATACCGAGTAGTAGTAGTAGTAGTAGTAGTAGTAGTAGTAGTAGTACTGTATTCATGCATCATGCATGTGCCCGTATCTACTTCGTACCCATCCCGATAAAATATTCCATGATCGCGAAGGCAGTGGCCTGTAGACAAGAAACGAGATTTAGCCAAGTGGAAATGTTATGACTAGGTGATAGATAAAAGAATCAGTTTTTTTTTTTTTTTTTTTTTTTACTCCTAGATGGTTGAATTAGGGATGTTTGGATTGGTGGGTGAATGGATAAGTAAGGTGATATTCTCTATCACGTGGGTATGTAGGTGGGTGGATGGGTGGGTGGTAGGTTTGTTCGTACCTCGCGGGGGCGGATGCAGGAGGGTCATCCGAGGAAAGGTTATCTATCTATATATTTGTATCTATAACTGGAAATCGAGGCAGGAGGTAAGGGGGGTGTGTACTGTAGGTGTACTGTACCTTGTGCGGATGCATGGGATGTTACCTAGTTAGGAACTACTCCGTATTCACCCAGGTATTGAAGGGAGGGAGGAGGCTGACTGTGTGTGCCGAGAAGGGATTTCGGGCTATTGATTAAGTAAAGAGTTCGACATAAAATCAACACCCTTATAACTAGCTACCACAGAAAGAAATATTCAAATTAGTATTAACAATAAAGCCAAGCCAAGTATATCCGAAACCAGCTGTAACTACACTAGTCCATCAGAAGGAGCAGTCTGGTCCAAGCACAAAGATCTAAGTCCGCTTCCCCCACTTCCTCACCCGGAAGATATAGTACAACGTGACCGCACAGGCCACGTTGAACAGGAAGTAGCACCAGAAGATGCCATAGTCTCTCCAGCGATCTTTCCAGTAGATCCAGCGCAGGTCTAGGTACTCGTCGCCGACGGTCATGGAGCAGTACTCGCAGGCAGAGGTGGCGCTGGCGTTGAGCAGCTTTCCACCGGCGGCGTCGATGTACTTCTGCATGTACTGTCCGCAGGTATAGCCGGAGGGCGGGTCAAAGACGCTTAGTTCTTTGGTGCTGCACTCCACCGGGCGGCCGTGGAGGATCGTGCTGCTGACCCCACCCACGTAGTAGGTGAAGGGGGACACCCGGTACATGAAGATCCAGAAGCCCGGGAGGTCGCCGGGGGGCTGGAGGATGCCGTTGAAGATGAAGGAAAAGGCGAACATGAGGATGGCGCACATGGCGGCCAGCGGGGCGCCGGGCATTGCGGCGATGACGAGCTGGCCCACACTGCCGGCATACAAGAAGAATTGGATGATGAACAGCAGGACGAGGGCGCGGCGTTCGGCGTCCTGACCGGTGCCGATCACCGCCCAGTAGAAACAGGCCCAGGAGCAGATCCCGAGGAGGATCTGAAAGGGGATTTCCACGATGATCTGGGAGAGAATGAACACCTTCCAGGAATAGACGCGCGACGGCCGCTCCCGGACTTCGTAGAGGTCCCGTTGCACGACGAATTTGGGCATGATCTGGTTGATGAGCGAGGTGAAGATGGTACAGAGGAGGAAGACGCTGAAGAGCGCATTCTGGAAACCCTGTTGGCTGTTGTCGGCCTTGTAGAACGAGAAGCCGATGAACAATCCCGACATGATGCCTAAGGCGTACTTCGAGAATACGTATTCCGGCTGGCGGTAGTACTGTTGGAAGACCCGCTGCAGGACGTAGTAGAGTTGGCTATACAACGGCATCGCGAACTCGGAATGGACGTCATCGTCATTCTGGGCTTGTCGCTCGGGCTGTTGCCGAGCATCTTGGAGGCGTTCGACTTCGGCAACAACTTCTTTGTACTCGGGACTCTCGTTCCAGGTCTTGACCCAATCAAATCCATCGGACGATTCCCCGGAGACGATGTCGAGCATATACTCTGCCGGGTTTTCGATATCCCCACAGCGTCTCGCCCCGTTGCGCTCAAAGTAATCCAACAGCATGCGAGACTGGTTTCCAATATCGCCGAAGTAGACCGTCCGGCCCCCTTTCGCTAGGAACAACAGGCGATCGAAGGTCTGGAACAACATGGCACTCGGCTGATGGATGGTCGCCAGGACCGCCTGGCCATGATCCGCAAGCTTGCGCAGCAGCGAGCAGATGGTCCACGAGCTCTGAGAGTCCAGGCCGCTGGTGGGCTCATCGAGGAAGATCAACAAGGTGGGTTTCGCCGCCAGTTCGACGCCGATGCTCAGTAACTTTCTCTGCTCCACGTTCAAGCCTTCTCCGAGTGAGCCCACAACGGCTTCGGCGAAGTCTTGCATGCTGAGGACCTTGATCACCTCTTCCACATAGGCGTACTTTTCTTGTTTGGACACCGATGGGGGCTGGCGGAGCATCGCACTGAACCGGAGAGCCTCGCGCACCGTGGTGGTCTCTAGATGGATATCCTGTTGCTGCACATATCCAGTCTCTCGGGGAAAGTTAGGTTCTAAGGCTCTCCCGTTGACCAGAATATCGCCGGTGACCACGCCGATAGACACTCGCTGGGCGAGAACATCCAACAGCGTCGTTTTGCCGGCTCCCGAAACGCCCATCAATGCGGTCAAGGTACCGGGCTTCACCCACCCATTGACGTTATCCAGAAGTCGTCGAGTGCCCTCTTTGACGGGAATGTCATAACTGAGACCTTTCCAGGAGAGGATGTCTTTCTGCTCCGGGAGATGGATGGCGTCCACATTGTCCTGCAATCCAGGCTTGTCCGGGGGGGTCTGTCCGTCTTCGACCCCATCGGGCGACAGAAGAAATTGCGGGACATGACCGGGGCGGAAGACCAAGGTTTCGGCTTTGGAGGTCTCGCCCGAGTTGTATTCCGACAGGAGCAGATAGAGGCCGTTGAACACGATCATGAAGGCGAGGACGATGCCGTAGTTCCGCCAAACATGGCTGTAGGAGTATTGGTAGTTCTGCTCCAGATACGCGTCCCCGGAGACGAACCGCTGTCCGGCCACCGCACCCACGGTGGAACAGACAAAGGACGAGCCCGTGGCGTAGCTGGGAATCACCGAGGCACATTCAAAGTTCCGGCCATGGAACTCATTCGCCATCAAGGCCTCAAAGACATAGAAGATGGGGTTGATCCATCGGATCCAGGAGAGCCATGGATGCATGGACGGCTGCGGCAGGACGAACCCCGTATAGACCACGATGCACAGGACAAAGATCCCGGCCATCGCCAAGGCCTGGGTGCTCGTCCGGGTGGCGGCCGCCAGGCTCCGGAAGATCCCCGACATGGCCACGACGGCCGTCAGCAGAAAGATATAGAAGATGAAGAACTGGGAGGGCTCCCGTCGCAGGTTGGACATGAGATACAGAATGATACTGAAGATGGAGCAGCGCAAGAACTTGATCGGCAGATCCATGATCAGACTGGCCAGGGCCTCCGTGAAGGGGTGGACGAACGCATAACTGGCGTGCTTCTCCGCGACGGGTCGCTGGGTGTATAACTGAATGATCTCGTTGAGCGTCACCAAGGCATTGAACAGCACCGCGAAGTACAACACAGCCCCCTTCTGGAAGAAGGTCGCCGTGGTGGGAGGAGACTTGAAGAAGATCGAGCCGATGACTAACGACAGGACGAGTTGCGCGACCACCGTCGACATGGCCGTGGGGATATCATTTCGGAGTCGCTGGAAGGCTCGGCGGAGGCAGAGGCGGACTTGCATCGGAACCGAAAGAAGGTACGGGCTGCTCGGCCGGGTATGACGGGCCTGCTGTTCTTCATGATGGGCCTTGAACATCTTGGCCTCGTCAGAATTCGGGGGATGACCGCGTTGGTATGCCTCGATCTGAGCGCAGAGTTCCTTATACTCGGGGCTGCGCTTCCAATATGCCGCGAACTCCTTCGCCGTGCGTGGCACCTGGTCCGCCATATCGGGACGGGCTCGTCGTTCGCTTGGGTTGGTCACGGAGGCCAGGAAGTCACCGCTGACCTGGCGTTCGGGCAACTCCCAGCCCATGTCTTCGAAGTAACGCACGGCCCGATCCCGGCGGCCAAAGTAGATCTCCTGGCCCTCGTAGAGAACGATGACTTTGTCGAACAGATCGTACATCGATTGAGACGCTTGATAGGCGGCGACCGCATGGCACGATTGACCCATGTCGGCAGCCAGGCGGAGGGACTTGACGAATTTCAGAGCGGAGGCCGCATCCAGGCCTCGCGTGCTGTTGTCCCAGGCGCCGATCCGACATCGGGAGAGAAACATCTCGGCGATGCTGACCCTCTTGCGCTCTCCACCGCTGACGCCGCGCACAAAATTGTCTCCCACCTTGGTGTGATAGGTGTTGGAAAGGCCAAACACGGCCAGCACGACCTGCGTGAGGGTTTCCACGTATTCGGAGCGTGTCAGGCCCTCAATGCGTTTCTGGGGCGTCCGGGCGTGCGCGGCGAACGAGAGCGTTTGGCCCACCGTCAGATGCGGGAAATGTTGATCGACTTCCTTGTTGTAAGCCACCTCGCCCCGGTGGTGCTTGATCATGTCTTCATATTCGATCCCCTGGTAGTGGATGGTACTCTGCGGTTCGAGCGTCAGGCCCCCCAGATGGCCACAAAGGGTCTTCAGAAACGTCGTACAGCCACTCCCCGGACGGCCGAGGACCAGGAGGAGTTCGCCCCCTTGGAGCAGGCCATCGAAACTGCGGAGGATCTGCCGGGGAGGAGGGGCAGCCTGCCCTGAGAGCGCCCGTGCAATGCCGTGAAAGGGAGCTGCTAACCGGGTCAGGAGGGTTTCCTGAATCTGCAGCGCGGAGCCTGATCCCGACACGCACAGATTCGAGAAGACCACACCCTGCGCCTGGGGGACAATGCCGGATTGGTCCAGCGCCTTGAGAACGAGCTTTGCCCAGCGACGATGATCAAACTCGGGGCTGGTGGGATCCAAACGGGGGTCGTCCCTCTCATTGATCGTAGCCGAGAGGGACAGTCTTCGACCCGTTCGGCTGGAGGCGATTCGGGTCAGGTTTTGGTGCTCTCGTTCCTCTTCCTCCTTCGATGAGGTTGACGGCGCGCCACGGGCCTCACACGGCTCGTGGATGCTGAGATCCTTTTCGTCCATCACCTCGGTCGAGCGTACCAGAAGCCCTTAGGAGGTCACCACGAGAGAGGGAACAGAGCCAGAAATGCGGATTAGAAAGAACACAATGTATGGGGTACCCTTCACCAATAAAGCCACCCAAGACCCATCAAGAGAGGCCCCAAACCGGGAGATAATTATTGAAAAGCAAGGTCCACTCCATATTCTGCGTTTTCCCGAAGCGCATTGGGCCTGATAGTCCTTATTCAAAATAATGTTGCTTATGCCGTGGCCCAGCACCGCCGGGCGATCTGATCCTCGGGGATGCATGATCGAGACGGCTAGCGGAAGAAGTTCCCACTCGAACACGGCGCAGATCAGCATGATTATTGGATCGAGCTGACCATCCCATCCCATGCTCTCAGGCCAACCGGCGTGGGTCGCCCTCAGCCATACTGCTGGTGATTCCGACTGGTTTGCCCGAGCATTGTCATGGTCGTGGGCAACTCACATACGTCGGCCGTGACACGGTGCTATCGACGACGGAGCCATGAAGCGTCTCGTCCCGGATCGGTGGAGCTGGGGGGCCAATTCCATCTGGAATCTTGCGAACGACCGACTTGCCCGATCGAGCTTTGGGAACATGCAGGGGTGACTGCGTGAACAGGCTGTAGCGCCACGGTCAGTCAACGGACGGAGAATCTGGACGAACGGTCATTCGCCACCTTCTAATCGGGTTGCTTTCTATGACCCGTAGTCATAAAAGGCCCGAAAAAGCAACTTCCAGGATACAACACGTCATTTGGTAGTTCTGCAGCAGCCTTATCCCATCGGAGGCACCGAGGACTGGTAAGTTGCTCGGGAGAGTCGCCCTTGACGGGACGCGGCCCCCCCGATCACCGACACCAACGCGGACGATCAGCGCCCCGAGGCCCCGACGGCCGCTGATCAGCCATCCACTCGAGCTTGGTGTCCAGTTTGGGCTCAAACTCAGCACAAAAGATACTCCGGGTGTTCTGGGTCCACTGGAAAGATTGTCTTGCGAATGTACGTCGAGGTATGCCGATCTCACGGTCTTGGGGGAAGTGCTCCGGGGACCACTTTGACAGATTGACTAAGGTACTCCACAGGGAAGGTTTCTCTCCAGTACTATTACTATCTATCTATGGCCGATCGGGTCTTCCGCTTGCTGCCGAAGAGTGCACCCGGGGAATTACTGGACGACGTAAGGCTAATAACACATGGAGAGTGGTCGACCTCAAACGCGACGTGAAACGGTCGGGATGGCATGTTCAGACAGATCAGGGTGGTTCCATACGTGATGGCTGGATCGGTAGCTAACGAATGACACAGGTTGGATTCATGTTCGGCCTCACGACAAACAGAACAGGCAGATCCCATCGTTCGGCATCCCCAGCTCGAAGACGCGAGCACGTGAATCTGAGTGATTCTCAGTGGGATTGCTAGACAGCAAGCTTAGCCAGGGTTGCTCTCACGAGACGTGGTGGAAAAGAGATCTCACGGTCTGCTGGAGGTCGTCCATAGCGGCGTGGCCCCCCTTGATCTTGACCCCATTGGCCTCCCCCTGGACCGAGAGGTGTTCGTTCGCACCTGTGAGACGCTTGAACCCGGGTCCGGCATCTGCGATAAAGACCGGGATTACCTTTCCGAGAGCTTTGTTGAAGACGTGACCGATGAGAGACATCTTGCGTTGGCAAAAGATATAGGTGGATATTGAGGGACTGGGGGAGTATGTTGATGCTTCTCTGGGGATGGAATGCGTCCTTATATCTCCTCATATTGGTATTTGACGAGGTAGGCTGGAGTCTTCCTCTATCTGAACAGAAGTTCATTTGCTGCACGCACCCTTGGAATCCCGGTGTACACAAGCCATGGGCTGTGCCGTGACTGACGGGAACGAGTCAATGTCCTTTGCCTGTCAAGAAGGCTTTGCATACTTCAAATGGGAAGTTTTGGAGGCGTGTCCTGTGAAGACTTACTATCGGTGCAGTATGACCATGGGTCAATGCACATCCGTGATCGTTGAAGGCGTGATGCTGCAGTAGACGGTATCTGGAGACCTACCGAAGGGATCTCCAAGTCGAGCAGCTGATTAAATGGACGCAATGCACCAATGTGGTAAAAGAGTCCATGTAATTGAGTGATATCGGGGCCAAATAGCTCACAATCGCCAAATTAACTAGATCATACGCTAACAACCTTCTCGAGTGCCTTGAGCTCCTTTGACGTCAAGACAGAGAAGGCAGAGGGCCTTTGAACCGGGTCGACTACCAACATAAACCGCAGAAGATCTCGTAATTGCTCCGGAATTCCCACCCTTTGCAACTCCGCATCCAAACCTAAGATAGCCTGCAGCTCTGGAGCGCCTTCCCCAAGTCTATGGGCCGAATCGAGTGCAGCTTTAAGCAAAGGGTCATCAATCGTGTCCGAACCTGGAGTTTCCCAGTGGGGAAAGAGACGCTTGATCTTCGCCATGCACCAAGCTTCGTTAATGAAGGGATGTGGACTGTCCCACACCCCAAGAATGCCAGGCTTGATCCAGCAGAGCAGCATGGCGGCAATTGCCCAGACCCCTGATGGCGCCGTGCATGGCTGACCTAGGAAGACTTCCGGCGCGCGCATGGCATATGGCTGTGCGTTCCAACGACTGCCGATCGGCATCACTACAGCCCGATTAATACACCCATTTGGATCGATTGATGCTGACTTACCGAGTCCCAGGTCTCCCACTTTCGCAGTCACGCACGGGCCTCGCATTGACTGTGAAGTGACTTCTAGTGCTGGCAAGGCTTCTCAGCATATTGAGTCTGTGCACGGAATCCCCCACATCAACATCTCCCAAAGATAGTTTAGTTTCAATTGTCGTGGACAATCGAAACTAAGCTACATTGGAATAGTACTTTGGATTCGATAGAAGAGGGGGCTCTATGGCCACCAGCTGGAGAGTGACGTTCATTATGACAGACGACCTCTGGTCCTCTTTCTCTGTATCGAAGCCAGGAGACATTCTGAAGCATATTGTCGATGTTATTGATCACCATTCGGATTCGTCGCCATTGGCTCGTCGGTTGCTGAGCAGAAAACACCCCTCGGTAGTTGAGTAAAAGGCAAAAGAACTTGCGGATAAAGCCGCCGTTGCGGACGGGACTGTCATATCGTGACCTGGCCTTCCAAATGAGCCTTGGTGATGACTGGCGTAAACATAAACTGAAGCTTCAAGGTGATCGATGGCTATTCTTGGAAATTGGTTTCGAGTATGAGATGACTTGGAGCATAGTGATCGACGACTCGGATGGAGCAAGATTGCACTCAAGGCTGCGACGCCAACAGATGTGGCCCCAATCCGTGGTATGAATGAGGCCAAGACAAGAAGTATTGGCTTCGCCATACTCTTTGTTCTTGAGGTTGCCTCGATGTGATGGAGAGTCTGGTAGGTGTCTTGGTATAGCCATGCGAGACGCAGTCAAGAACATGTGGGTCTTTCGATTTTGTACACAGTACTCCGTACGGAGTGCACCCTGTCTTTCAGACATCGCATCGCAGATCTCGGGCTGCGGTTCAGTGGACCCGCGGTGTCCATGGGTAAAGTTCGAATGCTGGTGGGGTGGGTTGAGTTAGAGTCACGGTATTCTCATCAGATTTAGGGCCAGTATAGATAAGTGCGTTGCAATCAATGGAAGATACTACTTAAGTAGAATCATCGAAGGTCCTTCTGCCTCAGAAGTGGGCCGTAGGAGCTAGCAGTGGCTCACTGAAGTTGAACGTAATTCCTTGCTGGCTGGCTTGAACAACTCGATTTCCAGCCCGCGAGACAGTTTCAGTATCATAAAATCCCTAACAGTAGGTCATCCACGACCCAGCCACCGAATAGGGTGCTCAAAGCATGAAGCCTAACATGTGGCGCGATGTCGAACTCTTGTGGTGAGTTGAAGGCTGGAGGATGCAAGGCATAAAGAAGGATGAGCGCCTCATTCAGTAGCCGAAGCATATCGACCCAGCCAAGGACAATATACATCTGAAAACAAGTCCACTGAGCCACCCAAATCCATCCAACCCAGTAAACCATCACCTCAACAGCATCCTCAAAACATCAAATCCCATCCCCTCCCATCACCATCAAGCAAACCGAAACCAAACCCCAAACAAAACAAACAAACACCTCCCCAACCGGCAATATACCATTCCCACCCAAACCAGCAAGCGGTCAAGCCCACTACCCAACACCCCCATCATAAAAAAACTACCCACCACTCCCTCCTTTCCTCCCCTTTTCCTTTCCCCCCTCAAGCGCCATCCCCACCAATGCTGCGTTTCTTTGCTACACACGACAAGAGCTCGCCCTCTTGTCCCGTTCTCGGCTCTGATCCAATCACCCGAGAACGCACCCCCTTGCAAATGAGAAATTCGGAGGAATCTTCACCCTTTCTGCACCCGCCATTTGCTTCGAAAATCCTCGTGATTTCCGGGCAAATGGCCGGTACTGCCCGCAAGGGCTTGGTGTGATTAGCACCTGCAATCGGCATCAGAAACATCGGGGCGTAAGGCCGATGCGGTTTTCGGATCGTGCTCGGTTACCTTATGGTTTTTTCCCTGTGGGAGAGTCGTTGCGAAGATTGTGTGTGCGGGTTAGACGCCCGTATGACACTTTAGTGCAATACGCAGCATGCCGTTCTCTCTTCCCTTTTCCCTCCGGGGAGGGGGAGGAGGGGAAGGTATCATTCGATTCCGATTATTCTGGTGGGGGTGGCGCCTCATCTTTTTTTTTGCAGGTTAGTTGGATCCCTTCTTTCTTTTGTCTTGCTCTGTTGTCTGGGGTTGTTTGGCTCGGGGCATGGGTTAGGTTGTTGTGACTGGAAAGGACTTGTTTTCCCTAGCTAATTGTTGGGGTTGGGCCTGTATGGATCTTCTGTATGGGTTCTTGATAGGTTCGTGTTGATGGGTTAGGGGTTGGGATATATGGGGTGAATAGGAGACTGGTATACAGCTGTTGTGGCATAGTTACTCCAAATGAATTGCAGCTCCATCCCCAATATCTTCTGCTTCATACGTCATGTAGATCTATTGTAACCAAAGGAATTTGAACACGTTGGTCGCTTAGCATCTAGCTGGATATTATAGAAGAACACTGAACACTGCCCGAGAACATTCGGATATTTTCAGAAGATTTGAAATGAAAAGAAAAAGAAATCGTTGCCTCCGTGTTGCTCCACCCGTCATTATGATCTTGCTCTTATGTTCGTTTACTCCTCATCGCCGATCTAAAATGCATTAGTACTTTTCTTCAAACTGCGGAACAAATTCAGCGTACCTTGGGGGCCAGGTAGAATCTCAGATGACCGCTACCAAGGCCATACTCAACGAGCAGGGGCACCTCCTGCGACAAGCAGAGAGTGACCTTGCTCGACAGGTTGGTGGCCTTGCAGAAATTGACGAGGTATTTCAGGGAGAAGGTGAGGGCGACGGGTTCGCTGAGGGCAATGGAGACGTTCTGTTCGGGCTTATCGACGTTGGTGTGTTGACGGACAGTGACGGAGCCACTGCCAATGTCACCCTGGCAGGAGAACTTGACGCCCTCCTTTGTGGCCTCGATCACAACTAAACCAAATTAGCAAGATGCAGCGAAACATTTGGAATCAACATACCCGACTCGGAGAGAGCGTTCAGATCTCTGCAAATGCGCTGGAACTCTGCCGACGGCATCTCTACCGTAGCAGCGTACTCTGTCTCTGGGATGGCCAAGTGCTCCTGGTCAATATCCATCAATTTGATATCGTATTCACTGAGTCTGTCTGTCTCGGCACTCTCGAACATCAAGTTGACGGCATCGGGGGAGTCCTCCGCCTTGAGAGTGAGGATGTCTTCGTTCTGAGCAGCACGCAGGACCTTGGTCAGGGAGACCAGGTTGATACCGAGGGCAATGTTACGGTCGCAACGGTAAGGGGAGAATCCCTCAGCCTTGAGCATCATGGACACGAGGGCAACATGGGAGTTGTCCATGGCCTGAAGTGAGATACCAGAGTCATTGCAGTCGAAGTTGCAATCCTGGACCAGGTCTTTGATGGCGTCGACGACCTGGAAAATCCAATGTCAGTAGCCGGGCGGGGAGATTTCTGGTGGAATTGAGGGAGACGCACGCGCTTGAGAAGGCTGGCTTGTTCTAGGCGAGCTTCCAACACTAGAATAGCAGTCAGAATGCGGTCCTAAATGAGTCGTAGCTTTGCGGTGCTCACTTTTGATGTGATGTGTAGATGCGGTGAGAAGCTATGGATGGAGGAGGAAGAGGTGGACGAGACCAGAATCTGGAGCAAGAGCTGGTGATTAGAGGTAAATCTGGGGTCGTGAAGGTTGGGAATGGTAGAAGCTAACGGAGGAATTGGAAGGATAGTCGCGTGTCCGCAGTTGAGTGAATTTATTGAGGGACTCGCAGTGCAGCGAATTCGCGTTCGAGGGTTTCATTAGTGGGGAGGCACGCGTTCGGGTCGCGTCATTTTCTAGGCTGATATCACCCTTTGCGGCTAGGCGGCTGCCTGAGGCTGGGACCGTACCTGTTGATGCCTGAGTAGTTGCCTGGAGCGTGAATGCAACCATGCCACATTGACAGGATTAGAAAGTTATATCAGAACCCTCTGACAGTATTTATGCAGGTGAATGGCATGTAGTAGGATAAACTGACTAAAAATCAAGTCCAATTTCATGCCATTATGGAACAATGCTAGTATCAATAGGACAGAATGTAGATGAAGGAATTAACATGAATCCATGACCAATAATATCAGCTCTTCTGTAGATAGGCCTCTATGGCACCGACTTTTGCGCTTCCACTAAGGAGAAATCGCAGCAGTCTTGCCAAAGCTCGCACAGCTTCTACCCAATCTTCTTTTAGACTTAGATTATGACCCCGTGTGAATTTCAAGTCAAAAACCTCATGGTCAGAGCATCCTTTTGCATGCACCCGAGATATTGTATCAGCTCGAAAATGGCCGTGCGCAATGTGAAGATAAAGCCCGTGAAATCCAACCACAAAGACCTCCTCGTCCTTGCGGCCTGCGCTGCGGTCTTTTGCAGACAGATTACTGGCAAGCTGCCCCAGCATAACGCTCAAGGTCTCTTCGAGATATTCGGACCAGGTTTGTCTCTCGTACCACTAGGCATGTTAGCTATAGTCCACCAGATGAGGCCACGCAGTCCATCGGTGTAAAGCACACGACTTACCCCAGGAAAGGATAATATAGGCACAGGTGTGTCTTTCACATCGACGGTAATAGCCCCTTCTATCTGAGTAGCATACCGTTGACCATCAATCACATAAGTCTGCCTTGCTTTTGCTTTATGGAAGCTTTGTGGCCGTTAGTTAGGAGGAATCGGGGACCAAGGAAAACCACTTACCTCACTTTCGGACATTGTTCAATGCCATCTTCAATAATAAGATAAATGGTACTCATTAATAATTTCAGCATAGTGCTCTGCGACCGTATCAAATGCCTGGACCTGTCTCGTTGAGGCGCCTTCCAGCTTCTTCTAGGCAGAATGATCACCTCCCTCGCTCTCAGCACACTTGCGACTCCACCTCTGCTTTGCTCTTCCAACTCAGCAGCATAGGAACAAAAGTAAGAAAAGAAATCCCGAAAATCGCTCTCTTGTCTTGGCCAATCTAGTATGCAATCTTCTGTCGATGTAGAGGCATTGTGGAATACCCAAGGTATCAGAGCCTCCACCTCCTGATCTTCATCCCATATTCATCAGTAAGCATGCTCATGGGGCAGCCGAGATCATCATACCTTCAACTTCAGGCTCAATAGTTCTGGGAATCAGTCTGTCGTATTCAACGATTTCGGAGTTGATGATCACCGACATGTTGTGTAGAGGTGTTGTAATGGGACTGAAGCATTGGTGTAGCGGCCCCAGGTAATATGATAGTGTACAAGACCGGGGTAGGAAGTGTTCGAGGGGGTGACGCTGTTCAAATAGATAGTGTGTTGAGAGATCAAGAAAGGCCTCAGGTAGTACCAGTAGGCATTGGCCCAGGCAGAAGGATGGAATGCCTACACGGTATTTATAGGCGTCAGTTACAAGTAGGTTAACCAATTGGGCATGCTTGTTTTGCTGCTTCACTTCTTGTACAACAATAAAAATTTAGAGGGCTGGACTGAGCCTGATTATGCTCTGCATAAGAGGTACCGCAGTGGACTGCCTGGGAAGAAGAGTCACTCAGAGCGTGTAGTGAATGACTGCCCATTGGGCTCTTATGAACAGCCCCGCTTAATCATCACCAGGTCCGAATTCATATGAATGTATCAAAAAGCGATAGATAATGGTTCACTTTTCACAACGGCACAATGATGTAAATCAAACTAATGGTCAAGACCTTAGTCCATGATTAGTCCATACCTTCTTGATAGTAGGGCTGTAGGTTTCCTATTCACATTTAAGGCTCACCCACGTTTACCAATGTACTACAAATCAATTTCGTTGACGTCCAGTCACCCTAAAAAACAAAGGTTTAGCTCAATACAGGTTCAATTTAAGCCAATTACGCTAGAATGTAGAATATGTACACAAGGCTGAGTATACAGGACAAACGAAATCAAGAGGCAACTGCCAACATCGGCAAGCGTAGTGAGCATACAGAAAAACAAGCTGAAAGTGAGTCAAAGAAAGAACATAGTATACAGTATCAACGATTGTAAGCCACCATGTGGTCCTCCAAGGGACAGGGGTAATAAAATGACCAAGCTGAGATAGAATGCCGTAACGCCGCTGACACCGGACCGCTCTATACATTTGTGGGTATCAATCTGCATGGTTGCTGAGGGAGTTGGTTTCCGGCTCAAGATGAGTGAAGCTGGGGTGATTATATGCGTGGAGAAGAAAAGGTGAGGAAATTCGGGTATCGAGAAATGTGAAGATGGGAGGATCAAATGTCGGCGGTTCAAATGCTTGTGACACGCTTCGCAGCAATAGTTGTACGAGGTCGCTGCTTGATGACCATTTCGAGCTCCTTGAGCATTGTCGTATTGGCATCAGTGCGCTCTCGAGCAGCTGCTTGTCGTGCTCTATCTTCCTTGACGCGCGCAATTCGTTCCTCTCTTGTTAGAGATGCTCGTTTATTCCGAGCCGGAAGAGCCACCGCTTCAAAGATCTCTTCCTCGTCATCCAGCGTGTGGATGATACTAGGATCGGAATTCTCCCCGTTCAAAGCTCGGAGGGCGTCCGCAGGGCTGCCCTCAACCGCGGTAGAACCTCCGAGGCTGGGTGTGGGTGACATTGGGGATTTCATCACGCTCGATGGCCGCGAATGATCTGTGCTGGAAGGTTTATCCAGGCTACTCATCAATGCAGTCTTGCCGGATTCCCACTCCTGGAGAAGACCTCTGATATCCGCCCCAATCGATTCATACTGGGGCATGAGGCTTGCCTCAAATTCACCAGCATCTGGCCGCTCGAGATTGGAACTGGATGCCTCTCTGAGGATGTGCATCTTTGCGTGAAGTGCACGGACCCCCTGGGAAAGTGAATTGATCCTTCGGTATTGCGCGCGGAGATTGTCCTTGTTAGGCGAAGCTGTCGGTAGCGGGGAAGGCGGGATGGCCTCACCTGGAGTAATGGTTAGCTTTGGCAGAATTATCTTGAACGTTTGGCACTTACGATCGTCCTCGTTGAGGATACTGGTCATCTTATGGATGTTCTCGCCAGTTACATGAGCCAGGTCCCGCATCTGCTCAACAGCCGCAGTCCATCTTGCAATGTCGGACCCGCCGCCATCGGCACCAAGAGCTAAAAGGCAGCAGAGAATACTCTTTCTCACGATGTAGAGTCTTCCGAAAAGTGTGCGAAGGGCGCGTAGGGAGTATTGATCTTCGGTGGCTCGCTCATTGAACGCTAACTCGGCCTCGGCCAGCTCCTCCTCCGATACGTCGTAGATATCGTAGTATCTGGCGAGGTTTGTGTTGTCGGTAAGTGGCCGGAGGATATGCTGTGCTCGAAGATACCGGCCCAGCATGAGATAAAACGACTCCGACACGGTTCGGCGCAGTCTCAAGCATCGTCGCGTTTGCGTCTGGTCTTCGAGTCTGCTGATTGGGGGCAAAGGTGTGCTTCTACTCAATAATTAACTCCGAAGCACGAAATGACAGCATGGAGGAACGTACATGCGGTAGCCTCTTGAGACCAGCTCAACTTCCTGTATAAACACAACTGATGCCGAGGCGGCAGAGTCGAACCCTTGCGCGTTGCCAATGAATGTCACGGCGGCATCGACGGCTTGATGACGTAGATACTTGAGCCATTGTCGCTTCGCGAAAGCATAGAACAGCACTCCAATAACCGGCACAAGAACTAGTAGAACCCCGACCTTCCGAGGATTGAGACCCGACGATGTTCGCGACCGGCTCCAGTGCAGCAACCAAGCGATGGAGAAAGACGTGGAAGCCGTGACCACAGCCCCTTGTATGCCAAATGTGGTGGAGATCGATGGAAGGTCTGCTGGGAGGGCCGTGGACATGACATCTGCGGCTGATGTATAGGAGGGCGCGCTGTGCTCGTTCAGCAGCTGAGACGCAACGATGACATAGCCGAATTGTTCCAGGAATCTCTCGTTGTCGCTTCGTCCGATGCGCGAATTCAGCGCAGACTGTATTAGATAAAAACCATTAATATGGTCTCAACAGAATATAGCTGTATGAAACATACCGTGCAAGCGTCATAGAGTCGTCCCAACGCTGCCCTCTGCCGCGAGACTTTCCGTTCAAGGGGTTTGGGGAGTTTATTCCGAATGCGTTCCTGGAATTTAGAGACCCCTCGTGGGGCAAAATCGGCCGCGGTAGAATCGGAGAAATCATCGCTATGGTCGGCCTCCTTTATCGGCCAATTTGGGTCGTGTTCGCCTTCCCCTGACATATCACCAGATGAGACCTCGTCGTTTCTCAGCGCCTTGGATGGGGTAAACTCACCCTGGAGGTAGTCCGCCAACGGCGAGTTCTCATAGACGAGGGATTCCATGGCCAGTGCACATTCCGTAATCCTGGCGATGACGAGGAGTTGGAAGCGACGCGGATGCTACGGAACTGGGAAAGAAGGCAGGTACAGGGCGGTAGAATCGAAGGATCAAGTCGAGGCTGGTGTGAGAGTCGAGCGCGTAAGGTGCGAATTATCGCAAGCCCATCTCCGCGACAATCCAAGAGGGCGCGTGGGAAAGTTGAGTCGTGAAGAAGCGTCAAGTGGACGAGAGTGAACGGGGGAGGCTGTCCAGGCAGACTAGTTAATCGAGGCGCGTGTGTAAGCCGTAAGGGAGGGTGAGTGGGGACGCAAGAGGAGATATAGTAAGCGGTTTTAAGGATGGCGCGAGATATACATAGCAATTTACCCCTGGCAGATGGAGCCAGGACGGAGGCAGCAGAACGACGGTGCCTGTGCAGCGGCCACGTTGAAGATCAGGCCAGGACCATGTGTGGTGTGTGTCTGGGGAACGGAAACGATGGAATTCCCTTCCCTGATCGAATCGGAGCCCGCGCTGTCCGACTCCCGCCGCTTTCGTTCCTCGTCTGCGCCCACTAAGAATAGGCGCCCCCACCATCGCGAATCAATTGCTCAGATCCTATCTGCTGGATTGGCCTGGGTTGGCCCTTCAGGCCACTGCTAATCTCGCCGTTGACCCAGTCGGCGTTCTCGAAGGGACGCTCCCAGGCTTCCCAACGGATTCATAGGGGACCGGTGAGGTTAGTGAGGCGGTGATCCTGTCTGTGCTTCCCCCTCATTACCCATCTGGGGTGGAACTGACATCTTGTGAAGGGTGGACAGACCGAGGTTTCAGTCTAATGCATATGCTGAGACCGGATTTCTGTGTGGAATCTCGGATGTCACTGTTAATAGCCTCGGACTCCGCTCGGACGGGTTGTTTCATAATTGCTCGGATTTGAGGCAGCCTCGGGAACCCCCTTTATAGTTAAGAGCATAACTCGTCATAATATTGGCCTGGAGTCGCGGTGGTTTCAAGTGTCGAATTTTCTCTCCATCGAATAACTTCTCAACACTTGATGAGCGTTTTGGCTTACTCTTCTGCAACAAGCAAGAGACTCACAGCCCTGGCATTCCTACCGCAATCAATTAGAGGCTGTGCCTAGCATGCCATGCTCGCTTCTACATTGAGTGATCTACTTAGATTTGAACATGCGCTCACATCATCAACGCAGGGTGGCGGTTCCCAGACAACATGTCCAAGAAGATGAAAATAAGATAACGAACACTCTTCGTTGCTCGCAGAGCAAAATATGGAACAATCCGACTTAGATCACCCTGCTCGGAGGTTGTCCTGCTACTATTATGTATACTGGATGGCACCGTCCAGACCGGTTCATGGCCTCTTCAATCTGGAGCTTGCCATTCACTAAACTGTGTAACAACTGCTGTCTAAATTGATGCCTAGTTCCGCACCGCGACCAGTTTATTAATGAACTGGCTTCTTGAATACCCATAATGAAAGACCATATCCTATTTTCCTGCCACTTCAGACCTCAGTTTGTTTGGCCCACATAGAAAATGTCTTCTCAGGACTCTGCTTGGTCTCTCAGAGAGCTTTTCTTCCACCGGTATGACAAAACCGTCGAAATCACCATTATAAGCAAAGGCAACTGTTTCGAGATAGAGATCGCTCCTGCGAACTTCAGCAATTCTCCCTCAGCCTTAGAAACCTATACTGACTTGATAAATTCGATGTGCGATGAAGAAGACTACCACCTCACCCAAGAAGCAGAGGAAGATCTCTACATCTGGGCGTTAGGTCCCTTCCTCCCCATCTTCGCAGACTTCGACCCCAACCCGGTAAATCCCCATCCGTTCACGCTTCGGGACTACCTCCATCCCCAGATCTATCGATATTCCCTCTTCATTATCAATGAACGCCTGGAACCGCGCCTTGATCACACCGTCCCGAACCAGCTGCTACCAAGCGGAGTAGACCTGGGTAACTTCGCACTCCACCCCACCTGGCACAAAATGAAACCAGAAAACATCCAGCTCCCCGGCACAGATTACAACGAACTCTACTCTCGGCCACCCAACAAAGTCATCGCCGACAATACCAATTGTTTCCTCAAGCGACTTGAATCCGGCGACAGACGGGCTGCCACTCGTGAACTGGGAGTGTATAAACAAATCGAGACTCTAGGACTCCCTAATCGCATCCAAGTTCCCCGCGTGGTTGGTGTTGTTGAAGACGAGGAAGAAGAGTCTCGTATCACTGGGATTCTATTAACTTGGGTGCAATGTGGCTATAGAACCCTGCATTGTGCATTGAAACCCGAGACCTCATTGGATCTGCGCAAACGATGGGATACTCAGGTGACAAGCACCGTGGATTGCTTGCATGAAGCGGGGATTATTTGGGGAGATGTCAAGGCGGATAATGTCTTGATTGACCATGAGGATAACGCGTGGGTTGTCGACTTTTGGCGGTGGATACACTCGAGGATGGGTGGAGAAAAGTCGTATGGAAACGGTTGAAGGGGATGAGGAGGGACTTGCTCAGTTAAAGGAGTTCTTGTATCTGGGGAAGACATTCTAACGAATGCCTCTTTGTTCCCATCTCTCCACAGAATGTTAAACATTCCATTACAAACGCTAGATATTTAGACCCTCAACTAGCTAGCTCCAAACAACAACCCCCAAGGAATAAACCCCCCCAACCCCCCATGCCCATCCAACGAAGCCCGTATCTCCCTCGTGACCTTCCCCGCCCAATCCCCCATCCACCACTGCCCCCGCAAGCGATGCATCAACGCACCAAAAAACACCAGCACAACCAGTGCAAACGGCTGCCTGTTAGCCACCGAATCCAAGAAGTCCGACGGTATTCTAAATATCCACCAGAACACCGCCGTGATGATGCCGTCTTCGCTATCACTGGAAATACTCTCGAATGCGAGGCGGAGTTCCCCGAGGACGAAGCCATATAGATCGCCTTGATGGCGTGCGTTACTTTCGCCTAAGGTGTGGTTCCGATGCATGACTTCGCGGAGAGCTTCATCTAGGAAGGGTGGTAGTTAACGTGGATGAGTCATGCGGGTTTGGGTGTCCGACTGTCGTGGCGGCGGTGGTGGTGAGGATCGCCAGGTCACTGGCTTTAACCCATTCGGAGACTTCTAGTAGTATGCTTAGAGATCCACGACTAACGCGGAAGATATGGAGTAATTCATCCAGGAAGGTCGAGTCCGTTGTGCTTACGCCCCCGAGGAGCGGGAGCGCGAAAGTGAAAAATGATGATGATGTTGGAGAGCGCGTAAGCTGCGCTGGCGTTCTCCTGGCTGAGGGCGTTGATGTTTCGGACGGCGGCGATGGCTTTGAGGTGGTGTGATTGGACGGTGTTGAGGTATTCTTTGCGCGGGTGGCTGGTGTGGAGGAATGCGAGGTGTAGGGCGGAGAGGGCGAGGATGCCGTGCATGAGGGAGGCGTTGTGGACGGCGAGTTTGGGGATGGTGGATTTCCAGGTCCAGTCGATGGATGGGTTGCGGGAGAGGGTGCTGTAGGTGTGGGTGCACCATTGGACCATGAGTTCGAGGTCTTGGGAGTTGAGGGGGGGATTAGTGATAGTTTGTTCGGGTGAGGATGAGGGTGAGGGTAAGGGTGCTAGAGTAGTTGGGTCTGGCGATGAAGAGATTGTATTCTCTATTGTTGTTGGGGGAGTACTGGAGAGAGGTGATTCGATGACGGTTTGGTAACTGCAGGGCAGGGATTTGGCTTTGCAGCGCCAACAGCTTGGTTGGTGCTCATCACACTGATACAGGAAATGGACATCAGTACTACACGATTCTTAAGATTATTTCTGTGGCTGTACAGTACCTTGACACGTCGTCGCTTACACTGGACGCAGCCATGTCGGGATTTATTGTGGGCGCGACGCGAGGGCATGAAAACGGCTGGTTGTGATATACGACAAGGTACTAAACTAAATGTCAAAGGAAAACTGAGCATGAACTTGTCACCAAGAGGTATTCGGTGTGACATGATGGACGGGCTAGGGCCGATTTAAATACATGGCAAGCAATCATAGCGCCAGAATGAGCCACAACCTTTTGCCCCAAACTTTGATATCCGCAGTGAAGTTGTTTAACCTCTGACCTGTTCTCTCTGTTAGCTTGACAACGTGCGATGTCAACAGGTGGTTCTCACTGGTGACACTGGAAACGCGGGTTTCACTGTTGCCTCGAGATTTGCCGTCCTCTGGCGGGGAATAAAAGGAAGCGATCCCTGCTCCAAGAGCCGTAACTGCTAAGCAGCAAACAACGACAATAACGATAATCGCAAGATTTGTCAGGGCCATGTTGAAAACTGAGAAGTCAACTCTGTCAGGAGAGCTGAGCCTCTTCTGAGCTCTTTATAATCTATTTTGAGGAGTACATTTCCCCCTAGCTCGATTCCTTCGTCGCAAGGCTGCGCAATTCTTCAGATGGAGTATACCAAGTGCCGTTTCCACTGCCTGGAATAGTAACTGTCGTACACTATACCGGATCTGGCGGTTTCAGGCGTCGTCTTTCGACGAGATTGTTGGAGTCAAACCTTAATTGCCGTACACCTTTCCCGATCAGGAAGGGTCCCTGGTGTATCTCCACAGATTCGTATTGGTTGATCGAAGCCTCAAGGGTGTTTAGATATTTTCGTTCAGTACACTACGGTATAAATATGATGGCCGTCATCATGGCATTCCATCAGACAGCATCTGAGTATCCTTCTGTCCTTATCATTTCTCTCCAAAATGAGTGACTCTTTCGTTCTATACCGTTACCATCCCTCTTATGCTGCAGCCGTGGTTTTTGTCATAGGGTTTCTACTCTCCGGACTGGGACACATCTTCCATCGCAATATTCGCAACAAACCGACCGAACGATCGGTCTCCCTTGCGGCTCCGTGGGAAAGAGTCATGGTGGTGCTGTACGCTGTGAGCGCGCTGATCATGGTGCGATCCATCTATCGAGTGGCGGAATATATCCAAGGAAGCTCGGGGAGTTTGCAGGGTCATGAAGTATTTATTTATGTGTTTGATGCGACGTTGATGTTGGTGGGGTGTCTGGTCTTGAATGTTTTTCATTCGAGTCAGGCGCTGAGGGAGAAGGGGGTTTATCAGTCGGAGATGGCCTAAGCACTGATGAGGGTACCTGTGATGGGATGTTGGCGTATCATCTGATATGTGCTATAACGCGGGATGGAATGAATTGAAATTTGTTCTACTGTGTATGATTTTCACTAGCAACTCTATGGTATTGACATGGTTTACTCTGCCTTTGTCTGCCACGATCTCTAATTCCAGATGTATATATCTTCTACCACAGAATATCCACCTATATTATCTCCCAGCCCGACAATATTATCACGTGGAAATACCTGACGAGACCGCTATCGGATATGATCCCCAGCTGCTAACAATCTGGTTCTATGCTCCAGGCAGCAGTACCCTTTTATTCACCCACTTACCTAGCCTAAAACTTCAGGGTCAAGGCCCACCCCACCAACTGCACGTCCCGAGCGGACGTAAACAAAAGTACATAACATGGTTGCAACCCGTCAATAACCGAAATGACAGATGCACTTTGCTCATCACAATCTACTTATACTACGGAGAGTAGAGAATCACCCTATGAAATGATATTACCTTCTTTGAGCTACGGAGTACTGTTATAATTGAGTTGCAACCTGCAGGAATATGCAGCTTCCTGGTAGCTCCGGACAATTACAATATCCACCCATGAAAATGTAGAGTGAGGTAGATGATATGCAGACAGTTCGGGGATCACTACAAAGAAGGCAGTGACAGACACTCAGAAATTAAGTACTCTACGGGGTCCGTCGGATCATTCCGGCTGGCCGGATGGACCCGACGCAGGGGCTGAAGACCCTGCTACTTTAGGGTTGGGCAGCTTTGCCGAGTAGATACCCTTCACGAGCAACTGACAAGGCTCTATGGTTGGAAAAACAATAAACATCCAGAGTAAAAGGCTTGCAGCTAGAACAGGCCGACTTTCTATAAAGTGGAATCGACATGAGTGCAAGATAATCATCCACTGTAATTCTGCTCTATACTACCGGCAGTGGTATCGCACAAAGCTTGCCGAGCAGCCTATGGAACCATTCACTTGCCTCACCCCTTAATTTGCTAATCGGATGGATTCGGAGACAGTAGAAACCAGTGGGTGTAAGCTGCTTTGTCTTCGAACCGGGCAGGTGTGCCGACAGACAAGCATCTCAAGCTTTTTAGAACGTTCTGTGGGGCGGGAAATTGCACTGCCTAGTCTCTGGGCCTGCTCGAGTAGCAACGGGGTCCATGGTTTCGGACTGGCTGTGCATAGTCAGAGAATGAATGGATACCAGTGAGGCTGGTAAGGTGCTGACCTTATTTTCAATGAGTATTTCGGTCTCGATATCTGCCAGAAGTGACTGGAATCGATGAGTACTCCGTAGTCAGCACATAGTGATTCTTTTCACCCATGCCAAACCTGCAGATGCATGTGGAACGGCAGTCGGCACCATGAAGAATGGACCAAGGACTGATTCTCCACAGTGGGGGCTTCAGAGTCGTACCCTGCAGCCTGGACGGAGTACTCCGGACGGAAGTGCAGGGCCTTCCCGACACACCTCACCTCATAGAATCCAGTTCTTATTCAGCCAATTTACTTAGCTGATGACCTCCACTTGAAGCATGCTAGCTGCTTCAATCACTGTCGGAGAGTGACACCCGTGGAGTTGCAATAATGACCCTAATCTACTAAGTCCTGGGTTTTGGACGCATTGCATGTTCCTATCCCATCACCCACGAGGTATAAAGCTGGGCGAATTCGCACTGAGATTCCATTCTATCCACAGCAACTCACTCCTTCCTTTCCTACATATCTCTTTGTCACTCTTTACAAGTTTAACTTCTGTTGATCAGAACCTCATCACCATGCGCTCTCTTCAGCTCCTCGCACTCGCTGCCACTGGCTCTCTCGTTACCGCAGCCCCTGCGTCCCGGGATCTCGCCCAGAGATCCTCTTGCACTTTCACCTCTGCCGCAGACGCCAAAGAAGGTGTCAAGAAATGCTCCCACTCCATCTTGAAGGATATTGAGGTTCCCGCCGGCGAGACCCTCGACCTGTCCAAGGCTGCTGAAGGCTCTACGGTTCGGTTCCCCCCTGCTACATCCATACCAGACCGACAAAGTTGCCGTCTAATCAGCTTCGTATAGGTCACCTTCGAAGGCACCACCACCTTCGGATACAAGGAATGGAGCGGCCCTCTCATCCGTCTCGGTGGCAAGGGCGTGACCTTCACCCAGTCCTCTGGCGCTGTCCTTGACGGCGAGGGTGAGCGCTGGTGGGACGGCAAGGGCACGAATGGCGGCAAGAAGAAGCCCAAGTTCATGTATGTGCATGACATCGAGAATTCGTATGTCACGGGTCTGCACATCAAGAACACGCCCGTCCAGGCCATCAGTGTGGAAGGCACGAATGTGCACCTGACTGATATCACCATCGACAACAAGCTGGGTGATAGCAAGGGTGGTCACAACACCGATGGCTTTGATATCAGTGACAGCACGGGTGTCTATATCAATGGCGCCAAGGTGTATAACCAGGATGATTGTCTTGCTATTAACTCTGGTGAGGTGAGTTCTCCCTTCTATCTCGTGTTGGATTAGGACTATGCTGATATGGTAGACCATCTACTTTACGGACGGATACTGCTCCGGTGGCCACGGTCTGTCAATCGGCTCAGTCGGTGGCCGCTCCGATAACACCGTGAAGGACATCCACATCGAGGATAGTCAGGTCGTGGACTCTGCCAACGGTGTTCGCATCAAGACAATCTACAAGAAGACCGGCGAGGTCGAGGACGTGACCTACTCCAACATCAAGCTCTCCGGCATCACCGAGTACGGTGTGGTCATTGAACAGGACTACGAGAATGGTAGCCCCACGGGTACCCCGTCGAACACGATCCCGATCAAGGATATCACTTTGGATGGCATCACTGGCTCCGTGGAGAGCGATGCCCAGGCCATCTACATCCTGTGCGGTGATGGTAGCTGCTCCGACTGGACCTGGAAGGACGTGGATGTCTCCGGTGGCAAGGACAAGAAGAAGTGCGAGAACGTTCCCTCTGGCGCTTCTTGCTAGGCTTCCTCGGGCTGATATTGCTGTGAGCTTTTTGTTCTTCTTGAGTATCGATAATTAGTAGGTGAAGGTTTGGTTAGATAACAGACTGTATATAGTTAACATAGGAGCCTGAATTCAAGGAATCCAATTGATTCAAATTCACCCCAGTCTAACTTCTCCGGGGAACCCATCTGGCCTACCATAGATAAAATGACTAGCGTTACATCTAGAGTTGACCACATCAAGCCGAGAACTTCCGCCTCAGGCACCCACCCCACCCGTTGCACCGGCAACGAACATCAACATCGCGTCTCCATACCTCGCCGGCCCCATCCATCGCCCACCAAACTTTCGATGACCTAGCCTGGTCTCGAAGCTTACCGGCCCCATCGCTATAAACCGGGTGATTCTCTTCGAAGCATTTACTCCTCCCTCTGGATGGTCCCATCGCCCATCCCACCATTCATACCAACACCCATACACCACATTCTATGGGGACAGTCGACGAGGGATACATACTCAATCATCACATGGAAGAGCGACACTAAACACAACAACTACTTTACTTACCCCTGCATAAGGCCTATCTCAAGCGATCACCATGTCCGGATATCTATACGAAGCGCCAACCCCGTGCCCATCACGGATGAACATCTCAACCTTCAGCGGGAGAAGCTCATCCGACAGTCTCTGGAACGAGAGTCTAGAGAGCTACGACGATACCGCGAATGTGGAATTCACGACGGAAATCAAACCCTCCGTGCTCACGGGGGCGAAACCACGACGACGGACGAAGACGAGCGCGTCGTTTATGATTCATGATGAGCATGAGAAACCCACCACCACCACCACCACCATCTCCACCATCTCCACTGTATCTAAACCGAAGCGGGAATCAAGCATGGTAGCTTCGACCACGAATCGCAAGTCCTCATTGCTCGCGCAGCCCGCGCAGCGATTCCGTCCTAGAGTGAGCTTCGCGCCGAGTCCGGGCAGTGGGTCGCGACAGGAGAGACTCGGTTGCAACAAGACACAGAAGAATAATGAGCTTTTGATGCAGATTAACGGTCGAGGGGAGCACGTTCAGGTCAAAGACGGGTTGAAGAAGGATGTGCGCCGGAAGACGGTCTACATTCCGCAGGATGATACGACCGTGGCGAGCGCGTTCATGGGCCTCTTTAGTCCGTTGAAGTCGGGGAGTTTTGAGAATTGTATGGCCGAGGATACGCAGGTGAATACGTTAGAGGCGCAGATTGTCAGGAAGAGACAGGTGAAGCGGTCGCTTGCGTCGTCTGCGCAGCGGGCGCCGTTGCGGCCGAGTGCGAAAGTTGTCCAGGAGGCTTGTGTCCCGGTGGATGTTGCGGGGAAGAATGGTGGGAAGGAGAATATTCCTCCTGGGTCGGTTTTGGTTGATGGCAAGAAGGGATGTCAGTCTTTGAAAGGTAAAGAGGGACAGAATGAAGATTTCAAGTCCCAAGTGACAGGCAGCCGAGCTGGCGGGCGTGACACTGCAAGACCTTCGAAGCCTCTGTCAATGAAAACAAGCAATGGGGTTCAAAGAAATGCTGGTCTTGGTGAGAGCCGGAACATCAAGACACGACCTGGCAAGATCGATCAGGACAGTGTGAAGCGGAGTTTGACAAATAACAAAGCTGCTTCAGTGCAAAGCTCAAATCCTCCAAGGACAGTGAAACGGCCCACAACAAGCACAAATGCACCCAAGGCAACCGTTCTCCGAGGAATTACGAAGAGCATTGAGAAAGATTACCCGGTCATCTCGGACAACATCATGGACTCGGCGCTGTATGAGGACAACTGGCTGTCGCACCAGGAGGTGGCAATAACACAACTGGTTAATGAACTGCTTCCATGCGCAGATGAGCGGGCACTCGACAATCATGCCACGCTTCGACATGGGCTCATCAGCTTGTATCAGGGAGCATCTTTCACACACCTACACAAGCGACTCCAGGCGTCATTGCTATACGGAGTAATGAGCATCCCCAAAGATGTGCTTACGCGGAGTAGCCGTCTTCACCAAGATCTGGGTATGAAGCGAAAGTTTTTGGATATCTGGGTGCAAACCTACGATCTGCGCGCATTGCGAGCCGCAGTGGAAGCCATCACGGGGAGGAAGATTCCTAACTCCAAGTTAGCCCATGGAAGTGAGACCTCAGATAAGGAAAAGGCAATGAAGCGAAGGCTGGAAGGGTTTTTGGATGTCTTCCTTCTCCAAAATCAGGATATGGATCGTCATGAAAAAGCCTCTGCCGGAGAAACTGGCGACGCAGCCGCGCGGGCATACCGGCGAACGGCTCTTCGAAGCATCATGATGGTCATCCTTTTGGACAAAGCCAGGCTGTGCCCAGAGACAACTGTTCCGCGCCGTCTTTTCTTGCCGTCCTCGCCGCGAAAGTCCTCCGCTGCAGTACTTCAGGCGTTGGGCCGGTTCCTGCTACCATCATGCGGAGACATCATCAAGGCATTGAGTCACTTGGACTGTGAATTGGGTTATGAGCAGCATCCATTGGAAGAATACGAGTATCCGATTAACAACCTGGCCGTGGATCTTCGAGACGGCGTGAGACTGACGCGAATCGTGGAGTTGTTACTCTATCCTTCGACTTCGCCTGGTGAGCTGTCAGATCTCAACGCGCCGCTTTCCTGCTATCTGAAATTTCCCTGCATGAGCCGCACGGTGAAGCTCTTTAACGTACAAGTTGCCCTGGATGCGTTGGCTTCGGTGGAAGGAACTCGGAAGCTTATCGGGGATGTCCGCGCAGAAGACATTGTTGATGGACACCGCGAAAAGACCATTGCGTTGCTGTGGAAGCTGATCAGCACATGGGGTCTCGCGGGGCTTGTGGATTGGGGAGATGTCAGAAAAGAGATTGAGAGACTGAAGCAAAAGGCAGCTTCTCAGGTCGGATACGAGAACTTCCAGGACGAAATTTGGGTCCACCATCTGAACGAGACTGACGACGAACCAACGCTGCTGCTCAAGCAATGGGCGTCTGTGTTGGCGCATCTAAAAGGGCTACGACTCGACAATTTCAGCACGAGCTTTAGCGACGGCAAGATCTACGAAAGCATTGTCGACGAATATGAGGGCTATGTACTTCGTCCCGAGGACCTTAGCAACAGATCAGCATCTTTGGAGTCTCGTCTTCGAGCCCTAGGATGCAGTGCACAGTTTGGTAAGTCTTCCGATAACAATCTTCAACATGACGGACATGACTCACATGAACAGCACAACTCGTGTCACCCGCCTCAAAGACTCATATCGTCGATAGCAACTTTACTATCGGGGCACTCGCCTTTCTCTGTTCGCGACTGCTCTCGGCCACGCAGCGCACTCGAGCCGCGACAGTGCTGCAAACTGCATGGCGACGCATCCTTCTGCGTCGGGATCAGCAGCGCCGCGCCGTCGCGAAGGATCTAGCCAGGCAGTGCGCAGCCGTCGTGCAGACACGAGACCGGATGCTCTGGGCCCAGGGAGTGATTGTGCGGTGGTGGAAGTCCAGCGGCGTCGCCGACGGGCAGCTACGAAGGGTGTCCGACGATATGATAGATTCCTATGATTAGGGGCGGTGCATAATGTTTCATATGGATGACGCGAGATAATTGCTTCATTGGTACTAGACAATTACATAGCCAGTCCGGAGTGTATTCCATGCAGGAACCAGCCTAGTCGCTACCTGATCGGTGGCCTGTATCAAATTGGCCCAACACACAACCCCAACAGAACCAGCCTACTTATCCTTGACCATCTACCAACTAAAATACAAGGTTAGTACCCAGTACCCCAGCATCACTCCACTTTCGTACGGAGTAGACACAAGTAAACAAACAACTACCCCTACCAATAAACAACAAACCCCAAACAATACATAACAACAACCCCAACACAAACCTTCATAACTCGACATAATCAGGAATCCTGACCCCCAGACAAGAAAGAACACCCCTCGTACCCAACCAACTCACCCCACACCCCGTAACCCACAGGGCATAGTCAGGGTCAGGGCAGGGTCAAACTCAACCTGTTTGAATCCTTCAGCCCCCAACGCAACCCGATCCTGCCTGCCTGCCTGCCCTGTCCAGCCTAACCTTGTCGGCGAATAGGATACCGTGCTACGGAGACCCCCATGCCCCATGCCTCTGTTCGTGTTTATGTTCATGTCAGATAGATAGATAGATAGATGGCTGATAGAGAGACAGACAGACAAGCATACGCAATCCCCCCAACCCCACATCATCAAAAAACAAAAATGAAACAAACATAAAAAGCAAAGCAAAAGCAAAAACCAAAGAGAGGGAAAAAAGAAATGAGGAAGATCCTTTAGCAAATGAACAAGTATCTCAGTTACTAAGCGTCTAAGTACTTATTCAGTAGTAGTAGTAGTCGTAGTTACCAAGATATGAACTCGTGTTGATGAATTATCCTGCGCGTTAGTATGACTCTTCAGAGTTACTATTACTATATGTCTGTGCATAATCTAATATGCAGAAGGAATGAGGTTGAATTTGTGGTATGTTCATACTCTATCTGAACATTGAAATAAATTTATATACGGAGTATGTATATTACTCTTTGTATATTACTGCATACACACTACATAAATAAACACATCTCTACATATCATAGAGTACTTACCCAATAAACTCCAACCTAGTATCATTCAGTAAGTAAATAAACCTCGTACCGAAAACCAAAGTATATTGAGAACCACCACTACACAGTAATTACCGAGCCTCGCGGGCTCGGAGTAAGCAACAAGAACAAGCAATACGCATATGCATGGTCTGATTAAGCTAGGTAACTTTGAAGACATCCTCTGTACTAGGGTAGTCGGCTTACGTTGGAAGATGATCATCAGAGGTAGAGGAGGGAGGGAGAGTTCACGAGGATTCAAGAGGGGAGGCTGGCTGATGACATCACTCCTCGGGGGAGGTTGCAGCTGACGGGACTGGTGGTGAGAACCTCGAGTAAGTATCCACGGAGTACTCCGTTCCTATGACTGAGTCGGGATGATTTGTTCAGGTTGATGTTATGGCAGTGATTTCACCGTGATTCTCAGGCATGTTACTGGCTGGGGATGACGTCGATGTTCATCTGCGTCTCCCCGCCCTTCCAACGGACTCTACGGTAGACTTGCTACTACACAGTACATAGTATGTATGCAACACCACGGTATGATGATCTAATGCTTCTCCTCACGGTGGCCTGATCTCGACTGCGGGGAACACCGACCTTCGAGAAGATTACTGTAATGGGCCACACCCAGCGTCCGATGACCAGATCGATCGCCGCCGCTGCCTCCTTACAGAGTCCATGCAAAACCCTGCAGTGCTTTGTACCGGCTGCCTGGTTGGACTCCGGTCGATGTACCTGTGCTGGATGGACGAACTTTATTTGCGGCCTCGTCATTGGCAGGCGGCCGCACCGCGATCAGGAGATGCGCTGCCTCTTTGACCAAGAGGCGGTCGATCGCGGGCTCGGAGGGAATCGGGCGGTGCGCTGAACGGAGTTGGGATTCCTCCGACTCGACCGAGGGCGAAGGAAGCCTACGTTAGTCGGGATGGCAACGCGGCTGAGACGTACGCTTCGGCTTCGGTGGATGGCGGTGCTGAGCTGAGCGCTGAAGACGTGTCCGGGTCCCAGCACAGCTTATTCCCACCCCCTGAACGAGCCCACCTCGACGTGGTCATGCTCAGTAGTCGCCCGCCAAGAAAGCGGTTATGCAATATAGCAGCAGAGGATCGACGGGGGATCTCCCATCCTCCAGGGGGGGATTCTCCCTATTCCGACCGACCACTCCTCTCCGTCCCCCCGTCTCCTTCATCCCACTTGCCCAGGTATTTGAAATGTTTCTTGGCGGCCTTGGCCGGTCACCAACTCAACGCGGATCGGCCAGCAATCAGTCGCACTGGGCAGGCAAGGAGGAGGAATGTGAGGACGGACGGTGGAGGGCGGACAGGTCGGTCGCTGCTGCGCCGGAGTTCGGGAAACACCGGGCACCGACTGCGTTCCCTCCACCGCGAACCGCAGTCGTTCATAATTTGGCTGTGAAGATCTTGGCAGCCAGTCGCCGTCGCACCGGGGGCGAAGTCACAGGACGTTGCCAAGCACTGTCGTGGAATGCGACCGTCGTCGTCGAGAGGAGGAAGATGAGCACTGAGCAAGGGGCAGTCGAACGGGGGACCACCTCGGTTTTTCAACTCCGCCTCTCAGCTGAAGGTTCCCCCCAGCCTGATCGCTGCATGGGGTGAATGGGATATGCCTTGGCGACCTTGGCGGCCCTCTTGGCCGTCTCAGTCGGAATCAAGACGTCGTGAGGTCATCCGTCCAAGATTTCGGGTGATCCGCTGTGCTTCCCCAAACCCCCGGATGGCATGTCGATCATGCGCTCGCTGCTGAAGACATTGCCATCCCTTGGGAGATTCCGGAGGCTGTGTTGGATGTTGGCATTGACACATTCTAGACGCTTACCTACCACGGTAGGATTCTGACGTGCAGTCGGCCCGTCCTGAATATGCTGGTCTCTGCACTCAGAGGCTTTGTTCTTTCCCCTATGTTCTGGCCAAAGCAAGGGCAACTCCATGTGCCACTGGACTGCACCACAGCCATCTCATCCTCCGTGTACCCGGCAGCTGGTATACACAAGGTATGGTATTGTCGTTACCTGGATCAAACAGAGAGGTGGCCAAGGTCGACGGCGTTCTGAATCCTTCCATGACCGACCATGCCATCCAGGCGCTCAGCTATGGGCTCGGAGCGAGAGGTGCAGTTGCATATGTCATGACGGCAACCACGCATAGGTCCGCATAAGGTCCATGGATGGGAGTCTGATGTCCGGGGGTGGATTTAGCTCGGCAGGCAGGGGAGTTCAATGGTGATTTGCCAATGGACCGAGCCCAAGACTTCAATCCGTCAATCACGGAGGTTGTACGGGGTACAGATGAGCAATGCCGGGTCGGCGGATCGAAGCTGGCTGTCGCACGGGGAGCTGACCATGAGACAGGCAAAAGCACCTCGTTGCCGTGCCGGACGGCGAGTCGTTGGAGAAATGGATTACTCGATTGGGTGCGTCGTGCATCGCGACTGAAGCCGGCGCGAATCCAAGCGCGAGTCCCGTGCCGGTGGAGAGGGAGGAGGAGAAGAGGCCATCCTCGGTCCAGTCAGAGGCGTAGGCCGTTTGACCAAGGGAGAATAAATCCCTCATACAAAGCGCACTTAGGCCGACGTCGGCCATTAAGGTACGGTGCTCTAACCCTTAGTCGCCTTAGCTGCAGGCCAATGACACCACCGCAGCAGGACTTTTGATCCTGGGCGCGGAGGTCGATAAGCGGGCGTATTAATCATGCTATTCTTATCCAGCGTTGATCCTGGTGTCTGCTTGTCAACCTCACACAGTCGCAGTAGCACTTATGCCTCGCCGAAGTGGCCCTGAGGCATCCACCCACCAAAGAGACAATCCCATTCATGTTTGGGGGGGGGGGGGGGGGGTTGCTGCTTGTCTCCATAATCGATCTCAGGGCGGTCCACTCGCACGCGCGACAGTTCAGAACCTCCACCGGGTGTGATGCTGGTGGTTCGATAATCAATGCAGGTTCCCCATCCCAGAACGGCTGGGGAGAAGAACTGGATGGGTTGTTGTTCGTATGCCACCTCGCATTTCCTCTTCCGGGTGGCCGGTGACCGTCGTGGTGGCCGTTTTCCATGATTCTCATCCCGTAAGAATTCAATTTTGAATTTTCAACTTTTTATTTTTTTTCCGTGAATTTATAATTTTTATCTGCCTGGCTCATTTCTTTTCTTCGTGTTTGCTGTCCTCTTCTCCCGCCCATTTACCCAGAGATTGACCCCCTTCAATGGGCACCCAAACTTTGCATGTCGTTCACGAGCCCGTCAGATCACAATTATATAGTTTTTCCCCGTCGACGGTCGGAGTTTAATCGCGGAAACTCTGTTTCGACCTTGGCTTCGGGGCCGCGTAGCACATATGTATCCGGAGCATAAAAGTACATAAGTAACATCATGTAGTGTGTCTGCGTCGATTCTAAGTTAGTAGGCCTCGACCAGCGACCAAAATGTGGAGAGTCCCGTGTCGGCCATGGATGGTGATCCTCCAGAGGCAGAGGATTGTAAGGTAGCCAAGCATGGATCGAGTAAGATCTCTCTCCCCAACAGCGGACGTCCGATGTGTAACCCGGATGAAACTGGCCTTCATCTACTCCGTCCGCTGTAAACCATTAAGCATCTTAGGCATAGACCCAGCCGGATGACCCAAAAGGGCAACCGGAGTCGAGTCGTAAGACTCGTGGGCAACGATGAACGAAGGATTTCTGGACGGGCCAACCCCGTTGGTTCGTCAAATGTACGGAGTACCAACAGATGGCCCATGACTGGCTGATGATCGGGTCGGTCCTGATTGCTGGGATCGCAGCCAGAGCAGCGAGGGCAAAACAGCAAAAGAAAAACAGTCCCGAGGGGCGCAGATTGGCTGCTGCGATGTGGGCAAGCTGCATCTCCCGGAGCAGCCATGGCACCGAGTGGGGGTATCCCTGAATCGCAGGAAGCTTGTCCCAGCACTCAAGGCTCGCGAGGCGTTGGGTTGCCCCCCATCCTCAGCGACCGTGGATGGCTGGAGACGCAGGTAAAGCAGTTAGCCCGCTTGGTGGTCTCCGCTTGGGATCGGTACCATGGGTTGCGTCGGTGCAAAACAGTGCTGCGCTCTGTCAGTCATCGTCGAGCGATGCAGTTTTGGTAGTTTGGTTGATGGTTCGGGTCTCTAGGCGCTGACCGCTTCTCTTCCAGTCAGAACCATCGGGCATGGATCTGGTCATCAGCCCCCTTTGCACGCTGCTTTTTACTCCGGGGGACAATGATCCCCAACCCACTCTGGGAAAGACGGCACGATCGCCTGAAGGAAAGGATCGGGGATTCAATTGAAGACCATCGTATTTGGGGGATTCTCTTGGCACGGGGTCGGCCTTGTACGATGTATGGCGGCCGTATGGGCTTCGGGTGGTATGTATGGATACCGGTCGCTCCTTCCCTGCTTGATCTACGGAGTACATCCTCTCACTGCCCCCGGCTGAGCCTGTCTGCAACTCTTGTCTGGTAGGCAACGCCTAATTCTAAACTTAGCGGTACCAGGCTGAGATTCCAACGGACATCATCTTGTCCACCGAACTCTATCTGTAGAATTGGGACCGGAACAGCAAAGCTACCAGCATCCCTGGGTTGATCATTGTGGAGTCTCCGCGGGGAGACAAGAACTCGGCTGTCAAACCAGCGACACCTTCAGGATCGTGCTATGGTTTGAGGAGCCCATTGAATAATGAGCCCAGAACTGCTAGTCCCCCTTCTGATTTGCATAGCTCAGATCCGATCTGGCCATGTTGTTTTTTTCTAGCAGCGTTGCCCTCCCGATCATGGTGATCCCAAGTATCGATCTGGTATGTTGGACAGCCAAGAGCCAGCTATTCGCGCCCAGACCGACTGTCACTCCCTGCTCAATGTCCATCGGTGGCTGTGTTCCAGTCTACAAGTCTACAGCATGGCGCGAGGTTCCAATATACTCACCCCCTCTGGACCGATCTAGGTACCATCATTCCTAGGGACGGCAATTGGAACCACCCTAGAGAGTTCAGCGTGGCAGACCCCAAGATTTGGAACCCAGCATCTCCCATCGGCCATCGCTGTAACCTCCAAAAACTCTCCGCGACTCGAGAGCGTCATGGATCGGTCCCGGTCATGGCCGGGGAATTTCCCTTGGGTCAGAGGGTGGTAGCCGTTGCGATGTAGTACTCTGGGGTAGGTTGGTGCGACTGAAGCGTTCATTCACGTCGTCATGGCCAGGGGGCTTGTCGGTCCGAGAAACCTGGATAGAATCATCGAGTCTTTCTCTTGCAAGTGGGGTTCACAGTCCCCGTGAGGTTGTAGCAAGCATGTTGGTGCCCTGCATCCTCGCGATCGCACAAGTATCGTCGTCTTGCTTCAGACTGAGATAACCTTCAAAAGCGCCGTGACACAGCAGGACTAGGGGCAAACCTTACGTCACAGGGCCAAGACCATCGCTTTCCGGATCAGGAACGACCAGATTTAAGCCCGGCTAGGGAAAGTCTCGGCAAATGCAATAGTGAGCAATGACAAGAAATACCAAGCATTGTTATTGGAATTGTCAAACAATAATAGCAGCCAGCAGGAGAGGCAGTGTCTAGAATTGTTGTCAGTTTCAGTCTCAAGAATGAGGCGTGCCAAGCACCACTGTGGTCGCACTATAATGGGGATTGTTGGGTGTATCTTGGACTGTCGTTAAGTATCTCCTTGGTGGCTTCAGCTGCGACCGCCCGAGTCGGAAATGGTAGCTTCGCCGAGAAAATCTACCTTAATCACCTCCACGCATAAGCAGCGCATAAGTAGGCTCGAGCGCGTGCCTGAGTAAGCTGATGGGGGTGCACTAGACCCCAATCGGACTAGATCCAATAATATGCGCGGGCCCTAAGAGCTCCAGCATGATTAGCCCAACAAAGCGCCCGCTGAAACGGCTTCGGCGCGACTCCGACGGTCGTCTGTCGCCCTCCCACGGTCAGTTGTTCGGGTCTGCTTGCCGTCCTCGCCCTTGTAATTACCCTGGCATTACCCGCGCCGACGGTCGGTAGGGCAACTTCCCACAGGAGCAGCTCGTGCCGCTATGATGCCTGCCCTTGTCCTGCCTGTCTTGTCCTCGTGGGGGTCACCCGTAGCAGCCCTCCCTTACTGACAGCCTTCTTCTCGGACTCTTCCTTTATTCGCTGTCTGGTATTCACCTCAGAGATTCGTACAACATTCCGATCAGATTAAAATATCCTCTTCGTGGTACATGTTCTAGAAACAATGGGCGAACCCCCCTTACTTTCGATTCGCTTGTTCTTAAGGGGGGCTGCTGGTGTCTCCCAAGAAATTTAGTGTAGATAGCTGGTGGTCGCATTTCCTACCTCCAGTATGGTCGGGGATGATTTCTGACTGACCGGGGTTAGTAATAGTAATCTCGAGGTTAGTTCGCCTTGGTAGCCAACCTCCAAAATGCCTCATAGTCTTTTGCTTTTGTACTCGGCGCTGGCTTGCCCCGTGGATGAAACCGGCTTGTAACAAACCCGGTGACGCCTGACATCGATCAAAGGGCAAACGGTCATCGCACAGATCGTAAAACAATGGGATCCGTGATCCTCAGCGCGACCGACCTCCTTTGATGACTCTTTCTTCCTTTATGACTCTACCTCATGAGTCCTCCTGCGACGGCATCCGGTGTATGACGGTTTTGTATTTACGCAGCAAGATTACCACGGTATGATACCAACCAGCGTCACGTAGCCGCAGGAACCGAAGCATGCATCGATTTGGCGAGAAAACGACAGGGTGGGTCTAGGCTTGGCGGGGTTGGTTGGACCGAGCGCCTCGAGGCCGCCTGCAGAAGGAAGGAAAAGAAGCCCCAGAGAAGATCAGAGATTGTAAGCGTGGGTATTTTGGTGTGGTCTTTTTTTTTATTTTTCATTTTCTGTTTTGCTGTTTCCCTGCCCTCCTTCTCGGCGTACCCTGCCGTGCCAGAGTGTGGCGACCACTCCTGACCACACTGCCCGCCCTAACCCGGTCGGGTCAGTTCTCTTCCCACCAAAACTCACAAACCTGGCGCCGCTCTCCCGCCCCCCATCACTGGACTTTACCCTGCACATCGTCATTACTGAGTCTCTTTTACCCGCCCACCTCTGGCTGGTGAAGCTGAATACGCAGTACTGACGGCGTTCTGTACTAATACCACTGCGACCACCACCCCCCCGATAATAACTTTTTCTTCCCATTTTTTTATTATTATTTTCGTATTTGGATTTTTATTATTTTATTTTCGCCTTTCGCTACCCCCTCCCTTAATTACTTTTTTATTTTCCGATCATCTCTACTTACATTCCTCCTTCTCTCCATCTCAATCCCACCTAGCACTGCCAACACATTGCACCTGCGAAACTCTTTCGACGCGTCTTCTTCTTCTGGCGCTCTTTGAGCTGCCAATCTCTGAAGAAGGCGTAAGTCCATCTCTTGGCCGCATACCTGACGCTCTTCTCCTCTTTTGACCTACTAAAACTACTACGGCTCCTCACCTACCACACCATGTGTTCTATATCATGACAATCATCGTCCTACTAAGGACACCCTTCATTTCCGCCCTCTGGGTCGATCAGTAGTACTATTGATCGATATTGAGAGAGCATCTTCTACCTTACTCTTTGGTTGATGCAACTATATTCTTCTCTTTCCTAACATTAAACCTGTTTGAAACCCTCAACGCCTACCTACCGCCACCATTCCGTCGAGTCACTCTATACTACCGCCCACCCTCCACCTAACCGCTTCTCACAAGCTCTCCTACCTACTTATTCCTGCCTCCCTCTCACTATTAATATACCTAATTCTCGAAGGGATGGCTCACTTCCGCGGTAGTGATCGACCATTTGCCTCAATACACAACCTGTTGAAGATGCTGCTCTCACCTCATCAGTCTAGCAAGTCGGCCCCTCAAGAGGCCGATCTGGCAGAGGACATTGATGAGCCCCCTGATCACCGGTTCCTGAATACCTCGATGAATATGGATGACGGTGTCGTTTACGTCAAGTCCCCCACCGCCATGTCTGACCGGAAGGAGTCCCTCCTCACCCGCGCCCTCAAGAACAGCCCCCCACTCAGCCCGTCCGACCGCCACTCTTCCTCTCACGAGCACTCCTTCTACCGCTCGTACACATACACCAACATCAGCGGCCTCTCTGCAGCCGAGTTGACCAGCGATGGTGGCCTCACCAGCCCATCTCTTTCCAATACGCCCAGCCCGCCTCTGCCCTCGCATCTGACTAGCAAGACCATGGGCGATAAGAGAAAGGCAGAGGCCGTGGAAATTGGGGAGTCAGCGGTCGAGGCCAACCTGGGACGCAAGCGGTGTATCAGCTTCGCCTGCGGACGCAAAACTGAAGAGCAGAAGCCACAGACCCCTTCCCCACAGCGCCCAGTTACCAAGTCTCATGACGCCAGCCCGACACCAACGGAGCCCAAGCGGAAGACCGTCCTCACCTTCGTTTGCCCAGCACGGGATCCCGAGTCTCGACGGGAGCGATCTCCACTTCGTGGTGGTTGCCGGCCACGTCCCCGCGGCTCACCTGCTCCTATCGCGCGCAAAGCCTCTCCGGAGAAGGTCGCCCCTTCCCCGGCTAAGAAGTCTCAGGAGCAGAAGGTCGAACGTCGGGGTGTTCCAACTAAGGGGCTGGGTCAGTTCGAAGAGTCTGAGGCCACTCGGTTCCACGAATTCGCCAGCTCCGTCGAGGAGGACGATGAATGGGTCAAGAAGTCGGGCGAATACCCGGAAAAGATCACGCTTAACGACTGCATGAAGAAAGAAAATGCTATTCGGAAGCTTGGGGAGGAAGCCGAGGAGGAGGCTTTGGAGGAAGAGAACGAGGATGACGAGGAGGACGATTCAGATGACGCTTCGACCGTTCACGACTTTTCCTCCGATGACGATGGGAATGAATCGGATAACGAAGCTGGCTTTGCGGAGTCGGATGAGAGTGACGATGGCTCGGAATATGACTTCTGGGCCCCGACCAGCACGACTGCTGCCACCAGCCCTCAGACCGTCGACATCGCTCGTCACCCTTTCAGTCGTCGAGACTCAAACACGTCCTTCGATTCCGTCAACGATGGGCATCACCAGCGTAGATGGTCTCCTGGCTTCGCCGCCAAGCCAGCTGGCCGCTCTCCCATGAAGATCCCAAAGCTGCGTCCTGGTACTCCTAACCTTCCAGACAGTACGGATTTCGTCTGCGGAACCTTCGACGAAGATCGTCCTCTGGAGGCTGCCTACAAGTCCTGCATCGAGCAGCGTCGCCTCTCCAAGCAGATCGTTATTCCTCAGGATATTGATCCCAGTTTCCCTACTTCCGACCCGGAGGACGAAGATGATTTGGACGAGGAGGATCTTGAAGAATCCGTGATGGAGGAGGGACCCCGGGGAAGAACCGGTCGGGAGCATAGTGGGAAGAGTTCTCCCCGCGTGTCTCCCAGACGCATGGTCTCCCCTCCGCCTCGCCGTCTTGGCCGTTCCTCGCCAAAGCGTCTTCGCTCCCCGCCGCCGCCGATGAAGCTGCGAGCTTCCAACGATAACTTGGCGTCTGTGGAGGAGGCACCTAGTCTTCAGCCCCAGGGACTCAACATCAGCGAGCTGGTGCAACGTCCTGCCATGTCTCGTACCAAGTCGCTGCCTCGGACACCCAACCCCTTCTTTACCAGTCTGGACAAGTCTCACCGCTGGTCTGGCATTGTCCCCGTGCAGGAATCGCCCGAGCGCGAATCCTCACGCACCCGTGAGGTGCACACCCGAGGCCCCATCGACATCGTCGAGGGTCTCGAGAAGAAGCGTCAGAAACGCAAGGAGAAGTTCTGGCGCCAACACTGCCGCAAAGCTGCCAAGGAGCAGATGGAACGGCGACCGATCCGCGGAAAAGGTGCTGAACGGATGAAGGAGCTTGGCCTCGAAGTTGCTGAGAGGTGCAGAGCTTATGGCGTTGGCGAAAACGCCCAGCTCGTCCTATCTGTTTAGACCTCTTATTCCGGCCGGGATTCGAGTAATTCTTGTACATAGTTCGAATTTTTCTTATCACTCTTCAGTCGGCCGCTCTCGTGATGAGCAGTGGACCGACGTGGTGTACAAATTTCAATTGAGCGTTGTTCGCTACACACTTGTCTTCGATGTTACTATTTTTGTCCTTTCAACGTGTCCCTCGGGTTTCTATTTGCACGGAAGGGTCCCGTCTGCATTTACACAGGGGCGGCTACGTTGGCTGCTTTCTTTCGTCTTTTCCTTTCGCTATACATATCTGGTTCTTCCTTCACTTTCTTTCTTCCTTTCTTCTTCTTTTCCTGCATTGTTACATCCGTGCGGTTGTGAGACGGATTTTGTCTTCGGTCGGGATCATAGCTCGGTTAGCGTGGGTTGCATGGAGGCGGTTTGCTGCGTGGATACCCCTTTGCATTCGATGTTGCGATGTAGATAGGAGAGAGCAGTGCGCACTGGGCAATTGACTGCGTCATACATAGATATGTGCGTATCCTGTGATCCTGGTAGTGGTGTAGTTGTGTCGTGGTGTAAGAGGTCAGGCGGCTGATCTCCCGGCGGCTGAGTTGGTTTTAGCGCTCGGCTAAGCCAACCGGCCAGCGGCAGGCAAGCGACCGGCCAACGTCAACTGTCGGCCACCGCAACCTGGCTCCTTCTCCTGCTCTTATCTCCAGCCCAGCCGTTCACCACCGCCCTTTGGCTCGCTTTGCCCTTTGCCTTGCGCTGCTCTCCGATTTCCAGACCACCTGCTGCGGTTTGAATCGTTTTCATCATGTGGCTCATTAACTGGTGTACGTACTTGGTGATTTTGCCATCCGCCGACTTGCCCCCGACCAGGCGTTGCAAACCGGCCTCCTCTGTTCTTTAGAGCTCATTGCTGCCCTGTTCCTCTTGCCATGCGAGATTTCCAAGATAATTAGTTGCTGACATGCCATCTCCGAACAGTCTACGATCTTCTGGCCTCCCTTGGCCTGCTCAACAAGCACGCCAAGCTCCTGTTCCTCGGTCTCGACAATGCCGGAAAGACCACCCTCCTGCACATGCTGAAGGTACGTGAGCTCTGTTGTCTTCGTGGGCAGGCTTCACATCGTGGTGGTGGTTGTTGAAGTGGTGGCGGTGGAATCGACTCCTGTGGGACACTCCGATCGCAGAAGCACGGACGTCGACAGGGATAGACCAGGACAGCATCGAACAATTAAGCTAACTTATGTGTTTCATTATAGAACGACCGGGTCGCCATCCTCCAGCCCACCGCTCATCCCAGTACGTATACCTATCCCACAGACGGACGGACGACCGCAGACACGCGAGCGAGGGGTCACGCCACCGTGAACGAAGGCTAACCAGCAACAGCATCCGAAGAACTCGCCATCGGCAACAACCGCTTCACGACCTTCGACCTGGGTGGTCACCAGCAGGGTGAGTTACACCTCTCATCTTATAACGATGCAATCAGGAATTAAATGTGAAAAACAGCTCGTCGCCTGTGGAAGGACTACTTCCCCGAAGTTAGCGGTATCGTTTTCCTCGTTGACGCTAAGGATCACGAGCGTTTCCCCGAGTCCAAGGCCGAGCTGGACGCCCTCCTCGCCATGGAAGACCTGGCCAAGGTTCCCTTCCTGGTTCTTGGAAACAAGATCGACCACCCCGATGCTGTTAGCGAGGATGAGCTCCGCCACCAGTTGGGGCTGTACCAGACCACGGGTAAGGGCAAGGTCCCTCTCGAGGGTATCCGGCCCATTGAGGTGTTCATGTGCAGTGTTGTCATGAGACAGGGTGAGTTGACTCTTCCTACGATGCGGGTGCATTTCAGGAGCTAATTATTCTGTGTTACATAGGATACGGTGAGGGTATCAGATGGCTGTCCCAATACGTCTAAGTTAGCTAGCTAGCTAGCTAGCCAGCTGTCTGCTCACTGCCATATATCTCATCCCCTCGATTCTTATCCTCTACCCGACTATTCCCCTTGAACGCGGTCCTCTTATCTTCTTTCCACCCCCGTGGTGAAAGAAATCCAATATATCCCATCCAGTTCAATGAAAAGAACCACTACATCAACCAGACAGGCCACTCAGCCGCTTGAAGAAAACACTTACTCGCTAGGCGTAATTGTTCAATAATCTTTCCTGTTGTGGCCTTGTCCCTAATCTCCAAACCACCTCAGTTCATCTGAACCATCCAATCTCAATCAAACCAATTCTTTCCATCTTCTACATATGTTATTGCGATCTCATGCGTCTCCGGCTTTTGCTTTGCTTTGATTCAGTCATATCTACTGCTATCTGTCGACCTTCAATGCCGTCTATCCGTCTCGTTGTAGCCTTCCTCCCCATTCGTTCTCTCCTTACTCATCTCTGAAACCAAACGAACAAAGAAACCCACCTCTTCCCTCCTCCATGTACTGTAACTAATACTTAGTTACCGCAAGTTCCTTACCTAGCTAGATACGATCGAAAACGCGCAATGAAAATACATACAAACAGTAACCCCGATTCTAAATACGTGCCAGCCAGATCCTTCCGAGTCATGCATGCGTCGGATCGATACTTAAAAAAATTCCTTCCCATGAATAAATCAATGCATGATGGTGGGAAATGTAAATAGATATAGACTCAAGATGAGGTAAAATACAATAAATAATAAATAACAAGGACAACAACAATACACGCGGGCCGGGCAAAACACCCCCCGGTTATTTCCATGATTCACTAGACGGGTTGGTGATTCTCCTTTTTTATCTGTTCATGCAGTCATCCATGCATCCGTTTATTTCCGTCGTTGTGCTCTTGCTCTTTCTCTTTTCTTCCGCGAGGTCCATATCTCGTAGGGTAGCGTAGGTAGGGATGTTGGTAGTGTAGTCCGGATCGGGGTCGCGAGGTGGTGTGGTGGCGTGGTTGTCATGTTCGCGGGCGGGGTCGAGGGCCTAGCCACTGGGTGGGGAGGTAGGTAGGGTAGGTCAAGTGGCTAGATGGGGGGAGGAACGGAGGCAGGAAGAGGCAGAGGGGAATCTTGGCTTGGGACGCTCGAAGGACACGGGCGTGTCGTTGCTTATTTGGTTGGCATTACACTCACAGGAAGATTTTAATAAAAAACGCACATGGAAAACACCAGATGCAGCCCGTCGCTTCCCCTTCCTGTCAAATGAATTCGGACAACACAAGTCGAAAAAAAATGGGAGCAAGGAGAAAAATGGGTAAGAGAGGAAGCGAAGAATGAAGATGAACAAGAAAAAGAAAAACACCAACCCCTACTTGGAGCAGAAACTACCTTCCAGATAGAAATGAAACACATTCAGCGGGAAAACAATGACTTGGGAGTCGCTGGAGTCTGGTATGCGCGGAGGGAGTTGTGACGTTCTGCGTGTCGTGAGGTTTATTGGGCGGCTAGGTGTACTGCTGCTTCCGATCGTCTAATGTATGGCCTTCGAATGTCGTTGGGGGCTTGGGTCTTTCGTGTGTTGTGACATTGTGGGACTTATGACGTTCTTATCTCCGCCCGAACCTGCTGCACATGGAAAAGCTCGTATGATTCCTTACTTCTTCTTTTGCTTTCGCGGAGGAGTGATGGGCCTGCCTGAGCTCATGCCCCCGTAAACGTACTTTTGTTTCTTTTCTGCTGGCTTCAAGATCTGGATGCGAGCAAATGCGGGTTAGTCACATATCATCGGAGGCGAGATCCAATCGGGGCGGCCTACCTGGAAGGAACAGAGTAGGCTCTCATCGACGCTCATCATTGCACCAGCGTTATCGAACTCGCCACAGTAGTTAGGAGCACTGAATAGCGTGACCAGCTGTCTCTTTGAGAAGAACTCATAGCCATCCTCAACGACCTGGTGCGCGCGACATATCAGGTCCATATCGTGTTTCTGGAGGAAGCGCGATACGACGTCCGGACCGAACGTGAATGAAACACCACGATCATTTTCGCTCCAACCGGTGATGTCCTTATCCGGGTCGGACCACAGCAGGTCACACAGGAGACCGCAGTCAGGAATCTATCTTCGTTAGCAGGTGAAGCCTAGAGCTTCCAAGAGCCTGGCAGAGAATTTTGTCGCTCCTAGAGCCTTCTAGAAGAGAGAGAAAATGGGATGGTCTTCATTTTTGGCAAGTGAAAGACCGCACAAGCCGGAACGAAAGGAGCACTTACATCAGTGGGGCGCATCACACGACGGATCTGCTCCATCGAGTTCAGGTCGGGACTCAGACCGCCGTGCATGGTGAAGATCTTCTCATCAATGATGGCCGCAATGGGCAGGCAGTTGAAACAATCGGTGAAGGTCTTCCACAACTTGATGTTGTAGCGACGCTTGCACTCATCATAGAAACCATAGATACGGTTGATGGACGCACACTCGTGGTTGCCACGAAGAACGAAGAAGTTCTCGGGGTACTTGATCTTGTATGCCAGAAGCAGGCAGATTGTCTCGAGCGACTGCTTGCCACGGTCGACGTAGTCTCCCAGGAACAGGTAATTGGCCTCGGGCGGGAAGCCACCGTATTCGAAAAGGCGAAGAAGATCGTAGTACTGGCCGTGGATATCACCGCAAATCTATTGAGCGCCGCCGAGTTAGGCTCCGCAGTCGATGGCGAGAGGACCCGACCTGCCGCGTCGAGCGAGGGATGACGTTACCTTAATGGGTGCTTCCAATTCGAGCAGTATGGGCTGAGAGATGAAGATCTCTCGGGCCTTGGTGCAAAGATAACGGATCTCCGACTCCAGAAGCTGCACCTGCTTGCCAGGTCGGCTGCCCCTCACCTCCAACAATCTATCAATGATCGAGTCCAAATCCACTTCCTGGTCGGCCATGATTCAGCGGCTCCAACGAGAGACGACGGTAACGAGAGGGAACGAGAAGAGGGAAAACGAAAAGGAAGAAAAGAAAAAGAAAAAAGGGTCAATTAAGACAAGCGTTTGACAACGGAAGAAAGGAAAGGGCGCGAAGGGAAGCTTTGCGGAGCGCTCGGTAGCGATACGACTGATGACGCGGCGTCTATAGGCTGTGACAACAACAAGGTCAGGTTAGAAATTGCCCAGAGGGTTCGAAGTAGACGGCGGGATGGAGATGAGAAGGCAGAGAGGAAGGAGACGCGTGATCAATGCGCCCGGGAAATTTTTTTCAAGCTGGTCTTTCTGGATGGCGGGTGAAACGGCGCCGGAGGGGAGGGGGCAGACCGGCTTACCAAACAGAATCTAAAAAGACAAGGGGAATCAGAAGGCGGCAAGAGGCCAAAAGGCCTGGAACACTGAGCGGAGATCGGACAGCGATGGCAGATGGCGGAGGAAGAATAAAGCAGCCTTGTTCACACGGGGGAGGGAGAGGAGGAGGGCGATGCGCGTTGATAACGGCGAGATGCGGCTAGCAAGGTTTTGAGGGATATCGCTGGGCGAAGGCTGCTCTGGACGGGGCCGTTGCAAAAAATAGCAGTAGGCGGCGGGCGAACAAAGTTGGGCTTGGTTTGGCTCGGGGGGGTTCTCTGTTTGGTGTGGGCGGGTTGGAGGAGGAACACCAGACTGGAGTCGCTCCAGAAGAATCTCTGCACCTGGTGGCGTGAGGGGGGTGTGTGAGGGAAACGGTTTGATCTGGTCAGGTAGAGGGGGGAACGATGGAGGGAGGGAGGGAGGGAGAAGAAAGAAAGAGAGAGAGAGAGAGAGTCTGAGTCTGAGAGGGTGGATGAATGGATGGCAATCAAGGGATCGATCGATCTCGCGCACTCGATGGCCTGAGGGAACAGAGTCGAGGCTGAAAAATTTTCGCGAAATTCCACGAGAAAGAGAAGCAGCAGAGCAAAGCGATGTGAAGGGAGATTGGATTGGGGCAAGCAACTGGGGACAGAGGAGGACAGCAACAAAAGAGACAAGCTCACCAGCGACGCGCGCGAGAGAATCAATCAGCAAGCAGCAGGCGAAGTCGAGCGACAGGAAGCACAGCAATGGAAAGGGAGAGAGCAGCAACTCAAGACTTGCGCCGGGCGATGGCAAAAGGGAACCGCCCCGGCCTCGTGGTCGACCGCCCTGATTGGCTCCTCCCCCGGGCGGCAGGCGGCGGTTCTTTTCATCTCGAGTCCAACGCCAATCTCGTATACCTCAACCATCCTCCTGCTGAGGTCCTGTCTGGAACCCTCCTAGGGCATCTCTCTCTCTCTCCGTCTCCAGCTTCCTATTCTTATCAAACCACCTGTCTTCGTCTCCTACCATCGCCCTCACCCGCGACACTCATCCCAGACCACCCCCAACCCCAGACCTTCCCCGACCTCGACCGTTGCTCCTGCAAGGGAGCACCGCCAATCGATGCCGCGATTCCCTTCATTGCAGCAGAAGAGCGCCACCCGCTCCAAAGCTGTCCCCACGACCCTCAACTCGAGCTGGAATACTCAACATACCTGTGGAGGATCTTCCGACCCATTGTCTACCCATCATGTACATCCAGATTCCATCCCCTCGACTTACGTATGCCTGCCACCCCTGGGTCGCACGAGCACCTGCATGCTTTGCCCCAACCCTTCAACGCCGTAGGTGACCGAAAATCCCCGCACCCGAGACTTTCCTTCCAGAATGTCTCGATCGCTGTCCATTCCTACGCGCCCTACAAGCGGGGTCCTTCCCCTCTATCTACCGATGACGCACCGCACCTGATCCGAAAGTGCTCTGGGCACATTGCATTTCAATTATGGGCGCTACCGCCGGGGTGAGAACATCTGACTCGTCACAACATCTTCGTGTCTCATGCATTAGGTCCGAATCTCATCATGGGTCTGCAAAGACCTGCAAAACAATCCGTAGGAATCAGCACCACGGGAAATGAGTATACATCCTGAAGAATCAATGGCCCTCCCATTCCTGCACGGAATGGGAGGAGCAGCAGAAATGACAATGACCGAAAGCGAACAGGCAAACGTGCACAAAGCAAACACCAGCAACGCCCAGACACCAGCACTCCTGTCCCAAATACAATACAAGCCGTCTAGAAGAAGAAGAGAAAGAGGTAATCCTATCAGATGGACCAGCCGGGAACGGTCGGATGCGGGCCGGAGGAGGTATATAACCACGGAGAAGCAAGAGAGGAGTGGGAGAGGGAGGAGAAAGATGAAGTAGAAAAGAAGAAGAAACAGCCAGGGGTTCACGCATCCGGTCCGTAAGCTCTGAAAGATCACCTAACGCCGTCAATGATGCGGTTCAGCAACCAGTTGCGAGAAGCATATCGTCAGGGGTCTGCGTGTATAAGGTCGTATATTCAAAAGCCGGAATGGTATCATGGAAGAACTGCGTTTTCGAAGCCAAACGGAACTTTTCTCCGGGGTGTAAGACGGGTAACCGAAATCTCAGACTTAGTAGCGGCCATGGATGGGGCCATGATGTTCTTTGCTCCCTTATTCCTTCAATCTCTCTCCTTCCCTTCATTTTCCTTTTTTTGTACTGTTTTCCGGTTTTCGTCTTTTCTTCTTTGCTTTCGTCGATTTTTCTTGCTTTTTTTGGGGGGGCTTTTTTTCATTTTTTCCCTTTTGACTTGTTCGACTGCCCGTTTAACTCAAGGCATGGCCGCCGCTCAAGATGACTTGGGGATTCACCCTCGTCAAAGAGTCAACGGGGATCCTGGTTGGGTCGTTGTAATCGGGCCCAGTACAAGATACGTTGATATCCGTCTGCGCATCCTTCCACCGGTGGTCCTCGAGCGTTCTAAGCCAGCTGTTTCCAAGCTCCTGCCTAAGAACCTCTAGTTGCCGTCTGTAGAAATCACTATCCACGGCCCAGTCTTTACTCTGGGGTGCATGTTGGAGATCTAGACAGTCTTTTGTCTGGAGGGCAGAAGGATTTCGGTCAACATCTGTCTTGTCCGGACTCTTGGGACTAACGGGTCTGGCCTGAGGTCCACCATCAGATTTCCATTGACGGTCGGAAGGTGTCGTGACAAACGGATCAACAGGTAATTGCACAGGCTGGACAGAAGGAATAGAAGGCACCACCGCACCTGAATCACGATGACCATCAGTCGAAGGCTTTTCAAGAGGCCGATCGGCGATCTTCCGCCGAGCACCCTTCTTCCGACGAGTAGATCCCACTTCGATGCCATTCTGCCCCACTCGTCCTATGTGCCCGATTTGTTCGTAAAGCAGCGGAGGCTCCTGGGTGGCAGTGTGCAATGGTTTGCTAACGACGGCAGAAAGATCTGCCGCGACGGATCGTATGACGGGTGCAGCTTCGGGCTCAGCAGCTCGGTCCACCAACTGCTTCCGCTCGGTATATCCTGGCCCCGATCCATCAATGATGATGTCTTCGGAATAACCCGGAGTACGTCGGAACAAGTTGAAGATCACAACACGGTAGTTCGAGTGCGTCTTCACAAAGGGATTGCCAGAGACCCAAATCTCCCGTATCTCAGGGAGATTGGTAAGCCTAGCAATTTCGGTAGGATCGGTGAGGTTGTTATCTCGGAGGTCGAGTCGCTCCAAAGAAAGCAGCCTCTCAATGCCCGCGAGAGATCGAAGACGGTTACCACGAAGGTTGAGTGCGGTGATTGCGGGAAGGGGATTGCGAGACACAGAGTGAAGCGATTCGATCATGCAATGTGAGAGGTTCAAAGCCCTCAAAGCAACTAAAGATGCGAGACTGTCGGGTACTTCGGTGAAGAGATTCGTGGATAGGTCGAGGGACTGTAATGTATTGGCAACTGGGGCAAGGCTGGCGGCAGTAATAGAGGTCAGGGAGTTGTCGGGAAGGCCGAGGTGTCGCAAAAATCGCCATTTGGATGCCGGCAAGACACCAGCGAGAAGATTCGAAGAGCTTCCGTTGCGGTGACCCGAGGTTTCGCTGGAGTTGGAACTACCTGACCCAGTACGTCTGATCCGAGAGACATTTCCACGGCTGTGTCGATAAGTCGAATGCTTTGAGCTGGTAGGACGGGAAGGAGAAATGCTTCCGGTCCGTGGGCGAGCTTTGGACCCCTCTGATGCCATCCTGATCATAGACGCCGACTGAGGACTCGAGCTGGTTCCGAACGGTGCATCTGCAACTGGTGATCCAGGTGCAGAGAGCGATCCAGAGAGCTCGGATTTGTGTACAGGCTGAGGATTTGCGTTTCCACTCCAGCTCATCATTGGCGAGTGATGGTGCTTGGATGACCGCCGGCGGCGTTTGTCAATGTCATCCAGCACGATGCCTGTAAGCAAGTCGGCCGGGTCTTCGATCTTGGCCCTCTTGACGGTCAGCGTCCGCAACTGCTCGGATAGCCTATCCCAGCCGAAGAACGAGCGAAAGTCTATATCAATAATCTCTAACGCGCTCAGGTTCTTAAAGGCATGCAAGGGGACGGCTGTATCAAAGGGGAACTCTTCGTAGCCACGGATTAACCGGGCACGACGGTCGGGGGCTAAACGCAGGCATGGGATCTTGGTAAAGGCAGAGTATAGGTATTTGGTATCCGCTTCTAGAGCAGCCTTGGCCTTTTCCGATTTGGAAACCGAGTCTTTGGAACCCAAGCCAATCGAAGACCAAAGCGAACTCATACCGGACATGACGCTACGGACACTGGACACGGAGTGGATAGAGTCCCGGTCACCACTGGATCGCTGAGGCTTATTCAGGAAGGACACATAGGACTGTGACCCGTCCGTGTGGATGTTCTCCAGCCTAACATTCAGAGGGCCCACGGCAATGGAAAGTTCTTCGAAACGGGAGAGGAGGTAGAATAGATGATGGGGGGTGAGGGTAAGTTTGGCAGGTTTGACATTCTGCGAGGTGAATTTTAGTGCCCCGAAGGACAGGGCCGCTGCCAGGGTTGAGGACGCCGAGCTCGACGAGCCCGACTGGGTATGTGTAGATTGCGCATTTTTTGTCGGCTGGCGCCTCAGTTGCAGCGCATTCGCAAGCGCCTTTTCATGGGTTCGCACGAAGCTAGCAAGGTTCTAGAAGAAAGATCAAGGTTAGCAAAGCCGTGCGGGGGACACTGCGGGATGAACCAGGGAAGACTGTGAGATGGAGGGCACAAACTTTTATGAAGAGCTGTCCATCTTCAGTGTTCAGCTTCTCCATTACGGAAATCGCTTCGCCCAACGAGACAAAATCTATCTAGTTAGGCGGACTCTGAAGAGGAACGCTCATATACTCGTAGCAAGGACAGCGAGAGTCGACATCTTGCTGACCAGACACAGAGCGAAATGAGAAAGCGACCTGTAAAAATAGAGAAGAAGCGAGAGTCAGCCGTGACTCATTGAATAGCCCAAGGCGCTATGCCTCGTAACTGTAGTCGAGACGAAAGAGACAAGGCCGGGTTGTACCTAAATAGATATAGGGGGTGCCGAGTCGAATAAATTCACTAAGCCGCCCACAACGATGCAAGACTCCACGGAAGAGGGGAAGGAGGAAAGAGAAGTCTCGTATGTCAGGCGAGAAGAGAAAGCCTGTCGCCGGGACAAAGCTGAAGGAGAAAAAGAGGCGAGCTGAAGCAGGAGGGATCACCAAAAAAGGAGAAGATGGGTGGACTGGATAGAAAAAGAAAGGACCGGGGGAGCTAATATGCAAGCACCACGGACCTACGACGTACCAACCAGCCTAGACTAGTAGGTGGTACGTGATCGGGGAGGGGGGAAGGGACTGGGAGGGAGGAGTGGGTATGGATGAGCACCGGAGCAATCAGCTGAGGGGGGAGGGGCGTAGGGGTGGTAAGCCCGGGTGGATGAGCGACAAGGGAATTATTGTTGGCTGACAGGTGAGCAGTAGTATGCCTCCAAATTGTTTGGGAGGGCAGGGAGGGAAGAACAAAGGATGAAAGAAACGCAAGAAGCGGCGCAGACTCGTGATAAGTGCAGGTGTCGACTGCAAAATATGCCAATTCAGGAGAACGGGGGGGAAAGGAGGGAGAGGCAAAACGGACGGCTGGCGATACCTGGGACTAATATAATTTATTATCATATAGAATCCTCGCCTGTTATCTTGTCCTGCTTTCCCTTTGGTCAGGGAGCCGCTGCACCGGGCGCCGCCGTCCAGAGGTACATGCGTCCATGCATACATACGGTACGATACCGCCAGACCACGGCGGGTACGGGATACCACCCCATACTATACCCTCACTTTCCCTTTTTTTGCTTCCCTGCTGGTTTTGGCCCTTTTTGCCCCCATCAAATCACATCGCTCCTCTGCCGCGTCTATCAATCAGCCGGTGGCAACCTTCGGGAAGGGTTCGTTAAGATTCAGTTTGTTCGTCAACTTGTCCCTGCCTGGCGTCCCTATCAGAATGGAAAGCGCCTGCTACTAGATACGGACCCATACCTCCAATGACTGGTAGCCTTCTCCGGAAACTCTATCTAGCGGGGTATTCCGATTACTCAGGCCGGCTGGATATGATTAATTGATAAGCGATCTTCAAAATATTGGCATTTCTCATGGTAGTCCCCTCTCAGTACCATTGGACGGTCAAAGTTTCTTCATTGATATCAGTCGCCATTGGTTTCAGGATGAGCATATCAATGCAACGTTCTACCAGGGAGTGCCATTCTTCGGCTCTGCGTAGAGTGGAGCATCTTCCGAATCCCTCGAAGCGGGTATCCCGATCGCCGACCCTTGGACTTGGCTGATGCATTTACGGAGGACTAGTCAAGTAGTATACAGTCATAAGAATAGTAATCGACCAAAGGAATACTCCGTCCATCAGGGCGGAATGATGGAGTCAAACGCACACACCATGTTGATCAATTTGCCAAGTAACTAAGTTTGTAGGTAATATTTTTCGGTCGAAACCACAGAGCCAGCCCGGCTCCAGTATGATGCAGGCCGGGTGAAAAGTTTTTGATGTTGGATGGAGGGGGAAAAGAATGAAGAGCAGTGTTTGGTTGAACCGGGCGGTGCTTGGAGTGACCCGCCTCTTGGGCGGATGCAACTGTGCCGGCGGTAACTGGACGGTCCATGTCAAGTCGCCCCGTGATTGGCGGTGGGTCCCCAAACGTGCAGCTGATAGCGCCCTGGCGGACATTCATGTACATGTCCTTTGGACCAATCAGCGGGCGTTGTCCGGCACCTGCATGACGCTTTACTCGAGCAGCTCTAGACGATGGATTTTTAGCGACTTTCTCGAGGGAAAAAAGGGAGCAGGAGGACACCGGCGAGAGCCAAAATAACATCACGGACATTTTTAGGGGCTTCGAAGGATGTTGCTAAAAGTATACGGGCTAGGATAGGCAGCCTTGGATACCTACTAAAATCACTAAACCCGTACCTGAGGTACGTGACGGTTGTGACCATACAGTAGCGGCGTCGAGATAATTAAAAGGGAATCGGAATCGGACACATCTCAACTTTGGAACTTCTTTGCCTTGTCCGCATGGGGAGTCCGTTGCATCCATCGGCCATTGTCTGAAACTCGGAAAGCCATCTGTCCCTGGTTCCGAGGGCCCTATCCTTAATATGTTTCTATGTACGGACTTACGTACCTGGTTATCTCGCACTGACCTTTGACATTCTTCGGAGGCTCAAGTGGGTTTGTTTCTCGTCTTTTTTTATGATCAAGTGACCGCAAGCCCACCACCGTCGGTACATGATCGGGTCATCGGTCATCGGCCATGGCGAAGGGATCGCTCATTTGGCTTCATCGCCAGCCACGACGAATCATGGACACCCCGATCCAGAGCTCCGTACATTCAGCTGCCGGGGCGATGATGTACTGTGTGGTTATCTTGATTGCCAAACCTAAACCGCCGTCGTGTAGCGTTGAGGCCATTCATTGCCCCTTCCCGCTGTCAGTCACACCGCTTACCGACCATGTCCCATCATCACACCACATTCTTTCTCCGGTGCCCACCCCTCCTTGGAATAACATCATTCGATCCGTGGTACTGTGCCACTCTGGTCTTTAGGCGGTTTCATCATGCATATTGCATCCATACAGAGGCCCACGTTCCTGTGATCTTCGATAGCATCGATCGCAACGAGGGGCTGACGCTGAACTCTGAGGAATGACGTCCATGGATACCTCTCAGATGGTCTGTGATCGTTGGTTGCCTTTACTGATGGCCAAAAAGTTTCCGGCACGCGGTTTCCGTCCTACTACGGAGGATTTGTCCCAACGTCCAGTAGTAAGTCGACTCTACCGTCGGTAACCATGACAGCGTGGAAACCTCCAGTAATTATTCCATGTTTCATGATCATGCATTAGACGTCTCCGTGCCTTACCTCTTTGCAACTTACTACGGTTGGTAACTGGGGCCGTCTTTTGCCCCTGTTTCTACGGAAAACGGAGTACTTTCTGGCCCCATCGAGTCGATAGATAGATGACAAGGCAACACCATTGCAGGACTATGGCGTGCAGATGCCTAGAGACTTCGGGTGCGTCCTCGATCGGACGTGGTTATTCGGCCGCCTATGGCTGAAGGCTGAAGGAGCGGTGTTGCCAATCAGAACCTTCTTCCTCGATTTTCGAAGCGCATCCGCATGGTTCTTCAAATTTGCCATGCGCTTCGCACGCTAGGAGTCGTGTTCCAGGTCTTCATCCATAATTTGTTTTGATATTATGCGAGGAGTCCCAGTGGCTCTTCCTTGTTTACTCGCATCCCTGCTTGAACGTGTCTCACATACTGGGGGTAAAACCCTGAAGGCAAATGTCCGGACAGACTCCGATGTAGGAATGCTGGTGTTGGTACACAGTCGATGGTTGGAATGGGGACCGGCCTCACTGTTGTTGCGCCCTCCAATGAGTCTCGACCATGAAGGGGGGCACATGACCTTTATGACATCTGATCTGCCCGAGAGTGGAGGCAGGAAGACTTCCTAGGTGAAATTATGGAGGCCGCTACGGACGATAGAATGATAGAATGATTGATAGAGAGTGGCCGACCCGGTCACTAAACACTCACTAAGTGACTAAAGTCAACAGGAAGAAAAGGCCGGCCCGGGTGTGGAAAACCGAGGTGGAACCGGGGGAAATCTGACGACTCAAAAGGCGGGTCTCCACTGCAGTCAACCGCTCGAATGATCAGCAGTCGTTCGCGACTCTCGTGCCAATCAAAGCCGACATCGCAGCCCATTGGCAATTTTTTTCCTTCCCCGTAATGACTAGCGACTGCAGGGAGAGGCGCCAAGGATGAGGGCGATGAAGAACAGGCTGTCTCTGCGTCCTGTGCATACGTACCACCGTCCATCCGTATGGTGCATACGAGCATACGGGACCAAGGAAGGAAAAAAACCACCGAGGCGCGATCTTCATGCATTAGTCGCAAAGTGGAAGAACACGGGCGCAGCTGGAGGTTGAGTTATGGAATGATGGGGATAGGACTTGGCCCTGCTGCATCCCACCACTTTGGGCTAGCGAGCCTTGTTCAGGGTTCATGATAGATAACTAAAGTATACTATGGTAGAGGGTTGTGGTGGCTAAGGTTCAACGTTAACGGGTTCCCAAGCGGCTAACGCGCGAAAAGGGGAAAACCGAAGCACCGTTGGTGGTTTCCTGTTGAGCGGTGTTGCTATCCGGTTTGTGGTGAATAACTGCAAGATGTATAGGCTACTTGTTGTGTCTGCTGGACACTGCGATAAGAGCCATCGAGGGAAAAAGCAAGTTGCGCAGGTATCTCCTCTGCCATCATCATCATCATGGCATGATGCGATTGCGGATGACACCAAGCGAGTTGGCTAAATCCAGCAGCCGACCAACCACTAGTAGGGCACCAGATCAGCACCATGCAAGAAGAACTCTTTAGCTGGCTGAACCCTACAATGTTGGCGGGGTATCTATGTCTTAGGGGGGTTTTTAGTCCGCAGTCCCTGCAAATCATTCGTCTTCTGGATTCGTCTGGCACGGTATGATGCGTGGTCTACTATGAACAACCAATTCCACGGGGCTCTGTGGCACTCTCCAAGACTCACAGACCACCGGTAGAAGTCTCCGATTGTTGAACACTTGGAGAGTCGGTAAATTTACCCCGCAATGTTGATTGCGAACGCCATCAGGAATAGATACCGACAGGGTATACCTGCCGCCAATCGAACCCATGCTCCCAGCCATGCCTCGTGCGCCTTGTCACACCGATATATTAATATACAGACCGACGGCCGGTTGAAATTCGGGCGGCTAGGGTGAAATGGTGCTTTTGGAGGGGGAGGGGGGCAACGGCACTGAATCCGGATGGTGGGTAGAACCTGTCATGGCAACACACGGGCGCCCAGCTGAGGCCTCGGCTTTTACGCAACACCACGACGACCGTGCTGGATCCATTGGGGACCGGGTTATCACGCAGGCTGCTATAGGTCGGATGGAGCAGTCTGCTGGGCCTGTCGCCAGTCATGCTGATAGTTGGTCGCTCGCCGATCCCGCGTGTTCTTCCAACGTGTGCGTGTGCAATACACATTCCAATGCTCCCCGGATTTCAGCGGCAAAGCATGTACATGGCAGGCATCTGATCACGTAATCCTGGTTGCTCTCTGATGATCATGGTCACTTGGGAAGTGATTTGCAGGCTTCTTCGTCTGCAATGTCGATCTATCACAACACGGACCATCCAGATAGACAGGTAGGACTTGATTCTGAAGTGATGTGCTGCACTGCTGAGACTTTGAGTTGGGTGTACGAAGTACTGTGTGCTAGTATCAGGCGCATCTGTTTCGGTGGTATAGATCAAAACCGTCTGACATCAACGATATGACGCAGCTGTATTGCTTGTTCTGCAGCATGGTCCAGCTTCAACCGAGACCTAGGCCTCCCGTGGCTGATTGTGGAATGAAAGTCTGTGCAAAGCTGATACGCTCGCATCCCTGACCATACTGGTTGGTCATATTGTATCGCCTTAAGAGTCGGTGAGGCTGTTAGCACCGGGAACTCTCCGCTGGATGAATTTCTTCCTGAGGCTCGTTGGCGCGTGCCCAGCCCCACTTGCCTAGCCACATCCACTCATGTCACGGGGCACCGTGGCGGTGCCCCTCTCTGACGTCGACGCCTCCAGTGCGCGTCACTGACCCTCCGCAGGATTATCTTTCCTCCCAGCAACATCATGCATCATTATCATCAATCATGAACTGGGCAGAGAAGCCACCGGCGGGTGAGGCTCACGATCCCAGTACGATACCGGATTACGACCGCGACTTCCTCAATCCCGACGACTTGCGCCAATTCGAGAATGCCTTGACGGACCAAGGGGCGTCACCGCTGGTTGCCCTCAACGACTGGCGCCCCATCTACCAACGGGTCCGGAGAGGCCGTGGTCGCCGTAAAGGGCCTAGGCGAACCAAGGATGAGACACGAGAAGGTGTGCTGTACACGGTTCTGAAGTGGCCCTTTCTGTTCACCGTCTTTGGCTGGATCGCGGTCCTCGCCTTCGCCTACACCTTGACCCGCGTCTATATCTTCCTCTACGAGCAGTGGATAACCTGGCGGGGCAGACGGCAAAGCCTGAGGCGACAGTTACACGCGCAGACGAATTATCGCGATTGGCAGAAAGCCGCACAAGCCCTCGACGATCACCTGGGGAACCAGAGGTGGAAGGAGATTGACGAATACGCCTACTACGATCACCTCACGATCAGCAATCTGGTCGACCAGTTGAGGAAGGCTAGGAATGAGGCTGAGCGGGAGATACGCGTGGGACACACCCGCCCAGGCGAGGGGCCTGCGGCGGAGGAATTATGCACACTCTTGGAAGCGTGTGTCAAGAACAATTTTGCCGGGGTGGAGAATCCCCGGCTCTACAGTGAGGCATACTCGGGTACCAAGAACCTGGTACAGAAATACATTGACGAGTTGCATGCGTGCATTCAATTGGTTGCCGACTCGAAGGTGATCAGCAGCGAAGACAAACTACAGCATTTCAAGCATTTGGACACCAATTTTGGACGGACCGCCCTCTGCCTCTCGGGAGGAGCGACCTTTGCGTACTACCACTTTGGGGTGGTTCGAGCCCTTCTTGATAACGAGATTTTGCCCGAGATCATCACGGGGACATCTGGAGGAGCGCTGGTCGCTGCATTGGTTGCTACCAGAACGGACGAGGAGTTGAAGCAGCTACTCGTGCCGGCCCTGGCACATCAGATCAAGGCATGCCATGAGGGTTTCCTGGCTTGGGTACGGCGATGGTGGCGGACCGGAGCGCGATTCGACACTCTAGACTGGGCCCGACAATGTAGCTGGTTCTGCAGAGGCTCGATGACGTTCCGGGAGGCGTACGAACGAACCGGACGGATCCTGAACGTGTCTTGTGTCCCGTCTGACCCTCACTCGCCTACTATTCTGGCCAACTACCTCACCTCCCCTAATTGCGTGATTTGGAGCGCGGTGCTCGCTTCTGCGGCAGTCCCTGGCATTCTGAATCCCGTCGTTTTGATGACGAAGAAACGCGACGGCACCCTTGCGCCGTACTCTTTCGGGCATAAGTGGAAGGATGGCAGCCTGCGCACTGACATTCCAATCAAGGCGTTGAACCTCCACTTTAACGTCAACTTTACCATCGTTTCGCAGGTAAGACTTTCATGCCATCCTGCTATATACGCTAATATGATCTTCGATAGGTCAACCCTCACATCAACCTCTTCTTCTTTAGCTCGCGAGGCGCGGTAGGCCGACCGGTCACCCACCGGAAAGGACGCGGCTGGCGTGGAGGATTCCTCGGATCCGCGATAGAACAATACATCAAGCTAGACATGAACAAATGGCTCCGCGTGCTGCGACACCTGGAACTCCTTCCCCGTCCGATGGGCCAAGACTGGAGCGAGATCTGGCTGCAGAAGTTCAGCGGTACCGTCACCATCTGGCCGAAGACGATTCCGTCTGATTTCTACCACATCCTCTCCGATCCCAGTCCAGAACGCCTGGCCCGGATGCTGCGCGTGGGCCAGCAGAGTGCGTTTCCGAAGATCCAGTTTATCAAGAACCGACTCAAGATCGAGATCGCGGTGGTGCGCAGCTTACAGAAATTCGCGCACGCCGGCGGCAGGGCGATCTCACCGGCGCCGTCTCGCTGGCGCCAAAACGACGACCCCACTGATCCCCTGTCCGAGCGTCTAGACCATAACCTTCCGGAACGCCGAGTGGACTGCGCGGTCGGCGAGGAGTCGCATTTACTGGACGGGGCGTTGTCAGATCATTCGTCCGGGGAGTCAGCGACGTCCCGATTGCGGGTCCCGGAACCCCGTCGGGGGAGTACGGGGAGTATTTTCGAGGAGATGCGCCGTCAATCTGCGGTGTTTTTCGACGATATGGACCTGTCGGGGGAAGACGAGACGGTTAGACCCGGATGATTGTCTTTGGTGCCTGTGCCTGTGCCTGCTAATTTCCGTCAGGAAGAAGCTATATGGTCGGAGGTCAGGCCGAGGGGTCGGGTACCGGCACCGACACTAGAACCAGGTACATACTCGAACCGTACGAGTATATTACTTGAGATGCATGGTTGTATATAATATATTAAATGAGCTATTTCCTTCTTATCTTTCGTTATGCAGTCATCCGCGGGATTGTTGCTATGCCCGGTATGCACTCACCATGTGCTTATGTTACTCCGCATATACCAGACAAGTCGTACCCGTAGATACACAGTAGTATAGTATAGTACATGTTGTTTGCTATACTCTGTACACACGGACCATCACCCCAGACGGGGCTCCAGTTCGTACTCCCATGCAGTACAACCCCAAGCCTATATCAGGTCTACTTAGCCTAGGCTAACTGACAGAAAGAGACTATTCTACGCTATGAGCTATGAGCTATCTAAGGAGTACATCACGCTCTTATCGACATAGTCAACTCGAATGATGCCATTTAACTAACTTAGTTCAAACCTAGACCCAGTCTCAGGACAAGGATATAGATAGTAGATAGCGAAGTAGATAGGATAAAGTATCTACCTACCCCTAATACCCAAGAGACTGCCCAAACCAAACCCTCCATCTCATCACCAACACCTCCCAACCCCCATTCCCCAAACCAAAAGGGACTGAAAGAAAAAAAAGAATGACGGACATAAACCACCAAACCCACCTCACCCGCCTTTCCCAACTAACCCGCCTCACCCAAGCCCACAACCTCCAAACCACCAACATCACCCCACTCGCATACCAACCCCTGGGCCCCTGTCCCTACAACAACTTCATCTACAAGCTCGAACTCACCCACCCCCCTGATCCATATACCTTCCACAACCCTGAATCCCCCAATTCCAATCCCGATCCCAATCCCAAGCTCCATCCCTACATCTCCCCCCTCCCCAACGATGAAAAGATATTCGTGTTGAGGATGAATAATCCCCTCGCGATGGGGATAAACCCCCTCTCTGATCGCATCGAGAATGAGATTCTGGCGATGGGGATGGCGAGAAAGGGGCTGGATACGTTGAGGGATGGGTTGGGGGGTGTTGTGCCGAGGGTGTATGCGTATTGTGCGAGGCCGGAAGGGGTGGGGGAGTTGCCGTGGGTGTTGATGGAGTATAAAGCGGGAGTGGCGTTGGATGAGGTGTTTGGGGGGTTGGAGGGGGGTGTGAGGGGAGAAGTGTTGGGGCAGGTTGCGGATTTGGTGGCTGGGTTGCGGTTATCTGGGTTGGGGTTATCGAGGGGTGTTGAGGGGGTGTATGGGGGGTTGGGGGTGAGGAAGGATGGGGAGGGGGATGGGGATGAGGAGGGAGGGATAGTCGGGACGGAAATGACGATGACGAGGGGAGGGCCGTGGAAGAGCTATGAGAGAATGCTTCAGGCGAGGTTGAGGCATGAGCTGGGGGATGCGGAGCAGAGCCCCGTGATAAACGGGTGGAGGGAGAATGGGGTGAAAGAGCGGTTGGACAGTTTGATTGAGAAGTTTACACTCGGGGAGGAATTGGGATTGGGCTTGGAGGAGAGGGTATTGGTTCATGGGGATTTGAGTAAGTACTTCACCCACTTAGCCATACCAACTACGATACACTCAAGTACTGATACTGGGATAGCAATGAACAACATCCTCATCTCCCCAACGACTCACAAACTCACCGCCCTCCTCGACTTCGACTTCGCCTGTATCGCGCATCCCGCGCACGAATTCCTCGTCTCGCTGCAAGATCTCGGCGGCAATATCATGGGTCCGTATGGTGAAGATCCCACGCAGGGCAAGCTGTCGGCTGCTCTCCTGTCCGGGGATTTCAGTGAAGAGGTCCCCGGGACGCTGTGGTGGACGGGAAAGACGTTTAATGAGATGTTGAAGGACCGGGGAGTGAAGAGACCGTGTGATATGATGCCGGGGATGGAGGTGCTGCGACAGTGGAGAGCGCTGGAGCAGCTGATCTGTCCGTTTCATTTGGCGGCGCCGTTTATTGTCCAGCGGATGTCAGAGGAGCAGCGAGCTGGGGCGAGAGCAGCTGGGGAGGAGGAGCTGGTGGCTCAGATGGAGGCTCTAGAAAAGGTCCTTGGGGTTGCTTCTTAGTATATCCAAGATGTTGTAGCTGGTATAGTTAGGAATGGGCAAATTGTATGACTCCGAGAAGTCCTGTTTGTATGTATCTAATGTCAGGAATAGCACTGTATTACCGTCGCCTCTGGTAAGTACACCGGTAATTACTCTGGTCAAGCAGATTGGACAATGATCCCCTTGTCAGTCACTGCCCCTATGTCATGCTGCATGGTCAGGAATTGCCACTGTCAGACCTACAATGTAGGTACGCATACAAGCATGTCCACTTGACAGCCTTGGGAGGAGTAAGATGGTCATTTGACATGCAGGTCATCTGGTGTAGTTACATTGCACAAAGTACGTGCATTAAAATAGCCCAGGAGGGGGTGGCCGCGGCTGCATTAGCATAGCTGCTAGCAGGGCTAGCAGGCTCCGTGCACATAGGTACATTTGCCACAAGTCATCAAATCACCAGCCATTTGGCCGTGACCTTCTGCGCGGACTCGTAATCCCCGCTCAGCGCATAGATAATCTGCAGCGCTACCGCCGCTTCCCGCGAAAAGTCCTCCACAAAGGGTGTCCGCCCGGCCTCGCCCATGACGACATCGGGGCCGTCCTTCGAGAGGGCTTGGGTTTGTGCCTGGATCTGTGCGCCGAGCTCGAGCACCAACTGGTAGCCTTCGGTGGCGAGATGGGCCAGGCCCAGGCTATGCCATACGCGGGCAAAGTTGAATTCCATCTCCTGCCGCTCCGACAGGAGCGTGCCCGGTCGTTCGCGGACCCGTCGATACTCGTGCATGAACGACAGCCCCTGCATGATGAGGTAATGTCGGTTCTCGGACTGACGTTTGAGGGAATGATGAATGTAGCAGAGCGCGATGGAGAAGAGCACGGCTGGGTTCTGGTCGTCGAGCGCGTAGGCGCGGAAGAAGTAATTCAGCGCTGGGTAGAAACTGTTTCCCGAGTAGAGGATGTGGCCGTACAACACAAGCAGGGCAACGTCCATTTCATCGGCCGGGATGGCCTCGCCGGTGATTTCATCACGAGTGGACAAGGATGCGCGTTCCTTGTAAATCGACTCGCGGACAGCCCTGCTCGGCCGGTCACCGGTCACCTCGTCCGGCAGCGTAAAGTCCATGGCCTTGATCTGGCGCAGCATGAACTTCATGTTCGGCGAGGAGTGGAAAAGAGACCGGTGGGGATCCCCACTGAGGCGACTCAACATGGAAAACAAGCGATACGTGTCGGTCACGAATTGGTACTCCTTGATGAACCATCGTGCTTCGTTGGCAAGCGTCTCTTCATCCTGCATTCGGAGCGCACAAGCTAGACAGTCAATATCCGACCTTACAACGGGACAGGAAACTCACTGAACCAGCAGATGTGAATCATACGGGTGTCCGGCTTGGAGTGATACCAGACGCTGGCATCGGCCGCAGCTGCAAGCGAATCATACGCTTCATCGGATTCGCCCTGCGCGGCCACGGTCAGGGCGTACTGCAGGAATAGGTCGAGCCACTCGTTGAAACTGATTCCGTAGTAATCTGTCGGTATAGCTCCTTGGAGCGGCTCTTCAGGCATACTCCCTAGATGATGGTCAGCGGGGCCATGCGATGGAAGGGTATATCTACCTAAGGACTCTTGGAGACGCCCGGCCATTTCTTGCATTTCATCGATAAAGTTCCGGCCCTTGTGTCTCCCGGCCCTTCGCTGTGCTTCGCGCGAATATCCCAAAAAGGTGATGTTGCGTTGGATCGGATAGAATACTCGGTTGGACCGAAACTCGCGCAACAACGCATCTGCAATATCCAGCCAGTCCTCGGTGGCTTCGGTGTCCCCTTCCTTCACTTGCGGTAGCAACTGCAACAGTTTGGCATAGAGATACTGCACGTTTTCGGTCCTTTGCTCTTCATCCACCAAGCCTTTGTCGACCGGGGCAGCACTGGTCGTAAGGGCCGCCGTAGATAGATCCGTGCTGGGAGGCTGTGGCGCAATGGAGCTCAAGGCAGCCTCTTCGCGAGCCACATCGGCCGCCTTGAATTCCATGGCCAGCTGTTCCAGCCTGGTGTCCTTGCGCCGGCGGTTACTTCGGCTCTCCTGTCTTCCTAGTAGGACCGCTTCGTTGACATATTTGAGGGCCTCCTCGGACATGCCAATGCTCTCATATAGCTTTGCGAGCTGCACACGGCATTCGACATGTCTTGCATCATGCTCGGCCACTGTAAGATAACAGTTCTCGGCGTCTTCGAGCTTGCCCAGTGCTTTGCAACAGTCTCCCATTGCCATGAAGAAGCCGACATCGGCATACTCGTTGGTTTGCTGGAGCGGCAGGTAGAACCGCAGTGCTTCCTCGAAAAGTCCGACCTCCTTCAGCGCGTCCGCAGCCTCGCGGAAAAGGTCGCCATAATCATACAACCGGGCGTTCTCGGATGTATCCTCTGGGTTCAGCCATTCGAAGTGGTGCTAGTCCAGTATTAGTACCGACGGCTTTCGGGTATAGATCACCTACCAAAGCTTCGTCTTTGTATTCATATCCCATCTTCAACCGAAAAAGTCCCAGCTTGATTCGGAGCTCCAGTGGCAGGCCTAGGCCGTACGAATCTCGGGGCCACCTTCGGGGCTCATAGCCATCGGCCTTGATGCGTCGGGGCGAGTCATCCGCATCCCATTCTCGGTCATCGTCATGGAAATCCTCCCACATTGTATCGTCTCTCCGGCCCAGGAGCCATCGTGAGACCGACTTGAGGGCTCGGAGTCCCTCAAAGTGCTGACCCAGATAGCTGTAGAGTTCGGCGTAGATGTTGACGTCTGACCACGAGAAGCCGAATGACTCTTCCGGGTCGATAGACATGAAGTAGTCCACGCTCACCTGCCACTGATCCACGGCTTTCTGGACATCATTGAGATCGATGTAGGTTTCGGCAAGATGTCGCAGCGCCCGAACGTTATGTGGGACTTCTTTGAGGATTCGTTCAAACTCGGTGGCCGCCCGTCCATTGTAGCCCAACTCCCGGTAGATCGCCGCACGCTGGAACCGGGTGTTGTAGTCCTTCTGGTCGATTTCAATCACACGGCTATAGCAATACACCACGTCATTCAGGGAGCTTTGACGATCCTCTCCGGCGCGTTCCAGGATCATTCTGGCCACGGTGAGCCAGACATTGGGGTCTTTGGGCCGCGTGTGCGCGCCGTTAAATAGCGCCGTTAACGCCTTGTCTTTCTCACCCTGGGCCAAGAAGATTTCGGACAAGAGCGAATGAGCGGCGAACATCTCAGGGTTGACGTGGATCGCACGCTTGGTGAGATCGATGGCGCGGTCATAGTCTCCGTCGATGAAGGCAGACGTTGCCTCTGAATGCAACATCTTGAACTCGGGGCTCGGTTCCAATGGCTTGCGTGGTCCTCTCCGGATTCCTTTTCCACCTCGAGCCCCGTATCGACCCGAGAAGGGGCCGGTGCCCCTGCGACGTCTCCGAGAATAGCCCTCGTCATCGTCATCGGCGGGTGCATCCACGAATTCTTCCTCACTGAAAGTGGTCAGCACGATACTAAGCGGGAGGAGATCATGAGCACCCACCTGGAGCTTGCCTCTGAAGACAATGTATAGAGGGAGTCGTCCGAGTCGTCGGCTTGAGGGGGCGCTTCTGTCTCGTCAACGGAGGCTTGCTCTTGGACTTGCGAGGCATTGCCCGTGAACAAGTCCTTATACAGACGCGGATCTAAGACGGAGTGAATGGAGGATTCGGCCTGGACCGTTGGCTGGTGTCCCTGCCACGGATAATGGAAGGTCTCATCAATATCGGGATAGGCATACTCCTCCGGGGGAGGCTCGTGATTTGGGAGATGATCGTCCGGGTAATCCATTTTGGTATAGATCCAGGTGTTTACTAATAATACGGACTGGTGCAGGCCCTAGAATGGAAGACTGGCTGGGACCTAAACATAGGCATCCGTGGGCGCAGATCAGTAATCAAGCCGCAGACTAGCGAGGGGACGCTCAAGGCTCTCGTATAGCGATGTCAGAACTATGCGACAAAGAGCCGATCATCATTGGGCGAGCTGCAGTGGACCAAATCAAGAAAGCAAGCAATTCGGCTTTTGACCGAGATTACCGTTGGGTGAGTAGCACTGGCGTCTATGGGATCATTTAGAATCCTTCGAGAAACCAGGGGTGCTGGAGACAAAGAACAAGGCTGGTGATAAAGAAAAAAGAGGACGGACCTGGAAGGGGTTATTCATAGCAACCGGGCCTCTATGGTAAGCGCCGCAATCCAGACTAAAGTTGCCGATGCAGAACCGGCCAGACCAGCCGGAGTGGAAGAGAGATGGCAGGGAAATTGAATCGAGGAGATTTTATCAATCTTGCTCGTCAAGATCCGAGAGATTCGCAATGGAATGCAATGCCCTTCTGTCGTCTGGCTGGGGAGGTGTAGATATGAGGGGGAAGTAAGTACGTGAAGAGTTCGGCGGAGACAAACGCTGCAATCCCATCCGGTGACTGGCCCGTAACGGCCAAGCGTCGTCGGTCTTGTTCGTTTCTTTCGCTCGCCTTTCGCTTCCTCTCGACCCCATTCATTCCCGCTGCTCGTCGTTCCATCTCTTCCTCCTCCTCCTCTTCTTCCTCTCCCACCTCCTCCATCGTATCTCTGCTTCTCCTTCCTCCCCCTTTTCCCTACTTTCCTTTTTTTGATGCTCAGGTGCCTTGCTTGCTGTGTTTGACACACTATTGCACTGCATCCTGACATCCTTTCGTTCAAAGAAAAAAAAAAGAAAAGTCAAAAAAAACGAACCCACACTTCCCCTACACTAATTATATCTACCCGGGAAGTCGCCGCTTTTCTCTCCTCCACCGAGACTCTTCGCGCTCTCAATCCGTCCACGAAACACCTCCTTTGATGCTCTTGCGGTTCGCTTGATTCCTCTCTTAGAATCCGAATCGGGCAGTGCAGCCACTGGACTGGTCTGTGCCCCAAACGTCATTGTCCAGAACCGACGCGGTTGGGTTGAGTTTCTCACTCTGCCAAAAGTGTCTCCGACTTTAGATTTCTCGCCTCGTTTCCTCCTGTTCGGTTTGCCAGCCTACGAAAAAGAAAGACATCTCTTTCCCATCACGCCTCCCCGGTTTTACGCAAACTCAGCAGGTGCTGCAGGTGTTTTGCAGTAATATTTCTTTTTCTGTATCTATTATTCATCGGGACCTCGCGTAAAGGGAGTCCGATCTGAAAAATCTCCACCGGGATCTTCCTTCGACCCTCCTTGTTCCAGACCACCATCACTCATTGAATCACTACTTATGGCCAGCCATATTATCGGAAACCGCAACAGCACTCCAGAAGCGTCCAAGTCCAGTCTTCGTCCTCCGTCGTCAGCTCGGAATCTAGGCACGCACCAGCTTCGAGCATCGGCCGATATGTCCGGCTTCCCGTCTCCTCTGTCATCTCGCAGCATCCGTCCTTCCTCGGAAGTGTACTTCAATCAGCAGTCGCAGGCAAACAACGCGGAGGATCCGTTGGACCGTGCGGCTCAGCAGTGGCTGGCAGACATTGATCAGTACGAAACCACCCTGGAAGAGATGGCTGCCGCCACCCTGGATCAGGACTTCAAGGATGAGCTCAGTGCCATCGAGCAGTGGTTTCGGGTGCTCAGCGAGGCGGAGAGGACGGCTGCCCTCTACGCTCTGCTGCAGCAGACCACCCAGGTGCAAATCCGCTTCTTCATTCAGGTCTTGCAGCAGATGGCCAAGAGCCATCCCATGTCGGGCCTGTTGTCCCCCGCGAACTTTGGCGAGAAGGGTACGTTGCTTCCTAAACATCTCTGGTGGACAAGTGCGGTGGCAACTAACCATGATTGTTGCGTAGATGCCATGTCTAACCGTCTGAACGATGCCATGTCCAAGTTGAACGTGGATAGTTCCCGGAATTCTCTCGGTCGCCCCCCGCCGTCTCCGGGTGCCAAGCGCAACTCCGGACTCGACCCGTCCACGATCAATGCCATGTTCCCGGATGCTGCAGCTGCCATTGCGAAGAAGAAGGCCGAGTTCACCCAGCAGACGGGCAATGCTCCGCCCTCGAACCGCAACAGTGCCGTGTTTGACCGGACGTCCTTCGTGGCCCCCACGATCTCCGCTCCGGACAGCAACACCGATAGCCTGGGCCAGCCTCCGGTCTCTCCCTGGGCCCAACGCGGTTCCGAACCTCAACCTCCTATCGCCCGACCCAAGTCATCCTCTGGCCACCAGCCCATGGGCCAATTCAGCCAGACTCCGTCGAGCCTGCGCTCTCCGCTCCCTACGCAAACGGCCACGATTCCGGCCCCTGAGATTGATGCTCCTTTGCTCTCGCCGTACAATGTTGGGAATGCCAGCTGGGCCTCCATGACCAACACCCCGATGACGGCAACTTTCGGTCAGCAACCGCAGCAGCCCCAGCAGAACTCGCAGGCCGATATGGTGGCCAACGCGACTGCCATGAAGCTGGCCGCCCTGTCCACCGTGAACAACCGGATTGCTCTGGATGACGCTCGTAAGTACCGTCGGGCTCGGTCCAACGACGGTCAGGGCAAGAACTCTGCGAATGCCAGCCACGCCATGTCGGGTGGCCTGGCGAGCCCGGGCCTCCCGGGCCACAACCACCACCTCGTCGCTGGACAGCTGTTGAACACGCAGCAGCTGGCGGCCTTGCAGGCCCAGCAACATGCCGCGATGGCGGGTCGTCGCTCCCGCCCGACGTCGCCGGGCATTGCCATGCAGGGTGGCGGACTCGGTCCCATGGGCTTCACCTCGCCGCAGAACAACGGTTTCCTGGCGGCGTATGACCCCAACAACCCGCTCATGGGCAACGGACTGAGTGCGCTTGGCATTGGGCAATTCGGGCTGGGTGGACCCGAGGGCTATCTCTCGGACCACTCGGAGGTTGCTCGCGGCCGGTCCCCGCGTGGGCGTCGCGGTAGCTCGAAGCCGCCGGAGGACCCTACCGACCCTACCCTGCTGAAGGACATCCCCAGCTGGCTGAGATCGCTGCGGCTGCACAAGTACACGGAGAACCTGAAGGATTTGAAGTGGACGGAACTGGTTGAATTGAACGACAAGGCGCTGGAAGAACGCGGTGTCAATGCTCTGGGCGCCCGAAACAAGATGCTCAAGGTAAGTTTCCTGGCCGAGTCATCGGACGATGTGCTAACGAAAGTAGGTTTTCGAGCAAGTTCGGGAAGCCAAGGCGGAGGGCAAGCTTGACAACATTGCCTAGGCCATGCCTGCTCCATCATTCCTCTTGACTTACGTTTCTGCTTACATTCTCTCTATTGCATTAATTGACTAGATTGGCTTTGGGCATAAGGGGCAGGATCCGATGAACCTATGAGCGATCTCATGGAATGATCTTGGGAGGAAGTTGTCTAGTAATGGATCGAGCCTTGGGCCGTTGGATGAGGACCGAGTGACTGACTTATTGACTTATTGTTTGTATGGATGTATTCAATGTTGATGTAGGCGTGCTGGGGCTGTGTCTCAGCATGTCGTGTTATGACGTTAATGTTATAATTGCTGATCATGTTCGTGTAATTGTAAACCAGTACTCCGGGCAGTAAGGCGGAACCCACCGGCAATATACCAACATCTCTCAATCATCAATCGTCCTCACTCAGACCATCACCTACCGAACCACCACTCGTACCCGATCCCAGAGAAAAACAATCGAAAAACAACAAGCAAGAGAAAAAGCAACCAACATGCCACCCACCAAACAAGAACTCTCCCTCCTCATCAACCCTCTCGTCCCCGAATCCGTCCAACACAACAACCGGGTAAGCCATCCCATCCTATCCCTCTCCATACACCCTACTACTCCAACCCAATACAAACCCACACTAACAAAATCCTCACCAACCAGACCCTAACATCCCTCCACTCCCTAACATCCTTCCTCCTCGGCCTAACCGCCGGAATCCTCTCCCTGCAATCCACCACCGGCTTCGCATTCTACCTCCTCGGCACGATCCTCGTCTCGGGGCTATTCCATCTCCTCTTACTCTATCGATCGGGGGGTCTCGGCGCGGGAGTGTATTTCGCCGGCGCGAATGGGGAGATTGAGGGGGTGGATGAGAAGGGGCTCGTGAGTGGTGGTAGTGGGATGGGGGCGGTGTTGAGACGGGGTGCGTGGAGGGATGTGTGGTTTGGGGGGGGCGTGTTGGGGGAGGCGCTTTCGGGGTTTGTGTTGGGGTGGGCGGGTGTGGGGGGGGTTTTGAGGTGATGGCTTTTCTTCTGTGTTTGGGTTTGATGGGGAGAAGGAGGGGGGGAAGGGGGTTGGGGAGGGGATAGGAGGGAGGTAAAAAAGGGGGAGAGGTTTGTAATTATGGTGTATTATAATGGATTTATGCTGGATTATTCTATCGTGTGATGTTCTATGCTATTCTATACTGGGTATTGTGCTGGGGGGAGATAAGAGAGGGGAGGTGGAGGTGGAGGTGGAGGTGCTATGTGTTGCTGGAGATGGGCTTGTTGATGCGTTTGTGGGTAGTTATGGTTCCCTGCAGTGAGGGTTAGCATTGCGTGTGGGAAGGTAGGAATATGGTGTATGAAAACGGTAGGGCAAGGGTGGTCTACCTTTGCGAGAGCCCACAGATAAGGGACGTAGATGACTTCGCTGCGTCCCTCTTCTGCCTCGACCGGGTCTTCACTGTTGCTCTTCGCCTTGACATTCACCCACACGTTCCCCATGATCATTGATGTGACAAGACTCACTCCAATAATGGGCAGGATCGAGATGAACGCCCACATGATGGCATCTTTCCCGGCAATCCGGACGCTTTCTTGCACCGTCGCAGGTAGATCGTCGAGAAAAGATAGCGAGTTGGTGTCGTGTACATTCAAGGTGCTATCTGCACCGTCCAGACCCTTCATCACAGCGGAGTTGCCGAACTTGTTGTTGAACACGCTGGTCATGATGGTCAGGCCGAGAGTGCCCCCGAAAGGAAGCGCAACCTGCATCAAGGACAGTGCTGATGCGATCCTCTCTGGCCAGACGCCCACGGTATGAAGCGATGCTGGCATCAGACGGAGGCCGACGCCCGCACCGGTGACGACCATCATTCCGCACAAGAGGCTGGTGTTCTGTGCGCTGACAGCGTAGGCCACCATAGCTAGGCCGACGGTGCTGAGGACTGCTCCGAAGTTGAGGGGGAAGAAGGTTTGTCGTGGGAAAGCGTTGCACATGTATACTGCGAGGTAGACACCTCCTATCATGGTTGGTCAGTCATGGCCCATCAAGTCGGCAAGTATGCGTACCTCCTAATCCGGGAATGTAGTATAGCAAGTCAAGGCCTGCCTTGGAGGTGGAATACCCTGCTACTAAGGTGTAGTAGATGCTGATAAAGTAGAAGATGGAGTACGACGCTAGAAGGTCAGCGACTGGAATGCATTCGCCCTCATTGTGAGATGCAACATACCTGCCCCAGTGGAAAAGTTCAATATGGCAAGCCAGATTGTGTCCCTCCGTTCAAACAGACTGTATGGCAGCGTCGCCACATGCTTCGGGAACATGCGCGCAAATATTCTGCCCGGCTCGAGCAGGTACTCATACACAAAGAACGCAATGAAGCAGATTGCTCCGACGATCAATGGTCCCAGAACTTGGCTCGACGACCAGGAGTATGTGGCACCACCCCATGTAGCGGCCAGAATAATGAGGCCAACACCGAAGATGAAGAGGATCGACCCGCCAATGTCGACGGTGGCAAGGGCCGGGAGTACAGAAGACCATCTCGAGCCTTTCCTGAACATGGTCCCTTCAACAAGGTCGTTTCGCAGCAGCACGAAGATCAAAATGTGGCTAAGAACAGCGATCTGATCGGTTAGCTACCGTTGAAATGCAGCAGACGGTAGACTTACCGGTATAGGCACAACGAAGCAGTATCGCCAATTGGTCTGTTTCAGTCAGTATAGGTGCACCTTACGCAGTCCGGCCAATACCCACATCGGTAAGATACCTAATCATCATCAGCAGTGACAGATAAATGCATGGGAGCTACTTACCCTCCGACAATCGGCCCCACGGCATATCCCACTCCTCCAACCAAAGTGAACAAAGATTTATTCCTTGCATTCTCCTTCAACGACACCTTATCCGCAAGGATAATCATAATGAGATTGCTCAGGCCGGCAGAGCCGACCCCCTGCAAAGCCCTACCCAACAGCAGCATACCCCAGGTCTGTGAAGCAGCACACAGGACACTCCCAATGAGCATGAAGAATAACGCCGTCTGCAGTACAGGATGACGCCCGAACACATCAGCGAGCTGACCGAAGATAGGGATGAAGGTGGTTGAAGTCAGACTAAATGCCGTGACAATCCAGTTCAATTCGTCAAATTGATCTAGAGCGTATGCTGTCAGCTGAAGCCATTTACTCTAGTACGTCACTTACTGAAATGAGACGCAATAGACGACGTCGCGGTAGCAACGATAGTCAAATCCAACGTGGATAAAATGAACGGCAAAGCGAGACCAGCGATGAGCTTAGCCCGGTACACTCGCGCATTATGCTTCTGCTCCTTGCACACACTGCATTTCTCACCATCTATAACAGGGTAAAGCCCTTTTGTCGAGCCACTCAAGGGCCTTTCGCCAGACCCGGAGTCTTCATCGTGCGTGGACTCGAGTTGATACCCTTGCGAGCGATGGGCACAAGGTTGATCCGAAGCTGAAGCCTTGGGGCCTTTCTTCTGTGATATGTATCTGTAGGCTTTGATCATGTCGAGGTCTCACCAAGCATACCGAATGAACAGAGGTAGAGGAAGATGGGTGACTGAACAAGATGCTCAGTAGAGGACTTCATGGTGTAGATATGTACCGGTCGATGCATTTTGGGCTGATCGAAGAGAATTGAGGCTGTGTGCCTACGCAAAGGAAACCACATCGAGCCAATGTTGCGAGCCAAGGAGAAGCTCTATCGCACACGAACAACGGCGTAAAGGAACAAGCAAGTGATGTAGGTCCATCTACGGACTGGCAGCCACAGTGGCTACCAGCCAATGAGAATGCCGAGGACCAGACGCAACCCCTACCAAATGCGGTAATCACTGCGAGGGCGCCCCAGGCACCAACGGCAGCACAGCCTCAGCAGCAAAGCACGATCTAGAACTAGCTTCCTGGATATGTGATTCAATAGCATCAACGCATTAATTATATATGTACACTCTGCAGAGTCTATCTATATACAGGCAGCGACACATCGGGGGTATAGCTTCAATCCACTGAAAAAATCGAAATCCGACTCGCTTCCAGGCAAACTCCTATGAAATCATGGAATATAATCATCTCAAAGCTCCAACCAGGGAGACTCGTTACTTTTGGCAAACCATACTTGGCTCAAACGCTCGCCTCATCGCTCGGCGCCTCGATCGGCTCCTCCGGAGGAGAATTGGCCAAGGCACTCTCGAGCGCACTCGTGAGGTCAATGTGGAAGAAAGGCCGGTTGATGCCCTGCACCACCGCAACCTTGCGCCGATTGCGATAGGCCTTGCTATCCTTGAGATCGCGCTGTAACTTGTCATCCGGGTTGCTGCTATTATCGGACGACGCTTCAATGTCGATCCCCGAAGCCTCGCGCTCCGTCATGTGAGTGTCATGCTTGAGACCCTCCTCCAGGTCACGCTTCACGGCGTGTTGATGGGCCTGCTCGTTGTTGACCATCTCTGCATGGGCCGCAGCAGACGCTCTGCCCTCGATCTCAGCCACGCTGAAGATTGGCTTCCACCGGTGGAACCCGTCGTCGGAGGTGGGGGTCGGGTAGCCGAAACCTGCGGCTGCCAGCGCCCGTTTCGACCAGCGGTTGTTGATATGAGCAAAGTGCCACTGCACAGTGCGAGGAGAGGCGTAGAGATCAAGCTGGTTGCGAACGTCGATCAGGTTTTGGATGGACGTCACATCCACATTGTTGACCGACGAAAAGTCGAGGATGATAGCCCGGAGAATAGGTCGTTGCGAGCGAGTTTCCTCAACCTTGGACTTCCGAGGGCCAGGGTCATTCCATGGGCGATCACCCGGGCGAGCGTAAGAAAATGGATTCGTGCGGCGCGTCTGACGGAAGATCGCTTGAACCAGGTAGTCTGTGTAGTGGTTGGCATTGGGGTAGTTGAAGCCCTCGGAGAACCGGTAAATAAAGATACCAGGGTGTGGCTGTTCCACCTCAACCTCGGGGTTCGAGCCATCGGTGTGGTTGAGAGGAAGGAAGATGGAACGGCGTGAATCGGTCTCGTCATCGTTGGGCGAATTCGGGGAATTGCCCGATCCGTACTTGCCATCTCCCTGCACCAAATGATCGCCGACGACGGAGTGAATAGTGACCCGGCCAAGGAAATGACCGCGGGCCTTGGCGACGCGGAATAGCAGCACGGCCACGGAGACACAAATGGTACAGTAGATGCCATCCTCGATCGAGGTGAAAACAGTCACGATGACGCCGATGAAGAAGATGATGGCATCGAGGGGTGAGACGCGCCAGAACTGGTACACGGTGTTAGGAGGTGTGATCAAATCTCCAACGGCATGAATGATGACACCGGAAAGGGCGGCTTGGGGGATGTAGTAGAAAACGGCAGTCAAGGCGTAAATAGCGAGTAATACCACAATCGCGGTAATGCAGCCAGCCAAGGGGGTCCGTACACCCGCCTTGGACTTGATGGCCGTCCGGGAAAAGGATCCAGTGGCAGGGTATGCACCCAGGAAGGGTCCGAGGAGGTTGGTCACGCCGATAGCGACCAGCTCCTGAGACGGATCAATGGTGTAGTTGTTGACTCGGCCGAACGACTTCGAGATGGCAATATGTTCAATGAGGAGGACAATGACGCAAGCAGGTAGCTGATCGGCAAAAACTTTGATGACCCTGGCATTGACAACTGGAACTCCTGCATCTCTGAAACCTCGAGGAACACTGCCCAGAAGGTTGAACATTGGGTTATCCCGGCGGTGCAAGTTAACAGCAGCACTGATCATGGTGTAAAAAAGGATGACAAAGACGGTTCGGAGCGTCGACGCGAAGAACCAAACTTTGGCTTGACGAGGGTATTTCCGGGCACCATAATTGCAAATCGAACGGATGATATACAGCATGGCCAAGGCTGTGATACCAAGAGCAGCATTGATATCGGCAGTAGGCAAGTACTTTAGTGAGTTGATGATGATCATGTACGTGGAGCCTCTGGTGGAAAAGTCGGCCGATTCTCCAAGCAGATTTTTGACCTGACCAGCAGCAATGTTGAGGGCCGAGCCCGTCATGAATGCCGAAATGGCGGGAAGGGGGATAAAGTCGACGACGAAACCAAGTCGAAGGAGGCCGAGAACACAGACGATGGCACCGCAGATGATAGCGAGGCAAGACGCAACCACATGCCCGGGGACATCAGGAAGCTCCTTCTCGGCCTGGAGGACGATCGTTCCGACCAGTGTGGACATAACAGCAACCGGCTAGAGGGTATACTGTAAGCAACGCGGTCCGAAAGCTGTGAAACATAAGAGGGAAACTTACACCGATGGTGATATCCTTGGAGGTGGCGAAAAACCAATACAGCAACACACCCATAAACGACGAATAGAGACCGTACTGCACGGGTAGCTCCGCCAGTTTGGCATATGCCATTCCTTGAGGAATGACAACAGCACCAACAGTTACACCTGTAGATCCTAGTTAGACCCTTTCCCACATCGAGCCCGACAGTGGCAACTTACCAGCGACAAGGTCACCAACGAACCATTGCAGGTTATACCTTGTGATCCACGAGAGGAAGGGGAAGAGTCGGTAGAAGTACTCGCCAACATCGCGCCAGGAAGGACAAATCTCTTTGAGCCATTCAGCAGAGGTGGGTTCCGGCTCGAGGTAAGAGTAAGTGTCAATGGTGCCGTATGAGAAGGTCGATTCGCCTCGTGTCACGGGGTCTGCATGGGCTCCAAGAGGATCCCGATAGGGTAGCTTGATCCCCAAGGCTTTGGCCAAGCCGTGGCCGACCTTGGTAGTGAACTCTTGAGGCATGCTTGTCTGTGAGTGTGCCTTGAAAGGAAAAGGGAATTGGCGTAGGGCAAGACGGTGCCCGGAACCACTAGGACAGTGGGAAAGTTGCCGTTGGACGACCGGAGCAGCTGGGGAAGGATGTCCAAGTGCTGATGGGAAAATCTGTCGAGATCAACTGATAATATATCTTTTAGGGGCGTATCTAGGCAAGCCCCATTTCGAAATTGATGGCAAACGATATATAAGTGGAGGCGGCAGTAGTGTGGTTTTAAAATGGATATCCGGAGCCAAGAGCCGATGTCGTGATCGGGAGCTCTGAACGCGAAATATCAAAATTCCCACCCAGCGCTTTCAACGTCAGGAATCGGGCTATACGAGGAATAAGAGCCAAAGTTAAAACGGCTGGAGAATAAATTGCAAAGAAGAGAATAAGAGGTCCAAGAGCACACGCGGCCTTGAGTTCCGCCAGGAAATAATGTCAATGTGGCGCACGGGGAAAGTGTGGTCAGCGGAATATGAGACCAGCAGATCCGACCCGCGCAGGCGTTTCAACACAAACAGGCCACACGGAAAGCAAAGATGGGAGGGATGGGTGAGAAAGGAGAAGAGTTCGAGGGGAATCAATCCAGGAGTTTTATGTGATTAGTCTTGTCAGAAAGAGTATGGTGACACGAGTCTCCGTGGGGGAAGGCGGACGTCGTAACGGGACTTGATGCAAGCCGATCAGTGATATTTTGCGCCGAACGGGCATTGACAACGACGACCATGATACAACACTATTATTAACCGGGAATAACGCGCAGTGATGGGGCAGCTGATCCACCAGGGATCGTCAAGGGCAAGAGCACGCCGTCTGGAATATTCACAGGCCAGTCCTCAACATGCAGCCAAAATTCCCTAGCCTGCAGGGAGGCCAGGCTTGTCAAGAAGAGCTGGCGTAAGAGCGGCCGTTTGGGTGGGTTTGGCCGGGGGGTCTGGAAGCGAAGATGACGATGGACCGTGGAGCCGGTGCCCGCCCAGCGGCTGGCCCATGGTTTGCGCTTTGCCATGGAAGGGAGGAAGTCTATCGATCCAGATAGTACTAGTATCAGGGAAGGCCTAGTCGTCTCCAGTTCTCCCTGGAATTCATGATTCATCACGATGATGATGGACGATCCGCTCCTCAGAAGAGCCGAGCGGATGGAGTCCTATCTCGGGGGGAACTTAACCCACCATGACGATGGCGAAGGGATGTCCTGGGGGATGGACCCAGAGGAGGTTTCCCCGACGTCGCGGATGGAGCAGCCCAAGGGAGGGAAAGGGTGCGGACTCCATCCGCTATATTGCCAAGTCACACCGCCCACCGGAATCGGGCCACGGGCCGAGATGCAACCAATCAACGGGGGCCCTGGCCCTTGGAGCGCAGCATCCGCGGCGGGCAGGCGGCGGCCAATGGGAACGGCGCGAGAACACGCCATCGCGCCGGCTGATGGTGAAAGCTGACCGATCCACGTGTGGGCGGCGCGGTTTCGAGCAGCGCAGGTCGTCTGGTTCTCCCCTTGCTTACGCCGTCCCCGTTTTGCCTCCTGAGATGCCCGCCAGATTTTTATCTCCGACGCATGGATGACGGTATCTCTCGTATCGGCCTGGACTGCCAGAATTGGTTCCCTGGATAGCGACAGAGTAGATCTGGGTAGAAAGGAAGGAATCCAGGTTCACTATCCAACAAACTTACACCGTACATATGCAGTGCAACAACATCGGCGGCGGCGGTGGTGGTGCTGAGGGGACAGTACGGTTTTGGCTACGTACCACCACTTACTCTGTAACTGTGGATGCAACAAGATGAAGATGATCCTCTACGGAGTACTCCGTACGCTCCAGTGTTTTCCAGGAGACTTCTGCCGAAGCGGCTTGGCGCCATGGACGGATGGCTCGAACTTTCTTCCATCTGATAGCGAGCCGTTACGAAATCTCTTCCGACCACGTACCGATCTACAATGCTACGGTCTAGCACGGCTCACAGCACCAAATGGAGAGAATGCACGGTCTTCGCTGTGTAACAGGTTCCGTTGGCAGTGGCTTCAAGCCGTATGCCATATGCAACACCACTCATACGCCGGTTCGACCTTGCCGACTTCTGTTCGCTGCATCAATCTATACCTTGGATCATGCTAGGATGCGACCAGGATGTCTCCTCGGAGGCGCTGCTGGCCGACCAATCGGACGGGTCATAATGGCCAAGAGTCTCATCAAGAGTCCAAAGGATTGCCGGCCTCTTGCTTAGGGCGCGCATATGTACCTAAGAAGCAGCTACGCACTAGGGCCGTTCCCCAGAATTGCGCCATCGATCTTATCGCTAGAATTGCGAATGCCATTGGGAGATGGATTCTATGTGGTTTGATGCTTGCTCAATTGTCGAACGACTCGGTGAACCGCATGTCTCCGGATTGTGTCCAGAACGAGGAAGAGGCCCCTCTAGTAGATTAATCTCTCAGAAGTGATCCGTTCCTCTGACTAACAGCGGGATCCTCTTCCGCAACCTTCATTGCCTGATTGCCTCCATCTCGCGGGGTTACACTTTTCCTTCTCTAAGCTCTTTCGTCCTCGAGCTGCCGACCCCTGCACCTGCAGCCTCTGCACCACCTTTGTGAACAACCAACCGATCGAACGCTGAACCAACCGATCGCATGTCCACCCTCGTATCCCGTCCATTCGTTTCTCTGCCGACCTATCGGAGTTGGTACAGATTAGACAGATCCCGCAAAGCCAATACCTACCAAGACCGCTAACATACCCCGACATGCTGGCTGCCCATTCGATCAATAGGACTCGAGTCTGCTGACAGGGAATACACAATATACCACTAGAGCCTCCTCTATCCAGCAAAGAAGTGCATAAAACGCACCAGATGATTAAGTCGCCTCATGTCAGCGGTTCTAGGAGACCAAGCGAAGCACATGGCTCTGGCGCAGACCCAAACTCATCAACAACGATCTGCAAACCTTGATTCATTCCTTCCCAAAGTCTCCTGAACTTTACGTGATGGCTGTCAATTTTGACTTGACCTATTGTCCTTCCCTTCAAATCTGCTACCTTGGTTTGATAACTTGACGTGCTTGACCGTCCGCCGCACGACATATTGCAAGCTGTTGACATCTTGTCAGTTCTTTCTTTACATCTCATCTCATCTTATTAACCAGACTTGTTCGTGGAACTCTAACCCCTCACTGCGAGATGATCACGAGGTGCACGTAGCCTGCAAGTGGTTCATTTTCAAGCATCGACCAGCTTGCACAGCGCACATGACAAGCATTAGGCATCCAATGAAATGCATCCAGCTATTGAAGCCATCTAAACAGCATCAGTCACTATGTTCCCCAGCATTACACCACTAAGACATACCAGCTAGCGTTTTAATCTTTTCCCCGATAATCGCTCGTTGACAACACTTAATATAATAGAATGTACAGCTCTCAATGCCACATAGTGCATGTATCACAACCTATCAGCACGCGCAACTCAAACAATTCCCGCACGAGGCAGTCCTGTTTGAAATATCTTCTCACGGATCTCTCGCATCCTCCCAGCACACTCTTTCTACATTGTAACTTACGCTCTCCGCATAATTCAATCGGCGAGCGGGAGTTATATGAACATAGAAGTGAAATATCCCCGTCGAAGTCGGAAAGTCGTACATAGAATATTTTGACTTGAATAAGCAGCTATGGAGTTCTATAATGCCGAGATGGAGGTGTGGACGGATCGTGAACTCTTTACAGGTCATGGTTTGGATAAGCAGCTACCCAGGCACTTTTCCTATTTGCACGTTTTGTGGGTTGGACTTTGTGAGGCTATATCGTCCTTATTACTATGTATGGCTTGTAGCTCATACAGTATACGTGATTGAATGAAAAAGAAGAAAAAAGAACGAATGCAAGTGGGCTGCCACTATGTATAGGCGCTAGAAAAGGTCATTGAGTAACTCGTTGATATATACATTCCTTCCAATGGGAAATTATCTATTGCAAAAGACCAAACTTTTCTTTTTACTCGTCCTCACCCTTCCTCTTTCGAAGATGTCCCAGGTTGTACAGGGAGTCATTAAGTTCCTTCCGTTGCTTCTCTTCGGTGGTTGCGGGGACTTCGTCGGTGCCGGTAGAGTTGATCTTCTTGGTCACGGACGCCGTGGCAGGTTCCCATTCCAGGGTATCGGTGGTTGATTTGATGTGGAATGCCTCGATGAGGGTGGATGGGGAGGAGGCGCTGGCTCTCCATTCTTGGGTGGTGTCTGGCTGGCGGATAGTGTCGACGGAGACAAGGATGGTGTTGTCTTTCTCAATGGGTGTAAGGGCGAGGGCGTTGCCGGAGAGTTGGATGGGGCTCTGTGCTTTCAGGGTGCCGTCTGCTTCCAGCGTAAAGCATTGGAGGCGTGAGGATCTGGGATGGTTAATATATTGCAAACATGACGAACACTGATAAATATGAGGGATTAAGCTCACCCGTGAAGCGCGACAAGGATGACCCGCAGGTCCCCAAGTGAGGTAGCCCAGATGCCATGAACAGCAACTTCTGTGGCCTGTGATGATTCATCGACCAAAGAAACCTTCTGGAGGATACGGCCTTCCGCCCATTTCCAGACAAGCAGATAGTTGTCACCTCCGCCGGAGACAAGATACTCGGGCGCCCAGTGAGGCACGCAGAGCTGGCTGATGAATGCAGTGTGACCCAGGCAGTAATTCTCGATGACGTGCGCGTGGGGAGGACCACGGGAGACGCGGATATGTTCGTCTCGGTCGGCGGTCAGGATGTAGCTGCGCTTCTTGTTGGCATCCACCGGAAGCGACACATAGGCCATATCCGTGAGCAACGATACATGGCCAAGCAAGATTGTGTGTTCGAAAGCTGGGCCCGGGGCCTTCTCGTCCTTTTTGCCTTGGCTGGCAAGACGCAATTGCTGCTCCAAAGCCCGTCGGTTGCCCTTGGTGTGCACGGTCAGATTGGTTGCGGCCGGGTGGCTGAGTGTTGCGCTTCTCAAAGCTTTCGTGATAACAGGGAGCTTATCGCTGGGAATCAGCGGCAGCGAGTAGACGTCTCCGAACTTGTCACCGCATAGAATGGTGGTGTCGTCGCTAGTTAGGGTAATGGCGGATGGGCGCTTGGGCATGGCTCTATCGAAGGAATGAGTTACTGGGGCTTGTCGCCAGAAGAGACCGTGTGGCATTCACTCACCTCTCGCTCAATTGAGTAAATGAGCCATCTTCCTGGAGCTGGAAGACACGGACACACTTGTCTTCGGCGGTGAGCGCAACTATGTACTCCCCATTCGTGGTCGTGGTCAGGATGGGGATGTTTGACCAAGCAGGTTTCTCGTTTGTCTGGGTTTCAGATGCAGAAACCTTTCTCTTCTTTCCCGGGGGTCCTTGCTCGGAACCAGAATCTGCGTCAACCGCATTGGCATTGGTTGAGGCTACTTCCTGTGGCCAAACCGCAAGCCGCTCGCCAGTCTCGGCGGAGTAGGAGTAGAGCTTGGAGCCAGCCGACCCGATAAGGAGGTTTGTATTAGGCCTCGGCACGAATCGGAAGCATTGGAAGGGATGTTGAAAGTTCGCAGCCATCTTGAAGGGTTGCCAAGCGGGGTACTTCGGAGGGGATCAGAAGAGAAAGCAAGGTCTCTTCTCCGCCGTCGCAGTAAATCGCCGTAAAAAGTCGATGTCCCGCCGCATTGATGGCCGCATCACCGCGCGCCCGACCGCCTGCCTGCCTAGGACTAGGCAGCGGAGATACCACGTGACCGTCAACAAGCGAGGCCACAACTAAGAATTTCCCAAAACCGAACCGAGCTTCGGACTTTTCGAACTTCAACGTCACGATTTAATTCGGACATCCACGAACTCGAAACTTTCCCTTGCCCTTAAACATCCTATCTTCAGTGAAATAAGGAGACATGGGGGGCAAGTCCGCTACCAAGGCCGCTTACTTCGATAAGCTCAAGAGCCTTCTCGATGAGTACAAGACTGTCTTCATTGTCGGTGTCGACAATGTCAGCTCTCAGCAGATGCACGAGATTCGTCTGAGTCTCCGTGGCGAGGGTGTTGTCCTGATGGGCAAGAACACCATGGTATGATCCTTCAGTTTCAGAATTTCTGGAATTGTGTGCTGATGAGTTTTCCAGGTTCGCCGTGCCATCAAGGGCTTCGTTACCGACAACCCGGAGTACGAGCGTCTGCTCCCCTTCGTGAAGGGTACGTGAGATGATAACCTGAGAAGACGCAGATGAATCAATTGGCTAACGTGCTGGTTTAGGTAACGTTGGTTTCATCTTCACCAACGGTGACCTCAAGGCCGCCAAGGAGAAGATCCTTGCCAACCGTGTCGCTGCTCCCGCTCGTGCCGGTGCCATCGCCCCTGGCGATGTCTGGGTTCCCGCTGGTAACACCGGTATGGAACCCGGTAAGACCTCTTTCTTCCAGGCTCTCGGTGTCCCCACCAAGATTGCTCGTGGTACCATTGAAATTACCACCGACCTCAAGCTCGTTGAGGCTGGATCCAAGGTCGGTCCCTCTGAGGCCACCCTGTTGAACATGCTCAACATCTCTCCCTTCACCTACGGTATGAGCATCACCCAGGTCTACGACCAGGGTCAGTGCTTCGGCGCCGATGTCCTCGACATCGAGGAGTCTCAGCTCCTGAAGGCTTTCACCTCCGCCATCAACACCATCACCACCATCTCCCTGGCCGTCGGCTACCCCACCCTTCCCTCTGTTATTCACTCCCTCATCAACAGCTACAAGAAGGTTCTTGCCGTTGCTATTGAGACTGAGTACAGCTGGCCCGAGATTGAGGAGCTCAAGGACCGTATCGCCAACCCTGACGCTTACGCTTCCGCCGCTCCTGCCGCCGCCGCCGCTGCCCCTGCTGCCGGTGGTGCTCCCGCCGCTGAGGAGGCCAAGGAGGAGGAGGAGGAGTCCGACGACGACATGGGCTTCGGTCTCTTCGACTAAGCATCTTGTGTCAATGTTGCACGAGATATGACTGCCATGTATTAGATACTTTTCTTGCCGGTCTTGACGATTTGGTAAATGAAAATGATTGTCATGGTCATGAAACAATGATCGCTTTTCATCTAGATATGGACGTAGCCACGTTCCATGATCTGATGAACTGAAAAGGTGAGCTTTGATTTTTTTTTTTTTTTTTTTTTTTTGCCTGTGCACTTGCACTACACCCACATCAATTCTCACGGTGAAATGATGATACAATTTTTAACTCGTAGCCACTGGCTTTGAAGATTAAAAACAGCAACAACAAACACTCTAATTTTTTGCTGACACCGTCTTGACTTTCTTGCTATTTGACACTCAATTCTTTGGCGATCTCATAGCTAACAATTGTCTCAGGTTCACAGATCTACTGTAGTCCGGGTTTGATATCCATGCGCCGGTTCATTTCCCAACGACCCCGGTCCTGGGAGTCTGAGTGTAGTGTTGCGAAGAGCGTAGTATGTCTGAATGTGACTGTTATCATCACACCGTGGAAGGAGGATTACATTACTATATATATAGTATATCTTCTCAACTGAAACTCAATTCAACCGACCTCGTTTGTTAATTCAGCTTTTGCGATGTAAATCTGTGATTTACCAAGACGGTCCTAGATGTAACCTACCTGTGAACGATCTATCTAAGGCTTGCTTTGGCCACCGAGTGGTCGGTTTGGAGTCCGAGGTAGCCCGAGGCAGCGAGCGGCAGGACTTGCATGTCATGACCCCTCCGCAAGGTCCCCTCCATCCCTCCCACATCCCACGTCAGAATGCAGCACCAATTTGAGCCATTGAAGAACGACCTCTTGCTGAGGGCCGCCCGCGGTAATTTAGGATCTCAATGATGATGCACCAGTAGACAAGACTGATATCATTGCAGGCGAAAAAGTTCAGCGCCCTCCGATATGGGTCATGCGCCAGGGTATGCTTCACCTTCAGCGAACCGCGTCTCATTCTCCCCTGCCAAACATCCCCCCCTCGAAGAAAAGCTTCTGTTCACTGACTTATTTCTTTCTATCTACAGCTGGTCGTTATCTCCCCGAGTACCATGAAGCCAAAGCCGGCCGCGACTTTTTCGAATGCTGCCGTGACCCCGAAGTCGCCTCGACCTTGACCCTCCAGCCCATTGACCGGTATTCCGGACTCATCGACGCCGCCATCATCTTCTCTGATATCCTTGTCATTCCCCAGGCTATGGGAATGCAGGTCGAGATGGTCGACAAAAAAGGCCCCCATTTCCCGGAACCGCTGCAGTCGCCGGACGACGGACAATACGAGAAGGTGATGCAGAAGCAGGTGGATGTCAAGTCGGAGCTTGACTATGTCTACAAGGCTATTACCCTCACTCGTCACAAGCTGAAGGGCCGTGTGCCGTTGATCGGCTTCTGCGGTGCCCCGTGGACTCTGCTGTGCTACATGGTTGAGGGCGGCGGCACGAAGCTGTTCGTTCAGTCGAAGAAGTGGATCTACAAATACCCCAAGGAGACCCAGGCTTTGCTGCAGAAGATTGCCGAGATATGTGTGGAGTATCTGGCTCTTCAGGTGGCGGCGGGTGCGCAGCTGGTGCAGGTCTTCGATTCGTGGGCGGGTGAGCTGTCTCCGGCTGCCTTCAAGTCGTTCTCGCTTCCGTACCTGCGACACATCTCGGCCAATCTGCCGAAGAAGCTGAAGGAGATGGGCTTGGAGCCTGTCCCCATGACGGTCTTCGCCAAGGGCGCATGGTTCGGGCTTGAGGATCTCTGCGAGTCCGGCTACAATGTTGTTGGTCTGGACTGGCTGCACGACCCGGCTGAGGCGAGACGGATTGCCAACGGCCGTGTGACGATCCAGGGCAATGCTGACCCGGGTGTTCTCTACGGAGGCCGGGAGGCTATTACGGAGGCCGTGGAGACTATGGTTCGCGGATTTGAGAAGGGCAAGCAGGGCTGGATCGCCAACTTGGGCCACGGTAAGTCTTGACAGCGACTGAGAATGGTTCAAGAAAATGCTAATATCGAATAGGTGTGACTCCTTTTGTCAACCCGGATGATCTCAAGTTCTTCTTTGAGGAGATCCACCGCCTGACGGTGTAAAGTGGTGCTCAGCATGGCCGTTATTGCTTGCGGTTTCTGAATATTCATAGGAGGTCGGCACTCTGACTGGCAGTATGCCCGATCTTTGTAGCCAAAATTTATTCGGCAATGTCCTCGTTCCTGCAGGTACATCCTGGTCAGCTTGAGTTACGTTAAAAGCACACATATTTACTACGATGCCATGCAAACTCCAACGGAATGAATGAGTCATACCAAAGCGCGGGCTGTTCCTTCATAAACTTCTCCATCAGCTGCTTGCACTCCTCATTATCCAAGACCACGACTTCCTTGCCGCGGCTCTTGAGATACTCCTCCCCGCCCATGAAGCTCTTGTTCTCGCCGACCACCACGCGCTTCACCTTGTAGAGTATACAGGCACCAGTGCACATGTCGCAAGGCGAGAGGGTGGTGTACATGGTGGCACCTTCGTAAGCGGAGGCGGGCAGACGACCGGAGTTCTCGAGCGCGGACATCTCGGCCTATGACAGTAGGAAGGTGTCAGAACCCAATACCCGTGTCTAGTATAAAGCGGATCTAGAGAGGGGTCAACGAACATGCAAGACCGCGCTGCCCTTCTGGACACGCATATTGTGACCGCGGCCCAGGATCTTGCCGTCCTTGGAGACCAAAGCAGCTCCAATGGGCACTCCACCCTCGGCAGCACCCAGCTTGGCTTCCTCGACAGCGGCGATGAATCCGGGATCGGTCTCCATGTTGAGTGTGGTGGTTATGCGGCGTAGCGGGTTTCGGGTAACAGTAAACAAAGGGGATGAAAGACGGGCACAGGGTAGCAAGCAGACTGGGGAAGAGCTGGGGAGCAAACTCTGTGGTCAACTGCCGAGACGACTGGACTGACCCGCATCCGGCTGGGTCTGCGGAGCTTCACGATAATGAAGAGCCGATATAGATACGGAGTAGATAGTACATAGATAGCTGCGATCTCGGGGTATTATTACATACTTATCTGTTATTCTACGAGGATTGTACGTGCACGCGATAGTCTCTTGGGTTGTGCCATGCAAGTACTCTTGCTTTGGGGATCGACATGCATAAGCGCAAGCTCCCTAACAGTGTTCAGACCTGTAGATCTAGACAAAGAGGTGATGGTATTATATACGGGGCTTGTCTATAGTCCACAAAGGTCAACTCGCGACATCACGACCCAATGCAATTGATAGTCACCGTCGGAGACAGCAGAAAAGTCATGATATCAGCACCCCCATAGTCTGCAACAATGGCTGATAAACGCGGCGGGACCATTGCCCTATCGACTCTTATCGCATGGCGATGGCCAAGAGCCATGGTCGTTACAAGAGCCACCGGGATTGTCCTCCTAGTTCTCTTTATCCGCATCGCATCCCAGACAACCTCCCGCCGGGGTCCAGGTGACCGAGGCCAGTCGGCAATTGGCGATGGCGGCGAAAGGAACTCCAGGTGGGGATCCGACAGGCTTTTCCCCCTCCTTCCGCATGGGGCTAATCGCTGCTTATCGATAAGGCCGGATCAGCCACCGCCCGCCACTGTCCGGGGTGCCTGAGGCAAAGGCCTGTGCCACTGGGCGAGGGAAGAATCTGATCCCGGACCCAAGGCAGATCCGGGAGGTTACATCAAAGTTTATTCCTGCAGGTTCTTCCTGGAGGTTACCGGTTGTATTGGGGGTGTTTGACGCCGTAAGATGTAGATGGCTTTCCGAGACTTGAGGAAAGTGCCCCGTATGATTGGACCACGAGATCTATTTAAGCCCTGAGTTGTAGATGCCTCCCTGATTCACGCACCGTTGTATTGGAGGGTAGAAGTTGATGGAACTTCCCCAGCAATACAGCCGGTAAAGCCTTTGGGTCGCAAAACCAACCAGGCCAGCCCGAGGATGACCTCTCCGCGGTCACAAACCCTGTAATTACGGCTCGATTGTCAGCGGTGGAAAGGCTGCGAAGTTGGTGGAAGCGCGCAGAATTGCATCGAAGCAACCGAAGCCGCGCTCGGGCCCTGAATGTTGCGGGTGACGGATGGTCGAAGCAAAGAGAAACAACACCATTCAGCCTGGCAGCCTGTTGATGCGGGCGCCTTCATTTGTTCAAAAGCGCGGCATTCTCAGTCCCTTTAAAGATCTGACTTTTAACTTCTCTTCCCCCCTTGATCTTGTTGTGTTGCAACCAGCTTGAAGCGCAGTGACTCTGGACTATACTTCCCGGAGTTTCGCCCCATCATACCTCCGGTATTAATTACGGGATCTTGAAACGCTTGGCGTCCGACCCCAACGCTCGTGCGGCCAAACGACCGTCAATTGGTGCCTGGTCCTGGTAATCAGATTACGTCGAGTCTTCGTTGTCTCGGCCGCCGCCGCCTTGTCGCCTTGTCGCCTTGTCGCCGCTCTCTCTTCTCGGTTCTCCTGGTTCTGATTATCTCCAACTTCCTTCTTCCTCCCTCCTCATCCCATCTACCTGTCCCGCTCGCGGCTTTGAGACTCCCCCCTCTTCCCCAAGAGTCCTCTACCCTCTCCGGTCTCATCTCTTATTTTTTGTCGCTTGTGTTCCATACCCCGGTGTAAGGTTCGCACGGATCGATTTTCTGCTTCGTTCCTCTGAAAAGTTCTTGTTTCTTCTATATCCGCCCTCGACTCTTCTCGCACACACTTCCTTTTTCCCCTTCCTTTCTATTTTAGACACACATCACAATGGTCAAGGAAACCAAGTTCTACGACATCCTTGGGGTATGTTCTAGATTTTCAACGTCTGACTGGGGCCAACCCACATGGAACTAACGGTGAGGCTATCAGGTTGCCCCGACGGCCACTGAGGCCCAACTGAAAACCGCATACAAGAAGGGTGCTCTGAAGTACCACCCTGGTAAGTGTCAACCGGACCACCAGAGCGGCGCTTTTCCGCCAGCTGTCGATCGGTCTTTCGCTAACGGTTTATTTTCTCCGCCATTCAGACAAGAACACGAACAACCCGGAGGCCGCTGAGAAGTTCAAGGAACTGTCTCACGCTTATGAGACGCTCTCCGACCCCCAGAAGCGTGGCCTCTACGACCAGCTCGGTGAGGAAGGTCTTGAGCATGGTGGTGCCGGCGGTGGCATGGGCGCAGAGGACCTCTTCGCCCAGTTCTTCGGCGGCGGCGGCGGTTTTGGTGGCATGTTCGGCGGTGGTATGCGCGAGCAGGGCCCCAAGAAGGCCCGCACCATTCACCACGTGCACAAGGTCAACTTGGAGGATATCTACCGCGGTAAGGTCTCGAAGCTGGCTCTCCAGAAGTCGGTTATCTGCTCGGGTTGTGATGGTCGCGGTGGCAAGGAGGGTGCTGTCAAGTCGTGTACCGGCTGCAATGGTTCCGGTATGAAGACCATGATGCGCCAGATGGGTCCCATGATTCAGCGCTTCCAGACCGTTTGCCCCGACTGCAATGGTGAGGGCGAGATTGTCCGCGAGAAGGATCGTTGCAAGAAGTGTAACGGCAAGAAGACCGTTGTGGAGCGCAAGGTTCTCCACGTTCACGTCGACCGTGGTGTCAAGAACGGCCACAAGATCGAATTCCGTGGTGAGGGTGACCAAATGCCCGGTGTTCTGCCCGGTGATGTCGTTTTCGAGATCGAGCAGAAGCCCCACGCCCGCTTCCAGCGCAAGGACGACGACCTCTTCTACCAGGCCGAGATCGACCTGCTCACTGCTCTTGGCGGTGGCGCCATCCACATCGAGCACCTGGATGACCGGTGGTTGACCGTCAACATCGCCCCTGGCGAGGTCATCACTCCTGGTATGTGCATTTCTGCGACGATATAGATTTCATGAACCTAACATCATTTTACAGGCGCTATCAAGGTTATCAAGGGCCAGGGTATGCCCTCCTACCGCCACCACGACTTCGGAAACCTCTACATCCAGTTCGACGTCAAGTTCCCCGAGAAGGACCAGCTGAAGAACCTTGAGCTGCTCGAACAGGTTCTTCCTGCTCGCGCGGAGCAGTCCCAGGCCCCGCAGGACGCCATGGTCGAGGACTTTGAGCTCGAGGATGTTGACTCCAGCGAGTACTCTCAGGCACGCGCACACGGCGCCGCCGGCTCGATGGACGAGGATGATGAGGATGTTCCTCCTGGCGCTGAGCGTGTGCAGTGCGCATCGCAGTAAGCGGGGTGATAGGGGAAGGTGTGCTGGGGCTTGATGAAATTCGCTTATGATACCATGTGAGGGGTTTCGGCCCCGGTACTGCTCGGTTCTGTTTAGTTCGCGATGATTGATTTCTGCGATGGCGTTTGCACTAAGATTCGGGAGATGAAATGGAGATTTCTTTTCGTTGGATGCATTTCCATGACGGGGCTTGATTCCCATGCGTTAATGTTGTCTTTTTTCTGTCATTGGGAACGGGGCATGATGAGTGGATGAGAGATGTGATACGAGTCGTTTCCATATTCCATAGTTGGGATGACTCTGGTGGGACAAGGTTGAGCGTTTATAGCTTATAGACTACACGGTTGGGTATTTGCTTACTTTGTTGCTGGTAATCTGCCATCCGCTTAATAGCCATAGCTGTTTGAATGGTGCTCGACATTGGCCATTCTACGACCCAGCCCTCAGCCCTCTATAAAATACAAGCAACCACCCCACACCACTCGAAACTCCAACTAAACAAAACAATCAAATACGTAATCCCTACCCAGCACACAAGACACCACAACGCCGTACATTCCTCCCAGCAAAAAGATATACAGGGTAGCAACCCCACCCACCCATCCTCTAGATCCTCGCGGTCCACTCCACTCCACCCCACCACCAGCAGCCCCCTACACCCCTTCAAAAAATCAAACCTCACAACAAGTGTAAAAAGGAAGGAAGGGGGAACAAAAAATCTGTCCTCGGGGAGGCTCGAACTCCCGGCCTTGGGATATCCAGGAAGTTAAGACCTTCCTAGTCATATTGTTATATATGAGACCCACGTGATAACCAACTACACCACAAAGACGGATTATGGATTTTTTCTGGGTGTAATGGGTAGATGGGCTGGGGTTTGAGGAAGGGTAGAAAGGGAGGAGAAGGGGGGGGGGGGGGGGATGAGTGAGTGAGTTTGTTGCTTGATTGCTTGGCTGAGTGGGTAGGAAGGAAGGAAGGAAGGTAATCGATGTGGGAAGTACTATACCTATACAGGGTATAGGTCAGATAGGAAGGGGAGAGAACCCATCTGCGTGATGGGATAGAATGAAGCGGTGTGTATCGCGTCTGACTGAGATGAATTCATCCTGTGGGGGATGGGGGATGGGAGATGTAGTTGTTGCCATTACTATAGTTCTAGGTTTCATCTAGAAATAACTTCCTTGGGGTTTCGAAGAGGGTCGGGGTGGGATGTTGTAGGGATGTTGCTGGTTTTTTTAAGATGTATGTCTTGAGGTGAAGGAGGGTTACTGCTGTGTCCCGACTGGATACTTTTAGACAGACTTTTCTATGTTTTTTTTGGGGGGGGGGGGGGGGTTGTTGATTTCAGTAACTTATATGTATCCTTCCAAGAATTAATGAACCTAGCCCCTACACACCTACTTTACAGATTGAACAGTATCTGGGTATGTGTGGGACATGATAAGTGGTAATAGCAATTGCAGGCGCCCTGCATGAGGCAGGTGTTGATTAGATGACATGGTATCTAACCAACGTGTATGAATTAGAGCAAGTGCACCTCACCATCATTTCAAGGAATCTATAACAAGGACCTACACGTACAGACAGTAATATATGCTATTCGCTCGAAGATATACATTAATTGCCATCATCACCGCCCCGTCCAAACCGACCCCCAAACCCGCCTAGATCTCGACGGAAGAATTTCCCAAGATTCTTGAGATTCTCGTTCAGGTTCCCGGCCGAGGAGATACCTTCGCCTGGTGGCTGCATCTGTCCTAAAGGTCCAGAGGTGGACGGGCTGGTCAAGGCACCGGAGATGCCGCCTCCGGCGGGACTGAGACTCGTCGTGTTGGAGGAGCTCATCGGCGTTCCGAAGCGATCAACGCCGTCCTTGGCGGCAGAGATGATGGCGGACCCGAGCATGGTAGGGTCGAAGCGGGTGGTGGAGGCGCCGATGGATGCGGCGGCTGATGTGCCCAGGGTGCCGAGACCCAGGCCCTGGGAGACTGTGCTGGAGGACGGGGTGGTGGTGGTCTGCAAGGCTGCTAGGATGGGGTTGCTCTGTTGGAGGTTTGCTGCGTAGCGGTCGGATGCACGGTGGATTTGGAACAGTTCTAAAAGGTGGTTCTGCTCCTGTCGACTGCGGATTCCCTTCATGTCAAGAATCTTGCGGAAGTTCGTATTGTTTTGGTCCGCAATGTGGACCAAGTAGGCCTGGACGAGGGCTTCGGGGGGAGATGGCTGAACCTGGAGGGTCTTGAGGAGAGCTTCGATCTTCGCAAAGCTGGCGTTGACGCGCTTTACAAAACCCGCTGGCGCGGGGCTGGGGAGGAGCGATGAGAGACCGGTCTTGAGGGTGTAGGCGTCTAGAAGCATCTAATATCACCCGTCAATACTGGTGCGCTTGTACGGGTGACTGGGAAAGACCTACCTGCTCTGCGCCGGTCTCCGAGACTGGTTTGCACTGGAAGATGTTGGTGATGAATACGTTCGAGATCAGCTCTACGACATGGTCTGCAAACGCTCGGGCGTATTGTTGCTTATGCAGCAGCTGCAGAAGTTCCGAGCATTTCGTCTGCGTCTTGGACATGAGCTCGCCGACGTAGGAGCTCTGGTCGCTGACGCTCTCCAGCCGGTTCCAGGGCGTGTTGCGCATTTCCCGCCAGCAGGGCTCCAACTCAATCTCAACCTTACGCACAAGCCCTCGCACAGCCGCAGATGCAATGCCCATAAACGAGTCGGCTTGACTCTGTAGGTCCACTGTATGTTTTAGATTCTTATCGAGCCTGCCCTTGATCTTCTCCTCCAACTGGTTGCAGGTCGTGTAGCAGTAGTCCGCGGTGTTGAGAACCAAGATCAGGTCCTCAATATCGGGGACCTTTGATGGAGTGTGCCCGGTCGGTCTCTCGCTGATATAGTAGAGTAGAACCTGGGTGTACTGATCGAGGTACTTGGCGAACACCTTGGCCAGGTCGGCAAGACTCCCACCCGTAGATAGCTTCGCGCATTGCTGCAGCGAATGCCGGTAAAACGTGAAAAGGTCTGTGGAGGAGGATATGACAATATGCGAGTCAAACTCTTCGTCCGGTGGCTTTGCAGGTTGTTGCCGATACTTGGGTATAAGCGCAGCCAGCTGCTTGTCCTGGGCTTCAACCCACACGCTCAGATAGGGCTCGAACGCCTCGGAGATGGCCTGACCGAAGACAGGCGCCTCACTCGAGGCAAACGTATCCGTCGAAGGGCGGGATGGGCTGACGAAGCGCCGCTCAAGGGAGTGTTCAAAGTCCAGCGTTTCCTGCAGACACGACAGTAGCAGATTGACATCGATCGTCTGCCCATTGCGCACGGATCGGGAGAGAATCCCCTTGAAGTCCTCTCGTGTGCCCTCGCAGAAGACGTTGGCCAGGATCTCGCAGACCTTCCAAGATGCAGGAAAGATGGGTCCGTACTCCTCGTCGTAGATCTTCAAGATGCGCCGGAACCATGCATACCGCCGCGATATGTTGTCTAACGACCCGGCCTCTTCGTTGTTCCTGAACACCTGACGATATTCGCGCAGCTGGAAGTTGCAATACCAGGTCACCAGCCTAGATTTTGCGTGGTCACCCAGTGCATCCATAACCAAGCAGCCCTCCGAAAGCACCGGCCTCTTTTGACCCACTTCCCCCTTGGCGAATGCCAGCTCGAAGTCCTCGCAGACCTGCTCCAGAAGCTCCCGTTGTATGTCCGCAACATTCCTACTAAGCAGAGCAATCTGATCAATTGAGCGGTACGACTTGAAATGCGCCATCAGCTGAATCACCGCCTGCAGCAGCTGAGCACAATCCCGGTACTGCCGCGTGCGACCAAGGGAACGGAGTTGGTCGTAGGCTGTGGTGAGCATCTGCAGTCTCTTTAGCACCGTCATGGATAGGGTGAGATTCTTTTTCGCATTGTCCAGCTGCTTGATGTCCGCCGTCATCTCCGTAATGGCTAGCTCCGTCCTGGACGCGCGGTCGCGCACATCGTCGATCTTCCTGAACAGCTCCGTCAAGTCTGCCTTGGCGGCCTGGATGCGCTCGACGCTCTCCGCATTGGACGTGACCTGATCCTCCACCAGTGCGCCGATATCGTCGTCGAGCTCGTCTTCATATTCGCAGAGGGTCTGGGACACTTGGGACACGGACGACAGCGTGGAGGGGTGAGAGAAGATTGCGTTCAGGTGGTCGATTGGATCATAGTCCGCTGTAGATTTGGGTCCGTTAGCAAGTTCCGCGGCGAGACGGAGTCGTCAATGGCGGCCTCACCTGCGTCCAAAGGGTCGAGATTGGCCGCTCCATTGGAGGAGGGCATTTGGCCGGGGGTGGTGGTGGTAGTGGCGGACATTCCATTAGCTCCTGAGCGTCAACGCCAGACACATGCTGCAATGCCAGCTAAGGGGCATCCGCCAATTCAACATGTAAGCATAGGCTAAAGCGAACGGGCGACTAAAGGAGCGAAAAGAACCGAACGGAGAAACGAGCAGCTGTAAGGACTGAGGGGGTTGTTGATGATGGGGCCGGAGTCCGGGAGTTGGCGACAAGTCAGTCAATCCAATCAGCCACGGGCAGCTCCTTTAGCGCACGCCCGCTCCGCAGCGCCTCGTCATCGCGCCGCTTTCTGTTTCCATCGATCTAGTCTCTACAATAGTACAAACTAGATATGAACTACTAAATATGGTGCAGATGAAATCATCAGGCAGCAATCCTGGGGCGTCCGCCCCACTTTTTGTTTGTTATCTTGAGGTGGTCCCTGTACAGCGCAAGTCTCGCATCTATATGGACATCAAAGTCGTCGCGGTCTTTTATTGTACATCAAAGAGAGGTTCTGAAAAAGTCGCAAGCCCTAAAGCAATTCGCCCAAGCCATGCATAGCAAACAACACAACAATAGAAAAGTACTCCAATCAAACACCACCAGATACCCCCCCCCGGCACGAAATCCGAGTATGCGAAGACCAAATCGGGTCGACACGAAGCGAGTCGTTCACGAATGTTCCCGTTTGGTCCATTAATCTATCTCCTTTGTCTCCCCCTTGTCCGTCCTTGTCCTCCCTTGTCCGACTAAACTGCAGGTAGGAAAGCTTCCGGAGGCAGCGTTCCCTGTGCCTGTAAGATACAATTAGCGAAGGCCTATCGGAAGGATTGAGTCAAGTCTTACCTTAAGTTCCCCAAAGTTCTTCAAGGCAGCCTCCATGTTCCAGCCATTTCCAGACAAGGCCATCTCGGAGTATTGGAGTGTCATCCGAGTGGTGGAGCTCATCTGGAGCACCAGCTGTTCTTGTTGTACTTGCGTGTCCGCTTTTCCAGGCGCCGGCATGCCGTAGCCTTCGGGAGCGCCTGGCACTGCCACTGTTTGAGGCGCTGCCTGAGGTGCAACAGGAGGAGCTGCTTGAGGTACAGCTGGCAGGCCCTCCGGGGCCCATGCTTCATGTCCACCATAGGCCCGCAGGCAGAGGATATCACTGATGACCCTGATCCCGCCCATACCACCACCGGGTCCGAGAATGAAGGTTCGGTCGAAACTCCGGGTTTCAACCTTGGTTCCATTGATTTCGTCAAACTTCCCATGCACCATGATGAGAAGCCCACCAACACCTGTGGTGCTTTGTCCGGAGGCATCAGGAAGCCCCGGGATTGGGTAGCATTCAATAAGCCACTCCTCGGGGTGCGCGGCGATGTCGGGATGCCTTGTGGCAGGAAGGCTGGTCCACAAATCGCGGATTTTCTCCACACCGGTGTATGTGCGTGACATCCGTGCAGGGAGATGGCTAATCTTGAGCAGGTTCCTACTCTTCTTGATATACGGATCCCAGGGCGCAGGCTCTGTTTGTTGGGCCCTGGGAGCCGATGTGTTCACATTGAGCGTGAACGTGGAATGATTGTCGTAGACGCCACTGAGCAAGTCGCTGCGGTCGTTGTCATAGCCCGCAAAGAAAGCCCGGACGAAGTTCTCTGCAATTTGACCCTCGTCCTGGAAGTACGGCGCCTGAACAGGAATCGGCGTCTTCTTCTGCGCCGCCAGTTCCTCGGCGGTTCGAACTTCGACATTATTCAAAAACCGGAGCTTGGGATACCACTTCAACATTGTATCCTTGAATGTGGGATCGGCGCTGAACGGAGTGTTTGATAGGTCGAGAAATTCGAGGTTCCGGAACTTCCAACGCCATCCAATCAACGACTGGGCATCTTTGAAATCGTTATTCGAAAGGTCGAGATTCTTCAAATCCGGGATCGTCTGCGCTAATGTCGTCACGGCCGTAATGTTGGCCAGTTGATTGTGTGCAAGGCTGACACTTTCCACTGCCTCTCGGCGCGCCGTGGCATTGTCGAAGTTTAACTCCCAGACCTTCATGAGCGCCGGGAAGAACTTCGACTCGGTGGAGGTGCTGCCAAAGATTCCCATAGATAATAGATCCGGATCAGTTCCCAACTTTGAGAGGTCGAGTAGTTTCGTCTGTTGGGTATAACGTCTGCCCAGAATCGTCGTCATTTTAGCCTTGGTCTCGGCGGCCGAGGACGAGCTGCCATTCTGCGCCACGCCGGACAGCATAGGCTGATCCAACATGCCACTCATAGACCGGTCATACTTTTCCGTCGTCAGAGGGGCACCTGCAAAGCTAAACCCATTGATCTGAAGCATCCTATCCAACAACTCCGGTCGGATAGAGACGATAAGCGCGTCGCCTTCGACCCGCGACTAGTGAACGTTAGTAAGGCGTAAGATACCTTGAACCCGCAGCCATCCAAAGGAACAAACGCCAGAAGAGCCTAAGCAAGCGCCGATCGTCGTTCTGAAGGTACCATCCCCGAAACGAGAGCACATCGGAGAGGAAGATGCTGATGATTCATGTCGATGACCGCCAAGTCTAGTGTTGCACATACCTTTGTTATCCTTGCGCGTGTGCCAGCTTTCGAGTCGGGTGAGCTAAGTTTCTTTTCGAGAAATGCGATGAGAGATTCGAGACCACCATCGCGGTTAGAAGCGGCCTTGCTTTGCTTCCAGCCACGGACGATAACCTGTTCCAGACCACTGCCTCGTCCTCCCTGTCGGATGTTCGCTTGCGAGTCTGTGTTGCTGGAGATGGCCTTCTGGATCGCATCCATGGCTTTGTTCGCTGCCTGCGTCCGCCCTGCCCCGCTCGAACGACCAGAATCGCCACGAGCCTTCTTCCCGCGGTTCCGCGTCGAGCCTGCGTCCATCATCAGATCACCTTCCCGATCGACCCGAGCAGTAGCACCCCGCTTGCGGATGCCCCCGCGATCTGAAGCACCCGAGCGGCCGCGAGAACCTTTCCCGTTCTTCATCTTGACAGAGGAGGGGTGTGTTGTCGTAGAGGAGGGGTCGTAGGTGGTGACGGGAGGAGGGTCGTGGTCGAGTTTTAAGTGTTACGCAGGCCCGAAGAGCGCTGCGCGCCTTAGTGGTTGGAGATCGACTCAATCGGCATACACCGATAGATGCGGAAGAAATCGTAGGAGGAGTAGTAGTGGAATGAGAATAAGATTTGATATTGGGGAGATAGTCGAGAGGTCGTAGACGATCCCAGTGAAGTAACCGCCAACCTCGTTCTGCAGCTCAAAGGATGAACACAGGAGATTCTTGAGTCAGTGCAGAAAAAGTGACGTGAACCACCAAAAGCATTTCCGCGACGCTGGGTGTCACGTGGGCGGCCAGGCGCAGACGCCCCACGTGATACGTCAGCACCAGGCACGGGAAGTGGGCCAATCAGAGGCTGTAGTCTGTCCTTTGGCACAGGCGGTAATACGCGATACCGATGCAGGCAAGCCGGGCGGGCAGATTACGAGGCTAATCCCGAACAGGAAATATTGCTACAATACCGTTTGTTTCTCCGCTTCATCAACAGGACAGCTTGTTAGTTATCGATTCCACTGCCTCTCTCAAGGAGTTGATCGCCACACAACGTGCGCAATTCGCGGCTCTCAGTCGCTCACTCTATCTTCCGACTTCGCTCGCGTAGGTCGCCTCGTCTTTGTCCCCTCCTTGCTCGATTCAATTACGCTTACATTCAAGTTCTCGCCAACAGGCTTCATTCATTCATTCCCGCGGGCACTAGCTGGTCTTTAGTCGGTCCAACGATCACCCTCGAATATACTCAACCGCTTCCCCGGATTCATGTCGATCAATTAAATTAGAACAATGCCGGCGAAATCGCGATTCACAAGGCTAGATGCCTTCGCTAAAACGGTCGAGGATGCGCGCGTCCGTACCACATCCGGTGGTATCATCACCATAGCCTCGTTGCTGGTCATCTTTTGGCTTGTGTGGGGAGAATGGCTGGACTACAGGCGTGTGGTGGTTCTGCCAGAGCTGGTGGTCGATAAGTCGAGAGGTACGATTGAATGCCGATTGCCGGATAGTCACAAAACGAGGAGCGATGGCTGATGGTCCTTCATACAGGCGAGAAGATGGAGATCCACCTGAACATGACCTTTCCCCGGCTTCCCTGCGAGCTCCTGACCCTGGACGTGATGGATGTCTCTGGCGAGCAGCAGACCGGTGTTGTCCACGGTATCAACAAGGTTCGCCTTACTTCTGCCGCAGAAGGGGGCAAGGTTATCGACGTCAAGGCCCTGGAGCTGTAAGTGGCCCTTTCGATTCACTTTTGCCAGCTCCGTCGCTGACAATGAATTGCATTCAGTCACTCCAAGGAGGAGAGCGCCAAACACCTCGACCCTGAATATTGCGGTGAGTGTTACGGTGCGCCTGCTCCCTCCGGTGCCAGCAAACCAGGTTGCTGCAACACTTGCGACGAAGTCCGGGAGGCCTACGCACAGCAGCAGTGGGCATTTGGCAGAGGCGAAAACGTTGAGCAGTGCGACCGTGAGGGCTATGCGCAGCGCATTGACGCCCAGCGCCGCGAGGGTTGTCGTCTGGAGGGTGTCCTCCGCGTGAACAAGGTGGTCGGTAACTTCCACATCGCACCCGGCCGTAGTTTCACCAGCGGAAACATGCATGTACACGACCTCGCAACCTTCTTTGAAACCGACCTGGCAGACTCCGAGAAGCACACCATGACTCACGAAATCCACCAGCTGCGATTTGGACCTCAGCTTCCGGACGAGCTGTCCGATCGCTGGCAGTGGACGGATCACCACCACACCAACCCTCTGGACAACACCAAGCAGGAGACCAACGAGCCCGGCTACAACTTCATGTACTTCGTCAAGGTGGTGTCGACCTCGTACCTCCCCTTGGGCTGGGATCCTCTGTTCTCTTCTTCCATCCACTCTGCCTACGACCAGGCCCCTCTTGGTTCCCACGGCATCGCCTACGGAGCAGAGGGCAGCATCGAGACGCACCAGTACTCCGTAACCTCGCACAAGCGCTCCCTGATGGGCGGAGACGCCTCTGACGAGGGCCACAAGGAGCGTCTGCACGCCGCCAACGGCATTCCAGGCGTGTTCTTCAACTACGACATCTCCCCCATGAAGGTCATCAACCGGGAGGCCCGTCCCAAGACCTTCACCGGCTTCTTGACCGGAGTGTGCGCCATCATCGGAGGTACCCTTACCGTTGCCGCAGCCGTAGACCGTGGTCTCTACGAAGGCGTCAGCAGAATCAAGAAACTCCACTCGAACTAAGACCACCACCACCAATTCAAACCAGAGAACAAAACAATAAACCCCCATAAATCCCAAAAAGAACCCCAAGAAAGGGAGAAAACAAAGTGAAACATGCAACAAGTGCCATCGAAGAGCGAGCGTCGTATGGAGTACAGGGGACGAAAGAAGGAACTCCGGTAGTTCAGGCGTTTTATCTATCTATCTATTTTTTGGGAACTGAGTGACTCATTGATACACCTTTTATATTTGGTATTGTTTTGTTTTGATCATAGGTGAGATGGGTCGGTAGGTATACAACAGTACTCAGATCTATGTCATTGGGACTTGCGGTCTCTTTCTTGGAAACTCCCAACTATCTAGGTACTATCTACGTCGTCATGGTCGAGTCTTTAGTACCGTATCCTAAGATCTCGTAGCATTTTCTAGTAGAGCAAGGGCTGGGAAGGAGGAGATTCAAGAGCTAGTCCTACGGTATCTGGACTGTGAGACGTGCTTCAGACTCTTCGCCACGGAAATAATGGACTTGGGTTTTCGTTCATTAGCCAAGCCAATGGGTCCATACTGCTAATCTGATTCGGTGGGTATTAATTGGAAGAATCTGTTTTGGGAGAAGAAATACTGCTAAGTGGTATAGCTACCAATGTCGGCTGTGTGATGGCACCCTGAAAAGAAACAGATACCCATGCCATGCTTGAAAGATAAAGAACGTTTCCAAATATACTCCGTGGACCTAGAGAAATGATCGCTGCAACCCCTAACGTCCAAGAAACATAGCAAGTGACTTTCTAGGCATTAGAAGTCTACCTCTAAGATGGAAGACAAGCTCACGGGCTAATGCAAGAGATAGAGCAAAGAAGGGACTAGATCATGAGAATCACGCAAAGAAAAGCAAGTTGATCGGATATAGGAGACAAGGAGATGGGTTAAAAAAGAGGGGCGGGAACATACTCAGTAATGCATGGTGTTCGCATTACTGACATAGCCAGGATGCTGGCCCAAAGGCTGGCTTTGCTGGTAAGCTGGGGGCGTTTGCGCCTGCTGCGACGCGAACTGCCCGTACCAAGACTGGCGCCGGGGCTCCTCTGGCTGGTAAGCCTGATTAAGAGCATCCCAGGTGCGGCTCGCGGTGGGAATGTTATAGACACTGTAATGGTTGCCCTGGCTGTATGCCGGTGTTGAGTTGTTTGGAGCACCTTGCTGCTGCTGAAAATGTTGCTGACGTTGTGCAATTGCATGCTGCACCATTTGGTTGGACACTCCTTCTCGGATACTCTTTTTCTCGCGCTCACGAGCATCAATCGCTCCAACCAGACCCATGGGGTTTACCGGCGACGCCTGGGTCTTGTGAAGCCCAGAGATATCGAGAAGAGGTGCACCAGTCATCCGAGATACATGTTCCTGCTCACGGGCAGAAAGATGCGATGAAAGTTCATTGTAGTTCAAGACGCTGCTGGCACCACGGGAGTGAGGGCGAAGCGGCGCATCGCGACTGCCAGACAAGTGTGACTGCGGCCGAGAATTGTTCGCCCAGTCGCCAGAGATAGGCCGAGGAGGGGGTGATGTTGAAGAGAGCGTTCGGTGGTGGGCGTGGTTCGGGGGGCTGGGGGCTGACCGTTGTTGCACGAACTGCTCCGCTGTGAGCCTGCCTGGAGTGGACGGACGCGGGGCAGCCATACCCGGCTGCCACATCATATTGTTACTTGGAGACCTAGAGTGCCGACGTTCTGCCTCGTGTGAATCTTGTCTTTCTGTTGCATTCGAGTCGCTTCTCTGATGTGCCGATTTCTTGAGAGTGTCCCCGGTATTCGGACGTCCAGTAGTAGGCAGATATGTTAGGGTCGGTCCGAAGTCGATGCTCGGAATTTCAGCACTAAACTCTAGTTGCGCCTGGTCAACGGTGTAATGAGCATCGCCGATGACCAGGTCTTGCTTCGGGGGCCCCGATCCCACGGTCTTCAAGACCCCCATCCTGGGTCGAGGAATCGACTTAACAGAGCGTTTGCTGTAGACGGACCCTCGAGTACTGGCATAATCAGGAGAGGCTGCAGATGCGTCATCATAGACACTCTCCTCATCTTGATGGCTCTCTTTATCGGGGGAGGTGAACGAAAACTGGCGGGATCCGACCCAATTCAGAACCGCTTCGTCTACCGTATGACGCAGATCCTCGTCACTAGGCTCTCCTGCAACACTCGCAGCGTCGGATTCTCCGAATTGTTGCCCGGCCACGGGCTTCCGCTTCACGGCCTTTGTGGTATCTAAACGAAGGCTTTGCCTCTTCGGTATAGTCAGCGGCGGGCCGAAATCGCTTGAACGATCCTCAGGTGTCGGTGGGCCTTGCTCCTGAAGGATAGCTCTCTTATCGCTCGTATCCGATAAAAGCGAGGGGGCACCCTGTTGATCGGAGCCAGTATTTGATGTGAGGGGACTGGGCTCGTTAGAATCTCTGATCGTTTCGTGGCTACCCGAGGGGAAAGAAGCGCCAAGCAGGTTCATGCTCCCAGAGGCAGCGAGAAGCTGTGTAAGAGTGGCATCAGACATCCTATTGTTGGCTTTTCTCAAGTCCGGCGAGGGCTGGGGCCGAGTGGCAGGCATCTCTCCTGGACCATGTGTGAAGGCTGGAGGATGGACTACAGGTGAGGGAGGAGATGGGGAGCGGAAGCGATGCCCAAGCACCTCGTCGTCAGAGTCTGCCTGCTGCTTTTCATCGCTTTCCGTGTCCACCGCACCAGTGCCAGGACGTTCACTATTATGCGGTACCAGTTCATGAATAGAGGACGGTGGAGAAATGTCGGCGGATGAATCTTGGGCCTGTCTTCTGATGGAAAAAAATGCAGTAGTGTCCGAAGAACCCCGAGCATGATGGATTGGAGAGATGGAAACATCACTGGGGGCCTCACGCAAAACAGCGTCACTAGACTGATTGAAATCCAGCCGGGTTTCAGGGGATGTGCAGTTGCGCTGTTGTGGACCGGTGCGCCCATTGCCTTGCACGTTCGAAATTGTAGTGGCTCGGAAACGTGGCTTACTCGCAGAGATGCTGCTGGTTCTGCTTCCAGAAGCCGCCATACGGCGTGCCGTTGCCTCCTTGAGCTGCTTTCGCCATTCTGCCTCACTCCAATTCTGACTGCCTGGTGTCTGCATCAGACCAGCAATATCTAGGATATCAAGATAACCATAGCGCCGTTGATTTGGGAAGGCAAACATAATGCTCTTAATGTGGTTGGTAGCGGCAATGAGGCGGGTCGGTCGCCCGTACAGGTTAAATGTGTCAAACGTAGGTACGAGGAATCGGAGCATCATCTCAAACCCAGTGATGGCAGGATGAACTTCGGGCATGACAAACACAAACCCATCTGTAGTCGACTCTGGTTGTGAATGAATCGTAATCTTTCCTTCAATCTTGACCAAGGTCGACTGATCAATCAAGGCTTTTGACTGAGGGTAAATAGCGTAAGCAGCGTATGCATCAGTAATAGTCGCAATAGGCCTCGCCTTCTTGGTTTTCTTCGTATCGTAGAACTTGATGTCGCCCGTAATCAGTCTGGGCGCACGATCATATGCCGACTTCTTCTTGATTGACTTTTGCGCCTTCTGGAACTCTTTCTCATTGGGTGGAGTGATAACAAACCAGCACCGTCTCCAGGGTGTGCCTGCTCCAAATCGCACACGAGCCCAATCCTCGTGTTTGTGACGGTGACGTTCCAAGATGGACCGGATATTGTTGAGACCTTTGCCTTTCCCCGCGATGATCGAACCCGTATACGCCTCGTATAATGACGTGTGTTCGAACAAAGCCAGACGTATAGCTGCCGTCCACTGTGTCAAAGAATGGAAGGAATTGAAATGCAAAAGATACCGATTTTGGCCCGCGGAACATATACTTAATATGTTCTTCAGGGCCTGGGTCTCTTGGTTTCTTGTAGGCAGTGTTTCAAGCTAGATCAAAGACAGTCAGCCAACAATTGCAAAGGCTATAGTTGCGATATCTCACCATCTTTATTGAAGCGTCTGCCAGGTTAATGAAAGTAGGGTTGACATCTTCCCCTTCTTCTGCGGCGTCCAGCGCTGTGGCATCCCATAGAGAAAGAGCAGTGCCGACAAGTTGCGCATAGCATTCAACCCACTGTCGATCAGAACAGGGCCGGCCATCTGCGACATTCAATCATTAGTACAAATTCCAGCAGTGCCTGACCCTTGAGGTACCCACGGATGTCCAAATCATTCAATTTTAGGAAGTACCCCTCGTGGTATAACTTATTGGCATGGGTGTTTAGATATCCGAAGATTGGCTGAAGCTCTGGAAGTGTATCCTGCGAAAGCTCCAGCAACGGAGGAGTGTGAGAAAACAATGCCGACTCAGGCCGCGATAGGACTCGTCGTTCGGTGTTTGGAGTCCCACTTATCGGCGAAGCATCGAGAGGCGAAGGGGTGTCCGAAGAAGGTGTATCTAATCTTTTCGGAGGATTGTTCAGTGTGAGGGAGGCCGACGATGTCCGATGATGCTGTCCGAGGTTGTCTTTGCGGGACGAGCCCCCGAACACCGACATCAGAGAAAGTACTGTAGCGCACGAGCGCAATAGACGTCAACCATGATTGTTCGAATGTTCTGGGGGAAGTACCAAGCCAGGTGCTAACAACTTACCTCGCGAACGACCCATGATGGCCAAAGTCCGTCGTGGCCCAGACAATCAAACTGAAGACCGGCTTTCAGCTAACTGGATATAGTATGCGGGTCACACAACTGCGCAGAAGATAAAGCCAGATAGTGTTGCTATGCAGTAAATCAAGAAAACGAACGAGAGACGAGGAAAATAGGTGAAAAAGGAAGTGTATCGAGCCCAGCTCCTTTGCAGGGAGATAGCGACAATAAAGTGTCAAGACCCGCCAAGACTAGATATGGAAGTTTGATTCCATGAAGTATCCGGTGGGAACTTTGAGGCGCCCGAAAGAACGAAAGGAGCGGAAGGGCAAATAAGAACGCGGCGGCGCTGGAACGACCGCCAAGATGGCGGATGATGGCGCAAAGTCAGCTTGCAAGCGCCTGACTAGACCACTTGATGTCTCAGTTGCTTCGGCGGAGGAGGCGGGAGGGCAAGGGTCGGAAAGCGAGAGAAGGGGAGAGGAAGGGAAATATACTATGGTCGAACGAGTGAGGCGAGAAAAGGCAAAGCTGGACGGAAGACGAAGAGGCGTAGAGGGTAGTGAACGGAAGCACAAGACGGCGAGCGTTGAAGGAGATCAACTTAGCCAGCCAGGGCGTGGGTCTGAAGGGGAGAAAGTGTAACAAGTGTTACCGGACTTATAGTACTGTCGGCTTGTTGTTTCTCTTTTGAGACCAAAGTAACGGGGAGCGGATCCCGCTTGGTGGTCCGATTGCCTCTTCGTCCTGTCTAGCAGCAGCTGGTCGATGCTGCCCCTCAGGAGATAGTTGTGAACAGAGTCCCGACAGAGTGGGTGATGCCGTTGAATGGAGATGATAAGGAGCCACCTATACGAAAAGAAGTAGAGGAGAGGCCCTAAAAATGACCTCAGGTTAATACCGGGTGGTGGAGGTTACGGTACCGCAAAGTGGTTCTGGCCGGGTTGTCTGCCTGGCGGCTGGCGTCATCGCATGTGGCTACAATCGACTAAACTAATGTACTTACTTCAGGTGGTCCCAGACGGACGGGCCAGTCTCGCTTTTCTTTTGTTGCCCTTCTTGACCTCCGATTCCCTGCCCCTAGTGCTCGACCCCGATTTGATCGCTTCAGGCACCTCCTCATTCCAGGCAGATCGGCATGGGATCAGAGACTGCAGCCCAGCTATCTACGGGGACAGTACCCGGGACTTTGTTTGTTGCCTGCCGGGATCTCTTCAGCTAGTCTTGTTCGATAGCCTCCCTCGCTGACAGGAATGGGTCGCTAGGGACAGCAGCGACCAAAAGAGAAGGAAAAGAAAAACAAAAAACAATAATAAGGGACACCCATATCAGTATTTATTCTCGGTCAGCCATCTTACCCATGGGTGGCCTGGTGGGTTTCGAGACTTTCCAACCCCCGCGTATCCGACCTTTGCACCGCCTCCAATCAGCTTATTCCGTGAATAAAAGAGAGACCAATCTGATGGTTGAATCGCTCCCTCCACCCAAATATAGAAACCGCAGTCCTGCATGTCTTAACCCAACTGCCACTACGCAGTAGTTACTGGCCAATTCCACGTCTCGTTCTTTGTCCTCTCCGCTGCTCGTAAACCGGTGTTTCTCGCCCACGAGGTGAGGAGAAGACGGAGCCAACGTAGACGCCAAGTGCAGCCTAATCAGCCCCGGGATCTACCCATTGGTCCCTTCCTTAGCAGCCAGATGAACTTTGACCGGCCAAGACGGTGCAGTGCGGAGGAGTTCTCGGGCTGTTGTCTGGTTGTATTGATTTGCCTTACCGTCCTTACCGGAGTAATCTGCGTCGTGTCCCTTGTGTAATAGTAGGAGGAATGTAAGGCAATGAATACTATGGGTATGGCCCGGGACGCACTGCCACAGGCCCGCAGTGCCACACGACATCAGATGATCTTGGCGGGAAGCTTCACTACCAATTCTGTTCTCCATTTACCAGATATACTTTCACTATAAATAACCGTACTATTGTGGTCACACACAGGCCCCATGCTGTAGGAACAAAATCTCCCCGGATGGATTTTGATGGATTTCCGGTCACAATCAACGCAGAGCGATCAAACAGGAATAGTCCTTAAAGCACCTACCCCTGCTAAGGTTAGGCCCTAAGAAGTAAAACCGTTTAGTTCCGAATCTAAAATTATAAGCGACTGGGGTTAGCACGCTGGTCTAAGTATGACAAGGACCCGTTCTGCGTCTTAAATGCCGGAATCACAGGAATGTCCGGTTGCTGTGGACATAATGGAACTGGAAGAGAGAGGCTATCATGGAATTCCAGCCCAGCCCAAGGTGGCTGTGGTATTCTCCTTTGGAACGGGGTTGGACAGAGGGCATCAACTTTATTCATGCTGCTGCAGGTTATGTAACCTTAACCAGGCTGTTAATACTGGGTATTTGCCCCGTTTATAATACGCTCTTTATCATCCAGCATCCTGTCCTCCAGGCCAGTGACCCTACTAAAGGCTGTGACTGGTCAGCAGCGCAAGTGACCAAATCATGTCCATCTCTGGAAGCACGTACGTAGTGCAGTCCGCAGTCCATGACCCACCAGTCAGGGTATTCCCCCCTTAGTTTACTAAGCCTGCGGAGCTCCCCAAAGATCGCGGGCTTGACGCGCAAACTCCTAGCAGCGATCATTGCTGAATGGGAGTTAATCTCGGCAGTGTGACCTCAGCAGTTAGGATCCATCGCGGAAGCTTCTCTGACCACGTACGATGTACTGCGCATGTTCTCCATTATTCATGCAGATCAATCCAGTTTTCTTCCTTTGTCTCCGCGCTTGCAGATTTCAGTCAGTTGATCTTTGTTCCCCTGGCATATCATTGGGACACGATGACCAGATCAGCCCTGCTTCTGTCATGATGCAATTCTGGTCGCTGGGGCCTACGCGAATTTCCTTGCCATGCCTTATGCTGACTTGCCAAGATTTAGTGGACGGGGTGGCAGACTGAAGATCCTCAACTCTGAAGCGATCCTCCGCCACTTGGAGTCTTGTCGCGTTTCATATCTGATGGAGATTTTCCCTGTCTCCACCGGCTCTGGCAAACTTCCTGAAGTCTGCTGCAATTGAGTTTTGGTTTGAGAACAACGGAGTAAAACCAGACCATGATAGGATTGTCTTTAGTCAGTGTGTATCATATTTAGTTATTGTATCCGTACAGGGTCCTTGTTAGATAACCTAGTTTAAGTACAAGGAGAGCTATGCCCCTCAAGCAAAGACCTAGATGGGACCAGATGCATGGCAAAATGCCGGCCCCACGATGAAGGGATTGTCTTGTTGCAGATATCCTGCAGGGTCTTCTCGAGCGGCGTGACTGCCGTGACCCCGAGCCTTGATCATATATCGCAATGGCATCTCCATCTCCGTGCCTGTCAAGACCATCTCTGTCGGCTGTCAGGTGCCTTCCGAGCTCGCGTGGGTCAACAAAAGGTCTTCTGACCTGCGACAACGTAAGAAAGGCCTGGCGACATGACATGTCCAGGCACATGCACCTCCACATTCCCAAGGCCATGACACTTGAAGTATGGCTAGGAGTGAGTTTCACCAAACCTCATTACAATCCACCGAAATTCAGGCTGTATATGGCACCTTTCGCTGGGTGCAAATACCAGAAATGAAGCATCTGGATTGTCTAGCCTGGATACCATCTCAACGATTCGTCGTATCCGGCATTGGTTACCCATCGTGCTTTCTTCCCGATGACTCGTCGATATGACTCCACAGCCTTGAATCCGGTCTCGAAAGCATTCGTTATTTGAGATCTTATCACGTTAGAGATCGGATGCTGAGCCTTGGACATGGCCTCGCAACCTCGATTGCTACCATGATACTCGGCATGCATTTTGATAGATGCCTAATCTTTCCCTGTAAAGTTGCTATTCATGTCTGTGTTTGTTCGCACAGGCTTCCTTGCTGTATTCCACTGGTCGACACACTAAACAGGGGTTCTCAACGGATATGAAAGCTCCTCGACACACTGAGATCGTAAGTCTTGATAGTAAGCCACAAACTCATGGAGCGACCTGGACGATCGCGTTTGTGGAGATCTGCCAGTCTCGCTTCGACCCCATCTTTGGTTATATTTCCCTCGCAGTGTATGGCCGCTCCTATGTTGATATCTTACCTTCATTCTCTCCACGAATAGTCCTTCCGTGGTACACCCGAAGCTGAGTTCAGCCCTTCGAGTGTTCGAGGTCATTCATGGCATCTTATGAATATAACACCATTCGGTTCCTGGTCATTTGAAGCTGATATTAACTGGGCCATGGGGGTTTGACTGCAATGATTTCGGTTGAAGATGCTGTTGAGACCAAGCGATGTGCGGCCTGAGCCAACCACTGCTGTCAATGCAAACATCTGATATTCACTGGTCCTGTTGCTCATTCACGGTCCCAACTCATCCTTGCCTTTGCTCCTCTTCATATCACACTTGCTCTCCCCCCCTCTTTTTTCTAATCCACACCCCACTTTGGCTTTTCTCCTCTTCTTCTGTGAGGACCTTAGATCCTTTTCATCATTTCTCTACCCTCCAAGCACACCAGGGTGCGTGTACCTCTCTTGAAACATTCTGGTCTTCCGATTCAGGTTATCGGAAAGTTCTCCGACGACGTTTGAAAGTCTTTCTGTACATTGACCTGTTTTATTCTCCCGCTTCCTTTACTTTCTTGTCACAACTAATCAAAGGAATTCGGAAGCAATGTCTAGGATCGGTATGCATTAATCGGACTTGCCGCCATGAACATATCTCGCTCCTATTCTGCGGCTCGTACGCCCGTTCTGAAGAATGCTGCCGGACCGATTGACATCATACTAGATGAGCCTACTGATACCTGCGCAATGGCCGAAGAGAAAGCCGAGGAGATCATCGAAGCTGAGAACGAGAGGCTCGATCAACTGATGATAGAGTTTACCAGAGGCTTTGATCCCGGAATCTTCGCTGACGAGATAGCTTACTCGCTCCCCAAAGTTCTTCAAGATGTCTTCCCCGGTTCCTACGAGCATCTTCTGAGCATGTTATATGAGAGCGATGCCAATATGCATGCTACCCAGGTCAAACTCGAGACATGGCTCCTGAATCGTTACCCACAAATTCTCAATAAGATCACCGAACGGGGCGAGACTAATATCACTGACGAGACATACTTTGGGGCCGAGATCGAGATTTTGAGAAAGCTATTGGCGTATCTGCGTAAGGAGACGGACAAACCTGTCTTTTGGCTCAACTCTCGACGTGCGAGTCCTACCAAAGCTCGCCAGCAACTTGAAGCGTCCATCAGAGTGATTGAGTTGTTCAAGAACGATGTCATGGCTGCGATGAGGTCGGACACTGAAGACAGTGAGTGACAGGTGAGGCCAGATCCTGTAAATTCTTATTGGTCTAATAAGGCACAGGGAAGATCTACAACCCTCTCCCCGTGTCGATGGAACGCACTGCCCTGCTAAGCATCAAGCAACTTCGAATTGACGCATGCAAGGCTTCGCTTTCCTGGGATGGCTACATGGATTCTGCTATTGTTCTCACCTCGTTTTTCCACGCATACAAGGCATACACTTGCAAGCACAAGCCAGACAAAGCACGTGCATGGGGCTGGCTCCCCCCAAGAGGGCTAACACCACCACCTCTGTCTGCTGAGAAAGCCAGGGTGGGCGATCTTACTGAATGGTCTTTCAAGATCAATAAAAATGGCGTCTTTGATCTGCTACTCAAGACTGCTCTTTGGCTCGGCTTGGCAAGGGGTCTACCAGCCGTACATCTCTTTTGTGACGTCGCCAGGCTGTTTACTACCCATATGCCCTCCAAAAAGGCTAATGAGACGTACGTCCGATTCTTGCGACATTTGACCCAGACCAGGGTGTCTATTGGAGGGATCAAGTCTGCGCCGCCAACACCCATCCCTTACAAGAATAAGTCCGAGGCAAAGTCGAATGATGATTACTTCGAAGACGTGTGGAGATCGGATAAGGATTTGGCGAAGGACCTAGCAAAGAACCTGTCTCTGTTCGACATGAACACGACCAAGGATTTCAAGCTGGCTACGGCTCCTCCTCGACGCTCGTTCCGCAAGAAGGCGCAGATGATCGAGCAAGCTTGCGTTGTCGAAGAGACCTTCACTGATGTTTGGCCCCAGAAGGATCCGGTAAGTTGCGCTTTCATTAGGTATCACATCATAACCCACAGCTAACATTCCTCGACAGCTTCCTCCGAAGGCACCCTCTTCATCTGCGGCTCAACGTAAGCCGGCCCCTCGTCCTCAGAACACGCAGCCCGACCTTCTTGAGCAGAACGAATATGTCTCCGTCCTCAATTGGTGAGCGCGCATGTTGCAGCTCTAGGATCTATCCAGCAGACTCAGACTGTGTTTCTCTCGCCGTTGAATGCAGTATTCTGTCGATCTCAACAGTATGTTTCATGAGCGCCGTCGTCGAACAGCAAACACCAAATCTCAACTCCCACAAAACACAGGTGAAAATACTACAAGGAACACAACCTACATGAACTAAGAAACCAGGTACACGATTGGCGATCTTGAACCAAACTTCTTAAGAGTCAGAATTCCCCAGATGGTACAGAATCTTTTTCAGGTCTCTCAGAAAACGGAACCACATCCAGGATTCTTCCTTTTCGACATTTTGACACTCACCACCCTTTCGCATGTCATTGCCCAACCATCCCCTAAATGCTGGCCACCAAGGGGACAGTAGGCGAGACAGGCCACTGGGTAACCCGTGAGCTTGACATCGTTGTTGAAATAAAGCAATCTAGGATTCCGGAGCACACATACCCACATAACTTCAACCTCTCCCCTCTTTTCCACTTTATGTATTAGCTTAACAGAAAAGAAAGAAAAGTCTCTTTATGTACACATTGTGCCCAAGGTTTGTTTGTTGACGTTTTTCCCCTTTCATGCGCGTTCACAGTACCGATCTGTATACGTGAACACAATGTAAGCTGACTATTATATCTATCTAGGGCCCTTTTTTTCTCTGCTTAGCGATATCGTCATGGCAACCTCACTGCTGAAATGGAAAAGGGTTGATCCAGTGAGTGAGCGAGCGAGCATGCTGATGATGTCGTTGACAGTGTGTTGTGCTGTGTTACTAGGTGTTTTCACTCTTGCTGTTTGATTCATTCTCATTCTCTTTTCTTTTCATTTTCTTTCTCCTTGCTGGGTCAAGGTGTATATGAACGGACCACCACTCGCTATCACTCTCACTATCACTCTCGGTATACAAGATGTTGTATGCATGGACATAGGACTATTGTACATCATCTGCATGTATACATATGTATGTGCTCTACGGGTCATTCGGTTGGTGGGTCGGTGGCTGGCTTGCTGGCTGGTTGTTACGGTATACGAGATTGAGCGACATGGGACATTTCTCATTATCTAAAGTCACCTAGCTAGAGGGTCCTTTGAGACTAGAAGGACGAAAAGCGAACACAGAGGGGATAGGATGTACGGATGGAAGCCAAGAAAGACAAGAAATAGAGATCATTCATTATTTCGTGTTCTGAGTCGGTTCGTGAATACGTTATAAAAGCCCGGAAAGGTGTAGGTAGGTAGGTAGGTAGGTAGATGGGTAGGTAGATGGGAATAAACAAGTCCAACGTAGTCCAAGTTTATGCATCCGCCATATTATACGCCAACAAAGGATCAATCATCGCCAAATCATCAGCACTGGGTATCTTGGAATCGTCGACATCTTGCATCATGACATCAGCATAGCTGCTGGGAAATTCGCCCGGGTGATTCGAGGAGTCGTCTATAGTGTATAGGCCGGGTTTGGACTCCGCATCCATGTCGCTTAGGATATACGGCTCGTACGAGGCGGAGTCGTCGTTGTCAAACTCGAGTCCATAGATACCGAAGATATCTCCGGTAACGGGCTCATTGTCGTCCGCCAATAGCGCCCGCTGCATGAACATATCGCGGATCTCGTCCTCGGTGCACCCGTGCTTACTGCCCATGTGTACCCACAGATCGTAGTTACGGTGGAACCGATGTGGACAGCCTTCGATAAAGCACGCAATTTGCCGACCGGTTTCTTCGGCGTAACCCTCGCCCGTGAGGGCGGCCAGCGCAGAAGGACCGGCTTGGTGACTCGGTGTCTTGCTCAGTCCCAGACGCTGTCGACGCTCGGCTTTGGCATTCTGGAAGCCGAGATGCGCGGTTCGAATATGCTCTTCCAGGGCGAGTTTACTGCCGTAACGTTTTCCGCAGCCGTCGGCGCCTGTCCAACCGATGACCCGTTTGGACGTGGAGAGATCGGTCTCACCGCAGATGAAACGCTTTTCACCTTGGTGAACGGTGCGGATGTGCACAGTCAGGTTGCCCTTTTTGGTGAAGCTGCTATCGCAGCCCGGGACAGTGCAGGGGAAAACTTTCCGTTCTTCCAGGCTGACGTTGCCGTGGCTAACTTCCAGATGACGGCGGAGCTCTCGGGCCGTGGAACAAGTCATATCACAGTTGGGACATTGTGGTGGGTGGACAGTTCGAATGTGGGCTTGGAGGAGGGCGTAGGTCGGGAATGTTATTGTAATAGCAGGGGGTTCGGATGATGGATCGGTATGCTCAGCCTGCTGGGCGCACTCGGCGCAGGTGAATCGCTTCTCGGCATGGACTCGGCTTTCATGGGCTCGGAGGTGGCCTGCGCTGTCAAATGCCATGGGGCATTTCTGACCGGTGGTTGGGTCAACGTGCGGACAAGGAAAGGGCTTCTGCTTCAGATGCACACTCATGATGTGTTTTTGAAGCGTTGAGTGTTTCCGGAAGGTCTCATCACAGGGTGGAAACTCTGTGCAGCGGTACTTGTCCCTCCCATCATGAGCAGCTATGTGTCGACGAAGTCGGGAGCCAGTCACAAAGCTCTTTCCACATCCTGGGCGATCGCATATATAGTCCCTGACCCCGGTATGGGCGCTTTTGATGTGGTGGTTCAAGTGCGATGCCCGGAGAAAGGTCTTATCGCAATCATCGTGTGTGCATTGGAAGAGTCTCTCATTATTATGTGAGCGCAGATGCTCCTGAAGTCGCGCTGGACGGTTGAATGCCTTAGAGCAACCGTCAAACGGGCAGCGGTGAGTTTTCAGCTCCGATGGATATCGAGCGGAAATCGTCGACATGGGAGTCGCTGGTGTCTCGTTGAGACTGTCGCTAGCGACACTGGAGTGGTCCGAAAAGTCATATTCGGCGTCCGAGTGTTTTTCTTCGTAGATGGGGTCTGAAGTATAGAGAAGACGATTAGCACCCGAGCGAATCTAGACTCGGATTCTAGCTAGGCATGTTCTCTTACCGGCATCGTCCAGCGCTGTCCGATTTTGCACTCTCTTGGGGTTGGGCAGATCCCCCGAGAATTTTCGCTTCTGAGCCATAGCTCTGTAAGCCTCCCGACCATCAAAGCCCAAGGTTAACGAGCATTCAACAGGAAAAGAGATCGAAGGTGCGAGCAAAAAAGTTGGCTGGCCAGCGAAGGCCTGGAAATTTTGCCCAGGCGGTGAGCATTATTCCTAAAGGGGACTAGCGCCGGACGAGGGACAGGAACTTTTTCCGCCTTCTGGAAGTCGCGACCTCGATTTCTTCACGAGGAGAAAAGCCCGTCGCAACGTTTGTCGTCTCGTCCCCAACTGGCCCGGTCGCGGTGCTGCCATTGCCTTCGCTTGCGTCCTTCTTCACGTGCTTTGTTTCAATCCAATTCACTTAGACCGCCACGATGTCTGACTACGGGGATCACGATGCTGAGGAAAAGTAAGAGACCGGTGCCCCATGAGAGCTTGCGCAGATGAATGCCGCGTCCCCGTGTTGTCTGTCGATAGCTATCATCTTGCTGGAAGAAGGTCCTGAGATTCTGACCTGGCCTGTCTTACAGTTACGACTACGAGCCGGAGCAGGAGTACGATGACAACGAGCCCGAAGACTTCATAAACCCCGAGGATGTCGACGTCGCGGAAGGCGGTGCCGATGAATACGGTGAAAGCTCATATGCGCCTGCTGTCAATGGAGACCGCGTTGTCGTTTCAGGCGATCCGAATGCGGGGTATGCGGGCAAGGTCATGGAACAGGCGCGGGAGAAGAAGGTGCCGAACGACCAGCGCACGACAACCCCATACATGACCAAGTACGAGCGCGCGCGTGTTCTGGGTACTCGCGCTCTGCAGATCAGGTTCGTCTCAGAATTTGATATAAATATCGGGCAGTGGGGGAGAAACGCAGTCGGATACTGACCATGGTCCCAGTATGAACGCCCCGGTGCTTGTCGACCTTGAGGGCGAGACGGATCCCTTGCAGATTGCCATTAAGGAGTTGAACCAGAAGAAGATTCCCCTCATTGTGCGGAGATATCTTCCCGACGGATGGTAAGCGGACCTCCACGTGGGCTTGGGTATTTGACATACCGGATCTAATCACTACGTACAGGTACGAGGACTGGACCTGCGAAGAACTGCTCTAGACGCGGGGATGGTATGGGTGGCTGTATATTCACCAATGGCTTTTTGTTTCTTTATTGTGTATGTCTTTCGTCTAAGATCTTTCTCCCTGGGCAGCATAGCGTTTGGAGTTATGGGAGTAGGGTAGCGGGCCGCAACGGCCTAGGCAGCCTCTGGGTCACTGGGAAGCCAAGAAAACTCAAAAGAATAACGCATTGCAGTCTATATCAGTAAAATGAAAGAAAAGTTTGATGTTGGCATGCTTTCGTTTGGAGTATCCGAGGTTCCCTTTTCGACCCTAGATCTATCAGGTTGTAGCGAAACGTCCTCTTGGAGCAGCGCAAACATATCACTGGGTGTCCGTCGTGAAGGTGCGATTCAAGGGATAAGCGTCCTTATCAGGTGTGGACGCACGAAAGCTGGCTGCTTTGTAGATGCGAGTATGGCGGCAGTCAGGAAAATACTTTGCTATGTCGTTCCCGCATTCCAGATCCATGCATTGCAGCTGTCTGTCATGGGCCACGTCATATCGGCCTCGTCTATTTTGAGGAACGACATACTGCTTGGACAACTGCTGTTTGTCGGATGGGAGGCAACCTGAGGTCTCCTATAGTCCGGCATGTCCGGTCAATTTCGTAGCTCGTTGTGGAGAGTAGGCAGTCTATCCTGGCCTGAGCCGACACAGATGCCTCAAATGAAATGCAAACTGAACGCTTGCCATTCGGGCTTGGTAGGCAATTTTCTGACCGCCTCTCGCTTCAAAGTTGAAACAACCGAGGAGAAATAATGGAACAACGTGAATTGTCTCGCGTATGCACGAAATGGGCTAATGCAAGATCACCCGGCGTGATTGGCTGCCGCTGCCGGCCCAATATTGAGAGGTCACTCAGTCATGGAGTCATTCTATGTTCCATTCCATGAAAGTCGTCCTTAATCTCTCGCCTCGGTCGAGTCGGTCAGCTGCATCAACATCATTCATCGCACTGTCGCAGGCGGTATCAGGCAGGATTTCCTGCTTACCAACCTAGCCGATCTTCATCGGCAAGTACCCCATCTCGGGTTCCAGGCCCGACGCTCGGCCTTCGCTCCGGGCAAGTTGGATCCCACATTGTGAGTAATCCAACTTGGTAACTACTCCGTAGTATCGTCTTTCTCGTCGCTCTCGTCGCTAGTATTTCTGGTTGATCAGTCCATAGTCGATGCACACTTGCTCACTCATTAGGTACACATGCTGGTTTGGCAGTGACATTGGGTCGCTCGAGGTGATCCTTGACTTGTCATGTCGGAGTGGTTCGGTTACAGTCTACGAACCAGCACCACATCAGTCCATCATGTCTGAATCAAAGGACCAGGAACTAGCCCGGCTAACAGAAGTGATATGCACTTCGGCCCCCGCCTGGATAAGTCGGCACGCTGCCACACCCCCAGACACGCTAAGGCCTGCCATGCGCCATCATCCAATCGTGCTTATGCAGAGGCCATCCACAATAACCATACTTGTGAAGCACCAGAGGCAGTCATGCTGCTCTTCATGCTCGTATTCTCAGTTCTGTGACCCTCGACAACACATCGGGTCATGTTCCTGGGGAAGAGGTCCTCCAGGCTCCGTCCCCTCGGCAAGCGACTCCATCACTGTACCCGGAACCCACTCGTGGCGTGCCCAGTAGGCTTTCTTCCCACGATTCACTTGACTGTCTCGATTCCCACTTCCAGGGGTTCTGACAACATGAATGGCTACCGCCAGGTGGATCCTGACTCGGTCTCCGTTGATTCTGCTTTTCTAGCTCTCAAGCTTACTCTTAGCCGCGCTTAGGAGGGCCACCTTAATGATTTTTTACTGAGTCATTAATAATATATAGTGAGCTGAACCTCCACCTTGTTGGGCCTCTTTCCCCTGCTTCAACTTCAAGTTTCAAATCCGGGGAATTTTTATTACGTGGTGACTCAAGGTCTCTGTGAGTGCTGTACCACGGGTTTGTCTGGATCGCTGTCTGTTTCGCCCTCCAGCCCATCCCTTCTCTGCTATCCACTCCAAGAAGGCCGTGTGTCTGCTCGTTCATAACCGGGGTGGAAATGGGGACCAATGCTGATGTCGAAGAGAAGGCCGTTGCGGGATCTCTCGCTGCAAACAACCATGACGGCAACGGACTTGCTACTCCGCTGGAGGAGAAAGCCCCAGAACCGACCTTCGATACCGGCTTCTCGTCATGGATCCAAGTGCTAGGCTCTTTCTTCCTGTTTTTCAACTCATGGTACGTAGGGCCTGTCTCATACTCTGTAGGGCCTTGACTGATGGATGATGACGGCTAGGGGTGTCATCAACACCTGGGGTGCTTATCAAACATATTATGAACAGAACTTGTTGTCTCACATGTCTTCTTCCTCCATTGCCTGGATTGGCTCGCTTCAGGCCTTTTTACTGATGCTCTTTGGGGTGGTCACGGGTCCTCTCTTCGATGCGGGTTACTTCCGCCAACTGCTCACCTTCGGGACCATCGTGCTTCCCTTCGCGTTGATGATGGTCAGCCTTTCTACCAAGTTCTGGCAGTTGATCCTGGCCCAAGGCATCTGCATTGGCCTCGCTGCCGGATGCCTTTTCGTCCCATCGGTTGCCATCCTGCCCCAGTATTTCAAGAAGAAGCGAGGTCTGGCCAACGGCCTCGCCGCCTCGGGGAGCAGTATCGGAGGTGTAGTCTATCCGATCATGTTTGACCAGCTACAGCAGCGGGTAGGTTTCCCCTGGGCGACTCGAGCAATCGGGTTTCTGTGTTTTGGAACCTGCTGCATCTCCTACAGCATCATGCGTATGCGATTTCAACCGACGGAAAAGCGCAAGCTACTCCAGCTGTCTGCCTTCAAGGAGCCACACTTTGTGATGTTCTCGATTGGGATGTTCCTGGGTTTCCTGGGCTTCTACAACTTCCTCTTTTACATCCAATCCTACGCCATTGACACCGGTATTGTCGGCTCCACCCTGGGATTCTACCTGCTGTCGATGCTGAACGCGGGGTCCACCATTGGGCGTATCTGCCCTAACTTCATCGCGGATCACACGGGGCCACTGAACGTGCTCACTCCTGCGGCTACTGCTACTGCCATTCTTGCCTTTGCTTGGATCGGGGTTCACAACGCGCCAGGCGTTATCGTTCTGTCTGTGCTGTATGGTCTCTGCTCTGGGGGGTTCGTTTCACTTCCACCTGTGGTGATGGTCACTCTGACCAAGGATATTCGTGACCTTGGTACGCGTCTCGGCATGGTCTTTGCGATCACCTCAGTGGGACTGCTGATTGGGACCCCCATTGGCGGCGCAATCCTGGCCGACACAGGGAGCTACCTTGGCGTGCAGCTCTTCACGGCCTGCTGTCTCATCTCATCCGCATCCATCTTTGCAGCCCTGAGACTGTCTCGTTCCGGAATGAGACTTATTGCAAGAGTGTAAAGCGCTTCTAAGCTGCATGAAACACCACATGAGGGTAGTGGAAGGACAACGTTACTGGAGACTTCTACTACTACTACTCTTACGCCACGAGGATTGACAGGCCTCGAGCAGAACCGACCACCAAGGTGGTGCATGTTCATTCGACAACTTGCATTTGCATCATGGAAAACCGGTGTTCTGGGACAACAAAAGCTTTGATTATTTGACATGGCAACGGCCTATAGATCAGATTCAAGATTTAGACTAGACCATAGTGCTTAATGTATATACGAGCCAATGTGATTACGGGCGCGACTAGAAGCCCTTTTTGAGTCTCCTTGTTCCCATAGTTCAATTGAAGCTTGAGCTTACATCTCCAGTCTCCATGCATACCATGCTCATAGACCCAGCGCAAGCAGAGCCTCAACCCAGGTAAGAAAACGCCCGAACACCGCATGCTAGAATCAACCGCAATCCACTTTTCCTCTTTCGTCACCCCCTCGCCGCCCCTCCCCCGCATCCGACCATATGCACCCGTTTCTCCGCTCAGCAGGTTCATTCACCAATTCACACGACAAGTCCTCAGGAGACATCAATCGGATCGACCAAGAAATTCTCCCCATTCTCCCGAATATGCTGTAATTTCTTATCGCGACTGCACGGCTTGCGCATATCGAAAGCATCCTCGCCCGAATCCGAAAAGCCCGTGGGATCATCACTATAGTAATTCACGACTCGGCGGAAGACGGAGTACCTGCATGATTTGTTTTTGATTAGATGCTTTCGTTTCTTCCTTTGTCTCCAGTGGGAGCAGAAAGGCGGAAGAGAAGAGGGAAAAAGAAAACTCACCCCATGCCCTTGTACATCCCCACAGCTACTTTATTCCCCGCTCGTACGTATAGATCGACAAACCAGGCGTCGTTGATGTCGGAGCCCTGTTCTAGGCGTTCGGTGAGGCGACTCGCGTGGCCGAGGCGGCGCCATGCGGGCGCAACGGTTAAAACGGTGATGTGACCGTGCCACGGCGTGTAGTGCTCGGAATGACGCATCGTGGCGGGTTGTTCTTCAAGCTTGCCCATGACTGTAGGTGGAGGTTTAGAATATAGGCTTTGGGGGCGATATGAAGAAGGTATGGTGGGTGGGGTACTAACTGTAGCCCACGATGCCCTCCTGGCGATCTTGAACGCTGCTGAAGAGGGACGGCCATCGCATGAGGTAATTGAGGTAGAAGCCCAGGTCGTAGTTCTCGGTCAAGGGGTCCAGGTTGGTGAGATTGAGGGACAGCAGGTCCGTCGGGGACATGCGCCGGATGGAGCTCATTGTGACGGTTGTTTTGGGGTTTGGTGGTGATGATGTTGATGGAGGGGAACAGGAAATGAGATCGGCGGGCCTGAGAAATCGGGGCTTGGGCGGTCACGGGGAACTTCACGGCGCGGGAATCTTTTTGATCGTCGGCCACTTTGGCTCTCCTTCTCCTTCCCCCCTCATCGTCTCTGCCTCTCGCTCTCTCCGGCCCCTGTTCTGTTTCTTCGACTCTTCCGTTCACTAGATAGCCGGCCTCGCCTCTCCTTTCCTTTCCTTTCCCCGTCCCTACGACTTTCCTGGCTGCGTTGAAGCATCCTGGTGATGCGGTCGGCAACCCACCATTGATTGATCTCCCCCCCCCCCCTGTTCGTTGTTTACTTCGCTGCAGCCACTTACGAATTTCCAACCCACGGACTGGCCCCCTTTTTTAAACCGTCAAGTCCGCATCAAACTGTCGGACTGATCCCTGAACGTTCACACCGCATCGCATCCTTCCTTCACCTCCTCTCCCGCCCCGACTGCAACATGCCGTCCATCCCACCTCCCCTGACTATCTCTCACCGCCATACTCGGAGTCGGTCCTCCAACATCGACATCGACCCGATTTCCCCTGGCACCTATGCTCCAAATGGCTTCTCCTACCGATCGCCTCGATCGCCTCATACTCCCCGTTCCTCCGCCCCCTCGTCTCCCGTGGACTCCCGCTCTCATCACGCTCAAACCTTCAATGGCTCTCATAGAATGTCGGTCGACTTCGGCGGTGCAGCTAGCGAAGGCGGTGGACTAGGTAATTTGGCAGACGAGCTCGCCGATGCATGGGAGGAAGAAGAGGGAGGCTATGGATACGCTTCCGGGCAGGATACAGGGGTCCCTGATGCACAGTACGTGGATCGCAGTGACGACGAAGACGCATACCACCGCATGGACACGGGGACCCGGACACCGTCATCGGACTACTCGCCGGAACAAAGTTCGTCTCTGCATCCTCCGAAGCCCAAGACCCGTAATGGTACCCATCGACACCGGCGGCACGAATCGCAATACGATGGCTCCGATTATGGGAACGACTCAGATTTCGAGGAAGCCGATATGCCGCCTAGTCTGGAGATGCAGATGGCGGAAATTGAGAGTCTGGCCCGTCGCGGTCTAGAGAACAATGGCAGTGAGAATGACTTTGTTTTCCAACGTGCGGTGGAAGCCCTCCGGGATCTGGGGGGTCAGAGTGGGATTGAAAATAACGCCATGCGGTATGTGCTGGTTGTGCGGTGACATGGCAGTGGTCTGGTGGATCGCTAACGCTTCATTGACATCTAGACTCATTACCGCACACTCTTCCATCACCTCGCATCTTACCCATCAGACGCGGGCACTTCAAACGCTCACCCATCCTCTCCTTTTCTCGCCCTTTCCGCTCCTTTCCTCGGATGCCATAGATGCGCTCATCCCTCTCATCGACGACGAACTCCTGCCTAACCTCCCATATCCTTTCCCGGAACAGCCACGTCACTCCTCAAGACCCACTACCCCCTCCCAGTCACCGTCCCTCAACCCTCTGGTCTCCCTACAGACGCTCGTCTCGCAAACATCCGACATTACCCTGTCGTTACGGGGCCTGAGCGATACCTTGTATGAATCGCGGCAGTTGACATCAACGGCCTCGCGGAGACTCCGCTCTGCCCGCGAACTTGTCGCGGACCTCCGCCGTGAGGAAGAAGGTCGCGAGGAGGGCACCCGGTGGATCGAACGAGGTGATTGGGACCGCAAATTGCGGGACCGTGAAGCTGGCCGCGTCTGCGGAGACGTAGTCAGCGGCTTTGAGGCGGTGTGCGGCGAATGGCGGGAGAAGCTCTTCGGTGCTGCTGCTGCGGGAGCCGAAGTGGCTGCTGCTTGATGATATGACTACTTTCTTCATACACATTGACAGAAAGGGAGTGGGGGATGCAGCAGAAGACGGGACAGAACACCCTCAACCACTTTTTTCATGAGATATTTTCTTTTTACTTACTTCCCGACGTCCCAGACATACTGTCCCGGATATCGTGGAGACAGCGGCATACCCCTTTTCAATTTCCTTCCCAGTATATAGATTGATCTTCTCGCTTCTGATCCTATCTGCACCACATACTTACCTGCTTTCCCTTCATTATCACTGTCATTCAGCATGAACCATGCACTCAATTACCAACCCGTCTGTCAGTCACTCACATATCCATCTATGACCGGCACGTCCTCCAACCAACTCGGAACATTCCATACATACACACATACATACATATACATACACAAATTTTCTTATTCCTCATCCTCTCTATCCTTATTTCCCCTTAATCGCAGGCCGAGCTCAGAGATTCCAGGTACACTTTCTGTTCTTCTCCCTAGCTTCATTTCCGCTATCGGAGTAATCTGCTGCACTTACAGTTTCAAGTGGAATGATCCGTTTCATGTCCGAATAGACAATCACCTACTACTTATCCCCTACTTACTAGATTGAGTTCAATGGGAAAAAGGGCACCCAAAGGAAAGAAATATTAAACGGAGTTGATTTGCTTTCCCATTTATGAGATACTTGTCAATATAATGTGTATTGCAGTATAACAAACAATGCATACAGTAAGGTATATTTCGCTGGGTTTTTACCAAAACTGTAATAATACCATTACTGGGAAAGTTACCCTATACTCTTTAGATGTTAAGGGACCTATCCAGTTCACCAAGAAAGATATAGAGTACGAAGCAGATCTCCAACATGTCCTTGACCCTCCATTCGGCAAGACAGTACGAAGTATGTACGACATCCAAAGAGATGTGAGAGAACAAAGTATATAACGGAAGAAAGTAATGCATTTTGTCAAAAAGTGAGATCGGGTAGGTCAAAAAGTAGATGAGAAAGAATTTGACATGACATGCCCAGAGAATTAAACAGGGGGACTAACTACAAACCCCATTTCCCTGATCTCCTTGCGAGTGCTCATCGACTAACAACTAAAGACGTAGGAACAGGAAGAGAAAATCGTACCGGGTTGAGGCTAAGGAAGAGGAGGAAAACTATGCGAACATGACGGGGGGGTAGTAAGGGTCCTAGGTCAACGGGACGGGAAGAATGAAAGAGAGAAGAAAAAAAAGTAAGATCGACATCTCAAATCACACGCCCTTTCATCATCATCCCAAGAACTTTTTGTTTCATGTCATCAAAGCGAGTAGGGGACCAGGGGGTTTACTGGCCGCCCTGCTGCTGCTTCCATCTGGGGACCCACTTGCCGGCGGCGGGCTTGGACTCCTCCGTCCGCTCAGCGGGCGCCTCCCGGCGGGCGGGGGGCTGGGATGAGCCGGCCTCGCGCATGCGGGGAACGTAGCGCTCCGTCGAAGGCGCAGCAGGAGCGGCGTTAGAGCCCGCACGGAGGTGAGGGGGCACGTAACCACCACCGGTTCTGCGCGGCGGCTGGGGCTCCTCCCGGGCGGCTTCGGGGGCGGCAGGGGCAGCAGCAGGGGCGGCGGGGCCGGAGCCAGCAGCCTCCTTAGCGGCCTGACGCTCTCTCCAGCTAGGACCACCACCAGTGCGAGGCGCGAGATTGAGACGAGGAGCAGTGCGCTCAGTGGTAGGAGCAGGAGCCGCAGGCTCGGGCTCAGGAGCACCGGTCCGGCGAGCGGCACGGCGAGCTTCCGCTTCCTCCTCGCGCTGCTTCTGCTTGGCGGCAAGGTCATCCAGTCTCCTGTCAGGCGGGTTAGCAACACGGTCTATCGCAAAATGCGGCAGCGCAAGTGGGGGGAATACTGACCGTCTCTCTTCCTCACGCTTAACCTTCTCCTCGGACAGGACGCGGCGACGCTCCTCTTCCTTGGCGGCTCTCTCCTCCTCCTCGCGTCTGGCACGCTCTTCCTCCTCCTGGCGGCGGCGCTCTTCCTCCTCGCGCTCAGCTCTCTCGCGGCGTCTGCGCTCCTGCACCTCCTTGATACGCTGCTTCTTCTTGGCCTCGAAGTCACGCTCAGCAGCCTTGCGGCGCTTCTCGAACTCCTCGTGGCGCTTCTCCGAGACCTCCTTGCGGAAGCTGTTGAACTGGGGCACCAGGCGGCTGAGACGGTGCTTGAGCGCAACGGCCTCCTTGTGCTTGTCCTCGGCCTCCTTGAGGGTCTCGGCCTTGTTGGCCTCGTAGATCTCCATGTCGCTCTTCTTCTGAGCTTCATAGTCGGCGGGGATGTGCTTCAATTCCTCACGGCGGAAGGCACGCTCCAGGTGGTCAATACGCTTGGCAGTGGTGCGGACGCGGTCGTTCAGATCGTTCTTCTCCTTCTCGAGCTGAGCCAGCTTCATGGCACGGAGGCGGTTGGCGTCAAGCTCGCTCAGGTCGAGCTCGCTGATGTCGATACCCTTGACGCCGGTCTTCAGCTCCTCCAGCTGCTTCTTCAACTCCTGCTGGCGGATGCGTTCCTGCTCATCCTGAATGCGCTTCTTCTCACGCTCGCGCTGCTCGTCGAGCAGACGCTGCTTCTCGGCTTCCTGGAGCTGCTGGGTGCGGATGCGCTTGCGAGTCTCCTCCTCGCGCTGCTTGCGCTGCAGAGCGTCGGTAGCCGCCTCCTTCTTCTTCTCGATGATGACACGGCGCGCCAAGGTCTCCTCGTGCTCCTTGGCAGCACCGGCCTCAGCGCGGGCGTGAGCGGCACGCTTGGCCTCCAGACGAGCCTCGCTGTACGAGGGGTCGACGTACATGCAGGTGATGTGAAGGGTCTTGGCCAGGCGAGTGAGCTGCAGGCGAGCAATTTCAGCGGGGGTGTTCTGCAGACGCTGAACGGAGCCGATCTCGCTCTCGGCCGATCCAGCGGCGCTGCCGGCGTGCAGAGCCTTGGCGGACGAGAAGACATCGGTGTCGAAGGTGAGGACACCGGCGGTGTGGTCGACACGGATGGCGAGATCGCCCTTCTTGCAGCCGTTCATGATGAACTTCTCGATCATGGAGGGGGTGATCTGGAAGGGGTCGGGGAACTGAGCGAGCTCGTAGACGAACTTCAGCTCGACGGACTCGTAGACCTGGGAAAGCTGCTGGAAGAGACGGGTGAGGATAACCTGCTGCAGAGGCAGGACGTACTTCTCCATCTCGGGGTCGGCACCGATCTGCTTGAGGATGGGGGTGATCTTCTTGCAGATGGACAGGGGGTGGAAGTCCACCTCGAGGATGTTGTAGAGGTCCCGGATCTCAGGGCGGGCGCGCTTCAGCATACCCTTGTTCAGGGCATCCTTGAACAGAACGGCACGAGTGGGGGGCTGGGCCATACCCAACAGATTCGTGAGGCGGGTGTTCTTGTTCTTGCGAACTTCATCCACATCCACCAGGGCGCCACGGGAGCGGGAGGTGCTGATGACGGGGATAGAGAGGGCGGACAACAGGACGAAGGAGGCGGCCTTGGTCATGTCGGCCTCGGTCACGGAGGGGTTCTCCTTCTTGGTGCCCTGACCGGCAGCCAGGGTGGCGGCGGACTGGCGGAGGAGGTTGTAATAACGGCTCCAAGCGGCAGCGTGGAAGAGGTAGTTCTCGCTGACGAGGAAGATGCGAGCCAGCTTCTCGTAGTAATTGGCCATCATGACGTTCTTGGCGGGACGCTTGCTCAGGCTGAGGAGGGTGTGGATATCCTCAATGCTGCGGAAGGCCTCCTGCCACAGCTCCAACTCGACGGCGACATTCAGCTGCTGGAAACGAGTGTCCAGGTGGCGCTGGAGGGTGTCCGGGTCGCTGAGGTTGATGGCGTGCATCTGAGCGGAGTACTTGGCGGCGTTCTGGACATGGTTGCGGAGCAACTCGCAAAGACGGCGGAACTCGGTCTTACGGGTGTACTTGAGGCAGAACTGGAAGGCCTGCAGGGCGGTGGTCTGGTACATGACCTCGAGACGGGCATTGTTCTTGAGGATCTCGAGCACGGTGCGGTAGGTCTCCCACAGGAACTTGAGCCAGGGGGTCACGACGGCACGGTCAGTACGATCACGAGACTGCTCACCGGAGACAGTGGCGAGCAGGATGGTCTCAGGGGTCTCGATGGCTTCCAGGTCCTCGACGTTGGAGGAAGGGGCGGCGGACTCAAGAGAAGACTGGATCTCATCGGCCTTGGCCTGAGCCTCGGTGACCTTCTTTTCGGCGAGTTCGATGAATTTCTTGAGAACAACCTAAACAAACAGAAGTCAGAGATTCTGCAGTGGTGGTGTTTCCAAGGGAGGAATTTTTCCTCCTACCTCGATCGTTCCGACGTTGGTGTTCTGGGCGATGTTCTTGTACTGGTAGAGACCATCCTTGGCGGCCTTGCCCTTGCGAAGATCGACGCACAGCTCGACGAAGAGGAGCATCACCGGCTCAAGGGAGACGATGGGGCTGCTGCGCGTCCGCTTGGAGGTAACATGTTCGTGAAGGACGTTGAGGGCGGCGGGGGCCTGGCCCACGGCGATGAGTTCCTGAGCCCTCTGCGGACAAGATTCCAGTCAGCATGTTTTCCCAACCCGTGGATTCATCTTCCATTTCCGGTCCAGCATCGAAAGTGTATTCGGAGAAGGGCACGCAGGCGGGACAGCGTACCTTGAGGACATTTTCAGGCTTGATGTGAGGCGGAGGCGGCATGGTGGGCGATACGGCGGCGTGGATACACGATCACGAAGCGTATAGGCAGATGACACACAGGGACTCGACTGGGGAGAGGGTCGAGGGGGGGAGGGAAGGCAGTCGGATCGCACAACGACGGGCGGGCAGCGGAGTCGAGGGCGAAAGGAGCCTGGAGATGGAAAGGCTGCCACGCGACGGTCGGCGAGAAGACAGACCCAAGACAGACAGGACGTCAGTCAGTCAGTCAATCGGTTGAGGAAGAAGGCGTCGTTGTGCGAACCCGCGAAAATTCCCGCCGCCGCCGTTCCCACTTTGGGTTAAGCGATCCAGATCACGTGATTTGCTGGTTTCACCGGGGGGGTCAAGCTTCCCCATTCAAAGAAATTCTCCATGATCCATCATCATAACTTGGGGTCTGTTCAACTTTGAATGTCCCTGCCAGGGTATTCCCATCAATGGGGTGGCTCTGGCTGTCAGGCGCGTTTCGAGTCAACACTGCCGCCCGTACAGTGTTGACGGCTGACGGATGCCGGAAGGTAGTATACTTCACGGGCGATGCGCTGACACGTTGGGACGATCCTTGGGACCTGGTGGGAGGCGAAGAACGCGTCCAAGCTCATCTGATCTGTCGAACCGTTGCAGTGGATAGCTACAATGCTATTATTACAAAGTATTATGCTTTTGGCCAGGCGAGAACGATGCCGACTAGAGCAGCCGATGAAGAGCCCCGATGTTTCGAATGATCGATACATACGGTCCGGTACGGTATGGAGAAGCCGGGATTGAAGGATCCACGTGAAACCCAGGAGAATCTCGATGCTACGGAGTCCTACAGCGTACAGAGTACAGAGTACAGAATGAAATGGAATGATGCTCATCGCCAGTGGCTGAGCCACCATGACGACATGCACGTCGCCGAATGATGAAGAAGCAGAAGAGGGAGTTCCTCAGGAACGCCTGGAGGGTTACTAGCCTGTGCTGACTGCAGGAATGGTGAGATGGCACAAGCTCCGCACGGGACCAGGAAGTATCCGTATCTTTCTTCCGCTCTCAGGGGGGGGGGATCCTCTCATTTCCCACTCCTCCTGCTGCTCCCTCACTACGGAGAACTAAGAGCTACTACTACGGAGCAGAGTGGAAGCCTCCTAACTAACCAGACTAACTACTTACTGGCTTTTCCCTTTTTTTCCCTTCCTTCCTCCTCGTCCGCCCCCCTCTTTTTTCCCTTTTCTTCTTTTTCCCCCCTCGGTCCAGCAGCAGCAGCAGCAGCAACAGTAGCAGTAGTCGCTCGCTTTTCTTTTTCCCCTTCCTGCTCTCCCTTTCTCCCTCCCTGCTCGCTCGTCAGACCGTCGACTCTGTGCTTCGTTCCACCATCCTTCCATTCATTCCTTACCCCCATTGTTACTCTCACCCCCCGGTCGCTGTTCCCACTACATTCCCTCTCTCTCTCTCTCTCTCCCTCTCCCTCCTCACCTTATTATCTCTTCCTCTCCCTCCTCCTCCTCCTCCTCCTCCCCTCCTCCTTTTTTCGCGCCCGCCCGCCATTCCCGCCCGGCCATTGCTGTGATCCCCTTGCATCCTGCCGGCTCGACGCGCGAAAGAACCTTAAGCTGAGCCTCCCGACCGATCCTGCTGAATCCACCACTCCATCCAACACATCACATCGCCTCCTCTCCACCCACCCCCCAACTTCTTCCACCACCTACGCTGCCGCCGCCGCCCGACCCATCGTCGCGTCGCCCTCCACCTTCATCGATTAACTTCCCGACTTCGCACGTTTCGCCCCGTTCCGACCGTCGCCAAGATGCCTGCCTACGAGCTCCGATCGGGAGGTGATGTCAAGAACAAGAAGCAGAGTGTGGCCGATCTCAAGTACCGCCGCCTGACCGAGTTGAACGCCCGTTTGAAGGAGGACCTCGACCGGCCTCGTGTCAAGGTGTCCGAGGCCGCCCTGTCGTAAGTTCCGGCTGGGCGCCCTCCCACGCCCGCCTCTCCAGCCACCGCGTGTTACTCACCCCCCCTCGTTTTCCCAGGTTGATCAACTACTGCAACAACACGCGCGATTTCATGGTACCATCCGTATGGGGTCAGGTATGCGACAATTTCCCCCCATGTGGCGCCCATCCATTATCCTCGACGAGGTCACTAACGGTCCCAGGTCGACAAGCGTGAAGACCCATACGCACCCCAACAGCAGGGAGGGTGCTGCACGGTCATGTAATGGTCTCATGACTTTCCACGTCTTTTGATTCGGACGGACTGATTAGCCGCCATCAGTCCGTCGGCGCTTTTATATCCCCTCTTGCGATGACTTTTCTTCACTTCCCTTCTACTATCTAATTCTCTGTCACCATACCTTGGACCCATGGAACGCCCACCGCCCGGTGCTCCGACGGCCAGCCTGTCTGCGATGAATTGACCCCGGATGACCGACCACCGAAGGAGCGCGCTGGATCTGCATGAACTTCGGGGACACTGGCCGTGGGAGTGGGCGCGCCATTGGCCTCGCCCTGTGCGACGGCTCTCGTGGGCTTCCATTTTCTTTATTTCTCTCTTGTCGAGAAGGGTGCTCGACAGGTGTCATTTCCCTTCTAGTGATTTTATTGGACCATCTTTCCTTTGTTTAGCAGTGATTCGGACGGGGTTAGGGGGAAAAAACGTATAACCAGCGACGGGAGGATGCCCGGTTCTTGTAGCATAGATTCACGGGGCTACTAGTTAATTAGTGAAGGTTATATTTAACTCTGCAGAAGTGAGTCTAGCTCGGATGGGATCGTCCGCTGGCAGGGTAGCGAGGGTGCATTAATGAATCCGATCCGATCGTATGCAGGATCCATTTCGGAGAATAGATAGACAGCTGCGACCTCCACCGCTGACATCATCCAAATCCAGCAGTAACTATTCCGTATTTCACACAACACACCACCCCACCATACCACCATACCACCATACCCACCCCAAAGCGAAAGCACCCAAGAACAGCGAGACAAGACAAAACCAACAATGACAACAGAACCATCCACCACCGATCCTACTCCGACAGTCCCGGGCTCGGACCTCTTCCACAATACCCTCCCCCGCATCACCATCAAATACTGCACCCAATGTAAATGGTTGCTGCGTGCTGCATATGTATGTTCCTGTCTTTACTTTCCCTTCTATCCTACCTTTCCCCTACATTAGCTGTTCCTTTTGCATTCCCTATCGGCAGTGTATGCAGTATGGAGGATTGCTACTGCTCGACTACTTACTTCCTTCTCTCCTCATCAAACCTTCCAACAATGGCACCCACATCCTTCACAGGCACATAGCACATGCAATCTCTATCTCCCCACCAATACCAATACCTCCTCCCCTTCCCCCTCCCCTCCTCTCTCCAACCCAACCCCAACACCCCCACCAAACAACCAACTAACGAAGTAAATTAAACAAAAGTTCGCCCAAGAACTCCTCTCCACATTCAATACCCAACTCGGCGAAGTCGCGCTCGTCCCGGCCACGGGGGGGATCTTTACCGTGACGATATATCATCATCCCTCTTCTGCCTCGACCACTACCTCAACTGAGGACGATTCCGGGGAAAGGAAAGCAAAAGGCATAACGGCGACGATTCTCTGGGATAGGAAGACGAATGGCGGGTTTCCGGGTATGTGCACCTTATTTATCTATTGAATTATTTGTTCTTGAGTTCGGGGTTGTGGTGGTGGGTTTGTGTTTGTGGTTCTGTGGGGGATGGAAGGGGGATAGAGGGGATGGATGGGATGAAGATGCTAACAGTGGCTGTAGAAACCAAGGTGCTCAAGGGTCTGGTGAGGAATGTGGTGGATCCCGGGAGGGATCTGGGACATACGGATCGGGCGTTGAGAGCGAGTGCCAGCAAGGAGCAGGAGAAGAAGCAGGAGAGTCAAGGTCAGAAGGAGCAGAATCAGAATCAAGCTCCCAAGGAAGAAAAAGAAAAGTGTGAGGAATGTCAATAATCGATATGTATATCAAGCACAAGATGTATACTATTGAAGATAATCAATTCACATAGACAATGCAAACCCATACGCGATTGGTAAAAGGTACAGTCCTGCCTGTGGCCGCCTCATCCGAAACGCCTGTCCACGCCCCGTCTCTAAGTGCCCCGTCCTGCCCGCCTCTGTATGGTAATGACAAAATGAAATAATGTGTCCCACGAGGAGACGAAAGTAGTGATGACGAAGAGAAGAGGAAGAAGAAGAAGAGAAAAAGGTCAAAAAGCGGCTCGCAGATAAAGGTATCCCCCGAGCCGGTCGTCAATCATGCAATCCATCATAAATCCGAGTCGTCAGCTGAATGTTCCCATTCATGAGCCCATTATCCAATCCCCTCGTTTTGCTCACACGTGAATCCAACCCGCCAGGAACACCTTGAATCAATCAAACGAGAAAACAGAAACTGAAATCAAAAAAAACATCCGTGCCGTCACGTCTCGCCGCTCAGCTCGTGCTGATGCGAGTGATGGGTACGTCGCTTCCAGAAGGCCAACCGCAGTCGGCTCCGGCGTTTCGGCAGCTTGCGTGGAGGACCGTGCTCCCCGGCTCCATGCTCGTCCCACCGGGGCCCATGCCCATCGTGTTTCATGCTTCCTGTCGTCGTCGTGGATTGTGCTGAGCTGCCTGTCCCGGTTCCCACCGGCGAGGTCGCTATGCCGTGCTTGCCCGCATCGTAGCTGTGCGGGTCCGAATTGCGTCGCGCCCCGGGATACACTGCACTGGCCGGCTCGTGGTTGGACGTGGCTGGTCGGATGTTGGCCCGGTCCCAGTCGCCTTGCTCACTCCGGCTGATGCTGTCCCGGGAGAAGCCCTTCTCGTCACTGTCCACGCTGAGGAAACTGGTCGCATTGGTCGACGGCGAGATCGGGGTCATGTTGTTGCTGTAGGTGCTGACGCTGTGCGTGCGCGTGCAGCTGTTTCGCTGAGAATTCGATGGCCCTGATGTGCGTCCGGACGAGGCCGTGTTGGCATGATGGCGTCGACCGCTAGGCAGCCCATGTCGCGAGCTGCTCGGCCGACCTTCCACGGAGCTGTTGCGCCCGCTGGAGCGACCCGACAGGTTACCGTTCCCCGCAGTGGATCCATTGGCGAGGAGGGCGGCCGCCAGGGCGGTTGGGTCGCTTGGAGTCCGATCCGCGTCGGAAGAACCGTCCAGGGTGTCACTAGGACGTGGTGAGTCGGCATGCCCCTCAGGAATGACGCCGGAGGATCGGCGCGAGACATCATCCCCTGATGGTGGCAACGGACACCCTGTGATGTCCATCGACGGGCCCGGGGTGTCGGGCGAGACCACAGGGCTGATGGTATTCTCGTTACAATCACTGGGTGCTTCATCCGACCCCAACGGCGTCGGAGCGGTCCCAAAGTAATCATCCGGGGTCGACTGCCGGCTGGCGGGTTCGCTGGTCGGGAAGGACTGCCTGAGGGGCGTGTTGGGACTATTGATGGCTAGCGGCGCGTGGAGGCCCTTCAAACTTGGAATGGGGCTCTGCGTGCGGGGCGACACCAAGTCGTCGGGACGGAGGTCAGCGTGCAACGTTTGCCGGTTCTTCTCCATGTCGGCGAGGAAGTGCCACTTGGACTGGTTGCTCCGGATATTCTCGACCGTGAACTTCAGGTCCGGGAGGATGTCCGAGACGCCCTCGAAGAGCGGCAGGGCGTAGATCGACATGAAGCTAATTTGGCTGGTGGCAAGTTTGTACACATTCCCCAGTTCGGGTGGACCGCCAAACAGCGCCGTCTCCATCCCAACCTCCTTCTCCATCTCGCCCTGATTGGCGAATTCTTCCTGCAGGATCTGGGTCCACTTCTCTGCAACATCCCACGGGCGCGCCACATTACTGATGTCGGCACACTTGATCAGCAGACCACACAGCAGCGTTTTATACAGCTCCAAATCCTGTGGCTTCCATCCGTCCACCGTCCGATCGTTGGCGTCGAACTTTTCCTGGAGCGACCCCAGTCGTTCCATGAATTTCTGATGCACCCCCATGTCCGTCGCCAGGATGGAGCTGATCAGAAGCTTGCGCAGTTGCCGATCCCGGAACGCGGTGGGCCAGTAGCGGCGCAGGATCTGGGAAAAGGCGGCGCAGTGGAATGCCTCCAGGACGGAGTTGTCGTTATACAGCTGGGCCAGCGGGGCATTCAGCTTCACCAGGAAGAAATTGTTCACGCCAGGATGACCGACGTCATGACCAATGGCTGATATCAGCAGGGTAAGGGTATCGAACGGTGTGAGGAGGGATGCCATCGGACATTTGGTGTCAACCGTGGGGCCCGCAGACCCGTAGGGGGGCAGGGCGCCGATGTGAAGGAGGAAGCAGAAGACCGACTGCAACACATCGATCGCGTGTCGGAAGTTATGGTAGAGGACAAAGGAGTTGTAAGATGCACGACAGGCGAGGAGAAACGTCCGGAGTTCACCTAAGAAGCAAGATCCCCTCGTTAGCCAACCTTCCCATACCATCAGCATCCGTCTGATTCACTTACCGGGCAGCAACTGCCACTGCTCCAGCGCCGGGTCGGTCAAAGCATGCTGCAGCATTTCGAACGCGGCCAACACCAGTTCGTCGTCTGAAAACTCATGGGCGGTAAAACTCCATTGCCCGACGTGTTCCCTGACGAACTCCGCACGGTCGGGGCGAACGTCGAGTTCGCGGTCTTGGAATTCTTCAATCACCTCTTCCGGATTGCAGATGCCTCGCATCAGCTTGGACACCATGGCCTCGCGGAGATACGCATACGGCTGCTCGTCATGGACGCCCACCCACGAGTGTTTGCGCAATTTCTTTCGGGAAAGAAAGCGCGACTGTTCTCGGAGAGCCGTCTTACGAGTCCGATAGGCCTGGACAACCAGAGCTTGCGCTCGGCAGCTGTCCAGCGGGGTTACGAGAACGTCGACTGCCCCCGCATCCAGACATTTGGAGATGTGTTGGGGGTCGGGGAGAGACGGAATACGGGGCTGCTCAACGGGGGAGGCGCTAGTGGGGTCGGCGAACGGGGGGCGCAAGACGGCGACGGGAATGATCACATTGGGGCAATCTTGGACCTGGATGTCGGCCGACAGCCCCGATAATAACTTCAGGTCGTACGCCCCTTCCCATTGTGAGGTAAATGTGAATCCCCGGCGCAGGGATGCGGGCGAGGGCGGCGATACATCGGCCCACGAGCCACGGCTGGCTCGGCGACGATGCAGGGCCGCTTCCTCGCCATGGATATCAATATCGAAGAACACGAAGATGGGCGTGCAGCGAGTATGAGCGCCGTCGCTGAGCTCCGCTAGTTTGGTCGCGATAGAGGTTCCGGCTTGACAGAGATAGATGCGTTTACAAACTCCTAACAGGACTTGGACGTCCAACGCCAACGACTCCGGCTCTTCGATAATTCCAGGATCCGACGCCGCGCCTGCCGGAGCTTCGGGCGTCTCTTGATACACCCAGCGTTCTGATCGTACACGATGGTCGATATATAAGGCAGAGCAGTCGAAGCGATCCATGGTGTCGGTGGGATTTGAAACACCCATCATCCAGGGGGTCACCACTCCAAATGTCAGGACTCGAGATATTCACGGAGGTGTGAGAAGATGACGAAATAGCTGTCTAGCCGGTCCGGACTCGGGCTCATATGGTGAATCAGGTGTAGCCGCTCAGGTGGAGAGACGAGAGATATCTCGGGGAGAAGCGAACGGCCCGGTAGACGGTACAAAGGGAAGCGAAGGAGCGTTGAGAAGTTGGACAAAGGAGGGACTTGCGATCGGTGACGTTATACAGTTGGATTCTAAATTGGTTTCTAGACGGTGTCAGCGAGTCCGGAGCCTGGACGCAACGGCCTGCAGGGTATGCAAGCGACGACAGCAATGGCAAACGAGAAGTGCAGCGACCAGCGAAGCCGACCAGCGACGAACCGCCGTCGAGGGCGCGCGTTGAACAATGTGTTTGTTGGCTGCAGCCGTCCAGCAGAGGAATGGGCGATGGTCCTTCCTGCGGGGGGGGGGGTGCGCGGTGCAGGACCAAGCCAAAAACCTTTCTGAGACAATCGGGTGCTGTACCGCATGCACGCCTCCAGACGGCGGTTGGCTGCGATCGCCACACCTGCATACCCACGCACTTGCCCACGCAAACACACACACAAGCTTGTTCACTCACAGTTCCTGAGAAGGGTCCAGCGAAATAGGAAAGAGATAAAAAATGGCGCAGAGAACGGTGAGAGATCGGTCAATTGAGGGGGTTGTGGTGGTGATGGTAGTTGGAGGTGGTGGTTCGTCCTCCGGTGGTGGTTGTGATGGTGGTCACTTCGTCACCCACGGGGAGAGATGGCGCCCGAGTGAAATCGACCCAACGAGGACGCAGCGAGATCGCGGCGCATGCGAGACTTCGGCTAGATGAGAGCGACGAAATTCGCGACCCAGATAGGACGACGGCTTAGGGCGTCATGGTGGGCCACCGACACGGCCAGACGGAGAAAAGATGACACGAGACTGAGTAGAGAGGGTGGAGAGGAAGAAGATCGATCGGGAGGAGAGGGCGAAGGGGCCGCACGGGTGGGCGAGGCTGGCTTGGTTGGACCGGGTTGGGTCTGGGCTGGTGGGTGGCAGAGGATTAGGTAAAAGGGTCCCCAGGGAACCGCTCGAGTCAGGCAGTAGGTAGAGGGAGGGGGAGGGGGGGAGTGGTTCGGTAGTCGTGGTGGTGGTCGGAAGACTGGGGAAACAAGGAGACCAGGGAAACAAGAGAGTGTAAATGGGTGAGTGTCAGAGGGAGGTGGGTTGCCGATGGGAGGGAGCTCTCGTAGTAAGAAAAGGTGGAAAAAAAAGAAGAGGAAAGGAAGTCCGAGTAGAAGTGAGGATCAGAGTAGTTAGAAGAGTAGTAGAAAAGGAAGACAAGAGAGAGACCGGAGGTGGGAAAGGAACCGAGAATGAGAGGAAGACCGAGACCGAGAGCACGAGTTAAGGGAAGGGAAAGTAAGAGAGTAAGAGAGTTAAAGTGAGAGGGAGGGAGGGAAAGACGGAGGAGGGAAGAACGGACGGCGCGCGGTGGTGCTTGGGGCAATGCGGCGGAGGAGGATCGAATCTTCGATACCCCAGCAAGATCGCCAGGTGAACCAGAGGATGGAGTCGTGGTGCTTTTGCGATGCTTTTTTGACAGACCGTGACAGGCGGATTGACATGGGACGAAGCCTCGAACTAAGATAGATAGATAGGTGGAAAGGCTTTTGGCTACTTTTGCTTTCTTGACTACTCGGTCTAGTGCTGCCCAGCCAGGGTCAAGAAGGTTTCGACCTTTTTTTTTTATTTTTTTACCCTGGGCCATTTAACTTTTGGGTTGCTGCATTTCTGCCAGTCTTCCAGAAGGTCGCGGCACGGCGGCAGGCGGGCGTCGTCACTCGTCAGCTTGTCTTACATCGTAACTATACCGACTGGGCCGTATTCGCATTACTCCTTCCGAGTGGTATTATATTCCACGATGACTGCTACTGCTGTCAGTGCTCATCGTTCCCTCGAGGGTTTCAGGATCCCGATAGGATGGGGACGATCGAACATGCAATCGACTACTCCGTCTCGTCCTAGTGACTGCGACTAATAGTACTACTGGGGTGTGCTCCAGAGCTGAACAGATGCCAGGCCGGACTAGTTGTCGTCGGCGATTCGCCTTTCGTTCCGTGTCGAGGTACGATCGGCCGTCCCCCCACTTCCTTGCTCTTGCATCTGGCTGTCCGGCTGAGTCTAGCTCGTTGGTTACCCGTATTCGGCTGACCGATGTAAGGAATCCGACTAGAACCTCGATCGAATCGAGGGAGCCACCAACCAACCCGGGGAGAAACCCGGAGGACTCATGCAGTGATTAATTACTGGAAGTATCTCCGGAGTATATGAGGATACTACCACGGAGGGACTAGGTGGTGATTTAGCCATGTACCAACACAGTAGTATCCTCGGCTAGCCCTACTATTGAAGACAGCACACACACACACACATACCAGAAAAGAAACGAGAAGGGAAAAAAGAAATAGCCTGCATGGTACTACTGTCCTCCCAAACCGAGGAAGAACCGGTGGAGGCAGCACCACTCGTGTCAGGCAGGGAACTGGGCGGGCGAGTCCTCCATGGTGAAGAACAGACAGCGAACACAGACCCGACCGGAAGAACACAAATGACTACAAGAAATGAAAAATAAAAAAAATAAAAAATAAAATAGAAAAACGACCGAGAAGAGATAAAGTGAGAGGAGAGAGTGGAGCCCATGACGCTTAAGCAAAGGATCTCATTAGCTCATGGGCAGCTCAGTTGGTCTTCTAGAATTTCCCGGGCGGGTCTTGGCGCTTTTAGCCGGGCGCTGGAGGGCGGATTAATTTCCTGGCGCGTTTCCATTTTTATTATTCACCGTCCGCCTGGCGCAGCCGGTTAGATTAATGACTTGGATTAGTATTATTAAAATGAGGAGGAGGCCAGAGGGGAAACGAGGGGGAACGAGGGAGGGGGGGCGGCGCGCGTGTTGGCGGATGAATAACCCTGGAACCATTGTCGAACCCGGAGATGACATCAACAGTCCACAATCCTGAGTCGTACTCCGTACTGCAATCTTTTTTTTTCCCTTTTTTTTTTTTTCCCTCACCGTTAAACTCACGAACCCTGGGGAATGCCGTCGATCGCCAGCCACCAAGGCCACGATGGACAGAGCAGCAACGAGTCAGAACCAGTGCAACCTGCCTAGTCGGGTCGTGCCAGGCAGACACCTCATCTTCTAGAACTTCCATTCCGTCGAATCCACATGGCTCCTCTTCTGCAGCCCGACTGCCTTGGCAACTGCCTCCTCACTGAGCTAGATACCGCGTTGTCTTTCGTGCCACAGCGACAGCACCAGTGCCCAGGATGATTCCACCGTCTGGAGGAGTTGATTCATCCATATCCCTCAGAGGTGGCAACCCGCCCGCCAGTGACGTCGTCAGTTCCATTGAAACCACCGGGGTCCCGATGATGTGATGACGACTCAGCAACCAATGGATGCTGGAAGCAACTGAGGCAAACTGCCTCTGACGAGTTAACCACTGGATGGAGATCACATTCATTGTCGATAGAAGTACACAGCACGGAGTAAGTGTCGAGTAGACAGTAAAGAGTCCAAGCTGCAGCTGCGGCGTGAGTGGAAATCCCGCCTTGCCGATTCGTTCGGAACGCCGCCATTCAGAAGGACAGGCACACGGACCGTCAAGTCCGAGGTTGAGGTCGGTCACGGGCGAAGAGTACCTGAGTTGGGGCGGCATCCTGCAAGGAGCATCCTTCCAGTCCAGACGAGGGAGAGACCGACCAGCAGCGTGGCTGAATTCTAAATTCCGGTCAGTGGCTGAATTATTGTCCTCCCAACACTTTACTGATTATTGCCGAATGAATCAACTTCGGTATCGGAACTTTAACTATATATATCAACACAGTGAATCTCAATGAACCTAACCCGTGGGGTAAATATCTCTATCTATCCATCGATACTTGGTATAACTGTACTAAGGCATAATCCACCCGACCATACTCCATCCTCAAATCCTATCCCCATCCCTGCTTCACAGTCCATACATAGTAATAGTACAGTTCAATATGCATGACAGCTTTTCGCCCCAGTCTCCCGTCCCCGTCCCCATCCCCATCCCCATCCCCATCCCCATCCCCAATTCCCCGATCCCCAATACCCCAGTCCAACCAATCCTCCCCACCCGCTCTTATCATCCATTCAACTCAATGGTTCAACCTCGACGATCACCCCTCATCCAGACACTACATACATCATACATAGTACATAATACATATGCACAAGTACCTACATACATGGATGGATATGGATATGTATACATATGTACCTCCCCGTGGTCAACCTACCCTAGTACCCTCCCTACCCTACCCACCTACATACATACATACATACACATACACACATACACACATACACACATACACACATACACACATACACACATACACAAATACCGCCTCACAAAACAAGACCAAAACAGCACGCAGAATACACTTTCCTGTCGTGTAGCGTCACACGAACTCAATTCGGGTTACCTACATATGTACCTACCTAGCTAGCTATCTGCCCAGGTAGCAGGGAATTGGTTCGACGGGCTTGTGGACCCCGCGTTTTGATACTAAGTGTCGATGTATAAGATAAATGGATGGGTGTGGAGAGAAGATGAAGGAAGATAAGCTGCGATTGGGGTAGATAAGGAAATTGGATCGGATAGGAGGTATTGCTGCTAGGTAGGAAGGGATAGTGGGTAATGGGCCAGGAGTCACTAGGTTGAGCTGGAGACCTAGTAGTACGGAGGATACGGAGTATGTCTGGCTAAGACTTGTCGAGGAATGCCAGTTATCACATGGTGCATGCAGCCGAGACCGACTATCAATCAGATTGATAGATGTACACAGAGATAGATAGGTGGTATACATATATTGATGGATGATCAAGTTAGCAATAGCATAACTGGAACTATTGTATTCTGTATCACTGGAGCCGCTCTTCCGGCACCGGCTCTTCGCGTGTTCATGCATATGATCCTGGCTGTAGCCGCGGCAGTCAAAAACATCGAGTATGCGCTCTCATGACTATATAAAAACACGGAAGAAGGGGAGACATGGTAGCGAAAAGCGAAAAAATGAGAACAAACGATTCATCAATAATCTAAAGCACGCTGATGGAAAGCTCAATAGCCCAAACCCCACTTTTACCATGCCAGAAACAAGCCCAAAAAGCAACAAAAGGAGGATGCAGACGAATGAAAGGGGCTATAATACACGGCAGATTATTCTATCGTAGTCACTGGGGTTTAGGAAAGCAAATTCTTCAGAGACGGGCTCGCACTCGCCCCCGACCCTCCATTGGTCCCGCTGGCAGTCGTATGTCGGCCCGCGCTGGCCATCACCGGCGTATCCTCTGGCTTGACCGGAGGAGTCGGGCCTCGTGGATCCATATGCACCTGCGAGACGGGCGGCGACTGCGTTGGCGCCCCAAGCACGCGATCCACCGAGTAGACACGTGGCGGAGGCCCACCGTTCAATGCGCTGAGCGAATGTTGAGGCGAGTGCCGCACCATCGTCGCCTGGACGTCGGGAGGCGATGCGGATGGCGCATACGGGCGAGGGCCCGTCGCGTGGGACAGATGCGGCGACGGCATCGAGACAGGCCCATATGGGCTCTGGTGCGTCGGAAACGGCTGGGCCGGAGGGTGGGACCCAGGGGCATAATGAGGCAGCGGCGGGGCATGGTGCGAGGGGGTGGGCGGGAATCCGTTGATATGGCTTGCCGGGGCTGGCGGCGGCGGCGGAGGTCCTGCGCGATAGCCAGGCACCGGGAGTCCGTTGCGCAGTTTGCTGTCGCCGAACTCCGCAGGGCGCTGCTCATAGCCGGGATGCCAATCGGAGCCGCTGTGAGGCGGAAGGCCAATCGGTCGGGGAAGGACCCCGGACTGCGGGGGGTGCGCATGATGAGAGCCAAATGGGCTGTTGTGATATTCCGTGATCCGAGGGGCGGGCAAGACGGGCCGTGTTGCCGAGTAAGACGACGGGCGGGGTTCAGGCGATGGTTGCGGCATGGGCTTCTTGAGATGGCACTTGTGGCATTCGTACAAGGTCTGCGATCCCTCGCTGTTGATGGCCGATAGGGCCGTCTTCTCCGCCGGGCTGTACTCTCCATTCAGGCGCGGAAGGGCATGCTGTGATGGGGTTTGATGTAGGTACGGAGGACTCGCCGAGGCCGCGCCGGAGAACCTTGACCCTATGGGATCATTGAGTCCGACTCCGTTGAGCAGTGGCGTCCTGTGGTCGACTCCCGGCGTGCGTCGCGACTTATCAAGGGGCCACCAGCGGGGACTGAAGGCACTGGAGCAGCGAACACACTTTCTCGTCGCGTCCGCATCAGCGACGGGTCGGGGGGCGTGATTCTCGGAGTCGATCACCATCTCATCCGGAGCTTCCTCTGCGGGTTTGTAGCTGTCCTTTGGCGCCGTCGGTGCTGTCGGTGCTGTCGGTGCTGTGGGCGCTGCTGATGCGGCTGCTGGAGCGGTCGACACGGCCGGAGGTGCTGCAACGCCGTTGGTAGTCGAGACTCGGCGGCTGGCCGAGGGTGTTGCAGCGTGATGCGACGCGTTGACCGATTGTTGCACGTAGGCCGCCTTTCTGATGGTTCCCGTCAAGGTCAGGTCGGCTTGCTTGTAAGCCAGGGCATACCGCTGCAGAGCGTTGATCCCCTCTTCCTCGGTGGGCTCTCCGATCTCATGGATCGTCGCCGTAACCGGGTGATGAGGACACCAGATGCCCGCAGATGCCGCTCCTACCTCCTCTCCGAGCCGGACGCTGCTCACGGTATCCCGTCGGGAGCTCTTGATCGGCGTGATGTCAAACCCAAACTTGTACTGCGCTTGGAATGCACAGCCGACATGAAAACGGGCGTTGCAGTTGCCAAAGTGGCACGGCACACAGGCGCCCCCGTCGGTCTTGCAGATCTTACAGACATCGCGCCACTTGTCCCGGGGAATCAGACCGAATCCTTCTGCCGGCTCGAGCTCCTTAGCGTCGCCGAATTTGATCTCGGGCGTCCAGACGGCGCACATGACATGGACCCAGTTGTTGCCGGCTGTCCGCTTCAACGGCTCTCGAGGACCGATCGGTTTGCCCACGTCTTCTTGCCTCTTCCGGTACAGCTTGATGGCTTCATTGACCATCTCCTTTTCCAGCCGCTCCTTCTCCCGATCTCGCTCAGTCTTCTTCTTGTGAGTCGACTTGGGCGCCTCCATCAGTTCGTGCTCCGTCCAGGTGACCGGGCACAAGACACAATTGTACGTAGTCGAGATCATGGGGTCCCGGTCGTTCGAGCACATATCGCAAAGCCATTTCACGCAGTTCCGCGACGGGCTGACTCCGTAGCAGCTCCGATGCACGGTCAGGCGGCAGTCCCTACAAGACAGGTGCTGGTCGCCCATCGGCTCCATCTTGTTGCAGATGGCACAGGGAAGCGTCTTGGCCTTGGGGGGATCCGGCATGATCGGGGGTGGCTCCGGGACCCGGTCGGTTGCGGCCTTCTTTTTCGGCGCGGGTTCCACTGAAGTGGCCGTCGATGTCGCTGCGCTGTCTTTCTCCGAGATTCGACCCTTCTTCCTCGTAGACTCTTGCTGCACCTGTGGATTAGCATTCACTGGGACCCCAATGGAGGCCGCCGTCGCAGCGGTCGCACTGTTGATACTGATGGGAGTCTCGGTAGAGACGAGCAGTTGAGTCAGAAGCTCCTCATCCACGCGCCGGCGCCATGACTTGTTGCCGCTCTGGGCGATCTTCTTGGCCACCTCGTCGACGCTCTCCCACTGGATACCGTATTTCCTCCATAGCAACGCACAGCGCAAGCAGAGAGCCACGGTAAGCTGCGACGTCTTATCCCGCTGCTTCGATGAAGGCTCGCTCGGGGTGGTAGTACCGGGCGGAATGCCGGGGGCACGTCGCCACTGCCGGGAGGTTCGCGTTGAGCAGAACTTGCATTGGAACCCACGCTTTTTCTCCGTGGCTTTCTCGTTATCAAAGGCCGAGTCATCATGGTCGTCGGCCACGTCATCCACCAACTTCGCAGCAGTGGTTCGCTTGGCCTCCTTCTTGCCCCGCCTGCCTTCATAAGCACCCCAGATCTGACGACCGCGGGGCGTTTTTTTCCACATATAATAAAACCGCACGATTTGATAATGTGGCACGGTGCCCACGTGCTTCGTGATGTGGCGCCATTCGGACCCATACTTCGCAACGGCCTGCTCAAAGAGTTTAACTTCTTCGGGTCGCAAATGGGGCTCCTTAAGATCCTTGTATTTGTTCATCTGCTTCAGCCTTGCTAGAGCAGCATCGGCGTCGAAGCTATTGGAGTAAAGGAGGTCGAGAGCCTTGTCGAGAAAATTAGTGGCGTACTTTTCTTCTCCCACCTGAGGGGCTAAAGCCTTTGCGCGCTCCATATATTCATCGATGAACTTTTCGCGATCTGCCGGGCTGAGATCGGACCCAGGCGCGTCGTCTTCGCCCCGGGACGGAAGCTGGTCGGCCGTGGGCATTTTGAACATCAGCTCTGCGGTCCGGACTTGCTTCCCGGCCACTGAGACCGGCTCATCTTCGCCGCGTCGGACATATCCCAGGGGCTCGTCCTGGACCCACTTCGGCCGGTTTGCTTTTTCCTGTTTGGCGGCTTCGATTGCAGCCAGGGTCTCTTTGGACAGTTTCGAATCCTTGCGCCCCCCGGAGCCCCGCATGTACTTCTTCTTGATGTCGACCGGCTTGACGTACTCGATCGGTTTCCCGGGCCAGGGATTCACCATGGCCTGATGTCGAGGTCCCAAGCGAGAGCTGGCCCGCGGGTAGATCCGGTCGTCATAATCCAGTGCATCTTCAACACGGCAGTGGATTCCTAAATAGCGATAAGGCCACATTCTGGCTTGCGCGACTTGTTCTTCGGTCGCTGGCCGGACCTCTTCTTCGGCGGGTGCTGGAGTGCTGCCTGTGGTACCATTCGCCGCGCCGTGGGGCTCCTCCTCCTCCTCTTCCACCATCTCCTCGTCCGCATCGGGCTGGGATTCACCCAGTATTGGAGTATTGCGCGCCTCGAGTTTCCGTTCTTGGGCGCGACTGCAGGCCGCACACGCCCATGCAAACCCTCGAGCCGGCTTCTTGGTCAAGACTGGTCGAACACAGTACATGTGGTAGGTGTGGTGGCAGACAGCACAGTCCACCGAGTCATTGCTATGGTAGAGAGAGTTAGCATGGTTGATCCATTCCACCCGAGAAAGAACGATTCGTATACCTTGCGGCATACAAGCCACAGCGCTTGCAGGTCTTCACCGCACTGGTAAGCTCCTTCCGTCGTCCGATTTCGACCAGGACGAACTTCCAGCGCTCGTCGAGAACCTTTTTGACGTTGCCCGGGACGTTGATCACCTTGCTTGTCGGAATCACGTCGTAGTAGCGATGGATGTAGCGGTCAAACATCTTATCGTACCAGAAACAATCTCGGGTCTTCCGATACTTGTCAAAGTCGGCAATCTCCGACATATGCATGATTTGGCACTTCCCGCGTAATGAGGTGAGTGGGCATGTGTCGGAATGCATGGAGGCGAAGACCAAACGCGTGTCGGCGACCTTCCGCTGGATGTCACGTGGGCGATAATACCAGTTCACCCGCAACGCCTCGATCGGGCCTGAGGGCGCATCCTTGGAGGGGAGGAATTCCATGATCCGTGCCAGATAATACGGTTCCCCCGGGGGCTCACAAATCAGGTAGACGTGGTCTGAGTGCCGATCTTAGTACAAAGCACGTCTACGGGGGAAAGCGAGAGAAAGAGAGCGAGGAAGAAATAAAAAAGAAGTTGATCTCACCATTTACGGCGTATGTTGTGCCGTCGTCCGCTCGGAGTTTGCCATCCTTCAGATAGGCACCACGGCTCTCAAAACTGACCATATTGGTCTCCGTCTGACCGTGCGCCGTCCCTGGGGCCGTAGTAAAAATCTTCTTCGCCGAGTTCCCACCTGTAGCGTTGTTGATCGTCGAAGTTGCAGGCTGTTTCCGCTTCCTCGAGAAACCTGCCGAGGGGGTGGTGGCCCCCTCCTCGAACTTGGCGGAGAATGAGGAGGTGCCTGGAATTGAATCCTTCGCAGCAGACGCGGCATTGGCGCCATTGACCGCCGTCAGACTCTTTCGTAAAGCTGACGATGAGACTGGCTCTTCACTGTCGGCTTTGGAGCCATTGACGAGAGCCCCGGCAACGCCGCTACTCCGCTTAGCGGATTTCGAGGCGGGTTGGGCCAGCTCCAAGTCGACGTCGATATCGCGATCCTCGGCATAGTTGGGACGCGGGGCGGCATTGCGACCTCTGGACCGGGTGCCATAAGGCGCCGGAGTGGTGGAAGTGCTGGGGGGCTCCGTAACGGCGACGTCTGAAGCCGAGGCGCTGATGGGCATGGGCAGTGAAAGCAGGTCGTGGCTGGTGGCGGCACCTTGGGGGGTGGGCGCCTCGACCGAACCCGTTCGGGAAGAGTGGCCAGGGGTGGGCATGCGACGGGCTGCGCCAGACGGCGACGACGAGTTGGGCTTTCCGTGGTGGTTTGAAGGGGACTTCTGGGGCGGTGACCTATCCAAGGCCATGGCCAACCCTCAAGTGGAATTCCCGCGTGGAATTCCCGAAACCGAACCCCGATAAGAAAGTTGGTGAAGGGGAGAAGGGAGAAACGGTGGTGGGTGGATGGGTGGGTTAGGATGTTCACAAGATGCACAAGAGAGAGAGAGAGAGAGAGAACACCAAACTGGCTGGGACGCGGAGATGCAAAGCTCAGCAACGGGCCGGGACGGGGAGACGATCCCTCATGAAAGTGGACTCTGCAGCCGGGTGGAAGGGAGGCGAAGGGAAGAAAACGAAAATGGGAAATGGACCAGGCCTGGCGCTGCAGATATTTTGCCCGAAGCACTGGGGAACCGTCAATCGATGGTCACGCCAACCCGGAAAAGTGTAATGGGCAGGTAGCAAGAGCAGCTGTCTTGTCCGGTTCCCTCAGTTCTTCCCGCAAGGGCGCAGAAAGGGTCGAGTGGGTGGTAATGGCAAAAAATAAGTAGGACGGAATATCAAGATCGGCACCGCTCCGAAAGTGATAAGAACAACACGATGATGGGAGGGTGAGAGGAACAAGAGGGAGGAAGCAAGCAGAGCGGCAGGGAGACCGGCTACCGAATGGCATGGAATTAATTAATGGGGGAGACGAAAGAATGTAGGAGAAGGACAGTCAGTCAGAAGGGAAGAGAGAAAGGGAAGAAAGGAAGAAAGAAGAGAAGGCCCGCTGGAAACGTCGGAGTAGTAAAATGAAGGTTAGCGGCGGTGGAAGCCAAACAAGACGTAGAGCCACTTAGGGCGTTGGGAGACTCGTGGGGTGAGCACAGGATAAGATCAGTAGCCAGTCAGATCGGACTAGCCCTCGTAGTGGCAGAAAGTACGTCGTTGTCGTATCTAGTAGGAGGAGGAGTACTAGTAGTAGTTCGTGGGTTGCCAGACTGATGATGGATGTTGGTCGTGAAGTGTTAGTATTGGACCAGGGCTACCCAAGCACTGCATACATCTGAGGATAGATCGAGAGGGGGGGTTGGTTGGCTGGTGTGGGTGGGAAGGGGAGAGGAAAGCTGGGGGGAAATGGGAGAGTGAAAAGGGACGGAGGAGGACAAGAGGGGAGAGGCGAAAGAATCGAGACGGATACAGCCAGCCAGCCAGGCAGGAAAGAAACGCGAAAAGTCAGAAAGGACGAGGAAATGCAAGAAGGGTGGAAAGAAAGAGAGACCAGAAAGAATCAGGAAAGCCGTCGAGGATCCCGACCAGTCCACGTCCTCGCCCCTAGTCCCGATGTGTTAATATGACGGATCCTCCATCCACCCATGAACCAGATGAATATCGCTTCGAGAGCATGGAATGGATTGGCTTCCCTCCCCGTTCGTTTCTTTCGAATTGCGTTCGGTGCTGCGATGGCTGGGATTTACTCCCATCTACGATAGTATACTATAGTGTCCGATGTCCTATCTGATCTAGTTTCTGTGCCTGGACGTCGGGGTTATTTTTATAGCAGTGCGCTCCCCTTGCTCGTCCAGGCGGCGTGTTTGACCCGTTGGGTGATCTACGTCGGTACACTGGGTTTAGCGGATTTACTTTAGTGCTAGTAAGATCTCTCGCGGATGGGGGGAGGAGAAAGGGATTGTGTGGGCCGACAAACCCGACTGCGAAAGAATGATGATATTGGGGGAGGGGCTATGGGACGAGGATCAATGCTGAAGAACGGGGAAAATGAGAATGGAAGGGAAGGGAATGGAGAGGGACCTGGAAACCTAAAATTAAGCAGCAGGGGAAAAGAAAAAGAACATGGGACGGACAAAGGGAGGGGGACCAGGGCAAGCAAATAAATAATACATAATGAACGGCCAGGCGGGCTTTGCATACATCCATCCATACATACATACATAGTAACATACATTCATTCATTCATTCATGATCCCTCCACGACCCTCTTTACTGATCCTTTCACTCGGTGCGTCAATCACCATGGTCCAGAAAAGAAAGGCGGGTGATGGGAACGGGCCCGGAGGACCAGAGAGGGCATGTCTAATCTGTGGCAGGAATGTTGTCACGTAGGGCAGCGCATGCGCGTTGGATCTGAAATCCAGAGCGCCAAGTCCCAGTGCAGTGAGTGGACAGATGGACCCATCCATGCCATCGAAGGCGCAGCGGATATCGTCTGTTTCAAACTAGATCAACGGAAACGGCGTCAGCATCGTAACCAGGAGGTCGGCTGGACAAGAAGGAAATTGATGGAGGTGATCTTGTTGCTTGTCATCGCCGCGTCCGATGATCATGATGACATTATCATCCCCGATCCTCCCAGGTTTGACGGTTGAGGGCCTGCGCAGGACTCGGGACATGGTAGCCCGTTCTTGAAGTGGTACCGCATCGTTACGGGGGTGTTCTGGAAGTAATCGGGGCCTCCTATTTGCAGAACACCCAACGCCCCTTCTCAGGGTGATGAAGCACTCGGTGGAGTGTGGATTATTAAAAGGTACCTAGGTGAATGACCTTGCTCAAAAGAACTACTCCTACTTGGATTATTGTATCATGGATGCATCTCGCGTCCGGCGGAGAACAGCAGCAGCAGCACCACCACCACCACCACCAGGAGATCCGAGTCGCCTCGACAGCTGCAGGAGGCCAGAAGGAGGCGATCGAGGTTGAAACATGGGACCGGGCTCGCTTTTTCACGGCCCATGCTGCGGCGGAGGACTGATGACTGAGGAGAGATAATTTTCCCGGGGGAATTATTTCTGAGCTAGGGAAGGGAGAGGGGCATTGGGTGCAAAAGCAGTGGTTCTGTACGACAGGCGACTGGAGGCATGGATACGTGCTGGAAATGCTAAGCCATTTTAGCTTAGGCGGGCAACCGAAAACTCGGTTCAGCGCTTCAGCGACAGTACAGAAAAGGGAGGGGAGGCGCCAGTTCCATGGCTCCCTTCGACCTGCAGTGCTAATTGACTAGTGGTGATTAGCAGCTACACAGTCGATCCTCAGGCATGCCTGGGGCTTCTGATGCGAACCACCCATTCGCCAGTCGCGACCACTCCCGTGCGGAAGTCAACAGCCATCGAGCCATCCATCCATCCCGACCAGCCTCATCGGGGACCGCCGTGGAGACGCGCTGGAAGAAGGGGAATAATCCTGGTTGACAGCGGTTGCCGCTGTGCAGGCCAGGTGGGCGCATGTGGTCGACTTGCGGCGATGAGGTGATGATAACAGTAATCCGTCGGCCAGAGCGGGAACATGGCCCAACCCTTAGCGTTTAGCCTAGGGTACTTGACTCGCCGTAAGTATCTAAGTACTACTGGGGATCTCCCCCGCGACGGCGGATCTTTTGGGTGCGACTTTTTTTTCTTGGCTCCGTGGACTGAGAGGTGAAGGGACACTCCCGTTGACTTGGGTAGATACTTCGGATGATGGCCAGCACCCCGGGGAATTCTGTTCCAATCATCCGGGTCCTCCCAAGTGCCTGGAGGAATGATGTTCTCTACTCAGTACTTTACGAGGTCGATCAATTTGAGGCTGGTCTGGAGTTACATCATCTTCCCGATAAGCCCGGCTGGGAGGCATCCCAGGTCTCCGGGCGACTGTCGGACCTTGGAACTCCTGGGATCAGAAATCGCAACCCAACCTGGTCCAATGAAACGACTGACCGGTTGCCGCGCTGGTTGTCCTGACTTTGTTGCCACATTACAGCCTCCGGCCAGCCTGGCTACCTACCCAAGCCAAAGGCCTGCTTTTCACTTTTTTCCTTCTGGGAGGGGGTCGTGTTGGCAAGGGGGGCAGAATCGAATTATCGCATATATTTTTTATCTCCAAGGCTGACTGATGATGATGATGATGATGGGACGGATGCCTAGTAGTCACGGATATGGTGGTAGCCCTTCCCGTCGAAGGAAGATTGACCGGGGGGTGGTCGGCTTGGTGTTTCAAATGCCTAAACCGATTCCGACCACTCTCCCCCAAGCACAAGCACTCAGATAGAGACATACATACAGACAGACAGCTAGAATAGATTTAATCGACCAGTCTCTGTACCAGAAATCCTGGATGATTACAGTTTGCTGGGCCCGGTTATTTAATCCATCATCTGATGACCGGAAATGCAAAACCCAATCATATTGCTCGGTTGTCTCTGCTGAACCCAACTGTCGAAACGTGTAAGCTGTCCGGCCGACGGAGTCGACGCGGCAAGATGACTCGATCGTCCGATACTAAAGGGCGCGCGCTATGGGGACGGTATGGAGGAGTCTGGCACTTAGGGACTAGTGCCTGCAAAGGGCCTAAGGGAAAAGGAACCCATGTTGTGCCGAGCACATACATACACCGATGACCCCCCCACGGTATATCGACTGGGATGCATCCGCGGTGTCAAGAAAAAAACTTCCCCCCCCCCACTGAGCGCTCTCGCAAAACCATCGCAATATCTCAATAAAATAACGGATCAGTGTGCGAGGAAGAATCACCCGAACCGTCATGAATAATGATACGGTGTACGGGGAATGTATGATCAAGTCTGCTTAAGCGTGAGTGGCCACATGTGGGTGGATCACTGGGGGGCTTTTTCCCTTTTTACTTTTCCTTTCTTTTTTTTTTTACCCTTCCCTTCTTTTTCGGGCCCAGAGTCCTCCGGGTCAATAATGTTGAAGAAGAATGGCACATTATTCGTCCGAGGTATCCGTCCGCTTCGACCCCCCTACGGATATGAGTGTGAAACCCCTCATAGCCTACGTACTTTGGTACAAGGATACGGAAAAAGTGTAGAATGGAACCCAGAACACTCTTGGCGGGAGGCTTAGTCCCTACCATTAGATGACTTCAAACCCATCGAAAATCATGGGATGGCAAGAAGCTCGCAAGTGGGATGTGAGGAGAGGGCCAACATGAGCCAACAATCCAACCCATCAAGGGGCGTGTCAATGCTACTCGGTAAACCAGACTCGTGTTGCGCAGGTCCGCATCTTAGCACCCTCCGTATGGAGTCGGAGGCTGCCTCGCCTTACCTTAGTCTTCCGTAGCCAAAAGGCAGTTTGATAATCGTCAGGTGACCCCAGGCAGCCAACCTGCACGAGACAGTAGGACAAGGACGAGAGGATTGATTATTCTGGCGGTAATTGCTGGAGTGATAGCCTCATATGGAAATCTATCCACCCGGAAGGGCAATCCACCCGAGCCGCCAGCCAAGATGGAGGTTTGAGTGAATAAATGAGTGAGTGTCAAGGTCAACTAGCGATCAATAATAAATGTCTGGCTCTGATAGCCGGGCTTGTTCTCCGGCCACCCTTGCTTACTCACGTACCCTCAGTCCTGCAGAGGGCGCGGGAAAAGAAGGAATAGCGTGGCAGCTGGATTTCCAACGTCTGTGCTCCAACTGGGTCGCAGGACTCACGGGGTGAACAGTGGACACTGCCAGGACACTGAGACTGAACACTGCAGTGTGATGCGAAGGGCGGCCACCATCATGGTCACTCCTGATTCCCAAGACGTACTATGTTTAACCTTCAGCCTCCGGCCTCCAGCCTCGGGTCCTTTCGTAACCTGTGAACGAGCCCGATCCGGGCGCTAGACACCATATGGCCAGTGCTACTTATACTATGGAAGATGCATGCCGCTATTGACTAGCACACGACCAACCTCCGTTGGGTAAGTCATCCCCCCGACTGGCGGATCAGCAGGGCTCCGATTAGTGGATGAGACGATCCAGGAACGTTTCCGCGCGGGAACAGAAAAATAAAGGTCCATTATTATTATGCTAATTCGGTGTTATTTGACCTGGCCCTTTCATCTTACTGCAGGGTGACTTGAGCCTATCAGGCTTCGTAGTATGCATGCAAGTACTGCCTATCTATAGCATGTCCTAACGCATTATGGAATTCCCAAGTAGGCTCCCACCAGCCTTAGGCTCCCCGACAAGGCTCCCCACAAATCTGGTGCCTGAGGCATATGGGCCATCACGATGCCGTTGCCCGAAACGAGCGCGTTGCACCCGCGTTCCTGCCAGAACAAAAACAGGCCTCGCGGGGATTCTCTGTTGGAAATTTCCCCTCCACCATCATCTGCATCATCATCATAGTACTACTGCTGGCTTCGTCTCAACCCTCGGGCAGCCAGAAACTTCAACACATCCCCATTCCGCCTCTGTGGGGGCATTTGTTCCTTTGAATTTGAAACTAGAGCTGTTGCCCCACTTGGTGATAGTCATCTAATGTTCTCTGGGGTGTGACCAGCTATCTCGTACACTCCATCGTTCATGGGAGCCCCACGATAGCTGTTATAGCTGTACAAAGGCCAAAATATTAACCAAGGCATGTCTGCACAACCTGGGCAACCACTTCAGACCTATGGCTTTCAGACCTCTGTCGATATTGCCCGCCAGCAGACGTACCATATAGCCCCATTGGCTGGAAGCAAGCGACCCCCGGACCCATCTGCAGGCGATGATCACAGGCTGGTGGGCGTAGGACATCCCTCGAATGCTCCCGGTGCGGTTGGTCGGCCGGTAGATTTTATCCGTCCTTCGTTGACGCTTCCTAAGGCGCGCCTGGTTGCCAGTGAGATCTATCCCGTTGCTGCGACGCTGCCCGAGCGTAATGGTCAATCGCCAAATGTGCTCCCTACCGACCAGGAATTGGCACATAATCCCTTTCTGTCCCTGAAACATCCTGCCTATGGCCTGCCGCCTGCGCTGGTATCGAACCTTGCCGAGGCTGGGCTCAACAGCATCTACCAGTGGCAGGCGTCATGCCTGCTAACTCCAGGTCTCCTCAAGGGCGACCGACACTTGGTCTACACGGCCCCCACGGGCGGAGGGAAGTCTCTGGTCGCCGATGTCCTCATGCTCAAGCGTATCATTGAGAACCCCGGACGCAAGGCCATTCTCGTCCTTCCTTATGTTGCATTGGTACAGGAGAAGCTCAAGTGGCTCAGACGCATCGTGCAGGATGTCGAGAAAAACATTCACAGCGCTGAGGATGAAGCAGTCAACGAAAAACCGTTCCACCACCGTTGGAACAAACTACAGCGATCGATTCGTGTCACCGGATACTTTGGTGGAAGCAGGACTGCTGCGTCTTGGGCAGACACGGACATAGCTGTCTGCACGATTGAGAAGGTGCGTTGCTTCATTGATTGGGTCATGAATCTGCTCTGAAAGTTCTCATCTAGGCAAATTCGTTGATGAACTCCGCCATCGAAGAATGCAGCATTGGGGACTTGGGAGTAGTCGTTTTGGATGAGTTACACATGCTTGACGATGAACATCGAGGGTATCTGTTGGAACTAATGGTCACCAAATTGCTTCTCCTGCGGCAGGATATTCAAATTATTGGCATGAGCGCTACATTATCGGTATGACTGTAGGCCCGATTACAGACCTGGGTATCGTCAATCTGACGGAATTCAGAATACAGAGATGCTTGCTGAGTGGATGAATGCGGTCTACTTTGTCTCGACCTACCGGCCAGTTCCAATTGACGATTATCTCGTTTATGAGAACGCAATATACCCTGCGGCAACCTCGAGGCAGCTGTTCCAGACTATCTCTAGGCTGAAGTCGATGACAAACACTTCTTTGATGGATAAGATGCCTCCCCATCGGATCATTCGTCCTTCAACCTTTCGGGAACTTTCAAACCACACAACGAATGCGACGGTGGCTCTGGCCATCGACACAGCTGCCGCTGGATATGGTGCCTTGGTGTTCTGTGGCAGCCGACAGATGTGCCAGCTTCAAGCAGCCGTGATAAGCGAAGCAATGCCGGCTCCTTCAGGAAATACAGACGACCTGAGCAAACGATTGGATTTACTCGCCGAGCTACGAAGCCTGCCTAGCGGCTTGGACCCGGTCTTGGAAAACACGCTCGTAAGAGGCGTGGGGTTCCATCGTAAGTAGTCATCGCATTTTCTTGATGCACACGCTGAGCCGTGAGTTTAGATGCAGGGATGACCACAGAAGAACGAGAATTGATCGCGCAGGCTTACGACCAAGGGGTATTGAAGGTACTCATAGCCACATGCAGTCTGGCGGCTGGAGTCAACCTCCCCGCACGAAGGGTGATTATAAACGGAACACGTATGGGCCGAGATCTTGTAGGACCGGCAATGCTGTAAGGTGCCTCAACGATATGTGGAGTGCTACGAGCTAAATCCGTGAAGGCGACAGATGTGTGGGCGAGCTGGTCGCAAAGGAAAAGATGAGGTGGGTGAAACATACCTGATATGCGGAAACAGCGACCTGCAAGCTGTCTGCGACCTCCTAGAAGCCGATATGCCCGCCATTGAAAGTTGTCTGGCCCCTGAAAAAAGGGGCCTCAAGAGGTGAGCCTCCGCTAAGCTCTGCAGGACGACCAAATACTCATATGCCACCAGAGCCCTCTTGGAGGCTATTGCGACCGGGCTCGTCTCCGGTTATGATGCGATCAAGGAATACGTCCGATGTACCCTTCTTTACCTGACGGTAGATAAAAGACTAGCCTACAGCATCATGGGCTCTGCACTTCAAGAATTGATCACCGAGGGGCTCCTACGCATCAATGATGACGAGTCATACTCGCCGACACAACTCGGACAAGCGGTGGTGGCTTCCGCGTTTGCGCCCGAAGATGGTCTCTTTGTCCACGAAGAGTTGAAACGAGCGTTGCAGGCCTTCGTCATGGATGGTGATATGCACATATTTTACATGTTTACTCCCCTTCAGGCAGCCACCACCACCCCAATCGACTGGCTCATTTTTCGCGATCAATTGGATAATCTCGATGAAAGTGGGTTGCGTGCCTTGCAGTTTGTTGGTGTCCAGCCCGGCTTTGTAAATTCGATGTATGCGGGACTCCTGACTCTACCTTCTATCAGACGTTAAGGCACTGATGGATTTGCAGGGCACAAAGTGGCGCGTCGCTTAAAGAGAACAACCCCGAACAGGTGAAGCAGGCTAGAATCTACCGCAGAGCCTATACGGCGTTTCAGCTTCGGGATTTGAGTAATGAAGTGCCACTGTCAACAGTTGCCAGTCGCTACCGGATCCCGCGAGGAGCCGTGCAGACCCTGGCACAACAATGTCATGGCTTCGCTGCTGGGATTGTGAAATTCTGCCAACGAATGAACTGGGGCATGCTGGCAGCCGTTCTAGATCATATGCGAGATCGACTGGAGGCCGGGGCTCGCGCCGATCTCCTGGACATGGCACAGGTGACCTATGTCAAAGGATGGACTGCCAGGTTACTCCGAGAAAACGGATTCCGCAACCTAAGAGCATTGGCGGAGGCCGATGCGAAGGACCTTGTGCCTGCCCTCAAGATGGTGTGACCAACTTTGAATGCCTTGCGCGATCGCACTATACTAACCGGAATGTCAGGTAAACCCGCGCAAGGCTCAGAAGAGCCAACTGCATCCCACGGAAGCCGAACGATATGCCCAAAAGCTGCTCGCCAAGGCAGAGGTTATTGTTGCATCGGCAAACAAAATCTGGGGTACGTATGGCTGAGCTGCTTTTGAGGTTCAAGTCTGGCATTACTGACTCAAATTAATCAATTCGCAACAGAACGCGAGATGCAGATCGAATTGGACGAGTGAGGAATTTTGGAATGCTTTACGAGCTACTCTTGGGCTTTTGACACGAGATGCTCGACTTTTGGACTACGAGACCTCTTAGGATGGATAGACTTAAAAGTTTCCCGCTGGTTGCTCACAAGGCAACCTCGCATGGACCCGTTTCACAATTCTCACGATTTTCACAGCACCTCAATTAGATAGGCAAGTACAACAGCTATATACCTATACGCCATTCAGTGCACTCTGTGCCGCGATTGGCTCACCCTGGTCGACAAAATCCAGGAGAAGGAAGTTTGGCAACCGGCCATACATGGACTCGCACAGGTCGGACTGGGCTCCAATGCTGCCAGATCCTGACACGGCGTTGGTCTCGGGCGCACGCTCCCGATCAGGGATCAGAATGCCCAAGATGTCGACATCCAAGAAGTGGTTGACAATGTACATGCGCCCGGTGGCTGACGCCCCGGCGGGCCGATCGATGCTGCAGTTGGAGAAGGTCGCATCCGTCACATCATAGGGCGTCTCGAAGAAATATGCAAACTCATCGAGGATGTACGGGACGGTCGACGCATCGGCGCCATAGTCTGGAACGTTAGTCAAATAATGTTCCCCAATATGCACTTGTATGGTTCCTGCTTACCTAGGAAAGCCACCAACCGCGTGCCATTCCCGATCAACTCCCGTAGGGTTGGCCACGCATCTATGGCCAGGGTGCTCGGAGACGAACTTGGGACAAAGGCATAATCTTTGAGTCCGGCGCTGGTGAAAACATCGCCGAACTGTGCCACCGGAAGACTGTCATCATTTGTGAGGAGGAGGGTCACCACCTCGTCTGGGTTACTGTCCAGCCAGGTCTTGACTGTGGCCAAGTAGGATTCCAGGGTGCCCGCATCCTCAAGCAAGCACGATGTATGACAGAGAAGAATGGTGTCATCCACCAAGGACTTGTGGGTTTGGCCCTGTAGGAACCGGACTCCAAGGTCCAGCTGCCCGGTGACATTGAGATTCTGGTTATCGGAAAGGAGCAGGCCGACGAAAGGACTGTCGTGGGCGCCAACTTGGGTGACGTTGGAGTACTTGCGGTCGCAGTAGGCAGACTGGCCGTTGCAGGCAGACTGCGCAATGGCTGGCATGATGGATGCCATGCCTAGCACTAGGCCAGTGAGGATGGATGAGGAAAGCATCTTCATGCGCTAATGTTCCTGGTCCCATACACAGTTGCCGGGGTTTGGGTAGGGGGGGACACCGTAATGGGTCGAGAGGAAGCCGATGAGGAATGCCCCGGCTCTATTTATATCCCAAGCCCTTGTGGCACGATGTCTAGCCCGGATCCCAGCTTCTGCCAAACTGACCGCACCAACCATTGATGATCAAATCAGCATCGTCCTGCCGAAGCCCTCTCGAAGCTCGTGACCAACACGGGTGATGATGACGGGGAGTGTGATGGCTCCAGCTGGGACTCCAACAGCCGAACAGAGCAATGTGACGAGGATGATAGGACCGGCGGGAGAGCGTCAATGCCAATGCTACTCTACAAGTAGAAGAAAAGGCCCTAGCACTCTGGGTGCAGAACTAGTGGACGGTGCCCGCGCCCACTGCAATCCAATCAAGCCGAGGTCTGAGAAGGAGAAGAAGCGTGGTTGGCTCGGAGCTCGGCGGTTGAATAGATTGGTCGATCCTTAGCCTGGCTCTCACGGGCACTAGACGCTTGATTAAGATTGGGGGCAGTCACTGACTGCAGATGGGACGGGGAGGTGGAATCACATCGGGAGATGGACGGCTGCCTCTATGCGGATTGAGCATTGATGGGGGAAGGGTGTGTGGGAGGGACTGTCACATGGGATCCGTCACCATGCAGGTCAGAAGCTTGACGGCGAGGCATCGTGGCGGTAGGACGTAGGTAGCCTGTAGTAAGTAAGGGGCAGTTGGGGAAGGGGACCAGCCCCATGATTTCGATTGTTAGGATTCTTTTTTGGGGAAGCGTTTCATGTTCGGGGGTTGGGGGCTGGGGAAGATGCCTGAGGCATGCACAGAGGGGCTCGTCAAGCCTCCACAGCCATCGATGCTGAGTTGCTTACATAGTCAGGATGTGGCTAACCATGCGTCTATCCCAGCAATCCTGATTGTTGTTGGGCGGAGCATTCTTTGGGACCGACAATCATTGACGGCTCCTCCGATGAGGCCGGTGGATTGGACCTCTCTTTCGGAACCGTCCACGTGGAATGGAATCAGTCATGTGTAGGGTTCGCATCGCTGCCGGTCGCTTGGCCAGGTACCACGAAGCAGGGTTCGATCTTTGCTCCGTAGAGTGTACTCTGTGGATACTCCGTACATGGTGTAGACATGGTGTAGATCGATAACGGCCTGGTCGATATACAACCGCCCTCAGGCATCCATCCATGGGTGGCCCCATCCGGATTGGGTCTAGCAGCCATACTCGGTGGTTCTGGTACGGTACCATACTCGCCGGTGGGTATCTCCGGTATCTCTCTGCTGTTGGCTGGTCTCAGTCTCTCTCTCGTGTCTGTCTTGTCTCTCTGCCTATCCATCGCTCCTCCAGCTCATCAGTCTTCTCTACCCCCAGGTCTCCTTCCTATCCGGTCCGCGCCCTGGCCATCCGCCCCGGCAGCTTGTGCTTCTTCTTCTCACCGTGTTCGTCGACCTGCGCCAGTGTTGCCATCGCCCTGGGCCTCACATCCAGCCCCCCGTTGATCCCGGCCAGCCTCCACTTTTATTGCCCGTTCGAGCTTCGTGACATCCGGTGGTGAGACAGCCAGCCTCGTCATACCGCTCCAGCTCAACCCCCCGTGACCATTGCTATCTGAGACGACGGTTGGAGCGATGGTCATTCGAACATCCTGCCGATGAGCTCCATGATCGAGACCAGTAATGACTGGGTACGAGAGGATGAGCTCGACTTGGGCCAGGACGACGACGACCACTCCCCGCCCACCCGCAACGGCATCTCCGACCATGTCAACCCCCAGGAGCTGCCGCGCCATGGCTCAATGGCTTACTTCGAGGAGGAACTCCCCGATCTAGCTAGCGAAAATAATGCCTCGGGGAAGCCAATCCCGCCTGTTGATGCCGATACGACCGATCTCCCCTCGTCGCCGCGACTGGGACAGCCCGGTGCTCCCGGTAGCGTCGATGAGACGCTTTCGACGCCGGATGATACTCCTTCTTTGCATGTTGGTTGCGACCGTGTTTGTTGCCCCCCAACCCCCCCCGCTGATGAGAATAGGGCTCTCTTCTGTCGTCGCGAAGCAGCAGCGCGTTGGCCCTCCGGGGCTCTCCGCATCTCAGCCTCAGTCCCAGTCCCTCTCATCGCCCCTTCGACCGTCGCTTTCAGTCCAGACTATCCTCCGCGTCGCCTGTTAGTTTCCGACCCTCGTCGCCGTTTCTAGTCCAGCTTCACTCCCGAAAATCCTCCCTTACTAGTCACCTATCGCCGGGTACCGTGGATTCGGGCGCGGACACCCCTCTGGGCCCCTGGGATGTTGTGCAATGGACCAGGCTGAGGAAGATCAATGGGCAAGCGTTCTCGGAAGTTGGGAAACGGAACTTTGGATATCCCACCTGTATGGTCGTCTCGACGTCTATCGTGGTGGGCACGTCCAAGGGCATTGTTCTGGTGTTTGACTATCAGCAGAACCTGAAGACCATCATTGGACTGGGGACAAAGGGTAAGTCTGAGCTTCAGCGGGCCTTAGGTGTTTAGGCTGACATGAGCAATGTAGCTGTTGAATGCGGCGCGATCGCATCTCTAGCGCTTTCGGCGGATCATTCAACGGTTGCCGGGGGCCACACTTCGGGCGACATATTTACATGGGAGATATCACGGTCAGCACGACCGTTCCTTCATATTCCCCCGATACCCGCCAACCAGGTCGATGCTCGAACTTCCGATGGTCATATTTCGGGTGCGCCGGTCATCCATGTGGGCTTCCTGGGTACACGACGCACGGCGCTTGTTTCTGCGGATAAGCGAGGAATGGCCTTCTCGCACCTGGCTACCCGGGGCATGGGCGCAATGGGACGGACGGTGAAGACCACCCGGATTTTGGGTCGCTATCCTCAGGTCTATGCGGAAGGAAGCCGGCCGCGAAAACCTAGTTCAATCCTGGCCTTTTCGCCGCTTCCACTCGGCAATGTTGAGCAGCCCACCGACTCTCTGGGTCTGGTGGCTATGCTAACTCCCTATCTTCTGGTCATTGTCTCGACTACGCCTATCGCGCAAACACAGCACAAATCGCCCCGCCCGAAAGAAGTTACCGCTCATGGCGCCATGACAGGCGCTCTGGCCTGGTTCCCGGCCATCCGGCTCAAGGGCAAAGATTCCGAGATCTCCAAGACGAAGCTTGTATACTGTTGGTCCAACGTGCTGACGGTGATGGACGTCTCGGAGGTGGAAACCGATGAGGCGCCAAGCCGAGATCGCCCTCCAAGCCTCGACTTCAAGCCCCGGAGCAGATGGAAGGCCGATGAAGCGATCGTTGCTGTGCAGTGGCTGAGTCGCTCCGTGCTGGCGGTGCTGACAATCACACAGCAATTGCTTATAGTGGAGGATTATTCCATGCGCGTCACGGAAGCGGTGGACCTCCTCAACCGGCACATCTACCACGTGGATCTGTTCTCCGCTCAGTTGCATAGCTTAGTGGAGCAGTTCAACGAAGATGATGCTTCGATGCACGGTGTGGTGGCCGATGCCTTTTACATGAGCTTCCGCTCCTACAAAGGGCGCCTCTTTCTCTTAGGCTTCAACGAAATGTTAATTGGAGGTCTGTCAAACTGGGCGGATCGATTGCTGGCCCTCATGGAAGCCGGTGACTTCATCGGTGCGATTCAGCTGGCGAGCTCGTATTACCAAGGTAGTGCAGAGAAGCTGACCATCGGCCTTCCGGAAGAGGATGCGTTGCGGCAGCCGCTGGTTCGGGACAAGCTCCTGGAAATGATCTCAGCGTCCCTGAAGTATGCCTTTGGGCGCAATGCGGAAGCCAACAGCGGCCGGCTGGGGAACGGACAGCTTGAGAAGCTAGCCGAGGTGTCCATCTCGGCCTGCGTCTGCATGTCCGAGGAGGACTTCCTCTGGGACGAGGTGTTCAACTGGTACGAGGAAAGTGGTTCCCCGGGGATCTTCCTGGATGCGCTCGAACCGTATATCGTGGAGGGAACCGTCCGGTCCCTCCCTCCGACGGCGGTCAAAGCACTCATCAACCACTTTGCGACGAACCACAGTGCCAGCCGACTGGAAGAGATCATCTGTCTGCTGGACACCGCCACGATGGACATTGACCAAACGACTACGTTGTGTAAGCACCACAACTTGTACGACGCATTCATCTACGTTTGGAACCGCTGCCTGGGCGACTACGTGGGCCCATTGCAGGAGCTCTTGCAGCTCATTCCCACCCCCGAGGCGCTCGTCAACGGGGAGTCGGTGGAGGGGCTCAAGCGGTACACCAATGCGATGAAGATGTTCCCCTATCTCTCCTTCACCCTCACCGGCCGGATCTATCCGACGGGGGTTGACATGGATGACACCGAGGCGGCCCGCGCCAAGGCGACGCTGTATGATTATTTGTTTTCCGGAAAGCCCTCCGGCATCAAGCCCGGGGCGCAATCGCAACCCGGCGGGTCGTTCCCCGAACTCCAGGCTATGCTGCGATTCGACCCGTCGAGCTTTATGAGCATGATGAATGAGGCGTTCGAGGACAGTTTTCTGAACGAGCAGGACCTCGACGAGACCCCGTTCCGGGGGGTGTCCATCAATCGACAATATTTGATTAGCATTCTGTTACAGGTCATGACCCAGTCCTTCGATGCATCCGATACGATATACCTAGACATGTTCCTTGCACGCAACCTTCCCAAATACCCTCAATATATTCTTCTTTCTGGCAGCACTCTGCACCAGGTCTTGGAGCGGCTGTGCCGATACCCTAGCCTGGACATGGCGGACGACTGCGAGCTGAGCGCGGAATACCTGCTATCCTTCTACCATCCCCCCAACGTCCAGGCCATGATCCCGCTCTACAAGGAAGCGCGCTTTTTCCGCATCTTGAAGTCCACCTATCGTTCTGAAAAGCAGTATCCGGAGCTGATATTGACGTACCTCGAAGACCCGAATGAGCAGGATGCCATCTTCACATGCCTACAAGACTGCCTTCGTCCGGGCTCGGACCTGGGTAAGAAGCAGCGGCGTGATGTCGTCGACGTGATCAAAGAGCATGCTGGCCAGCTGGCCGCGATCGATGTAGAGAAGGCCGGCCAGACGATGCACGGGTTCGCTCCGGAGACCCACGAGACCTTCCTCAAGGTGTTGCAAGAAGACCCCTACCGGCAGTATCAGTACTTGGCCGTGGTGGTTGGTGTCTCCGTCCAGTCCGTGGCGGACGGCCGCCAGGCCAAGCCCATCGAGAACTGGATGGTCGAACGGTACGTGCAGCTGCTCTGCAAATATAACCCCTCCCGCGTGGCCGACTTTGTCGATGATCTACGAGTCGGGGACGTTCGGTTGGAGGAGCTCCTGCCCTCGATGGAGGAGAGTGGAGTCGTGGACGCCGCTGTGATCCTGCTGGCTCGACAAGGTCAAGTCCGGGGCGCGATGGACCGGCTCATTGCCCATCTGGGGACCCTCGGATCGGGCCTGGTGGGCATCCTGCAAAACATGCACGACAGCCCGGACTCGGCCAGTACGACGGAGGCCATTGACCACCTCGTCGAGTCCCTGGACAAGTATACCCGGGTGGGAACCTGGCTTTGCCAGGGCCAGAGCAAGACGGCCAAGAACTCACGCGCCGTGGACCGGAATGGCACCAGCAAGGGTGCTCTTGAGCAACCTCTCTCGTTCGACGAAAGCCTGTGGCTCGACTTGATCGAGGCCGTCGTGCGGACGGCCAGCAGCGTGTTTGGGCTGGTGCAGAAAGGGCCTGCTGAGATCCCGGTGACCCCGGGGACGGGCCAGTTGGTGTCGGCCTTCCGCGCTCTGGTGCAGCAGGTGTTCACGTCGTTGCTCGCCAGCACGGTGCGGGTGGGGGGATCGTCGAGCAGCGAGCGGAGTGACGTCGGTTTCCTGCGGATTCTGCGCGCATTCCTCACGCGAGCAGCTAGCTGGTCGCCGTCGCTCCTGGAACTGCGGGCGGTGCTGGGGTCGATCTTCTCGGCGTACACGTACGAGAAGTCGCTGCTGGCGCTGGCCAACGGCATGCTGGACCGGGATCTGTTTGTGCATGTGGACGAGGTGACGCGGCTACGGCAGCGGGGATGGCGACCACGGGGGCAGCTGTGCGAGATCTGCCGGCAGCGCATCTGGGGCCCTGGGGTTGGCCCCCAGTTCTGGCAGTTGTGGGAGCAGAAGCAGGCGGAGAGCCACGAGCAGCGTCTGCAACGGCGAGTGCAGGAGCAAAATGACCCGGCGACGGCGCGGGGGAAGGGCAAGGCAGCCGATGCAGGTCAGGCGCGCGCTCTGCTGGATGGGCATGCGGCGCCGGGCGATGGGGTGGTTGCGAATGGGGAGGGGGCGGCCGGGCCTGGCGGACCGGTCGTGGTGTTCTCCTGTCGCCATCTCTACCATCGGCGGTGTCTCCTGGAAGTGGACTCGTCGCGTGCGGGCGGACGTCCGGGGCATCAGCCGCCCCAGCACTTCCCGGGACGAGGAGGATCGGAGTGGGAGGAGTTGATGTGCCCTATCTGTCCTGTACATAATGAGCCGGCGCTGGCAGCGTGATGACCTGATTGTTTCTAATAGCATTACTCAATTCTCTTTCTCATGACGATCGGCTGACCGCCGGGGCAATCTCCCGACACCTGTCAGACAGTCTCAGGGGGGGAGATGAGGGAGGTCGTAAATTAGACATGAAGAGAGCAACATTCCTGGCCTGCAAGCGGCGGGGTCAGTCAGCTGCCGAAAAGCTGACGGGCGCTTGCCTCCGGGTCGTGATTGGGCGGCTGCGTCGCCGCGTGGTCTGCCCTAATTGTCCTAATGCGGGCAGCCCGATCCTTCCAATCTGGCCAATTCTGACTAGAATTACCAGGAAGAGCAGGAGCGGGAGTATCGTTTAGACGCCCGCTGGCCACTGGCCAACATAATCCATTGTCCCCCGCCTGGTCCCCCCCCCCCAGGCACCCATGGAATGAGCCCGATCCCTCCGATCGTGCCTGTCACTAGCGGATATCCTACGCTGCCCGTTTCCGTGGCCTGCACGCAACTCGGCAATAACGGCCTCACATCCGCATGGATGGCCATCCACGGCGTCCGACTGGTCTCGCGCTCAGGTCCGGTGGGCTCATCATGGTGGGCGCCACCTTCACTAGTGCTAAGCTTGACCGACCCCCTGTCTGTGTCTGTGCCGTCTCTGCAGCCTGGCATCTCCTCCCGTACGCGCCTATATAAACCTACCTGTTCACGGCCATGGCTCGACGAATTCAGACACCAGTCGTCGTCCATCAACATTCCTTTACTCAACGTCGTACGCCGCACGGCGCAACTGTCTCCTCCGTTCCTTTGAGTCTCGCGCCCGAGGCTAGTTCTACTACTACGTTTGTCCACTCCTTCACGGATTCGTTGCGGAGGTATAAGTCTAGCTGGTCTACGCCTCCATCGTTCCTTTCACAATTACAAGAATCATCAGCACCATGCGCACTACCGCGACTCTCCTTTCGGCCGTCGGCCTCACGGCGCAGCTCAGTACTGCTGCCTACACCTTGCAGGATGACTACTCACTCTCTTCATTCTTCGATCGCTTCACATTCTACACCGGCACCGACCCCACTGCCGGCTTCGTCGACTATGTCGATGAGACGACCGCGGAGGCCAACGGTCTGGTCAATACCTCCAGCAGCTCCGTGTACATGGGCGTGGACCATACCAATGTGGCCAGCAGCAGTGGCCGCCAAAGTGTGCGCATTGCCAGTGACACCACCTATACCCATGGCCTCTTCATTCTCGACCTTGCCCATATGCCTGGTGGCATTTGTGGCACCTGGCCTGCCTTGTAAGCCCTTCCTCGTTTTTTTTTTTTTTGAGTCACAGTCTAACATGACATTGAATCCAGCTGGCTCCTCGGCTCCGACTGGCCGAACAATGGCGAAATCGACATCATCGAGGGCGTCAACCAGCAAACCACCAACGACATGACCCTCCACACCAGCGACGGCTGCACCATCAACAACTCGGGTTTCACCGGCACCCTGACCACCGACAACTGCTATGTGGACGCTGCCGGCCAATCCAGCAACGCGGGCTGCGGCATCACCGACCCGTCGACCGAGTCCTACGGCACCGGCTTCAACGCCAATGGCGGCGGTGTCTTTGCCACCGAATGGACCTCCTCCGCCATCAGCATCTACTTCTTCCCCCGGGGCAGCATTCCCTCCGATATCGCGACTGGCAGTCCTGATCCGTCCACCTGGGGAACCCCGGTCGCTTCCTTCGCCGGTAGCTGTGACATTGATGAGCATTTTACCGGAATGCAAATTGTACGCCCCATCGCCTCCTCCATTGCCCCAATACGTCTCTCCAAGCACAATGCTAACAATGATCATATAGATCTTCGACACCACCTTCTGCGGCGACTGGGCCGGCAACGTCTGGAGCAGCGGTAGCTGCGCCTCCGCCGCCAGCACCTGCAGCGATTACGTCGCCAACAACCCTTCCGCGTTCACGGACGCGTACTGGACCGTCAACTCCCTCCAGGTCTACCAGGAGGATAGCTCCTCGACGACGGAGTCTGCCGCTGCTGCTGCTAGTTCTGCGGCTTCAAACATCACTATCTCCTCCCACAAGGGCCACCACGTTCCTAGCCCGTCGTTTGTGCGGAGGGCGAGAAGGGAGCTCCGGGAGCGGGGAATGGGGCTGCATGCGTGAGTGATGTTGGGTTGATGGGGTTGCTTAGAGAGATGAGTGTATAGGTGACACTGCATATTGAATATTTGGTACATGTCTGGTTGGGTTGTGTATATACCGGGGGTATATATGTCTCTCGTTTGGTACTTTGATTTGATTCCAGTTTTTGGGTGGGCTGACTGGGTGAATATGGAGGAAGGAGGAATACCGTCAGGTATTGATAGGTAAGGTATCGGTCGTTATTATACCCATCGCTCGTTTGAGGAAGCAGAGCTAGAAGAAGAATTACAGTTGGTTGTTTGTTTTTTTGTTGAACCTGAGAAACTCGTGTATCTTTCACCCCAGATTTCAGGTATCAGGTATCATTGTTCAAGCATGTGTGAGTAGGTAAGTTATATCTTGTATCAATGGGAATGAATTCTTCGAGCCCAAATAAATGCGAAGAATGAATCCAATGAAATTTACAATTCATTCAAAGAAAAAAGAGGAAGAAAGAGAGAGAGAGAGAGAGAGAGAGAAGTAGAAGATAGAAAGAACCAAATAGAGACAGGATTAGATATAATATCCCAATGGCAAATTGATTTCATCGAGATTCATACTACTGCGCGGAACTTGCTCACCCGAGCCTAGGTTGGGACGTCCGGATTTCTTCCATGCTAGCATTGTCCCATTGTCTATCGCTCTACAGCACTGTGATACATCAGATGCCCGTCCAATTGGATAGGCAGGAACAGCCATCGGAAGGTAAGACAAGGGGGTCCAGATCACCTGTCACCGCCCCGCCCCGCCCCCTTCCCTCCTATGGAGCACATCCCCCTCCTGCTACCCTTCCGGGTCATTACTGGCCTGGAATAGAATAGAATGAAACCATGAATTTCAACGACATCACTCTCGCCCAACATGAAGCCCTCAAAAATGAATGGATCGCATTATGCGCAACCTCCTCCCAAGGCATCTGCGACTTAGCCAGCAGGTATCGAGGGCGCGACGATTGTTTACTCCGCTCCATGCACTGTGGGTCCTTCAACTTCAGCTTCCGCCTTCATTGGGATGACGGTGAGCCAGACTGGCTGATCCGGTTTCCCTTATCAGGAAAGTCCATGTTCATGGATGAGAAGGTCCGAAATGAAGCGGTTTTGATGAAGTACATCGCGGAGAAGACGCGGATCCCGGTCCCGCGGGTCATTGGCTACGGAACCGCAGAGGAGAATCCGACCGGACTAGGCCCGTATCTGATCATGACCTGGGTGGAAGGGAAGAAGATGTCGGATGTCCTCCGCATGGGTGGTGATATACCGGAAAAAGAGGATGCCCTGAACCCGGATATTGACCCGCAAATGCTGAAGATCCTGTATGGAGAAATGGCTGAGATCTTGCTCGAGCTCTGGAGTCTGGACTTCGATTCGATCGGAAGTGTCTGCGAGGAGCAGCAGCAGCAGCAGCAATCAAGAGTTGTGATCGGTAGCAGGCCGTTGACTCTGGAGAGCAACGAATTGATCAGGACCTGCGGCCTGGAAGATTGTACCCCCCAGAGAATCTTCCGTAGCTCCGTGGAGTATATACATTCCCTCTTGGCGTTGCAAGACACTCACCTCCAGAGCCAGCGGAATAGTGTCTATGATACGACGGACTGTCGCGAGAAATACGCCTGTCGCAGCTCGATGAAGGCTGTCGCTCTCCAGTTTGTTTCGGCTGCAGATAACTATGGCCCCTTCAAGCTCTTTGGCGACGATCTGTGTCCTGGAAATGTGCTGGTCGATGATTCCCTCCATGTGACCGGGGTCATTGACTGGGAGTTCTGCTATAGCGCGCCGGCTGACTTCGCAGGCAGTATCCCGTGGTGGCTGCTTCTAGAACGACCGCAGAAGATACTACATCGCCAAGGTCCCGACGCCTTTTTCCAAGCGTTCTTGCCCAGGGCCGAGTCTTTTTTAGAAACCTTGCAGCTCAAAGAGAAGGTCAAGGGACTCGACCTCGCTCCCGATCGGCTGTCAGTGCGGATGAGACGGTCTATCGAGACGAAAAGTGCGTGGTTCTATCTGGCTTGCCGAGCAGTGTCGTCCGTCGACCTCTTGTACTGGGATCTGCTAGATGAGTATTGTTGGGGTGAGGGACCCTCAGTCACCGACCGAGTACGTGCCTTGACTACAAACAACGGACTTCACAAGCATCGTGAGGATTTTGTCCGGTTGAAGATTGCACAACTGCAGGAGTATTGTAAAGAGCTGGGAGAAGAGACAGACGTAATCTATGAAGAAGAAGATCGAAACTGCCCTGCTGATGTGACGACAGCACCGGGAACATCCAATAAGAGTTCCCACGTGTTCACTGCACTTGAAGGGAAGAGTGGGAAGAACTTGGTCGCTGCGGCCGCTGTGGCCTGCGTGTTTGTTGTTGGCCTGACGTGGAGACGGTTTCGCTCATGAATACAACGCAAGTAATCAGTGGATATTCCACGTATTTACCGACTACTAGAGACAGGGGGGATAAAGGGAGAAGTAGAGATGTCACCTACCTAATACCTAGCAAACCCAAAAGGAAAGGAGAGAGAAATGTAACAGTATTCGAAACCAAGCCAGTGTATTTCCTACAACTACTCTCACTCATCATCAAACTCGGCATAAAGCCACGGATCCTGAAGCAAGTCCTTTGCGGTGCTTCGTTCTTCGGGGAGCCATTTGATCATTCTCTGTACGAAATCAATGAACATCCGCTTATCGTCATTGCGTAAATTGCATATGGTAACGCGTGAGGAACCAACTGGCCAAGATCCCGAGCGAGCCAGACCGTCGAGCTACTGCCGTAACCGAGTTTGGTTGCGAGTTGATACCGGTTATTCAGCACTTCCCCTAGGTGTGCGGGATAGAACCGTGCAGGGTCATAGTATGGCGTCGTTCACCGGAAGTTTGGGAGCGACTGCTGTGGACAATGGCCAAGGGCGATGCTTGAGGGCCCTGAGTGGGAGTATAAGTCGAGATCGGGAAGCTGCCATCTGGTATTCACAGGATGAGCATCAGGAAGAGACAGGAAGGAGTGCGGCATGGGATGCAGACGGTGATCACGTGCCCCCATCCGAACGATCCAGCATGCCTTTCTACTGATTCAAGGGCTCTGGGAGACTTGAGACGAAGTTTGTATTCTCATCAATGCAGGACAGGGTAGGACAGTTCCATCTTTGTTGATACTTTGAGGGTTGAATATTAAAGGAAGGTCAGGTCTTGATTGGATTACGTGACAGGCGTAAACGGCATATTTCATTATACATCTGTGGGTAGGACTAGCTCACACTGAACTATAGTCGATACCCCAGCACATCTCGCTGGTCATCGGTTAATCGTCCCCATTCAAGCAGTAATCGGAAAAAGTAGATCTCCATGTCTTCCTTGCGGAGGGCCTGCTGGGCCCATTTGCGCCCCTCCTCCGCGATCCATGTGCCTTCAATGTCGTGCGGGGGGATGCTGACTGTTCGGGGGATTCCATCTACGGTGAGGGTGGTGTCTACGCCCGCGAAATATGCTAGTGTGCTCCAGAGACCGTGGAGTCGGAGGTCGATCGGCACAAAGTGCAGCCATGGGGTGATGCGCGAGTCAAACCACTGTCGGAACAGGCCCGTCTTGAACGGAAGACTGTGGCTTTGCATGAAGGGTAGGAATCGACCGCTAAAGCCTGCGCCGTCGGAGTCGAAGAGGTATCGGTGTTGCCAGTGGGATTGGAAGTCGACCCGGGATGCCGGGCTGAGTTCTTCGCGCTGGTTGTCGCAGTCCGGTTGGCGGCAGCGGACAATCGGGTCGATGACATTGACGGCCGTGTCGAGGTGCAGAATGTCGGACGGGGCGCGGCCGTCGAGGATTTCGTAGTGGTAGGTGTCGGTCTCGTTCGTCGGAAGGAAAACTGAGACCTTGTTCAAGGTGTTGTTGTTCACGAGGTGGGCGAGACGCTGGCGCGGCATGCCTCTCCATTCGCCGTGCTGGCTGGTTCCCTCAGAGGTGCTACCGATCCAGAAGAGGGTGTTGGCCTTCTCGGTATAGTTTGTGTCCGGGTTTTCGGGCGAGGGCTTGTATTCGATCTTGTCGACGTAATTCCACGGGCTAGGAAAGATGATGTCGTTGAAGCCCGCAATTATACTCTGACTGAAGACGGGGGTCAAGTCTTGCGTGACTTTGAACGAGGCAGGGGAGAGGAAGAACCCGTGCAGTGACGCGAGGTCTGGCTGGTGGCAGATGTCGGTGGCAGCAGCCCAGTCGGACGGAAAACCTCCCAAGGAGTGAGGGCGAACGCAGCTGAGGCATACATGTCGACGGTCCCAGATGCGCTGGGAGCGGGCTTTCGAGGATCGCGGACAGGTGGAGCCCACATAGCGATCAAATATGTGTTTGAAGGAGTTGTCGACAAAGGGTGTCTCCTTTGTCTGATCGGCGGGCTCGATCGGACCCCATTGGTCACCGCGGTCAGTCGACCACTCGGTCTGGATACTGTCCTCAGGGGGTAAGCCGGAAGACTTCGCTTGGTGGCGCAGGGCCGATATCTTCTCCCAGGGAACCGCAACCCGAGGCTCATCGTTCAGATTGAAAGCGAGGTCCATGTCGGGAAGGTGTTCGGAGAATTTCTCGATCATTTTGGCGGCACTAATCACCATCCACGCATGGGTTGGCTTGATGCCCTCCTGGACTCGAGCTTTGCCGTTGCGAATACTGATCGCACCGATCTCGTTGTAAGGGTTCGTGGCCAGCTGCTGCGTTGACTCCCGGATCTGCGCCGGTGGCACGGCACGGAAGGGCAGGAGGTCCGTGTAGATTTGGTCGAACTCGTCGATGACCAAGGAAGATCGGCTGACAGCATATTCGTACCATTTATCAAAGTTCCTGATTCGAGTCAGCCCCGGCTAGATGTATGATATTGATGACGCAACGCACGGCGGTGGATGTTGGTTATATTGCGCTCGGTAATGCCTGACAGCATCGACAAGGCCCTGGCTACTGTTGGCCCGCGCAAACCATTGATCGTGATGCTGTCTGCCCTCGTACACAAGCAGATCGATAGGATGCAGATGGGCCGCGCTATGTTGTTGAACGACCAGAATGAGACCGATTCCAGATAGTACAGCGAACACAATTCGCATGGCGAGGTTGAACCGGTATAGGAATTGCGGTTCCTCCTCTGAAGCCGTTCGAGCATAAAGAAACGACAAGCCCCCCATGAAACTGAAAAAGAGAGCTGCGAAAGCGCGGGAGGCGAGGATCAATGGGAATGGTTGCTGTCCGTTGAACAGAGCCGACGCCCATGTAAAGTAGACAGAGATGAAACCCGCCAGCACAGCCAATCCAGCAATACCATAATACGGGATCTAAACAGTCAGAACTTGCCCAAATGGATGGTTTAGGAACCTACCAATTGAGATGCCGACACGATCACACATGCCACCAGCACCCCTTGGCCCACAGCACTATGCAGATATTGAGCGCTGACGAAGCCATCCTCGTTGTGGGAGCTAGCTGCAAGAGCGACCAGAATGATTGTATAGAACACAGCAACACCCTTTTCACGGTTAGATCAGATCAAGATCCTTATTGTATAGACGTACCAGTAGACTGTAGGCCCAGGAAACCACACCCTGTTTCCTTCGGTTGTCCCCCGATCGGACTCCTTCGGTGGCTAATTCAGCCGCACCTATCAAAATCAAAGAGTCAAGAATGACAGCCAGGGTCTTGAAAGCGCGCAGGTGTGTAGATTGGCCCGATGTGGTGGGGCAGATGTAAGTGGACTGCAGGCCATCTCCGAAAGTGGTGGTAATGTAGCCGCTTGTCAGGAGAAAGAATGCCGGTATGACATATCTCCAGCGGCTCCGAAAGAGGAACGAATGCACGCGACTAGCAAAGGTGACTATCGCACGGAGGTGCACGTTCTGTGGGGATTCAGGAGCGGTCCATCTCTGAATCGGTCGGCTGCGTTGGTTTCGCCAGTAATCGTAAAGGGCCAGGAAGAAGGGGATTGCATACTGGACCGGAGAATCTGGTTAGCGCTGTCAGGTGCATATCGGTCCATTGTACACTTACGGCAGATCCGTCAGGCGCGCATTCGATTTTGACAGTTATCTCGCGATACAAGGCAATCCGTATGCAACCGAGCAGCGAAAGCAGCCCTATTTTGACCCATCGCGCCGAGTTGCGCGGGCGGGTGAGAGTGAGACTGCTGTTGCTGTCCAAGCTGACCGGCGAGAATGGTTCTTCGAGGGATTGATTCTGTTCGGTGAGTGGGATGGCGGAATATTTCGGTGTAGAAGACGCGATCTTCGGCATGCGATGTACGAATCGGCTCACTATCAACAGAGACGTCCCCGCAAAGAAGCAGGCCAATGCGGCCGAGGTGAGAGGATGATCTAGAAGGACATGTATTAGCCACACGTGGAATTGTTCCGATCCTGCCTTGGCTGTTGACTTCGTGAGCTTACCAAAAGCGAAAGTGGTATTGTACGATGTTGAGAGAAATGTGCAGCTTAAGAGGAACACCCTGCGCGTGTCAGAACCAACAGTGCCTATACTCCCGGATCGGATCGACTCACCCCACTGAGGCCTTGAGGCCCGTCTCAGCGGAAAAGTGTACCATATCGATCAAAGAATGTTTATTGTATGCCTGCAGAGCTAGTAGCCATTATCGGATGGACGTCATTCGCATGGTGCAGCGCACAGGTATCCCGGCGCAAGAAGAAAGATCCGCAAGGGAGCCGGCAACTTGGGTGCCTGGATGGGATTCCGCCGGTGGAGACGTCAACGGTCAGCCCAGGGGCACCAGGGGAAACGGTGAACTCCGTAGTCCGTACGTTCTGTGTGAAAACCAAAAAGAATGCGCGACCGGACTGGGGGGGCTGGACAAGACAAAGGACAACAACAAAAGGCCGCCAGGATCATCTAGCGAGTTGCGACACTGGGCCAGGATTGCCCGGATTGCGTCAACGAAGGGGTCTGGCCCACGGCTCGCGCCCCTCGGGGGCCATCTTCATTCCACAGACGGGATGCCTGCCCGGGGAGCTTGGGCCGCCCGTCTGCACTACCCATCCCGACCGGCGAGCACGTCAGCAGCGATCATGGTACTATCAAATGAAATGCGATTGTCGGGCTGATAGCCTGTCAACTGTCAAGCGGGCCATCTGACCATCCACCATTTGGCCTAGAATGAGTGGCCAGGGACCGTGGAGTCGGGAGAAAGGCTGAAAGGCATGAATGGCAGGCAGGGTGGCAGATGAACTAGCGTCAGGGTCCAAGCATCGATCTGCAGGCTGTCCGCCAGCTCCCCGTTGATCCCCCCCCGGTTCAGGCAGCCTCCCCTCCCGTGTGCCCCTCCAGATGGCATCATCACCTTGAAGTCCTTGGAACAGGGAAGCCATGTCACCCAGTCAACATCGACATGTCTGGGTGGTCTGGTGGGCGGTATCAAAGCAGTCGGGAACGTGGAGAACTCCGTGGGGACAGCCTGAGACAGCTGGCTCTAATTTGGGAATGGCGCGTTATGGAGAGTGCCAATCGGGATGCCTTGTCAGTCCTGTCTACGCAACACCGCACTACTTATGCACGAGTCGGCTTTCTGTTACTATCTATACTCTCTTAACGGGCTCGATCGGAAATTAAAGAAGAGAAAATAAGCAAAAGGAAAAACTGGAAAACATTTGCATGTGAACGATTGCCTTATCTACCGGGCTGGGTTTGGTGCGGCGCACTCGCGAATATTGACATCAAATCAGGAACCACATAAGACATTCGATACTCCTTACAGTCGTAGTTCCATAAACTAAGGTATATCCGATGTAACCTCAATTTCGCTTCATTTATTATGATCACGTGATGAAGCGCGATCAGGAACCAGCCTGCTGATGCCTCAGGCTTCAAAGGCGGTGCCCATTCCGGAAGCGGTCACCAGAGGCAGTTCTATCTCCGCGATAACTTTTTTTTTGTCGGCGTCGCAGCATCGCAAAGCCATCGGCAGTGTGAGTCTCAGTTTCCTACCTGGCCACCTGTTTCTTTCATCTATCAAGGACCTGATCCTTTTCCCCCGGATCGGTGATTGCGTGGTGTCCTGTAGGACTACTGCGACCCTGTAATTCGTGGTCCCCGCCGCCGTCAACAAATTTTCGTTGCGGGCCATCCAGACTATCGTCCGAGTCGTCCCCTCTCCAGGGTCACAGGAAACACCCTGAGCAAAATGCCCCGCAAAGCTATCGACGCCCGTATCCCCGCCCTCATCCGCAATGGCGTGCAGGAAAAGAAGCGTAGCTTCTTCGTCGTCGTCGGCGACCGCGCCAAGGATGTCATCGTCAACCTGCACTACATCATGTCGAGCGTCGACGTCAAGCAGAACAAGTCCGTTCTGTGGGCCTACAAGAAAGATCTGCTGGGATTCACGAGTCACCGGAAGAAGCGCGAGGCGAAGATCAAGAAGGAGGTGAAGCGCGGCATCAGAGAACCGAACCAGGAGGATCCCTTCGAGCTGTTCATCACCCTCAACCAAATCCGTTATGTCTACTACAAGGAGACGGAGAAGATTCTCGGTAACACCTACGGCATGTGCGTGCTCCAAGACTTCGAAGCCATGACCCCGAACCTGCTCGCCCGGACCATCGAGACCGTCGAAGGAGGTGGTATCGTCCTGCTGCTGTTGAAGGGTATGAACAGCTTGAAGCAGCTGTACACCTTGTCGATGGATATCCACTCCAGATACCGCACCGAAGCCCACGACGATGTCACCGCCAGATTCAACGAGCGTTTCATCCTGTCCCTCGGTAGCTGCGACTCCTGCTTGGTCGTGGATGACGAACTGAACGTCCTGCCCATTTCCGGAGGAAAGAACGTGAAGCCGCTGCCTCCCCCCGAGTCGACCGATGAGACCACCTCTGGCACAAAGAAGGAGCTGAAGGAGATCAAGGAGAGCTTGGCCGAGTCCCAGCCCGTGGGGCCTTTGATCAGCCTGGCTCGCACGGTCGATCAGGCGAAGGCTCTCCTTACTTTTGTTGACGCGATCGCCGAGAAGACGCTGAGAAGCACCGTCGCTTTGACGGCTGCCAGAGGTCGCGGTAAGTCCGCGGCTCTTGGTGTCGCCATCGCGGCCGCCGTGGCGCACGGTTACAGCAACATCTTCATCACCTCTCCCAGCCCCGAGAACTTGAAGACACTCTTCGAATTCGTGTTCAAGGGTTTCGATGCCCTGGGCTACCTCGACCATGTCGACTACACCATCCTTCAATCGACCAACCCTGACTTCAACAAGGCCATCGTCCGTGTTAACATCCATCGCCAGCACCGTCAGACGATCCAGTACATCCAACCCCAGGATGCCCATGTCCTGGGTCAGGCCGAGCTGCTGGTCATTGATGAAGCCGCCGCCATCCCTCTGCCTCTGGTCCGCAAGCTGATGGGACCGTACCTGGTCTTCATGGCGTCTACCATCAACGGTTACGAAGGAACGGGCCGTTCCCTCTCCCTGAAGCTGATCCAGCAGCTTCGTGAGCAGTCTAGGGGAGGCGTCAAGCCCAGCGGTCAGGAGGACATCGACGTCGCTGATCGTGCCACGGGCAAGGCAGCCAAGAACGCCGACAAGAGCCTTGGCGGCCGGTCCCTGAGAGAGATCACCCTCTCTGAACCCATCAGATACGCCCCCGGTGACTCCGTCGAGAAGTGGTTGAACAAGGTCCTTTGTCTGGACGCAACCTTGCCCAAGTCTCGCATGAACACCCAGGGCACCCCTCACCCGTCGCAGTGCCAATTGCTCCAGGTCAACCGTGATACCCTGTTCTCCTTCCACCCTGTTTCCGAAAAGTTCCTTCAGCAGATGATGGCTCTTTACGTTGCCAGTCATTACAAGAATACCCCTAATGATCTTCAGCTTATGAGCGATGCGCCCGCACATCAACTGTTCGTTCTGGTTCCTCCGATTGACGAAGAAGCCACCAAGCTCCCTGAGCCTCTCTGTGTCATCCAGGTGGCGCTGGAAGGTCGCATCAGCAGACAGAGCGTTCTCAACAGTCTGAGCCGCGGTCAGCGGGCGGGTGGAGACCTGATCCCCTGGCTTGTCAGCCAGCAATACCAGGACGAGGACTTTGCCGGACTCTCGGGTGCTAGAATCGTCCGCATTGCCACGAACCCTGAGTACTTGAGCATGGGTTACGGATCTCGTGCTCTGGAGCTGCTGATTGACTTCTACGAGGGCAAGTTCACCAGTCTCTCGGAGGATATCCCCGAGCCTCAGGAGGAGATGGTCCGCGTGACCGATGAGGAGCTCACCAACTCCAACCTTCTGGATGACAATGTCAAGGTCCGGGACATTCACACCATGCCCCCGCTGTTCGGCAAGCTGTCGGAGCGTCGTCCAGATGCTCTCGACTACGTTGGTGTCAGCTTCGGTCTCACCCCGTCTCTCCACAAGTTCTGGAAGCGCTCTTCCTTCTCTCCCGTCTACCTCCGCCAGACCCCCAACGACCTGACCGGCGAGCACTCCTGCGTGATGCTGCGCACCCTCACTGCCGGCTCCAACGACGCCGGCTGGCTGGGTGCCTTCTCCCGGGACTTCCACAAGCGTTTCGGTTCCTTGCTGTCCTATCAGTTCCGCGAGTTCCCCTCCGTGCTGTCTCTCAGCATCTGCGAGTCCGCCAACGCCGGCGCGAAACTCGACACGGCCTACTCCCAGGCCCTCCTGACCAAGTCCGACCTCGACGCCGCCTTCTCTCCCTTCGACCTGAAGCGTCTTGACAGCTACGCCAACAACCTCCTCGACTACCACGTCATCCTCGACATGGTCCCCATCATCGCCGAGTACTACTTCTCCGGCCGCCTCAGCGGCAAGGTCAGCCTGTCGGGCGTGCAGCAGTCCATCCTCCTCGCCATCGGTCTGCAGCGCAAGAACCTCGACGCCCTGGAGAAGGAACTCAACCTCCCCTCGTCCCAGCTCCTGGCCATGTTCCTCAAGATCATCCGCAAGGTGTCCACCCACTTCCGCAACCTCGTCGAAGGCGCCGTTGCCGAGACCATGCCCGCCGAGAAAGCCCCCACCGCTCAGGTCATCACCGAAGCCCACGACGAAGTCGTCGACGAGCGCTTCAAGCCCCTTGAGACCGGGCTGGACGAGGAACTCCGCGAGGGTGGTCAGCAAGTAGACGCGGAGCTTCGGGAGAAGCAGCGCGCCCTGATCGATGCCCTCCCTCTCGACAAGTAAGCCACCCCTTCCCTTCTTACCTCTGAACTCCATCCCAAAAACCAGTTCACCCGAATGAACAATAACTGATTTACAGCCTCCAGATACGAGATCAAAAACGGTAGCGCAGGATGGGAAGACGCCGAGAAGCAGATCCGCAGCGGCGGCGCCTCGACCGTCAGCATCAAATCGAACAAGCAAACCAAGCGCAAGAAGGGCGAGTCGGCCCGCGAGATCTACGACCAGGAGGTGGATTCTAAGCGCCAGAAGATCATCAAGAAGGGAACTGAGGGAAAGAAGAGAAAGCATTAGCATGCTACATCCTACCTCCTTCTCTTTTTCCCTACGTATAACATTCTCATCTTCTTCTTCATTTCTTGCATTATTCAGATGGTGTTCTTAGGACTTGAATTTCTTTTTCTCTTTCACATTTCCTCTTTTATCTTTACCCCTCCTGCTTGGTGCATATTGAGTTGTCTGAATGATATGGCTATGACTGGCACAAGGGTATCTATCATGTCTGTATATATGTCAGTTTGGTTTGAAAGAAAAGTTTTCTTACTATTCATTAGACATAGTGTTCGTTGGAAATAATGATTCGATAGTTTATTTCAGGCTTTCTTTCCTTTCCTTGCTCTGATGTAAAGATCAAGTATTTTAGGCATACAGTAGTAAGTAATCTATCAAGTACCCGAAGTAAAATACAACCCAACTAGGGAGCAAGGAATGTTTCCAATCCGAATCCTAGTACTTGTAGTACTTGTTGGTCTCTACCTAAATAACAAAACACCTTGGCTAATAAAACTAACAACAACAACAAATCATGCACGCTACTCCGGCATAGTGGATAATTTACAATTCGTCGTGATCGGCCGCGGGCTGCTCCTCAACCTTCTCTTCGACAATGACACCCTCGGGCAACTTCTCCTTCTCGCCCTCACCGAGTCGTACGGCATCGATCCAGGCCTCGACCCGGTCCTGACCGTACTCGGCGCCTTCGGCGGAGTCGTATCTGCGCCACCAGCCGCGACGGCCGCTCAGAGCGATGATCTCGACGGAGGTTTGGTCTTCGGGAAGGCCGAGGGCAGCGCGAAGGGTCTGAGAGCCGCTGTTGATGGCGGGGACGCTGTAGAAGGGGAAGAGCTTGTGCCGGCGGACGGAGTATTTGTGAGAGATCTCGGAGAGGCTGAGAAGGGCGTCCTTGGCTGGGCTGGGGAGGTCTGCGTCCGGCTCAGTCGGTTCGGGGAGGAGGGCTAGAATGCAGGTGCCGGATTTGGGCAGCAGGCAGGCGGCTTCGAGGGCCTCTGCGGTGGGCAGGGTATCGATGGAGGGAGCTGGGATGGGGACGCTGGCGGGTTTGGCTTCCTTGGCGTCGTCGGGGACGATCTTCGGGTCGGGGGATTCGACGGGTTTCTGGGTATCGCGGGGGGTGGAGGATTTGGGGGACTTGGGAGCGGGGTCCGGGTTCGGAGCGGCGATTTGGCTGAGGAATTCGACCATGGGTGCTTTCTTCAGCTCGCCGTCGTAGACAATGGGGTCTTGGTCGCCTCCGGGGAGCAGGACGAGGGTAGGGAACTCGGTGATGCCGAATTTCTCGACGGCCTCGGACTCCTTGTTGCGGACTTGAGCGACGTGGATGGAGCCGAGGAAGTCAATGGCCAGGGCGCGAATGAGAGCGCTGGTGGTGCCTTTCTCGGTGAAGAGGATGGCCTTGGGGGTTTCTTCCTCCTGCGCGAGCCAGGTGTCCAGGTCCTTGTCCGTGGCGCGCTTCACGTGGTTGGGGATTCGGTCGACGACGGCTTCGACGATGGCTTTGGTGCTGCGAGCGCCTTTGTAGTCTTCGACGCGGGGCTTGCCGGGCTTCTTGCCGGGAGTGACGATCTTGAGGGTCGGGAAGCCCTGGACGCCCATGCGGCCGCAGAAGGGTTTGTTCTCATCCTCATCGCAGTTCACGGCCGCGACCTTGGCCAGTCCCTCGAGGTTCTTGGCGGCTTTTTCGTAGGCGGGTTTGAGGTTCTGGCAATGACCGCACCAGGGCGCGTAGAATCTGGAGGGGGCGGGGTTTAGGAATGGGAGCTTATCTGGAGGGTTGGTCGGGTGCTTACTCTACGATCTGGAGCTGGTTAGTAGGGCTGGTGAGTGATAGGGATGATGTGGAAGAGCTCTACTTACCGAAGTGTGGTTGGAGTTGGCGATCAGCTGGTCATAATTCTTGTGGTTGACCTGCAGGACCGGGGATTTCTTGGTATACAATCCATCAGCGTTGACGGGCAGGGCCGCCAGAAGTGACGCGACGAGAACCAACGCAGAACTGGGCTGCAACATCATGGCGGAGGATGAAAATATGCGGGGCGATCAAAGAAGTGCTAATAGTAGCAATGCATCACGAGGAGGTAAGAAGAAGGAGAAAGGGTCAGCGAGAGAACAACGAGGGTAGAAGCAAGGTGTCCTGAAGCTCTTGGCATGTGACGCGAAGCTCTCACAGTCACGGCCGGCTGTTGGGTTCCGCCGCCATTGAATGCCTTCCGCCGCCAGAGTCCCGGCCCCCTCCACTCCCTTCCCCTCTCCATACTTTCCCTTCGCCCTGCATCTGGTGCCTGGATGGCCCCGGCAATCACCCGAGGAGCTTCCAGCAGGAGTTCCGTAGCTCCGACGGGCACGTGCTACCCCCATCCCTGCACCGTATATCTACTATCGCGAGCACTATCGATCTAGTGCTCGGAAGCTCACATCTTCCCCGCATTCCCCATGGCCCCGTCAGTCGGCATGTCGATGGCATCAGATTCTGAAGGCATGGGCATGTCCCTACTGCCGCAAGAGATCTTCTGGATGATTTTGAATCATCTGGGTCCCAAGGATATCATCCGTTGCCGTCGAGTCTCCAAGGCCTGGAACACGGCCTTTCGAAGCGCAGCCAACCTGACCCCGCGGTTGAAGAAACTCTTCCCTTTGGCCAGAGAGGTGCGAGAACTGGAGCTCAATCACAATGCTGGCATTGATATGGCAGACGATGATGATCACGCGTGTACGCTCTTCGATCAGGTCGCCTCGAGGTACGACCACCTCAGCCGCGCAAAGCCCAAGTCGATCCACAGATACAAGCTCTGCGATGACTTTGGCCTCTCAGGCGAGAGGGAGTGGTTTCCCGTCCAGCCCTGGGAGAATCACGCCAGCCATCTTATGCAGCGGGTAGATCGTACCTTCGACGAGACATTCTGGTCTTACGAAGATGGGCTCGTGGTGTACCCCAGTGCGGATCATTCATGCCTCGTTCTGATGGACTTTGATACCGACAGACGATTCATGGTCCCCTTCATCATCACCGGAAAAGTAATTCGCAGAATTCGTCTACAGAAGAGGGTTCTTGTCGTCGAATGGGCAGAGCCGAAGGCCTTCCACTGGCTCAATGACAGCGACGGTGTCCATCGGCACTTCGCTTCCTCATTCGATGTCACTAAAGCAACCAGTGGCTGGAGTGTGACATTCCGGAATGAATGGAAGATCATGTTCCTGGGCCATCCTCTCAGCGAGCGAGATCGATTCTACTCCACACACAGCCAGACACACTACGCCATCTACATCTGGCAGCCGAACCGCAGCCTCTACACCGCAGACGACGATGCACCAATCGAGTCATTGTCAGTCTGGGACATCTCCAAGCCATCCTCCTATCGCCCTTCTCTTGACCCCACAGGTCGCCTGCGAGTAGACTCGGAAGACCAAGGCCCAGCCATAGTCTCTCGCTTCGGCTTCCGAGAACTCGGCTTCTACTCCGTTCGACAGCGAGGCCTCCCAGCCGTGCAATCCCTCAACATCACCGACGACGACCAGTCTCTCGAAATCGTCGAAGCCGAATGCACCGGCCCCATGAGCACCCTCGTTGGCCCCGCCGCATGGACATCCGAGGTCCAAGTCACCACCATCCCCTTAATCGGCGAGGGACCCTGCTGGCGCCGAGACGTCGACTTCGCACTCCCTCCCTATCGCGGAAACTGTAGCTTACAGACAACCCCTATCACATTTGCCGTCTGCGACGAACGCTGGTACGCCATCATCTCCGAAACCTATGATGACAAAGCCCAGGTAGGATTCTGTCTGCATCTGAGTCCGAGATTATGGCCCTTTGATTTAAACATGTTCTTGACCATCCGTACACCGTCGTCGTTTATCTCGCTGAAACAGATGAATATCTATGAGCTCACCGGGAAGGGGAAGATCTGTGGGAATGAAAACTACATCATTGGCGAGAATGCCAATCATGAACTTATTGTCTATAGATTCGATCGATGAGGGAAATTGTCGCGAGGGCTGTCATATTTATTACAAAGCCGACGGTGTCCTAGACAGCCACATAATGAATTATGCCATATCCTCAAAGAAAGATGAGCTGAACGCTGCATATCTCCAGTACCTGTAAAGCGTAATAAAATACAACCCTCGTAATAGCTGCAACCACATCGTGGCGGAAGAAACAACGCTGTCAGTTCTGAACTCGATAGAATCAATTAATAACCCCGACAGCCAACGCATCAGACCAAATTGAAAGCATGGAGCCAACTGAAGTACGCTACCGGACGCAGCAACCACTGAACTTACATCCCACGCACGCCTCAATCCCACATCCCGGACAAGTCAGCGTGTAAAGAGGCTTCCAGAGCTGGCATTCGTCACATGAGGTCCTGTTGAAGTGTTTCTCCCAACCGCCCAGGTGGAGGCAGTGTTGGGGTTCCTGTCCCTTCTGGAGCGGTTTCGCCTCGGGCACTGTAAGACGGATACTTTCAAGCCAGTCGCAGTAGATCTCGAGGATCATACCCGTCACTTCGGTTAGGAGGTCCTGGGCCGTGTAGCGACCGCTAGGGTGGGAGAGTTTGTTCTTGAAGTGCGGGATGAAGGGGGTTAGGTAGCCGGGAGCATGGTCGAGGTTGACTCCGGGGGTGGACCTCTTGGGGGTTTCGTCGGGGACGGCAAGGCAAGTGAGCTCTTCGCTGAAGTCGTAGAAGATGGCGGATTCGCCTCCGCTGGTACTGACGCCGGATTTTGTCTGGCTGTCGGGGGAGGACTGGCGGGCGGTTAGGTATTCGGTGCTTGACCGCTCGTCTGGGATGTTCTCTGCTGCGTCGTCGTAGGAGTAGAGATCGACGCAGTCGTTGTCTTCGTCGTCGTATTCGTCCGAGTCGTCGTAGTAGCTGTAGGAGTCGTGGTCGGAGTGGTAATATGTGTCGGGGGGTTGGTCGGTGGTGTTGGGGCCCAAAGGGTTCCCATTGTGATCTTCGTCGGAGTCGGAGTCGTTGTTCTCGTCCCTGTTGGTATTGTTAGGATTGACTTCCTTTTCATCATCGGTATCACTGTCGCTGTCATCATCTTCTTCTTTCACCCCATACCCTTCCCAATAAACGCCCTGGTCGTCTTCATCTTCAGAATAGAAGTCATCATGATACTCCCTCGGCACCGACAAGCCCGCCTCCTTGGACCGCCAACAGTGCCCAAAATCATATCCCCTCACGAAGTCCGTTAGAACCTCAGCCTCCTCGCCTTCGTCCTCTCCATCCCTCCTCAGCTTCTCCTCGTCCTTTTCGACATTGGCCCTCATCGCAGCCCTCCTCCTCTCCGCCTTCTCCTTCTCCTCCTGCTTTAGAAACTCCATAAACTCCTCATACGTCTGAGGTCTCTCTTCCCAATTAAACCCAATCCATTCCTCATATTCTTCTTCATCATAATCACCACCCTCCGCCCCCGCCTCCCCCTTCTCCTCAGAAGCAGCGGCAGCAGCGGCAGCGGCCGCCTCAGCAGCCTCCCTCATCTCCGCCTCTTTCCTCAACATCTCCCCGACACGAATTTCAACCTGCACACGAGCCTTCTCGGCCAACGAATCAGGTGAAAATGGGTCCATATGGACACTATTCCCGTAACTGTACATGTAACGTGCCCTAGGATCCCATGGGTTGTAGGGATACGCTTGTGTAGTGCGCCAGGTTGTTCCCTGCGGGTCGTTGTGATCGTTGTCGGGGAAATCCGAGAAGCGGTAGCCGTTGAGGCGAAGCTTGTCATCATGGGATTGTTTGAGGATGGGGTCTCGGAGGGTTTCGATGGCTTCCTGAATCTGGGGTTCAGGTTAAGCAAGTCGGTTTGTTTGGAGGGTAGGTGTTGGGGAGGAAATGAGCGATGTATGTGTGGGACTGGAGTGGAACTCACCTTCTGAAACTCGTCCGCAGAGGGATCATCACTGGTGGTGGTGGTGGTGGTGGTGGTTTTCTTATCTGGATGGTACTTCAACGCGAGCTTCTTGTACGCGCTGTTTATATCCTTTGCGCTCGCGTTGTGGGATATACCCAGAATAGCGTAGTAGTTTGTGATCCTGCGTGAGGGCATAGTGATGGAGTAGTGGTACTGAATTTGGGGTTGGAGAAATATATTGAGGATATGGAGGTAAGTGAGGGGAAGGTGAGAGGTATCACCATGGTTGAAATATGGAAGGAGGGGACTAGAGAAAGGTCCGGCCACCTGTCAGATAGAGAAACTGTGAATGAATTAACTCAACTGTACAATGAATGCAAACAAGTGATCATTTCTCCCGTCTGATATTCCCTGCGGAGCTTGTCTGGACAGAACAGGGCATTGCCATGACTGCCTGATAAAGGCAGTAGTGACGGCACCCATTCATTCACAATTGCTACAAGCTCTCACTGTTAGACTGACATTTGCATGAGACAAAGGAAAGATAGTGATAGATTTTACAGGCTGACAAGCATCTAGGTATTTATGAGTAAGTCTACACACATGGCGACTCCCCCCACATAAGCTTCAAAAAAGCTTTTACATGTCCGCACTGGCGGTGGCACCAGTGATAATTTCAACCAGTTCACCGGTAATGGCGGCTTGACGCTGACGGTTGTACAAGATCTGGAACCTGCAGGGCGTTAGTCTTTGCCTATAACAAAGCAGCGATGTACTCACTTGTTGATCATCTCACCAGCGTTCTTGGAGGCGTTCTACAGAAAAGGTTAGTCCGGTTCCAACTCGAATATTCGAGTGATACTTGCCTCCATGGCGTTACGACGAGCCTGCAATCACGTTAGCATTCGGTCAATTCCATTAAGGGCTCCAGAACTTACCGAGATCTCGCAAGCGTGTCCCTCAGCCAGAGCCCAGAACAGGTTGTTGGCAAGGGCGTACTCGCGGAGGTGGGCCAGAGTTCCATCATCGGTCTCGAAGGTGGAGAGGTTGGCTAAGGAATAGTTAGGCTTCTACTCGCAAGGCAAAAGCAAACGTGCATAACTCACGGGACTGGGTGATGGCCTCCTCGGAGTAGGCCTCAACGGTGCCGGCCTCGTAGGACTGAGCGTTAAGGAACTTGTTGTAGATGATCTTAACGCTGGCGTAGTCGGTGGGCAGCAGAGCGATCTGGTCGGCAATGGCCTGGGCATCGTTGAAGGTGGGAATGTCCTTGCAGACGTTGGCGAAGCTCAGGACGATGGCGTTGGGGTTGGAACGAGACAGCTGAGCCTTGGCCTTCTCACCCAGAACGACGATGTCGGCATCGGGGTACTCCTGGAGGATACGGCGAGTGGCCTTGCTGAGACCCGAGTGGATACCACCGCAAAGACCCTTGTCGGAACTGGCGACAACGAGCAGAGTCTTCTTGTCGCCGACGGCCTTGGTCTCGGCGTTCTCGAAAACGGTGTTGGAGGTCTGACCGTAGGCGCGAGAGTCCTCCATGGCCTTCTGGGCGCGGGTCAGGCGGGTGGAGGCGATGACCTTCATGGTGTTGGTGATCTTCTCGATGTTCTTGATGGACTTGAGACGGCCCTCGATTTCACGCAGAGTCGCGAAGTTGGCGGCATTGGGAGGGGCAGTGCTTCGAAAAAATCAGCCATTGAATCATCCCAACACCTGCCTGCAGCTCTATCTCGCTTTGTTGGGGGGTGAATGGTGGACAAGGGGCCAGCTAGGTGTCTAGCTTGAGGGGGAGGTGGAAGCGAAAAGGCGACGGACGGGCGGGTGTTGTGGACATCCGGAAGAGAAGAACTTACCGGGAGACCGCAATGCTACCAGCCCTCACAGCCGGACGGACAGCACGGGAGAACATATTGCAAGTATGCCGTACGGTCGAATGACCAACGATAAACAATCGGTAGAGAGAGGGGGGTGGGGAGGGGAGACGGAGGAGGAAGAGGTCAGAGAATCCTCGTAGGCTGGCGGTTGAGAAGTCGGTGGTTGAAGTTGGACTCCTGTTTCTGTTCTTCCGACAGCCGGGCAGCACGGGACCCAACCACGCTAGTCCCCATCGGGCAGTGTGGTGATTGCTGGCTGGCTGGCGGGTGGTCCGGGCGGCCGCAGCGACCAGCCGCGCAGCCAAGGCCGGTTCGGGGAGCTCGCAGTCAGGTGACTGGGATGCGCGCGGGCTTACGTCGGCTGAGTCAGACGCGCCACTCAGGCATGCAGGCAGCGAGGCCGGAATCGAATCGTCATAAACCTCCAGACCAAGAAGCCTTGGCACCTCAGGCTGCCAGCCTCCTCGCACGGCGAGTGGCTGACGGTCCGGAGAAACATGAGGATCGCCTCAGGCCCCAAAAGACGGCCTCGTTTTCCCATTCCATTCCTTCTCTTCTTCTCTTTCTCTCTCTCTCTCTTCTCTTCCGTTTCCCTCTGGTCATCTCTCTCTCTCTTTCTCTCCCCTGTCACTTCCCCTTCCTTCTTTTCCTCGCGCCGCTCCTTCATCTAGGCCCGTTCCGCCCCAAGTACTTGTTTTCTCCTGACTTTTCCCTCTTGGTCCATGTATTTGTCTCCCTTTTGACGCTTCTCTCTTCATCCAGCCTTCTCATTGGCCAGGCGGCCGTTGCTTTCATCGATCCCTCAAGCGCCAGCTCCGGGTTGCGGACTCGCCCGCTCCCTCTCGTGTTCTTGCGCCTCGCCCTCCCGGTCTTTCCTGCCCTTTGCACCTGCGGCCCATCGCGCTCCCGATCTCAATCGCCGGACTATCATGAGTTCCTCGGAAGACGATACCCCGCTTGTGAGAGCCAACGGGCGCCATTCCGGTGAGTCCTCCTCTCTTTTCCGCCCTCCTCTCTCTCTCCTGGCTTCCTTCTACGCTTCAGTGATCCTTCACTTCCCTTCACCCTTCACCTTAGCCGCGGATCAATCATCAGTTTGCGCCTCAATCTACGTCTGTACTCATGAATGCGATGAGTCTTACACCTTTTCTTGATGTTCTAGGCAGCCGTACGGACCCGAAAATGCGCAACGCGACAGAAACGAACGGTCATGTGGACCCTGGGGTTTCAATTCGCTTTGGCCCGGTCAAGGGTGATAATGATGTTGAGATGGAGGACGCGGGAGCGGAAGCTGACGGCGCCGCGGCCCCCAAAAGGAAGTCGCGCGCCAGCATCGGTCAAAGAAAGTCTTACGCCGAGCCTGAAAGCAGTGAGGAGGATGATCAGCCTTTGGTACGCCAATCACCTTCATCACGCCAGTTCCTTCGTTCCCCCCAAACTTGCGACGCTATTGCTGTCGCTGTTCGTTTCAGCGGCTGACTAGTCGACAGAGCAAGCGACGTCGCACTTCCGTGAAGCATGAGGACCCGGAAACGGATGACGATGTGCCTTTAGCGCTCAATGGAAGGAAGCTCCCCAAGGCTTCGGAGACCGCTATCGGCGAAGATTCCGATTCCGATGTTCCCATTGAAAGAAAACTCGCCTCTCAAAAGAAGCGGATCCAACAGAAGGCCGAGAAGGAGGCCAAAGTAATCCGCAAACAAGAGACCGCCAAAGCTACAAAGCCCGCTGCGACCAAGAGACAGGCAAATGGCATAAAGAAAGAGCCCGCAGACGTCAAGCCTTCGGCCGTCAAAAGGACGCCGAAACAAACCAAGGCCGCGGAGAAGGCTGCGTTGCCCTCTCATGTGAAGAGGGCCGCTTCCAGTGGCAAGTCAACTCCTGTCAAGAAAGAGGAGAGTGAGGAAGCCGAAGATGGCGAGGAAGAAGAGTACAGGTGGTGGGAAGACCCGACCAAGGGTGACGGCACGATCAAGTGGACGACCCTTGAACATAATGGCGTCGTTTTCCCTCCTCCGTACGAGCCGCTCCCGAAAAATGTCAAGATGAAGTATGATGGTGTCCCTGTCACTCTCCATCCTGATGCTGAAGAGGTGGCCGGCTTCTTCGGCGGCATGCTAAATGCGACTCAACATGTCGAGAACCCCACGTTCCAGAAGAATTTCTTCATGGATTTCCGCGACATCCTCAAGAAGACCGGTGGCGCCACGGATTCTAAGGGCAATAAAGTGGATATCAAGGACTTTTCCAAGTGCGACTTCCAGCCGATCTTTGCCTTCTACGACAATCAACGTCAAGAAAAGAAGGCTCTGCCTCCGGCTGAGAAGAAGCGGCTGAAGGCAGAAAAGGATGAGCAAGAAGCTCCCTTCATGTTCTGTATGTGGGATGGGCGCAAGCAGAAAGTGGGCAACTTCCGAGTCGAACCGCCCGCCCTCTTCCGTGGCCGTGGTGAGCACCCTAAAACGGGTCGCGTGAAATCTCGAGTCCAGCCGGAGCAGATCACCATCAACATTGGCAAGGATGCGCCTGTCCCGCCACCTCCAGAGGGCCACAAGTGGAAGGAGGTGAAGCATGATCAAGAAGGTACATGGCTTGCCATGTGGCAAGAAAACATCAATGGAAACTACAAGTATGTCATGCTTGCCGCCAACTCCGATGTCAAGGGCCAGAGTGATTACAAAAAGTTCGAGAAGGCTCGCGAACTCAAACACCACATCGATCGAATCCGCAAGGATTACCAGAAGAACCTCAAGCACGAGCTCATGGTCGAGCGACAGAAGGCCACGGCAGTCTACCTGATCGACCAATTTGCTCTGCGTGCTGGTAACGAGAAAGGTGAAGACGAGGCCGAAACGGTGGGATGTTGCTCTCTCAAGTATGAGAACGTCACCCTTAAGCCTCCGAACAAGGTCGTCTTCGATTTTCTGGGTAAGGATAGTATTCGCTTCTACGATGAAGTCGAAGTCGATGCACAGGTCTTCAAGAACTTGAAGATCTTCAAGAAGGCTCCCAAGAAAGAAGGCGACGAGATCTTCGATCGACTAACGGTACGTACTTTGACTGGCTCTATGATTCAGAGTGCTAATTCGCTCTAGACCTCCGCCCTCAACAAGCACTTGTCAGCTTACATGCAGGGATTGACTGCAAAGGTCTTCCGTACCTACAACGCTTCGCACACCATGTCGACGCTGCTTAAGGAGATGAAAGCCGAGGGCAACATCGCAGAGAAAGTCAAGGCCTACAATGACGCCAACCGTAGAGTCGCCATTCTCTGCAATCACAAGCGAACTGTTGCTGCATCTCATGCTGGCCAAATGGAGAAAATGAGTGAACGGGTAAGCCGATTTCTGGAACGTTCAGCATGGCCGTATCGCTAATGTCTGTTCAGATCAAGGGACTCCGGTATCAGAAGTGGCGTCTGAAGCAACAGATGCTCGACCTTGATTCCAGTTTGAAGAAGAAAAAGGGCGCCAAGTACTTTGAAATGGACGAGGATATGGATCTCGACTGGGTGAAGGAGCACCAGACATTCCTTCTGGAAGAGCAGCGCCAAAAGATCCAGAAGAAGTTTGAAAAGGACAACGAGAAGCTTGCCGCTGAAGGCGAGAAAGAGATGAAAGCCGGCGAGCTTGAGACACGTCTTCAGGCCGTGAAAGATATGGAGAAGAAATTCAACAAAGAGAACAAGACCGGCAAGGTGGAGGCTGAAGGCAAGGGTCCGACTGTCAATAAGCTCGAGGCCGCGATCACCAAGCTTGAGCAGCGCATTGAAACAATGGAGCTCCAAGCGCAAGATAAGGAGGAGAACAAGGAGGTCGCGCTGGGCACGTCTAAGATTGTGAGCTCATGTTCCCTTCACTACTGATCATCAGTCAACTAACGTGCAGCAGAACTACATTGACCCCCGTCTCACTGTCGTGTTCAGCAAGAAATTCGATGTTCCCATCGAGAAATTCTTCTCCAAGTCTCTCCGAGAGAAGTTTGAATGGGCCATCAAGTCCGTTGACGACGATTGGGAGTTTTAATGTCACTGCAATGGCACTACAGTCCTGTACATGTCTGGCTCCCGAGCCTGACTTCTGATGTCGTGTATCTTTGGACTATTTTCCTCTGCTATCTTCTTTGTTTACAATGGTGGGTAAACGGATTGTTTGTGCATTCTGCATTTTGGAGCCTTTTTTTCCTACTGTTTCTTTCCTACCACCTTTCTCTTACAAAAGCTACACTTGCTCTTTCATCGCTGTACGCCTTGTTTTATGTGGACACGATGAACATGCAAGGGGTCATGGACCCATCACCAGTCTGCTTGCCTACCTCCGGTCTTGCTTTTCGCTATGCCTTCTTGGATCCTTCCCGGATCCAAGACCTGGTCCCATTGGCCTCGCAGATGAAGACAAGAAAACAACAACAAAATAGAGAAAAAAAGACCTAAAAAATTACGAAAGGAGACTCCGTCAACCAAATACATCAACCAATATATACAACTCTGCAGTCAAGACAGGAATCCAAGTGGAATCAATATAGGATCTATAGATCGCTTGTTTAGGAAGTGCTTGCATTCTGCAATACCAGATTCAGATAACTTTTACTGGACCCTTTATGATAAGTAGATGTAGACTTGGTTATAATACAGTGTTGAGATTGAAATGCCATCCTTCCTTGCTAGTGGATAGTATGGCTTAATGGTGTATTGTCATACTACCTACGGAGTATCTGTGGTGAATATTGATTAGGCTGACATACAATGATGCCTGGATTTAATTTAGAGGCCTGTTTACATCGATAAACGAGATGAGATTTATGTTCCAGGAACGGATCCAGTATTCATAAACGAAGGGACAAGTCCCTTAGATGGATGTATAGATAGTAGACACGCTAAAACGATGTGAAGACGCTAGTCTAACGATCTAGATTCTGCTCTAACCGAGAAAGCAAAGTGGGATAATACCATGCTTTCCAATCGCATCGAGAGTTCTGTCATGCCTCGTCGATGCGAAGTAAATGTACCAAAGGGGAGGCCAGAAGGAAGGCAAAGTGGAGAGGGAGTATATATCCATACGCAAGCGAGACGAGTAGGATTATGTATGGTCAACATCAAGGAAAAGGCTCAACCTATCCATATGCAGTGCAAAATTCAAGTAGTCTAGTGTGCATGATGTTCATCATCAGAAGGACGCACCATTCAACCCCAGCCAGCGACAGAAGAATGTGAAACGCAAAAAGGATATAGAACATACCAGTTGCTCAAGAATAGAAACCAGACCCAAACAGAACATTACAGATTACATGCAAAACGGTTCGTGGTATACAACGTGTGAACTTGAGATGAGTGATGCCGATGCGACAGGTCTATGTGCTTTTTGCCAGAAGGTCAGGTCGAGTCGGTGTATTCTGAGGGAACTCCGTAATCATGCACGGTGGGGGTATAACAGCTTTCGTATGTCGTCAGCCCCGCTGCTGTTATACTCAAGTGGTCAGGTCGAGAAAATGGAAGCAAAATAACATGTGTAGGTCGTCTATGGCCACCAGCCCATTCGCTTGTAGCTGTCCACCATGGCTCGGACGGCATCGGCATCGAAGCGCTCTCGGGTAGGCTTCCACCCAACGGTCTTCTCAAATAGCGTACCATCCAGAGACATGTCCTGATCCTTGATCACGTCCTTCTCCAGGAATGGGCTGATGGGTCCGGGTCGTTCGATCTTTTTCTCTTCGATCAGATCGGCCCAACCCTGCAAACACTCCTCATTCATATCATCCACAACGTCGTCGAGGTTCAGTTTCGCCAGCTGAGAAGCTAGAGAGCCCAAAAAGTCACACTTGAGCCCAAAGACTTCCGACAGGGCTTGTGCGATATGCTCCTGGCGAGTATCTCCATGGTCGACCACGTTGAAAGCGGTGGGAGCGGTCCCGTCCGTCGGGGCGCTTGCTCTCCATTCCGCAGCCTTCCACAAGGCGCTGGCTGCATCTTTGACGTAAACGGTATTGATCTTCAGGTCCTTGGTGTAGAGCAGCTCCAAATCCTTCTGCATATCCAGGTGAACACGAGCCAGGCAGACTCCCATAGCGAAGTAGCCCGAGTCGTACTCTCCGTAAACATGGGGCAGACGCAACAAGCAGTAGTTGAGACCCGGGATTTTCTGCAGCTCCTCACTGGCCTTCATCTTCCACTTGGCCAGCTTGTGCCATGGCTGCAGCTTGTCATCTTCCTTGCGGGGACTTGAGCCGCTTTTGTAGACGTGCGCGGTCGAGCACTCGACGAACGAGCGGATGCCTCTACGGGCGACTTCACGACCCAGGGCAACGGTGAGGGCGTAGCTGCGGACTTCGTAGACATCATCCGGTTGTGAGTGCCTCGTTTCACCTCCGCAGTTGATCACGTAGTCGAATTGTTCGCCATTGGCACGGTCGAAGATACGAGGGAAGTGCTCTAATCCACCCAACACAAGTTAGCCAACTAATTGCCATCACCTCAGAGAGCTTTCTGCGACTCACGTTCACGACTGGCATCGGCCTGGACGAATTTGTCTTTGGAACAAGCTTCCTGGAACTCAGGGGCCAGCCACGCCAGCTGAGGCAGAACCTTGTCGACAAGTCGGACCTCCGAGGCCAAGTTATTTTCATGTAGGTAGAGGGCGAGATGGCGGCCAATGAAACCTACGAGACACGGTGTCGTGCGTTAGCTATTGTACTCGGGGAATGGGAAATGAGGGACGGCGGACGGGTGCACCAAGGGAGGCGTACCTAAACCACCAACGATGAGGACGGCGGGCTTTTTGCTCTCGGCCATTGTGAAATGAGAAGACACGAGATGGAGGTCGAAACACAGACGGGACCACCCTGTGGTATTTTCTTTTCAGGAAGATTGGAGGCGAAATGCGGACTGTTGGGACACCCCGCACCCGAGCGCGAATAAATCGAAGAATGCGGGGAGGAAAAGGGGGAGGGGAAGCAGTCGGGAAGGGACAGGGAAGGTATGTCAGGGGGGCGGGAAGGTCGGGAGGTTTGAGTTAAAAGTTAAATGCCACGGAGGGGAGAAGGAAGGAAGGAAGAGGGGCGAGGAAGAGAGGGAGAGGAGAAAAGGAGAGCGAGAGAGGAGGGAAGCGAGAGGAATGGAGACGAGGAGAGAAGAGGGAAGGCGCGAGGAGCGAGAGGATGAGGCAGGAGCGATCCTGGGCCGGGAATCAAACCAACCCATTTATCAGAATCACCTGCCATTCAGTCCGTCATCTAATCTTACGGCCTGACTTGTGCCACTATGGCCGCGCTACAGTGTCCACTATCGTCCAGGCTGAGACAGGCGCCACCGCAATGGGCCAGCTGGTGATCAGACCGACTACTGATGATGGATGAAGCTCTTCGCAGTTCGCACTTGCCTGTCCCTGTGTCGGATCTTCTCTCGACTCGAGGAATCCCGGGACTTTGCAGCATGACACGACGAGGCGCCAACTATACTATACCCCTCCTACTCCTCCCACCCCTCTCTTCCTCGCTGGCAATCTCCCCTCCGTGCTCGCCCCATCTTTCCCCCCCGTCCATTCCATACTTTTTAATGATCCTCCTCTCCTGGCGTCCCGGAGTTTGTCACGCTTGCCGCGGATGACGCTCAACTCTCGCCAACCGCATCCCGAACGAACTCCGCTAGCGCCGCGTCTAGAAATTTCGCCGGCGCGGTGGAGGTTCCCGCTGGGTTTTCCCTCGTACAGTAGTGGGCAATTAAGACTCGTCGACCAAGGCCGACAAATTAATTCCTCATCTCCTCCCCTGCCAAGCGCGCGTTGTGGGACGTTTTCCGTTCTTCAGGGACACCGTCCGATCATAGTCCCGCGTCTAAGTGGGTAGCCACTGGCCTAGGAGGGAGAAGGAGAACTGCTGCGAAATTGATGCCGAATCCGTTGGGAATGGAGATGGCACAGCCGAGAGAAAGAAAGAAGGAAACGAGTCGATCGGTCGCCACAGGCAGACGACATATCATGGCAAGGTGGCCAGAAGGAGCCGCGAAATCCCGTGCGCTTGAAACCGCCCAAGCAGTGTATGATCACCGACAGGGAATAATCGAATGATCTGCGTCTCATCTTACGAGTCAGGGCTGGTGGGGGGTCTTTTAAGATTATGATGATAATGGCGGTGATTTACGGTGCGGCGGACGGAGGGCAGGTGGTTGCTTCTCGGCATTTGCCCTCAGCACGTATCACCCGCTGCAAGTGCTCGGGGAAGCCAGAGCATCGACCGTCTATCTCGTATCTATCTACCGGCACTTATTCCCGTCAGTGACAAGGCGCTGGCCAAAGGTAAAGCGGACACTATTGACTCGGTTTCCAGGTTTGCGGGCCTCATAGTGGGCGAGCGATTCCAAATGAGCTCGTCTCCTCATAGTCCGGATGGCCGATGGGCCTGCCCCATATCCTGCCCAATCCAGACAGCTAAGCTCATGGGATGCCTTTCAGCATCGATAACGGTGCCATCCTGCCAATAATGATGCGAAGAATGATGCTAGCAGTCTACAGGTCTTTGACGCTGTGCAAACCCAGTCATCGGTGTACGCGGTTTACGTAGTGCACGTATTCCTACACACCACGATCGGAGATCGCTCGGTATTTCTTCCTCCAAAGCAGGAAAAAAAGGAAAACAGAAAAAGAAAGGTTGTCAAACACCTACCGTTAATTCTCCGACTTTTTTTTCTTTTCCCCAGGCAAAGAGGTACGGTACCATGGGACCGTGGCCGATCATCCAGCCCGTGGTTCGTGCTGGAGCCTGGCCGCACTGGAACTGGAAGGGGTTTAGCTATGCGACTATCATGCAACTAATGAGTAGCTGGAATTCAAATTGATTCAGAGAACGAGGATGTAGATACTAGATCTAGATGCTACATGGTTTTAATTTATTTTTCCTTCTTTTTCAGTAACCAAAGGAGTAAAAGAAAGCGACAAACCAATTCAGAGAATTAAGACAAAATAAAAACTAAGAAAGTAAGAAAGAAAGAAAGAAAGAAAGAAAGAGACGACCGATCCAAGGCAGCATGCATACACAACAGACCGAGTCAGTGTGTATACACAACTGACCCCAAATAACCACATCACATCATTATCATTAAGCTGCTGAACCGCAAAATCAAAGCACAACCCCATCAGAACCCCAAATCACTGCACACACCCTCTCTCTCCTCCTCCATGAACAAATAACTTACCTACCCAATCACATGAAGCAACACTCTAATCTTAAACTCCACCCCCTCATCCCCATCCCCCTCCCCATCTCCAACCCCATCCCCAAAATCCCTATCCTTATGCTTATCCCTCTCCACCTCACTCCTCACCCTCCAAGCCCTCACCAACTCCCTCTGCACAACCACCCAATCCTCATCATGCCCCTGCCTCACCCGAATCTCAAAATCCGACCACTCAAAGCGCACCGACGCCGCAATCACCGAGCCAGCGCTCGGATTCGCAGGCGCGAACCAGTCCGCGTCCTCGCGACTCAACTGCATCGTGGGGTTCCATTCGAGGAGATTACATTGGTCCGCCATGGAGTCTAGGAAGGAGGATGTGGAGGTGAAGTGCTCGTAGGGAATCCAGACGGGCGCCATGCCTTCTTTGGCTTGGGTGGTGGAGGTCGCGAGGATGGTGGTGAGGTAGGTGTAGTTTGCTGCGCTTAGGGCGGTGGTGGTGGGGTTGGTCGGGGGGGTTGGGGTGGAGGTGGAGGTGGTGGTGGTGGTGGTGGTGTTGGTGTGGATGAAGGTGCCCATCGGAGGGGGAGGAGGGAGGAAGGTGGAGGGGGATTTCTTTTCCTTTTTGGTGGGTTTGGGGGGTGATTTTGGAGCTGGTGCTGGAGATGTGGTGGATACCGGTTTGGTGGGATGAGGATGGGAATGATCGGGCTTTTTCTTGGATTTGGGAGCTTTCTGGATCTTTCTGGAGGACATGTTCAACTCGGCGGAGGAGTCGCTGTCAGAAAGAACTGCTTTGAAAGGCCGGATGGCGTTGGATAGGGCTCGGGTGCGAGGGATCTTGTAGGTGAGTTTGTCTCCGGTGGACATTGCCTCGGTGTAGTCTTCGTCGGTCTCTTTGGCAAGGGAGGTCATTTTGCGTTTGGATTTGGAGGTGGAATTGAAGTTGGGGTTAAGACGCTTGGAGGGAATGCTGGATGCTGGAGTTGGTTGATCTGGTGCTTTGGGTGTGGGAGTTGTGATAGGGGCAGTGGTGGTGCTGCTGCTGTTGGTGAGGGACGGTCCGGGAGCGGGAGTCTGAAGTAGCAGTAGCCAGGTTAGCATCGAATATTGATATCAAGATGCCACTGTAGTCGGGACGAAAACACAACAGACCTTCGGTTTCTCGGTACTCAACCTCGCGTACCCCTTTGCCTTTCGTTCCAACAGTACCATGAGCGTCCGAACAATCCTATCTCATCGTTAGTCACAGACAACTAAGGAGGACGAGATGAGGACCTACTCCTCCCGTCTATCAGGATAAACACAAAGCGTGTCCGGGTCCGCCAGACACTCTTCCTGGAGATATTTCTGTCGATTGGCGGGCGTGCCCCAGTAGGTTATGCCGAACCTATCGACGAACATCTTGGCGCAGGTACGTCTCTCGTTCTCGGATCGAGCCAGGTCGGCCCAGCTGAAGCCGGTCGACTCGGCGTGTTCTTTGACACGGGCGAGGAACTCGCGGCCGTATGCTTCCTTCAGGTCGAGAAAGTGCACGAATTGTTTGTCGCGCCAGGATGGCTTGACTTCGCCGCGGTCGAGGAGGTCTTTCATCGTTTCTTCAATGCTGCTGGTCGTGGACATTGTGATGGTGTTGGAATTGTTCGGTTAGGTGGGGGATGGGAGTGGGATGGGAGAGGGGCATGTACAAAAGGTGTAGGATAGGAGGGAGGCGGAGAGTGTAGAATATGGAATGAATGGGGGGCGCGTTCTATGTTTATATACTAGGGACTGAGAGATGAAGTGAATGCGAGTGGACCTTGTTGCTATAGCAGTATGACCATGTCGCGTAGGGATTGAATAGTAGAGGATGCTGGCAAATGGTGCGGCGGCGCGTGGGGTGCATGGTGAAGGAGGGTTACCAGTGGAAAAGGTAAAGCAAACTACGATAATACAGGTGAGATGGAGCAGGGTTAGCTATGGCTGGGTTTGTTGGCTGCAGAACACGGTATGATTTGTTGTCATTATCGTTCACATCAGGATAAGTGTAGCCTGTGTCAGGTCATAAAAGGCTTGATTTATGGCTCGGTCATGCTCACATCATACAATGACGGTGGTTCTCAATGCGTGCAAGCGCATACAAATTCATCTACCACCAATCTCTTTTTATTCCGCGCCGAGATACCGGAGTGAATTCTTGAGCTCCTTGATCGCCGTGTTCACATCATCAAACGTCAAGGCCGACACGGCCCAGCGGGCATGTTTCTGGGCAAGCGCTATGGCCTGGTCATCGACTGACTGCGTGTTCGTCCGGCTGGAGCTCGAAGCTGCAGGTGCAGGTGCTGAAGGGGTGGGTGACGGGATACTTGGAGGCGTTGGGCGGGAACCAACGGGCACTGTTCCTGAGGAAGACTGTACGAACGGCGGGGGAGGACCAGCGCTGGTGGTCGGTTTGGTGTAGAAGGAGCTTGCATCATGAGACGCTGCTGGCGGACTTGAAGGTGGGATTGAGGACGGCGGAGGGAATGAATGGAAAGAGTCGGCGTGCGGTTGGGGAGACCTTGCGCCAATGTCTGCCGGTGTGTCCGGGAGGTTGGGCACAGATGTAGAAGGGGAGGCAAACGTCTCTGGGGCCGAGGGGAGGTTCAGCGGTGCACCTGGCTCCGCATCATCCTCCGCGGGAGATGTAGGTTCGGCTTTGTAGTGAGCGGCGGGGACATCGGCAAATGTGGTGGGAGGTTCTGGCAGGACTGGAGGTGATTGTGAAGGCTGTAGAGTCTCATTGGGTACCTCTTCAACAGACGGTTGCCCAGGGCGCGCGACTGGCGATCCGACGATGGCCTGCACTTCCGGATCATCCTGCTTTGCTTCGATGAGCGCTTCGAGTTCATCCTCCTCAGTGGCCACCGGATTGGACGCGTTGGGATCCTCCCCGGCCTTGATCGCCTTTATAATCCTCACAGCATGGTACTTGGAGAACTTGATCTTCGCAGCAACCTCGGGGTCCAAAGGGTTGGTCCAAATTTGGCACAGTTCAAGAAAGGTTGCAGCAGCCTGGAAGGTGTCTGCGGTTTGTCTGGTATCGTGTCAACGGCTTGCCGATCATGTCCAAGGGACGGAACCTACTTGGTCACTTTGTTGGCCTTCATGGTCGCTTCGGCGCGCCCAAGTACCTCCAGACCGAACTGCTCCACGTAGGCATTGGCCGCCTCAGCATCCATTACAGCATCATTATCGGTGTTTTCACTCTTGAACTGAACTCAGACAAGGTGTCAGCCTTCAGAAAGTGTGTGCCACACTGTACGTGTCGCGACGCACCTTCTCCAACTTGTCCACAAGGTCCGTCGTGTATAGCTTGACATCGTCGTTAGAAGTGTGTAGGCCCCGCTCGATAATCTGATTAACGATCCAGAAGTTGCCTGTCATCAAGAACGACCACCAGTCAGTTTATGTGGCTTGCATTCAGGCAGTAACGTGCGCATCACAACACTTACACCAGTAGGCAACGACGGGCTTCGCGTGCTCGAGCTGAGCTGCTCTCAAGGCATATCGCCCAATATCTGCAGATCGCAAGCTAGCGGGGATGTTGCTCGCCATGGGGTAGGTGGAACGGAGAGCTGCAATGGTTGGGATGCAGGGGAAGATGCACAATGCAGGCGGGGATGACGTTGGGTGGAACTGCGCCAAGCGGGATGTTGGTCCGCCTAGCGTTCCTGACCCTATCTCGATTCCCTCGATACGAACTAGATCGACAGCACCTTTTTGCTCGACCAAAGAGATAAAGTCTTCTAGAAATCCAACTCGAGTGGTTTCTCAATTTACATAGTAGTCCCTCCTTGTCGGAAGTTTTTACATGGTCTTCGTAACGACATCGATTCTCGCTTTACTCGCAGCCCCGGTCATGCGTCTTCGACGATCCATTCCCCAATGTCTACCTTTTCCTCCGCTAAAGCTTCGACCTCGAATTGATCCTCAACTTGCCCTCCAGGCCCTCCGATTCGCTCGATGACAATCCAGGCGCCACCCTGGTCTTCAAGTCCCGGATGCAGATCGAAATCCTCAATACGTACTCCAGATACGGCATCACTGTGGTTACCATCTTCGGAGGTAGCCAATACTTCCTTGTATGGTCCCTGGCCAAGCTCTACCGTCATCAACATAGGGGATGGTCCAACGGCGCGATTCCCTATCGTAGACTGTCTACTTCTCCCGATCAGTTTAACCCGCGTCAATCGCTTCGTCTCCAACGAGGCCAGCATTCGATCCTTTCCAGGATTCAGAATACCAATGTCCGATATGGTCGCTCGTCGCCCAGCTGCTTCCGGCGCAAGCGGTTTCACATTGCACGGGATCGAGGATGAAATCCAGAGGGTGAAGCGCCCAAGTTGATCGGGAGCAAAGGTGGAACAGACGATAGTGTACACCCCTTCATCAAGTCTTCTTTTCTCTGCAAAAGCCCCGCCACGGCGGTAGTCACCACTGTCAGTTATGATATCGCGGCTCCGAACTCTAGTTACCCGCTGTCCCTTGGACCAGAACAATTTGACATGCGTGGCGAGCTCCGGCTCTGACGGTTCGAGTAAGATAGAAAGATCCGTCGTGTCATGAATCTCGAGTGAAAACTGGGGATTGAAGGAGTATCGAGGGGACTCGGCGTTGCCTCCTGCGGTGGAAGATGTCCACGATCCTTGGGTTTTTGTTAGGCAGCTGTATTGGTTCTGAGCGTGCGCTAGAAGAATTGGACTGTTGGACAGGGCCGACAATGTGAAATTCTGGCTCGCAGCGGGCAGCGACTGCTCAGAGATCACGGCAGTGTAGGTCGTGCCTGGCGGCAATTCCAGCCTCATAAGTGTGTTTGGGGAGTCGACGTAGGGACCACGATGAAGCGCGCCTTCACTTAATGCCACACGTTTCCCATCCGCTTTGAATACGTATATGCTGATGAATCCGGGCTCTCCACTGTCGTCACTGTCCTCCAGGAGGTTTTCCTGTTCAGTTGTCTTGAAATGTTTGCCGAGCAACAGCCATACTGTGCCACCAGCCTCAGAAGTAACAGCAAACTGAGGGTTCTTCGCAAAGCAGCCAGCTACACTTCTGGCTGTGGAAAGGTCCCATGTGAAATGAATATCTTCCCGATATTGGAAAATCCCTGGGTTCCAATTCAAATACAGGTTTTCAAAGTTCTGAAGAAGACTTTCACTGTCCATCCAATAGGTTCTCGGTAGAGACGAAGATCGATTATGGGCATCTCTCGGGTCGAAACTGTGTGCAATGTCTCCCACCGCGGCATCATGTCCCCCCCATGGGTTCTTCACAAGCATCTGACGACGGTCCTTTATTTCTCTCATATCCAAGATGGCGTAATCATGTTCACCCACAAATCCTAGCTCTTTTTCTTCTCTCTCAGTCAGCTTTCCGGTGCCTATCGTTAGCAGGACGTCACCGCTACAAAAGCGCTTGTACAGTCGTCTCCAGAGTTGCTCTGCAGTCACATCGTCGTGATGAAGGAAGACCTGCTCGGGGATCCAACCTGTCAACACCCACAGATCCGTCCCAGAATTGCTTCCAGGGAAGTCATAGCCTCCGCGGAGTTTCAAATATGCCTTCTCTACCAAGGCTGGCCACAAGAAGTTTGGGTGCTTTTGATCAACAACATGGAGTGATCTTGACGTTTTGGAAGACGGTAAGCGATCATCAATGATGACTTTTCTGAAGCATCCGTTGAAGTAGAATCGAAATATGTATTTCCCACAAGGTGAGATTCTTGGGTTTACCTGGCCGTATTCACAGGGGAAGATTATGGGAAGATGGTGCTGATGTTGTTAGATGCATGGTTTCTTCTGAGATATGAATTTAGCCGTACCTTATCTAGGCCACGCTCCGACCTTGATAGAGCAGCGCAGAGACTGGCCACAACAGAGCAGTCCGTCAACATATCCTGTACAAGATCTGTTGGCCCAGAGACCGACATCACAGGCAAAGTGGACTCCAGATCGTCGGCATCTCTTGCATGCCTGGACAGCAATTCAAGAGGACGCTCCCAGCCCGCAAAAACGCTCCATTGTACTTTGGACAGGCGAAGATCCGGTTTGTCACTAGTACCAGTCAGTATTATAGACCCTTTGACATCAGGCTTCAGATTAGACCTACGTAAACAGGCCTTCGTCCAGCTCGAAATCTTCCGGAGCCGGGACACTCGTCCATGGAGGGAAAATAAATCCATTCAGCTTTGCGCTCTCAAGAAGGATTATTTCCTCACGGGTGGTGAATTTACGTGTAGATTTGGGGATCCGTCCCACAAGACCGCTCTTCTCATGAATACGAACCACGGCCTGCCAGTCGTTGTTGTTTTTGATATTTTCCGCTCGCGCAAACCATTCTTTGCATTTGGCATCTAGTGGCTGTCTTTCCTTGGAATCGGTCACCAAGCTCAGTGCTTTCATATAGTATTCGACCGCGTCAATTGCAGCATCGAGAGCTTGCGCTTGAGTGGTAGCCTTTGACACCTCCTGTTCCGCTTTCTATTTTCTGGTTAGTCTAGGGGATCTCGTTATAGTAGCGTTTGTTGGAATAAAAGTAAAGAAGAGTGAGATACCAAGGCCTTGGCAATCAGGAACTTCGGAGAGGCTGCGTTAATTTTAGACATTGTGTCTGAGACCCTGGGTAACACCCGGACACTCTCAGTAGAACATGCAGTTTCAGCCGGAACCTATCAGCGACTTAGACTTGATGATCATTTCAAGGACAACGGCGATATCTCCGGCGGGGACATCCGAGGTCCACTGGCTACTGGAATGCACCGGACCCAACAGACGAGCAGGGTATGTACTATGCGCACTTTCAGTGGGGTAGGTCCGAGAATAAATCTCTGAGGGACTAGTCAGGAATAATCAAGCATAACAGCATCAATAAGCCAAGGCTAGATGATGATGGTAGCTGGTCGTGGATGCTAGAAAGCTAGTACGGAGTATGCGTGGTAGCGTCGCGTGTTGGTGGGGAAGGAGGGCAGTGGGCAAGCCAGCCAATAAGATTAGCAGTGAAACGGAGGGCTATGAGGTCCTGTCGGGTTTACTCCGTAGACATCCCCATGGACCAAGGCTACAATGTCCTCCTTCTCGGCTGGTATATCCCAGGAGCAGAGGAGAGTCTCGTCTCATAAATAGGAAGTAGCCTTTAACATACATGGCTCCCTGTATCCTTCTACTACCTTGATTGTAGGTACGGAGTATAGTATGAGAAAATGTCGCGCGTTATCAATCATGAAGCTTCTTGCTAATTGATAACCCCTTGAGAAAGAACAAGTAATAAACCGTTAGGTCATAGAGCATTAAAAGGTAGTATCTTCTATTCGGTCATTTTACTTACAAGGTACATGATGTAATTGGGAGTCTTCTCCGTACTGCGGCACCTTAATTGAGCTGCCCATTAAATAATACATCACGTGACCGTGGCGCGTGCTCGCCGCGTTTCGCGTCGCCGCGCGATAGGCCATCCAGTGGGTGAACTCAACTCAGCCAGGTCAACAACAAGATCTCAATAGCTCAACCCCGCTGTTGCAGAGCAAAATGATCCGGCAAGACTTCCGCAGAATTGACCCGAAGAGAAGGGCCACGCTTGACCATAAAAAGAAACAATTCGCAGCACCCGTCTTCAAGCAACAGGACTATCCGCATCGCTTGAACTTCTATGAAATCCCCCCCACCGAGGAGATCACTCTCGAACAGTTTGAGCAATGGGCTATTGATCGGCTGAAAGGTCTTTGTTACTCTCGGGTACGCTCCAGATTACATGCTCATATTCTCAACAGTTTTGGCCGAAATCGAAGCCTGCTCTTATCGAAACAAATCGCCCGCGGAGACGGAAGCGCACATCACGCCTCACCTTCAAAAATTTCTCCCCCTTTCCTCTAATACATCCTCCTCCAACGGTGCGGCAGACCAGCGACTGAAAAATGAACGCCAAAAAGACCACTATTCCCACTTCATCCTTCGCCTGGCGTTTTCGGCCACCGAGGAGCTCCGCAGGCGGTTCGTGAGAGCCGAAACGATGCTTTTCAGGTTCCGCTTCCAACGAGACGACACCAGAGAACGACGCGCCTTCATCGACAGCCTGAATCTTGACTGGGAGCCGGTTGAAGATGAAGAGAAGCAGAGACTCTCGGAGCAATTACTCGGCGCGACCCCGGGTCTCCGACGCCTTGATGACGAGACCTGGTACAAGGTGGACTGGGAGAAGGTACCGGAGTTGGTTGAGAGACGGGCGGTTTTCTTGTCGAAGGGAAAGGCATATGTGCCCGGCAGAGAGCAATTGAGCATGATCATAGCAGAATTTACTGCTCGCTTGGAGCGCGCTCTTGAGGTATGTCTTGAATGATCGCTGTGGATGGTCCTATGGTACTGACGGCTGCCAGCTTACGAGTCGGGCCTTACCACGGTTGGACGAAGATGATCGCCTCACTCCAATCCTCAACCATCTCTCGAAGAACTTTGGAAGTGCCGAGTCCGTGTACACGGAGAACGAGGGATTCGTCGACGGCGCACCGATCACGGCGAACAATATTGACCGACTATCCCAACATTTCCCGCTGTGCATGCGCAGTCTTCACATGAACCTGCGCAAGAATCACCACCTGAAGCACTACGGACGACTACAATATACGCTTTTCCTCAAGGGAATCGGCCTGTCATTGGAGGAATGTATTGTTTTCTGGCGCCAAGGCTTCAAGGGCTTCACGGACGACGAATTCAACTCGCGGTACAAGTATAATATTCGTCACGCTTATGGCGATGTGGGCGGCGACCAAAACCGCAGAGGCCGCGGATATCCTCCTTACTCGTGCCAGAAGATCCTCAATGATTCAAATCCGGGTGTCGGGCAGACCCATGGATGCCCGTACCGCCACTTCTCTATTGACAACCTAATCGGTCTTCTTCAGTCCACCGGTGTCAATGACAGGGATGTCCTGCGCGGGGTGCGAGAGGATGTCGAGAAAATGCGGTTCCATATCGCTTGCAATCGCGTCTTTGAGTGGACCCACAAAGCAGATATCAAGAGGGTCAAGGAGGACGGAACCTGGAACCAGACCGATCTCGACACCATTGTTCATCCCAACACCTACTTCAAGCGCAGTTATCTCTTGAAGCAAATGGGGAAGGCACCGAAGAATACCTAACATCATTGTGATAGGTCCACGAAGCCACGTTCCTTTTGCATTTGTCGGTTTGCGGAGATTTCACCACGCGGGCGTTTCGGGTCAGGCTTTTGGAAACGGGAGGACACCATGGTCCTGGTTCTTAGGTAGATATTTATATGTAAATTGAGAGCATGGAACCCCCAAGCGGTCCAATTCGAGCATTACTTCAACTCCTCGTTTTTTACGATGATACAATTGCAGTAGGGGGAGAATGGGATGTAACCTCTGCTGATTCCCAGATTATCCAAAAGGAACAAAACGTCCTTTCAAAGCCAGGTGCCCAGCAACGGGTCGAAATTACTCTTCGCTCGACACTTTAGACAATTTCACCAACAAGGTGGCTGGAAGCTGCCATAAAAAAAGGTAAGGAGTCGGCGTTGTGAAGAATATTTGGAAAAGAAAAGAAAAAAAGCGTGTGGTGGAGGGGAAGGGCCCGTATTTAAAGGCCACTAGCGCAGTGTACGGCCGCCCGCAGCGACCGGTTATGCTGCAACCTGGCCTTATGGCAACCAGTGCCGCTTCACACAACAGTCTCCTGATCCCCGCATAGTCTCCGGACAACAGCTGTTGGCGTTGTCCTTTTCGTGACTGGGTTGTGCTAAAGGAGGGCTCTCCTGTGACCAGTCTGGGTTGTTTAATTCTGTTATTTCTGGCCTCATTCGTGCCCTGTTAGACGTCCCCCTCATTATCTCCCAGTGACGGAACCCCGTTCCCCAGGCCGCCAACATGGACTACGAAGCGTTGAAGGACCAATGGAGCGACGTCGAGGATCGCGATGGCATCAGACTCAGCTGGAACACCTTTCCCAGCTCTCGCATGGTGCGTCTGGGGACTCGGCAATCCTGCCCGGTTACAACTAACTTATCCACAGGAAGCATCCCGCCTTGTTGTTCCCATCGGTGCCGTCTACACGCCCCTCAAGGAGAAGCCAGACTCTCCGTTGCTACAATATGAGCCGGTCACCTGCAAGGCGCCTTGCCGGGCAGTCTTGAACCCTTATGCGTATGGCTCCTAGCTTTTTAAAAGGCACAGCACGGATGGCCTTAGCTGACATCACATAGCAACGTCGACGTTCGGGCCCGAATTTGGATCTGCCCCTTCTGCCTTATGCGCAACCCCCTTCCCCCTCACTACAAGGATATCACGGAGAGCACGATACCCCCGGAGCTCCACCCGATGAGCACGACGATCGAGTATCAATTGGCACGCCCCGCTCCTGCTCCCCCTATCTTTGTCTATGTTGTCGACACCTGTCAGGACGATGACAGTCTGAAGGCCCTGAAGGACTCGCTGATTATGAGTCTGTCATTGCTGCCGGCAAATGCGTTGGTGGGCCTGATCACATTCGGTACAATGGTAGGAAACATCTACTCTAGGGTTTTTTGGATGGCTCGTTGACTTGGTATACAGGCACAAGTACACGAGCTTGGCTATGCCGAGTGCGCTAAGTCTTATGTGTTCCGGGGCAGCAAAGAGTACGCCGCAAAGCAAGTGCAGGAGATGCTTGGCCTCTCATCCGGACTGCGTCCGAACGTGCCTCAGCAGCCCGCCCGCCCTCCTCTTGGCCCTGCGGCACGGTTCCTCCTCCCCGTTCAACAGGCCGAATTCCAGATCACGAACGTGCTCGAGCAGCTCCAGCGTGACCCGTGGCCCGTTGCGAACGACAAGCGACCCCTCAGATGTACCGGCGTTGCCCTCAGCGTCGCTGTTGGTCTGCTTGAAACCTCTTTCCAGAATGCCGGTGGACGCATTATGGTCTTCACCAGCGGTCCGGCCACCGAGGGTCCGGGTCATGTCGTCGGTCCTGAGCTGAAGGAGCCTATCCGTTCTCACCATGACATTGACCGTGACAACATCAAATACTACAAGAAGGCTGTCAAGGTGCATATCTACGTATCCTTCAAACGATTGCGCTTTGCTGATTATCTGTTTAGTTCTATGACACCATGGCTAAGCGCGCTGCCAACAACGGACACATTGTTGATGTCTTTGCCGGCTGTCTCGACCAGGTTGGTATGCTGGAGATGAAGAACCTCGCCAACTACACCGGCGGTCATATACTTCTCACAGACAGCTTCACCTCCTCACAATTCAAGCAGTCTTTTGTCAGAATATTTGACAAGGATGCCAATGACAATCTGCTCATGGGCTTTAACGCATCTCTTGAGGTGCTGACTACCAAGGAGCTCAAGGTCACCGGACTTATCGGTCACGCAGTTTCCCTGAACAAGAAGTCGAGCTCTGTCGGCGAGACGGAGTGCGGTATCGGAAACACTTGCGCCTGGAAGATGTGCGGAATTGATCCTGCCTCGAGCTACGGCATTTACTTCGAGATCGCCAACCAAGGCGGGCCTGCAGCCGTGCAACCAGGCCCCCAAAGAGGAATGATGCAATTCCTTACATACTACCAGCACTCATCCGGACACTATCACCTTAGGGTCACGACTGTCGCACGGAACCTCAGTGGTCCGGCTGGCGACCCTACGCTGGCACAGTCTTTCGACCAGGAGGCGGCCGCCGTGCTGATGGCGCGCATCGCTGTGTTCAAGGCCGAAGTCGATGACGGCCCTGATGTGCTCCGATGGGTTGACCGGATGCTCATCCGACTCTGCTCCCGCTTTGCTGACTACCGGAAAGACGACCCGACGTCATTCCGGTTGGAGAAGAACTTCACTCTTTATCCCCAGTTCATGTTCCATCTGCGCCGAAGCCAGTTCTTGCAGGTGTTCAACAACTCCCCCGACGAGACTGCTTTCTACCGCCATGTGCTTAACCACGAAGATGTTGGCGACTCGCTTGTCATGATCCAGCCAACTCTGGATTCTTACTCTCTGGAACACGAAGGAAGCCAACCTGTTCTCTTGGACTCGGCTTCCATCCAACCTGCTCATATCCTCCTCCTGGACACCTTCTTCCACATCCTCATCTTCCACGGTGAGACCATTGCTGAATGGAGGAAGGCCGGTTACCAGGAGCAGGAGGGCTACGAGAACTTGAAGGTGCTCCTTGAGCAACCGAAGGAAGACGCCAGGGTTCGTATACCGAGATCGCGCTTGCCAAATATACGCTAACCACCGATGACAGGAACTGATTTCTGACCGTTTCCCGCTACCCCGTTTCATCGTTTGCGACGCTGGTGGCTCTCAGGCACGTTTCCTTCTGTCGAAGCTGAACCCATCGACAACGCACACGACAGGAGGATACGGCGGAGGTGTGACGTCGCAGACCATCTTTACCGACGATGTCTCGTTGCAGACTTTCATGGACCATCTCATGAAGTAAGTGGCTAGTGAAGACTCCGTGATGAAAGCACTTGCTAACCCATTTCTCAGACTTGCTGTTTCCGGAACCAGCTAGATTTGACGAGGTAATGGCCACGACGAGAGCAGGGGAGGTTTGCGACGGTCCTCGGGTCGTTTGTATCTTTAGCGGTTATTGATTTTTGTTCGTTACCCTGGAATATAGCAACTACCTAGATTCAACGATTGAATACAAGCAAAATTCCGTAATAATATTCATTCATGGAACCCTTCAGTCTAAAGTCCCTCCTCCGGAAGGCCTAGCGCGGCCCGTCATAATCACGTGAGCACGGTGGGTTGAGCCCTACTGAGCTTACCGCTTCTGGGGTCTCGCTTAGCGGCAGCGCAGGCGGCAGCTAAATATCCTGCGGCCGTGACAGCGTTTTCCTTTCTTTCCTCGTACTATCCACCCCGACAACTTCCAAGGACGATTGACGACCTTTCGCACTCGCCATGCGTAAGTATCATCTCCTTGGTGAAAGCGATATGGCGGACTAACATGCAACCCATTGGGCAGCTCCCAAGTTCGACCCCAATGAGGTGAAGATCATGTAAGTTGCAATCCTGCAGTCGCGCGGTCAATTTTCGCGCAGCAGCTAACAATTTGATAGCCACCTGAGAGTGACTGGTGGTGAGGTCGGTGCCCAGTCCGCTCTGGCCCCCAAGATTGGTCCTCTCGGTCTGTCCCCCAAGAAGATCGGTGAAGATATTGCCAAGAACACTGGTGACTGGGTAAGAACATCCACGGACGCACCGCTGAAGAAGACCGAGCTAACCGCTGTTCTCCTGCTATAGAAAGGTCTCCGTGTGACTGTTCGTCTCACCATCCAGAACCGTCAGGCCGCCGTCTCCGTTGTGCCCTCCGCCTCTTCCCTGGTCATCAAGGCCCTCAAGGAGCCTCCCCGTGACCGCAAGAAGGAGAAGAACATCAAGCACAACAAGTCCGTTGCTTTCGACGAGATCGTTGAGATCGCTCGCCAGATGCGCCACCGCTCTCTCGCCAAGGAGCTCAAGGGTACCGTCCTTGAGATCCTCGGTACCGCTTTCTCCGTCGGTTGCCAGGTCGATGGCCGCAGCCCCAAGGACGTCTCCGACGACATCAAGGCCGGCGAGATTGATGGTATGTGATGTTCGGAAGTTGATATCAGATGGCATACTAACTGTTTACTAGTCCCCTCCGAGTAAATGGTGATCAGGATACCCGGCGGTCGTGAATAAATACCGACATGCTAGTTACCAAAATATCATCATTGTTCTCTCGAACCAACCCTGTTACGAGTCATGACTTTTAGGATTCCCACTTGTGTTCATTGAAATGATAAGTGTTTTCACTCAACTCTCCTTGTTGAGATTGCCCTCCTCCCTTCCGTCTCACATGGTCTACTTGCTGCCCTATGCAAGCTGGATGGTGTCGAGTTCCCAACTCAGATGACCTTTGCAACACTCTGGCCCTTACCGTCGTTTCCCGCCTTCGGGCCTGGATTCGAATATCATACCACGTGGTATAGGCTTATTTTAAGCAAAGAAGAGCAAACCGACCCGCTACTCACCGCGGTATTCTTGGAGGGGAGCTTCGTGCTTCTTTCTGTGGATACCATGGTCCATTTAACGGTCAACATCATAAATTCAAACCAGACACGATAGTCTGCCGTCGTAGAAATCCATATCAATCCAATGAAAATCATTTCTTTACAACCGTGCTATCTTCGTATAGATATCCCTCCAGCTTCAAATAACCCACCTTCGGTCAGCGGGTAGGAACTAGTCCACCCGATCGACCCTAAATCCGTGTGATGCTATTGTTGTCGCCGGCCTGAAGAATGAAGCGCCGTGAATCTGGGCAAGCAGGCTGGAATTCGATGGGGCAACGAACACGGACACACCGAAGAATCCACGAGGGCCCACCGGCTACTGGGATGAGCGCCATTTGGCGTTCCTGATACGCGCCCGGCTGCAGGAGCCCCTTAACAAATCCCGGGTCGACCGTAGGCAGAAAGGAAGGGAGGCATGGGGCAAGTGATGGATCTCAGGGCATCGGGATTCGGGATGCAGGTGGTTGTGATAGGCACAGGCAGGCGCACCGACATGCATGTTGTCCACTTCCTGTACCTCCTTCAGAGTATCCGTACTCCATAACATACATCGTTAACTCGTGACTCACCCGACAGCTGAGTCAGCCAGCCCGGTCAGGCCAGCCAGGCTTGCCAGGCTTGCCAGGCCGATCTCAGGCCAGCGCATCCATCTTTCGCGAGTGAAACATGGCTGGCCTGGGACCTGGAGATATCCTCCGGATGTCTTTGCCACACCACGGCCGAGCCGGACAGTTATACGACGGATGCATCGCGCTCTGATTAGTATTCTAAATTATCCACGATCATTCCTCCCACCCCCCCTCCCCCTTCCCCTTCCCCTCTCTCCTCCGAACGGGTGCAAGTGGAGAGCCAGCGCGCAGCAAAGTTTGCCGATCCTCATCGCCAGACCGCTCGTGACATGGCCGATGGATAATCACCGCCTACCGGGCGGCCCCATTCCCGCCGTCCTCGTTGATCCTGGTCCAACTTCACTTACTTTGACTGGGTCTTTGGGGGGGGCATGGGATGATGGGATGGGATGGGATGGGGGTACAACGCAGGCCATGGATGAACACTAACCCACACTACGTACGGATACCGTAGCACTGTCATTTACTTTGTTGCGTTGAGGGAGGGCTGAAATCATGGCCGTTGAGTGGATGGATACGGGAAACGGGCTTTTTGATTGAAAGTTGAAACTGAGGTAGGTTTCATGGATCCTCTGTTCCCGAGACCTAGATTTTGAGTTGGGCCGGGGAAAGGGAATAGTTCTGGGGCTGGGGAATCTTGGACGGGAGGGAATTGGAAGTATAAGAACGGGGAATAGATGGTTTGGCGACTGCCTGATGCATGCGATTGAAGATACTACGGAATAGATAGATAGAGGATGGAAGTATGGCGGTGCATTTGTTTGTTAGACTTTGATAGGACCCCCGTATTGGTCGACGGGTTTTAGGCACGCCGGATTAAAGCTCGAAAGTTTGAAGCCCGTCACTGATATGGGAAGGCGGCCTATCAGAAATTCATCACCACGTCGAGCACGAGTATACAGCACCCCAGCCGCACATATCTGCGAGATGTGGCCGTCATCCAGGCTTTTCACTTGATCAGAGGCGGCATGCGCTTTGTTTTTCAGCCTCTGGTGCATCCAGGGCTGCAGAATGATGTTGGTTGTGATGGTCGCCAGGTGTCGGAGCCTCGTTAGATGATGCATATCCATTCTTTCCTCTGGCGTAATTATCTGATTACGATATTCCCTCGTACGGAGCATCTCCTTTGTTCTGGAGAGCCACATATTCATCACTCGATATTAGCCCGTAATGGTTTGCGCGGTCGATGTATAATTATAATAATGATAATAATTTGGGAATAATAATAGTAATATTGATATCCAATTTCTCAGGATTCAGCCAGTCCTAGACGGACTCCACTCGAACCCACCGAAAGTGCCAGATCGCCCATCCGTCCTCACCACCGAAACCCTCCCACCCCCAACTCAAAAGGGCCCCCAAGGCCCAAGGCTTGACCACCGCGGGCGCCACCGCGACCGGGGGCCATGGCTGCTGGGCCACTGACGTTAGCCAGGCCTGGATTCGCTCCTGCGCCCAGCTGGCTAGCGCCGGTCCATCCTGGCCGTTGGATCGTAGTACCTTCAGGTGGGACTGGATGTGATGGATGTTCGTGTTTCCCTTGTTTCGCGTTTTTGGGTGGAGGAAAAAGAGGTTCCTTCTTCCTGGAGCTGGGCGGGTGGACGAGAACGACGTACCTTGGATCGGTCGCATCTCTGCCTTGAGGGCGCCCCTTCCTTCAAGCCACCGCGTGTTATACTTTATCCCATCCTCCGATGCCTGTATAGATCCTATCTCGAGGGGTATGTATATCATTTTATCAGCCGGGCACATAGTATACTGTGCGGAGTAGGGGTACATACTTGCATGGTTTGTATAGTACCTCGACCTAGGTACATACCATTTTATTCTTTCGCCCTTTTTAATTCTTTTTACTTCCTTTTGGTTCAATTTCTTTCTTTTTCTTTTTTTCCTTCCATTCCAAGCCACCACCACCACCACCACCACCAAGTAATTGACCTGGACGCCCAAAACCCACCCGCGTCCCAACTCAGTAACCTCCCTCCCCACTCCACCGGGGCCAGGCCAACGCCTATTGGCTCCACTCCCGCTGGTCCATCCTGGCGCCCACTCAGGCTCAGAGGGCTGCCCTCCCCCCCACCCCAAAAAAGGAACCGCCCTAGAACGAAACGGGAGCTATAGGCTGCCGCCGCCCACTGCTTGCGTTTTTGAAGCTCCGCTCTGTCATGATGCGCGTCCCGCTTGATGGAGCCCTTGGGTCGTCGATGACTCTTTGTCTGCTACGTTAGTGACTCTCGTATGGATGTAGTTGGGTTTTTTAGTCCCTCCAGAGCTTCAATTCCATACTTTTCCGCTTCAATCGATTTCCCTGCCGAATTTTTTTTTTTGAATTCCCCCCTCCTAGGCTCCCACTGGCGCATCCATTATTTTTCCCCCTTCATCATCTTGGCCGTCCATCCTTACCCCGGACTTCCCTTTTTCTTTCTTTTGGTGAATTCCCCTGCCTCATCACCTTCCCCTGGGCAATCTGAGTGGTGACTTGGACCTCTCCGCCCGCCGTTGGATCTTCTCCGCTTCGACCAGCCCTGCCGTGCCTTGGATCTGAGGTATCGCCGTTGGAATACTTCAGCCCAATCAGGACTTTCGCCGTCCCCGACATCATCCCAGAACGAAAAAAAGAAAAAGAAAAAGCAAAAGAACAGACAGACAGAGAAAAAAAAATCTCTTTTACAGCAAAGATAGACAGAAAAGAAAAAATATTCATCTTCCCCCGAGACAAGTTGTTGTGATTGTCATCAGCTAGTGGTGCCATGTTCAACCTTTCTCCTACACTATCGTTTCCCTGATTCGGATTTTGTCGGTCTTCACATCGGATCTGATTTGTTCTTCGGCTTCTTCTCTATCCTCGCCATTGATTCTTCTTCCCTGCTGGCCACCAACTTCATCGTGAACCCCCTCCCCATCCACTCTGCCGACCCCCCGGCCGGTCACTCTCTTTGGTCTTCTTTTCCCCCCTCTTTCACTCCCTCTCGCGCCGAGTACAGCATTTCTGCCAAGCGCAGGATTGCCTAGTGGTTGATCGCGTCGTGCGGACACCTGCGTCAGTGTGGGCGCTCTAGCAAGCTGACTAGGGCTGTGTGGTTCTCTCAGTCTCGATCCCTTTCCCTCCCTTGCATCGCTTCTTCACCCACCTGTCTCTCACGCAGCAAATAGCGTTGTCGGAGCGGATCGCCTGCGTGTCTTTTTGATCTTCTGGAATCCAGCGGCTTCGTGAATGGTATCTTCGCCCCAGACTCAGCCTCCATCCGATTTCCTCTCCTCTCCCTCCTTCACCTCCGCGGCTTTCGTACTTGCGCCCACTGTCATCCTCGATCACAATCAGCGTTCATGTCGAGCCCAGGGACACGCGGTGGGGGCCTTCGCTGAGTGTCAACTGAGCCGGCTCATGCCCAGGATGAGGTGTAGGAAACGTTTCAAGGAGGATGCTTGTTGATTATCCAGCGAGTTTGATACTCTGTCGACCATACTGACTGATTTCGATCGCCCCGAACCGCGCTCTTGACGAGAGCCCTGCATTTCCTATCCTTCTGAATTACCCACGTCTTTTTCGTCTCTGTTGCGGTCTCTCTCTACCCCCACTCCTCTCTCTAACATAATTCTCGTTAATCACGGCGAAACAAAAGCGGTGTCCTACTATTTGAGGTCAAGATGTTGCCCTCAGTAGCACCGTTCCCACCCGTTCAACCGCATCATCACTTCAATTATCGTCTTGGTGCCGACCCAACCCACGGACCTTACGACCCGAACACCTCATTCCTCACATCAGTCCCTCGTAGCGACCTGAGCAAAGCTTCGTTCCAGTTGACAGCTCGATCCCGACTACAATATCCCCATCCTATTCAACGTCTCGACGCCCACGATGCCACTGGCCCGGTGCCCAGTCCGAAGAGTGCGGGCGAACACGCCTTACGGAGGAAAACGCCGAGCGGGACATTGGCTGCTGGGTATGATGGCACGCCAGGGGATACCACCATTCAGCCGGCGAGCAAACACATCTTAGTCTCACCCATCGAATCGGGCCACTTGGTACCACCCCATACCGGATTTCCAATGGAGACATGGCAACAGATCGGCATGGACCAGGCTTCAGCGGGGAAGCACCTGAATTTCCCGCCCGTCTATCGAAACGACTCGAGCCGAGCTAATGCTGCCCCGGCCGAGATAACCCAAGCGGTGAATGGGACCAGTTGGGTTCGCTCTCTGAACTACGTGCCGGGGATGGACTCGATGTTGAACCAATCCCTGCCGATGCAGCCCTCGCAGCAGCGGTTTTACTTGCACAATGGCGCCTATGTTCCTACGGTTCTCCCAGCGACCCTTCAACCATGTGTCGGCCCCACCGCATCGGCCGGGACGGGGCCGTACGGTCCATATTGGCCGGATGGGGTGTATATCCCGTATCGTCCAGCGGCCTTTCGAGATGCTCGGTTCAATGAACCCACCCGGTTTGCGAAAGCAACGAACCCACCCCCACTCCAGTTCTTTGATGCAGGGCAACCGCCTTTCAGTCGGGGGGCTATCTCCTCTGGCAGCCACCCGGACCCAAGTCTGACCTGGAACCAGGGCCTTGGCATGCTCGCCTCCGATCTGCCAATGAAGAATAACTTTCCTCGACGCCATTCGGATCAGAAACCCGTGGATATATCAATGAGCCAGCGAATCCTGCCGTATCACACCCGCCAGTCTAATCCCAGCTCGGGCTTTTCATCGCGTCCCCAAATACCTGAGAGTGGTCCATCTTGGTCCGGCCCTGCGAGCGCCCAGGGTCCTACAGCAACCCCACCGACAACGAACACAGAATTCAAGGAGAAGGTGTTAACGTGGGCCCATAGTGTCTACGTCGACCTCCTTGCATCCATTCACCAGGCACGGCGGAATAGTATCTCGAATGCTGCGGCGGAGGGGCAAAGTCAACGGATTTTGAAGCCGAGCATTTACCCGAAACCACCTCGTCAGCCTGGTCTCGATTTCTCCAACACCAATGCCACCGAGCCCAGTCGTCATAACACTTACCCTTCGGGTCCGTTTGACCAGAGGGCCAATGCTATCAGTAACGCAGGCCAAAGTGACGCCTCCAGCTTTCCGGCTGGCCGTCGCTACGAGCGTCCTTCATTGGCTCAGATCCCGCAAGCTGCGTCTGACACCCAGATGCTGGACCGGCTGCGCCATACCGGACGATTGACTGCTTCAACAGCGGCGTCTCGCTTTGGTGCCACGCCATTGACTGAGGGTTCCATCACAGGGAACGCAATATCATCCTTGGAAATGTTATCACATCTTTGCATGGAGAGTGGATGGGAATGGATTGACGGGATGCTCCTGGGAGGCTGCCTTGCCTATGGCCTTGGGGACTATCACAAGGCCATGCGATGGTACTCCAGGATCATCGCTCGAGATGCAACGTGAGTATGAGACTCTCTGCAGTTAGCTGAGATATCTAACCATACACAGGCATGTGGAGGCCATCTCCAATCTTGCGGCCACACTTTTGGCGCTGGATCGCCGAGAAGATGCCTTGCAACATTGGCTTCGGGCCGTGAAGCTTCGCCCGAGTTTCTTTGAGGCCGTGGAACACCTGATTGGCCTTTTGTGCAGCAACCAACGCGGCAAGGAGGCCGTCAACATCATTGAGTTCGTGCAAAATTCGCTACGATACCCCAAGAATGGCGATTGCTTCGCGTCCGATGAGCATGCGAGTGAGACGGAGAGTGATGCAGAGAGCAGAGCGTCCAGCACGTCTGACCTGGGCTCCTATGAAAAGGCGTCCTTCGATTACGATGATGACTTTGGCCGGTCGGTCTCTGCCAACCGGGGTTCCGCGGATGTCAACTCGGTTGGATTTGGTTCCAGCGGCTACTCGGTCCCGGGTTCTGATAACGGCCGAATGTTGGCTCTAGTTCACGCCAAGGGCAATATGCTGTATGCGCTCGGCGACAATGTAGCCGCCGCTGCAGCCTTTGAGGATGCCATCCTGATAGCAGCGGGACGACGACGCCATGGAATTCAAAACCTGATCCGGCAGATCTTCTCGGCCTTTACGCAGAGCGCACATCGGTCTTATCCGGGCCCAGACCCCCGCGGACCGCAAGAAACGATTCTCTTGTATCCGGACCATGCCCTGCAGACGTCCAAGCTAGTCTTTGCCCCCTGCGGAACGCCCCCAGGGATCAAGTATGTCCCGGAAGGTCTTGCACGAAAGGCAGCCATTTCCACTACCAGCAATTCACTGCTGTCACTGGCCAAGATCTATCAAGACGGCATGTCGAATCTCTCCAACTCCGGTGTTCCACGCACTGCTCCAGGCGTTCGGGATATCCTGGCTCTCTACTACCTCTCCCTGTCTCTTCAGCCAAGCCCGTCCACCGCTAATAATGTCGGGATCTTGCTGGCCGGCATCCAGAATAATGCCCCTAAGAAGGTCCTCCCTCGTCCCAGCGGCGATATGCCGCATCCTGAAATCCCCGGGGTGATCCCGGGCACCGGCATCTCGTTGGCTCTCGCATACTACAATTACGGACTGCACCTGGACTCGCGCCATGCCCATCTCTACACCAACCTCGGGAGCCTCCTGAAGGATATCGGCCAGCTGCAAGCGGCTATCCGCATGTATGAGCAGGCTGTTCATTGTGATGGGAACTTTGACATTGCTCTGGCGAACCTGGCAAACGCGGTCAAGGATGCCGGTCGTGTCAACGATGCGATCGGATATTACAAGCGTGCTGTGAAGGTGAATCCGGAGTTCGCGGAAGCCGTGTGTGGCCTGGCCAATGCTCTCAATTCGGTCTGCAACTGGGTCGGCCGTGGTGGCATTCACAACGGTCATGGGTTCCGAGACCGGTGGCATGTCAACGACCAGGGAATGCTCCGTGACGCTTACACCAATGACACCGGGACAGGCTGGATCAAGCGGGTGGTGGAGATTGTCGATCGGCAACTCAAGGAGGGAGAGGCCTGGGGTCGCGGTTTGCTGACCCCGAATGTCATTGAGCAGTTGTGCGCACAATTGGCTCCTGCCGCAAGTGCCCACAACCAGGCTGCATTTGGCACTCTGGCCGGTATTTTGCAGTCCTGGGCGGGCCAACGATGGGAGGGCTCCCGGATTGTCAAGCTCGTGGAGCGTGCAAATCGCTCGATCACCTGGCAGTGGTACCAGGATCGGTATGTTTATGGCAAGGATTACCCGCTGTCTAAGTACCGGCGTCCACAGCTTCCCTCTGGCCTGACCGCGCCTAATGCGCCTACGGTTCTACCTTTCCATACCTTCACCTGCCCGCTGTCCGCCAAGCAGATCCGCCAGATCTCGCAGCGGAACGGACTTCGGATCTCCTGCGCAACCTTGCGTTCGCCATGGCTGCCTGCGACCGTCTTCCCTCCGCCGCCTCCTCCGAACCCGTATCTCAAGGTCGGTTATGTCTCGTCAGACTTCAACAATCACCCTCTGGCCCACCTGATGCAGTCGGTCTTTGGCCTGCATAACCCCTCCCGGGTGAAGGCATACTGTTATGCCACTACGATGAGCGACAAGTCGATCCATCGGCAGCAAATCGAGAAAGAAGCCCCGGTGTTCTACGATGCCAGTGGCTGGCCCGTCGACCGGCTCGTCCGGCAGATCGTGGAAGATGGAATTCATATCCTCATCAACCTGAATGGATACACTCGGGGTGCGCGGAACGAGGTCTTTGCAGCTCGGCCCGCTCCCATCCACATGTCCTTCATGGGGTTTGCCGGGACGCTGGGTGCGGAGTGGTGTGACTACATCCTTGCTGATGAAATCTCGATTCCACCTGACACGCTCTCGCCCGGGAGACGCACCGCACGCATGGAGGATCGGCTGCTAGAGGAAGACCACGGCGAGGATCTGGAAGACTGGGTATGTGGGGAGAAGATCGTCTATACCCGCGACACGTTCTTCTGCTGTGATCATCGACAGAGTGCGCCTGATGCTCAGGATCCCCAGATCGCGTGGGAGCAGGAGCAAGCCCGACGGTGGCGTATGCGAAAGGAATTGTTTCCGAACCTCAGCGATGACACCATTATTCTGGGCAACTTCAACCAGCTGTATAAGGTAAGCGCAGCAGACGACGATAGCATATTGCGTACTAATGGCATGTCAGATCGAACCTACGACGTTCCGCACTTGGCTCCGCATCCTGGCCCGAATCCCCAAGGCCGTCCTCTGGCTCCTCCGCTTTCCGGATCTGGGGGAGCAAAACCTACGGGAGACGGCCATTGCCTGGGCGGGGGAGGAGACGGCGTCTCGGATTATCTTCACCGACGTCGCGCCGAAGAACACGCACATTTCCCGAGCGAAAATCTTGGACCTGTTCCTTGACACGCCGGAATGTAATGCGCACACCACGGCAACGGATGTACTGTGGAGCGGCACGCCGCTCTTGACACTCCCTCGGTACAAGTACAAGATGTGCTCGCGGATGGCGAGCAGCATCTTGAGCAGTGCTCTGCCGAGCTCGGAGGCCGGTCGCGAGGCTCGATCGGATTTGATCGCCTCATCGGACGAAGACTACGAGAACAAAGCCATTCGGCTCTGTATGAGTCTGAAGTACCACCCGGGTGGGCAAGGCCGCGCGGGAGGCCGGTTAACCGAGCTACGCCGGATGCTATTCCAGGAACGGTGGGCAAGCAAGCTTTTCGATACAGCGCGTTGGGTTCGTGATCTGGAGGATGCCTACGATCGAGTTTGGCAACGATGGGTAACTGGCGAAGAAGGCGATATCTGGTTATGATGTACGCATCAGAATATACCCCTTGAGCGATTTTGGTTGGATGTTTTTTCCATGTAGGTTACGGTTGTGCATATGATTTGTTTCTTGGTATTATTTGTGTGTGGATTGCATGCTGGCGTTGGATGCCTAGGTATGGTCAATGATGATGATGCAGCTGATTGATTGGTTTGGATATGAGTGATATTGGGTAGGCGTTGAGGGATCCCCGAAAGGGTGAGCGTTTGGAGTAGGGATAGAGGATTGATGATTGAATGTATACCGTTCGGCTGTCAGCATTCTCGGAGGACATACTCCGTATTAAGAGGATGACCACTATTGTTGCCTCTATTCCACAGAAACCTAGTAGTCCAAACCACGCCAATGTGACGAATATGGTGCATCATTTTGATAAAGTCGACAATACCACAATCCACAATTCAACTTGGTATAATCTACCCGTCCACTCCGTCACAAATGAGAAAACACCCCTTCCCTCCTCAAATCCTAAATCCTCAACCCAACAAGTGACGCCCCATGTACAAATTAGTCATGAGTATAATATAATATTCTGTAAAAGAAAGACATCAAGTCGGCTGGATGGTGTAGTTGGTTATCACGTATGCTTCACACGCATAAGGTCCTGGGATCGAGCCCCAGTCTAGTCACTTTTTTGCCCCCACCCGCTTCCTCCTCCCTATTTCCTCAAGGTATTTCGGAGAAGGGATGGGGTGTTTTTTTACACCTCTGGCTAAATAGGTATTTTGTTTTAGTGAATGTGTAGTAGGGTGAGTGATATGCTAGGGGGGATATGTCTAGTGTTGTATCTTGCTTCGCTCATCATTAACTGAATTACTCTTACAGAGTACTTGAACTGTAGATATATATGTGACGGTGCTAATCAGTGATCCTCCCTCCCCTGAATTTTCCCGCCAAACATCGGATTTAAACCAGTCCTTCATAATTTCATCACCATCGAATTGGAAATAAATGATATATAACCCCCCCCAGCATCGACTCTTCATTGACAATAAATGAAACAAATCAGACCAGGTCAGACCAACCTGCCCAACTATTGACTACCAGCCAATTGAACCCCGAAGCGATAGTATATCTGGGATAGATCCTGCTTCGATGATTTGGGTGCTGAATCCGAGATATCGGGTTCTTTGCCTTTTCTTCGCTTCACTTTCCTTGTTAGTGAGAGAGGATGCTGCGAATAATCATAATTACTTTCTTGTTGGTTCTTTCCTTTTTTTCTTTTTTTACCCCTGAGTCACGCCCTCGTGAGTATGTAATGTATTCGGAGGTGAGTATCATGGTAATGGTTAGATGGTATCGTATCGAGCCATATAGGAACCATTGATATACTTCCACTCACTCTTTCCTGGAATGGCATCTCCAACGTCATGTGACTATAACTATAATCCTCTGATTATCCCATGTACTGCACTAGACAGGACACACAGACACAAACACAACCACAGGCATGTTGCTGTGTTCAGGTATCCATGCGGGGAAGATGGCTTTGCTGTAGGGCTGAGTTGAGTTGAGCTGGGCTGCATGTAGACTTTACATACCATGTTCGCCAAGAATCACAAGCGAACAATTATCGCCCTTTTAAGTACCCCAAAGCCTGACACAATCACCCGATGCGAACAGCAAACAGCGAATCAGACAGAGGAGGAGGTAGAGAGGTATATAGGAGTAGCCTAGGCCTCTCGCATGATTCTTCACCCCTTTTCCGATTTATATATCAGAGACAGCATGGGAATCGGTTAAGGGTGTGATCTTCATCCCACGGCTTTCTGCTTTTGAGGGGCATGCATGGCAACAGACCCTGCTGTCCATGGAAAGAGTGCCACGTGCTTGGACTGTATTTTCATCACTGCTTGTCCTCTTGTTCTCTTCATATCCATGGAGTGGGGTATTTGAGTTACCAACACTCCTAGTTCTAACGTTCTTGTGGTAGGAAGAATAGATCGTGGTGTCATAATCGAGCGGGGTGCGGGAGCTGTTTCAAGAGGGTAAGTAAATGGTCTTCCCAGTGTTTGTGGAGTGGGTTGTGTTGGTCCCATCTGATCATTACCACCACTCCTATAGCTCCCTTGGTATGAAGAAACAGATCGCGACAGTATGACAATCAATTAGGATATGTCGGGCGTCTCAAGAGGGTATGTAATTGTTTCCCTATGTCTGTGGAGCGAGTGTTGTGTTGGTCCCGTCATTTCTGAAAATTCCATCTGATTACTACCACCACTCCTATGCCTTGTGAAATGCAAGAACAGATCGCGGAAGCATGACAATTAATCAGGATGTGTGTGGCGCCTCAAGAGGGTATGTTCTTGTGTAGTTCTCCATGTCGACGTATAAGGTGTTGTGTTGATTTCATCATTGCTGTCGACCTCGTCTTCACAAGCCGTCCGTAAATTGGGGTAAGTATATGGAACTATGGAGCTGTGGAGTTGATTCATCGCCCCCTGTCTACCTCTCCTGGTATATGTAGATATGCAGCAGTATCTCGGAGTACTTGTCACTGAGATGATGCACCCGCGCAGTTAAACCTGTGAACGGTATGGGAAGGGGCCTCCCGGGGAAGAACACTCGTCTGATTATTTATATGAGAGGTAATAGACGGTCGGGAAAGGGGCACACTGGACAGAGCACCATAGTCGGTCTGATACGAGAGAGATGATGGGTATAATGGGTGTATGATCAGAGTCAACGTTCTGTATAGAATATGAGATCTTGTGTCGGGGCTGTGGTCTGGGGTATATTATGTAGCCATAGGGGAATGGCGAGAAGGCAGTGCTGGTAGCCGCACTTCCGCCGACATTAGTTAGCGAAAGGTGGTATCCAAAAGGCTGACAAGGACCTTGAGAATGAAACCGCCCGTGTTCGCCCATGTATCAGAATCGAGGACGGGTGCCGCTGGGGGAACGATTGGTTTGGTCTGACAAGACTCATATCTCTCTCGATGGTGCCACAAGGCCAGCAGATTATATAGGCGAGATCATTCTTTCACGCAATTAGGTTAGAAATTGCTCTTCCCATGTTGACTGGCGAACTGGCTTCCACTCCGCTGGGCAACTCGCCGCGTGAAGATGGCTACCGGCGTATTTCGAAGCAATCTTTGGTATTTGATTCGATCAACGTCCGCGTTGTAGGACTCGTCTTTGGTCGTTCCATATTGAAGGTAGTTTTGGAGAGCGGGCCTCAGGGCGCAAGTCGTGAGTGCTGCCTCTCTCATTGTGTTATATACTGCGAAGATGCTGTCCATATCAGTGCACGGTTTCTTCAACCTGATGTTCTTGCAGACGCCGTGTGTCATGGGAAAGGCGATATTGCCGCAATAGGATGATCGCAAAGTGACCAATTCATAGTACACACTTCCTTTCACCAGGCTGATGTTCAGCAAGCTGCAGTCCGCCTCAGGTGTTGTAGACAGAAAAGTATGGGCATAGAGAGAAACCCCATAGTCGTCAAACGTGCAACATGGTCACGGCCAGTCTTGTTCTAAAGTATGCAATGGCCTGGATGACGCCACCTATGTTGCTGTATGCCGAAGCGGGATTCATAGGTGGCAGAGACATTGTAGCCGGTCGTCCTGGTGTTCCTTGGAGCGAGCAGACGATGTAGCGAGAGGACGATGATATGCGCTTTGCGTATATAGATCTAGTATTGCAGGGAAGGCCGAGCTGCCATGGTGTAGAGAGTAATGCTGCCCAGGTGATGCTTGGCAAGTCAATATGCCAGCAATCCACCCTCTAATCGAGATTGCCTAGGTTGGATAGGTGACACCGTCTGTTCTGGACCACCAGGTCAAACATGCCGCCTCGTTAGTTGTCCTTTTGGCCGCTAAAATGCCTGTTCAACGTGGGTTGGGATTCGGGAAGAGCTCATTCATTCCAACCGCTTCTGTCAGGCGTGGTCTTCGATAGAAGAGACATAGACGTCTGCAATCTTCCTGTAATGCACGGACCAGGGCATTTTGGAGCTCAGGCCTGAGGCTCTCTGCTTTCTGGCGTGTCCATGTTGATGCTCGTCATATATAGATGAATGGCGCTGCTTTCGAGAGAACCATACCTCAGCCCGCCAGATATGTTTATTTCCTGGCTTCGGTTTCATTGCTGGGAGACTCGATAGAACAGGCCGAGACATGATCGGGTCCCCGGGCTCACAGCGATGATAGGTCCCTTGATGCTCGCCCGCAATAGTCTAGATACAGTTAGGTAGATGGTATCCCGCTGAAGTGCTGCCAGAGGCTGGCTGAACTCATGGCTTCGCGATTGCAGTAATTTTGCAAACGGGTATCATCGTAGTACTAAATTGGAACATGACAGGTCCATACTTAGTATTCAGAGCCGTTCAGATCCTTGATCCTGCCGCCTCAAATTCATAGATCTTGCTTAAGGAGATCGAAAGCTCGTCGATTGCTTCGCATTTATGCTGACTTCCGAGAGGGCAGTACTTTGCTGCCGGTTGAAAAGTGTATATCTCCACAGGTAGAGTAATCGCGACAGTATTCGGCAATGCAACCTATTGGATACTGCATCCATGTCCCCTGACTATTCAGGGCACCAGTAATTTGGGCAGGATTGCCACGAGCATACCGGCGCCTTGTCATCATTCCAAAGCCAGATTTCAAGCGGCTCAACAGACCTTGTCTCTTAGTGCGAGAAGGGGTGTATAGAGGATATAGCTCGTTCGTAGTCGCGAATGAGGGTGCTCCGCCCAACGTGATCATGTAGTTTGCTGATAGCTTCCAGCCCTTTTTTGTGTCTCACAGATAGCTGGTAGATACACTGTCTCCGTTCCGAAACATAGAACTATCATGCAGGATGGTTTGCTTCGCGACTGGGTAGAATATCTGCACACGTAATGCCAGACAAGCCTCGAGTAGCTGGCCATTATGCCGACATTAGAAGAACTAGTCTTCACAACTGTTTGTTTGATGCCGAGTCATAGACTGCCTGAGACACACGTCTGCCACTACATTTTCACCGTACATATCAATACGGCAGGTCAACAAGCCAAGCGGTATCCTCAAAAGATTTTAACCGACCGATTCATTCCTTGAGGGGCATTGCTCTGGCTGGAAGCTGCGTGATCTCATAACGGTTGCAGTTGATGTGCAAGTCATGATCGCTGTGATCTTCATTTTCCGGAACCCGTCGTTCGACTTCAGTATCCAGTTTCACCATTAGCACTGGGATATGCGGGTTGCATAGGGTGAAGATGCTGAGGTGGCCGAATCGGGTGCGAGGCATGGAGAGCTATCTGGTGCGTCCCAGTCCTTTACCATTCCATCTCCCGACTCTGGAGTAGAACCGGATGACTCCCCATTGTCGAAGCCAAAACAAAGCATCACTTCGATTCAGTATTGATACTCGACCGGCTTAAGGTCCAAAAGATCATTTGTGATAATATGCGTTATCACGATCGCCCACCCGCCATGGGTTGTATGTATTCAAGTGAAAAGTGCAAAACGCAGATGATCAGCCCCCAGTCCAACGCGAAGAAGCTATTTGGAAACAGCATTCAGACATGCAATTCTGGCTGACAACGGTTGCATTCGGACGAGGCATCCCCTGGCGTGCCCGGGAAAACTCGATCGCCTCACCCCTTCATAGGCGATGTCTCGAGTATGTGGTCCAAGTTGTCTCGCTGGCTGTAGCAACGCCGCCGAGTTTTTAGCTTCCACGTTGATCAAGAAGCCATAGTCCGAAGGTCCGGGCACCCAAGATAGCACCACTGTTACCATGAAGGCCCAACCGATCGACTGTCGCATATCAAGATTGCCTGCAAGGCAGTCCGATCCAGCGTAATTCGGATTCTCTCCTTCAATGTCTCAGAATGAGATGGACCGCCAAACCTTGTACCTGTTGTTGGAGAATGGTCAAGGTCCACACCTCGGTGAACCCTGCTCATTCCCCTCTCTTGCCCAGACATTATGGCCAGCCGTCATCCAGTTCACAATGTCTTCACCCGTGATATGCCTCCCACCATGCCATGACACCCTTGTGTTCCAGATCCATGAGGACCTGGCATCAGTAACTCCTCTTCCTGCTCCTCCGATGACCGACTGACCAGTCTGGCCAGGTCTTGTGTGTCTAAGGTCGCGCGGGCGGTCCGTCTCGTGTTGTAGACTTGATTGACTCTGCTGTTATGCTTTGTTCTGTTCGGGAGGATACGCGGGCGAGTTGGTATGCATCAAGTGAGAAGGATTGAGAAGAGAGAGCAGAGAGTCGGTATGGAGAGCTTGCCCGTTGCATGGGTGGAGGGGGAGGGGAGGAGGGGGGTAAGGATTTCGGGAGCGGCGGAATAATTCACCTGTTGATATGGACATCAGGTTAGTCGAGGGCGTCAACTCCCTTTCACCACTCAACTTCTGTGTTACCCTCTGATAAGGCCTTGAGGTTGACGGATCTGCCATGCCATGTTTCTTTGGCTCTCTTCGTTTCCCAATCCCGTTGTGAATTGTACGACAGCCGCTTAATGACGTGATGGAGCAGGCAGGACAGACTGTGACTCGCCTCGACGAATGAAGTGGTTGACAATGGCAGCAACAATAGCATGCAGACAGACTGGTCGATACCGTACCATCTTATGCGCGACAGGAAAACATTAGGCCTGGCAGTTGGAGGTTGTTCGGGTGATGGGCAGTGATAACATGGTGAGGGGGTCGCGAGACATTTGAGCCAGTTCACTGTCGACTGGAAATACAGATAAGAAAGATAGGGTGTTCCTACTCTGCCACACCGGCTATCTTCAGAACAGGACTCATCCTCCCAGGTCGGACTTGATCCTGTCTCAGGCTGTTGACTCTGTTGTCTCGTGTTCGCATCAAGGCACACCGGAGCATAGGCTAATCTCAAGCAATGCACTGGGCTTTGAAGATTATGACCTCGGAGGATGCTGTCGGTGAAAACCAAGTGGAGGCAGAATGATCCCTCGAGCATCAGGAGATATCCTTGTTCGATGGACAGTTTGCCAGTAGTGGAAGGGTCTGGAATATCAGACTTGCCAAGGGGCAGCCATATCGGAGTAATGCGTGGACTAGATATCCATGGGCGCCCAATGATCCAGTTCAGTGGTGAAGTGGCTGTGATTGCTGTCTCCGTTCGGTGGCGATACATGTTCCCTTCACGGTATAGCAGCTTTGAAAGAGACCGTTGCGGCTTTCCATAAGAGTGGTTGCAGTGGCGAGTCATGGATCGACTCTAGACATCACAATGGCATTTATATTGTCGCTGGTGATGAAATACCGTGGGTTCATTTTTATCAGAGCATCCCTTTCATGGCATAGGACTCTCAGGAGGATCTTATGGTAGTTCTTATCCATGCCAGTTGCCTCGGGGTACGAGGGATCATGTATAGGCATCAGTGCAGGAACCATGAAACTCGGTGAGCGGGGTGTGGTTGGGTGATGGTGTATTCATGTTTATAGCAGTCTTCAGAGGGCGACATTGATGTGAAAGATCATGTAGTCGTGCTTCAGTAGTTGATCGGGAATATGAGAAGGTATACCAGCTGCCACAATGGTGGACTGGAGTGCCTTGCTTTACACAGAGCACATATGGAATCCGCTTATAGGATTATATACGGGTAAAAGACCGCATAAAACTAGGATACCTATAAGAATAGCAGTCCCTAGAGACTATACATGATATTGTTGTATAGTATAAGCAGTGAATCACTCTGCTTGTGGTTGATACGAAAGCATGAGATGGTATATGCGTTAAATAACTTCATTGCAGTCTTCATCTAGACAACTGCCCCCTTCCAGACAGGCAAATACCATGGAAGTATCCTGATGCAGCCAGTCTGCCTCCGAAAACTCGGAATGTATCGAGCCAGACAGCTGTAGGCACCATCCACTGAATGACATAGAAGGGAGACTTGCCTATCACGGGACTGGCATAAGTACATCACCATATCAAATATCATCCACATCACAACAAAGTAGAACCGCATGAACCGCCATTAACCAGGATCCCCATCACTTGACCTATCGAATACACCAGCCTACTCCGTACGGAATACCAGATTGATAACCCAGGTAGGACAAGCGTGGGTCACATGCAGCCCCCGAAGGATTTGCAATCCCTTGCGTGGCCGCCGTGCGGATTGCAACTGCACGAACCGGGATGATGACAGTTGGACGCATGAGCACGACGCCATGTCGAGTAAGGATAAACTGGGCTATGTATGACCAGAGCCAGCATTCCGATCCTTCAGCAAGTGGAGGCGGGGATCGGGGACCAGTGTCTCCATCGGGGATTATCCATCAGTGAGTGCCGGGGGAGGGTGATGTCAGCTAGTCCCTCGATCGATCGAAGCCTCACTTTGCTTACTCCGTACTCTATAGAGTAATGCACAGTGGATGGAAGGGATGAACAAAAGAGATCAACATCGCACATGGCATCCACGCTTGGTCAGCGGTTGATAATCGGAACAAAGAACCAAAACAAGGATACCAAACAGGTTGAAGGAGTCACGCGATCCAGGTATCCGGGACTCGTCTTGTTGCTGACGATCTGACATGGTCGCAATCCTTCCGAATTGGTGACTGAATAGGTACTAGTCAGTGGCCGGACTCCTTCTTCGGACTCTACGATTCGCTACGGGATTAGACAGTGGTTGGTGACTATTTTCCGACTATAGGTGGCGTCTCATGCACCGGATCTCTAGTTTGCAGTCATGGAGTACAGAGCACAGTCGACAGACAGTCGATAGACAGGTCGTGCTCTTTCTCCGTAGTTCACTCACGGACACCTCCATCGTACATGGTACATACATAATCCTCCATGGTGGGTGCGGCCTCGTCAGGGGTAACCCACCCCCCATACTATCTGATATGTAAATAAATCAACTCAATGAACCCATCAACTCCTGCACAGTCCCACGTACGCAATCAACCAATCTACGGAGTATCCAGCACACTCCCTAGAACCCATCTCGAAGGTCGAAACAAAGCAAAAATAGTCCACCCCTGTTCTGCACCCCTGAATGATTTGAAAATGGCGAGTCATGAAACATCCTATTTGGGAGGAAGGAGAGATCGATCGGATTCCTCCTTCGTAGCGTATAGCCTCTGTTATAGGTGGATAGCAAGAACAAGGAATAAAGGTATAGCTGAGACCAAAACTCAATTCAGTGAATTCAAAGGAAGGTAGTTACCCCCGCTCTAATCCGTCCGTCAGCCTCGCTGCCAAAAACCGTTGCTTACCACTTATTCTCTGCTAGGTTTAACCAGGGGGTTGGGTTGATTGTACAGACGTAGGTAATACCATACACAGTAGATATAGGTAACCATACCATACAGAATACACACAACGGCGCGTATCTAACATCCCTCTCCACGTGGAGCAAGAACCCCTTACGCGGAAAGGGTTTGCGAGGTGTCCCTGATGGTAATACGTATCCTTCGTATCTCGTACGGGATACGACTGTTTTGTACGGTATGTATGTATGTATGTACTAAGAAAATCGTGGTCGGACCGGATCCACTCAGCCGCTCAGCCATGACAAATACTCGTCAATGGTGTTGCTGAATCCGCTCGATTGGGTAAACTGGTCTGTGTGATGGTCCTTGCACTGTTCATACCTATACCCTTATTATACCTCCCTCGCACCTTAAGAACTAGGATACTACAAGGATTCACGCAATCTGAGACACAAGTAATAGTGTATCATACCTATCATATTAATTAATCTACTCCGTACGGAGCACTCTCGCTAGCCATATGGATAGCCCACGAGCCTGGTGCTGCTGCCGATCACGGGCGGACCGGCAAGGCGGGTACCCTAATCCCAGTTCAGACAAGTTGATCATCCACCCCGAGATCCTCCGAAGGCCAATCAGGATGCTTTGCTGGAACTGGATCTCAACGTGCATCCGATCCACTGCCATATGCCTGAGTCGTAGGACTCAGGAGATTACTGCATACTATCGTGTAGGACTGCGGAGTACGGATAGTAGGTATAGATGTGGGTGTGGTCCCTGAGGACCCTTTTCTTTGGTTGATTACTCTTCTAGATGTAGGATATCAGCAGATACGCTGTAGGCAGGCCGAATACCATGGATAATATCACATGACCTGACACCTACGTACACCTTCTATCAAACATAAACAATGAAAAGATAATAGTACTCAGTACAAAGCATCTCCACTGTACTCCGTACTTCGTACGATGAATCACCCCGGAAGCATGACGGACACCCTCCGCAACACTAGACTCAATAAAGTATATGCAAGGTCCGAATTAATATATTCTTAATTCCTCACCCAACCGTCCAAACCAATCAGCATCCAGGCAGCCCAACCATCCCTCTCCAGAAACTTCAACGACAGAGGCGACGCGAGTCGAGTCCAGACAGGACCAATCTTCAGATCTGCACGTCCTTGGGTTGATCGGATGTACCCGACGCTATGGTACCGCTGTCTGCTTCCAGCCTGCTGTTGCGTGGGCACGTACTTGCCAGTCAAAGTCAATTCAGTCATTCAAAGTCAATTCAAGGTCCATTAAAGGGGAACGGTTAGGAGTCACTCAGGAGACATGTCAAGAAACCTCTATCGGATCCACTATATCAGCCACTGTTAAGTGTTAAGCTTGGGCACGATTTATCAATCGGGGTAAAATTCGCGAGGGTTACTGCGAGAGGAATGGTGGGCCCACTTGAGGGCTCAGCTCAGTCTCGTTTCCTACGCCTACGAGTACGGAGGATCGGGTTCTCCTTGAGATCGCAGACCTACCACCCTACCAGTAGATACTCCAATTTCAACCACCCCTATCACCATCCCCATAATCATGCTTAACACACCCTCTAAAAATCATCGGACCTAAACCCCCGACATCCCGACTCCGACATCCCGACCGTCTCCCGATACCAGTCAACCCCACCAAAAGTCAAAAGACAAACGAAAAGAAAAAGGAGAAACCCAACTCTAGCGAATCGAATTCTCCACCTCGCACTCGATTCTCCAGATCTCAGCCCCAACCACTACCAGTAATCGGCTGAACCACCAGTAACGTCCCCTAAACCATGACCTACCATGGCCAGCTCCCACGCGGCCGTTTCACATCCCCGCTACCTCAACCAACCCTGGTTCTGGGTCGGTCGGTCGGTCGCTTGGAACGTTGAACCGCAGGGACCACGGGAAGATCCTCTCCCTTTCCCCCTAAATACGGAGTACTTCGTACTTCTTTTAATAATTATCCGGCGGATTCGATTACGATTGATTTTCGATTCGGATCTGAGTGGATGGAAGGGACTAGAAGTGAACCATCAACCAACTACCAAGCGGAGGGGGTGTGGGTGGGATCGGAAATCGTTGGGTGGGCGGGAGTGTTGAGCTTTTACTAGATTGGGGAATTGGTATGTTTATTCCTTTGCATTATTCCTTACGGAGTATTGTTCAGTCTTTATGAGTTTGAGTGAATTATCTATATCGTATGTTATCAACCCTTTATTTATTATATCTGTATACATGTACATATACTCCGTAGTGATTTTCATACTCTCTTTTGGTGGTTACTGTCACCAGTCAATTCTCCGAACCCAATCCCTAAGGATCCTACTAGTCATCGGAACCCCAACTCCGCAATCATCGGAACATTTTCGGAAAGAGTTGGCCATACTTAGCCTGATACCCATACCCTGTAGACAATGGCCGTTCGGCAATAATAACACCATCACATATACCTACATCATCCATCCCACACCATCTCAGCTGCCTAGCAGCCCTGGCAGGCTGTGCTGCCCAGCCCCAACCAGAACCAACACCACCCGCATCACTCTACTCCGTACACCATAGGTATAAGCATAACCATCCCGATATTAATCTATCCGATACACGGCCCATGCATAAATCGGACGATCAAACCGGATTAATCTATCTTAAGTCAGTCAACATTCACCAGTATTGCTTGATAGGTGGTGCCCCAGGGGTTTGTTTCTAACTGGCTAATGCAATCTCCACACTTTTTGCTACTTAGTTAGATATTGGGTGGGATCTAGATGGTCCCCGAGGATATCGGGGTTTAGGTGGGTGGTGTAGTGTTGGGCATGCGACCACAATCAAACCAGTTAGTATGGAGTAACTAGTAGTAGAAGGCATCTGAAACGATAACGGGCTTAAAATAAATTCGTCGATAAGGGAGCTAAGCTTAGTTGAACTTGACACAACGGTATCCTGTTCCCCCCCTTCTAGATAGATGGAGGGGGAGATAGATGGGTAAATATAGTCTTGGTTTCGGATTCAGCTAGATATTATTATGATCACTACATATACCAAATGAGCTGTAACGTACCTTACTTCTCAATCTAATTCCATTCCTTTATTTGTATATTGACTGACAGACGAGGCAAATACCCATATCTTCAAACTTCACACATCGGGAATATCCAACGGTCCCCGAGTAAGGCATCCTGCCAAGTCTATCCTTACCAGTCCCATCGACCAATAGGAATCTCCTCCTCCTTACCAGAAAAATCCCACTGGTAGTAGATAGTACGTCACCTTGGCGGTCCCGAAACTGGCTTAGAGCGGTGGGGCCCACTAGTGAACAGAATTCCAAATCAATGTACACAGTAAAAAAAGATCAGCGCGAGGTTAGTTGGTTAATTAATGTGAGATTTTCTTGGCTCCTACCTACCTACTTAGTTAGTTACTTGGTTAGCTACGCTGGAATAGTAGTAGTGCTAGATCTCTCCACTTTACTTTTTGCATTGTTCATTGTTGGGGTTGGGCTTTGTTGGTTACCTGTTTCTGTGGTGGTGGTGGTTGTTGTTGTTTCTGGGATATGTTTCGTCTATTTTAATCTGTTACAGATACTGAATCGTGGGTTTGGTTTCTGTGTAACCAAGCCTTGTGTCAGTCAGTGTCAGTCACCATCGCTTGTTCTGGTGTAACCATCATCACAACCTCCATCTTCATCCTTGTACGGATGTACCATCGTCATGTGTACATACTTACCCTATACGAAGCGTGGATCCATCTCCACCAACGGTCAAGAGCATGTCAAACTCACCCTGGGTCTCCATACGAGTTGCATCATGCTGTCCTCACCTGCAGACTCGACTCCACTTCCGTAACAGGCTGAATGTACCGATTTGCTGCGCTTCTGTGCCTGCCAGGTATGGTTGTGGTTTATTGGCGGACGGTAACGCCGTGAATATCCCCCTCTGTGCATGCACAAGGTGGATTACTTTGCTTCCGCCTTCATTCTTGAATCCAAGATTGCCTGATCGGCATCCGTGCATGGAACTGGAGTGTGGCTTGGTATCTGCTGTGGCGAGTCAGGATGCCACCTGAACACCATTGAAATACCGTAGTAGCATAGTAGCTAGGTGTGAGTGGATATGGTGGCACCGGTAAGCTTGTGGCAATTGAACTGGCAACGGCACTGGCAATGGAATGAGGGATCGGGTTTTGCTTTTCCTGATCCTGATTCCTATTCCTTTCTGTAGCCTTGCTCCTAGCCCCCCTTCCCCTCCTATAGGTTCTAGGTAGGGTGGTCACCTCGGGGACTGCTGACACCGAATCCAATCCCAGTAAGGCAGACAGACAGACCGACCAGGCCAGACCAGGCCACGGAATGAAGCCCGTCGGGATCCATCCCCCCCCTCCCTCATCGATAGGCCAACGGGCAAGTCAAAAAATGGGGAACCGTTAGCGACATGTGCAAACTGCAAACTGCAAAGGGAGGGAGGGCAAAGGGAGGGGCATGACACGGACGAATCCTCCCCCGTCGTTCAAGGTGGGAATCCACTGGATGGAGGATAAACTTTGTTTGCGCAACCTTACCTTACCTCCAATCCTAAATCGGGAGGGATGGAGGGGGGGGAGGGTGGCCATTCATGACAGTGGCAGTTATGCATGAATCATCGCGACATGGGTGTCTGTCTTGTCTGGTTCTGGCCATTCATTGTCATGCCGGTGGGAGGGCGAGGGTGTGGGCGTGGAGGATTGGTTCGTTAGCTGTGCTGTGCTGTGCTGCGTTCGGTTCTTAACGACGGAGTCAGTAATGGACCTATCCATTTCTAGGAGTCGGCTTCCCTGCCATCCTACCACCTGTACGAAGTAGGTTTTGAAATCATAACGGTTGGTGGGTGGTCTGCTCCATCCACCTACCTTTCTACCCTAATTTTCTACCTACCTATCTAGGATGTCTCCCTCTACCGTGAACCACCCTATCCATCCCTCTCACCTTATCTTCCCTCCTTCCTAACCCCATTCTTATTTTTATTTTTATTTTTAAATTTTTTTTTTCTAAAAAATAACCCAACTCATAAAATCAAAAAGGGTTGTCTCGTGTCCTCGTAACTTTTGGTTCGCCCCTTGCGTGCCAAACTCTTGTTTCCGCGGACAGAACCAGATAGCAGCTGAGAGTCTATGACAGCCAGCCACACGCCCTTCCGGAGGATATGCGAGATTGAATGATGGTCCTTTCCTCGGGTGGATCTGTGTCCTTGTGTCCTGTGCCCTTGTGCCCCTATTTGATTGTTTCCTAGGAAGGTTCTGGGGGTTGTATGAGTATGATGAATTCTGTGTATTCTGTGTATTCTGTGTCTGTGTTTGTATGAGGACGGTTATTAGTTACTTTAGTAGTTATAGATTGAGGTTAGATGGAATGGGGTTATTCTAGAAAGTATTGGTTCGGTGAGGATGTATTATCATTATCATATAACAGGGTATTATTTCCAGCCCAGTAGCCATTCCATATCCAAATATACACCAAAGTAACCCCTCTAACAATATTAAACCCAAGAATCCCCACAAAGAAGATGCTTTTGGTACCGTAAGGAAACCGGGTATCCACGTGACCCGCCGTGGAGCCCCCAAAACCAAATATACAGGATGAGATATAATACAAAGGAAATTATGCCAACAAGGAGTGACAAGGGTCGGAGGTCATGTACATAAAATTCCCAATAAACAGAAGAAAGTCGTGATCATTCCAGCAAGGCCATCGTTAGTTGAGCAGGTTGTGCAGTCCCATGCGCGAGTCGCGCGGGGCTTCCGTCTTGTCTTCCATGGGGGCGCCCCAGGTGGGTGACAGAGGACTCTGCTGGCTCCAGTGCTGGTGATCGGCCATCCATCGTTGTTTCAACGACAGTTCGGAGAAGGATTCCAGAGGCTTCGGCGCATAGCCGTAGAGTTCGTCGGCGCCGCTCGATCGGCGGAAATCATATGATCGCATGTCCACTGGAAGGGGAAGAAGCTGGGGAGAGGCGATGGTCCGCGGGGAGGAGGAAGAAACCGAGTTGTGGTCGGAAATCATCGACGGAGGCTCCATTGAAGGAGTTTCGGAAAAGGCAGGCGACGTCAGAGGAGTTTCCACAGGACGGTTGAGAGCAGGAAGGGTGAAGATCGGGGTCAACTGCCGAGGGCAGTCCATCGAAGCCGCCGAGATCGAATCGCGCCGAGAAGACGGCGACTTGGTCCAGGAAGTTAGAGGGCGGTCGTTGGAGATAGAGGAGTAGCGGGAGCGGCTGATGGGGCTGCTCATGAGGGAAGCCCGCGCATATGGGGCTTCGACCCGGCCGTGAATGGTGCGACCAGCGTGCGGCGAGCCGGTGGGGAGGCCTCTTCTCTTGCGGTTCATGCTGCCATTCCACCAGTTCTTGACCGCATTGTCGCTGCGGTTTCCCAGGCGCCGAGCGATCTCGGCCCAACGCTTGCCCATTTCGTTGACCATCCGTTCGATCATCAGACCCTCTTCCGCGGAGATCGGCTCCCGGTTCAAGGAGGGCTTGAGGTTCTGGTGGAAGCGCTCCCGACATTGCTTGGGAGAGCGATAGTGCATATGCTGAGAGATGCGAACCCAGTTGTTCGGGCCTTGTTCGCGCACCAACTGAAGGAGCAACTGGTCCTCTTCAGGGACCCAAGGTCCACGACGATGAGTGGGAGCCATTGCGTGACGGCAGGAAAATAAATCCGAAGATCTAAAAGTGGGTGGAGATGAGGTCTATTAAAGTAATGTTAGACTCTGCAAGGCCAGGAGGTTCGGAGAGTTTAAGAAGTTGGAAGCCGACAGAGTTCAGGTACGCTGCGTGGGCGGGGACGGATGATGTTTAAAGGCTTCTTACCGTGGGGTGGGGAGACTGGAGTGCTCTGAGCCACAAAGACAAGCAAGGAGGCAGGAAGCAGGCAGGCAGGCAAGCAGCAGGTGGAAGTTGGCTGTGTGGAGGATGGAATAAGGTTCCAAGGTGCGTCGTTGGGTGGTAGATATAGGCAGAGACTGAGACCTGGAAGGGGGAATTGGAATTATAAAGGGCTGATAGACAATAGTCGTGTCCAGGAGTGATGGAGATGAAGGTTCCGATCATCTATTATAGCAACAAGCAGCGCCGCCGAATACAATGACCAGGGAGACGGGTCAGAGAAAAATGGCTACTGCTCCACACTTGGAGCACGCTATAGGAGAAGATCTGATCATCCAAGATCTCGGAGCTGACAGTTGTGTCGGAGGAATAAATTTAATAATAATAAATCAGATTATTGATTTATTTCATTTTTTTTTTTTTTTTCTGGTGATTATTTTTCATTTTTGAATTTCGATTTTGGGCCCCCTCTTTTCCCGACGCGGTGGTCCCCACTGGTATGTACGGTATGTGGTGTATCGTACCTGCGGTATGGTGTAAATTACGCCCCTCGGGTACGAACTCCTAGTTTCCTTCCAGGAGGAACAGGAGGCTACCAGGTATTAGGCAGGTACCACACCTCAGGTAGCCTAACTCCTCAGGAGGCACTGGCACAGACCTCGAGGCTAGCCCATGGATTAATTGGGACGTGAGAATGACAAAAACTCGAGGTGTGTGGCCCGAGTGGGGAAGATGCGGTTGACGGCGACGTCTTGCAGTATCTCCTTTGGGTAAGCCAGACCCATCCTTGACAGGGAGAAGTACGACTTGAGGGGCTGAAAAGGACTGCTGCTAGTATCAGCTGCAGCGGATCGTGGGGATTTGCCACTACCTCCTACTGTGTACACCGTATGCTCCCACAGGATCGGGTTGCAGGCTGGCGACAGGGATCATGGTGTCCTATTCCAGGCGCAGTGAGGCACATGTATGCACCGGTTGCTTTTTTCGGCGAGCATTGTGTCAGAGACAGAGACAGGCTGAGACGTCCAGGGGAACCCATCCCATGAGTCCGTATTCAGAGCAAGGCTACCCTGGATACTCTTTGGTGTGCCACCCAGGACATCCGGGCCTCAGGGCATCTCCAGGCTTCACCCACCGTGGCGGCGTTTCTCGGACATCCTATCCTGGCCCGTTGATCTTCCCAGCCTATAGTTTAATCCTGGTTGATTATTCCTGAACTACATAGTAATAGGATCTGGACGTGGGACAAGGATGAGAAATCCTCTCCGCAGCAGCTGATCCGACAGATAGGAGCGTTCCCCCCCCCCCCCAGTATACAATTATAGCAACCCGACAGGAGATTAATTAATTGTGGATGCTTTGGCAACATCTCAAACGTAGGGGAAAAAAGTGCGAGCGCATCAATGGTACCGATCCGTCGGGCGTCGACTAGGGACTCTAGACTAGTGAGGGCCGGCCCAGTCGACTGCTAGACTGGCCCATGCTCGTCAAAGTTCAGGCCCTGACAGGAAAACGGGAGCGGCAGAAACGGTCTGCAAAAGGCGAATGAGAAAGAGGGGAGACGGAGTCGGGTGGTCAGCCATGGGTCAGGCGGGGCGGATTTCCTCGGAATTAGAAATTCTAATTGAAAAGGAGGGGAAGAAACAGGGGAAGAATGACAAAGAGACCCGACGAAGGGGGGGGGGGTGCAGATTGCAGAATGGCGTTGGCTGTTAAGGTGTCCCAAGATCGTGGAAAGATAGGCAAAGAGGGCTATTCTAGGCCAGCGATCGAGTCAGGGCTGCCTCTACCAATTGCCAGATTGGATCAGGATGACAGATCGGAGCGCATTGTTCACAGCTACCATCGATGCACCTCCGTACTATTGGGATGATTTCAGTGAATGGCACGTTCCTTGACATCTCCGTCTCAGCCAGCCATTTACCAGATACTCATACATGGTACTTCAGTACTCGTATGCCAGACTCGTACTAAGAAGTAGGTATACTCTGTACTCCGTACCGTCAGTATGGCGGTTGGCCTCACCCTACAGGCCACTATCATTGGTTCTGATCGATCCTCCACTCAGTCCCTCCCCGTGGGCCGTTACCCAGAAGCCAGAACATGAACCGTTTGAGTGGGTCATGATTGGCGCAGGCCGGCTAGCGTCTCTGACAATTTGAAATCTTTTGCTTTGTCTCATACCCGGTCGGGCTGGGATCGACATGGAGATCGTACGCAAGCTTGAATCTGGCCGGAGTACCTTCGCGCCGGTGCTACCGGCATAAGGCAGCGCACAGCCAATTCCACCGATTTACATGATTTAGGGACTAGTCCGTATGGATTCAAGATCGCTGCAGTTCTCCCTGGTTAGTCAGCCAATCACCACCCCCGATCCCCGGATATTCACCTTGCACACTACGCTAGTTCATGATGGGAATCTCGCCCAGAGAGACGGGACTGCGTCCCATCCTCTTGGTTCATTGTCATTGCTGCATCAGTCGATCAGGTACAGTTCAACGATGATGCGATTAGCTCAGAACAATGCCCGTGCAGACTGCAGAGAGCTCAGATACCCCCGCTCCATCGGGCACCCCATTCTCCGAACACAGTAAAAGAAGGGAAAAGGAAAGAAACCAAAAGGAATAGATTCGTTCTGTTCATCCAACCAGCAAGCCGTGTTCAGCAACCTGACTCACGTTGTTCTGCAGGGTTCCATCCGGGAAATGGATCCGCGAAGTCGCCTGGGGGAAATGCAACAGAAGAATGATAGATCTCATGGAATCCCCAGTCCCCCTTTTTGGGCCTCCTCCTGGAGTGGCAGAAAGGCTTCTGGCCCCTTCAATTGGCTCGAACCAAACACTAGCCTCACTGCTCTGCAGCAACGGGGCGCAATATAGATTAACTGCTCCATCGCTGGCCTCGCGAGTCCCGGGGAGGTCGGAAGATTCCAAATGAATCATGACAACGGAAGTACCAGCAGATGGCCCTTCTCATGCGCCGGTACCGTCCCGCTGTCATGCTAATGGGCAAAGGGAAGGATGGATCCAGCTAAAGTTAACCATCCTGAACTATCAACTCTGACCTACTAGTATGACCTCGGGCGATTGTTCGATCGGATTCAACGTTGCTGCGATTGGGCGATCGATGCGGATCCCTCCATCCTCGATGCTCCCTGGATCCGGTGGTGTGGCAGGGGAACAATAACCTTCGTCAATGGCTGAGATGATCAGATCCAGATCATCGTGCCATCATCTTTGGGTCACACTATTAGCCACTATAAGCCTCGCCATGTTCTTGCCATGCTACACAGGATTGTTCCAGGTCACCACCTTCGGGGTCTCCGAGAAATCTTCCAGGCTTCTATTTCTGCCCGGCCAGGATTTGATAAAGAAATTCTCCGGAGTCCGACATGTAGACCGCACCGCACAGAGCAACCGATGGTCCTGACGTTGTTTTGAAGCCGTGACACTTGCCTCGACTGCGGGTCATTCTATCTCCATCCTCCGTACCCTCCTGTCAACAGCGAGTTCGCTTACACTGCCACGAGTCCCGCCGTTGAGCGTCATCACCATGGATGGAAGCGAGCGGTTGCGTGTAACTCCGCAATACGGAGTCCCTCCATCCGTCATACGGATGTATTCAGTACGGTGGCTTACCGATTTGGTCCACTAAAATAGGCTAGAAGCACGACCCCTGAGGCCGCACTGCATGACGTGACGAACCACTGCCCCAGTCGTGCGGCTGATTGGCCGGCCAAATTAAGGTATTTGTCATTCTGGAACCGCGGCACTATTCCTAATGCAGTAATGATAAACGGGCCGCGGCTGGAGCGATCTCGTCGGTCTCCATGCTATAGATTAAATATGAATGGAGGCGAGATGAATCAGTTGACAGGTACGATCTGAATGAGACAATCGCATTCACCACCTGAATTTATTAATGGACAATTGATTTCTGCCACTGCATCCTATTACGGACTGGCTCAGGATCCAACCTCGACCACCGACCGCATAAGCATTCCATCCACCGCTCTGACCCCAGTCATCAGTCAGTCACAGCCTGTCACTGGAAGAATGCCAACGTCCGTCAACGTATGTCCCCGTCCGCCTGGGCTTACTCGGAGCAACGCACTGGGACCCTCGGAATCTCGATAATCAGGGGGTCCAGTGGTGTCAAACGCCATTTACGTCGTGGGAGGTTACCAGCCTGCCATGTGGACGGGTGCTTGCGATCGACCTCGTGGTACCCTACGTAAAACACATACCAGTTTGACCAGTTTGTATGGGGTCATGTACACCAGGTTACTCACGACGTCATTACAACCCTTCTCGCTGGTCACTCCGCTTAATACTACATTGTATGTCGATCATCAGGGAGTCAAGCGATAGATCATAGACCGCCCAGATCCGAAGCAGGATCACCTAGATCAAATGCCCAGAGGAATCCCCAGGATGCAAGGTACCTAATTGACGGATTCCAATTCACCATCTCCAGACACAACCGACCGACCGACTGACCGCCCGACCCGGCTGGACGGAAGTGACTATCGACTCCAGGGGCCAATCCAGCCCAGTCCAGTCACAAGTCTAAATCCTAGTCCACGAATCCACGAGAACGATGTACATACTACGCCGCCTTTGTCTTAGGTTATACCTCCACCTATACCTAGATACAACCTAGATAGATACCTTGGATGGTCCCCGACGGGATGTACGGGCCTGGGAATGAACCAATCAAAACCCCAGGAAGTATTTGAGATAAACCCTGGTTGAACCCCACTCCCTCCTCAGGAAGAAGCCAAGATCGACGGGTAAATTTCCACATCGGGAATATTCAGCAGGCGCCCGCCTTTTACTCACTCTGTAGGTTAAAGGTAGATGAATAGAATAGATTAATTGATTCTTCAGCTCACCACATAAGCGTATTATGGGGTTTAGCAATATAGGTTAATTTTACTACTATACTAGTAGAGATACTTATGGGATACAAGATGCCTAATACAGGCATCCCTAAGCGAGACCGCGAGAAACAAAAGAATGAGTACATGACTTTGTCGTCGTTGATGGTAATGGTAATCAATCCACACCGCACCCACAGCATGTCGTGCAACCCCTCACAGACAACGACAACAGTAACAGTACTCCATAACCGGTGGACATACGTGACAGGGATGTGGGTTGCAGGATACACCCTGTAGCTGTATGTGTACGGGGATCGGTCGGTAGGTAGGGGAGGGAGGGGTCGATGTGGAGCGATGAAGAACGGCGCTCTCGCATCCTGCCGCTGTTTCCTGACTGTCGGGCCTTGCGACTGCGAACCTGTGGCGGTCCGAGCACCTGTCTTTCTGTTTAGGATTTTATTGGTCGATGACGGGAGCAATAGGTATTGGCATTTTGACGTGAGTATGATTTATGAGGATGTAGTGGGATTATTGTGTGTATGGATGTGTGGTTGGTAATTCCACTGGTTTTTATTGTTGAGTTTTTGATTTGTTTTGTTGTGAGGATGGATGGATGGAGCGAGTCAGTTGTTGTGTATCTGTATCTCGGCTACTTGTGAGATATATGTTTGGAGTGATGGTCGGGGATTTAGAATCGAGATTCGTACTTTGTAATTAGTATTTACTGTGTCAAGTTATCAATTCAGGAGCAGAGAATAATAGCTCATACTGATCAAATACCTATCATCCATATTAACCTCGACTTCAGCTACACAGTACTCCGTACGGAGTACATCCCTGCCTCCACAACAACCAAAATAGTAGATTAAAACCATGGTCGAAATAACGGTCACCCGTCCCATGGGACCAGGATCTCGATCTAAACCACTCCCTCCCTCCCTCCCTACCTACTTCGAGACGTACCTCTGGGCATGTACATGTACCCATGACGTCGGACGTATACTGACGTACGTGATTGGCTGCCCTCTCAGCTCGGGGTTTATGTCTTCCCCGTTCGGGGACCATGTGGGTTCCCCGATCCTCCCAGATGCCCGGCTGGGCAGTGCCCTGATGCTGCCCGGTCGGGTTAGTGTGGTGCTGCCGGTGACTAGGATTAGCCCCACACACTACTCTGTACACAGTACTCCGTATTGAGTGGTGGGTTCTTGGTACGGGTATTCTTCCTTACTGTGTACGGAACTGGGTATGAGTACGGAGTACTCCGTACTTCGTACTCTGTATTGTAGTTGGGTAGATAGCCCGAGGGAGATATGGGAGGTATGGTTGGTTTACACAGGTGGAGGAAATATTTACTCAAGATGGAAGGAGATAATGCAAGGCAGGTCGAGGATACACGGCAGTATTCACGAGGTACGGAGGACGGTGTAGGAGGTACGTGGATACAGGACCGCATTTTCTACATGGATGAGGTCGTTGGTACGACGAGGGAGGTATGTCGGTCGACTAGAAGAGACAACGAGGGAATTTTATCCCGCCTTGATGGGTTGGTGGTGTAATGCGACGAGGGTACGGATTGGAATGAATGGAATGGAGGGATGGTGGAGGGGAGGAGGAAGGGATCATTCTTCCACCACCACCACCACCACCAGATGATACACCGTCCTACCCCTTCCACCACTCGTTCCTCCTTCGTGTTGACGCGGCTGGTCACTACTCCCACCGCCATGCCATGCCATCTGCAGTGAGAGTTGGCACTTGATCCCGGTGGATGCCTGGACCAATGCAAATTAATGTGATGTGACGGCACTATTGACTCGGTCGATGCTGGTTGCAACCCTCTGACAAATCCACTGCGAACTCTTTTCACAGTGCTGTCGTTCTCCTCAGCTGTCTTCCTTTGTTCCAGACTCACCATCCGGTGACGAGACCAGTCACACAAGGCATTCATCCAGGTTCTGTCTCTGTTGCTAATGCTGCTCTGTTTCCATCCTGACCGTTGACCAACCTCGTTCGAGACGGATTTCCCGCTGTCAATGAAGTTTATTCCGAACCGGTACACTTGCAGCCTGGCTTCTGGGTCAGAGGATCATCCAACGGACGGGATCCGACTCTCGCCAAGAGAATCACCCTCAATAGATTGAATGGATCCCACTGTACGGAGTAGCAACAGACAGAACATCAGTGGGCCAGGAGCACCTCCGGACCAACCAGACCCATTCAGGGCCCGCGAAGAAACCCAATCTACCCGGTCGAAACTCAATCTCCACGACCCATTCCGCCCTCAGTCCCGACGCTGAGGTAAGGTCTGGTTCGGGGCGCCATTTCCATGGGCCTGGGGCCCCTCCCGCGGCTTCCCTTAATTTCGTTCTTCCCGTGGATTCTCCCGTTCGAGCTATTCTCGGCAACATCGGGGTGAGAAACTGGATCGCGGTGTCGCACCACTGCGTGGAATGAGTCAGTTCGGGCGAGCAAGACTATGACTGGGGATGCTGGTCCGGTTAAGCTTTGACTTTGGAGGAACAAGCGGACAAAGTACTCCGTACCCAAAGCAACAAGAGAAAAGAAATTAATCGAGAGTCTAGACGGCAAGTCCTGCACAAGCCGTCTGACGACCGTGCATTTGCCGATATCTCCACTACCCCCTCTTTGGGTCCGCTGTGTCTGCACTCTGCAGGCTCAGTTGAGCTGTGACAGACCGGAAGATATGGTACACGAGACAGCGAATGAGAGACGCACCAGTCCATCCGGATCCATCCATCTGCACTGGCCGCTTTGGTGGATTCCGTGCAAACCAAGCAGGATCAATTCGCCACGATGGGTTATGGTTTACTAGGGAGTCATAGCTCCTGCACGGACTCAGTACTTTCGACAATTGACTTGACTTGTATGCAATTGCCAATATGCTATATGCAACGAACTGGACAATTTTTCATCCTCCTAGCTACGACGAAGAAGAAAGAACACATCCAGAATATTCCCTCCCCTGATTCCTTATTCCTTATTCCTTATCCCACGAGAACTACTCTCAGAATTACTAATTCCAGTTCCCAAATAGGTAACAAGTCTGAACTGGCTGAGCTGATCCATACATACATACCCCATACGGAGTATACATACACAAATACAACGGAGTAAATCCCTCATTGCTTTTTCCACTCCACACACCCATGCACAGCACTCCGTACGAACGGAACTATGCTATGACTATGACCCATGACCCTATAACCCAAGTTGGAATATGAATAAACTGTGGCTAAGCTAGCTAAGCTACGCCACACCACCCACCACCCACCACACCTAGTCAGCTAGCATCAGCTAAGTTACGCTGGACGAGGCTGGGCTGAACTTACTCCTCCTACCTGGGCTCAATTTTGTGGCTAGACTAGCCCGGTCCTCTCAGTTCGCCACTCGATACATAGATTAAGAAAAAAGAGAAAAAGAAAAACGAAGTAAGACACTCGGAATATGTTCCCTGTTTCTTACTCTATCTATCAATCGATCTAGTTGCTTCAATAGTGGTGGCGTTTGCCATGTGAAATACCCTGATAGTGTGCATTTACTTGGGACTGAACTTGACTGGCCTAGACTTGGAGATCAGGTCTATCTAGGCAGTGCTGCTCGAGACGAGGCGAGACGAGACGAGGCTAGAACCAATCCCAATCCCAATCCCCAAACACAAATAAAAATAAAATAAACCCAAAACAATGAAAAAGGAAAATAGGGAAAAAAAAAAAAGTAAGGAAATATGAGAATTACCCGGTTTGGCCTATGACCTAGGTAGGTAGGTAGTGACCCGGACCTAGATTCAATCAGGGATTGAGTAAGTGGCTGAGGATTTGTCATTTATGATTTCAGTTGGGGTTCTGGAAGGTGGCTTGTTTGGGAGGTTGGTAGGGACCTAGGTGGTGGGTTTTGTGGTACTGTGGATGGATGGGTAGGTGGTTTCATATGAGTATTTGGTGAGGCGTTTTCGATCTCTTGGTTTTGTTCCTATTGTTGGGAGGGATGTGATGGATGATGGATGATAATGACGTACTAAAGCTTTACCCTACCCAAGTATACTCGGTGCTCTGTATTGTGATAGTGATGGTCATCTTCAACCATGTATCGAACTCTATATGATCGGAAATTCCACCCGTCGATACATCCCACCCATTTTAACCTCCTCCGAGCTAAACCCTGACAAATACAGGCATCGACTCAATAGGACACGCCACTTGCACTTCCTGTCCGCCCTCGTGGATCTCCCCCTCTGTATCCTGCCCACCCCCCCAAACCTTCCACGACGCCCCCGCCGGCAAATACGCCGTGATGGTTCGCTGCCCGGCCGCAAACACCGGGACCACCAGATACTTCGAGCCAAAGAGATACTCCGATTCCACGGTCCAAGCGCGCGGGTCATCCGGAAACTCGTAGAAGAGGGTACGCATGACGGGGGTGCCTTTCTCGTGCGCCTCTTTCATTAGAGTTCGTGTGTAATCGCGCAGGGTCTCGCGGATGCCGATATACTTTTTGCAGATCGTGTAGACTTGTTCGCCATAGGACCAGATTTCGTTGTTGGAGCCGGAGGCTGTGGGTTGGTTTGATGGTTTGGGTTCTCGATCACCGTGCAGACGCATCACAGGACAGAAGGTGCCCCATTGGAACCAGCGGGTGAAGAGTTCGCGGAACGCTGGGTCGTCTGGGTCGCCGCCATGGAAGCCGCCAATGTCGGTCGTCCACCAGGGGATGCCGGCGAGGCCCATGTTCAGGCCGGCGGCGAGTTGGTTGCGGAAGGAGGTCCAGGAGGATGCAATGTCGCCGCTCCAGACGAGGGCTCCGTACTTTTGGCTGCCCGCCCAGGCGCAGCGGAGGAGGTTGACGATGTTGGTTTGGCCGGCGGCGTGCATGCCTTCGTAGAATCCGCGCGCGTATTCTTTGGGGAAGATGTTGCCGATTTGGAGGTTGCTGCCGGCGTGGTAGCGGTAGATGTCAAAGTCGTAGATGGAGTATTCTGGTTCCGCTTCGTCCAGCCAGAAGACTTTGATGCCTTTGTCGTAGTAGTTCTGTTTGGCTTTGGACCAGACATAGGCTCGTGCGGCTGGGTTGGTTGCGTCAAAGTGGGTGATATCGCCATCACATTGCATGGCGATGCGGAGGCCGCGGTCGTGGCGGATGAGGAGGCCTTTTTCTAGCATTTCAGCGTAGTTGGAGGAGGCGGTTTCAACCGTTGGCCAGATTGAGACCATGAGTTCGACGTTCATCGCTTGGAGTTCTTGGATCATGGCGTCTGTGGTGGTTAGCATTGAAGATGATATGATTGAGGGACATACCAGGATCGGGCCAGAATTGGGGATCGAAGCTCCATTCTCCTTGGTGTTTCCAGTGGAAAAAGTCGATGACGATGAGGTCGAGTGGTACGTTTCGTCGCTTGTATTCTCGGGCGACATCGAGGAGCTGCTCCTGATTCCAGTATCGGAGCTTGCATTGCCAGAACCCAAGGCCGTACTCGGGCATCATTGGGACGTGGCCAGTGGCCCTGCTATAGGCTTCCTCGATTTCAGCCGGGGTGTCGCCTGCGACGACCCAGTAGTCTAACACTTTGGTGGAATAGGCCTCAAAGCTCATCGTGTTGGTCCCGAACACAGCTCGTCCGATAGCCGGGTTGTTCCAGAGAAACCCGTACCCCAAAGAGGAGAGTGCAAAAGGTATGCTGGGCTTGGGAGTTTCGATGGGCCAATTCAATGTCAGCTCCTTTGAGGTTTAGAAAAGGCTGCTGGTACTGGCCCATTCCGAAGATCTTCTCGTTCGGGTCGAGCGATTCGAAACGCATGGTCAGGTGAAAGTCACCCCCGAGGATGGGTCGCAGCTCTCGAGCTTCAATCTCCAGAGCGCTGCATTTTGGGTCTTTCGGATCACGACGATGACGAGCATACTCTTCTAAAAGCTTGACCCCCTTGTGGTTGTAGATGGTGATCTTGCCACGGCGGGAGACGGTGGCTTTGATCTTGCCGTTGGAGATGCTCGAGTCTTGGCTATCCTCGATTTTGATAATAGGTCGATCCGACTCGGCCTTCAACAAGGCCCAGTCCTCAGTAGGCATAGACGCAAGCTTCGTGGCTCTCACGCGCAGTGCATTCTCGCCCCATGGCTGTATCCAGAGAAGGTGATCATCGAACCGGAAAACGAGTTTGTCGTCCTCAGCGTAGAGCATGGCGAGTGATGGATTGTGGTAAGTGGCAGTCAAATGTGAAGCTCACATGCGGCAAGAGGGCTCTATCTGTGTTTAAGTATGTAGTCCACTGGGCTAGAGGAGTACCCATGATGACGGCTATCCACGAGCATGACTCAACGTACAACTGATGCGGCCATTGGGAGACTGACACGATACTTCTGCCATGTCGCATTGCTGCCTGCATCCAGTGTCATCGGCATCGAACATACTGACAGCCGGTGACACCTTAGGAGAGGCAGTGGAGACAAAGTCTGCTCTAGAGCCAGTGACGTTCAGCCAATAAATGGACGGACTGGGGTAGAGAATAGCCTAAATCGATGGCCACGTCGAGACGAGACGAGAAGACGAGGAGCGGGGAAGCGAGCACAGATCCTGGGCTGGATGTACGACCCTCTTGCTCCGAGTTTTTCCTCTTGGCTGGATTATTGTAGGTCTACGGTACATTGAGAGTACTCAATCCTGGGATTGACGTTTTGTTCTCGAAGAGCCATACGATGTAGTCGCTATGTTGCAAGGCTGAAGTAGAGTGATTGCCATGTATCACAGATTCGACCATCTGCTTCACTGTATCACTATCGCATCTAACACCGTCATGCAAGTGTAGCAGGAACTTCGGGACGACATTCCAGCAAGGGATCCCCATGATGTAAAGCGATGCAGCCTTCACGCCGATCAGACGTGTCATAACCCACATTGGTGATCTGGATTTCATTCGATGACAACACTGGTATCACAGCATGCCAGAAACAACAACTCCGATTGAACGTGAGGATGTTCCGAGACACGGCCGGATCCAGGTTACAGCCAGAGGTCTGGCCGTTATGACCGCGGGATGCAGTGAACCGAGTGGCCTGTAGATATGCTGTGCTACTCTGTAGCCTTTGCCGAGTTAATGACAGCCTTGCAGAGCTGCTGAGACAGATAGAGCCCTATGTGATACAAAATTCCTTTGCGTTTATAGAGACGAATGGATATCACTCCAACGCTCGTGCCTTAAGGTTTGGTGGCTTCGGTCAGGTCTACCCAACATTCCAGCTTTGCGACCTCTCCAGGCCTGGCAAGCCAGGTCGTCGTCTCAAGTATATCATTGAGCTGGGCGAGGGCAAGGATGTGAAAAGCATATCATCACGTCGACGGCGGCGATGAGAGCACAGGGAGATACCATATTCGCTGCGTCACACCACACCGGGCATCGAAGGACGGTGATACAAATATGATCCGGAGCCTGCTGCCAGAGGTTATCAGCTTCGCTTACACCGCAATCCAGTTGTTCTCAAGGTATCCATCAATGACCGCATGGAAGGTTCATGTTCGAGGCAGTTGGTCGTGACGATAGATGCCATTTCGGTTTTCGAGTGTGGTAGGAATTGTTGCTTCGACTTCGACTCTAGCAGCGTCAGATCAAGCTTCATTCACATCCATCACTCGACGATAGCCATGATGGTCGTCCTTTCTTGCAACTGGGGAAGCCCGCAGCGTCCAAGAAGAGCTGCGGAAGCTCTCTCATGAGTTGCCTGAGTTGTCTAACTCTTTCAAAACGACTGTCGACCAGATGCCGCAGACCATCCTCGAGCGCGTCAAAGATCGCATCAGTTCATTCCATATGATTGATGGAAATCTGCAGCATGAGAAGTGATGTGAGATCAGCTGCGGCGAAACTCCGCGAGATCGACGCGGGCGGTGTGCAGGCCAACTTCCTTTCGGCTTCACTTTGCGATCACCTCAGCCACTTGCCGCCCCTCGTCTCTTTGTTCTATTTCCCAGCCTTTATTGAATCATCCTCCTATACTTCTTGCAACACCCCTTTACCTTCTCTATCAGGTCCCTCCTCATTGGAGGTAGCCAGACTGCAACAACCTTCTCTGCAACTGAAGCCGCCAACGGCGCGATCACGAACACAATGGACGCCTCTATGGATATTGACATGGACATTGACCTGGGTCCCCTTCCCGAAAATGAAACCTTTGAGACTGTGAGTGCCAATTGGTCAGTCAGTTCAGATGGCAATTGATCAGGCTAACATCCCGGTCGGCTCCAGGAACAGACTCTGGTGACGGCGACTGCTCCCGATGAATCGGCAGACCCCATTGCTGCAGAAGCACAGTACGAAAAAGTTCACGTTCGCGGTGTCGACGAGCTGGCGACCGAGAATATCAAACAATTCGCCCTCGAGCACTTCACCCTGGAGGAACCAAGCCGTGTCGAATGGATCGATGACACATCGGCGAACCTCATCTACTCATCGGCGGAGATCGGCCTCCAGGCTTTGTCGGCCTTTACACAGGTGAATGCGGAGGAAGATGCATCTGCGCTGCCCGCCCTCCGGCTACGATCCGCGAAGCTTCTGTCGTCCCACCCCGATTCGGTGCTCCAGGTGAGATCAGCGATCAAGACGGACCGCAAGAAGCCTCGCGCGCACGAAGCCAGTCGCTTTTACCTCATGCACCCCGAACATGACCCTCGGGAACGCCTGCGCCGGGAGCTCTCAGATAGACGGCGCTCGGGAGGAGATACCGGTGATGGGGATTACCAGCGGCGACGGTTTGACGGGCGGGAACTGCGCCGGCGGAGAGACCGCGATGCAGATGAGAGCTTCAGTGCCAACATGTACGACGACGCACCCCGGACCAGCCCCGATCGTTCGGAACCGGACCGCAGTCGTGATAGGCGAAGAAGGCGAGGAGGAGACGAGCTATTCCCAGAGGAAGGACGCTTGTCGGGCCGCCTTCGCAACCGTAGCGCATCACCCGGTCGAGACACGCTGATGGAAAGCGGATATATTGAGCAGGATCGGCAGGAATCGCGCAGACGGTTCCGAGAGCGCTCACCTCAGCTCGACCGCCGCAATGAAGGCAAGGAGCTCTTCCCATCCTCCGGGGCCAAGTCCAGCGATTCGAACACGCGAGAGCTGTTCCCCAACCGAACAGCTAAAGAGCTCTTCCCTCAGAAAGTTAGCAACCATCGCCGGTCAGATGCGATTGACGTCGCGGATGAGGCAGCGGATCTCTTCTCACGACGTATCTCCGTCCCTCTCGTTGATGGCACTCAAGATCAGCCATCTGCGCGCCGAAACCGAGACATTGAGCTTTTCCCTGAGACGACACAGAGGGGCGGGCTCAACATCCGCGGGGCGGCAGGGCAGGATCAGGGTATGTCGATTCGGGGTGCGGCGAACGGTCTTTCAATCAAGGGACGGGGCGCATCAGTTCGCGAGCTTTTCCCGTCCAAGTACGGTTCCAACGCCGGCAAGGAATTGTTCTCGGACAAGATCGAGGGGCGCGGGGGACCGCGACGCAGAGCGGAGGACATGTTTAGCTGAGGCTATACTCGGTCGAACCGATCGCCATTGGCTTCACTAGTTTCTTTGGTTGTTTTCATGCTTATGCTTAGGTGGTGGTGCAAAGTCTGATAACGGCTGGTTACCAGCGCCATCACTCAGTGATACCAATTTTCCTACTATATACATTTATTTTGTACTTCAGCCTCACATAATGAACACTCCTATTCTTATTCACTTGAAATGGTTGGGATGTAATGGTACAGGCAGCTATGTAGCCCCGGCAGTTGACGGCATCCATCTGACCCATCATTAGAGCGGAGCTGCCGCCACCATCCCGATATATATCTTTTTCTTATCGCTCCACCATCACCACTCCACACTCCAACATGCCCACCGAATCGCAAAGTGCATCACTAGCAAGCACCCTCGTGGCCCGCTTCTTACGGGCACACAATTACACGCAAACCCTTGACACCTTTCTTCAAGAAGCGGGACTGCCAGCTGACGCGGGGCAACCCGGCAAGGACAATGCGCCCAACTGGACGATCGAAAGCGTGCTCGAGGAGAAGAAAGCCTTTGATCAGAGCGTGAACTTTGAGCGATACGGCGACAATGACAAGGACAAAGATGTCTGGAGTGTCCCAGGTCTATCCCCTAGAGCCCCTGCTACCAAGTTCCCAGCTAATAATATTCAGCACCAACCAAGCCCAACATCATTCAAACGCCAACCGCCACAAACCTGCTGGCATGCTCTGTAGAGCAATGGCAACCGTCCGATGAATCCCCATCGCCATACCTGGTCGCCACAGGCGCAGACAAGCACCTTCACCTCTTCAAGACATCAAATGGCAATGACCTCGTCCAGTCGTTCACCAACACATCGGAGTCTCCGATCCTATCCTATGTCCCAATCCAGGGCGGGAAATACATCCTCATGACCAACATGTCCGGACAACTACTTCTCCAGCGCGGCGCGCAAATCCTAGACCGCCGCAAAGACCATGCCAAATACGCCGTCAAAGTGATCGCCTACGAGTCTGCCAATGGCAATGAATCCACCATCTGGATCGCAACCGCGGGCTGGGACTCCAAGATCTTCCTCTACCGAATGCGCACCACAGACACCGACGAGCCACAAATCGGCAACCCAGTCGCCTCAATCCCCTTAGTCTCGAACCCCGAATCCATCCTCTTCATCCGCCACCTTGACACCAAGGAACTAATCCTCCTCGCCTCCCGCCGCGACTCCACATATCTCTACTACTACCGCGTCGAACCCGAACAACAACAACAGCACCAAACCACACCCTACGAATGTCCCCTCCTGGGCAAACAAAACCTCGCCCCCCACTCCAACGCCTGGGTCGCATTCTCCCCCTCCTGTCTGGCCCTCAGCCCGCACGACCCCGGTCTCATCGCCATCGCGACCTCAACCCTCCCGCACATGAAAGTCATGATCGTGCGATTACTCTTCCCCTCCGCGGAAAGTCTCGAAGAGCCCCCCGAACCCGAAACGCAAGCCGCACAGGCCTTCGCTGCCCTGTCGTTGCAGAATCGCGAGGACGCGGCCATCATGATCCAGGCGAATACGTTCGCGCCGCAGACGGCGTACTCGACGCCACAGGTCGTGTGGCGGCCGGATGGGTCGGGGCTGTGGGTGAATGGGGATGATGGGGTGATTCGAGGGGTGGAGACTAAGACGGGGAAGGTTGTCACGTTGTTGAAGGATGGGCATGAGGTTGGGTGTAAGATTCGGACGATTTGGGCGGGGTGGGTGGAGAGATGTGGGAAGGGTGGTGAGGATGGGGGAAGGGAGGAGTGGTTGGTTAGTGGGGGGTTTGATAAGAGGCTTGTTGTTTGGAGGGTATGATATAGTATAGTATGATAGTATATTATCGTGAGTGAATGTATAGGTAGGTCGTATTGATTTATAGAACAGCCAAAAGCATCGATAATCAATATTAACAAAGAAGCAATGCAAAAGAACGATGAATGCAAACGAATGAATTGATTGACCTACACAGCTACAAGTATAAAGTATGTAGCCCTCCGTCCATGCACCCTCTCGCCATGGTAAAGCAAGACAGAAGGTGTTTGGTAATTGGAGGGCATGGGATCTTCTCTCGGCACGTTATAAAATCCTTCAGCAAGCGCGCATGGGGAATAAGCGCGAAGCTGTACACACATATGCCTGTCATCGTCACCATCATCATCACCATCATGCTACGGTATGAGCACCACCAGCAAATCGACCACCAGTCATGGAGTATAAAGCCAAGCAACAACACCAGGAACCCGGAACAAGGGAGCTCCAGATCCAGAGAACGTCGCAGCAGCAGAACCGAATCCATTTGCTTTATGTGACACCGTTCGTTTCAACCCAACGGATATCCCATCCATCAATCCATAACCCTCGAGTGTGGTGATTGTCGTCGCACGTAGGAAAGGAATCAACCAACTCAAATCGCTTTCATTTCTTTTAAAACGTTTCTATATTAGTTGGAAGAGTGAATTTAGGCGACCTCGCGCTTGCCCTCCTTGCGCTCCTTCTGTGTGGTTGTTAGTGTTGGTTCCTTCGGGGGTGGAGGTGGAGGCTGTATGTTGGATGGATGGATAGGTGCAGGCGAACGTACCAGGGCCTTCATGGTTCCGTGAAGAGCGTATCTGTGGTTGCGGCGGAACTTGGGGTCAACACCCTTGAGGGAGGGGTAACGGTGAGACTTGGGCTTCTTGATACTGTTGATGTGAAGGCGTGGTCAGTTTCTCCTTCCTTGATTGTATAGCAGTATTGGTGAGAGCGAATATGCTGGTGTTGGATATGGTCGATATTCGTCGCAGCGGGTGGTGAACGGTATCATCATCCTCCTCCTAGCCTCTCATCCATCGTCGAACGGTATCACCCCATACCAACATCGCAAATATTCGACCCTCGGGCGACTCGTAGAGCGGTGCAGAAACAATAGGAGAGATGTGATCGGATTATACGCACCCGTTACGGTGAGCCTTCTGGCTGTTGTGGTGCTGGGACGCGTTCTTGGACTCTGCAAGCGAAACTCATGTCAGCGATACATCCATCATCATCCTGCAATAAATATCCGCCAGACGACGGAAATAGCATAATTTCGACAGGCGCAATAATTCCATTTCGATAGGGGCAGTATACGTACTCGCCATCTTGTCGGATTTGTCGCAACTAACAGACGGTTGACGAGGAGTTGGCGGGTGAGGTTATCACTGAACGGAGCGGAAGGCCAGAGTCCCCCAAGGCAGGTTCGGCTAGGGCTGGTTTTCTGTGGGATTTCGCTTACCGAGCACGGCTAGCGCGGGCTCTTCTGTTACTTTGTCGGGGGTTGCGCTGGGCGTGTTGGTTGGACTTTGGGTTGGTTTATGGGGTAGGAAGGGTTGCTGGGGGGTTCTGATGTGTCTACATGCGCTTTATGGTTGCTATTTGATTTGATTTTTGGGATTGTCGTGGTTATGGTGGTGCTTCATAGATGGGTGGATGGATACCTGAGGCATTTAGGTCCCGTGATTGATGACTAACGTGACTAGCTGGATGTTGATGTTGGGGATCTATGGAGGGGGTGTTATTGTGCAGGTAGTATCTTTCCAATACTTAGATCAGACACTTTTCGTTTATCGAGATGGCGCTAATCTTTGATACCGGTGATTGTCTGTTTGGAGAGACTGAGTATGCGAAAGGTATGACGACAGACCGTTGACAGCTATATATCACGTGATATAAACATGGGGCATGCTCGATACTGTTGAACTCAGTTGGGTCAATAAGAGTGGGTGTCATGCCTTTCATCTTCTGCGTTTATGCGCTTAGTTGAATGTTGTTATCTTGTAGTATCTAAAAGGATAGAATGTAGTAGAATGTTGCAAGCGTGTCGCGATCGCAACAACACGCCTGGCTATTATTTTCCCTAGAGAGAAGCTATACACAGAAAGGTCCCGTCTTTAGATAATAAGTATGAACCGGAGGACTACGGAGTAAAGTACGGAGTATGGAGTACTGTAAACGATGTCCTGAGCAACCGACGCGGTCTGCACTCACGTGACCGGACGAGCCGCTAGGGAACAACCGGCATCCGACTTCGACCTTTGCAACTCCCAACCCAGGTTCAAGAGGGATACTATCACCACCACTCCCCGTCGTCCATTGCAAGATGAGCTCTCTCCGCTTTGCTCGCTCTGCTCTTAGGGCTCGTCCCTCCGCCTTCCGCGTTCCTCTTCAGCGCAGAGGTTACGCTGAGGCTGTGTCGGACAAGATCAAGCTTTCCCTGACCCTCCCTCACCAGGTACGATCCCGAATCCGTTGAGCGCCCTTGACACTAGCATGTACATTGGATACTGATAGCTTCCCTCCGATAGACCATCTTCAAGTCCACCGGCGTGTATGTAGCCTCGCGTTCCTGTCAGGTCGAACAATCGGACGACCGTCTTTCACCCTAGACCGCCCCGTACTTACGAGCCTTTCCATGCAGTGTCCAGGTCAACATCCCCGCCGAATCCGGAGAGATGGGTGTTCTCGCCAACCACGTCCCCTCCATTGAGCAGCTCAAGCCCGGTCTCGTCGAGATCGTTGAGGAGGGTGGTGCCAGCAAGAAGTTCTTCCGTACGTCCGACCCAGTGCCGCGAACCGAGATTGTTATATCAGCGGCTACACATAAGGTTTAGGACAAAGCTGACATGACTCTTTTTGAACTTTAGTGTCTGGTGGTTTCGCCGTCGTCCAGCCCGACTCCCAGCTGAGCATCAACGCCGTCGAGGGTTTCCCTCTTGAGGACTTCAGCATTGACGTAGGTTGCGGAGGATTCACTTCTGCTATGATACAGGCTAATCAATATCTTCAATCAGGCCGTCCGTTCCCAGATCGCCGAGGCCCAGAAGATTGCCAGCGGCAGCGGCAGTGAGCAGGATATCGCCGAGGCTAAGATTGAGCTGGAGGTAGGCAAACCCGTTAATGAGCCCGAAGTACTTTGACTGACCCAATAATAGGTGCTGGAGAGCCTGCAGGCCGTCCTCAAATAGATACCTGATGTACATATCCACGCGACTTCAACTTTGAACCTGTAGAATTATAGCAATTCTCCTGAACTCATGCATGGTCTTGGGCCAGATGTCCATTAATAGATTAGGTGTTTGCGTGGCCGGTTGAGTGCTTGTCGATGCTTCCTTTACTGCAGGCCCGGATCGCTCTTTCCCAAACAGCCCCAGGGGCGAAAACCCCTCCTTTCCCTCATCTCCCACATCCCCTCTTCCATCTTTCAGTCAGCTTATGCAGCCATATTCAGGCCAGCGTTTTATTCATCATCTTACTTTCCTCTAGGAGCTGATAACCAAAGCAGGCAACATCTGGGCTGAATAACTGGCTCCCCCACCAACTCAATAGCAATCATGCAGGTGTCCAGGTCTGGCGGGCCAGGGTATTCTAACGGTCAAGCATCGGACAGTCCTCAGAAATCTCAGACCAGAGGTCAGTCTGGCAGACTGGAGGAGCATCCTGGCTGCGCATTCTTGAAACGCAGCGATTCTCGTGACACGGACTTTTACCAGATCTTCCCGATGGAGGTGGACAAAGATATCTCAATGAACCCTCCAATCATAGGATCCAAGGTGTTGAAGGACGCCTTTTCTGACAAGGGCACGGCAGAGTACCATGGAGCGCCTGGTATATCACTCGACATGCCTCTCCTTAAGGCTGGACATGAGAGCACAATCGCGTCTTGTGGCAAGACCAACCGAGAAACTCCGTCCCCAGTAAGGCCCGAAAACTGTACCTTCGATGTCTTGAATGAAAGGACCTTGTACGAGCGCAATTGTCCTGTCTCCCCCGAGGCTCAAACAACGTGGAAACCGCCTAGACCTCCTAAACCACGATTCCTATCGGACCTTGATGTCGCTGACTCCAGGGCACATGAGAATGCCTCGCTATCTCCGACGTTTGACCCCAAAGGTCATCTGCATAATAAACGGATGTTACCTGACTCTCCGGGTCCGTACTCCACTCCCCAGGGCTGCTCTAGGTCTCGCATTCGATTGGCCAACCGATCAATTTTGCTGCAAGGCATGGATCATGAACACAGAAAGCAACAGAGAAGACCCTGGAGTAACCCGAAGCCCGGTCCATCCCGCTACGTTCCCCGTCCTCCATCGCGAAGCCCAAACACTTTCCTCAAGGATGACACAAGTAGGCCATTCCCGGCCCCTTTACCTTCGATTGACAACCTGCCATTGCGCCAGGATCTGAAAGTTGTTAGACCTAAGGATGTCAATGTGCACTTCCAGGATCTCGGTGACGTCTTCTCAAACCAGCAACCGATACGAATTTCGACGTGGAAGAACATAAGCAACTGCTTCCAGAAGGTCCTTGGTTGGATCTTGCACTGGCTGAAGCCAGAAGAACGAAGAGTTGTCTGTCTGTCCTTGGTTGGAGAGCGATCAGTCCAGCAGCCTTCACATTTGGGACACCAAACATATTCGTTCAATGTGACTTTGGACTGTTCAATCAAGTCGAAGCCAATGGTGACCCGTGAAGGGCAGGATATGAACTTATCTGCTTCTTACAGCGATCCTGTGCGTCTCTTCCGGGTCGATTTCACGGTCCCATTTCGATTCTTGCAAGTTCTCGCGCGCCTTGGTATCGCTTTACGGAGCCTCATGTTCCCACAGGCCGTGGCTATCGTTGTGCAACTTTTCCTAAGATTTGTTGGACCGCCCATCTTATATGTATTGGAGAAGCTCAGCATCAGCATGTCCATTCACTCGGAGAAGCCTGCAGCTGCCGCAGGGCAGACATCCTGAGGAACACAAAGTTCATATTCACGCATGGCCTGAGTGGTAATTTGTTCAACAGAGATGAGATGAAGGCCAAGGAAGGATACGACGTTACGCTATGGACGATCGGTATGAAAGTTTACTTACAATAATCCTTTAATCACAACCAAAATGAGGCAACAAGGTTATCTGAAAGGTACCGCAAATATCTCACAATGAAATCGAAAGGAAACAGAAAATCACAAGCGTCTGGTAACAAGGCCAAGGAAACTCAAAACGCCTGCTGCTTAGAAGCATATTGCCGCCCAGTCCATATCAGTATCTTATTCCGGACGGAGGGTCACATAAATCAATCCAATTCATATCCATTTTCTTGCTCATTGCAACCATATCCTTTCTGCATGGTTGCTTTCATAGCGTCATTACCGGACATCATCAGGCGAACAGCCATTGCGCCCACAGATCGTTTCCAACAAACATGAAAATTGCGTTTCCGGGAGAACCAACGGTCGAAGTGACGAGCTGTTGGCATGTGTACATCACAACATAACATAGTTCAAGATTGACTTGAAGGGATAAATCCAAAGAAAACAGGGTACAAGGGAGAACGTAAACAGCAAGAAATTATACGGCATGAAATCATCAAACTGGCTATACAGAGGAAGAGGAGAGGTCATGGCATCAATAGCAACAGATGTCGTCTCATCATGTGAATTCCACACCGTGCTGTTGCCTGTCTTGACGTGCGCGAGCCCTCTCTGCCCGTCTTCGTCGACGATTGTTTGCGTAGTCCCCGCTGGCTTCGGTCCCGGTGAACGTGCCGGGAGATGCGATGCTCCCTGTTCCGTAGGGATGGCTGGATGGCACAGGGGGTGGAGGCGGCGGTGGCATAGGTATGTGGCTTCCATTTTGGGGAGGTGGTGCGTAATATGCTGCAGGAGGCATGCTTGACGACGGAGCGGCGGAAGCAGCCGCCGCGGCAGCCTGCTCTCGTTGCATCTGCTCCTGTTGCTGCCGCTCCAATTCCTCGACACGGCGCCATCGGTCGTACGAGCCTCCTTCGTTGCCTGACAGTGAGCTTGCGCTGCCGGCTCGACGACGGGAATTCCTTCGTTCTCGCCGTCTTGCTTCGCGACTGGCTGCGGCTTCTTCGTCGGTTAATCTCCGGAGAGTGACATGGCGGCCGTCATTGTGCATTTTCACTTTGACGGATACTGGGGGGGAAGCAATGGGATCACGGTGCCGGCTGCTGCTCCGGTGTCGACTGCTGCTGCGACGGCGATGATGCGTGGACGATTCACCAAGGGCTGTTCCGGCTGCTACCCCCGAGGCGAAATCGGTGGGGCCATGTGCAGATGGTGCTGGGGCTGGAAACTCGGAAGTCGGTGCTGGTGCTGGTGCTGATGGCATAGGGGGACCAGGTGGTGGTGGTAAGTCTGACCGTGCCCCGCCGACTGCCCCGGATGCCTCTGGTGCGGAGATGATAGACTCACCGTGTGGCGGACCGCGTGGTGGGCGACTCAGTTCCGTTGACAGGTCTGTAGCAGTGAAGGAATGCGGCCTTCCATGTCTTGGGTAATACGCCTCTCCTGGATATCGCCGCTTGCTGTTTGCTCTAGCCAACCTTTCGTCTTCCTCCTCCCGACGACGCATGTCTTCCACACGACGTTGTTCGGCATCTTTCTTGCGACGGGAGAAGAAGCTTTTAAAAGCTGCGAATGCCCCTGCACCTAGCAGAGCATCTCGGACTCCATGAGACGGTTTTCTCTCGGTGGGACGTTCGGAAAGATAGGTGCTGTCATAATAGTACGATGAACCTGGGCTTTGTGGCCGGCTTAGCGGCCGACTCGGGGGTCTGCTCGGAGGCCTGCTTGGCGGTCTGCTGGGAGGTCGACTAGGAGGCCTACTCGATGGACGGTTGAGAGGGGTACGTTGGGTTGGCTCCGCTCGTCGCTCATCCTCCAGCCTACTGAGACTTTCCTCGGTCATACTGTCACTTCGAGTATGGGCTCTGCTGTATCGACCGGACTCCGTGTCATCGTCTCGCTCACGTCTCCTGTCAAAGAATTTCTTAGCGAGCCAGGCACCGCCACCAATCGCACCTAGCTTCAAGAGCAGGTTTCCTGTGCCACCGCGGCGGGGGCCTTCGTCGGAATGCTTCTCGTCGGAATAGCTTGTGTGGGATTCGTCATAATCGTGTTCCTTGACTCTAGAACGACGTCTGAAGAGTGAAGCCAGACCAGCCCCAGCGGCTCCTGCGGTGGCCATTCGGCCGAAGCTGTTGCGGCGATGGTCATCAGCAGCCGAAGGTCCCGAGACATAGCTGAGTCGGCTCTCGTACCCCCCCTCCATCTGATATCCCTCTGTGTCGTACAGATATGACAGCACGAAGAATGCTGCTAACAGGGCGAAGGCGGCAATCGCATACAGGATAAAGAGCACTTTGGGTGAACCATATAAGGTGAGTCCGAGCGGTATCTGGGCGAGTCCGAGAAGGGCGAGGGCCCGGCCGATCCATCGATGAATCTGGAATGGCAGTTAGCCTCAAGGGTACCATTTGGGTCACGCTTCACGACATACAACAAGCTTCAAGGGGACATGGTATCTTTTCTTGTTCCTCTCAAGTTTATGGATGAGCCAGCCCCACAGAACCTGAAAAATGACCATGACGTATATCGCAAGACCAATGCCATGGTGCGGATTGGTCAGGCTTCTCTTCGGGCCAACAGCGAACCAGCCGAATACGAACACGACGGTGCTCAGCAGTAATGTCAACACCTGACACCAGACGTGCAGCTTAAAAGCCCAGTAAGGATTCCATCGGGAATAGTATCGGACGATCAAGATGGAGCTAGGAACAAGGAAGAGGAAGACGATTGTTGCAATCACACCATGGACAACTATGAGGGTATGGTACTCGGGCATATCTTTGAAACGATTCCCCATTCCTGGCACGTGTAAGCAGACTTGGGTTCCATGGTTGTATGACATTACTAACCATTATATCGCATGGTGTCAAAGTTTATCCCCATTAAATTCGGGAGGAGGAATGTGTCGCGCTCCGAGTCCCATGTTCCATCCCCAACATGCAGTGTATTCGAGGCATACGTACTGCTTCCCGCAGCCGAAAGCCCAGAGTCGGCTGTCATGGCTCCTGGAGGTCTCTACCCCTTGTAACGTCCGATAGACGCGGAATCCCCACGATCTTACGACACTGGAATGTCCAAACTACCGACGGAGATCTATTGAGATCCCCCACTCCGAAGAATGCACCATGCGCTGATGGGGAAGGCCGAATGGAACTCGATCGCAGTGGCGCCTTCTAGATCCTCTTGGAAGATACCGGCAGAGCGTGAAACGCGACCGATTTCAGCGCTTGAAGTTGTTTATCCCTCTGGGATCGAGGCTGGCGGTGAGGAGGAGGTATGCGGGGGAGGGCTAGGCAGTCAAGTACAGGGATCAGGAGGGAGCAGTGGCCGGGCACCGGTCTGGATAGCGAGCAGTTTGAGCCCCGTGAGGTGGAAAGGAAACACAATGGAGGAGAGGAACGGTCCGTGGGACAGGGAAGCGGATAACCGCCGAATGATCGCGATGCAGGCTGGACGCCGCTGAGGCTGGGATCGAAGCGCCGCAACAACTGTTTGCCATTTGCGGTTTAGCCCGCCAGCACATATCCCGGACAACCAGCGCTGACTCAGCTTTCTGCTGCTGCCCACCGCCTGCCTGGTCCACTCGCCAGACTAAAGCCAGACAGAGTCCTTACATAGTAGTACGTAGTCGTATATTAGCTAGATGATCACTTATCAGCGAGATTGCCCGGGTTCACCCCGATTGCAGTACTGACATCGATACCCACAGGCTACTTAGTGGAACGGATTATCCTTCAAGTCCGCCCTCGTATCATGTTGATGGTTGCAGGTGTCATAGCTCAACGGATACTACGAGATAGATAGCGACTGCTACGGGGTACTATCTAGATTTCCTTCCTGCTACTCGCGTTCTCCAATCGTCGGACGACCATCGCCGTTATCTACCAAGCACCATGTGCCAAGGCGACCCTCCATTCCGGAGCAAATCACAGGCCTCCAGGAATCCATTTCCAGAGTTAAGCCCAAGCAGCGTTGGGAAAGCGGTCAGAAGCGCGTGACCTCGATCGCGTGCTTTGCCTATCTTATCAGCTGCTCCGTTCCTTGACGAGTACGAGAGGCCATCCCCATCGTCTTCGACGCAAGGCATCTAGATAGCCCCTCTTGTTCCTGCTGTCCCTATTCTTCATCATCGTATCCGGTAACTCAGCAGCAGAATCAAAGGGTGATCATGGCTACCCAGTTGGAGGTCTTTGTGAGGGCACTCTCTCGGTATGTCTCCTTTCTCCCGCCATTCCTTATCTCTTCCGACCATCTACTGACACGCCGGCAATGTAGCCTTCTGGGCTGGATATAGTATGTTCCCAAGCCCGGCTATACCATGGAGGATGCTATCACAACGGGATGTCAGGTTGAAGACCGTCAATTACTGACCACTTCTCCCAAGCACGTTCTGCTGGTCCGCATCGTTCTATCCCCAACCGATTAACAACTTCCGGCGACGGTCGACAACGGGATTGGCAATCGACTTCCCTACGATTAACGTCCTAGGCTTCGTGTGCTACACCATCTACACCTCGGCCTTTCTATACTCTCCCGTGATCCGCCATCAGTATGCTGCTCGTCATCCGCTCGCCGAGGACCCGACCGTGCGCTTCAACGACTTTGCCTTTGCCCTCCACGCCGTCGTCCTCAGCTTTATCACCTATACCCAGTTCTGGCCTTTCATCTGGGGATTTAAGGTTTCTCGATATCAGAGGGTCAGCAAGCCGGTGGCTGGTCTGTTTTGGGGCTCTATCGTTGCGGTCGCGGTCGTGATCTTTATTGTTCTCGCCAAGAGCCCGGATCAAGGCTACGACCCATACTCCTGGGCATGGATCGACGTCGTAAGTCGCTAGAAGATGTCCATGTGGCTGCCTCGCGTGGAATCTCTGACAAAGAATGGTGTTAATCCAGATCTATTCCCTGTCCTACGTGAAACTGGTCATCACGATCGTCAAGTACGTACCTCAGGCGTGGGTGAACTACAAGCGCCAGTCCACACATGGCTGGAGTATTGATCAAATCTTATTTGACCTGTCCGGAGGGGTGCTGTCCCTTGCTCAGTTGCTTCTGGATTCAGGCTTCCAGAACGACTGGAGTGGGGTCACAGGAAACCCGATCAAGTTCCTCCTGTCGAACGTGACCATCTTCTTCGATTTGATCTTCGTGGTGCAGCACTATGTCCTGTACCGCGGGGCAGACGACGGCCAAGGCAAGGACCAGGACCCTAGTGATCGGACTCCCCTGTTATCCGAGTCAACCGACGTACCTCGAGCAGATAGTGTTTAGGCTTTCGCCGTCCCCTGGTGGCTGGCCTGCAATAATCGGGAGCGTCTCGGGGCCGCCGGGCCTCAGACGGTCTGATTTCTAAGCTGGTGTTGGATGATTTAACGTTTTTGGGGAAACGTTCATGTGAAGGGGTTGGACGTTTCTGGTCGGATGATGACTGGGCTGAGAATTTTGTGACATGTATGACCTCATAGACCCCTCCGCCATCACCGCCCACGGAGGGCATTGTTTTGGAAGAAGGCTGTAACTCGTATACCGAGTCCATTGCCTCCACGGCCACACGAAGGTGGAAATAGTCATGTGCCTTGGCCACCGAGAGACGATAGACGGCTGGGCGAGGGAGGCTCGCAACAATGTATTTTTGGAACAATGTCTTTGGTGTGCCAAATGGCTTCGCGAAAGTGTATCTCCGAGCCTCCCGGTTCCCCCCCATTTCCTTCCCCCGATGTAACATGGCCGTGACACTCGATCTAATCGGGGGAGCAGCCCAAGGTCTGCAGGCCGATTAAGGCCAGCCCGAGCCAGATGCTGCCGACACCGCTCTTTGGCAACGGGAGCATGCTGACGGCGATCGTCTTTCCGGGCCTTCCTGGAGCCGTGCTTCAGGAGGATTGGTAGCGTGGCCGACCTTCCATGCGACAGCAGGGATCGTGGGCGCCGAGACTAAGGCCCATCTGGCGGTAAGCCCAAGGGATCTGCACTGGAGCCATAGTTCTAGCGTCGAGCTGCTGCCCCGTCTGGGAATAAGCGTGGGGGGCCTGACATACCCGTCACTCCTCTCATTGCAGATGATGGCTGCCGCTCCCCCCCCTCAACGGCGCGCAAGATTGCCCGGCGATATGACTTGTCTTCCCCCCTCGGGCCTGGCTATTTTGGTCGGATCGTCTGGAACCTTGCCTGGAAGGGGAGCCCTCGGCGCTGAGGCTCAGACGGCATTTAGACTTTCCCCTCCAGGGTTTCCCCATGAACCACTGGGCCATCCGAACCACCCAAATTCCGCATGCATTATGTCCCATGCGGTGGACGGAATATTACACGACGCAGCCAATCACCATGCCGCCTCGGCCGTATGGGCTCTGGTCCGTGGCCAGTACCCTAACTCACGACGCATCCTATCAGCGGCCGACAGACACTTCTCCGAGGCCTGGCTTGGGGCTCAAACGTCATCCCCATGTTCACCACTGTTGCCATATCCACGGCTCTTGACTTTGTGCCTTATGGCTTGTTGGTGTTACCATTCCCCTCAGCCCTATCAGAAGCCCGGACTTCAGCCGCCATGTTTCAATTTGACTTCTACATAAGCAGCGTGGATCCTATTTTAGCGCAGCCAAATCCAAGAAATCCAACGAGGGGAAAAAGAAAAAAAAAACAAAAGTCACAGACCCGCAAACAGAGCGCAGAAGGCTTATTTTGTTTGGTTGCCGCTATGCTCCGGTCTGGATCACCTGTCAACCAATGTGTCATCTGAATAGGGTTGGTCCTATCCTCTTCGCTATCGTATTAGACCCCCCTCCCAAGTGATTGTGCAGACTTGCCCGACTTATCACTCTCCCGGGCAGACGATTCCCCAAAGCCTTGTGGAGGATTGAGCAACCGGAAGGCCCGAACTGGGTCCCAGGGCAAGCGGATCAGCCGCCAATCAAGTACCAAAGTCAATGGTACAGTGACATCAAATCAGACATCCGAAGATCGTTCGTCCCAAAGGGTCTGGCTCAGCGACCTCGTTTTGTACCGTCAGCCCTGGGGATATGCATAGCCACATCTGACATTCGAGACACTCCTGAAGATAAGAATGTTGGAGAACCACTGCTCGCACTGGCTTTAAATATCCACTATGCATCCGAGCCCGACAGATCATGAAAGACCGTTCAAGAGAGTTAAGCTTTATACCGCTGAGACATCCCCCGAGTCCACTCAGTACATGGACCACAAGTATCTGAAAGTACCTTCATATGAACACAGCAGTAAGAGGCCCCAGTACCCGGCAGAGAACCCCTTCATACTAACGGACACCCAGACCCAGCGCACCCCCGAGTTCAGTACCCTGTCCACCGGCTCTGAACCCCCAACGATGACGGCGAGAACCACGATGCACAGCGCCATGCTACTCATGCCTGGCGGCTCTTCAACCCACAGTACGATGTCGTCAGAGATGCAGCCGTACCCTTTCCCGGCTGCAGCCTTTCCACAGGCCCCCCTGTCAGATGTCCGTGGTCTGCCTGGCAGCGTGCCCTACGCCTTCAACCAGATCCCCATCCACCAGAGAGACCCCGACATCGGGGGCCTCTATTTCCAGGATCACGATCACTACACGCCCTCCTATCCTCGCCAGACTGTTCCACCGCAGTCCTTTGGACCCGATATGGAACCCGTTTCCCATAACCTCCCAACCACAACCGATACCCTGTATCCCGTCCCCCAAGACGGATGGCTGGCCGTACCCGTGCCAGGCTCATCCCCCAACAGTAGCGACTACCAATTTCCCACATCATCCCAATCCTCCTTTTCCCAATCCCAACTCACCCCCATCACCTCCGCCTCCCTCTCCTCCACGACCACCGACCTCGACTTCGAGCTCGATCTTGATCTCGACCTCGACGACATCAACCTCCAATCCCTCTCCGACACCTCCGCCCGCACCCAGACCCGAGACCTCACCAACTACGGCATCCAAAATCCCGACGGCACCTGGCGTTGTGCCTACCCGGGCTGCTCCTCACACGCCGTGTTCCGTCGCGGCTGTGACCTCCGGAAACACTACAACCGACACCGCAAGCATCTCTTCTGTCGATACGAGGGATGTCCCCAGGCCATGCGGGGCGGCTTCTCCAGCAAGAAAGACCGAGACCGACACGAGGCAAAACATAACCCGGAGATCCCGTGTGAGTGGGACGGCTGCCAGCGGGTATTTAGTCGGGTAGATAATATGAAAGATCATGTGAGAAGGATTCATAAGAGGAGGGAGTCTTAGCTCCTTCTCTCTTCGCCTTCTTCCCTCCTTCCCTCCTATCTCCCTTGTCCCTCTCACCTCCCTCTCTATACCTTACCCCCCCCATTACCATCTACCTTTATCATCTATCCTCTTTATTATCACATTGGATTACTACCCTTTGTATTGTTCCGCTTTCTCACATCTGCTCTTCTTCATCTTCACTTCACCTTCATCTTCTCTCTTCTTTCTCCTCTTTTACTTTCTTCTCTGCTTCATAAAGCGAAGATCGGAATACAGGACCGGACCGGACCGGCACGGATCAGGATTATGGGAATCGGCATGGAAATGGAAATAGGAACGGGATAAACGGAACCAAACGGCGTGCATCTATGCTTCTCTTCTTTTTTTTTTCTTCTATGATTATCATGTTTGGGAAGGATATATCACCTACTATCTATAACTATCTATTATTGATTCTTGATGGTTGATGAGATTGATTTTGGACTGAGGGAGAAATTACCTCTTCGTGAGCACAGCATCTGCTGGACAGTTGCATTATTTGTTTGAGATATACGGAGTACCTTTTTCCCATTCATCGTTTCGTTTTCATGATTCATCTTTATTTGCTTCAAGTTGGATATACACTGTACTTTTATGTAATTGTGCTGATGTTCTGTCATGGTCTCTATCTGTCTGTCTTTGTCTGTCTCTGGATGTTTATGTTTATGATTGGACTTGTCATTCAAGTCGAACTCGAACTTCATATAGGTGGAAGCTACGCTAGCTGGCTAGCACGAGCACATACGCACATTCTCTCACACACTCACTCACTCACATATACTGGATTTGGTTTCTGCGTCTTCTCTCTTCTTCTGTCTTCTTTTTCTTCTTTTTTGTGTATCCATCGCCTGATCCCGGTCCGTATGTAGCCAGTCAGTCCGTCAGCTAGCCAGCCAGTTATGCCAAGTCAAGTCAAGTCAAGTCAAGTCAAGTCAAGTCAAGTCAAGTCAAGTCAAGTGAAATCAAATCGAGTTAGAAGAAGATATCCAATGAAACGCCTTAAGACCCTCCGTGAAAGAAGACGCCAGGACTTCCTCTATGTGTATCTGAGGAAGCAAAGTAGTAGGAGAATAAGAAGAATATTGGACGAAGGATGTAGGCAAAGCAAATTGGAGGTGAAGAATGATAAATAAGCAAAAAAGAAAAAGAAAAAAAAAACGAAGCACAAGGGCAATGGATCAGCTCAGAGAAACAAAGGAAGTAGATCAAACGCCACTAGCAAAGTCTTGTACAAACCCGTGCACACTTCGCCAGATTACTCAGCAAGACGAACGGGGGAATATAACTATTCGAACAAAAGCGAATGACAGAATACGACGCAACAAGAAGCAACACAAGGAAAGTATCATGGCTCTAACAACTTGTGGTATCTCTGAAAAGAAGTGGGTAGTTGAATAGATGTAAATCGGGCGAAGGGGTGGATGGTCGGTCGGTTCGTAATGCATGTGCAGTCAGTAGACATGAATGCCATGATGATCAATGATGATGGGAAGGAATTGACTGCGTCATCCTCACAAGTCCCGAGGGACTTGGTTGAGAAAGCCAATTCGTGACCCCAAGATGAAATCAACGCGGACGCTGTCGCTAATGCAATATCGTATAATGGTAACCTGCACTTTTGGAGCATAGTATCGCTAGGATAGGTGATTGAGATAAGGGCAAGGCCTAGTGGGCGCTGGTCCGACGGCGCCGACCACGCGTACTGCCCTCCGGTCGTTGGGCTAGGACCTGCCGGAGGGCTGGGTCGTCACGACTCTTATCGACGTGGTGAACCCTGACATGTCTGGATGGGAATTTGTGAGCAGGCTGGAAGGATCAATCGGTGATCGAATGGAGCCTTACCGCTGGAGATTGTCCGGTCGAGGATATTTGTGTTGTTGATCCGGGCAGAAGGGACATACGTATCCGGGCGAGTTGTGAACGAGACCGTGTCGGATCATCTCGTTCTTCCGTTTGAACCCCTTTCCACCGGGGCCACGAGGACAGCCATCAATGGGGCAGAAATGCGGACGATCCTGCGAGTGGACATTCGCATGGGAGCTGTACATTTCGGTGAGCTGGCATCCGCGTGGATGGTGCTGCAATTGCTTACTTCAACAGATATTGTGTTTGGAAGGGAGCTGCCGTGCAGCCCGGGTGGCGACACTTATACGACCCGGCAGACACCGCTCCATTCGAGTGTGTGGGAGCATTATACGGCCGATCGCAGGTCGATCCGGGGGTCTGGTCGGTGGGAGTGGGATAGCTGGTGGCTGGGCTCTTGACCGTCGGAGGGACGGTCTCATAATTCGAGGTAAGATACGCGATGTCCGCCTTGATGGGCGGCCGCCAGTAATTCTGTTGTGATGCGGGCGACGACATGGCCGAGATGTCTTTCGAGCTGGTCGGGGACAAGTGCGAGTAGGGGCTGGGCGGCACCTGCGACGGCGGGGGAAATTGGCCCAAGCGTTGGTGTTCCCAGACCGGGTCGGTCCTTGACACCGGGGGAGACGCAGCCGAGACTGGAGGCAGGGCGCCGAAAGTCGTGCCGTTCATACGCCCCGGACCTGGACCGCCATGGGGGGGCATATCGGTCACCGCAGCCAACGCGGTCTGAAGAGAGGGCAAGCTGTGCTCCACCGAGGTCGCCGTGGCTGACGAGTGAAGAGCAGGGAGCTGGGCCGCCGGTTCCGACGGGTTGATCAGCAACTTGCTCAACCGGGAGTCCGGGTCGGACAGTTTCCTCTCCGGCCTCAGCGGATGAGACAGCGGCAGGGGGAGATTGACCGGCGTTGGCTGCTGTTCTTCTTTCAGCGGAGGTTCTTCCGCGGCGATCGGCGGTCGCAATGGATCCTTGGGGGGCGCTGGAGGAATCCTGGGGGGCACCGAGGGACCGGCCTCCTCCTTCGGCTCACTCGGGCTGATCAGACCGAGGGCTTGTCTCGCCACGAGTTCCGGAGGTGGTTTGTCCGGGCTGATCTTGAATTTGGGAGGCGAGGGGAAGGTATCCTCCACGGCCAAGCCCCGACTTAACGGATGGTCATTTTCGAAGATGGCTATGTCAGGTCGATTGGGCTCTAAATGTCTGATCAGCACCGAGTTGCCCTCGATTGTATCGGGCTTGTGGAATTCCGGCAGCTTACGGGAACTGCCCGGAACCGTTGGCTCTACATCGAAATTCGGAGCCTCGCCCTTGGGCGATGGCTCTCCAATGTCGAATGGCGGCGGGGTCTCCTTTGGTCGGTAGTCGACATGCGTGGGTTGCAACCGTTCATCGGGATCGTATGACTCGGTCATGAAGGCGGCGGTTTTAGGCGCATTAGGTGCGCCGCCCCTTACTGTCTGGGTTCCTGGCCTGCCCTGTGCTGGTGCTTTGAAGGAGGACTCAGAACACCGATTTCAGCGGGGACAATGGTCCACGATCTGCCAAGGAGAACGAAAGGCCGATCACTGGTAGATCCCACCGTGTCCTGTCACCATATTAGTATGCGCACAGAAAAGAAAACGCGGTGGCACAACATGAAGGGGAATGCAGTGGAAAGGAGCCGGATACAGGAGAGGAACAAGCTTGTGCGACGGTCCCCCGGGGGGCATCCCCACGGAAGAAAAGAGGACCGGCCAGAGAAGGGGGAAACAACCACGGCGACGGCCAGGTGTGAAGATAGCAAACATCCCGAGGGCGGCGAGCAGCAGCCCAGATCTGTAAGATATCGAGCGACAGCACCACATGGACCAATTGCGATAACTTCCGGGATGCAGGTTTGGCCAAGAGCCACGGCAAAGAAAGAAAGCCAAGGCGACCATTTGCGAACAAACAGACCGCCAGTCGCGAGACCCGGGGGGTTTTACTGAGGTGCAAGAAATGCAAAAATAGGCTCACCTGCTGTCAGGAACCGAGAACGCCGCAGGAACCGCGCGCGCAATGAGGCTCAATTGGGGACGATAGCACGTCGGATTTCAGGCAACCACGACACCACTGGGCGCTAAGAGCAAAAAATCATGCGCGCAGGGGTTACGAGCCGCGTGAATTTTATAAAAAGGAGGGGAAGAGGGAGGGGAAAAGGTAAGCAGTACAGTGCAGGATAAGGTGAAGGCTCAGTGGTGGTGGTGGTGTCGATAAGGGAGGTCACGATGTCACGATGTCACCGCTGGGTGGAAAAGAGGTGGAGGAGCCGCCAGGATCAGAGCATGGAAAAATTCATGGTCTAACGGCGCCAGTAAGAGAGGGATCGTAGCTCACGGCAGGAAGAACAAGAAGAAAATAGAAGAATAAATGACAGGAGCAGAGGGAATTAGGCCCGATCCGAAGGAGAAGAAGAATCCCCGTGTCCGGCAATCCAGGGACGATGAATAGTGGCCGATGAAGCTAAAAGGTCCCAGCAGGCGGGTTTATGACGCGCTTGGCAGGTGGGAAAAAAAGGTTAAGGGTATGGCCGGAGCGGTCAGCAGGTGTTGCGCTGGAACGGCCGAACCGAGGGGAAGGATCAGAGTAATAATAAGGAAAGGGAAGAAATGGGGACACGGATAGTTTAGTTTGGCGTGGCCGTCGTGGTGGTAGTAGAATTGAGGAGAACGGTGGTCATCAATCCACCAGGCGATCCACCGGCCGGGCTGGAAAAATGGCGGGTGGAGAAGCAGCCGGTTTTCTGGGTTCTGGTTTGCTGTTGCGGTTGAGCTCGAGGTGTAGTTAACTGGAAATAAGAGGAGGAGGAGGAGGAGGAGGCCGCGAGGTACAAAATCGCAGCTGTTGTTTGGCTGGGGGTGGTGGTGGTAGTGGTGGTGGTAGTGTCTGTGGTCCAGTCTGGTCTGATCCGATCTGCTCTCTGACAGATTGGCCCGGCTTGGAGTTTGTTTCTGTTTTCCTTCTTCGTCTGGTCTGGTCCAGTCCGGTCTGGTCTTCTTTTCTCCCTGGTCGGGTCAGATCTGCCGTGTCTGTTTGTGTGCTTTCCCCAGGTAAAAACGTTAGTGAGTCCTTGGTTCAGCCTCTTTTCGTTTAACTCGCCAAGTCCCCACGATTTACTAGATGGGCATTGGGTTTCCCAACCTCAACCAGACAAACGGCAGATGAACACCAGAGAACAATGACAAGGAAAAAAAAAATAAATAGAAGAACTCGCAGGACCACGGAGAAGACGGAGGGAATGAAGCTGACTCTCCAGACGCGCGCCACTGCCTGCAGGCAGGCAAACAAAGTGGGGTGAGCATGGAGAGAGGGACAACACCATCAACCCGGGTGGAGGAACAAGCAAAATTTCTACCTACCGATCAGAGTCAGGACCACCACCATTCACGCTGTCGCTGAGCTGGAATGGAGGTAAGGGACGGGGAGGGAAGGGAATGTATGGAGGGTGAGGGAGAAACGAGAGAAAGTGCAGCTGCTCAACAACACCTGCTCTTTGCTTTGCTCACTGCCCTTCTCTTTTTTTTTTTTTTTTTTTTTTTTCCCTCTCGCCGACCTCTTCGAAGCAGGAAGAATAATGCCACGTCCACGAGGCCGACCCGACCAGACTAGGCCCAAAAGGGGGCTCCACCTCATGAGGCTCTCTGCATGCTGATCCCTGATTGGTTGGTTCGCGCGGGCACAGTTTAGGAGGCTGAATTGTTCATCTGCACCGAACCGTCGTAGAACTTGGCTGCTGCTCGAGAAAAGGAGGGGGCGTATGTGTGCGGGTGTATGTGTGTGTGGTCGTCCCTACGTCTTGCCCAGGGAAAGAAGCTCGAGCTTCATCAGATGATGAGGCTTTCTCTGCTTCCTACCCCCCCGCCTTCTCCCCTCCACCCCCTCCCTTCCCCTCCGATCGGATAAAATCTATCGATCGAAATTTAATCTATCCTTGGTCGCCTTAAGACGCCTCCCTAGTACA